TACACGCCATCCCGTCCGATCTGGCAAGTTAAGCAACGTTGAGTCCGGTTAGTACTTGGATCGGAGACGGCTTGGGAATCCCGGATGTTGTAAGCTTTTGCAAAATTTAACAAAAATTCTAAAAATTGCTCCTTTTTTGGGGGATCACTAAGCCTAAGCCTTGTTTTGCATGAAATTTTTTAGGCTTAGGCTTACGAAGTTCACTATTTCGCCTTTGGGAACCTTTCCATAGGCTTAGGCTTACGAAACCAAAGGTTTCGCCTTCAGCAATCTTTCTAGAGGCCTAGGCTTCTGTAAACGCAAGTTTCGCTGCTAGGATCTTTCTCTCAGGCTTAGGCTTAGTAAATCACCCAGAACCAACCCTTTTAGGCTTAGGCTTAGGTAAGTTTTCCTTTTTTAACACTGTTAAAAAAAACAAGAAAAAGTTTTTTTTTTGAAAAATTGTTCGATGACGTCATGGCAAAATTAGAAACCGTTCCTGATTTTGCCACGAGTCATTTTTTGATCAAAAACTTTTTTAACACTGTTAAAAAACAACTCATCGACTCCATTTTTACATTTTTGGATTATTCCAAATCTGTAACTTTTTTTGTTGGCTTGTGTCAAAAATTTTGAAAAATCTCGGGCCGATTTTTTTTTTTTTTTTTTTTTTTTTTTTTTGAAAAATCTCGGGCCGATTTTTTTTCATTTTCGTGTATACAGTCAACAAAAAAAAGTTACAGATTTGGAATAATCCAAAAATGTAAAAATGAAGTCGATGAGTTGAGACCTAAATGACACTTCCTCTCAGGCTTATCCTTAGTGAACCACCCTGAATCACCTTAGGCTTAGGCTTAGTAAGCCACCCAGAAGCAACCTTGAAGCTAAAAAAAATTGAGAGAAAATTTTTAACACTGTTAAAAAATGTCTTCATGTCAGTCAGTGCAAGATTCCAACCGCTTCGTATTTTACACCAAATTATTTTTCGACCAAAAAATGAGAGATTGTCTATTAATATTATTGTATATCTTATATTTTCGATGTCTTGAGTATAATTATTACAAAAAACAAGAGATTCCATGAGTAACGTAGGCTCAGGCTTAGTAACCACCCAGAAGTAACTGTGAAGGCAAAAATCCCCTTTTTCCTTGTTTTTTTTTTCTTCAAAGTAATTTCTAGGTGGTTTACTAAGCCTTAGCCTAAGCCTGAGCAAGGTTTTCATTTTTTTTATAAACTTTTGAGCTTCTGAAATGTCAAAAATATCGCTTCAAATATTTTTAAACAAAAAATTCCAAATTTCGCATATCAAAAAATGATCTAGAACCTCTGAATTTTATCATTTTTCTTCATCTATTTTTTTTCTAAATAATCCCAAATAATTTTCGAAATGATTTTCTAATTTTTCACCTCACGTTTATCAATCAATTTCATTTTACGTGACCCATATGCCAATTTGTCATTCCAGATTTTTATTAAAAATTTTAAAAAAATGCCTAAGTTTTGAAATCGAAATTCTGAGTATTGTACGTTGCTCAGAATCACCAGACGAACAACTTTCAAAAAAATTTTATAATTGGACAAATTTTTTTTTTCATTGATTTTCGGATTTTTGAAAAATCGATTTTTTTTGTTTTCAACCGCCCATAACTCGGTTCATTGAAACGATGGACCTAAACAATTTTTTTTTAAATTGTAGCGCTAAGCGAGCTCTACAAGCCTGGTTAGGGCCCGTAAGATAAAAATGCAAATTTTCATGAGTTATGGAGGTGGCAAGATTTTGGTATATCACATATCATGGTATGACCATGAAACCTATGAATGGGATATTGAGAAATTTTTCTGAAAGCTTGCAAATGTCCTCATAATGAAATTCCCGGAAGGAATTTTCCCAAAATTGATTATTGGTCTTGTAAATATTTGTTTCCCAGAACGCATTTTTGAAATTTCGCTTTTTCTACGTTAAAAAGCTGTCAAAATCAATTATAAATGTGTTTTTCGGTCTCAAAATCGAAAATTACCCCTAGGTGAACATTTTCAGAAAGTTTCAGTCACTGGGAACCGGTATTGGTAATTTTTTGTTTTTCCTTCATAACTCACGAACCGTTCATTTTTACGAGAAATAGATGCTTCCAGCGTGTTCAGGACACTAATTTACCCCTAGGGAGATATTTTTTACATCATTTAGACCTTTGGGACCATTTTCGAAAAAAAATTCCAGAAAAGATTACTGTAGTTGATCCATTTTTTTCGGAAAAAGAAAAACACGGATAGAAAAATAGGATAAACTATTATTTTTTTCTCTCAAAAAATGGAGAGAAAAGGAGAGAAAAATAATAATAGTTTATCCTAAATTTCACCATTTTTTTTCGATTTTTGAAAAATTGACCGGAACTTCTGAAATTTATGGGTGGGGGGTTTTCGGCTCCGTGGAGCATCATGGTGATAATGATTTTACACGAAAATGAGCGTATCACCTCTTATCAGTGATTATCAAAAAATATCAAAATGTTCAGATTGAGCTGGCAGTTGGAGGAAATGATGTTTTGTTATTGTAGATAACATTTTTGATAATTTTGGAGCTCCAGCTTCATCCTATAAGCTCTTATCAGTCCTTATCACTAAAATATCAATATGCTCGGACTTGGCTGAAACTTACAGAAAATTATGTCTGGGGGTAGTAGAGACTAATTTCGATGAGTTTAGAGCTCCAGCTTCATCCTATAAGCTCTTATCACTCCTTATCACTAAAATATCGATTTGCTCGGATTGAGTTAAAACTCGGGGAAAATGATGTTTTGTGATTGTAGATAACATTTTTGATAATTTTGGAGCTCCACCTTCATCCCATAAGCTCTTATCAGTCCTTATCACTGAGTTATCAACATTCTCGAATTGAGCTAAAACTAGGGAAACGTGATATTTGAGATGAGTAAAACACATTTCCGATGAGTTTAGAGCTCCAGATTCATCCTATAAGCTTTTATCATTCCTTATCGTGAATATATACTCCACTAGAATTCATGAAAAATTGAAGAAATTCAGATTCTTTGAAGAATTTCTCTAGAAATACCCAATTTTTTCCAGATATTTTTAAATATCAAAATTGAATAAGAATTTATTCAAAAACATGAAAATTACTTTTCTTGAGCTCATTCTGTGATTTTGTACATCTTTCGATTGAAGCGTCGGCGCGCAATTTTTTATGTATCTGAAAATACAATTATTTGTATCCACGGGAACCCAAATCTCCATGGAGATGTTTATTTTTCCAACATCTCGATTTCCAGTCAAAATTTCCCAGATTTTCTACTAAAAATTACTCTGCAACCCACAAATGACATCATTTTGAACTTGATTTCATTTAATCTAGGCAGAGAGGCTGCCTTTGTTGTTTTTCTCACAGCCAATTCCAATTTTCTCCAATTTTTTTCGCCGCTTTTTTTGTGCTGTCTTTTTTTCTCAATGAGCATTGAACCAGAAAATGTTTGAAATATAAAAAATGAACATTTTTTGAGAAGCGGAAGAAAAATTGGCTGGATTATTATTATTAATTTTGCACATTAGTTATGCGTGAAAAACATGAGACTAGTATAGTTTTTTGATGTTAGAATTTTTTTTGAGTTGGAGATTTTTCGTGGGAAAAAATGCTTGCACTATAGGAGAAATTCAAGATAATTTTTGGCGCTTGAATTTTTTTTTTAACGCTTTTAGTGTTCTCATGGCTTTTAAGAGCTCCAAGGAAATCTAAAGGTTTTAGGGCTCTTAGGAGCTTCTAAAGGCTTTCCGACGGCTTCTAGGATTCACTGTATATCGAGTAATTGCTTTCAGGGCTCCTAAGGCTTTAAGGGCCCCAAGGGTTTTTTTTTCACTCTAAATCGAGACTTACCAGATTTCCCAGGGCTTTCTAGGCTCGGAAATTTTGACTTCAATTTCATTGTCGAGGTCCAGTTTTCAAGCTCATCTACTATAAGCTGAAAGTGGATTTTTAATCTGAAAATTTTCAGCAGGATAATCCAAATTTTCTACCGTTTTCAATCGATTTTATCGAAGTTCATGAAAATCCACAAAATTTTCGAAATGTACAAAATCCAAATTCCGTGACATTCTCCAATATTCCCACTAGCTGACACGAGTTAGGCCAATATTAATCCCTTTTTTCCGGTAATCCTTTTGCTGCTACATATTTTTTTTATTTTCACATTATTTTTTCTCAACTCACACAAAAAATGCCTCGTGGCGCCTCGCAAAAAAAGCAATTCCATTCTTTTTGCGGTTGCTAGGTGACACCAGAATCCATTAATTTTTGAGTATATTTTTTCGGCTTTTTTCACTTCGAGCTCTTGAAAAAATACAACTACATACATAGAATCTCTTTTTGGTCAAGTTAACTAGCGGTATCGATCCCAGCACCTTTTGATCAATAGGAGCTGTGGTGTAGCCGGTAACAGTGGTGATTGGGAGACGCTGGTTCAACCCCAGAACGGAACTTTTTTCACATATTGCTGATTAGCTCTCAATCTACCGATCATAAGGTGCTGGGTTCAAACCTAGCTAGCTCCGAACTTTTTTTCTCATTTCTCCAAAAAAAGACTCGAACTCAATTTGCTCTTTCCCTCCCTTTTTTTCAAAAATCGAATTAATGTTTGGTTTCGCTCATTATAAATGTATTACACATAGCATACCGAACAAATTCCAAATGCAAACAATGCTCCGTCTTTACACCATCTTTCGTCATTCTCATTTTGTTTTGACCTACCTACCTACCCACCGGAAAAGCAGCAATTATATGCTTATTTCCACGAAAAAAGTTAACTTGTTTTTCCCCTAGTATTATGTCTTCATATTTTTCTATTTTCAAAAAACACAACACAAAAAAGTTTTGCATTGTCGAAATGGTGGTGTTTACTTAATCGACATTTTTTTTGAAATGAAAAAAGAGTTTGGCTTCATGTTACTTACCCCACTCATCTTTTATTCTTTTCACGATTCAAAGTTCAGCTTTGGAGTTTTCAGATGCGAAAATGCTAGAAGTTCGCAGATCCAGTTTGGTTCGACAAATGGCGTTTCGACAGGATTCGAATGATGTGAGTTTGGGGGAGAAAATTGGTGCGGGTAATAATAGCAAAAAAAAAGTTAAAGTGTAGGCTCTAAAAACTACTATGCTCTTGACTGACGCATTTTTTGTAGCTCAAAATTAGCCTGATAATTCACTGTCTTTCAAAAATAATAGACAATTTTCGAAACGTATAAAATCTTTGATTTCTGATAATGATTTCTGATTATAGGAAATCTAATGAAATCACAAATTTGAATAAATTTTATTCTGATCTTCAGATTCTTGAAATTGAGGTTCGAGATCTTGAGATTTAGGAACTTTCAACATAGTGAAAAACTTTGTTGATGTAGAATTTTACCAACATCTGATTTCAAGCTTCTATTTTGTGGGTTCTCAAAAATTGTGAGCTCTAGACCCCCCCAAACCATATCCCATCTTCCAGACAGAAATCGCGATCCGTCACGGTCATTTGGCGCCTCCCAACACAATTCCCGACTCGCCACGTCCTCAAAAAACCGGAGAGCACCCGCTTGGCACAAGTTCCGGTCTATCTGTAGATGTTCCAAATCCGAACCCGAATTCCAACAAAGAGCCGAAACCAAAAGCAGCCAAAAAATAAGTTTTCTTTCCTTTTTTTTAAATATTTTTTGTATATAGTTTGATTGTCGCAAAAAATGAAATTCATTAAAGGGGGTATACCCTATTGTCTCTCGTGCAAAGTGTGATACATCATTCGATTCAGAATTTTGTGTTATATATGCACAAAAAATTTTAGCTCTCAAAACGCATTCTAAGTACACGTTTTTTGCGTCCAAACAGGACCAAAATCTGCTCGAAATGAAAAAAAGAACACACAAGAAAGAGAGACGCAGACTCTCGCTGTCTGCCAGCCAGCCAGCATGTGTATTGTTTTTTTTTGAATTTTGTGTTCAACAACTACGGTAAGTCTGAAATTACTGTAATAAACTTATAAAAATTAAAAAAAAGAAGAATAAACAATACACATGCTGGCTGGCTGGCAGGCAGCGAGAGTCTGCGTCTCTCTTTCTTGTGTGTTCTTTTTTTTATTTCGAGCAGATTTTGGTCCTGTTTGGACGCAAAAAACTTGTACTTAGAATCCGTTTTGCGAGCTCAAATTTTTTGTGCATATATAACACAAAATTCTGAATTGAATGATGTATCACACTTTGCACGAGAGACAATAGGGTATACCCCCTTTGAATAATCATCACATAAAAAAATAGCAGGCAAGAAAGAAAAATAATTAGTAGTAAGTATTCAAAAAGATCTATGGATTATGTGACCAGAGTGCTTTAAAAAGCATGACAGCAAATGCAATATTTACGCCAATTGCAACAATTAAATGAAGAATTACAATTGTTACGCGGGCTTTTGTTCGTTTTGGAATTTCGATAGGGGCATTCATTATTGGTGTGTTCACGTTGCCTAAAGACATTCCCATTGGTCCGACTGTGAATCGATGCGGTTGAATGCCTTCTGGAAAATTGGAGGACATTTTAGAAGCGGGGTAATACCGGAGGATATTTTTTGGAAGACTCAGACGGATCAGGCCTAATTTTGAAAGTACCTAGTAGGAACAGGGTAACACTGTTTACTAGAAATCGGAAATTTAAAAAGGAATCGAAAAGAATTCTGATATGGTACGATTTTTAAAAGGCGGCAAGTTAGCGTAAGTCAGATCCTCCCCTCCTCTCTGCAAATAACTCACCAATCTTATCTCCCCGATTAGCTACCGTAATAATTTCCAATATAAAATTGCAAGCGATAAAAAATAAAATATAACCCATAACAATCCAATTTGGCGCATGTCCAAACCTCGCATTCAATCCAGTCTTTCCCAACTGCAATGAGAACACAATCGTAGTTGATGCCAAGCCCCATCCAAACATTCCCAAAATCCAGTGAGCCCAATTAAAGATCGGTCGAATTGAGGAAGTTGGTGATGGTCGCAGGAACCCAAAGATTGGTTGAAAAAGGGCTAGAAGTGTTGCAGAGAAGCCGGTGATTGCGTGCATTTTCTTAGAGAAATCATCCGATGTGCATTTATAGGAACATTGATACCAAATCCAACTAGCTTGATAGAATATCAATAAAACACATATCACTTGAATTATCACTGATAATACCATCATATTTCGATGTAGTTGAAACCAAACGGCCGTGCCCAATAGCTTACTTTTGGGGAACAGTGGTTTGAAATATCTGGCGATGAGAATCCCTGTGGATATTAAAACCCACCAGGAGAAAATCAGCAGAATCCCATGCCAGACTGCAATTCGGTATCGCCAATAACGCGTAACGTTTCGGGTTTGACGCATCGCGTCAAGTTTGTATAGCGAGCTAGAGCAATTTGAGTTGCGGCAAAATTCCACTTTTTCATCTGTCATCCAGGGGAATTGAGGACCATCGTTGGTACCGTGAATGTCTTTTTCGAGAGCTGAAAGGGTGTGGACAATTTTAGTTGAGCCTCATTCAAACTCACTGTACTGGTCTGCATTTCCCCGAGCAAAAAGTAAATGCCAACTTCCCTCCTCTAAATCATGAATCATAAATTGCGAAGAGTTCTCAACCAAATGTCGATTATCTAGTAGAAGTTTAGCACTGCAGGTCACAATCCCATCGATGAACGAAGTGGTAGATTCAGTGAGCAAAACAGAAGACGGCTTCAAATTGAGACTTTACAGTATCTACAGAAAAAAATAAACTAACCTGATTCAGCACTTGATTATAGGTCTCATCATTAAAACTAATCTGAACCTTCCCAGCGCCGGTGTGCGGCACAACACACTCCACAACTGTATCATCATCCATCCTCTGATTCATACTGAATCCCAATGCTGCGTAAAACGGCCTTCTCTGATCCAAATCGTTTATCATTGTCTGAAATTGCAGGAATATGCCCTCCGGCAACATTTGCCATTCTACACCAGATATACAATTGTTTTCCGATTCACAGTTTGCTGGATGATACCAGCAAGATCGAGTTACATTACATTGATCGAAATTGAACGATTGAACTAGCTAGAAACTAAATTAATGGAAAGTTTTAAAGAAGAACCTTTACCTTAATACCTAAAAATAATAGAAATATCCGCATTCAATCAAAAACTGCAAAAATTGTTATGTTAAACAAATGACAATGTAAAATATGCGTAAAAATTGGCAGGATTATGAAAATGATCTGTTGTTTCGAAACACTATTAATAATGTAATGTGTATATGAAAAATAAATACACACATATGAAAATAATGAACACTAATCGGAAAATGAAAATAATAAGATATGATCGATTGGATATTGTTATGTATTTTGTCTAGTTGTGTTATGTTTTTTCTGTTGTATGGGAAAAATTTATTATTGTTATTCTTTGGTTTTTTTCTTGGATGGAAATCATAAGAGCGGGAAACCAAAATATTATAATATCAAGGGAAAAAGAAAATAAATTTTGTTTTATGGCTTTATCTAATTTCTGCCTTAAGAAACATTTCTGAAATTGGGTCCGATGATTTTCAACAAAATAATGTATTTCTTGTCCTATTCTCAATTTCCCAAACAAAAAACACGTTTTTTTATTCGACCACGACGCAGTTGTGTCGAGTTTGATCATCGCTTTTAACTATTTAAACCCGACTTTGATATTTTGATAAAGTGTACTTTTATTAACCGATCACATTCGCCTATCACCAGTACTTGGAATAAGTCAACTGTGAATAACTCGTTCGCTGAAGTTGCTCAATTCTAGCCATTCGTGATTTCTGTATCTTATTTATAGAAAAGGTTATAGATATTGGAAGTGCCAAACCAGCGTAGGGAATTGTCTGAAATACTTGGTCTTTTTCCTTTATATCTTTGTCACTCACATAAAACCATAGAACTTTGTGAACACCAGGAAATGCGATTTCAAAAAGTCCATACTTGACAATCACTGCAAGATTAAATGCGTAGATTGATAAGATCAAGGCTTGAGATAGAGCGATTTTAGAGATTGTCAAGGATGAATAAAGATTATTATTGTTGTTGAATCTTGTAGTTAAGCTGAATACTTTTCCCGCATTTTTTTCAATGTTTTGTTGATTTTTGTAGCAGATCCAATAGTTTAAAGGAACACATATTGTAAGACAACCAATTAAAACATAATTAATATTTCTGTTTATAAAAATACGAATTTATATTGGATATCAGAAATTTTTTTAAAAAACTCACAAAGCGACTTTATAACCATCGTATTGTTGCTGAAAACAATTCATTGAACTATAAGGCGATGGTTCAGATGAGGCTAACAATCTAGTCGTTATCAAACTTCCAATAACTCCGAGGATGTATAACAAATAAACATTCATGTATTTTTGAGAGAATTTTGGGGAAAAACAAACACAGGTTAGAAATCTTTCGAAAGTTAGCAAAACTTCGGAATATATTAGGATACATTTTAAGAATACACCAAAAATAAACCATGGAAAACACTCTTGACCATTGAAAAGAATCAAACAAGGATTGGAGGCGTTCATCAAACCTCGAAATAGTGACCAATTTAGGACAACTGCTAGATATATTGCATGAATAATATATGATAGGAGATAGAAACTAAATAGTTTTTGAACAACTTTTGTAAAAATCGCAACTTTTAACATTTTTCGGATTGTTTGGATTGTAAATCCGATGGTTAAATATGTCACTAGGTTGAAAGTAATAACATTTAGTTTGAAAGATAGTGATAGCCTTTCAGCAAGTTTTTCCTCATCAGCACACGACATTCTGAGTGACTAAAATGTGCTCAGTGAAGCTTGATCTGAGTGATGATGAGTTTTCTTGCAAAACTCACACATGGCAACTTTAAAAAATATTCATTTATTCAAAGCACCTTTTGGTCAAAATAATTGTTAATTATCGCTGAAAAATAACACCCGTTTACATAAAATTTAACCCTTAATCATGGATCTAGTGGTTTCAGATCTTTGCTGCTTGATTGCGAAATCGACGCCATTCGAGAAGATATCGATCTTCGCAATCGCTCATAGATCGGTGCACACATTCGCAACGCCACTTCATACGGAGGTGGAGGCTCATCGCGTTCAATCACCAGCTCGGTATCCTCTCCGATCTCTCGATAACCATTTGACCATGCCGAGAATCCACTGATTGATAGAGATCGAGCGGGTCGACGGAGTGATCGACGATTTCGATCTTTTTTCGGAGCCACACCGTCGAAGTTCATACTTTGACTGATTCTCATCTGCGGTCGGGCATTCTGCTCTGCTGGTATCACCTGTTCCTCCGTTGCTCCATAGTTTCTAACCACAATGTGCTCATTGGTGGTCGGAATAAATGGCCTTGGATGGATCAAGGGCTCACGGGGAAGTCGAAGCACCGGATAGTTAGTGGTCGAGTTTGCGGCGGTGTTCTGCATAAGCATTACTTCGCTATACGATGGGACCACAAAGTGTTGCTCGCGGCGGATCAGAGCTTCAAGTTCAATTGTATCAATAGTGGAGGTTCGGGTAAGCGGACCACTGTAGTTGATAGAAGATGGGCTGAAAAAAAAACAGAATGGTGTTGAATGTTGAACAAAAAGCCAACTCTCACCTCAAATAATGTGTTCCAAACAATTTGATAACTTGATACGGCAACACCGCCGTCCTCCACTCCGTATAAATCCTCAACGGCCAACTCAGCACACAAATCGATAACGCCCAGAAAACAATCGGATGCAGGAACCAAGGAGGTGTCGGGCTATTGAATGCCAAGAGTTCCTCGATGAACGCGACTTCCGATAAATCCATCCCCTCCCTAACTTCCATATAATCATCTTTTGTCTCATTATCATTAAAGAATCTGGATCTTTGCTCTTCGAATTCATTTGCAGCTTGCATATTCGCAAAAACAAAAGATCGAGTTAGTCGAATTCTAGTAACTCCAAATTTCTCAACCCCGGTTATAGATTTCGAAATATCCCGAACACCACAAGTATCATAGACAAACATACTTCCAGCTTGATGCGAATTTCAAACGCTCGTAATACACTTGAGTAGCCGGGATCGCGTCACCATTTCGATATCTGGTGATCTGCCGAGTTTTTCGCATATAATGATAACAAACACTTTTCCACCAAACAATTGGTGGGGAAGTTCGGAGGGAGGTGATGTAATTTAGAGCATCTTCCACTCGCACTTTTTTCATGTTAATTATTTTTGTTCGACTATGCCAACATTCCATTAGATAAACGATGTAGAGCATTAGGCCAAAGACGATTGGCACAAAAGTTGTAGCCTTGAGCACAAGGGCCATGTTCATAGCTGTAATAGTGTAAAAGGGTAAAGATGAGTTAGGATAAATTCTAGGCTTCTTAAAAGCTGGGACTAAAATTAGTGGTAATCTTATGCAAATCTTGGGCCAGAATTAATTTCAGGACCCTGAACACGGGAATTTTGAAAAAATGAGAAAGATCAGATTCTGAATTTCGATTGCCACGTGTATTCCCTCAACTCACATCAACAATGGTTTATTGCCCGAATAGGCTTCATGTTTGACGTGGCAAAAAGTGGCATAGAATCCACATAGCACCAAAAGCCACGAGCACATCAAACATTTTCCATAACCGGTCCGCCGCAAAACCCGACAAATATTCGGTCGCCGCGGACGAGCCGCCACATTTTCCACGTGGATTTCCGGAGCCATATCACATGTTTCTATAGGAATATGTAACCAACAAAAATGTTGTTTTTTCCGTGTCTCTGAATCCTAGAAAAAAGGAAAAAATAGGCAATTAGCCAAGTTTTTTGTGTGTGTGAGCCACACACACAAAAAGAGCAGATGGCAAAGGCGCGAGAGGATGAGATAAATTAGTGGAGCACTTTGGAGAGCCCCGCCAGAAAAAAAGTTTTATTTCTGTGTGTTGGCTGGGAAAATAAAGTTGAAAATGATAATGGACTTTGGTTTTGGTTTTGGTGGGGAAATTCTAGAAGTCTGGCAGATATTATGAAACAAATTTAAATTGAAAAATTACCACGTGGATTTGGAGCTTTAGAATTGTTCCAATGGTGTTCTGGAAACTTGAGCCACCTAGAATTTTGAGAATATTTGAGATTGGCTCCAACAGTGATGCAAATTAAACGCGTAAACGTGGAATATCGTTTGAAAAGCAAAAAAAGCATTTTCCCCATGATTTTTGAAAGCGTAAAGCATAGTAGTTTATTTTGAATTTCAACCCCGATACTTCATCTTTACGAGGTTATTTTTTATTGAAAATTTAAATTTCGTGCCAAAAATAGACATGACTTTTTGAACTTTTTTCAAAAAACTTTTTCAAAAAAAGTTCCAAAATTTTAAATCTCAAAAGTAATCTGGGCTTCATAAATTCGAAGATCAAAAAATTCATCTGAAAATCTGTAATATTATACTTCAGATGGAATATTTTCAACAAAAATTTCTTGAAATTTTCTGAAACTGGAGTTCAAAATTTTTCAAAATCCGTATATTTTTCTCAACAAAAAAACCATTTCAAATCCAATTTAACGCCAAAAAAGCCATTTTATTTCATTTCATCTCATTTTATTTTATTTTTATTTTTCTCTGACATCAAAAACAAAACCTTGTGTAGTTCTCTAGGACAACACAAAAAATAGTTTCTTTTTTTCCTTGAAAAAAAAAACAAAACAAAAAAGGAAGAAGTAGGGCTTTTCTTGAAAAGAAGTGAAAAATAAAAAAAATAGTTGCGAGAGGCTTTTTGAACAAAAAAGCAGAAGACTCGCCTCATTTTTTCTTGTGCTTTTCTACTACTTTTTTTGAGAAAAAGAAGAAGAAGGGGAAAAATCGGGGAAAATGGAGAGAAGAAGAAGAATGGAGAAGTGATTTGGTGTCTCCGGGGACACTTTTTTTGATTTGGGATTGGGGTTGGAGTTGGGGTTGGGGTGAAGGATATAAATGGACAAAAAATTGGGTTGGAAATTTTTTTGAATGAAAACTGTGCCAAAATTGAGATATTTTTCACAAAATTTCAGAATTTCAGCCCAAATTTCACTTTTAAAGTTAGAATAAGATACTAAATTTTTAAAACAAAATTTAGAATTTCAAGAACTTCTTGCTGAAAATCAGATTTTTCTGAAAAGCTGAATTTCAATGAGAAATTGGAATTATTCTGGAACCCCGCCGTTTTCTATACGTACAGGTTGTGAAATTTTGAGACTTTTGATTTAAAACATAATTTTAGAGCTGACCTCTGAAATTCAATAAAATCTTGGATTTTTGAGAAATTTCTCCGAAAATCAAAAACCTTGCCAAGATTCTTTCAAAAATCAAAAACATTTTTGGATGAGTGATTTTATGGAAATGATGCTCATTTTTCTTGCTCGCCATCAAAAACCACAATTTTTGGGCCTCCAAAAAAACAAGATTGAAAATAATCTGACTTGAACCAGAACCAAGGCTATCAAATTTCCAAAAAAAAAATCTTTTTTCGTTTTTTTTCGAAAGTGTTCGAAGGGGATCATAATTCATCAATTCCTAAGAACCCAAATCCTTTTTTTTTGCAAAAAAAGAAAAAGAGAAAATATGTATAAAGTTATTATTGTTTTTGTGTTGTTCGCTCGAAAAACAAAAAAAATATCCTTCGACAATGAAAAATAATTTAAAATTCAATGAAAAATTGCTGTATTTTTTTTCGCTTGGCTCGAAAAAATGTCAAATTCCGCTGGGAAAGGAACTTTGATGTATTGAACTTGTCACATTTGGTTTGGTCAACAAAAAGTCACTGGGGATTTTTAAGTGCCAAAAAAAATCTGAAAAAAAAATTCCAGAATTACTGATTTCTGATTCTTCAACATATGTGAAAACAACTGATTATTGTTCATTGAATCTATTTGGTGTGATAAACGGAATGATGACTTGCTAGATTTCTAGCTGCTTCAGAGCCATCAATTCATATCTCATTTAATTGTTTCCAGCAAAACCACATGATTAAGGTATGATTATGATATTATTAGTTATGACTTGATTTGCAAAACCTCATCTTGACTATTAATCATTTGCGACATCATCTGACTTCGGGTAAATTGTTTCATTTATCATCAAAACTTCTCGGAAAACTTAATTTAATCCAACTTCTCGGTTCAACAGAAACCAACTTCGAAGTCAATCCCAGAAGAATCATTTCCAAGAGTTGAGATATCAATGGAAATAGAAATCCTCCAGAGATAACAATTGCTTGCTCACTCAAATCTATAATTAATGTTCATGCAGAATTAGTCAATAAAGTGTCTGAAAATTCACATTTCCGCATTTTTACGATTCAGCGATTTCTCATTCTTTGATTTCCGACATTTTCATTTTCATAATTGCTTTAGTTCATACATGGTAATTATCGTTTATCATTGATATTTCACACCTCTGTTTTTCTGTTATTTTTTTTTTCATTAACTCACAATCAAGCTAGAGAAAATATAATTTCACCTGTTTTGTTCGTTCATTTTTTTATCAGAAAATTCTATTTGCGCGCGGAACAATTTTACTAGGAATTTTCCGTTTTTTGCACTTCGCCTTATTTGATTCAAATGGATTACGAGAACTATATTCTACAACTTCGAACCTCTACAAGTTTCCGCGGCTATGTGATATTTATCAATATTCTGACGACAATTACAATATTTACATCAATTCTGGCTATCAAGAATCTACTAGTGAAGAAACTATTCAACAAACCGACAAATCATTTAATCATTTCGAATATTGTTTGTCAAAATATTCACAATTTTTCGTATTCCTATATTGAGGTGAATCGGGAACACAAGTTTGTGGGCTCCAAAGAAGCTCGAGAATGAATTTTAAGTACCTTGTAGTTTCTAATATGATCCTATTGAACCTATAATTAAACGGTGACATCTAGAATAAGATCTTGTGATTGTGACGATAGCATTTGAGTTTTCAATAGTCAGGACAACCTGGATTTTGTAGCGTTTACCCCCAAAATATGTTATTAAGGTTTCCCTAAATAATCATAAGGGTTCTAAGTTTGGACGTATATTGTACAGGGTGGTCGCGAATTACGGACACAAATTCAATTTGATATTGAAAAAGTCCTAGGTCAGTTAGAAACTTAATCTCGGGCAAAATTATTTCCTTTATAGATTATAAATCACCTAAAAACTTGAAATACTCCAATGTGCATCATTGGAGGTGATTAGATGAGGTTGAACTGAAAAATGGCTGTTCAAAAAATCACGGCCCCTACTTTTACATTATCACCACGATTTCACCAAATGGAGCTACTACCCTAGAATAGTATTACTGTGGGTTCAAAGGTACTATGATATACTAAAAAAGTTTAGATAGAAAAGTTTCAAAAATTATTTTCAGTCATGTTCCAGACTGATGAATTACATAGCTCAAATCGAAAAAATCAGAAAAAAATGACCCAAAAATGAAAAAATTTGATTTTTTCGCGAAATATATGAGAGACTTAAGTAATATTTGTTGTGATTGCGTATAGTAACAGTGAAAACAAGTTTAAATTTCTATATGTACAAAAATGTGCGGTTTGAATCGATTTTAAGCTCAAAATCCTGATTTTCAGCAAAAACCAACCTGTCCCGACAATGTGGGACATAGACAAAGTTCTGAATAATGAACATATAAATATTTACATGAAATAGGGTCAAAAAATGCTCCTGATTAACATAAAATCATTCCCAAAGTTCTATTCTCATTTTTATTTTTGTAAAATCACTCCGAAGAAAAAAAATAATTTTTTGAAAAAGCACCGTGTCAAAAACTGTTTTTGTCTGATTTCGAATTGCTTGAATGGAGCTACACGCATTCCCCGTTACTCAGTGCGCCAGCAAACTGTTTTTGTGTTTGCTTGTTTTTTCTTTCTTTTGTGTGTGTTTCATCAAACACACACACACATTTTTTGATGAAACACACGCCTTGAAACAATCGCAAATAATACCTCTCTCCGGAAGAGTTATGTATAAATTTATATATGAAAATGTAGAGAAAAACGCGAGGAATCTAATGGTATAAGTACTTTTATATCAAAAATTGAAATTAATAATGAAAATTGGGGTAAATGAAGTGATTCAATCGTTTTCGCTGTGAATGCTCAAGTTAAATCATATATTTTCTCGATGTACACCAAATTTCATGAAACATTCGAACCTAACTTTTGTTCAGGAAGTCTTTACGCAGCTTTTAATGTGAATAAATCGTGTTTTAGTCACCTACTTGAATACTTCTCTAAATTGGCGTGAAATTGCCTATGGGAAACGGCTGTTTTTGGCTATTTTCTTCGATTATTTCATATTTTTCTCGAGTAAACGCCAAAATTTCGGTATACCTGATATGAAATGTTGACTAAATGAGTAAATTCAACATTATCCACCAGAAAATAACAAAATATAGTTTCACTTGTAAATTTCGAGAAATTTTCAGACGATTTTTCAATGTCAAGCGAAAAAGGCGTTTGAATGAATGAATTTGAGTTGGAATTTAACAAATCAACATGTAATTAGATTTATTTCATGACTTTAAAAGAAAAACATGAGAAAATGTCCGAATTCAGCTCCAAAATAGACAAAAACTTCCCAAAAACACAGGCGATTTCACGAAAATCTACCGCCCGTTTCAAAATCGAAACCAAAATTGGAGATCGTTATATTTTCTGATACAGAAAAACATGCTGAACAAAAGTTAGGTTGCATTTCTCGAATATTTTTTGGTTTCGAAGAAGAATAGCACCTGTAAAGTACAGGTTTCGGAGACTTTTCTCTTCAGTGGCTATTTTTATCGCTACACTAACTTTTAGACCAGGATCTTTTATATCATTGTATTCCTCGTCATCTCCTCTTTCTTCTCATATATGATTTTGTTTCAAATCCCCGGAAACATAATGAATTATCATGCTTTTGTTATGCGAATTCAATAAAAAAGCGTGAAAGCGAGATAGTGTGTGTGTGAGGGAGGCGCAGACAACAGAGAGAAAACACACACAAATGCGTTACAAGTGAAACTATATTTTGTTATTTTCTGGTGGATAATGTTGAATTTACTCATTTAGTCAACATTTCATATCAGGTATACCGAAATTTTGGCGTTTACTCGAGAAAAATATGAAATAATCGAAGAAAATAGCCAAAAACAGCCGTTTCCCATAGGCAATTTCACGCCAATTTAGAGAAGTATTCAAGTAGGTGACTAAAACACGATTTATTCACATTAAAAGCTGCGTAAAGACTTCCTGAACAAAAGTTAGGTTCGAATGTTTCATGAAATTTGGTGTACATCGAGAAAATATATGATTTAACTTGAGCATTCACAGCGAAAACGATTGAATCACTTCATTTACCCCAATTTTCATTATTAATTTCAATTTTTGATATAAAAGTACTTATACCATTAGATTCCTCGCGTTTTTCTCTACATTTTCATATATAAATTTATACATAACTCTTCCGGAGAGAGGTATTATTTGCGATTGTTTCAAGGCGTGTGTTTCATCAAAAATGTGTGTGTGTGTTTGATGAAACACACACAAAAAGAAAAGAAAAAACAAGCAAACACAAAAACAGTTTGCTGGCGCACTGAGTAACGGGGAATGCGTGAGCTATATAACTATTCTGAAACATGATAAATTGAGGTAGAATTTTTTTGAATTTCAAGTTAACCATACTAGTAACTAAGTTCTGAGACGATATTTTGACATTTATAGTTTAAGACATATAACTAAGGTCCAAAACATTCACAACTCGTTGTGTCCGTAATACGCGACCACCCTGTAGTTGTCTAATCCTTTTCGAGATTTTGAATGGATTTTATACCTTCAAGGTATTAATTAATCCCGTAACCACAGACACCTGTTTTCCAGACCTGGTCACTATATCGCTCCTATGTCTACTCCACCAATCCCAACCTTATCATGTTCCAAAGCGCAGAATGCTATGACTCCCATGTGTTCAACTCTTGCTCCCGAGTTCTATTAATCTTCATAGAAATATCTCTAAACATCGATCGAATCCTATGCACGTTATACCCAAGTTTAGCCCAAACATCTAAACTTTCCTGGATGCTGAATATTCTAACATTCATTTCATCATTTGCAGTTGGTATAATTCTACATATAATTTTTCCACCACCAATTAACACCACGACAAGTTGCTTTAGAGAAACTGATTTGACGATTAATCTGGATGCGTTAGTACATAAGTTATGTCAGTACCCATTTAGAAAATTTTCAGGACAAATTTGTTATTTTATTCATTATCCGCTTGCGTTTGCATGACACTAGATATAATTATGATGACGAATCTGGTCACAAATCAACAGGTTAAAGCATACGACTTGAAATCAAAATACAATCATTTGGAGCGATTTTACTCATTATCAGCAGTCTCATTCATCTCGATAGTTCAGATGGTTTGTACAACTACGTATTCAGTATGTATGTATACAGCGAATCGCTTGAATGAAAAAGTTGCGGATACTATGAATGTCAACACTTTGCGATGGTGCTTTGTGAGTTTTGAAAGTAAAAGGAATAAAATGATGCCTCTTTGAATAATCAAAGGAGGTTTTCTTCTTTGGGAAGAAGCAAGTCCGCAATTATTTTTTTTTTTTGGAAATCCAGCAATTTTCAAAATTCGTATGTTTTTTGATTTCTCCATGGGAAAATATACAATTCTTCGGAAACATTTATGAACCAATTTTGCGGAGAATAATTTGCACATTTTTCATATATTTAATTATATGAATGACTTTTGAGCCATGTTTTGATTTCTCTGATATTTTCGCTCCAGGGGGAATAAGTTCTCCTATTTTTCAAAATCTAGAAAGTTTTTGCGATTTTCTTGCAGCCCTGCTAATTGTCCCTGATCACTAGTTTTTGAACTCGATGACTCTAAATCAGAAATTTCCAGACAACCCCATATAGCTCATTTCTCATCCCAATTCAAATTCTAATATTCATTTGGTGGATCGGACGAAAACGTCGGCGACGAATCTCAGCCGTCCGGAATCAAGTCAACAATCAATCCGACTATTTTAATCGTCTGAGCAGCGCTTGGAAAAAATAACTTGTGTCGCCAGGAGAGAAAGTTAGACAGGTGCAAAACGAGTTGTTTCAAAAAAATATTATATTTCTTGTTGTTCACATTTCACTTACCTACTTATGCTATAACCTATAATCAAACCTTATCGAATAAAAAATTGCTTTTTTTGTTCATTCTCCCAAATACTTAGCTCAATATGTACTGCTTATCTAAAGATCAGGTGGAACTCCAAACTTCATGGATTTTGAAATTCAACATCATCTATTGCACCTTGTTATCATGCGTCACTTTTGTTGGGACATTTGTTGGTGTGAGGTATATGAGAAGGCACCCCATTTTTCATGATGCCACTCAAATGTTATTGTATTTGGCGTTGGTGTTTTGTAATATTCATGATTTGGCGCATATTGGGATTCAGGTGAGGAGATTAGAAAACCAAACTAGAAAAAATGAAAATTTAGGGATTGAGTAGAAGGCAGAAAACCAATTTTATATAACCAAAAACAAATTTATAAATTTGTTTTTGGTAAGGTTCAGTAGATTAGAAAAATAAAATTGTTCCGGATAGATTATAGCTAGAATGTAGTGTTGCTCAGGTTAGAAAATTCAAAATAGATTTATTGCTCATGTTAACAAAAAGGTAAACACATTAATCATATTAAAGTGCAAGCGACATTTACAGCAAAATGTTAAGCTTTGCGAATAGAAAAATCATGATTCATTGCTCATGTTGTAAATTTTGTTGTTGAACACATTTTTTAACCATTACTCAGGTTGTAGATGATTTTAATGATGCATTGCTCATATTAAAGTTTTATTCAAACAGTTCCTGATCCTAATCACTACAACATAATGCATCTCAAATCGATCGTTCTCAATTGCTCATGTAACCCCCCCCCCTCCCCCATAATCAAAAAGTCTGATTCCAGTGGTCAGCCTTATATAAAGTGATCTACTACGCCGATGATTCTTGCTCTCTTTTCTTCGCATTTTCCGAATGTGTCTATCTATCTCGAACCCTTTTCTTATCAATCTGCGTCTTGATATTTTTTCAATCGGCACTCACTATTAATGGGTAAGCGTGCTCTTTTCATCTTCTTCCAAATTTTGCAAGATAAGATCATTTTACAACTTCCCCGTTCCAGACTTATCGCCACGTTTTTTCCCAACGTCTACCATAATCATCGAAAAACCCCTGGATTTATTATGTGTTTTATAGTAGTCTTGATGAGCTTGGCGACAAATTTCATTGTGATAACTCTAGAAGACCAAGAAACCCCCCTCTACAGTCCAAGTTGCCAATTTTTTCCAGCTTCCGCAGGAGCGCGAGCAAATATCTACCTGATTTCCTCAATTTTCATTCTAGTCATCAATTTTCTGATCAATGTTGGCCTATATTTATCAAATAAGTGTGGAAGGGCGCAAATTTACGATATCTCAAAAAAATATCAAAATCTGGAGACAAAATACACCTCAAAAGCTATCTCTTTGCTCTCTTTGGTTCAATTATCAAGCCTTTGTGTTTATTCAGGGGGAACTTATATTTTTCGAACTTTTAAGGATGATATTCCAGTTGCCTACTATCACAACATCGTGATCTGGGTTTATGTAAGAATTTCTCTTGCTTGAAATGTTTTTGAAAAGTTCTTTTCTAGGCCCTTTCCTACGTCACCGCCTCTCTCCCATTGCTCATAATATACTGTATCAGATATGTTCGAAGTCACCGGCGAAAAAAGATCAAAACAATTACAAACCATCAAGAAACCCTTGAATTTCGAATGGGAGAATTGAAAAACATGTGGAGTTAGGGTTGAAAATAGATAAGGAAAAAATGATGATTGTATAAAAGTTTACTTTGGTGATAAAACATTTCTTATTATTTGTATGTATGTTTCAAACTATGCGGCAGAATTTGATATTTTTTATATTTTCAGCGATTTTTGCTAGAGGTTTGGACTGAAAAATACTAGAATAATTTTCATTAAATCGTATCCTATTCAGGTGTTTTCTCACAACTCGCTCAATGTTCAAATAGCGGAACACCTCTCAATTCAACAAATTGTTTGTGCCCCGGTTACACATCTGGCAAGCTCTGTGAAGTTGTGAAATGTCAGCGATGGGGGATTCCTGATCAGGGAAGATGTAGTTGCCCACCGGGTTGGTATGATAAATATTGTGGAATTCGTGGCTGCCGTCCGGTTAATGAGGATAATATGAATCTTGAAAAACGCTCCTTCATTATTGTTTTCAATACAAAAACATCAATGAAATCTCAATTGGAAGGTTTGAAATCAGCGTGGCCTTGGATGATTAATTCGATTATGACAAATCAGAACAGCGGGGTTGCCGAATACTGGATCGAGAATTTCATTTTCTACGGTTTTGTGCAAGGACAAGGAGCTCTCACGATAGTCGAAAGAGTATTCACAAAATCTCAAGATGTTCAAGATTTTTTGAACACTCTTCAATTAACCGATGGTGATGCAGAACAACCAATTTTGACAGCATTGAAAAACGCGCAACAATCGTGAGTTACACTTCAAATTAGAAGACCTTTGTTAACAAAAGAAAATTGCAGAATCCCATCGATGAGATCTCATGCAATAGTTTTGGTATTCACGGATAGCCCAGCCAGCGATGCTCCAGCTCTATCTCATAGATTCATCGACAACAACATCGAGCAACATTGTTTGCAGATTTCCTCGCTATGGAGATCCAAAGTTTCCTTCATTCTAAATCTCCCAGATAACGCTGATTTCTCAAAAGACAGTGTGGATGTCTACCGTAGACTAGCTTCCTCCACACATGGAGATCTTTTCCAAATCAGGAATGCTGCTGACTTGGAAAATGTTCTCAAACACGTGATTGCGTTTTACTATTTCCCCGAAAATGTTCATGTTGGTTACGGGATTAATGGATCGGTGACACTACCTACTTATAAAGATAATGCGGGTGATTATGTTTTCGTTCTCATAACTCAAGATCAATGGGGAATGGGAGATGTTCCGGTTGTTGGAGATGCTATCTCTTGGTCTATTGGCACCACATTTAGCTTATATAATATGATGAATGTGAATCTTATCAAAATTGCGCCAAAAGTATACACCAATTACAACTATCGAGTATTCATTCAATCCAAGAAAACCGTAATGTTTGCTTATAACGATGATATGAATATTGATTTTGGAAACTCGATTGTTGTCAAGAATATTTCAATGACATCAACTATTCGAACTTTTGGATTTGATAATATTATCAATAACACTTATCAAGTCAATGATTTGCAAAATAATCTACTTCGCGAGAGTTATAGCGCAAAACTTCGGCCACAAACCGATTGCACAGTTGATTATTATTTTGAAGCATGGGAGAATACCTATCTCTGCCCTTCCGGACCAATCACGTGGGTTTACTAATAGTCATTGTGGAATCGAAAAGTTAAACATATTTCAGACAAGTTCACAATTTCTACCTGTCCAATGTGACACATCAAAGAGTTACTCCAGCATATTGTATTGATGGTGAGTTGAGTAAATTTAAAATTGTTGAAATTAAATAAGATTTGCAGCCGCTCACTTTTACCCGCAAGCTACTAATAAAGCAAAAACATTCTTCAAAAACACTTTACCTTATCCACCAAAAACTGAACTGAATTATGATTTGAATCGGGACGAAGATACGATAACTCCCTTGATCACATGTGATTCGAAAAACTATAAAGTTGTGAATGACCCTCGCCTCACAACTTCCAATCAATTTATATTTATTCTGGAGCAACATCTGAATAACTCTGCTACCTATCAGCAACTTGTTTTGGATATCGAAAACATTGTGAACTTGGTTGATACCGATAAAAATTTGAGGAAAAAGGAGTTCACTTTAATTATTCATGATGACAAAGTCTCGCGGGTCTTAATCAGCACCTATTCTCCAACAAATTTTGTGACTTTTTTCAAAACCGCTGTTCAAAACCTCCCATACGTGGCAAACCTTGACAACACTCTTGGTCTCCACTCAATTGTTCAAGCTCAAAAAATTGTGCTTCAACCAACCGCCCAAATCTTTTATTTCACTAATCAAGCCGTCAAAAATGTGCAAAACATCTCAAGACCTTGGGATATCGTGGATCGAAATGTGGAAGTCAATTTCTTCACAATTGCCGATGGTGTGACTACAGAAATTTTCGCCTTGCCAAAAGAGTTAGAACTTGTGCAAAAAATGAGCAATGGTCGAACTATTCCGTTAGGCGGAATACTTGGATCATTGTACGGAATTTTTGCTGATATGGTTTTTGAAACTGCGTTGACAACCGATCATGAAAAATACAATTGTCACGATTTAATATTCAATGTTGATGCTTATATGGAACGTGACGCAACTAACGCAGTAGTTCAAGTTGTGGGAACCGGTATAACAACGATTCGTATGTTTACTCCAGATGGAATGATTTTTGATCACACAAAATATGTGACTTATACAAATGGAAATTTCGCTTCAATTAACATCGGTGAGTCATGATTTTGCAGAATGAATGAAGATTTTTGTACTTCAGACCTGACGAAGGAACAAAAAGGTTTATGGCATATCGGAGCTCAAACAACTCGAGGAGGTTGTCAAATCACTGTCCGTCACAAAACCACAACTGGTGTGATCATGGGTTTTGCCAATTCGAGCTTTGTCGATGTCGCTGATTCCCAAATCCCACTTCAACGAACCAACGAGGCAAATCAAACTCTAACTATTCCTATCAGAGTAACCAATCAACTTCTAACCTTTACAGCTAATCTACAAATCGGTGAGAACTTTGATTTTGAAAAACTTCAATAAAAAATATGTTCTAGAACTCGTGAATCGTCAGCGCTACGATATGCCAGTGTTTTTCACCAACACAACTGTTATGCTAAGAGATGACGTGTCATGCGCCTTTAATTTGATGTCAGCGAGAATCCAGGTTCCAAAACAAGACCTGACTCTATGGACACTCACGGGGTATGCTACAAATGGAGATGTGGTTTTGAGACGGGTATTTTATTATTATCAACATATTCCAGCAGGTAATTAGGTTTCTTAAAATTGGAAATTTTTAGTGACAATTTTGTTATCACAAAAAAGTTCATCCGATTAAAAGTTTTAAAAAAATAGCCGAAGAGTGTGAAAATATAACTTCATGATAACATTTACTTATCTCCGTGACTCAAAAAAAATCAGGAAATTATACGTTTCAACAATTTTCTTTATAAAATCAATCACTCACAAGTTCATTTCCACTTTGCCAAAATCCAAAATCAAAACCTCTCAGACTCCTCAATCTGCAATGGTGGTCAAGTCGATGCTCTCGGCAACTGTGTTTGCTCCGAAGGTCATACCGGCGAGTATTGTTGGGACCGATTCTGTGTGAACGGCGCCACTCTCAACAATCACATTTGTAACTGTGTTCCAGGATTTTATGGTGATTTTTGTGAGAAGGAACTTTTGGTGCCAAATTGGAATAGCTCTACAACATCATCAACAACATCTACAATCCAAACAACAACAAGTTTGACATCTAGAATTTCGATTTCAAATTCAATAATCCTTCTTGTAATCTCGCTCATATTCTTGCTCTAGCCAAAAAATGCCTAACAAACCCCCTAAAATATATGATGAAGAAGACTCTTGACTTTTTTTTGCCTCCTTTCATAACATTCCTTTGTCTCCTATTGCAAATGCGCGAGAGTCGCGCACAAAAAATGCGAGCGCAAACACAGAATGACCACTGACTGACTGACCGGTTCGCCTCTCGTTTTTTTCTGCCTTGCCAATCCAAGAATTCGAGAGAGAGAGAGAGAGAGAGCTTATCTTTTTTCTTTCGGCACAGTTGAATCATCATTGTTAATTAAATAATTTCGATAAATTGAATGATAAGACGATGAAAAAAATGAATTGAGAATGATAGAATGAATGCAGAAAAAAATGCGGAAGAGGTGAGGCCAAACGGATGTTGCCATTTGTTTGAGTTTGTTTAATAGGTGGTTGAGGTGGGGCATGCGAACAAACAACATCTACATTTTATTGTGTGTGCTTGTGTGTGTATTTTGTTTACAGGTGCTCTTTAATAGTCAGCATGTGGAACATGAAACTTTTGAACTTTTGAGGAAGTTCACTGAAAAAACCACAATCTCATATTAAGAACGAGCTTAGGAGAAGAAGTCATAATTCAAAACTAAAAACTTCGAGGAACATCGCTGTTCATAGAAACCAGACGTGTTATGACGTGGCACACTTGAATTGGAGCTTGGTTTTTAGTTTGAAACTTGACTTATATGTAGCTTGAACAACATCTACAAGTTCTAGAATTTAAGGTCACACATTTATTTAGCTCAATACCTGAACTGCAGCTTGATCCACAGCTATATCGATAGAAGTTCCAGAAATTCATCCCACATCTACATATATTTTGGCTTTGAACCGAGTTATGACGTGGAAACATTTAATCTGAGCAATCATCAGTTAGAAAAATCTAGACCCTCCCCAATGTTGCTCCCGGAAGAAAATGCACCTCAATCCCTCAAACACACACACTAGATTCAATAAATAAATAAATAATCGAACCAATAAAGGTGTGATTTCCTTCCTCTCTTTTTCTAGAACTCACAAGTAAACACCAACAATCTTGTAACTTTGCTCTCAATCTGGACCGGTTATTTAGTAAGACATGACTCATTTTCAATTTTGTGACAGACATCTTTGATCATTAATTCGATGAGTCATATGAGAAGCTGGAAGCTTCAAGCTAGATTCCAGTTGTCTAAATATTGCATAATATGAACATGACATTTATGAAGAACATAGTGTGCACTTGAATTATCATCTTGAGAATCGAGCATTTTTTTCTTGTTGTTTTTCGTGAGAGAACACATCTTTTTATAGCGATGTTCGTGGCTAAAAATAGATTTTTTGACAAGAAAAAAAAGATGGATGATTGGTTTTTGAGATTTCTAGAAATATCAACAAAAAAACATGCCACGTGGATTCGGAAAATCTTGGGAATTTGAACAAACTAGTGAAAAAATCAACTTTTTTGAAATTGGGAAGCTGGAAGTCAAAATTCAGCATCGACGTGGATTACAGAATCAAGTTCGAAGTTCAACATTTACGTGGAGTTTGGGGAGATGAACTTTGACACGGATAACTACACGTGGAAAAGATTTCAACATGGATCAAGCTACGTGGATTTTCTGAACTCATCACGTTTTGTCGAGAACTCGAAAACCTTTGGAACTCAACAATCTGAACTCTGCGTGGGTTCTCAGAAAATTCACAAATTCCCAAAAATCAAACAAGCAACTCTGGGTTCGTAGGACAAGTTTTTTCAGAACACACATTCCATTGATCTCTTGCAACATCAATCTATTGAATGATAATAAACATTACATTATATCCGTAAGTTACGTCACACGCAGACGGCAAAAAATAAATAGTGAATCTCTATCACTCACTATCACTCATCCTGGAACCCTCCAAAAAATTCTCTGTGTACGCGCGCGCTTTTTGTGTGTTTCGAACGTAAGAGCTCTGGGCAGGGAGCAAGGGCGGAGACGACCGCGCGGAGAGTGCTAGCGCGCGCCGACCGTATATAACAACAGTGTTGGCAGCCAGTCACCTCACATTTCCCCAGTTCTTCCTTTTTCTCTTCTCATTTTTATTACACTTTCTGTTTTCTTGTATTCTTATTGAAATGGCAGCCCGCAGAGCTTGTGTTTTTGCCATCTTTGCCCTTTTGGCCATCTCGAGCACTTTTGCTGAAGAGGAAACTGCCAAGGTTGGTTTTTTTATGGGGTGCGGGATTTGTGGGGTGAAAATGCATAGGTTAGGTTTTTTGCAAAAATTTTAGAAAATTCTGGATACGTGATTTCTAAAATCCTGAGTTCAACCTTATTTTCCCAATTCCAATCATACGATCCAAGTTTCTAGATCTTGCAACTCTAAAATTCAGTTGAGAATTTTTAGCTCCTTAGAAATTTGTGCCACATTTTTTAAATGTATTTAGGCCTGAGCCCAAATGGGTGCCTAAGCCTAAACCCAGCAAAAATTCAGGCACTGCTAGATCTTTTGATCAAAATTCCAAAAATTACTCACTCAAAGATCAAAATCTGCCATCCCCATCTATGACACAATGTTATTATTAGCTCCAGGAGCCGCGGGTGCTCGCGCTCTAAACTCCACCACTATACACATAAACAATATATAACGCGACTAATCCTTCATTGCGATATTTGTTTTCTTTGCGCTTTGTTTATCTCGCCTCAATTATGAGCGCGCAAGAGGGCAGCCAACTAAAATTAGCCGCGCGCACTTGCGCGGACAAAAACAAACACACACACCGCAAAAAAAACAACACTACTTATCTTTCCAGAACGAGACCGGAATCGCGTTGTCGCGTGCCAAACGTCAATGTTGTTCATCATCGTCGAGCTCGTGTTGTGGAAGTAGCAACAATGTTCAATGCATTCCAGTCTGTCTTCAACAATGCCAATCGTCGTGCCAAACTTCGTCTTGCATTCAACAATGTCAACCAGCTTGCCAACAACAATGTGGAGGAAGTCAAGTAAGTTAGATATTAAGATCTGAGATCTGTTAAACTTCCACACATTTTTGGAATTCGACAGGAAACCTGATTGAAAATCTTTGCAGGTAATCCTTCTCCCACAAACCAGCAGCTGCAACCAATGCCAATCCCAATGTATCAGCTCATGCGCCACCCCAATCTGCGCCCAATCTTGCTCGAACACCTGTGCTAGCTCATGCGGAAACTCGGCCCCACAAATCATCGTTCTTCCACAACAAAACCAATGCAGCTCGTGCCAATCATCATGCTCTTCATCATGCCCAACCTGCAACTGTCAATCGGCTTGCGCTCCAGCCTGCGGAAACAATAACCAACAAATCATCGTCGTCCAACAAGACAACTCTTGCTCATCCAACTGCAACAACCAATGTTCGTCGTCTTGCTCGACCCCAATCTGCATCCAATCGTGCCAATCATCCTGCCAACAAGCTTGTCAACCAACCTGTGTTCCACAATGTATGCCATCCTGCTCAAGCTCTTGCACATCCAACCAAGCCCCAATTGTCATCGTCGCTCAATCAGGAGACTCGTGCTCGAACTCTTGCTCAAACCAATGTCAATCTGCTTGCCCAACACCAATCTGCGTTCAACAATGTAACTCACAATGCCAATCGCAATGCAACTCCTGCTCGGGAAGCTCGTGCAACCAACAACAAGTCATTGTTCTTCAACAACAAGACAGTTGCCAAAACTCATGCCAATCATCATGCATGAACACTTGCCAACAATCCGCCACAATTCTCCAATGTCAACCAATCTGTCAACAAACCTGCCAATCCACCTGCCAACAAGCCGCCCAAATCGTCGTTCCATGTCAATCCAGCTCCTCTGGATGTGGATGCTCAAGCGGATATTCACAATGCGGTGGATCATGCTGTCGTCGTCGTTAAGACCGATTCTACTACGATTAATTTCAAGAAAAAAATCCGAGTTTTGGATTGAATCAAGTATACGCATGTCTTTATGCGAAACTTCTACTTCTCTCCTTTTTTAGTTTCTCTCTCCCGTCTCACACAAAATTCATCTCATTTTGTCTGTATATAAAACGCGCTTGAATTGTCTAGCTGTGTGAGATACCTTTTTCCTATATTATTATTTTATATATTTTATTTTTATTCATCACAAAATTTATATATTTGATTGTCCAATTCATTTTTTGACAATAAATAATTTTATTTTGAAAAAAAAAACCTACTTGCTCTAAAAACATTAGTAGAAAGTTCAAGGCTTGTATCCCTTGAAAGTGAGACAAAACATAATCTTTGTCTGATAGAAGTCGAAGAACTAGTTGAAAACAAATCGGAATGTGGAATATTAAAAAAAAAAACTATAAAAACAATAGAAAAAATGAAAAAAAAATAAAATTTTAAAGGATTTTCCTCTTTTTCCACAAGCCCTGGCTTGTGAGCAATCTCGTCTCAAATTATACATCATACAAATATACCCCAAACTTACCTTATATAATTTAACACAAATCACTGTGTTCTTTCACCCAAAACCAAACCCAAAAAAACCCATTAAACTAACCTGACATGAGTTGCAGTTGTATAAAAACCAAATCCTCAAATGCATTTTGTTTTCATCATTGAAATTGGAGTGGGCAACCAACATCGGCTCACAATTCCGAATTCTCAAGCAATCTGGAATTTCTCTGGGTCATAGAAAGAAAAATAAACTCCCTCTTACCTTTAATTTAGAGCTCTCAATGAAGACATGCCGATTACAAAATACAATATTTCAAGAATTGAGAGTCCAACCTGAAAAAAAAGAGGTCGAGCGTGATTTTTTTCGAATTTTTATTCTTAAAATAAAATAACGTGAACACTTTTTTCGAAAAAATAAAAAATTCATTTCAAAAATGTTTTTTTTGAAATGTTCGTGCGAAATCACTGAAAATGTGTTTTTTTTTCAAAATGGGCTAACTTTGAGGAAGGATCACATAAAAAGTATACAAAAATAGAAAAAAGTATACCAAAATAGAAAAAAATATAAAAAGTACACAAAAATAGAAAATGTATTGAAGTTGTTTACTTTTACAACGACACTCCGCCGCTTGCCCGCTGTTTAGCGCAACATGAAAATATTTTCATTTTTTGTTTTTTTTCGCTGGGTTTTCAGGTTTCCCGGAAAAATCAGTGGATTTCAGTCAAAAATTGAATTTTTAGATGTTCTACAAGGTTGGAATTATCGCTTCCAACGGAAAATTCGAGGATTATCGAAGAAAGGTGGGTTTTTTCTAGAGAAACACTGTTTCGATCAAAATTTTTGAGTTTTCAGGGTCAAAAATGATTTTAAATGTGAGGAGAACGATTATTGGTTGAATTTGAAGCGACTTTTCATGAAAAAAATCATCGGATTTCATAAAACTTGTTGAGGTTGTACTTGATTTTTTCATCAAAAATCGAATGAAAATGGGATTGGGTAAGATTTTTCTGTTCACTAAAAAAATAATTTTTACTCAAAAAGTCTTCCATAAAAATTGAACACCAAACTACAAAAAAAGCAAAAAAAAATGAATAGATCCAACTAGGTCCAACTTAAGTTTAGTTTAACCTTTATTCAAAACAACAAAAAAACAGTTTCTCTCTTCTTCTCTCGTGCTCTCTCTTGCTGCCTCACTCTCTCTCTCTTCCTCATTCCGCGCTCATTTTCTTATTTGAAAAATTTTATCGTAAATTTCGTTGGGTTTTCAAGTTTCCGGGGAAAATCAGTGGATTTCAGTCAAAAATTAAGTTTTTAGATGTTCTACAAGTCTGGAATTATCGCTTCCAACGGAAAAATCGAAGATTATCGAATAAAGGTGAGTTTTTTTTAGAGATAAACTGTTTTGATTAAAAATTTTTCATGAAAAATTCAAATTTTCTGATTTTCAGCTTGAAATATTGATGGACAATTGAATTTCAATGTCAATAACGTGGAAAACGTGGAGGATTTCGGATTTATCAAGGATTTTGATTGGGAATTTCGAATTTTCGATGATTTTTGTGTGATTTGAGAAATAGAAGCGATTGGTGAGTTTTTTGGGGAGGGATTTCGAAAAAAATTGAAAAAATCGATAAAAAATTCTGTAAAATTTGAAAAAAATAGAAAAAATAGAAAAAAGTTAGGCTAACTCTTCAAAATCTAGTTCAACTAAAACCTAGAAAAATAAAGAAAACTCACAACTCAATTCAAAATTTCTCTGAGGTTGGCGCGTTTTGTGTTCGCTTATTTTTTAACAAGAATGTTTCTAAATTCCTAAATTCAGAGCTTACGACAAAAAAAATTAAAAATTATATTCCAAAAAATGATTTTTAACGTGAAAATTTTGCAAATCATTTCAAGAAAAAATATTTCATATCATTTTATCACAAGCTATGTCTAGTCTCCACAGCCAAACTATTGTCTCGAATAAATTCCGGATCATTAGACTTCGATCTTTTCCGATTCCGCTCTCTTGTTTCACTACTTCTATGACATCCACCATACCAAGGATCTCTTTTCGAAGATCCCATTCCCGCAAAAACATCAGCCATCTCGTTTCCAGGATCTCCTTCATGAGCATAAACGTGTTGAAATTCAACTTTTGATAACTCTTCGCAAATATCTAGAATCTCTTTAGCAATTCCAGAAAATTGTGAGAAATCACGATTTTTCAGTGCCACAATCACATTTCGATTGTCAGTTCTAACAATAACCGGGTCGTTTTCATGATAACCCTCCCAATTTCGCAGATTTTCCAGTGCCGTTTTCACCGCAAGAAATTCAGCGTATTGATTATTCTGAATTGCTCCTCGAATCTTTTGCGATCTATTCAGCGGATGATCTGGCCCCATAAAAATACCAATTCCAGATTTTCCTTCCCATTTCAAATACGATCCATCTGTGTAAATCACATGAGTTCCTTTGGGAATCTTCTCATTCCAAACATCGTGATTCGCGTTTTTCATACGATCCAGGAAATTGGTTTCATGGCTTTTCGAGCGGCTACGATCAAGTTTACCGGATCTCTGGAAAACATCTATGTTTTTTTTAAAGAAGAAGGTTTATAGTCTCACATTAGTTGGGCTAAGTACAGTACTCTGCGCATTGATATTGTTGCGTTGTGTGCGGTCTCTTCCACGTTCTCTAGGTTGTCTGGATGGATTTGGGCTCGGGCTTCGATATCTAGATTGACTTCTAGATGATTTCGTTGATTTTCCACAAGAAGATCTTGTGGTTGTTGGTTCAGATGATCTAGTTGATTTTCCACAAGAAGATCTTGTTGGTTCAGATGATCTAGTTGTCACAGAAGATCGGGTGGTTCCAGAAGTTCGAGAAACGCAAGATTCGTCTGAACAATCTATTTTTTCAAAATTTTCGCCAAACACAAACTTACAAGACGAGCTTCTATAACCATAAGTCACACTCGATTCAGATCTGGTTCTTCTCTCACTTTGCAATGAATTCCTCGCCGCACCTCGTGGTTTTCTCAAAAACACGCCAAAATTGCGAAACCAGCGGAACATTTTCAATTAGTTCTTTGTATTACAATATCTAAAAATGAGCCCGAAATCTTTGAATTTCTATTTTCACGTCAAAAAAAAATTCAAAAAAAAAATTTTTATTTTCATAACATCAAAGGCTACGTCTCGATTCCACTGACACACTGTAATCTCGAATAATTTGTGGATCATTGGATTTTGATCTTTGACGATTTCTCTCGCGCGAAACACTACTTCTATGCCAGTTACTACTCAGATTGGTCTTCGATGTTGCCATTCCCGCAAAAATATCTGCCATTTCGTTTCCTGGGTCGCCGGCATGCGCATAGACGTGTTGAAATTCAACTTTTTTGAAATTTTGGCAAAGATCGAGAATATCTCTAGCAATTTCTGGATATTGTGAAGAATAGGGATTCTTCACTCCTTTGATCACATTCAGATTATCGGTTCTCACAATAACTGGTTCATTTTTACGATAGCCATTCCAGTTGCGCAAATTCTCCAGACCCGTTTTCACCGCAAGAAATTCAGCGTATTGATTATTCTGAATTGCTCCTCTGATCTTTTGCGATCTATTCAGCGGATGATCTGGCCCCATAAATATTCCGATTCCAGATTTTCCTTCTCTTCTCAAATAAGATCCATCTGTATAAATCACATGAGTTCCTTTGGGAATTTTTTCATTCCAAACATTGTGATTTGCATTATTCATACGATCTTGGAAATTCTTTTCGTGACTTCTAGAACGGCTACGATCAAGTTTACCGGATCTCTGAAAAACATCTATGTTTTTTGGGGGGAAGAGTACTGTAGGTCAAGTCAGCTTACGTTAGTTGGGCTAAGTCGAGTAGTTTCCGCATTCACATTGTTTCGTTGCGTGCGGTCTCTTCCGCGTTCCCTGCGTTGCGAGACAGATCTGGGATTTGGGCTTGGACTACGATTTCTCATGCATCCTCTAGATCTTGTCGCCGATCTTCCAGTAGATCTTGTAGAAGTTGGTTCAAGACTAGAAGATCTCGTTGTGGTTGGAGCTTGGCTTGAAGACCCAGTTGACATCGAAGCTTGACTCGAAGATCCGGTAGAATTTGTAGAATTTCTAGCCTTCCTGGATTTTGTGGAAGTTCCCATAGATCTAGCTTGCCTAGATGATCTTGTGCTTCTACCATAGCTTGATCTTCCAGTTGATCTTGTCGATGTTGCAGCTTGGCTAGATGACTTTGTAGACTTTCTCGATCTTGCAGTTGATCTCGTTGACTTCCCGGCTCTTGTTGATCTGGTAGATCTTCCAACTGATCTAGTCGAAGGTGGTGCAGAAGATCTTGTAGTTCCACCATAGGAACTTCCAGATTTTGTTGATTTAGTCGACTTCCCGGTGGCTCTTGTTGATCTGGTAGATCTTCCAGCTGATCTAGTCGAAGCTGGTGCAGAAGATCTTGTAGTTCCACCATACGAACTTCCAGATCCTGTTGATCTTCCCGTTGTTCCAGAACTTCTAGACACATTGGATGAAGCGCGAGAGCCAACTGAAAAAAATGAATTCGATTTTTTATACTGTAGTTCATGCTGTAGCTTGAGAAGAAGCTTATGATATATTTTAGCTAACTTACAAGAAGAACTTGTTACACTTCTGCCAGTTCCACTAGAATAATTTGATCCAGATCTTCCGCCACCGTGGCCTGAACTATGTCCACCTCCGCCACGACCTCCTCCGCCATGTCCCCCTCCGCCATGTCCCCCTCCGCCATGTCCACCTCCGCCATGTCCGCCTCCGCCACCTCCTTTTCCACCCTGACTCCTTTCTTCCACCCGTCTCTCACTGTGCAACGAATTCCGCGCGGCGCCACGTGGCTTCTTCAAAAACACTCCAACGTTACGAAACCAGCGAAACATTTTCTTCCAGTTATTTTCGAGTAGTAGATTTATCTAAAAATGCCCGATTTTTCACCCGCTTTTATTTTTTTTCTCGCAATTTTTTTTCTCGAAAATATAGTTCACGTCCCATTCCTTTTTTTTGAAGAAAGAGAAAAAAATTAATAATTGGCAACAATTTTGGGAAAGAATGTGCATGATGAATATTATTCCAACAAGGAATTCTTATATTTTCGATTTTTTTGTGTAGCCATCGGAAATAATACAAGTGGCAACATATTCGAGAATTTCCAGAGAGCTCGAAAATTTCTATGTTTTATTTTTTTATATTTTTGGCCGCTTATCTAAGCTTAACACTACTCTTTTTACATTTGATACTCAGTCAAGAAAATAGGTACGCAGCCAAATGTTCTTGTAGGAAACTTAGCTACGTGGCGCAAAACTTTGAAAATTTGGAATTCACTGAGATTCGGGATAAATATGGTCAATTCATTTGAACAATTTCAGAAATTCAAAAAAATCAAAACGTTAGTCAAAACTTTTTCCAGTTCAAACTGAAATTTTGGACCATCTTCCAGCTAAAAAGTTCCAAGTTTTCTATTTTTTTTAGATTTTTAAAGCTTTGATTTTTGGCTGAAACGCTGACTTGCGCTAACTTGGAAAAAATCCCAGATTTACCAGCCTAAAAAATCTCGAGTTCCTTTTCTAACACCTCTTGAACAATCTCCAACTCCTCTAATTTTTTCTGTAAATTTCTACTCCTCTCTCCAACTTCCAGATGTCAAAAATCAACGACTCCGCAATAATCGACGATCAAATGATCGAAACTCTCACCGAATACGTCTCCTTCCACCGAATGAACGTCTTCTTCGGCACAGTCTGCTTCTCCCTCAACATCCTCCTATTTGCAGTCTTCCTCTCCGCTCCAGCCCTTCGTCGAAAACATCGCAACAAGATTCTAATGATTTTGGGGCTCGCCGACACCTTCAACACACTCGCCATCCTATTTATGGGCAAAAATCGTGTTGAATTGTATACGGATATCATTGAGAATCGTGTGATTTATGTGAAGACAGCTTGGGAATGTGCCATTGAGCCGTGGTTGATTCTACGAGGAATCGGAGATATTTGGCCGCCTGTTGTTCAGATGATTATTGGGATTCAGAGGGCGCTGGCGGTTTTTACACCCATTTGGTTTCATAAACATGGAAGAAATCGGTCTGTTGTGAAACTTTTTCTGAAAGCTGAAAAATTCAAAATTTTCCAGCTCAACATTCCTATTCTTCTCCACACTTCTAATATTATTCCCTGCTCAAATAACCGGCTACGTTATAGCCTATCTCAATCGCGATGTATATGTAAGCTTTTAAGGTTTTTCAAAAGTCAAAACTTTTTCCCTCTACAGGTTCAATATTTCTGCGGGAGAAAGGAAGCTTTTGGTCGGGATTACGCTTCATTTATCTACGGCATTAATTTATTTGGATATCTCTTTAGTTTTGGTCTGAATTGTATAACAATGAAGAAGGCATCATCAACGGTGAATAAGTGAGTTAGGCTAACTATCACTCTTGATCTTTACAACCCTAAGTTCTAGGCTTGTTCAAAAACAAATCTACAATGTTCGATATAGCTTGGTCATCTCATTCATCTCATTTATCCTTGTCTCAATACCCAATGCAATTTCCTTATTCTCGATTCATGTTTGGGAAGTGGATAGTCTAATCGCGAAACCTTCGACCTATTTCACTTGCATCAATTCAGGCATCAATATTTTCGTCTACCTCGCTTTGAATACCGAATTTCGAAATCAGTTTCGAGTTATGTTTTGTGTCAAGAAACGTGTTGGTACATTTGGCGAAGCGGAAAAATATACAGTTAAATCGAACGGTGAAATTGATGCTGTACAATTTCACTCCACTGTTCGCTGAATTTTTTTTGAGTAAAAAAATGAAATAAAATAGTTTTATGTCCATTGGCGAGTTAGATAAGTTCGATAAGTTTCACTAGCAATTTTTCCATTCGACTGAATTGTAACCATATTTGTCAATGATTCTATCCGAGTTTGTCTCAATTTTTGTAAATAACATCCAGAGAACATTGGAATTATCACAGCTGCCACGTGGTGAGGATAAACTAGTAATTTGATTGTAGAGTAGAAACCCAAGTTCTGATTTACAAAGTCGTTGTCTCTCAAGTTTCTCAGAATCATGATAGAGACAGTGAAAAATATTGTGACGAATAAATTGCTGAATAACACGGTAGACATTATATGACTAGTCACAATGTTTTCAGCAATCTGGTAGCGAGTTGTAAGCCGAAACTGATAACTGAAAATATTTTTTTTCTGTAAACAATTCCTAAGTTATGATAACTCACATTGTCTTTTTCCTCTTATTGATATATCTTGTATAGAATGTTATAATTAACGCAGAGACCACGAAGAGCATCCCAATCACAAATAGAATATTGATTTTTTGTTGTGCACTGATTGGTGCAACCAAAGGGAAAAGTTGGGGTTGCTCGAAATTCTCATCATAATACGCCCATTGAATAAATGCTACAGGTAGGAAAAATATAATTGCAAAAAACATCCAAAGCGTCAATTTAGAATTTTCGTTTTCATACTTGCTAACTCGAATGGTTGCGATAACTCGCTCCACACATATCAGAAATTCTGATAAGATCTGAACGTTTAACGTGAAGCAAATCAGGAGATGTAGAATTATATAAGTGTTACGATCCATAAACGCATCAAGAGCATTTTCGTAGAAAAAAACGCGATAGAAAAGTGAGCCAACACTTGCCAAAAATATGCAACTATGCAGAATTGAATTGAGGAAATAGATTGTTAGCAGGGTCTGAAAACATAGTGATTTAATTATATTTTGCGTATGTGTTTTAATGATTCCTAATTAGATATATCTGGTTTCAAGAAATGTGAATAATTCAGGGTTGAAAGCAAAACACATTTTTGGAATTTTCAGAATTGCGGGGGAAAAGGTTTTAAATATAATCTGCTTTATCAAAAGCTTAAAATATATTTCAGAAATTTCAGACAGCTGAAACTTTTCAGGTTTAATTTTGAAAATATCACATTCCACGTGGATTTATATAGAAAAACAATTTGACACATGTCAAGGGCTTTCGAAACAAATTTCCTAATTTTGAAAAAAAATTGTAACTTTTTTTGATACATACTTTGAGTCTGAATATTTCATAGAAACCCTATAGAATCGCAGACATCCTAACCCTACCTGCTACGTGGCAAATCCTAACCTTAAAATTCCTGTGCAACGGCGAAGGCCTAATAAATACTAGCAGAAAATGTGTGACCGACAAAATCGAGGCGATGGCAAAAAACACTTGACACCCGATCATCGCTTGAAAAGGACGATAGAAAATTGTATTTATACACTGGAAGAAAACATTTTTTCAGAGTTTATTTCCAAAAAAAACAAACCTCTAAACATGGCCGCGAGTCATTCATCTGAAAAAAATCCATTATCTTTTAGAACAGAAAAGAACTGGTTGAAAAAAACAAAAAAGGGAAAAGCTCCGCCCACTTTTTTTTCAGAGGAGATGTTGTTTTTGCGGAAAAATGCACTCAAACTGAAAATATCATGTTTCACAGCTCTTTTAGTTCCTGCCTGCTTGTTACATGAATTTAATTGAAGTTCGGAAACGGAAAGGGAAATTTTTTCAGAAAAAAATTGGATTAGACTTTGAGATTTCATGCGTATGACACATTTTTTCTCTCAAATTTTTTAATAATTAAAATTTTGAATAGAAAGAAGTGAAGTGCAAATAGAGGGGAAATGAAGCCTCATCTAATTGGGAAGAAATTATTTTTCACAGCGGAATTTTTTTCAGAGAAAATATGTATGCTATAATTATATACATATTTGAAAACAATGTCTGTTCAAAGAAAAACAAAAAAAAAGAGGCAGATTTTGATGTCTATGATCAGTTAAATAATTTATTAATAAATAGTGCTTCACAATTTCTAGAAAAAAAAAGAATTATGTGCAGAATCCGCAAGTTTTTCTACATTGAACTTGCATTAATGAAAGGTAGATAGCATTTGTACAATAGGCAACACGATTCGGACAATCGGAAATACCAGTTGATGGATTTGTAAGATCAGCACAAGTTGTAGATGTTGAAGTTGTTGTTGATGAAGTTGAAGCTGTTGAACATCTTCCACATGTTGCTGGACATTGTGTTGTCATTAATGAATAATATAAGGAATTATTACAGAGATAGGCACGGCTTGAACAATCTGATACTCCTGTGTATGGGTTTGTTCTGTCAGTACAAGGATGAAGATGAGGAATAAGTTACTGAAATAAAAATTAGTTTTGTACAAGTCTCTAGGAAATCCTAGAATTTACCGGTGACTGTTGATGAACATCTTCCACATGTTCTTGGGCATTGAGTTGTCATTAACGAATAGTAATTTGCTTGGTTACACAAGTATGCTCTACTTGGACAATCTGATACTCCAGTATATGGATTCGTCAAATCAACACAAGAAGTTGATGTGGAATAGGAAGTTGAATTACTGTAGCATCTTCCACAAGTAACTGGGCATTGTGTAGTCATCAAAGGAATAATAGGCAGCTTGATTGCAAAGATAAGCACGACGAGAACAATCAGATACTCCTGTTGCATAATTTACTAGATCCGTACAAGCAAAAGTTGTTGAAATGGTGAAAGCGAAAAATGCGAAGAAAATCATTTGGAAGCTTGCGATGATATGCAGTTTGCAAAATTTCCAGTCTCTATATACCCCAAGACTTCCTAGAAGCTGTTCAAACAAACATGATTCTTCGATTGTTGCACATTGTTTCAATATCGTTCTACATATTGTTTATGCAGCTGTGTCAAGTTTTTTCAGAGTATAAAAATCATGAAAGTTTTAGCAATCCATATCAAAATGTTCTTCTTTGCTCTGTTTGCTTTCACAATTTCAACCGTTTTGGCTTGTTCGGATTTAGTGAATTATGCAACAGGAGTATCTGATTGTTCCCGCCGTGCTTATCTTTGTAATCAAGCTGCCTATTATTCTTTGATGACTACACAATGCCCAGTTACTTGTGGAAGATGTTACAGTAACTCTACATCCTATTCCACTTCAACATCTTGTGTTGATTTGACAAATCCTTATACTGGAGTATCAGATTGTCCAAGAAGAGCATATTTGTGCAATCAAGCAAATTACTATTCATTAATGACAACTCAATGCCCAAGAACATGTGGCCGATGTTCATCAACAGTCACCGGTAAGCTTCAGTATTTTTCAGAATTTCTACAAAAATCAAGTTTCCAGTAACATATTCCTCATCTTCCTCTTGCACTGATAGAACAAACCCATACACAGGAGTATCAGATTGTTCCAGCCGTTCTTATCTCTGTAATAATTCCTTATATTATTCATTAATGACAACACAATGTCCAGCAACATGTGGAAGATGTTCAACAGCTTCAACTTCATCAACAACAACTTCAACATCTACAACTTGTGCTGATCTTACAAATCCATCAACTGGTATTTCCGATTGTCCAAATCGTGTTGCCTATTGTACAAATGCTATCTACCTTTCATTAATGCAAGTTCAATGTAGAAAAACTTGCGGATTCTGCACATAATCGTTTTCTAGAAAACATTTTCGAAACCATTATTTATTTGATGATAAATTTTTATTCTTTAACAAGTTTTACATAGATCATATTGTGTGCATTCACGCAATAGAATGGCATCCAAAAAAATTCGAAAATCCGGTGGATTCTGAACATTTCTCACGTGAAAATTACAAACCCGCCCACCAAAATCAATCCGATATCTTGAAACCATTGAAGTTTCATTATTTGATTCAGAATCCATGAAATAGTCAACAAAACTCGGTTCGGGAAGATCAAGATATCTGATATATCCAAAGGTTTTGTTAATAAACTCTGAAGCTGTCAAATTCCGGTTATCATCATAATATTCAAAACTACTGGTGAAGAAATCTAAAGCCTCGGCGAAACTTCGATTCTGAATCATTTTCAAAATTTCACGATTCATGATTGCTGTTTCTTCAAACATTTCATCGACGGTTTGAAGAATTTCAGTGTTATTCGAACATTTTTCATCAAAAATGATACAAAGTATAAGAAAATGAGAAAACATCGATTTTTTGGGACGAGGAATGAAAACTAATGGGACTTTTTTAATATGTCTGGCTGGAATAATTTTTTTCATGTTTCAAAATTTTGAATGAGAAAAATCACATTGATTCTGGAAAACTTTGGAAAATAATATTTTATAAACATTTTTTGTAAACAAATTTCAGTATACAATATTTTTTCCTGAAATTACGATTTTATTCAATTTTAGTTGAAAAATAATGAAAAAAATAGAGCTGATTAGAATATTTTTTGAGCTCGTTGCTCTTTGAAATATGCGTTTATTAGTCAAACATTCATGAATATTTTAATGATGTTTCAAAATAGAAAAATTTTCGTGCAAATTCCGGGAAGTTCATAGAACGATTGGGATAGGCTACAAAAGATGAGTTAGGGCATCTCTGGAAAAGTTTTGAGGGAATCATGATTTTCCGGTCTGATCAAATCGTATATTTCCTTGAAAAAAATAATATAAGTATTTTTTGTAGCGTTTCAAGTACAAAAAATCTAGCACTCACATGGTTACAAATATCAAAAATGATGACCTAATCACTATGGTGATGTTAGGATTTTTCATTTCAATTCACGAAGTTTCTGAGTTTAGCTTTTATTCTTAAATATTCAAAAACTGAATTCCAGGCTCCATGACTCAAACAAATCGTCCCAGTGTTCCGACTCCCCAACAACAAGAATCACGATCAAGTTTCGCGATTCAAGCGTCGTTTCAAGAATTCAAAGGCTATGTGCAGAATCGTCTTGCGACAGTTGAGCGAGACTTTCATTTGATCTCGTTTTTCCGGCGTGATGAACAGATTGCGGTTGAGGAGAGACAATTGAGAATTGAGAGACGACAAGATGCGAGGGTGAATAAATTGGAGCAGGAGCTGAAAGTGGTCAATAAGAAGTGTAAGTGTAACATATTTTATTTTCACATGAATAATATATTTAGTGGAAGAGCAACGTCTGGAGTTAGCCGAACTCAACGCCAAATTCAACGAACTCCATGTCAATAAAAATTAATTGTGATTTCAATTGAATAAATAACTTTGTAGTATTTTCAGACACAAACAAAACAAAAAACAAAAGTGCAACTATCCATAGATTATTTTTTTACCCGGTTGTTATTAGAAAATATAGATTTTTTTTATTAGCTTTTACCAAAAAAGTTATGACAACTTGCGCGACTCCTGAAGAAATGCAACTTAGGTTATCCTTATCATATCAGATAAATACCATATTTTTCAATCTGTTGACAATTTTAACCATCGGATTTTCAATTCAAGCAATTTATAAGATGCTGAAATCTGCGATGTTTACTAAAATTGTCCAGAAAATGTTCACATTTTATCTGCTCTTCTATAATATTCATGCAATCTATTTCGCAATTGTCATAACTTGGTCATTTCATCGCAGTTTGGTGCAATCCACCAATCCCTGTTCAATTTTATTCAACGGCAAAGAATGTTATTGGTGGTATATTTTTGGTGTATTCATCAGATGTGTTTTGATCTACCAACAGGTTCTACAAACTGTCGAGCGACTTGTGACTTGTTTTTTCTCGACAAAATATTTGAACAGTTTTGCGTTGAATATATTGGGTGTGATTGGTGCCGTACTCACTGCTAGATGTTTAGCCGCGCCAGAGGAATCGAAGTTTATGTCATCTAGTTGTTTCCAGCAAAAATATCTGGATTATAATACAGTTATGTGAGTCCGGAATCCGAGGTTCTTGTGCAAAAAAATGTTTTCAGAAATATGACTTGGGTTATGCTATCTTGCGAAGCAATCTGCCTCCCTTTAAACTACTATATCCTCCACAGAAATCGAAAAACAATCCAAAATTCTTCCAACAAACAATTCGATTTATCTTCCCGATTCAATAATAACAATAATATGTATTCTACGATTACTGTATCTATAATCACCCTTATCCAAACCGTATTCTACACTATTTATGCTCTTTACCTAGCTTCCATTTATAAATATGGAATCTTGGATACATTTTTCCCCAAGTTCAATAGAGCATTGTGGTTTTATGTGAGTTAGGAAAACTCTAACACCTAGAAATATTTGATTTTCAGACAGTTCCCTACGCTGGTTTAGCTCTCCCGATATCAATAACAATCTCAATCAACAAAATTCTGAAATCCAGAACGAGCAAAATCGAGCAACTTCGGCGAACCAGCCTATCCCAGGATAGTTATTTTCGAGATTTGATTAATCAGTGGAAATAATAACATGTTGTTTTTTATACTTCGTATAGTGAACTTTTTCGTATAGTAAATGATGATGAAAATGTGGTTTTAATCCGAGAGAACTACAAAAAATTTTGGTTTTTTTCTTGGGAGAAAGGGGGGGTGAGAAAAAAGTTTGCAGAAAAATGGAGATGATTTTTCAGGTGATTTTTGGATTTTTTGGAAAATCAGCAGTCTGGGTCTGAATGTTTTATAAAATTTGAAATTACTTTTCTGACTCATGTAGAAAAAGATTAAAATTTGGGAAATCCACGTGGCACAAATTTTGATTTTAATGTTTTTTTAAGTTTGAAATCCACGTGGCGATTATTTTTCTGGGCTCTAAAAATCCACGTAGAAATTTTTATTTTCTGGAAAAATATTCCAAGAGAAGCCTCAAGTTTTCCCAGGCTTAGCAATTTTCAGTCAAGAGCTTCCAGATCCAAAAATCCACGTGGAAACTCAAACAAGTTTTTTCTGATTTCTTAAATCTTGAAGAAAATATCAAAAATCCACGTGGCAAATATTTTTCTGGGATCAGAAAATCTTCAAAAATCCACGCGTGCATTATTTTTTCAGGCTTCCCAAGTTTCAGCCAAGAGCTTCCAGATCCAAAAACCCACGTGGCAATCAATTTGAGCTTTCCAAAAAATCCACGTGGTATTTTTCAAATCCCCAAAATTGTTGACTCAAATCTTTTCCCTTCTCAATTTTTACGTCAAATCAAATCCCAAAAAAATCGAATTATGTATGACTAAAAACTATGTTTTTTATACGCATTTATTCCAAGAACAGATTATTTTTTTCGTCTTCTGCTCTATAATTTTTGCAAAATTTCGAGCTTCGAGAAAAAAAGTGCTCTCTGATCATCGGCAAAAAAAAAGTTTCGAGTTTTTTTTTCGAAACAACAACAAGAAAATTCAATCTTGGGCACCAGAAGAAATTTCCGCTAAATTGCGTGACACTTTTTGCTGCTATCTTATTTTATTTTTTTTTATTTCTCATTTTGTTACATCTTCTTTTTTTTCGCACTATTTACTCTTGAATCAAAAAGAGGAGAAAGAGAAGCGCGGTTTTGTTTGACTCATGTTCGTTTTGCAGCTTTTCATTCGCTAAGTTTATGATTGATACTAACTAACTATTTATCTAAAAAAAAACATTAGCAAATATTTGATAATAAATTATTAGAGAAAAATCGGGCGGATGTGTGTATTTTCTCCAATCAGACTGAATTAAACTATGATCTTGTGTTTGGTTTTGTTGATACAAGAAGAGGAACATTTGGAGGGAAAATGATGTGAAGGGAAAATTGAGCTTGAACTTATGGGACTTGCACATTATGTGAGATACATATTTTTGAAACTAAATCTGAAAGTATACTCAAGCTGAAAATTCTGAAATTTAAAAACTTGAATAGTTTTCTGTTAGAATTTTTAAAATACATTTTTTAAGCTTAACCTTTTCACGTGACTTTTCTCAACTACCCCTTGATTTCATTTTCAGTTCCAGTTCCAGTTCCAGATTATTTTTCAAATCCTTTTCTATGTATTTATTACAAATAATCTCTAAATCCATAAATATCCAGCTCATACTCATTTTATTCTCCAAAATTGCACGAACTTCCGAACTTTTTGTTGAAAAATTCGATTTCAGCGCTAGCTGAAAACCACTTTCCCCACGGCAATTGAATTCAATTTGGCCTCGAAAACTAATCAAATTTTTTTTCGGAAAAAAGCTGGTCAAACAATTGTCACGAACACGTCATTGTTTCGAACAAAAATTTTAGTTTCAAAAAATTTCAGCAAAGAAATTTGTGGAACTATTTTTCAAAAGAAAAAAGTTCCCTGATCAATACACAAAAAAAGTTGGCTTTTTCAAAAATAGATCAGCTGGTTTTCGCAAACAAAAAATCTATTTTCTCAAGATCTCTGAGCACGCAAAAAAATTTTGGACCAAAATAAATAAGTGCATGTTTAATCGGGCTGAAAAATATGTGTTCCCCCCAGAAAAATGTTTCGTTTCTTTTCCAAAGAGAAAAGTTCACCGGAAAACTTTTATCATATTTGTTGCGAAAGGTTTTTGCTGCAAAAAAAAGTGAAAAGATAAAATTTCGAAAAAATTTTCGTGTTTCAGAAAGTGTAAAATCGGAGGCGGAAGGGTTCAAAAATTTATTTTAGGAAAAAATTTCGAAATATTTTTTTAAAACCCAAGGTTTTATTTACCCTCTCATAGGATAAAATGTTTTATCGAAAACTTGCGCGATTTTTTCAGGTGAATTTTTTTTGGGCAAAAATATCTACTATATACTAACTCGATAATCCGCTAATCCATTTTGCACTTTTGGATGAAAAATTATTAGGCCCAAAAAAAAGAAAATTTGCATTTTTCGAGGTCAAAAATGTCACATTCTGAAACACCAGAAACGTTCTAAAAATAGTTGCAACACAACATTTTTTTTCTCAATTTTGTTGTTGTAAACCATCAATTACCCCATGACCCGCCGAATGATAAACCAATAAAAAATCCGTGTCATTTTCAAAACTTTTCTATTTTTTTATTGTTGAAATCACATGCCACAGTAGTCTTATGATTTTGGTTGCTAAAATAAACAGAGGGAATACCATATGATTGATCATGGCGCCAAATTTCATCTTTTTCTTATTTTTTACGGGCTCGCCGACATAATGGCGCGCCACAAACACTACACGAAATTGTGCTGGCTGAAAAAAAAGAGAAATTGTAATTAGGGAGTGTTTGTGTCAATATTTGTGTTTGATTGGGGCAAAATGAGTGATGTCAAAAAAATTGGAAAAAAAAACACAAAAGAAATGAAATGGGAACTTGTAGAACCTTAGAAGTGACTATTAAAGGTTGAAAAATTCGAGAGATCAAACATTGAAAACTTCGGGGTTGAGAGAGGTTTGAGAGCACATTTCTATGCCTAAAAGTTTTGGGTTCAAAGACAAAAATACTTTTGATCTACCAGAAAAAAATATTTTGGAAACTTTGAGGTCTAAATGCAATATTTCTCTGTATAGATTTTTCCAACCGAGTTTTAGGGAAAAAAATGCCACGTGGCTAGACCTTATTTCTACAGTAATCCCAGTCCAACAGTAACCTTAGCTAAATCTTTTCTCAAAATTTCACAAATTCCGAAATATAATTTTTGCCACGAAAATTTAAAAATTCAATAATTTGACTGAAAATACCACGTGGCATTTTTTCTAAATTTTTTTGAGAAAATCAAAATTTGAGAATTTGAAAATTTGACTGAAAATTCCACGTGGCAATTTTTCTAAAAAAATTTTTGAGAAAAGCAAAATTTGAGAATTCAAGAAATTTGACTGAAAATGCCACGTGGCAATTTTTCTAAATTTTTTTAAGAAAAGCAAAATTTGAGAATTCGAAAGTGTGACTCATTCTTCCCCGACACGGAAACTTTTCCGCATTCGCGGTAGCTCGCGGTCCACACTCGCTACCTGATTTCTAAACCCAAAAATTCAAACATCAATTTTGTTCGCATTTCGAACACTAATCGCATTTTCACACACACATTCATCATCATCATCATTTTTCGAAACCTGATATCTTTTTTTCCAGCAAAAATGTTCGAAATTTTTCAGAGAAAATCTTTCTCTCCCACTTTTTTAAGTTCTGCGGCTAAAGTTCAGCTACTTTTTATCACGTAGGAATTTTTACAAGCTCGTAAAAACCATCTGTCAATAAACAATCAAGGCCACACAGTTCCTGCAGAGTTAGCTCAATCGATAGATGCAGCCGAAAAAAATTGGGAGGGAATCCGAAAAAAAACCAGTGGGCGGGGCATTCTATACATATACACCTGTGCGCACGTGTGTATGTCTGCGTCTCCACAAAACCACGCCCCATTTTGCACTTTCTCTCGCCTCTTCCATCTGAAATTCGCTGCCCCGTGTTCATTCTCCTCCCCTCACTACTATTTAGTAAGGTGTTCTCTTTTCTATCAAACACATATATTCAACTATATGGCTGACTCAAATTCGTCCTCCTCCTCGTTTTTCTCGAGCTTGAATCCGTTCAAAAAAGGCTCGGCTTCTGCAAAAGTTCCGGATGTTGCTCAAGATGCACAAATTTTCGACGCGCAAATCGTTGAAGCCAAAATCGAAAATGGTGATTTGGCATCGGAAGCTAAGTTGATCATCCAAAAAGTTGCTGATAATGTACATAACTCTGTAAATACTGAATCTGAATCCGAATCAGCATCGAATGTGGAAAATCACGCGTCGGAAGTTGTTGAACAAGTTTTGGCTCAAATTTCGGAGGCTATCAAACAAGTTGCTCAAGGTTCGGATAATTCAGATGAGTTTCATGATGCTTCAGAAGATCAACATGTAGAATCTGCTCCAAAAGATATTGCTCAAGTTCAACAATCGGAAGAGGCCAATTCGCCTACAGATTTACACGCTGATGCTCCAGTTTCGGCTGAAGTTTCAGTACCAGCCGCTGAGCCAGTTGTTGAAGTAAAACATGTCGAAGAATCTGAGGCTTCAGTAGTTTCCGAACCAGTTGCTGAACACGTTGAAGAATCTCAAGAAACTCCAGCCTCAGCTCCAACTTCAGAAATTGTTGAAGAAGTGGTTCAAGTCCAACATGTTAAGGAATCCCACGCTGCTCCAGAATCAGGTAAACATTCGGAAACTTCAACTCCTTTTCAAGAGTGTATTTCAGAATCACACTCAGAACAATCGGCTGCTCAAGAATCAGAATCTCCAGTTTCGGCTGAAGTTGCTGTTCCAGCTGCTGAACCAGTAGCTGAAGTTCAACACGTTGAAGAATCCCACGCTGCTCCAGAATCAGGTAAACTTTTGGAAACTTCAACTTCTATTCAAGAGTGTATTTCAGAATCACACTCAGAACAATCAGAAGCTCCAGTCTCCGCTGAAGTTGCTGTTCCAGCTGCTGAACCAATCGCCGAAGTTCAACATGATGAACAATCACACGCTGCATCAGAAGTTCCAGCCGAACATTCTGAAACTCCAGAGGTTGCTGAACCAGTGGCTGAAGTTCAACACGTTCAAGAAATCCACGCTGTTCAAGAATCCGACTCAAATGCTCCAGCCTCTGCTGAACATTCAGAGACTCAAGTTCAAGAGTCTGCTCCAGAAGCCCCAGTTTCAGTTGAAGTTCCAGCTGCTGAATCTCAAGAATCTTCAAATATTGTTCCAGCTGAACACTCGGATCCAGTAGTTCACGAAGTTGTTGAAGAAATTTCTCAAGTTCAACACGTCGAAGAATCACAAGCCGCTCCAGAATCTGCTGAATCTGTAGCTGAAGTCCAACAGGTTCCAGAATCACAAGCTGTTCCAGAATCTGCTGAGCCTGTAGCTGAAGTCCAACACGTTCAAGAATCACAAGCTGTTCCAGAATCTGCTGAGCATTCAGAAGTTGCAGCTCCAGTTGTCATTGAAGAAGTTGGTCAAGCCCTCTCTCAACCTGAAGTTGTTGAAGATGTCGTGCAAGTTCAACACGTGGAAGAGTCCCACTCTGCACCAGAAGCTTCAGCTCCTGTAGAGCATTCAGACAGTCCAGCTCAAGAATCCGCTCCAGTAGTTCAAGATGAACATTCAGAAGCTCCGGCTTCGGAAGTTGTTGAAGAAATCGCACAAGTTCAACATGTTGAAGAGGCTCAGGCCACTCCAGCTCAAGATTCTGTCCCAGTTGTCATCGAAGAAGTTGGTCAAGCACTTCTCATCACCGATGCTGCTCCAGAAGCCGAAACACCTGCCGAGCACTCAGAAGTTTCTTCAGAAGCAGTTCAAGTTCAACATGTCGAGGAATCACACGTTGCTTCAGATTCTCAAGCTTCTGAAGTTGTCGAAGAGGTTGCTCAAGTTCAGCATGTTCAAGAATCCCGAGCTGCCCCAGAAGTTTCAGCCGAGCATTCTGAAGCTCCGGAGGTTGCTGAACCAGCGGCTGAAGTTCAGGATTCTCATGCGGCTCCTGAATCAGATGCTCCAATTTCAACTGAAGTTTCAGTTCCAGCCGCTGAGCCAGTAGCTGAAGTTCAACATGTCGAAGAATCACACGCTGCTCAAGATGCTCCAGCTGAGCATTCAGAGATTGCCCCAGTTCAAGAAGTTGTTGAAGAAATTGCTCAAGTTCAACATGTCGAAGAAACTCAAGAGGCTCCAGAATCAGATGCTTCAGTTACACAGATTGTGGAAGAAGTTGTTGAAGTTCAACACGTCGAACAAACTCATTCTATCCCAGAAGCCTCAGTTCAAGAATCAGAAGCTCCAGTTTCAGCTGAAGCTCCAGTTCCAGCTGCCGAACCGGTTGCTGAAATTCAACATGTTGAAGAATCACACGCTGCTTTAGAATCAGATGGTCCAGCTCCAGCAGAACACTCTGATGTCCAAGCTTCAGAAGTTGTGGAAGAAATCACCCAAGTTCAACACGTCGAAGAATCTCAAGCTGCTCAAGATGTTCCAGCTGAACAACCAGAAGCTTCAGCTCCAGCTCCAGAAGTTTCAGTTGAACATTCAGAATCCCCAGCTGAACAATCCGAAGCTCCAGCTCAAGATTCTGCTCCAGAAGTTGTTGAAGAGGTCGCCCAAGTTCAACATGTCGAAGAGTCTCAGGCTGCTCCAGAAGTTCAAGCCGAAACTGTTGAAATCGTAGCTCAAGAATCAGAAGGTGCAGTTCCAGCCGCTGAACCAGTAGCTGAAGTTCAACATATTGAAGAATCCCACGCTGCTTCAGAATCTGATGCTACAGCTCCAGCAGAACACTCTGATGTCCAAGCCTTAGAAGTTGTTGAGGAAGTCGCCCAAGTTCAACACGTTGAAGAATCTCAAGCTGCTCCAGAAGTTTCAGTTGAGCATTCAGAAGTCTCAACCCAAGAGTCTGCTCCTGAAGGAGAGGTCACCCAAGTTCAACACGTCGAAGAATCTCAAGCTGCTCCAGAAGCTCCAGTTGAAAATTCAGAAGCTCCAGCTCATGAATCTGCTCCAGGAATTGTTGAAGAGGTCGCCCAAGTTCAACACGTCGAAGAATCTCATGCTGCTCCAGAAGTTTCAGTTGAACATTCAGAGACCGCTCAAGATGCTCCAGCTGAACATTCAGAAGCTCCAGCTCAAGAATCTGCTCCAGGAATTGTTGCGGAAGTCGCCCAAGTTCAACACGTTCAAGAATCCCAAGCTGCCCCAGAAGTTCCAGCTGAAAGTTCAGAGACCGCTCAAGATGCTCCATCTGAACATTCAGAAGCTCCAGCTCAAGAATCTGCTCCAGGAATTGTTGAGGAAGTCGCCCAAGTTCAACACGTTCAAGAATCCCAAGCTACCCCAGAAGTTCCAGCTGAAAGTTCAGAAGCTCTTGCTCAAGAATCTGCTCCAGAAGCTGTTGAAGAGATTGCCCAAGTTCAACACGTTGAAGAATCTCAAGCCGCTCCAGAAGTTTCAGTTGCTCAAGATGCTCCAGTTGAGCAACCAGAAGTAGTAGAAGAAATTGCTGAAGTTCAACATGTTCAAGAATCTCAAGCTGCTCCTGCTGAATCTGCTTCAGAAGCTCCAGTTGAAAATTCAGAAGCTCCAGCTCAAGAATCTTCAAATGCTGAAATCGTAGAAGAGGTCGCACAAGTTCAACACGTTGAAGAATCTCAAGCCGCCCCAGATGTGCCAGCTGAAAGTTCAGAAACTCCAGAAGTAGTAGAAGAGATTGCTCAAGTTCAACACGTCGAAGAATCCCAAACTGCCCCAGAAGTCCCAGCAGAAAATTCAGAAGCTCCAGAAGTAGTGGAAGAGATCGCTCAAGTTCAACACATCGCTGAATCCCTCGCTGCTCCAGAATCCGAAGACAGTGCAATCCCCTCATCATCAGGTTCATCCGACGTTGTCCACGTCGAACATCCCGAATCAGCCAGATCCATCGAATCCTATCTCAACGGTTCAGAAAGTCAAGAAGAAGAGTTCGAAAAAGTCGAACACTCACAAGTCGAATCGGCCTCATCATCCGAAGAAGTTGTACCAGAAACTTCAACAACTTCGGAGTCGAATCATATTGTGGAAGGCCTTGCTGTTGTTGGTGGTGTGATTGGTGTCGCCGCAATTGGCGCAGGCGTTGTTGCCGCCGCCACACAGGTAAGATCTTTCAGTTTTGATTTCTGATAACTTTCAAGAATTCCTTCTCTAATTGATGATCATAAATCGAAGTGAACATAACTTAACTTATCAAATATCTGTCAATTTTTTTGTCTTCTATTTCCGAAACGACCGAAAAAATGTTTCGGAATGATTCATGTTTGACCACATGTTTTCTCTTTGTTTGAACCCCCGCTCGCATTTATCATCATATGACATCTGTGCTGAAACACACCGTGCAGCAATGAATCAAACAATAAATGATTGGGGAAAATTTGAGGGATCGACATGGAATTGGAACTAGATAGATAGATAGTTGAGAGAAGATTAGAGCGGATTTGTTGGGGGGGAGGAAACCGCACAAAATATAAATCGTATTTATTTTTGTTGTTTCAAAACATTTGTATAGTTTTTTGTTAGTGTGAAAAATAGATAGCCTAGCTATTAACAAAACTAACAAGTAGAAAAAATAATATGAGCAAGAAGTTTGAATTAGAAAAAATCTTTTTTACATAAAAAAAAACTCAGCTTTCTATTACTAGATTTTTGGGCATAGATTTTGATGAATTAGCCTAACTTTTTTCAAATTTTACAGAATTTTTTATCGATTTTTTCAATTTTTTCGAAATCCCTCCCCAAAAAACTCACTAATCGCTTTTATTTCTCAAATTTCACAAAAATCATCGAAAATTCCAATAAAAATCCTTGAGAAGTCCGAAATTTTCCAAGTTTTCCACGATATTTACATTGAAATCCAATTGTCCATCAATTTTTCAAGCTGAAAATCAGAAAATTTGAATTTTTCATGTACCATTGAGTTCTGCTAACTCCATTTCTGTTTTTATAGATTTCTGAGGGTTTTCTGGGTCTCACAACAAATTTCCAGCTATTTTTCAGTGGTTCACAGCAAAATCTTACCCAATCCAATTTTCCTTCGATTTTTGAGTAAAAAACCCAGTACAACCTCAACAGTTTTCAATAAATCCGATGTTTTTTATTGAAAAGCCGCTTCAAATCGTTCTCCTCACATTCAAAATCATTTTTGACACTGAAAACTCAAAAATTTCAATCAAAACAGTATTTTTCTAGAAAAAACTCACTTTTCTTCGATAATCCTCGAGATTTCCGTTGGAAGCAATAATTCGAGACTTGTAGAACATCTAAAAATTCAATTTCTCATTAAAATCCACTGATTTTCCCCGGAAACCTGAAAACCCAGCTAAAACAATTAAAAAAAAAAAACAACGCCTTGTTTTTTTTTTTCAAATAAAAAAATGAGCGCGGAATGAGGAAGAGAGAGAGTGAGGCAACAAGAGAGAGCGCGAGAGAAGGAGAGACAAACTGTTTTTTTGTTTTGAATAAAACTAAACTTTAGTTTGACCCAGCTGGATCTATCCATTTTTGTTTTTTTTTGAGTAAAAATTATTTTTTTCAGTGAATTTTCTGATTTAGGGTTCTGATAAGAGTAAAAAGAGTGCAAAGTTTTTCGATTTTTTTTTCCTTTTTCACCCTTGTTTAATCTGAGCAACGCTTTGAGATTTGAAGTATAAAACCAGAATTTTTATGATTTTTTAAAACTGCGTTTCCCATTTTTATGAGGTATTCCAAAGTTTTCCCACCATAACTCATGTATTTTACAACCAAATTCAAAACATCTGGACATTCAAAACATTTTTTCGAAAATTTCAAAAATTTTATCACTTTCACTTTTTCTCGCTTCCTGCTTGCTGTCATCAATACAACAAACAAAAATTAAATATTTACACATTTTTCAACCCAACCCAAATAACTTTTTTTTCTGAAGTCAAAGTCGACTTTAACTTGAATTTGATTGCCATGCGAGACACAGAGAAGCAGATATTGTTGGGCCCCCGGCTCCGCCCACTTTTGTTTTGATTTGTGAAAAAGAAAAAGAAGAAGAAGATTGCATTTCTTCTCACCCCTTCTTTTTATTTTATTTTTTTTTGGTTGTTGTGCGTTAGAGAGGAAACTTTTTCCTTTTTTTTTCTCATCAGAAATAGAAAAAATGCCATTATTTGTCACGTTATCAATTTCCCACAAATATAAAAATTCACATAAATTTTCGATTCTCCCCCTCAAATGTTCAAAAATAGACGAGCAAAATATCGATTGGTATGTATGTTGTTCACATCAGTTAAAAGCTCATTCTGATCACTTTTGAGCAACTGTTGTTCTTTTTCTCATCATCATTTACTTTCTAGTTTTATGTGTGTTAAACCAAAATTGTTTTTGAGAAATTCAATCCAATTTTTGTGATTTTGCAGGAACACTCTTCTTCCTCTGACGAGAACAACAAGAACAAAAAGAGAAAACTTGCTGATATGGCTCACGAATCCGCTTATGTGAGTTTCAGGGAGAGGGGTTAGAAGGGTTAGGGTGGTTAGAGATGGAGAGTGAGGTAGAGAAGCTAGAGAAGTTAGAGATCAGACAGCCAGAGTGTATAGGGAATTGAAGAGACGCAGAGTATATATAGCTGAGCTTAATTGTAAACCTTTCCAATTGAATTTTTTATTTAGAATGTTATAAATTCACCGGCACATAAAAATAGTGAGATCAAAATATAGTTATCTTTTTTTTTTCGATTACGTGAGTACTTGGATAACTTGTCTTATTTGTTCGAGAACATATAATCTGCAATTCCGAGAATTGAGCTTAAAAGTACAAATACGTGATTTTCTATAAATCTATTATTCTTTAATCTCCCTCTTTCTCAATAAAACTTCTCACTTTTTTTACCTAGCAATAAGTGGAAAACCAGAACGAAAAACCCATAAATTTTCAAATAACCACTTCTCAAACGTTGAACGTGTCCGGTTTCATCTCAAAAGTTTCAATGTAAGCCCCAAGCAAAGGTCAAATCAAAACATGTCGAAGACGACCGCTGATTGATTGATGTTACAATATTTCATCAGCTGAGAGATAGGGAGGATTTGTTTTAAAAATAAATAAATAAAAATAAATCCTAAATAATTTCAAAGCTGGTTTTGATCTCCCCAGCCCGTTTTAATTGCTTTTTCTCGCATCATAAAATTTTGGGCAGAACGAAAAAAAAGCGGCTTTGCTTGCTTGCTTCCCACACCATTTTTTTGTGTAACAAACAACAGAAAAGGCGCAACAAAATTTGTTCGATCACAACAAAAAAAAATATATTATTTGAAGGTCGTTTGGGCTGGGGGTTGATGATAGCGGCGGATTGATAGCAGCCAAAAAAAATTGGTTGTTGACAAATAAAAACACACATTTTTTTCATAAATGGGATGTTATCAATGAAGATCAAGACATTGATCAAAATGTGATGATGATGATTTTTTTTTCAGCCAGTACCATACCGCAGCAAATTGGTCGAGCCATTCGAACCAGGACAAACATTGATTGTTAAGGGAAAGACTGGAGAAGATTCGATCAGGTAAGATAGTGTGAAGCAGAGAAGCTAGACACTGAGAGAGACGCAGAGTAGTTGGTGATGATGGCGAGTGTGGAAGAGACGCAGAGTAGAAAGACAGACGGGGGAAAGAGTCGGGGAGAGTTAGAGAAGCAGATAAGCTAGACAGCTAGACATGAAGGCTGGCAGAGACGCAGAAGTATCTAACATATTCCATATTTAATTTTCCAGATTCACCGTCAACCTTCACAGCAACGCTGCTGATTTCTCCGGAAACGACGTTCCACTCCACATCTCGGTCCGTTTCGACGAAGGCAAACTCGTCTTCAACACCTTCTCCAAGGGAGAATGGGGAAAAGAAGAGCGAAAATCGAACCCATACAAGAAGGGAGATGATATCGACATCAGAATTCGCGCTCACGATCAAAAATTCCAAATCTTCGTCGACAACAAGGAGGTGAAAGAGTACGAACATCGTGTTCCACTCTCTTCAATCACCCATTTCACCATTGACGGTGACGTCTTGGTCAACTACATTCACTGGGGAGGCAAATACTATCCAGTTCCATACGAAAGTGGATTGGCCAACGAGGGTTTGGCACCAGGCAAAACTTTGACTGTCCTCGGTATCCCAGAGAAGAAGGCCAAGAGATTCCACGTCAATCTTCTCAAGAAGAATGGTGATATCGCACTTCACTTTAATGTTAGATTTGATGAGAAACATGTTATTCGCAACTCCTTGATCAATAATGTTTGGGGAAATGAGGAAAGAGAGGGAAAACTTCCATTCGAGAAGGCTGTTGGTTTCGATTTGGAGATTCACAATGAACCATACGCATTCTCCGTAAGTCCTATATTTTTTCCACATAATATGAGCAATCTTTGAATTCGAACATTTCAGATCTCCGTCAATGGCGAGCGATTCGCTTCATATGCTCACCGTCTCAGCCCTGACGAGGTCAACGGACTTCAAATCGGCGGAGATGTTGAAATCACCGGAATCTCGATTAACTAAATCCCCCTTTTCCCTGTTTTTTATCCCCGAAAGCTCTTTCCCCCATTCATTTCCAAAAAAAATGCAGCAAAAAATTTTGCCTAGTTCCCCCTGATATGTATAAGCTTGTATGTATTTGATGTATTAATAAAGTCTGCGAAACCCCCCGGAAAATCATCGTCTGCTCAAAAAAAACCAAAACGAGAAATCATATTTTATTTATTCACCATGAATTTTTGAGATGTTCGAAATAGAGTTGGCTGCGTGCTCCGGGGTCTAGTTTTTTTTCGAGGATATTGGCAGAGATCTTCGAGGCGCGTGTTCGACCTGGCAGACATTCGAGAATTCTTTGCGGCCATTGTGGAATGGAGAACATTGCGGAGGAGCAGATGAAAATCGGGTTACTACAACAAAAACACGCTTATTTTGAAAATGTGAAGGTTAGGCTAACTCACATATGCGCAACTGCCTCTACTATAATTGCCATATAGATTCCTTGCATAGTTGTAAGCTTTTGTGAACTGTACAACCAAACAGCAAAAGCTAGAATTGTTATGAGAATTATAACTTGAGAAACTAATAATTGAATGAGTTTCATAAGCCGATAAGTTTCAAAAATCTGATATTTTATGCTTAAAGTGTAAAATTGGTTGTTGGTTTCACATTTACGATCGAGTTGCTTGGTAACATGTCGGATAAGATAAAACACCTGTAAACATATAACTTTTATTTTTAAATACTAGTTTTTCAGGTGATTTTAAGGTTTCCTGGTTCAAAATGGTACTCACTGCACATGAAATCAGTTGAACAAAGATCACAATAGCAGCAAGTTGTTGATCTGTTATATAGGTCAATGTCAAGAGTATCGCTAGAATCGTGCCGACAAATTCGGTTAACAGAATTGGCAGAATTCCAATCATTGGTCGCCGTTTTTTCTCATAATCTTGAACTAGAACTGTGGCCATGAATCTTTCGAAACATACAACTGGTACGACTAGCACTATTACCATCGCATATCTTGTTCTCAGAAAGGCCCCAAGAAGTAAAAATTTATAATCATCGAAATCTAGAGGTATAACTCTGCCATCAATACTGGAATAAAAGGAAGATGGAGAACCTGTGAAATCTATGAAACAATTTTAGAAAAATTTGTGAATTTTTACCGGGAAGTTCGATGAATCCTTCCTGATATGGTGAAATCAGCAAACGTGATAACAATAGTTCGAACCAGTGTAAAGTGAAGATCCCATAGATTAGGGAAAAATTAAAATGATAAACTTTTCGGGTAACTGCGATACCAATTATCTGAATTTATTACACAGAATGAATGAATAAATAAATAAATAAATAATAAAAACAGAAAGTTATGTGCAGAATCCGCAAGTTTTTCTACATTGAACTTGCATTAATGAAAAGGTACACAGCATTTGTACAATAGGCAACACGATTTGGACAATCGGAAATACCAGTTGATGGATTTGTAAGATCAGCACAAGTTGTAGATGTTGAAGTTGTTGTTGATGAAGTTGAAGCTGTTGAACATCTTCCACATGTTGCTGGACATTGTGTTGTCATTAATGAATAATATAAGGAATTATTACAGAGATAGGCACGGCTTGAACAATCTGATACTCCTGTATATGGATTGGTAAGATCAGTACATGAAGTTGATGAAGAGGAGGTCACTGAAATATAGTTTTTTTGTTGAGACAATATGGTTTGATTTTTTTTCAAAATTTTCACTCACCAGTAGTAGCTGATGAACATCTCCCACAAGTTGCTGGGCATTGAGTTGTCATAAGTGTATAGTAAGCAGCTTGGTTACACAAATAAGCTCTACTTGAGCAGTCAGAAACTCCAGTGTATGGGTTTGTCAAATCAACACACGAAGTGGAATATGATGTGGTGTTACTTGAACATCTCCCACAAGTAACTGGACATTGTGTAGTCATCAAAGTGTAGTAGGCAGCTTGATTACATAAATATGCTCTACTGGCACAATCAGACACTCCTGTTGCATAATTTACTAGATCCGAACAAGCCGAAACAGTAGAAATTACAAAAGCAGAAAGAGCAAAGAAGGAGAACATTGTGATGAAAATGTTGAAATTTTCAGGACTTTTATACTTTTACAAAACTCCGCGTGCTGCTGATCAAACAAATACTGGACAAGATTGAAACAATGTGCAACAATCGAAGAATCGGATTTGTTTGAACAGCTTCCAGGAATTCCGGGGTATATAAAAGCAGATATTTTTCAAACTCTCATCAAATTCATCTCAATGTTCTTCTTTGCTCTTTTCACTTTCACAATTTCTACTGTTTCGGCTTGTTCGGATCTAGTTAATTATGCAACAGGAGTGTCTGATTGTGCCAGTAGAGCATATTTATGTAATCAAGCTGCCTACTACACTTTGATGACTACACAATGTCCAGTTACTTGTGGGAGATGTTCAAGTAACACCACATCATATTCCACTTCGTGTGTTGATTTGACAAACCCATACACTGGAGTTTCTGACTGCTCAAGCAGAGCATATTTATGTAATCAAGCTGCCTACTATACACTTTGATGACAACACAATGTCCAGCAACTTGTGGAAGATGTTCATCAGCTACTACTGGTGAGTAAAAATTTTGAAAAAAAAAAATTAAACCATATTTCTCAACAAAAAAACTATATTTCAGTGACCTCCTCTTCATCAACTTCATGTACTGATCTTACCAATCCATATACAGGAGTATCAGATTGTTCAAGCCGTGCCTATCTCTGTAATAATTCCTTATATTATTCATTAATGACAACACAATGTCCAGCAACATGTGGAAGATGTTCAACAGCTTCAACTTCATCAACAACAACTTCAACATCTACAACTTGTGCTGATCTTACAAATCCATCAACTGGTATTTCCGATTGTCCAAATCGTGTTGCCTATTGTACAAATGCTGTCTACCTTTCATTAATGCAAGTTCAATGCAGAAAAACTTGCGGATTCTGCACATAATTTTTATTTGTGTTATTGTTTATTAATTTATTATCCTAATAAAATTTACCGTCAAAACTATTGAAAAGAGCATCAGAATAATTTCAAATATCCGAAAAATAGTATAAGGAATATGAACTTCTTCAATATGTTGTCGAACAAAAAATATTGAAAGATAAATAATCCTCGAATCATTCGGATTTTGAACCAACATTTTCTGAAAAAAGCAATGAACACTCGAGAAATATTGTAGCAGGTGTAAAACAAAACAAAAATAATCAAATAACATCGGATTTCGCGGAAAAAAGAAAGAAATGGGCAGTGTCTGAAAAAGAGTTATGATGAATAATAACAGAATAATAATGAAATAGAAATGATTCAGTGACAAATCAAATAGTGATATTCAATAATAAATTACTCATTTCATTTGAGGATACTTAGAACCGGAACTACTCAGAAGATGTCATATTTCTCTCTTGAGACGAGTTATTGATCATCGCTAATTATACATTTGTAAATGAACATTTGGACAAGAATAATAAAATTAGAGATAACGAAACTTTATATCTATAAATAGCAATAGAAAATAATTATAACTTATTATATTTATTTATATCATAATTATCTGCAGGATCCGCAAGTTTTTCTACATTGAACTTGCATTAATGAAAGGTAGATAGCATTTGTACAATAGGCAACACGATTTGGACAATCGGAAATACCAGTTGATGGATTTGTAAGATCAGCACAAGTTGTAGATGTTGAAGTTGTTGTTGATGAAGTTGAAGCTGTTGAACATCTTCCACATGTTGCTGGACATTGTGTTGTCATTAATGAATAATATAAGGAATTATTACAGAGATAGGCACGGCTTGAACAATCTGATACTCCAGTATATGGGTTTGTTCTGTCAGTACAGGATGAAGATGAGGAATAAGTTACTGGAAAAAATTATAAAAAACCAGTGTTCAATAACCAAAAATGTGAAATTAACTTTTCGTATACCAAAAATGCTAATTACATAAACAAATTCTCAAAAACACAACGTGTTTTGTACAATTACATATGTCTATGTTTTTCAAATAACTTTTTGACTTATCAAGACGTTTCGTAATTTACGATTTTGAGAAATTTCACTCACCAGTGACCGTTGATGAACATCTTCCACATGTTCTTGGGCATTGAGTTGTCATTAATGAATAGTAATTTGCTTGGTTACACAAATATGCTCTACTTGGACAATCAGATACTCCAGTATATGGATTTGTCAAATCAACACAAGATGTAGAAGTAGAATAGGATGTTGAATTACTGTAACATCTTCCACAAGTAACTGGACATTGTGTAGTCATCAAGGAATAATAGGCAGCTTGATTACAAAGATAAGCACGACGGGAACAATCAGATACTCCTGTCGCATAATTCACTAGATCCGAACAAGCGAAAGATGTTGAGATGATTGAAGCAAAAACAGCAAAGAAGAACATTTTGATATGACTTGACAGAAACTTTGGAAATTTTATACTTGCTCTGACTGTTGTTCAAACAAATTGTTGAACAAGATCGAAACAATGTGCAACAATCGAAGAATCACGTTTGTTTGAACAGCTTCTTGGAATTCCGGGGTATAAAAAACTGGGAATGTTTCAAGCAGACATCGCAATTCTTCCGATGATTTTCTTCGCCTTTTTCTCTTTCGCTATCTCAACAGCTTTTGCTTGTTCGGATCTAGTGAATTATGCAACAGGAGTATCTGATTGTTCCCGTCGTGCTTATCTTTGTAATCAAGCTGCCTATTATTCCTTGATGACTACACAATGTCCAGTTACTTGTGGAAGATGCTATAGTAATTCAACATCCTATTCCACTTCAACTTCTTGTGTTGATTTGACAAACCCATATACTGGAGTATCTGATTGTCCAAGCAGAGCATACTTATGTAATCAAGCAAATTACTATTCATTAATGACAACTCAATGCCCAAGAACATGTGGAAGATGTTCATCAACAGTCACCGGTAAGTTCTAGGATTTTCTAGAGATTTGTATAAAACTAATTTTAATTTCAGTAACATATTCCTCATCCTCATCTTGCACTGATAGAACAAACCCATATACTGGAGTATCAGATTGTTCAAGCCGTGCCTATCTCTGTAATAATTCCTTATATTATTCATTAATGACAACACAATGCCCAGCAACATGTGGAAGATGTTCAACAGCTTCAACTTCATCAACAACAACTTCAACATCTACAACTTGTGCTGATCTTACAAATCCATCAAGTGGTATTTCCGATTGTCCAAATCGTGTTGCCTATTGTACAAATGCTATCTACCTTTCATTAATGCAAGTTCAATGTAGAAAAACTTGCGGATTCTGCACATAATTTTTTGTTTTTGTTAATATTATTTATTTATATTGGAGAAATATATTGTAATAAAACAATCAGAAGGTTTCACATTTGTGTTCTGGATTCATTGGACTTTGTGAATAGCACTCAAACGCTTCCGAAAAATGTGGTGAATTCTTCATCATTCCATGAACTCGGAAAATTGTTGGGCTGTGTTTGTCAGTTCGAGAAGCATCGATATACGGTTTTGTCATATGGTTTCGACACCAAGTATTTGCATTTCGTATGTAATATTGTTGTAGAATGGTGTATTCTTCGAATCCGGGAAGTGATAAAGGATTTGGATCAAATTTCAGATATTTTGTAAGAAGTTCATAGGCAATTTTCGATCCAAGGATATCGGGGAAGTTTTCTGTAATTGTAGCGGTACCATTGAGCTGAAAATGTATTTGTTTCAGAATACTGCGAGTAAAACACTCACAGTTTCATTTGTTCCAGGAAACGTGAAATTACTGTATTGTGAGACCAAACAATCCTCTCGAATCTGATAACTTTGGAAGAATTCCGGTTGAAGATTAAAGGCGAAATGTGAATCTACAAGTACACTACCTTTCCCAAACATATGAGATATTTCATGAGCAACCACAAAAGCATAGGATGCAATTATTGACCAATTCGGAAGATTTGCGTCTAGGTAAGGGTATTTCAGCCAGTACTGACTTATTGCTGAAATATTTATAGTTTTTGGAGATATTAATACAATAAAACATACTGATTGCAGAAGATGTTGGATTGTGATTTCCATTTACTCCAATAATATTTCCAGTATAAGTTATCGGTGTACGTTTTGAGAAATGTAAAAATGTTTCTTCTGAATTCATTCGCATTACATCTCGCAATAATTCCAGATAGGAAGAGCCTTCGAAGTTTGAGCTTTCCAAAACTCGTTTGTACATTTGATCCATCACAGTTATATTTTCATGATTTTCTGGTATACCAAAATACGCCGTAGTTTGAAGAACTTTTTCAATCAATTGTTTTTTCCACGGTGGTGTTATCCAATCATTTCTCGAAATTATCTCCACAGTTTGAATTTGCAACTCTTCATAAATTGATTTACCGCGGTCAATATGTTCCTGTGTGAAGTTTGATTGATTTAAAAAAATCATACCAAGAGTTCCAGAAAACAAATCCTCAGTAAAACGTTCAAAACAATCCTTGAATGTGTGACTCTCAATAATATATTTTGACAGTGATTCTTTCCAAGATTCGTGAAGTTGTTTTTTGATATTCTCTACCCCAGTTTGTTCAACATAAGCATTGAGTTGTACAAATGAATCAACCACATATAACGAGTTATCCAAGACATCTAGACTTCGTAGGTCTTCAGGTAAAAGCTGGTAGACAAATTCTGTCAAATTCATGAATTTGATTTCATCAGCCACTTCTTTCCAAGGTTTCATTTGATCAAATGATATCTAAAAATAAGAAAAAAAAAAAGTTTTAAAATAGTTACAGTTTTTCTCACATCTCCTGCAGTAAGAAAAGTTTTAGCATATTTTGTCCCATTGTATTCTGCTGGCCATGTATAAATTTTGAAGAATCCACCAGTAGCTGAATTTATTTTTGTTACCTCAATGATAAACTTTGTTAGATCTTTTGTCGAATCTGCCCAGAAATCAGTCATGAAACTATTGACATCAGTATTTTTGTCATCTACACATTTTTTAAGCATTGATATCGCAACTTTTTGATTGCTTGATTCTGGTTGATAAGTTTTCAAATATTTTTCAAGACCCTCCAAATCTCGACGCGTATATTCGCTCACCAATAGAATTTCCTCTAAGTTATAGTTTCCACAAACATATTCATAGAAATCATCGCAAGGTTCAACCGATGTGTTCATCATTGATTTGATAGTTTCCGCCAAGGAATAACATTCAGAAGTTTGGCAGACATTTTGAGAAAGTGTTGATGAAATAAATGATAGGAAAAATAAAAAAATATTGAAAACATTTTATGTACATAAATTGTTGCTAAACAAGCGGTTTTATACAAAACAATTTCTATTTAAAACTTTTGATTCTTTATTTTTTGACAAAAAAACATTTTTATTCAGATAGGCTATTCAAATAAATTTTCTGATTCAAAACATTTCGGAAAAAAACAGTAAATCAAAACTTCATTCAATGATTAGAAAATCTCGCATTTATCCTGTGGGTTCATTGGACTTCCCACGGGACAACCAAAAGCTTCCGCAAAACGCTGTGAATTCATAGTCATTCCACGCACCCGAAACATTCCCGCACTATGTGTATCCTTTTCGTATATCCGAATCGCCTCCTCATTCAGCTCATTTTCACACCAAGTTTGAGCAGCTCTCATGAAAAATTGTTGCTCCAAATTGTAATCAGAAAGAGATGGAAGAAGTTGGGGATTCTTCTCTGTGGCTTTGTATTCTTCGAAAAGTCGATAGATGATTTTCGAGGCGAGAATATCCGCAAAGTTTTCACGAACAGTGTTCGATCCATTAAGCTGTAAAGAGGGAGGGCGATTTGGAACTTATCTAAAATTTAACTCACATAAACATCAAATCCAGGATATTTAAAAGTTCCATACTGTTCAATCAAACAATCCCTCGATGTATTATAAGTTGTTTCAAAAGCGTGTGTGAAATTAACAGAGTTAAAATGTGCATCGATATAGTTGAACACCGGACCAAACATGTGTGAAACTTCATGAGCCACAACAAAAGCATGCGATGCAATTTCGGACCATTCAGGAAGATTTACATCAATGAAAGGGTATTTGAGGAAAAATGTGCTGACAGCTGAAGACAAATACTTTTAGTTTCGAAACTCACTGTGTTTTTTTCTAATAGAAAAATGCAATTCCGAGGAGACGCAGACAGAGAGAGAAAGAGGCTGGTCTCGACACGATGTGTGTCTGCCACACACACGTCGACCCAACTGCTGCAATGGGTGTACGGTTTCTCGGGTTTTCCGCAAAGTGCTACGAGAAAAAACCTCGACTAGAATTCATGAAACTCCTTATTTCCATAGATTTTAGCATGCTGATCACGAATATGTAATCAGTTTTTGAAATGGTTCAGTAGTTTTCTTGCATTTTGATGCATTCAGTCTCACACCCATTGCAGCAGTTTGTTCTTTAGTGGGTCGACGTGCACACTATTTCTCTCCCCTTTTCGGCGAGAGATTTGTCTGCCCACGTTAAAGTCTGCGTCTCTCAGAACTGGCAAGAAAAAATACAGTGAACTAAACATTATTCAACTCACTTATCCCGTGCGACAATATATTGTAATTAGCATTTTGCCTGAATGGAGAATTGGTGTATGTGATTGGTTCAAAATGCAGCCACCTCAAGAAACTCTCCTCGATATTCATATGCATCACATTTCGAAGCAATTCAAGATATGATTGATCTTCCAAACTTTTTTTGGCTGAAACTCGATTATACATGAAATCAAGAGCTGTTTGGTTTTGATGAACCTCTGGTATGCCAATAAATTTCTTGACTTTTTCCAATTTTTCAAACATCATTTCTTTAATTGGCTCCTCAATCCATTCGTTTTCAGAAATTATTTCTCCAGCAATAGTTCGAATTTTCTCAAAAACCTCGTCAGCTTTCTCGATATTTTTGTGGATGAAATGTGATTTATTAATCAAAATCATTCCAAAAGTCGCTGGAAACACTTTCAGGGCTTTCAAAAGACATTTTGCTGATTTGTGGCTTGGTTCAAAATGAGCATTCAACTCGTTCTTCCACGCTTCATGAAGATCTTTTCGAATTTCACCAATTCCTCGGATTCTAATTTTTTCTTCGAGTCCCAACACACTTCTATGAACCGAAATAACTTCATTCAACGCTCCATGTCTTCTATATTCTTGAGGAAGAAGTTGATAGGCAAATTCAGTCAAGTTCATGAATTTTATCAATCTTTCAGCTTCTTCAAATGTGATAACATCGCCATTGAACTTAAAAAATTAATTTTGATTAACAGAGTTCAATTTCAAGTACCTCTTTCAAATATATGAAAATTTGCGTTCTTCGAATTCCATTAACTTCCACTGGATAAAGAAGAAATTTAAACAAACCATTATGCGCCAAGTTCAATTTCGTTGCCTCAATGAGTAAAGTTGTCAGATCATTCTTTTCATCATTCCAAAAATCGGCCATAAATTTATCAAGATCTCCATTCTTATCATCCACACATTTTTTGAAAACTTCAACAGCCACTTTTTGATTGCTCGTCTCAGGCTTATAGTTTTGCATAACCTCGACAAGTTCTCTTAAATCCTTTCCGAAAACTTCGGACCAATAATTACCCGTAGGATAATTCGCAGCTCCACACACAAATTCATAAAAATCGTCACATGGGTTTACCGATAAATTCATTGTGGAAGACAGAGTTTGCCCAAGTTTTTGACATTCTCTAATTATGACTCTATTTTATACATGTTCTGATGTTGACTAATTTTCATTTTCAAGCAGAAATGTACACAAAATGTGGAAAGCAACATTATTTTTCGATAATTCATATTATGAACTACAAAAAGTTCAACAAAAGTACTAAAAACTCGAAATCTTTTTCAAAAATTGCGAAAAGCAAAAATGAGAGCACGTAGCCGAGTGGTTAACACGCACGCCTTTCAATCTTTAGGTCATGGGTTCGATCCCGCTTTGAGGCAAACTTTTTGTCATATTTTTTTAAATTGAAGACCATTGGCCATTTTTAAAAATGAAATCCTAAATTTGGCTGATCGCGTCATAATTTCTCTTTTTCTCGTTTTTTCTCTTCGTAAATCCAAATCGAATCCAATCGAATCCGAAAAAAAACTAGTCGTCCAATCATTTTGTGGAATGAATATAAAATAGAAGAAAATGAGAAAAAGGCAAGGCGAAAACCCAAAACTTGATATGAATGACCAAAAAAAGGGAAAAGAAGGCGAAAGAGGAGGGGAGAAGAAGAAATCCTGGCACGACCTGTTGGCAGCGGCCAAAAAAGAAAAGATGGTTTATTTTCTATCCGATTTATTTTTTTCGATCTCTTGGATTTTTCCTGTGATTTTTGGAATAGTGGTACTGTAGGGAATTTTGAATTTTGTAGATTAAATTTATTTTGTGAATCCATTGGTACTGTATTTGGAGGGACTTCAGAATCGTGCCAAGATTTTTTAGATGTCTTTACAGTAGTCTAATATTACTGTAGTTTAAATATTTTGTAGATCATTTTAAGCAAATTTTTTGTGATTTTTGGAACAGTTTTGAAATTGTAGATCAAATTCATTCATTAAATCGTCTCAAGAATTTTTTTAATAGAATTTTCCTACAGTAGTCTGATATTACTGTAGATTTTTGAAATTTGTCACTACTATAATTTAAGTAATCCGGGGAGTAATGTAAATTTTCAAAAATTATTTGAAATAGATAAAAATCTCTTCAAAAATTGCCAATTTCTTCTTTTCGGCGCCAAAAATCCTTTAAAAACCAGATTTTGTTTGTATTATTATTATTAGTGGAATAATTTATTATTATATAATAATTGCCTGTTTTTTTCTGTATTTCTTTCTAGTAGCAAATTCGTGTAAGTATGTCACCTTTTTTTACATTAGTTTTGAAATTGAAAATGAAAATCAGATTAGATGTCCTGCTGTTTGATGATCTACTTTTTGGCTAAAGGAAAATGAAAATTGTTTCAAAAACACTTCACTCGCTTTTTTTCGTCTACCGAATCTCGGCAAATTTTTCATAGATCCTGTTTTTTGAGCTAACCCCTTTATCACTTTCAATTTCCCGAAACCTAGCCGGCTAACATTTATTATCTTTTTTGTTTTCCACGGGAAAGGGTTTTGTGACATCATTGATTTGAACCGGGGATGAAAAAACTTGTTAATTTCTAATCTCGCATGACCTTTTTACATATATTATCTGGAGATACTGTAGTTTTTGATCTTTTTGCGGAATCGGTTGAAGAAATTGGAATGAAGAAAAGTTTCTCGGATGAGCAATGGGGTGTGAAAAAAGAGAAGAGAGATTGAGATGAGCAATGTTCCAATGAAAACAATTAAAATAAAATAAAAATAAAAATAAATTGAAAAATAAATTGAAAATTACAGACTAATATTTTCAAAATCAAGATTTTTAGAGCACCACAAATTTTGAGCTAATTTTGTGCCCAGATTTTGACGAGTTAGCGTAACTTTTTTTCAATTTTTAAAGAATTTTTTTTTCATAATTTTCATATTTTTCTCAATTTTACCAAAATCCCTCCCCAAAAAAACTCACCAATCGCTTCTATTTCTCAAATCACGCAAAAATCATAAAAATTCCAATCAAAGTCCTTGATAAATCCAAAATCCTTCACGTTTTTCATGTTATTGACATTGAAATCCAATTTTCCATCAATATTTGGAGCTGAAAATCAGAAAATTTGAATTTTTCATGTATTGTTGAGTTCTGCTAACTCCATTTCTGTTTATATAGATTTCTGAGGGCTTTCTGGGTGTCTAAACAGTTTTCCAGCTATGTTTCAAAGGTTCACAGAAAAATCTTACCCAGCTTCTTCCTTTTCCTTCGATTTTTGAGTAAAACATCCAGTAATACCCCAACAGATTTCTTGAAATCCGATGTTTTTCATAAAAATGCACAGGTTCTCCGGTGGTTCCTTCAATTTTTTACCTTTCCAGTTCGAATAAGCAATGATTCCAGCAGTTTCATTTCCATAATATGAATTTGACATAAAAATCATCCGAAAATCTTAAATTTCGTCGATTTTCCATCCAATATCGCTTCAAATTCAACCAAAATTCGTTCTCCTCACATTTAAAATCATTTTTGACTCTGAAAACTCGAAAATTTCAATTGAAACACTGTTTCTCTAGAAAAAAACCCACCTTTCTTCGATAATCCTCGAATCGTCCGTTGGAAACGATAATTCTAGCTTTGTAGAACATCTAAAAATTCAATTGTTGACTGAAATCCACTAATTTTCTCCGGAAACCTGAAAACACAGCGAAAAAAAACAAAAATGAAAATATTTTCGTGTTGCGCTAAACAGCGGGCAAGCCGGAGTGTCGTTGTAAGAGTCAAACAAATTTTTTTTTGTGTTTTCTATTTTTTTTATTTTTGTGATCCAGATGTAAATTTTTTGAATTTTAAAAATTGAATCTAGAATATCACAATATTTTTTCAAACTTTTCACTTCACAGTTAGAATTCCTCTATACTATTTTTGGCCAGGAACAATAACCAGAACCTTTTTGAGATGATTAGCCTAGATCAACCCTTCAAGAAACCTAAGCCCAAAAATCGATTAGTCGTTTCGTTTCATTTCTCCAAACTGCTTGATCCTTGAAACACATTTGTATTTTATTCATTCATTCATTCATTTATCCATCCATCCATCCCACTTATTTCTCCTTCTTTTTCTTCTTCTTGCAACAACTAAACACAAAAAAAGAAAGAAATTTCCGGTTTTTGTTTTGACCTCCTCTCATTCTGGTAAGCCGTGTGTGTGCGCCAAAAAAAACAGTTTCTGCGCGCGCAAAAAAAATTGTGTTGTGAGATACATATATCCTTGATATTATTATGATGATTTTTATTTGATTGTTGTGGTTGATGGGAATGTCATCATTTTGATGCCGAATTCCGGAAGATATTTGAATTTTTTTTAGAAATTTTTTAACCATTTTTTTCCACCACTAGGAAGATACGTTTCAAAATTTATTGATTCCCATTGAGGACCTCAAGATCAATTTGCCATGTGGATTTCACAAATTATTCGTGCTCTTCCAAAAACTGGAACCTCAAACTTTCTGATTTCAAAATTTGTTTTGATCTGCATAATTGGTTTTTGAGCCACCTAATTTCTCTGCGTCTCTCTTTCTCTCACTTTCTCTCTCTCTCTTTATTTTTGCCCCACCCATCATAAATACCTGAAAGCCCGTGTTTTTTTTAAATTTATCTATGTGTTTCGTCACCCTTTCTCAAATACGATAAAATCTTCTCCCTCTAGAAGTTGTTTTCGTTTATTTAATGACTTAATTTACATACGATTCCAGATTCAGATAACAAAAAAAAATTATCGATTTTTCTAGAAATTGAACCTGACAAAACCATGGTGAGATGTTCGGAAGTCGCCTCGACCGTATCTCAATGGGTCGAGCAACAAACGCACGACACATTCTATTGGCTCGGGCTCAAAATTGCCGATTGGCCCAAAACCACACTATTTATAACGTAAGATTTTTGGGAAGAATCGAGTTTTTTGTGTATGTTAACAACGGCTTAATCTCAGATATATTGATAAAACAAAATGAAACCGGTTTTATCTCCTAAAGAATTATGGAAAAAATCGCTGGCAAATTAGACATTAATTAGAGGGATTTAGCGGAAATAGGAACAATTTAGGCAAAACTAAGCCATTTTCAAAATTTCCAGCAACGTTTTTTTCAGAACAATTTGGGCATTGCTCATGTGCGCCGGTGTTGTCAGATTCAAAGAGGTCAATAATGTCAGAGATCATTTCAGGTTAGTTCAGTGGGTAAAAGGGGCGTGGCTTAATATGAGCAATACTGAATTCAACGTGAGAAACTTCTCGACGTTAACAGAAAAAACTTTATTCCAAAAAAAACAATTATTTTTATTCCTCTGTTTTCTCTGCTCCCTCTTCAGGTTTCTTGCTCTCTGTCTTCTCTGCGCTCTCTGCACTCTCTACACTTCCCTCGCTCTCCACCTTTCTCTCATTCTCTGCCCTCTCCTCACTCTCTTCACTCTCCGACTCTTCCTTCCTTCTTCTCTTTCCTCTCTTCTTCTTCTTCGATTTTCTGCGTCTCTTCACCTCTTCCGAACTCTCCTCGTCTGATTCTTCCTCACTATCTCGATGCTTCTTCGGTGGAGCGATACCTTGTATTTGGCCATACACACCCAAAGCCTTGTCGACGAGCGGAGTGAAATAATGCGATGTTTTTCGAAGAATCCGACCCCATCCGAACAATCCATCACTACTACTCTCACCGTGATTCTCTTCATGACTATTGTCGTCGTCGTCATGATGGCGACTGATTCGCGAAGAGCCACGTGGTTTCTTCTTCTTTGCGTCGACTGTCGCAATTGCGACAAGAAAGAATAATAGTAGGGAAAGTCGCATTTGTAATTCTTGATTTGATTTGGGCTGTTTTTAAAGGCGCAGAACTCTCATGGTTTATGATTTGCAATTTTTTTTAGTTGGCAATAATCGTGAGAAAACTGTAAGGTCTTTGGCAATCTTTGAAGGAAGAATGACGTTGTTTATATTCGAATGTATCTGGTAGAGCGTCTGATCAGAGCTGATCCTCAACTTAGCCTAAGTCTAACATCCTAAAAATATTCCTTTCCCAATAAAATTATGTCTAGCCATGTTTTTTCAACTTTATCAAATTTCAAAAAAATTATCGATTTGGAGAATTATTCTTCTCCTTCTTGAGCTGGTACATCCTCTGCGGCTTCTGGTGTTTCTGGGGCCTCTGGTGCTTCTGGGGCGTCTTCTGTAGGTTCCTCTGGAGCCTCGGGTTCCGGACTATCCTCTTTTTCCGATTCCGAAGTCTCTGGAGCACTTTCCGGTTCTGTTGGAGCTTCAGTGACTTCAGGAGCTTCTTCCTCAACGGGTTGTTCAGTGACTGGAGGCGCTGGTGCTCGTGCTACATTTAAGAACTTTTTGGCAACTTGCTTTTTCTGCTTTGTAACCTTCTTTTCCCTCCTGGCAGCTTTGAACTTCTCTGTCATTCCCGTAATTTTATTCTTCACACTTTTCCCCAATTTTTTTCCTGCATTTGCTATGCTAGCGAACCATCCATGCTCCTTTTCCTTCATTTTCGATTTCCGCTCCGATCCCTTGGCCGCAACTTCTTCGGTTGAAGAAATTTCACTACTCTCCTTCTGAATCGTCTTCTTCTTTTTGAAAATTCGCCCATCAACTAGGGACAAGGCAAGAATTGAGAGGAGAAGAATTAGTCCGATTTTCATATTTTCGATATATGATAATGAAGAATGTAGGGGGTGGGGGAGATTTTATAGATGGGATTTTTTCCTGAGGTAAAATAGGGGAGGTCTAGACTGTGTGGGCCGTGAGAAATAGTGTGACATGGTTTATGGGATCTAGACATACACAATGACGTGTAAAATACAGAAACTCTTGGAAAAATCGGCTACAAATTTGAAATGTAATTTTTGGACGCCCAGAAAATTTTGGGGCCAAAAGCAACGTCCCTTCAAAAAATACTTTATATACAAGCCCATAACAAGTCAAATTTCAAAACCCAATCCTAATCTCTCATTTTCCAGTGCCTCCAACTCTCCATCCCGCTATGAATACCGTGTGGCTCGCGAATTCTTCCAAGAGCTCGGAAGCCCATTCCACGTCGTCGTCGCCATGCAAGCAGCCGATGGTGGAAGCATTCTCAGACCAAAGTGAGTTTATATTCTTGATTGATCCTCGTTGATACTAACACTTGCCTTGCGCTGGGTTGGTTTAGGGGGCTGTTGTTGTTGGTGTTGCGCAGTTTGTGTGCGCCGGCATGGACAACAGCAACAACAGCATAACGTGGATAGAAAGATCTTGCGCTTCTCTGTGCTGCCAAAGAGAATTGAAAGGGGCACAACGATGCCTGCAAAATTATTTTAACGAGGTCGTCCTAAGCCTCTAACAACTTACTGCAAGCACATGAAAAACACAAATCCATAAGAAGCCGGTAAACCGGGTCAATCCGATAGGGGATTATTGGTAGTTCCATTAGGCATTGAACGCAAGCTGTCATCTATAAATGTTTTTAAAAACTTTTTAACATATTGTCAACTGCACTTACCAGTTGAAAACTAGCAATTGGCAAAGCTTGCCGAATAACTAGACTATCTTCCCGCTTAACAATACTATTTCGAGTTTTTTCATGAAGATTCATCAAAATCGATAGATATCCGATGAATGAGAAGATGGAAAATATGAATTTGAGTCCGTTATCAGTAATAAAGCACACCAAATTCCACCCATGATAATTTTCGCTTAATTGATAGAGAATGGACAAAAATGATATAAGCATCAAGAATGGGGTCATTAGAATAAAACTCAGAGGATAGGAATAGTTGGATAGTTTTTGATATAGTTGCCCGGTTGCCACAAAATTTCTTTCATCTTTTCCGTAGAAGCGGATAAGACGGTGTAGGCAGAGAAGAGCGTCGAGGAATGACGTCAAGAGAGGGGTGACTAGAGAGACGGCGCAGATTATTGTGATGATTTTAGGAATGTAGACTTCTGGAAATAATTTATTTTTATAAAAAATAAAGACCTAACAACTCACCCAAACCCAAACCTATAATAAAAATTGGTGTAGTACAAACAATAATGAGGAATAAAATCGATAACATGTTCACAAAAATTAACAGAAACATTATCGGATAATATGATTTTTTCGAATCTTTTTTGTATGTCACACACATTATTAGTAGAGTTTTATAGTTGATGAAAATAGAGATGAGCAATTGGATCATTACAAAAATGGCCATGGACATTATCATATTTTCTTCCATTTCTGTTAATTCGCGAGTATAGTTGCGCATCCTGAAATTAGTTTTTTGTTAATTTTATCAGACAATATGTGAATGTCGTCGAAAATTCAATAAAACAAATCACATGAAAAGCGAGCAGTGCGCAACGTATAATTATATATAAAAATCACCTGCCTCTTTTCTCTCTAACAACAATTATCAGATCGCCCCAAAATGTAACTTTTTTCAGCTACATTGACAAAGCGCTGGAAATTGAGGATTATTTGCAATATAAGTTGAAGGGAGAGTTCGGAAACCGATCATATGCATACTCTGATTTCTGTGGAACACAATGTGAAACCTCAGATGCTGTCAATATATTTTTGACAATGTTCAGAGATCAGCAGATAAAGAAGACAGCGCACGTCAAGCTCACATACCCCTCCATGGATGTTTTTGGTCATCGCATCTACTTGGCTAATAATATTTTCCAAGTTCAGATTAATAATAGAAGTAGCATTGTGGAAGGTTCGAAATTGGTTGCTATCAATTTCCACGCAATCTATAACAATGAAACGATGTATGAAATCATGCGCCAGTGGGAACAAAAACTTTTCGATTACTCTTTATCAACCATCAATGACCCATTAATCCGAGTCTATGTAACTAGTGAAGGTCTTGTATCTGAAGAAGTCCGTCGAACTGGAATCCTTGCTATGCCACTCATGGGTGTCACCTTCCTCATCATCCTGTTATTCACCGTTCTAACAACCCTCAAAAAAGATCCAGTGCGCTCCAAACCTTTCGAAGCCTTCCTCGGGGTCATCTGCCCGCTTCTCTCACTTTGCGCATCTTTCGGGCATCTTTTCTGGATGGGATTCGAATACCTGCCGATTGTTACAGTTGTTCCCTTCTTGATCTTATCGATTGGCGTTGATGATGTATTTATTTTCATTCATGCGTGGCACAGAACTCCAACAAAGTGAGTGTTAATTGAAGTTTCTAGTGAGAATTTTGGTATGTTTCAGACATTCGGTGCGTGACAGAATGGCCGAAACATTAGCCGACGCTGGTCCATCCATCTCAATCACATCGTTGACGAACTTGCTTTCATTTGGAATTGGTATTTTCACACCAACCCCTGCGATCTATGTGAGTTCTACATAGAATACTGTTCTGAAAACATCTGATGTTTCCAGACCTTCTGTGTGTTCATCTCAACCGCTGTTATCTACGATTACGTCTATCAAATCTTCTTCTTCTCCGCAATCCTAGTCTTGGGTGGAGATCGTGAAGAACGTAGAATGAATGCTTATCTTTGGTGGAAACATGTCCCAGCGATTGATGAAAAGGAAGCTCAAAAACCCGGAAAATTCACACAAACCATGAATCGTCTATTGACAAAGATCTTGGATCTCTGGGTAGATTTTATCATGGCAACCTGGAGCAAATTCCTGATCGGTGGAATAATGTTGGCGTATTGGGTTTTTATGGCAAGAGGTGTTATGCAAATCGCAGTCGGCTTGTCTTCCGAAAAACTCTTCCTTGATGACTCCCCACTCTTGCCATTGGTCAGACTTCAAACCAACGTGATTTTCAAAGAGGGAGGACAAGTCGCAGTGTTCGTTAACAATCCAGGAAATATGAGTGAACCTGACGCGGTTCCCGAGATTATGCGGATCTTGCGGCGATTTGAAACCGCGAATAATAGTGTGGGTGCAGCCTCGACGCATATGTGGCTTCTACCGTATTTACCGTATGTTGGAGAGCAAGAACATGGAAGCATCGATTTCAAATACCGTTATTTACCCGAGTTTTTCAAGTTGATGGAGTATCGAAGATGGTCGCATTTTGTCAATCTTGGAAGCCATCAGTGAGTTGATCAACTATGACGTGGCAGTATAATAATGATAATTTCAGAGACTGCCTTGCTGAAAAACCAAGCTGCTTGGAAAAATTCGTCTTCTCCACCGGTTTCCACGACGCCGTTTCCTGGTCTGACCGTTTAGAACTTTTGGAAAATTGGCGGCAGATGGCATCTGAATATCAACATTTGAATTTAACGATCTATGAAGATTTCAGCATGTATTCAGATCAGGTAAATATACTTTCTAGATTTTAATATCATTTTCTTTCTAGCTCTTGACAATTGTGCCGGTCACAGAATCCACAGTTCTATGCGCACTCTTCTGTATGATCCTAATTCTCACTCTCTTCACACCATCTCCTGTCACCATTGTCACATCAACCGCTGCTGTTTTATCGATCAATCTCGGTGTTTTTGGATGCCTGGTGTATATGAATATTGATCTGGATCCAATTTCAATGACAACTTTATTGATGGCTATCGGATTTTCTGTGGATTTTGTGGCTCATGTGACGTGGCATTATTATAAGGGAGAGTTCAATGTGAGTAGATTTTCCCTATGGATATGGAAAAATAACTTCTAAAATTATGAAAGTCTAATTTTCAGTCCAAACGCGCTCGAATTCGCCACGCTCTTGCTGGCATCGCTTGGCCGATGTTCCAAGCTGGAACTTCTACAATGCTCTCGATTTCGGTTCTCGCACTGATTCACGCATACATGGTCCAAGTTTTCGTGAAGGTAATCTCCCCAGCCCTCAAAAATCCTCAAGAAAATCTCAAATTCAGGTCGTGGTGCTTGTCATTTTCCTCGGAATGATTCATGGGCTCGTTGTGCTTCCAGTCGTTTTTGCACTTCTACCATTCAGCAAAACTTCAGGACCACAAAAGAAGAAGATCGCGCCGATTCATGAAATGAAGGCAGGACCATGCCCCATCAAAGAGGAGCCAAAACTTTGATTTGAATATTTTTAAAGCATATTTTTCTGTGAGATATACGGGTTGCCAAATTTCGTGCTATTTTCCTTTGTCTTTCATAAATTATTTGAAAATTTATTTGAAAGATGCGGGAAATCACAATGTATTAAAAATTTTCACAGCTACAGAAAAAGGGAGGAAAAATCTTAGGTGAGTTGAACTAACTTTGGAACAAAAACTATTTTTTGTCATGGTACAAATGAAAAATCGAAAAAAAAAATTAAAATCAGATTTGATCAAGGTTAATAACTCTTCCAGCTTCTCGTCGATTCAAATAACTTCTCAAATAGCGGAAGAAAATGAAAGCACCAAGAAAATTGTCGAAATATCCCACACAATCATAAAACAAGGAGATGATCTCGTTTTCTGCCAACCAGCTTGATATAAACAAGATCACGAAGAGAATGAAGACTCGGAAACTGTAACAACAATGTCCTTATTTTTCGCGGGATGACTTTGATTTCTACAGGAATAGGACTTACTGGAACATTAAAGTGAGCGTGTCGTTTTTCAAAAATTGTCGGATCAAATAAGGCGCCCAGATTGGGAAATCTCGAAGATAATCGATAATTTTCCGGTTCTTCGAGAATCTTCGATTATAGTCGTTGATTTTCTGATTGCTTTCCCAAAGCAAATCATGATCTTCGACAAATTTCAGAGGGTTGAGTTCAAAAATCTGGAAAAAAGCTTCGCCTAGATATATCTTTTTAGAAAAACCTCAACCTCAGTTCTACAAATCGCACAATCCACCGGCTTCACAATCGGTTTACTATGCTGCCAATATTCAATAATACATCGACAGCAGAAGACATGCCCGCAATCGGTGACAACTGCAAATTCTGCAGAGCCCAGGCAAATTGAGCACTCATGTTGAGATTGTTTTTTAGCTTTGTCGACGCGTTGACGCTTTTGCTCCGCGGTTTCTTGGAGCTTTTTGGGGGTTTTGGGATGTTTCGGTTTCGACTGAAAAATTAAGGGATTGCTCATGTTAAACGTTAGTCCCACAGAAGTTCCCTGAACTCACCAATAACTAATTAAACACTCAGCCAACATATTGATCGCAAACACAATTGTCGCCAAATACGTCATAGTCACCTCTATGTGTCTCTCCTCCAATTTTTGGATGAAATCCCAAATCATTCTTGATGTTGTGTTATTCATTTGGAACTTCTCAGAATCTCAAAGAAACCTTCACAGGTTAGAATTATTAGTCTTGAATGAGAAAATCTGTAAAGTCCAAGGAACTGAAAAAAAGTGGCGGATAAGAAAAGTACTAACTACAATTTTTTTTTCGTAATATTCCCTTTTTTGTATTTTTAATCCTGAAGCTCTCGAGGACTACTGTATCTTATGTTTTTTTCCAGAATTCTTCCCTCGGGATCAAAACTAGACCCTAGTTTTGATCAAATCGCTGAAAATAACTGTGGCAAATCATGATGAAACTCCGGTTTGACCATACCAAACCTATTTCTTATCAGGTGCAAAAAACCCTTAAAAGGCTCATAAAAGACGCGAAGTACATGCCTAAAACGGGCCTATTTTCTTCTTGCTGATAAGGCCTATCAGTTCGTGCCTGACAAGAGAAAAAATGAATTTGGACGCTTTGAAATGGACAATGTTGGGTGTGATGGTTGTGGTGACGATGATTTTTGGATTGGTGCCAATTAAGGTGAGCTAGGTGTACTGTGGGTTCTTTGCAGCTCGAAGTATTATGGATTTTTTGCAGCTTGAGATACTGTAGATGGTTTATAGACCTAGGTACTGTGGATTGTTTGCAGCCCGAGTTACTGTAAATTGTTCATAATATTTTTCGAATTCAGTTCGGATTACTGTACAGTCCTTTAGACATTTCTGGGTTACGGCATATTTTCCAAATAGTTTTGCAGTTCGGGTTACTGTATTCTGAACTTTGAACTTCTCTATATTTATTCTGAATGAAAACTAATGAAACTTTGCAGTTCGATTACTGTAGGTTGATTTTCCAAGAGTTATTTTAGGTGGAAGAGGAAGCTTTGCAGTTCGAGCTACTGTACCTTCATTTTTGTGTAGTACAAAAAATAACTCAAGTTTCCAAGAAAATAATTTTTGATAAGATAAGGCTTCGTCTTTGAACTTGCAAAAAATATATATTTTGCAGTCCCCACAAATTTCGAAAAAAAATTACAGCTGATGTCCTACTTGAACAATTCACAAAATGCGATTCACAAAAAATCATCGCTGATTCTCTCACTCCTCTCCTGTTTTGCTGGCGGTGTTTTTCTGACAGTATGCTTTTTGGACATGTTGCCCGACACTTTGGAGTCGTGGGAGGACGTGAAGAATGACACGGGATTTGATAGCGATTATCCGTTTGTGCAATTGATGGCGCTAGTTGGGTAGGTTGAGTATCTAATCACTCAAGTAAGCAGCCAATTTTCCAGATTTTTCTTCGTCTACATCCTTGAAGAGCTCTCCAACTCACTATGCTCCAACGGAGCACACGGTCACTCCCATTCCGATCCGATTCAATCAAATGTCACCTTCCCACGAGCTCGCCTAGCCACAGTGGGCACTATCTTCGATGCTGACGGCAAAATCATCGAACCTTGCAAGAAATCTCTACAGGTTCGTGAATTTATCAGTAGAGCACACTTGCAAAAATAAAAGTATTCAGGATTTTGATGTCTCGGGAGAGGCGCCTTTACGAAGCTCGCTACTTTTCACATGTACCTTCATTCTTCACGTGTTCTTCGAGTGTTTTGCATTTGGTGTGCAAAAGGACGTGCTTTCCGTGACTTCGCTGTTTTTGGGAATTGTTTTGCATAAAGCTATCGTGATGTTTTCGCTGGGAATGAAGCTGTCCAGGTTGGTACTTTTTAAAAATACAGCAATAGTCTCAAGAATTGTTCATTCAGAAACCATCCAAATCGCCCCTGGTTAGTGGTCCTTCTGATCTTCATCCTGGCACTCTTCAATTTCCTCGGTGGTTGTATTGGAATCATTATTGAAGATTCAGCGATGAATCAGACACCGAAAGATATCACAACAACGATTCTAATGAGCTTCGCATTGGGCACATTTATCTATATCACATTTTTCGAGATGTTGGCTCCGGAAAGAGCCAACAAACATTCAAGTTTACTTCAGTGGATCTCATCGTTTTTGGGTTTTGTTGTTATTTCGATTATCATGATTTGGTCATAAATTTGTTCAAAAAATATAGAACTCTTTATTTAATTTATTTGTACCCAAAAATACCCGTAGAACCCTAGAAAATAACTTCCACTAATTCCACGTCGAATTATCCAACGTCAAATAGCTTGGTGTTGGCGAAGGCGACGGTGATCTTTGTTGAAAACTTGAAATACTAGTAGGCGATAGTTGATCGCGAGATGCTCCGGCGGAAAGCAGCTCGCCGCGCGGTGAATGCGGTCGACTCATGATTGCTGGCGGAGAGGGTGAGATTGTCAGCGAGTTGCTGCGATCTGACAGAAGGCGGTAGAGTGCCTGGAGGGTGCGAGCACTCGAGTCGACTTTTTTGTCAAGAGATGTCATCTGAAATACGTGGCGTAAATAAAGTGTCTTTCTTGCTGGATAAAAAATGAAAATACCTGCATCTCCAATCTAGACAACCTCGAGCCAATTGTCACCGGATGCCCCTTTCTCGAACCTTTCCCATCATATTGTCCAGGTTTACCCAGAGTTTGATCAAGCCTGAAAATAATTTATGTAGATGTTGGATCCCTTGAGCCTTCTCAATCTAGAAATACCTCCTCTGCAATTCCTTGATCCTAACCATCATATTCAAATGTCCCTGCGAGTATTGCTCAATAACATCTCGAACATCATACGGTTTTCGAGCCTGTTGGAATTTCCTGCGAGCCACAAAATACTTAATTTTCCTTAGCGCTCGAATCGAATTCCGGTGCGCCTCGGTCAAATCGCAAATATGAGCAATGGGTCGGTTGGTGGGGGTGGGTGGCTCTTCCGTTGTATCATAACCTGTCTCAGTGAAGTTGCGTTGGAGGCGCTCGTCATCGGTGTCCGAGCCGACGCGTTCTTGACGCAGGAGACGTTCTTGGTGGAGATCTCCGAGTTCCACATCACCACCAGTAGATCGATTTCGTTTGAAGGTATTGACCAGGGAGGATCTGAAAATTTAGGGATCCCTAGATTTGGTAGAACTCAGAAATTCCTCTCCACTCACTGTTTCTTGAACAACTGCCTCTTCCGATTCACACATCCATCATCCGACAACTTCTTATGCGCCTCCACGTGTCCATTGCCTCGCCGAGTCTCCCTTGTCTCATGAGCAAGCGGATCGATGTGCGCATTCCACGTGGCAGATATCCGCTTCTCTGCCGCATGACATCGCCAAAGGCATTGAATCAAAGTCGCAGCGGCGGGAATCTGTCGATTGAAATGTTTTTGCCGTTGTTTTTGTTGGACTTTGAGAGCGAATCCTGAGCCGAGGATTCCGGCGGGAAGAGCGAAGAAGCTGATGGCAAAAATCGAGAAACACGATGCAACTATTCGACCCGTCCATGTTTGGGGCACCACATCACCATACCCGATTGTTGTCATTGTTATCTGGTGAGAAATACGTTTCAGAATAATTGTATGAACTTCACTTCAAAAATTAGTAATAAATTGATTAACTCACCACACCCCACCAAAGTGCATCAGCATAACTCGTGAATGCTTGCTGCCCCGTCGGTGACACATAATCCTTTTCCGCCAAATACACAAAATACGAGCTGAAAATGAGGCCCAGAAAACCGATATACAGAGTGGTGATCAGCTCCTGTCGATGGATGAAGACGACAGATCCGAGAAGACGCCACGTGCCACCTTGACGATCCACGTGGAGCATTCGAAGGATCTGAAGGAAGCGAACACCGCGGATGGCACTGGTGGCGAACACTTGACCTTCGGAACCGACGAGGATTACGGTGATGCTGGCGACAACGACGCAGAGGTCTGGAAATTCTAGACTGTGTCATACTTCTAGACTAACATAAGTTCAAAATCTGGTTCATGGCCTAGGAAACCGACTATCTCCTCTTCCACATATGTATTTTCAAACCCAAAAAATATACGTTTCAAAAAAACTGATTGCACTCACCAATAAAACTAATCGGTTTCCTCGCAAACTTCAGTCTCCCCCAAAAACCAATATACTTCGATCGACATCCCGCACTCCACAACCTAATCACATATTCAATAGCAAAAAAGAAGACGAGAAAAATCTCCAAAATGTACAAAACTTCGGCGGCGAAATACGAGTGCTCTTCGACGGTTGATAGAACTGATAGGATCAGGCAAATCAGGACGATTAGAAATACGCTGAAATGGTAGAGAAAACACTTCCAGCCGGTGGGTCGTTCGAGACAATTGTAGATCATTGCGCGCCACGTCATTTTCGCCGCCTTTTTCTCTTTGATGTTACGGTAGCGCGCATTGAACATCTGCAAATTTTTGTTTAAATTGTATTTTGTGAGTAGAGTTTGGGATAAAGCTTGCTTGCTTGGAAAAAATGTGTGAACTTATTAAAGAAAATCAATTGCACTCATAGGAAAAGTGTGTAAGGGGGAGAAACCCTATAATTTTCCCATGTTCATTTTTTTGGCTGGCGAGAAAAAAAGTGGGCGATTTTTGCGCAACCAAAAATTGTCTGACGATGAGGTCTGGGAAAAAACCCAGTGCGTGGCCTAGAAAACACGAGGGAACTAGTCCGCAGCCTAGAAATCGCGTGAACACTCTCCCACAGCCTAGACCTAGGCTGTGGCCTAGAAAACCTGTTCAACCTTTTCTAGTTCACCATCTACAAACTACCTGAACCCTAGTCCACGGCCTAGAAAACCAACCAAAATTCTCGCCGTCGTCGAAACCTCGCTCTCAGATTCCGAACAAATCGGAATCTCAACATTCATTATTTTCAGCCGGCCGATTTTCAGCAACAAATGTTGGAATATATGTATAAATGAGATAAGAAAGATTGAAGATGGCTGAGTGACTCTTTAATCCTATTCACTGATAAACGAAGAAAAAAACACAATGCGCGAGCAAATGAAAAAAATAATCAGGGGGGAAAATGGCTTCTCCCCCCACCTATTCTTTGTTGATGTTTTTTTTCTATTTTTCACATTATATGTGCTTTTTTATCTCGCGCACTTTTGTTTTGTAAATTAAAAAAATTTTGACAAAAAATGGGCTGGAATGGAAAGTGAATTGAATTCTAAATCCTAGCTCGTGGACTAGTTTTCCACGGTTCTTTCTAGGCCGCGGGCAAGTCAGGGACGCCTTTAGAACTCATGTGTCAAGCAGCCACGCCTACAGAACCTCTGAGTTAAGGAGCCGCGTCTAGAGAACCTAAATAGAAGAAGTATACTTCTAGGCCGCGGACTAGTTTTTAAAATTTGGTTTCCTAGGCCCTGATAGCACCCACCTCCTCCTGAGTTTTAAAAACTTTCGATTTTATCGTCGAAGAGTACAAAATATCCCTAATTTCCCAAGTTCCGATAGTCAAACTACTTCTTCGATCCAAAATTTGATACATTTCTTAGAAAAAACTTTGATTTATGAATTAGGTTAGAAAAATCAAAAAATTATCATTTTTCTACGAAAAAAACCGCCGCGAAAATCGAATGAGGAAAAAAAGATAAGATTATTTTCATCTATTTTTGTTTTCGTGTTTTTTGGGCTTCGCTGATTTTTCGAAAATTTTTGGAACTTACTTGCGCCATCTCAAGAATATCCATAGCTATTTCTGAAAGTTGAGAGGAAGAAAATTGCGCGCGGAAAAAATTTCTCACGCTGTAATTATTTATAATAATTTTGTGCAATTTTTTTGCGGAGAGATCAGCGATTTTTTTTTGGGTGAAACCCTAGTCCGTAGCCTAGAAACCCAAGTTGGAAATTTACCTCCTGCACAAAAACCAGCGGTCGAAGTGTGCAATCCATAGTCTAAAAATTCTGAAACAATTTTTTTTCAAACTTCAGAAAAAAAAAATCCAGCTGTCGTCAAAAAATCAATGCGCAATGCACTAAAAAATGAAGTTTTTTATGACTTTTCCCACAAAATTTCCTTACGTCATAAAATTTCAGCTAGATACAAAAATATGTTTTGTTTTTTTTTCCGGGCTCCAAAAAATTTTTTTGAACGGATAAAAATTGATATGAAAAAATATATATAGATATAGATATTTTTGAAATATCAGGGGAGATAATTAGATTTCGGAAAGCCAATTTTCAGTCAGCGCGGGGCGAAAAATCGGAAATGGCTATATACACTTTTCCAGCCTCTTTTTGCTGCCGATTTTTGAAAATAATCATGACATTTTTTGGAACACAGCAAAGCAGGAAAAGCAGGAAAACTTTTGGACTTTTGGGGGAGGGTAGGGACTAGGATTTTCTAGGCCACGGAGTAGTGATTCAGGGGTTTCTAGGCCACGGACTAGCTTTACAATGTTTTCTAGGCCACGCCTTGCTCATTTTGCTTCAGAAAAAAATTAATTTTCAAAAAACCAAATAATAAACAAGTTTATCAATGGAGCGAACTTGCGAGATTTTCTCAAAAATCTTTTTCTTGATGAATTTTTATCAATGAAGCGCATTTTCCACTTCTCCAGTGAAAATCGCTGATTTTTTGAAAAATTGAATAACAAAACCCAGATATCAATAGAGCACACTTGCTTGCTAAACTCCTACAAAATTCCACAAATATTCCATAAAAATTTGAATTAGCATAAAAACTACCAAGTTAACGATAGAGCGCATTTTCTACTTTACCAGTAAAAATCGGTGATTTTTGACAAAATGAAAAATGTTATCAATAGAGCGCATATGCGGACATCAGGCTAATTTTCACAACAATTCGAATATCCAGTAAAAACGATCAATTTATCAATGGAGCGCATTTGATACTTCGGAAAAGTAACAAAGCTATTTTTTTCGCTAAACTTTTACAGTTATCAATAGAGCGCACAATACTTACCTTTCCAATTCCATCACCAGTCACCATTCCCAACAAAAAAGTGTCATTCTCCTCCTCATCCGGTTGCTCCGACTCACCAAAACTCGACGATCTGATTGAGCCATTTATCGTAGTGGGTGTCAACATTTTTCGGCTGAAAATATCTCTACACCACACAAAAAAAACTTTGAAATGCATGACAAAAAAACTTTCTTCTTCTGAGAATATATATGATTAATGTATAATGATTTTGGTCAGATGTATAGGCAAAAAAAATACTCGAAAGAAAATCATTAGAAAAAAAATGCGCGCGAAAAAAGGGGAAAATGAGTCAGAATATCTCTAGGGTTCTTCAAAATCTTGGGGATAATCTTGCGGATTTTTGAGGCGCCACAAGAAAACATTCGAATTTTCAACTAACCTGTTTTTTCGATGCGCCGCCGTAAAGTGAGCCATTTTAGAGGGAAATGGACAGAAAAAATTATTTTTTGAAAAATGGGCAGGAAAATTTCGCTATAATCTGATTATCAAATCAAAAATATATTAATTTATCGATTTCCTCCCCTTTTTCCGGTCTCACATAATAGTTTTTCTTCCAGGGAAAAAATTATTTGAAAAATTTTTGTGTGCGCCTTTAATTACCGTAGCAGGCATGTTCATTTTGCTTTGCCGGCAAAAAGCAAAGCAGCTTTGCTGGGCGTGGCTTTGCTTTTTGCTGGCAAAAAGCAAGTGAGGAAAAAGCAAAAAAAAAGCAGCCGCGGCTGCCTGCCGGGCTGCTTTTTCAAAATACAAAAGGCAACAAGCGAAGCTCCGCCCCTCCACACACAAAACATGGCAACACACAAAACCAGTGAACCGTCCGCGTATGCATTTATTCAAGTAGTCTCGCGCGCGCGTTAGAGAGGCAAAAAGAGGTTGTTTTGTCAATGCATTTTCACTGCTTTCAGATGATTTTGGAAGGAGTGAAAAAAGCATTGCCGGCAATTCGGCAGGCTGCTTTGCTGTTGCTTTTTCACAGTCTTACCGTGTAAAAGCAAAAGCGGCTTTGCTTTTTCGGGGGACGGCAAAAAGCAGGCAATGCCGGCAAAATGAACATGCCTGTACCGTAGTAAAAAATTATTTTATTTTTTCTTCGAAGAAATTACTATAAATTTTTCAGAAAAAGCAATGAGATCGCATTAGCGAAGAAATTATGAAAAGCAAAAAAAATTCAGATTCAGATTCGTATTTGTATTTGGAAAAACTACAAATTTTCTTTCGTTTTTTGTGTTGCTAAAATAGCTGATAAAAATATTTAGAGGAGGAAAAAAAGTGTGAATTTTCAATTATTATATAATAAATGTGCTATAAACTTTTTATCGAAAACGGAGACATTTCGTATTCCGTGTGAAAATTGAAAAATCGGAGAATTGCGAAAAAAATTAAAATTTTTACTACTGTACTCGTTGTTTGGTCTCACCACGAATATTAAATATTGTACTGTGTGCCTTTGGATATACCGTATTTTCCTTATTTTTTTCCTTTTCTTTTTTTTCTTTTCTCGTTTTTTTCCGTTTGCAATCAAAAACGAAAAAGAAACACACGTCAGCGATATAAAATTTCACAAGACATAACGGAGAGAGAGAAGAGACGGAAAAGAGCGAAAGATATATATTTTTGCGTGCCAAACCGCGTATTTTCCCACTTTTCAGTCGAAAAATGGACGATCCCGCCGAAATTCTACACGACGATTCGATTGCTGGCATCCTTTTCGATGATGGAATTGATGGTTTGGATTTGGAGGTGATTTTCTCGCTGCTAATAACACTTATCGTTGGTTTTGTTATAATCGGCAGGTTTTTGACGAATTTATAGTGAGTCTCATCATATTTACACTCAAAATACCGGGAAAATTTCCGAATTTTCAGTCGAAATCGTTTCTGGAATCGAGGCGGCAATGGAATCCATCCGGATCATCGAGAAAATGTCAACGGTTTTCGTGAGACCGAAGAGCAAAAATTGGAGAGACAAGCAGCTACAAGAAGACGAATAGAAGAGGCTAAACAACAGGCAAATCATGAATGCCCGATTTGTTTGGGCGAAGCCGAATTTTCGGTTTTGACTGATTGCGGACACGTTTTCTGCTGTCGATGTATTATTGGATATTGGCAGCATAGTAAGCCGATTGTGAAACCCGTAGATTGTGCGATTTGCAGGACAACGGTGAGATTTTGAGAGGATTTGGTACAAAATCTGGTTTTTTTAAAGGTTTTCTGACCTAGATTTTGAGCTAGAAACTCTGAAATTCATGATTTCACGTCTCAAGACGTTTCAGGTCACGTCTGAAAATCTTAATTTTTTCAATTACTAGAAAAAATACAAACCTTTTATCAAAAAATGAATCTTTGTCCGATAGAAGTTGAAGAAAAAACACAAAACAATATAAAAATAATATAAAAAATGAAAAAAAAAAAATTTTGAGGGATTTTCCTCTTTTTCCACAAGTCCTGGCTTGTGAGCAACTCTCGTCTCAAATTATACATTACCCCTATAACTTACCTGTACCCCAAACTCACCTTATATAATTTAACACAAATCCCTGTGTTCTCTCACCCAAAACCAAACCCAAAACCCATTAAACTAACCTCTACATGAGTTGCAGTTGTATAAGATCCAAATCCTCAAATGCATCACAACGTTTTACGGTGACACAGGCGAGAGAGAAACACCCGAGGAGACGCAGAGAACATTGAAGTGCGCTCTACCGAACACAAAACGTTTTTCTTTTTCAAACCAGTTTTTTTCAGTTTAAAGTGGGTTTTCCAGAATAATAACTTACCGGCTCAATTGAATTTTAATGAGATGAATCTGAAATTTTTCAGGAGAAGACAAAAAAGTTTATAGGAAAAATGCTATTTTACCGTGTAAAACAATTGAGAGCTCTCAGCTGAAGATGGCAGAAAATACACATTAAATTAAATAAATGATATACAATGCTATAAAACATAAATAGTTACATGGGATTTCAATTATTCTCATTGTTCTCCCTGATTTTCGAAAGCGAACGGCGAAATTGGCGATAGTCATCACAGGTTTCCGGCATTCGCCATCACTCAAAACGCAAAATCGGCGGGATTTTCGAGACTTCCAATTGAATTCGTCCTCAAGCGCATCATATTTTCAATCAATGGCCATTTATCATTCATTTTGTTGAATTCTCACTTTCCGATTTGCATCATCAACAGTCGCTTGAACAGTTCACCTCTTAGCAACACCAGGAAAATTTCACATGCCATTTTCAGCAGTTGTTTCATATTCAATAAATTGAGCAAGTGGACGGTCATCAATAACTCGAATGACACTTAGCATTTCCTCAGCTTGATGAAAATAACAGCAATTCGATTCCGAGAGTATGATTGGTTTGCTGGCAGTTTTGTCGAGATTGATGGTGGGAAACTTTCGGTTTGGATGTTGTCAAATCCTTTATTCCTCATAATAATCCTATCTTTAACCGCTTTGATACAATAAAATCTGAAAAAAACATAAAATTGGGGAATGTTCAAAATAACAAGTAAACTGACCTGTTTTTCGTGTGTAGATGACAAAATCGACGTTCCGTACCAACCCAACATGCTGAAAAATGTTCTACAGTTGAACATATAACTTATTAATCGAGAAAACATCGATAATCAGCTGGAAAGCAGAACAAAAACGGAAAAAACAAAAAAATGAATTTCGAAAATGAAAAAAAACTGGTGCGAACAGTTCGCTAGAGCGCACTTTCTTTCTTTTTTTCTCTGCGCCCTCCAAAAACGAAAAACTCTCACCTGTGTCATTTTTGTTCAGGCTTAAAACGTTGTGGCATTTTGTTTTCATCATTGAAATTGGAGTGGACAACCAACATCGGCTCACTAAATTCCGAAATCTCTTGCGATCTGAAATTTCTCTGGGTCCTAAAAAGAAAAATAAACTCCCTCTTACCTTTAATTGAGAGCTCTCAATGAAGACAGACCGAATACAAAAGAAAATATTTCGAGAAATGAGCGTCCAACCTGAAAAAAAGAGATCTAGCGTGATTTTTTTCGACAAAATCCAAAAAAAAATTCATTTCAAAAATGTTTTTCTTGAAATGTGGCTGCCAATCGATATAAAACAAAAAAAATCGTTGAAATCCCGCGCGTGATCTACACTATTCACATTTTTGCGGGTCTATGATTTATGAATTTAAAAATCAGGTTTCAGCTTGAAATGGATTCTTGAATTTGAAATTTACCAAAAAATTATGAAAATGGTCTCTGAAATCACAATTTTCAGAAAAAGCACATTTTCTTAAAAAATCCTATCTCTTCAGATTCACATGCTTCTCCCACTCCAGTGGCCTAATCAAAGCGACGAGGAACCCGAAGCCGAGCCCGCATCAAATCAGGAATCCACGAGTTCCGATGCTCCCAACAACAACAATCAAGATTTATTGCTCGAAAACAACATCCGAATCAACGATTATAATCGGCGATTTTCGAGAAACCGCCCGATTTTGGATTATATTCGAGATGTTCCAGTTTTGGTGCCGTATGTGCTTCGCAATTTTATGAATAACGATATTTTTACCATGGTTTATCAGTGAGTTTTTTGTTTCCCGGTGGCCTAGAAATCCAAAAACCTTCCAATTTGCAGAGTCCGAGTGGCCGTGATCATAATCACCGTAATTCTCTACTTCCTGATACCAATGGACGTGGTGCCCGAAGGTATTTACGGTCTCGTCGGATTCTTCGACGATTGTATGATCGGATTCGTCGTCATTGGATATTTGATTCGATTTTTGCGCGACTACATGGCTCGACGAGGCCTAGTCGGGCCCAATAATATGGCAGACGATGGTCCGATTATACTTCCCGATGAGGACGTGGAAGATGAAGACGTGGAGGATGAAGCTTCTGAAGACGATTCCGAGGAGCCCCCAAATCTCGACTACTTAGACTGAACAAATCTCAAAAAGCCACGTGTACTTGTAAATATCAAGCTCATAATATCGGTTCAAAAACTGTGATCGAATAAATAATATTTTTTTGAATTCAAAGGGTAAAACTACGGAGAGAAAATGTGGAGGGGTGCAATTAAAACTACATCAAAAATTGTGCAAGAATATAGAGAAACGATGAGAGAAAGAGGGTGAGTTTAGAATTTTGGATCTCTGAATTGTTGTCCAGCGTAAACGGCGTCAGCTCCGAGTTCTTCTTCGATACGCAACAATTGATTGTATTTGGCCAAACGTTCTGAACGGCATGGAGCTCCAGTTTTGATCTGCAAAAAACATGTTTGAAAAATATTTTGGAAAAAGTCTCACCTGTCCAGTAGCCAAACCAACAACCAAATCAGCGATAAAAGTGTCTTCAGTTTCTCCAGATCTGTGAGATACCATAACTCCCCATCCGTTGGCACGCGACAATTTGGCGGCTTCAATCGATTCGGTGACCGATCCGATTTGATTCACTTTCAACAACAAGCAATTGCAACTTTTCTTGTCGATTGCTTGACGGATACGTTTTGGATTGGTGACAGTCAAATCATCACCAACCAATTGAATGTCAGTGGCGGCCTGTAAAAAATATCTTTGGTTTTCTATCTAGGCCAAGAGGAATTTTCTGATTCTCTAGACTCACATGAAGTTTACCCCAGTTATCCCAATCATCTTGATCAAAAGCATCCTCAATCGACACAACTGGATACTCTTTGATGAAGCTTTGATACAAAGCAGCCAATTCCTCGCCAGTCAACCATTTCGACGAATCCGACGCCGGGTTCTTGAAATCCAAGTCATATTTGCCGTCACGATAGAATTCCGAGGCGGCAACATCCATACCGATCGAGATCTTTCCAGTGTAACCAGCCTTTTGGATGGCGGTGTTCAACAAATCCAAACCTTCCTTGTTGTCTTGAATGTTTGGCGCGAAACCTCCTTCGTCACCAACAGCTGTGGCATCCAAACCGTATCTCTTCTTGATTTCAGCCTTGAGGTGATGGTAGACTTCAGCTCCCATTCTCATGGCTTCGGCGAAGCTGGAAGCTCCAACTGGGAGAATCATGAATTCTTGCATAGCCAATTTGTTTCCAGCGTGGGATCCACCATTGATAACATTGAAGGCTGGGACAGGGAGGACAACCTAAAAGAGTTCGAGTTTTTAAAAAGTATTATCGAGCTTTTTAAATATACCTTGCTAATTCCGGCTAATTCAGCAATATATTTGTAAAGTGGCAATCCTTTGTGAACAGCTCCAGCCTTGGCAACAGCCAAAGAAACTCCAAGAATAGCATTGGCTCCCAAAGTTTGCTTATTTTCAGTTCCATCCAACGCCAACATGAATTCATCGATCTCTTTTTGAGCGGTAACATCGAATCCCTTCGCAATCAAAGCTGGTGCGATTTTATCATTGATGTTGGCGACGGCCTTCAAAACTCCTTTTCCCAAATGAACGGCTTTGTCGCCGTCGCGAAGTTCGAGGGCCTCGTGGACTCCGGTTGAGGCTCCGGATGGAACGGCGGCGCGGAACACTCCTTTTTCGGTGTAGAGGTCGACTTCGACGGTTGGGTTACCGCGGGAATCGTAGATTTGACGGGCGTGGATTTTGGTGATTGGCATACTGGAAAACATGAGAATATTTTGATTTTGTGGAAGAGGGATGAGAAAAAATACGAAAATAGAGGTTTCGTGGTTGAAAATCACACTTTCATTTAATGAAATAGTCTATTTATATGTACCCGCTGATCACAATCCCGTCGTCAAAAATTACAGAACTCAACACCTAATATTAGTTATGACGTGGCAAATTCAGAGCAATAGGAACTTCAGATTATAACCAGCTTCTAGAAGATTTTTTAAACGAAAATCTGATAGTGTTCAGAAGAGTTCCAATCACTTTAGAAGCTTAACATCCTAAAGTCCGTTTTTCTCTAAAATTTCCAAGTTTGCCACGTCATAACTCATATTAGGAGTTGAGCTTTGCAATTTTTTGAGCTTTGCAATTGAGCTTTGCAATTCAAGGGGGTTGTAATCAGCGGGTCGAAAACTACTAGAAAACTATATTTTTGATCAAAAAGATCAAGTTCCAAAACGATGTCGGAAATTGGAAGGTTTTCATTCTTCGGAGGTGAAATTCGAGAAAATCACGTAGATTTTTGAGCACCAAAACTTGAACGAAAAATTATAATTTTGGCCAAAAAATCACACTAAAGTTGTCTGCAAGTTTCTTCCAAAAATCCCTATGATTTTCAGTCCCAAGGTTAGCCTAACTTCTCTCAAAAAAACCTCTAAAAATATCAATTGAGACAGGCGGTTCACACACAACAAAATAAAACTCTCTCTCTCACATTCAGTGTTTGTGAAAAATGAAAAAGAACGAGTGAAAAACCGCTGGGCCGCAGAAAAACATGCGAGAGAAAAGAGGCGCAGGCGAAACTAGAGAGGGGCGTTCAAAAATAAATTTTTATTTATTTGGTTGAAAAAAAAATTATGATGCAATTCGAATCTGGCAATTTCAGAGAAAATCAAAGGTTCCTCGGAGGAAAAAATGAATATATAAATGCTGGAAAAAACATCTAACCGCCCATCTTTTTTGCCGGCCAGCCAGCCACAGCAAAATCAATAGGAATGAGCACAACAAGAAGAATGGAGCAACTGCTCCCTCCAATCCAAGAAAACATACGTGACATTTCAGATTTCTACGAGAGAAAGAACGAAAACATGTTGAAAAATATGTATTATCAAATGGTTTGTTTTATTTTTGATATTGAAAATATCAAACAATAGAAATGATAAACATTCTTTTTTCGATATCGGAGTGTATTTTCTAGCTAGAAACTGAAAAACAAGATCATAGTGCACCTCAGTGTAGCGCGCCAAAAAATTACAGAAGCAACGCGTGTGCGTCGCGGATTTTCAGGCGAAAAAGCAACAAAACAAAAAGTCTTATCTCTTCGAAAAAAGAAAATGAGCCCATTTTTAAAGAGCACAAATCAGTTTCTTTTGCTCGTGGTTTCCACGTGCAAATTTCGCCGAAAAGCAAACTTTTGTGTTTGTTTTATTATCGAAAATCTCATCGGTACCACGCGCTCCACCGAAATAAACACGCAACGCAGACCGCGCCGCGCCACAACACACACACAAAAAGGGAGGAAATTTGAATCGTTCCCTCATTTGTGTGTGTTGTGGCGCGGCGCGGTCTGCGTTGCGTGTTTATTTCGGTGGAGCGCGTGGTACCGATGAGATTTTCGATAATATCATTGTCGTCGGCTACTCCTTGTTCACCCATCGAAACTATTTTCTTTTTGAAAAGAAAAGGTTTCTCCAATTTCAGGACAAATATTTCAAAATGAATGAAATGATGCAATTTTTGGCGCCAAAAATTGCATCATTCCTGCGCCAAGAGCAAAAAAAAGACAAAAAATAGAGAAAGGGGACTAAACTACGTGTAGTTCTTCAGAAATCGTGTGAACACTCTTCTTCTCTCAACATTATTTTATGTGTCGGAGAGAAAAAAGTATGAAATCGGATTAGTTTGTAAAAAAAACTGCATGAAACTGAAAAACAATCAATTTCTTTTTTTTTAGTTTTGAAGTAGAAATTGAGAAAAATTGGGGAAACCCTGAGAAGATCAAGGTCAAAATAGAAAAAAAAACAACAATTTTCACTCACTCACTCACCCTATAGATTTCAGGTCTGATCTAGTTGAAATGGAAGTGGAATTTGGCACTTTTCCAAATAGGCTTCGCACAAAATGATATGCGACATGAAAAGAGACTAGCATTTTGTAATATTTTCAAAATTCAAAATACTCATTCAGAATTTTTTCAAATCACGTACATTTATAAATAGGTCACGTCACAGATATTTAATGGCTTTTTAGATAAAACCAAATTCATTTTCAGGAAAAAAATCGATAAATCAAGATAAAATTTATTCACAGGAAATTTTTTATGAAGAAAACTCAAACTAGTAAGCGTTAGAATATAAAAAATTGTAAGTTTATTGATTGCGGAGACGTGGCTGAAAAATACATTTTAGATACTTCAGAAAAAAAATTCAATAAAAAACTTACACTGCGTCTCACTGGACCGACAGATCTTCGATTTAGGCATCGACGAGCTGGGCGAACACGAATCGGTGTGTTTTCTGCAAGAAAATGTGATATTTATCGAAGTTTTATTTTTTAAAAAAAGCTCAACCTCTTCTAGTCGCCAAAATTGATCGGGGTTGCGGCGTGCCAACGCGCGGAATCCGCGTCCCAGAGATCGATTGTGGTGGCGTCGACGAATCGAACGTCACCAGACGATCCACTGGTGGATCACGGATTTGCACGTTTCTTGGTGTCGTTGGCGTCGTCGCCACAACCGCTTCTTCTCTTTCTCTTCCCTCCACATTTCCTCCTTCTCCTCCTCGATGCAAAATCTGAAAAAAATTCTTATTTTATTTGTTTTTTGAAAAATGTGATTTCAACTAACCTGCAACACCCTCTCATAATCCGATTTCAATTGCGCTATATCGCGCTCCATACGCGCCATCTTTTTCATCTTGGTTCTCTTCCGACATTACGAGAACTGCGCGAGAGGATTTGAACGAAATTTCGTTCGCGAAAATGAGAAAAAGAAAGTGAGAATTTGAAAATTGTATTTCGCGCCGGCGCGCGGCGAGACCCAAATGCTTGTGTGCCATGTCCCTTGATTTTTTATTTTCATTTTTTTTTTGTTGAAAATCCCAAAAACTGGGTTTTCAGCCGTATTTTCAGCTGTAGAAAACCATAGGTTCCCAAATTTAAAAGTTTCTCGTTTTCATGTTCTTCACACCTCGGATTTCCCAAAAAAGTTTTATTTTGTAAAAAAGCAGTTTTTCACACCTCGTGTTTCCCAGCAAAAAAATTGACGTGTCTAATTTCACACCTTGAAATCTCGGGAAAAGAACCGCAACTGTGGCAGCATTTGTCGCAGCGCTGCGGCAATTTGTCGCATCGCTGCAGCATTTTTTTTGTTGCAACACATGCGCCGGAGTTGCGACAAAACTCGCAACTGTTGCGTGAACTGTTGCGGAAATGGGCGCAACTCCGGCGCATGTGTTGCAGTGCCGCAGCGCTGCGACAAATTGCCGCAGCGCTGCGACAAATGCTGCCACAGTTGCAGTAAGTTGCGGTTCTTTTCCCGAGATTATCCCAAATCAACAGAGCTCCACCCACTTTGCACCATATAAAAGGGGATCTCTGAGCCCAATAATCATTCAGTTCTAAGAACTACCATTTCTGATACTTTTTCATTTTATACCTGATTTATGATAAAAATGGTATAATGCTAAGGCATCAGAAATGGTGGTTCTGAAACTTCTTCATATTTTTGTATCTAGTTTGCTCATCTACAATTTTCCTGATACAGTTTGAATACCTGAACTATTGAGCTAAATGGTATTAAGCATCTATCAGGGACATTGTAGATTCTGAGCTGATTTTTCCCCCAACAAAACTACAAAAACATTTATTATATATTCAAAATGTGCAAAAAGAAAACGATTTGATGAAAAAACGAGAAAAATTTTGAGCGGAGGCGAAAAAATCAAATATTGCAAGAAAAAAAAAATAAAAGAAAAATTTAGATTCAAAAAGTACTGATACCTGTAAAAATTTCACCGAAAAACACAGAAAAAATCATCGGGGGGTGGGAGAGAAATCGGGATTGAAAAAACCGGATGCAAAGGGGGAAAGGGCCTAGGCTTAGGCTTCGCTGACGCTACTCATTTGAATTCGAAGTGGACGTTCTTTTCGGCGATTCGCACTTTCGACCTGAAATTTTTACATTGATTTTTGGCTCAAATTATGTTTTTGCTAGAGCACGAACCTGTCCATTCTCTTTAATTTTAATCTGTTTTCTCTCTTCTTCGCTCAAAATTTTCGCAACTTCTTCCGAATCCTTATAATAAATCACACGAACTCCGACTCGTGCGATATAGTCTTTTTCGTCGGCTTTGTGCAAATCTTTGACGAACATTGAGCTGAAAAATTCATATTTTTTTTGAAAATCGCATTTTTTCGCTTACCCTTCCAACAATTCCAATCGATTTTTCCAATACGGCCATTTGGTCCAACTATAGGTTTTCAGCTGAAAATCGGAAAAATTGGTATTTTTTCGTGTTGAAAAATGCCTTACATCAGTAACCGCAATTCGATCAACCGGAATTTGCGAATATTTCGAAATTCCTTCGAAAAACGACAAAACTTGATTCTCCGCTTTCGGATTGACCATAATCTCATGAGTTGGGCTAACTTCAACAGTTGATGGTCTGAATCGTCGAACCAAGAGTGGAACACCAGGTTTGCCAAATAGATTTTCATCGGAAATTATTTGCAAATATAGTGTTGTATTCCACGTGGTGTCTCTTTCGTCCAATGTTTGATTTGGTGACAAAACACCACCATTGTGATTAGAATAGAATGGAATATCTCGCATTCGAACTCTGTAAAATTAGGGAAACATCATGAAGATCAGGAGACTATTTATTGTTAGGAATTTTAAAGGTCAAATTTTTCCTCAAAATCCATTTTCCTCTCCCCAAAAACATACATGGCATCTTTGCCCAACGGACCCTCCATGTAATGATCCCCCCCCTCCCCGAAATTTTGAAATGTCATGATCCCCCCCCTCAATTTTTTTGTCAAAAATTTGAAAAAATAAATGGTGAAAAAAAATGAAAAATATCAAGAGAGAGGGGCACAGAGTGTAATTTACTACCCAAAAAAAATCGCGCATTTTTAGAGACCTGACACGATCTTAGGGGTGGGACTAAAATCGACGAAATTCAGCGCAAAAATGAGAGATTTAGAGAAAAATGATTTTTGATCTACCCAAAAATTAATGAAAATTTTGAGGTCTAGCGATTTGAGGTAGTAAATTACTATCCTGTGGGGAGTTTCATTTTTGACATATTTTTTCAGGTTCGATAATTTGGAAACTAGTTCTTTAGGAATATCGAATGTAGAGAACGAGCGAAGAATTCGACGGATATCATTCATTGGCTAATTATTCTTATTTCTCATTTTATTTCTAAAATTCTCAATTATATTTTTCTATATCCTTCTAAAATAAAAAATGAGTTTATTGTAGTAAGTTCCTTTCAGAAATTTTCATGCAATTATCATGCTCAACCCTTCTGAACAATTCCATATAAATTATAGACAATGCGTTATTTATTTGATAATCAAATTGAAATCCAAAAATATTGAATTACAAAACAAAAGAAAAAAGTGGATTCCACCGAGAATTCGATCCAAAAACCCTCAGATTATTACGCGCGATCTCTACCGACTTGACCACGAGGCTACTTTCTTTCACACGCTTATTTTTAAGTGATAAAAAAGGGATAGAAGGGGAGAGAAAATGAAAAAGAGAAGGAGAAGCGGAAAAAAATCATGAAATTTTTGAAAAATTACCATTTTTTATCGAATTTCGCCGATTTTGTTATATGTTTCGACTGTATAAGTAACTTAAGGATGGTAGAAAGGAATGTCTGTCGAAATTATCTAGAAGGAAGGCTTATTTCTTGAGATATGATCCCCCCCAAAATGACATAGCAAAACGGCTTCGATTTTGGGGGGGATCATATCTCAAGAAATAAGCCTTCCTTCTAGATAATTTCGACAGACATTCCTTTCTACCATCCTTAAGTTACTTATACAGTCGAAACATATAACAAAATCGGCGAAATTCGATAAAAAATGGTAATTTTTCAAAAATTTCATGATTTTTTTCCGCTTCTCCTTCTCTTTTTCATTTTCTCTCCCCTTCTATCCCTTTTTTATCACTTAAAAATAAGCGTGTGAAAGAAAGTAGCCTCGTGGTCAAGTCGGTAGAGATCGCGCGTAATAATCTAAGGGTTTTTGGATCGAATTCTCGGTGGAATCCACTTTTTTTCTTTTGTTTTGTAATTCAATATTTTTGGATTTCAATTTGATTATCAAATAAATAACGCATTGTCTATAATTTATATGGAATTGTTCAGAAGGGTTGAGCATGATAATTGCATGAAAATTTCTGAAAGGAACTTACTACAATAAACTCATTTTTTATTTTAGAAGGATATAGAAAAATATAATTGAGAATTTTAGAAATAAAATGAGAAATAAGAATAATTAGCCAATGAATGATATCCGTCGAATTCTTCGCTCGTTCTCTACATTCGATATTCCTAAAGAACTAGTTTCCAAATTATCGAACCTGAAAAAATATGTCAGAAAATGACCACATGCAAAATCACCCAATTTTTTTCTAGCGTACCGATTTCACTTTGATAAAAATTTAGATTTTTTGTATGTAATGTCATGATCCCCCCTCGAGAATTTTTTCCAAATGTCATGATCTCCCCCTCACAATTTTGAGAGCAGTGCCATGTATGCCCAAAAAACTCACTGTTGCGGCGTCAATTCAACACCATAAATCTCTTTGTACATTCTCAAACATTGAAGCATAATATCACCAATCAGCGATTTTTGAGATGCCGGAACTTCGAAGAGTGTCTTCCATTTTTCTCTCTGAAACAACATCCCCACAATTTTTTCATTTCAAAATGCTCAAAAATCTCACCACATTTTCATTCATATCAAATTGAACAACTTGTATCATTTTCTCATCAATTTTCAACGGCGGTCTCAATTTGACTGAAATTGTCGATGATTGGAATGCATTTGGTACAATTTCGTCGTCTTTTGCATGCGATTCATATCCTCGATCACAACTTTCACTAGTGTTTATGAAAATGACAAATTGCGAAGTGTCAATGTTGAGTTGGGTCGAAATCCATTTTTTGAGCTCACCAACTTTGAGGCGAGAATCAATGTCGAGAACACGGTCTGCAAAGTTGGAAATTGGAAAGTTTTTGAGAAAACTTCAACAAGGGATTTTTAAATTTCCCTGATAAGTTATGACGTGGCAAAAATCTTTTCACCACGTCATGACTTATTAGAGATTTGAGTTCAGCAATTTCAGAGGACGGAATCGTAATCGACTAGAAAATATAAAATCTAAAAGTTTCTGAACCCAAAAATCCAGACTTTCAAATTTTCTCTCTAGGACTGATTCGCGGACGAAAAAAATTTGAACATTGAAATTTCAATTCACGAAAAATCAAAATATGTCGAATTGTAGTTAAAAATTAGTTTTTCGGCCAAAAATGATGACAAATCGAGATTTTTGAAGTTTCTGGAGTGATTTCTGATGAAAATTGACCTTGGGATTCACTTTTCAGAAAATTTTGCCGATTTTTCGTGAAATAAATCGGAAAAGTTAATCCCAGGTTCAATTTTCATCAAAAATCACTCCAGAAGCTTCAAAAATTTCGATTTGTCATCATTTTTGACTGAAAAACTCGAAAAACTAAATTTGACTTTTTTTTTGACTTTTCGTGAATTGATATTTCAATGTTAAAAATCTAGATTTTTTTCAAATTTTCTGTCTCCTTACGTGTTTCATTAGCCGACACAACAATAATCCTTCCATCTCCACTCGACGACGAACTCGACGCAATAATCGACGAAGCTGTTGGAACCAATGTCGATTGTCCTCCGCTACTCAACGATTCTCCTTCGATATCCCCTTTTCTCGACTCATAATTCGCCGATTCATTAATTCGCATATAATTGTGATTATCATGTGAATTATAGACATAATTTATAGTCATTTCAGCGTTGAGTTGATTCTAGAAAATAGGAATTTTTTATTAGGAGAAGAAAATCGTGAAAAAATCAGATACCTTCAGTTCAAAACTCGAAATCTCTCCTCTTTCTCCACATCCACCATATTCATTTTCCGAAACACTCGGCGACATTTGCGGTGTGTTGTTGCAAAAACTGCCAGACACCAATCCCGTCAAATCATCGGAGCCCATTGAGACAGTTGAAGCTCGGCCAGATGGGATTTCTTCGTTGTCTTCTTTGGGAATCTGAATGGAGTTGGAATTTGGGATAGTTTTATTTTCTAGACTTCTGTGGATTTTCATTTTGAAAAGGGGTTCTGAATATTTTCTTCGATAAGACGAGAAAAACCTTTTGGAAATCAAAATTCAAGTTTCTAGATTTCTGTGGATTTTCATTTTAAAAATTAAAATTTTCTACTTGAAAATCACTAATTTCTGGGTTTTCAAGAAATTATCTTGGAACAATTCGAATAATTTATTCATATTTTTAAAATTACATTTTTCAGGCAAAACTTAGCTTGTTAATAATTAAATTTTTGGAATTGTGTAAAGATAATTTCTTGAAAACTCACTTCAGAGTAACTTTCAAAAAGAAAAAAGTTATTTTTAAAAGAAAATTCACTAGAACTTCAATTTTCATTTCCCGAAAGTTCCTGATTTTAAGCTCCCCAAAATCTCACCTCAACTCCACTCAAATCAATTCTCATCTCATTCTCCTCTTCCCGAATCACATCCTCTTCTCGTTCCTCCTCATAAATCGCCGCATTCGCTCCAACAGTCTCAGCCCATGTTGGTCCATGATAAGCTCCGCTGACCGAAGCCGCGCGATTTATCTCCTCTTGACTAGGCAATCGAACATTCAAAATGGACGCAAAATATTTGCGATCCAAAATCTCAAACATTGTCGATTTCTCGAATGGCAATTTCCGATCAGCTTCTGTCGCTTCAATCGTTTCATTCGAGCACATTTGCCTCAATCCACCATCATAATAAACAATAGCTGTTGAGTTTCCAACATATTCCTTGATTAGATCCGAAAATATCTTTCCATTCATATTTCCACCGTCAATATTCACAAATTCGTTTTCTTTGGTTTTCGATTCCAAAACTAAACGAGCTGCGAGAACTTCTCGTTGATCATCGCGAAATTGTTGACCAACAATTAATTTTGTTCGAATAACTGGTTCGCCGGGTGGAATATAGACACATAGTTCGGGAACTGTTGTGCGTTTTGCGATGTCGACACGTTGGATTTGGAGAAGAATTCCGCCGGATGGTTCGATTGGGAATGGAACTGGAAAATGAAAAAAATGAGAAGGTTCAGAGGTTTGGAATAAAGTTTAATATGAGCAATGTTTGAAACTTTATAGAATTCCGAAAAATCAAGGATTGCTCATATTAAACTATTTCAGAAGAATTTTTAGAGCTCAAAATTTCAAGTTTACTGAAATCCGGAATTTTCAAAACCTTCAAAATTTATTTTTGATTTTCTGGGGTCAAAAATAACGTTTTCAAATTTTTAAATTCGAATTTCAGCCATACTAAATTCAAAAAAGAAGTTTTTAATATGAGCAATGTTTGAAACATTAAAGGAGTTACGGGCTAATCAAAATTTCATGGAAAAAATAGACCATCTGAAAGAGGAGGTTTCGTTTAGTATGTTCCCAATTTTTTATAATTATTTTTCACGTTTGAGTACCATTTTTTCACGCGCAAACACGAAAAAGTTGCGCTCGACCTCAGAGAAATAGCATGCAGAAAAGAGAGACACAGCGCATAGAAGGGGCGGGGCCTAAATACGCTGTGTCTCTCGTTTCTCTATGCTATTTCTCTGAGGTCGAGCGCAACTTTTTCGTGTTTGCGCGTGAAAAAATGGTATTCAAACGTGAAAAATAATTATGAAAATTTGGGAACATACTGAACGAAACCTCCTCTTTCAGATGGTATATTTTTTTCCATAAAATTTTAATTAGCCCGTACCCCCTTTAAAAATTCAAGCATTGCTCACACTAAACTATTTCTCAATTTTTTAAAAATTTCTGACGACTTTCTGGGGTCAAGAAATATGCTTTTTCAAAGTTTTTAATCGATTCTCAGCCATTTAAAAAATTCAGAGAATTTTATGAAACATTTTTCTTTTGAACATTTTCAGATCGAAATTTCTTGAATTTCAGATTTTTTTTAGCTACTCTCCATCCCAAAAAAACCAACCTGACGCAATTCTCGAATCCAACAAAAACTTAATCACATACAATGGATGTGGCTCAACCATTTGTGGATCAAAAACACATCTCAATTTCTTCTCCATATCCGCTTTCGATGCAAATATCCGTCTCAAAGTATTATTCCTCTCATAAAATATCATTCTCGAAGTGTTTCTCGATATCGTCAGCCCATACGACTTCGCTCTTTCCGTGAAGAAATCAAGCGCCTGATTAAAAACTGTTGCGATTGTTTGATATCTCGAAATTTCGGTGACGTATTCAACAAAATCATCAACGATTTGTCGTTTGTATTTCAGAACATCCAAGTTTTCACCCTTTTGATTCTTGACGATTGAGGGGAATGGATAATTTAGGCGAACTCGGACGGTTAGCATACTTTCTTGCAATTTTCGATGCTCTTCTTCTTCTTTTTCTTGTTGACGCCATTTGGCTTGGAGATTCTGGAAAAATAACAAATTTGAAAGAGTTTCTAGGCCGATTTCCAGATTTTTAGGCTATTCTTGAATTTCTAGACCATTTCCCGGCTTTCTAGGCTAGGGTTTAGACTTCTAAACCATTTTCTGAATTTTTAGGTCATTTTTTCGGATTTCTAGGCTATTTTTTCCTAGTTTCTAGGTGATTTTCGAGTTTCTCAGCCCGTTTTCCGGATTTCTAGGACATTTTCAGGTTTATAGGCCAGGTTTTGGATTTCTGGGCCATTTCTCGGGTTTCTAGGCCAAATTCCAGATTTTTAGGCTTTTTTTTTCAATTTCAAGGCCATTTTCCGGGTTTCCAGACGTTTTTTCAGGTTTCTAGGCCATTTATCTCTAAATTTACAGTGCCTAGTCATCAAATTCCATGCTTACCTTAATTTTGAGAAAATAAGCCACGTGGAATTTCGGATTCACAAAATTTCGAAAAATGAAAATTATAAAAATTACACGTGGCCCAGATTTTTTCACGGGAATTCAAAAAGAGCAATTTTTTTTTGAAAAAAAAAATAAAAACGTGTCCCAATTTTTTTCGCCCAAATTCCACGTGTCCAAAAATGCCACATAAAAACCGGCCAAAATCGAAAATCCGCCATTTCTGAACACCTGTCAACTACCCAAATAGCAATAAAAGAAGATTGGCACAAAAATCGAAAAAAACATAAAAAATTACAAGAAGAAGGATGGCGGAACAACCAATATCAGAACAACTTGTAGAAGGCACAATCATTGCGAATCGCTTCAAGATCCTTCAAAAACTCGGAGCCGGCGCGTGTGGAAGTGTCTTCAAAGTTGTTGAGGAAGAAGAAGGAGGTGCGAAAGATCAAGTTGCTCCAAAATTGTATGCTTTGAAAGCGGAATATTACGATGCATCGCAAAGTGATAGTATTCTGAAGATGGAGGTGCAAATTCTGGAGAAATTGAAGAAGAAAAAACACGTTCTTCAACTAATCTACAGTGCAAAACGTCCAGAATTCAGTTATATGGTCATGACACTTCTTGGAGAAAGTTTGGGACGTTTGGTGGAGAAGTTCGGACCCTATTTCAATGCCTCAACGCAGCTAAGAATCGGAATAATGTTGCTTTATGGTGTAAAACAAATACACGATGTGAGTTTATTTGGAAGTGGATCATTAAAATATTCATTTTGTTCTAGATTGGATACATCCATCGAGATTTGAAGCCAGCAAATGTTGCACTAGGATATGTGAGTTGAAGAGAAACTTGACACTATGTGGAAATCGAGCTGATTTTCCACGTGGCCGCTTCGCGGAAGCTTGCGGATTATAGACCGCAATTTTCCGCGCTGCGAGACCGCGTTAGGGCCACGTGGATTACTATAACGTAGAATATCAGTACGATTCCCAAGTCATAGTGATCCGCAACGCGAAAGATTGCGGTTTACATCATTTTTTTCATCGTAAGATGTGTAATCCGCAATCTTCCGCGTATCTACCGCTTCACCGGCCACGTGGATTACTCGTATACGATTCTCACGTCATAAAAAATTATGTAGACCGCGATTTTCCGCGTTGCGGATAACTATGACGTGGAAAACGTACTGATATTATACGTTATAGTAATCCACGTGCCGCTACGCGGAAGCTTGCGGAAACCCCTATTTTTTCAGCCAGGAAGTGACGATGAACGTATGATGTTGATTCTGGACTTTGGTCTAGCTCGTGAATACATCACAAAACAAAAAGATGGCAAAATCTTGTTGCGTCGCCCCAGAGATCGTGCATTTTTCCGCGGAACTTCGAGATATTGTTCGATTGCAATGCACGAGAGAACCGAACAAGGCCGAGTCGATGATCTATGGGGTCTTTGCTATATTTTAGCCGAACTTCGAGCAAAACTCCCTTGGGCTGATATTTATGAGAAGGAAGACATTGCGATGGAGAAGAAGGCGACTTTGGATGAGCGGCTTTTCCTCAATTCACCAGTTCAACTTCTTGAATTTGTGAAGGAGGTTCGAAAACTCAATTATTATGATCATCCGAATTACGAGAAACTTTTCAAAATTTTGAGTGATTCGATGAATAATGCGGGTTATCGATGGAAAGATCCATATCATTGGGAGATCAAGAAGAAGGGCGATAATTCTGGTGATCGCAATCCGAAAAATCCGAAACTCAAGTCGAAGAGCAAATTTGTGACAATGTCGGAGAAATTGATCAAGAGTCGAAGAACCAAAAGTGCAGCACCGGCGGCGAAAAAGAAGGAATCTTGTTCGGATAAAATGGGGAAAACTAAAGGTGAGGGGGATTTTTGCCTTGTGGGAAATTTTCTCAAAAATTTAACATTTCAGCATTGTCAGTCAATAGTTCTCCAAACATTGCGGGGGCAACTGCGGATGTTCCATTTTTCACGAGCGAGGATTTTACTAGTAATCCGATTGGATTTTGAATAAAGATTTTTGAGATTGAAACCGGTTTTGTTATGAATTTTGAGCAAGAATTGGAGCGTTTTGAGCCAACATTGGTGAAAAATGGCCAATTTTGAGCTTGAAAATCGATATTTTGAGCTGAAAATAGACCCAAAAATCTAGCAAGAGAGCATTTTGAGCTCGGAACCCGGAAAATTGCCAAAATTTGAGCCGGGAACCTTGAAAATTGAGCTTGAAAAGATACAGAGCTCATTTTTTACTCTACCCATATTCCAATTGAACATCCATGGCTCATTTCCCCATCTCCTGTACCTGTATATGCGCTGGCAATTTATCGGTATGCAAAAATACGCAATTCCTCTTTCTATCGATTTTCCGGTACATCAACATGTAAGCATTTGTATTTGACGCATTCCATCCGCCAGAATGTCCACCAAAACTTCGCTCGATTTCAGCGACATTTGCGAAATCGACACGTGTGTCATTGAAACTATACCATTTGTCTTGTTCGAGATTTCTGCAAGATTTTTTTGAAACGTAAAATCCCCGGTTCATAGGAAAGAAAACTCACTTAATATACGCATAATAATGCCCACCAGCAGCACTTCCCGAATGAACCATCACCGAAAATAATTCATAGACATTTTCGCCTTTTTGCAATAATTCATCGACTGATTTTTGATCGATTCGTTGGCCGACTCGAACCGCGCTGTTTTCATGATATTCGTAGACATTTTCATCTTGTTCGAATTCGGGACTTTCGGCTTCGGGTTTGTGGGCTTTCTGGAAAAATTTATAGGTTTTTGAGGGTGAAAAATCGAGAATTTCTAGCTGAAATTCTCGCCACCTACACTTGGCGGTGATCCAAATTCCATAGTCTCTTCCTCTTGATTTCCCCCAATCGAAATTCCCTCGCTTTTCTTCTCCTCCTCCCCTCCATTTCCTTCAGGCGGATAAATATAATCATTCAAATCCAAAACATCGGGAAACGTCATCCGATCGTTCAACTTGATGCGATGCATCGTGTTATAATCGAAATCGAATCGTTTGAGTTGAATTGTCAGCAAATATGGGAATTGGGTGATGCGAAGACCTTTGTGAGCGTCTTGTTTTGATTTGCAATTCTCGCACATGTATTGATTGGAGCCGTCGAGAAGTTCGGGTTGGATAAAAGCGTGCAGAGCTTCTTGCTGGAAGGATTTTTTTTTTGGAAAAAGAAGAGTTAGGTTCTGAAATTGTGATGAAACATATCGAAATATACAAAATCGCTCATGCTGATCACGATTCCGAAGTCAAAAATTGCCACAAATTCCTTTGAGCACTTTTCTGGAGCACCAAAGTTAGTTCGTCCATTTTCACCTGGTTCCTGGGTGGAAAATCAATTCTTATAACTTGGATAAGTTTGTTCACCACATTCGAAAACCTATCAGCTTTTTATGTTAGGTTTTCAAAAAATATGAAAAACCAGGTGAAAACTGTAATTTTAAAAAAAGTCTTGGAAAATACACACGTTTTCAGAAGTGTTTTGTGCATTTGATAAACTAAAAAGATGATATGTTTTCGAATGTGGTGAACAACCTTATCCAAGTTTTAAGAATTCATTTTCCACCCAAAAACCAGGTGAAAGTGGGCGAACTAACTTTAGAGCTCCAGAAAAGTGCTCACAGCGATTTTTTGGAAATTTTCGACTTCGGAATCGCGATGTTCGATATTTTTCATCAAATATTTCAACTCACCACACTCTTGAATGCTGTTGTCGCTCCAAAAGGTTTGACAGCTAATGGAAGATCTAGAAAATAATCAGTTCTAACATTCTCCTTTCCACACGCCAAACATTTCACAACATCTTCCATAGTTCCCCGATACAAATCCTGTATCAATTTCTCATGTTTCGTTCCCTTCCATTTATGCTCCAACGCATCAAACATCAATCGGCATAACTCCTGAACATCGTGTTGATCATAGGCCTCGCTGGCCGACCATCCAAAACTCTGTGTAAGATCGCGAGTCTCAAGTGATTCATTGTCCGTGGTTTGCAATAGAAGAAACAATTTCTGAAGTTGGCAAGGAATACTAGATTCGCCCTTTTTCTGCGCAATATTCTTTCCTGATGAGATATATTCCCATTCATACATTGCATTTCTGAATTCGGGTGTCATGTATAAACTTTGTACCAAACTATTCAAATAACACGTCATTGCTTGATTCACCAAACCAACATATCGATGATCATTTTCATCAATCGGATAACCATATGAATAGGAATTTGCATTTCCAGCAGCTGAAGACGATGAGGGAAATGTGGCTGAAGCTGATGCGAACACCGGATTCGATCTGCCGCTGGCATTTTCATCCTCTTTCTCGCCACCGGGAAGTCCTCGACCCTGTTGCATTCTGACCAATTTCTTTTGTGGCGAACTTGTCACGTCGTTCTCCACTACCATCAGAATCTGCAAGAATTCGTCATTTTTTCGAAAAAAAATAGCGAAAGAAAGAAAACCACTTCAAAAAACCCCCAGAAAAAAAACTAATAAAGCATCCTCATGAGGAGTTTTTTTGATGAATTGAGGCTTAAAAAAGAGAAAGATTACTTTGAAAGGGTTTACTTATACATACACACAGAGACAACCCGAAAAAGCGCCAAGTTTGTGAGACTGGCATTTTTCTTTTCTTATACAAAGGGCTAAATGAAATGAGAAACTTGATAATAATAGGCTGGAAATCAATGTTTCCAGGGAGACATATATAAAAGGAGACAAAGAGAAGAGAAAATGAAAATCAGAGCGCGTTGGATTTACTGCATTGTACGTGGCGGTGTTTGCACGATTTCGAAATTGAGGGACAATTTAATTATTAAGGAACGCTAGAGGCATAAAATTCATAGTAGAAAGCTATTTTCAAGCTTGAAGAGGCCAAAAACTTGAAAAAAATGAAAAAAAGAAAAAACAATGTACAGTACACACATCGAAGGCGCATAATGAAAAATACTAGGTCTCATAACGATTCTTCCAATTTTTTAGAGATCCTTTAAATTTACTACGGTGCGCGTATGACGCAATTTTTCATATTTTTGGGATTTTTCACCAAAATTCGCCAGAAAATGGATCGCGAAACGCGCTGGAAGAATCGAAGTTTGACGAAAAAAATCAATGTCGATCATTTTGTTTATGTCTCCCCGAAAAAATCGGAAAATGGTAAGGTTTTTGGCAATTTTACTCTAGGAAAAATCTGTATTTTTTCAGAATTTTATGTCACAAGCGATGAATCGTCGGATGGTGTTGCACAAAGAAAAACTGTTCCAAAACGAAAAATTTTGGCGATGAGAAAGCGAGGAAGAAAGAGTTTGAGCACCGATTTGACGACATCGGAATCAGAACAAGAAGAAGAAGAGCAAAAGGAGAATCGCAAAGTTTCGATCAAAAACGTGCTGGAAGTGATTCGAAAAAGACGAAGATTCAAAGAAGATCGGCAAGAATCAACAAAAGATCGTGTAAACTCTCGTCAGTTTCCGAACCAACGCCAGTTCTCAAACCACAGGCAAAAAAGTCTACCAAAAAATGCAAGAAACTTGTCAAGGAAACTGATCCGGCCATTGATCCCTCAACAATTTCTCTCAATCAAATGAGTTTGGAAAAGTTGCCTGAAAAACCGAAGAAAAAGCGAGCTCCAAAAGCACCGAAAAAAGTTGAAAAACAAGTGGCAATTCAAACATCTCCACTTCGAATTCAAAATGATGATTATGAAGAATTGGATGTTTATTTCCCACCAGGTTATGATGAAGCCGCATATCGTTTCGATGAAGTTTTGATGGAGGTAGAGCAGAATCATTTATTGGAAAACAACAATGACTATTTTCCGGATATTGGAGACGATTTGATCAACTATATCAATTCACCAGATCAATTCGATGATGACGATTTAAATAATTTGATTTGGGATTTATAAATGTAACCTCTGCTAATTTTAATTAACGCTAATCTCCTGTGAATATTACTATCTAAGAACTTATCCCTAAATATCTCCTGTCTCTTTTTTTATATGCATTTTCTGTTCTCGTTTGTAATTTTTGTTTTTGTCTTTGTTTTGTTTGAAAAAATGAATTGTTTCTATTTGTGGCCTAGGAAACCAAACGCGCTCCACCGAACTCGGCCATGGTGCGAATTTTTGTTCGAGAAGAAATTCATTTGTGAATTTTTGAGTTTCCGGCGTTTTCTGCTGTTTTTCTAGGTTTTCTTGTTGTGGACTTTTGAATTAGGGAAATAAAGTTTGTTTATGATAAGAATTCATAGGGTTTTCTAGAAATTTCGATTATTTTCGTTGGATTTTGGGATTTATCTTTTTTCTTTTTATTTTCGCTTCGAACAAAATATTCGTGACCAAATATTTTTTTTTCAGCACAAACCACCATGTTGCCAGTTCAAATTCTGAAAGACAGTGCTCACGAGGAACGTGGTGAGAGTGCCCGTCTCAGTTCATTCGTTGGTGCAATCGCCATCGGTGACCTCGTCAAATCAACCTTGGGACCAAAAGGAATGGACAAAATCTTGATCTCCGGAATGGACGGACAAGGAATCAAAGTTACCAATGATGGTGCCACTATTCTCAAATCGATTGGTGTTGATAATCCAGCTGCTAAAGTGTTGGTTGATATGTCGATGACACAAGATAATGAAGTTGGAGATGGCACAACATCAGTCACAGTTTTAGCCGCCGAATTATTGAAGGAGGCTGAGAAGTTGGTGAATCAACGAATTCATCCACAAACTATTATCTCTGGTTATCGCAGAGCTCTTGGAATCGCTCAACAAGCTTTGAAAAATTCCAGCAATGCTTCAGGGTGAGTTCAGATTTTGTCAGAATATTCAAAAATAATTCCAATAATTTTTTTAGCGATCAAATCCGTGAAGACTTGTTGAAAATCGCTCGCACCACCTTGGGCTCAAAGATTCTCAGCCAACACAAAGAGCATTTCGCGCAACTCGCCGTCGACGCAGTTTTGAGACTCAAAGGTTCAGCAAACTTGGATGCTATTCAAATTATCAAGAAATTGGGAGGATCAATGAACGAGTCTTATTTGGATGATGGATTTTTGTTGGAAAAATTGCCGGGAATGTTCCAACCACGTCGTGTTGAGAAGGCAAAAGTTTTGATCGCCAACACACCTATGGATACTGATAAAGTCAAAGTTTTCGGTTCGAGAGTTCGAGTTGATGGAGTTGCAAAAGTTGCTGAACTTGAAGCCGCTGAAAAATTAAAAATGAAAGAGAAAGTTGATAAAATCTTGGCGCATAATTGCAATGTTTTCATCAATCGTCAATTGATTTATAATTATCCTGAACAATTGTTCGCTGATGCTAAAGTTATGGCTATTGAACATGCTGATTTTGAAGGAATTGAGAGATTAGCCTTGGTTCTTGGTGGTGAAATTGTTTCAACTTTCGATTCACCAGCCACTGCCAAATTCGGAGCTTGTGATTTGATTGAAGAAATCATGATCGGAGAAGACAGACTTTTACGATTCTCCGGTGTCCAACTCGGAGAAGCCTGCTCAGTTGTGCTCCGCGGAGCAACTCAACAAATCCTCGAAGAAGCCGAGCGATCCCTCCATGATGCATTGTGTGTCCTCGTCACTCACGTGAAAGAAGCCAAAACTGTCGCTGGAGCTGGAGCGAGTGAGATTTTGATGAGCGCCGCTGTCGCTGCGGAAGCTCTCAAAGTTGGAGGCAAAGAATCGCTTGCAGTTGAAGCGTTCGGAAGAGCTCTCCAACAATTGCCGACTATTATTTGCGATAATGCTGGTTTGGATTCGGCTGAATTGGTAACACGTTTGAGAGCTGAACATGCTCAAGGAAATCATCGAATGGGAATTGGTAGGTTTTGGAAATTTTCATTTTTTTTGAAATTTCTAATGGTTTTCTTGATTTTTTTTTTGAAATATATGTCTTCTAGTAGTTTTCGACCCTTGTCAAAAACTGCAAAACTCAACTCCTAACATGAGCTATGACGTGGCGGACTTCTGGAGTTCGCTTTCAAAATGGTCTGATAGCATCGCGTTGTTCAGTAGGCTCTTTTACATAAGGCCGAGAGTTTTTCTGTCCTCCCGAACAACAAGATTCTCATGAAAATCATTTTGAAAGCGATTTTTGACCTTCGAAAGTCCCAACTTTGCCACGTCATAACTCATGTTAGGAGTTGAGATTTGCAGTTTTTGACAACGGAATCGTGATTAGAAGGTGGAAAACTACTAGATCTCATTAAAAATCTTGATTGCAACTTCCAACCAAAAGAAAAATCCAATAATCTTTCAGACATTGAAAAAGGCGAAATCACCGACGTCGTCGCTCTCGGCGTCATCGAATCCTACAACGTGAAATTGTGTATGGTCTCATCGGCCGCCGAAGCAACCGAACAAATTCTTCGCGTCGATGATATCATCAAAGCGGCGCCACGTCAAAGAGCACAAGATAATCGACCATGCTAAACAACAACATTTGCTGAAACTCTCTCTGAAAGAAAATCTCATTTTGTTTTTTGCCCCATCACCACAATTCAGCTTTTTTCTTGGTTTCCGAGTGCTTATAATCAATTCATTGAATCTCTCTTTCTCATTTTGTTATTTTCATCTTTATTCGCCTCCCCTCTTTTTTTGCTTTTTTATTGTTTTTGATGAATTTTTCTAATTTTTTGGGAGTGGGATTTTTGTGGTTGTTGAAAGTATGTAGTTTGGAACTATGACAAAATATCTTATGAGGGAAATTTTCAGGATTTTGTTTAAAAATTGGAAAATTTAAAAAAAAACCTATTATTTACGGAAAATACGTCTAAATCTAGAAAAACCCGAAATTCAGGCTTACGAGGCCTAAAATCTAGAGAAAAAGTCCCAAAATCCAACCCCATCAGCTTTGAAATTCAGACTTCGAGTTACTAGGCCAAAAATTAGAAAAAACCTGAATTTCAGGCTTAGTAGGCCTTAAATCCAGGCCCATCAGGTTTTAATATCAGAAAGAACGCCTGAAATTCAGGCTTCGGGCCTCCAAGGCCTAACGTTTAGCTAAAATTTAAGAAAAGCTTAAAACTCCGGCCCCCTAGGCCTGAAATCTTTTTTTTTAAAGCCTAAAATTTTTCCAGATTTGACAAAAATGTACAGAACTCTTCCGCGATTCGTCCGATCGCAAGGAAATTTCCTCAAAACCCTCTTCGACAAAAAGCCAGCCGCCAAAAATCTAACAGCCGAAGAGCAGGAAAAACTCCGCCAAACGCTGCCAAGTATTCGCGCGAAAGAATCGCAACACGTCGCAGCTCGCAGCGATTTCATGGATGAAAGCGATGAGTTGGAAGTATCGCGATTTGATGAGGATGCGATTCGCGCTCGCGGTTTCTTGAAATATCAACAAAGTTATTCGCCGAGCGAAAATGTGGGGAAATTGGTGGAGAGTTTGGCGAAAGATGTGGATTTTTCGAAAAATGAGCAGAAATTCGAATTTTTGGTGAGAGTCGGCGAAGAAATTGGACATTGGCCAACGAATTCGAAATTGGCGAAATTTGAAAATATTCAAGATGTTGTGGAATTCTACGAGACACCTGTGAAGAATCTCACAAAATATCAAGAGTAAGATTTTTCCAGATATATTGAATTGAAACATGTAATTAATTTTAATGGGGTATTTGAATTTATTTCCAAAAAATTTTGAAACGTATTTTTTCCGGGAAAATTTTGGGCACACTTGACGAGACGTGTCTAAAAGGGACACTGTACAAAAATTTTCGAAAGCCACACTGTATATTTTTTTAGGAAAAAGTGTAGTTTTCATTGACTTTCAGCGGATTTTGATTAAAATTTTCATAAGAATTCAAAATTTCACGCTGTACAATTTTTTTTGCAAAAATTCCACACTGCACAATAATTTAGGGACACTCTCGCCAGGTGTGATTTTGGGTAATAATATGCTTTAAAATACAAAACAATTTTCATATTTTCAGTAAGAACTCCAATTTTCAGACTATGAGCAATGGGCCGATTTTTCAAAGTCTTGAAGCTAATTAAAAAAACTTTTTAAAAAATCATCATGTGAATTTCAGGTCATTTTTGATCAAAAAACATGATTATTGGCCAGAAAACATGATTTTTGGACAGGAAACATGATTTTTAGCCAAAAAACATGATTTATCACCAGAAAACATGAAGATTTTTTTTTTAATTTTTAAAAAATTTTCTAATTATTTTTATTCGACTCGAATCACCCCATAATAATCTGAAAAATTAGAGTTCTTACTGAAAATTTGAAAAAAATTTTTTTTTCTTTTTCCACCTTCTGACAAAAAAAACTTTGACATTTTCTGAATTACTGAAAATATGAAAATTGTTTTGTATTTAATTTCAAAGAATTTTTCCCGGAAAAAATACGTTTCAAAATTGATTTGAAAAAAATTCAGATTTTTTAAAATAATTCTCTTTTTCCACTTTCTGAAAAAAACCTTTGACATTTTTCTGAATTACTGAAAATATGAAAATTGTTTTGTATTTTATTTCAAATAATTTTTCCCGAAAAAATACGTTTCAAAATTGATTTGAAAAAAATTCAGATTTTTTTTGAATAGTCAATAGATTCGAAGGTTGACAAACCAATTTTAATTGCAGATTAGCTCGCGATGAATCCAAGCCACAAAACATCTCAATAATCGAAAATGCCGTGCGTTTCCACCCCGAAGACACTCATCTCCATCACGGCGGAATCACCGCGTTTCCGGGAACCGGCGGCGAAGTTTTGTCGCTGCGTCAAAAGCGAATTTTGCGACAATTCCAGCCGAAAAACGAGTGGTTCGATTATGATGATCAGACTTTTGATTACACAAGACCAGATAAGGATATGCCGTGGGATGCTGAGGTCGCAAATCAGATGGATAGGTGAGGAATTCTGTTTTTTTAATCCGGGTTTTCGATCGTTTTTTGTGACCAGGGCGAAAATTAGAGACTTTTTTTCATGGAAAAGCTTATCTTTTAATTTTCGACAACAAAAAATATTTTATCAACTCGCAAAAATTCGACTTGACCACAATGTTAATTAACAAGGGAGACCAGTTGATTTTTTGATAATAATCACTAAATTTTCTTGGAAAAATAAGTTATGACGTGGAAAAATTGATTTTGAGTGAAATTTTTAAAATTTGAAGTTCCAAGAAATCTCTCTTGAAACTTTAAAAAATTTTTCGGAAAATTGGAATTTTGAATAAAAAATTTTATTATGACGTGGCAAATTGGATATTTGAAAAAAAAACTTTGAAAATTCTTTAAAACTTTATTGGAATGAGTTATGACGTGGCAAAAATTGATTTTTAAAAATTAGCTGAAAATTTGAATTTTCCTAGAAATCTTGAAATTGAAAAAAAAAGTTTTTGAGAAAATCTTGTGTTTTTTAAATTTCAAATTGCCCCCAAGTCCCTTCTGCAAATACTTTTGGCTACAGTAGGCTTCAATTATATTATTTTTTCCAGATATACGGATAAACGATACAATTTGAAGACGAAACAGTTCACCAGAATTCGACAATAATTATTTTTTTTTAATTTTTGCTAGTTTTTTTAGGATCTGAATTCTATATTTATCTGTTTTTTTGTGTATAATACATGAATCTATTTCGAGAAAAATGTAATATTGCAACATTCCTGTTTTTCTCAACCTACAGCACAATTTTTATCACCAAATTTTATGTGTTCTTGTTGAAAAAATGGGGAGTTCATAAAGATAAGGAAATTTGTAAACAGAAAATTTTTTGGTAATTTTAGAGGGAGATCGAAAGTCACAAGTTCCTTGTTGAGGAAAATTTGAAAATGTGATTTTTAGGGGCTCGGAGCTACTGTAGATCAAAAATTTGGAATTTTTTGACACCAAATATGCCCGGGACATTTTGAGCCCAAAATAGAGCTATGACGTGGCAAATTTTCTAGTTTCAAAATTTAAAATTTCCTAGTTTCAAAGTTGAAATTTTCTAGTTTCAAAATTTAGAAATGTCTAGTTTCAAATTTAAAATTTTCTAGTTTCAAAATTTAAAATTTTCTAGTTTCAAAATTTAAAATTTTCCAGTTCTGAAAACCTGAACTATATCAAATGAGATCTTGAAAAAACCCAAATTCCACGCTGAATGCAAAAATCCTCACAAAAACTTTTGAAACTCTGAAAATTCCCGCCTTTCGCCAATTTTCCAGTATCGAAAAAGGGGCAGTATCTATCTACATACAAAAAAAAGTAATTATAATTTGATTATTCCGATAAAAAAAGCCGATGTTGCAATTTTTGTTGATAAAACAAAGTCACTTCTAAACAGTTCGCCGTGTCAACATGCGACTTCTTCTTCTTCTCGTTTTTTTGGCGGGAATTGTTTGGGGCGCGAAAAATGATGATTATCGAAGAAAATTGAATGCGAATGACAAGTTTTTGGATGAGTTGGATAGTCAAGAGATTTTGGGAATCGCTGAACTTGATACCAATTCGGAGCATTATCGGAAAGAATTTAAAAATGTTGTGGACAATACGGTGAGTTTGATTTATCGAACATTTGCAGGAAGGGAACAACATGAGCGCGTGGCCGAGTGGTTAGCACTCACGTCTTTGAATTTTGAGGTCATGGGTTCGATCCCGCATCGAGGCAAACATTTTTATTTTTTTTTAAATTTCCATTGTTCCAGGGCACATTTCTTCCCGAAATCACCGAGGCCTGCTATAGATTCCTCAGCACCAACCTAACCGAACAAGAAACGCGACTTTTGGCGGATATCGTCAGCCGACAGGATGCGATTGTTTTGATGAGCCACGAACAATTGAAAGATGCCTATACCAATATGATGAACAAACTTTTGGCTGCCGCAAAAGACCATGTTACAATTGATGTAGGTTTTGAAGTGAGAAAAAAATAAGATTTAAAAAATTTGCAGAACATTGAGATTTGCAAATATGTGATCACAAAACGACAAATCAAATCGTTCCGCGGATTTTTCGAATGGATGGATATTTATGATGTGAGTTCTCCTAACTTAACCTAATTTTTGAAAAAAAAACCCTTCAATTTTTTCCAGCAAGAAGAAATGGTGAAATATTACAAAAGAGGAGAATGGGCTGAGTTGTTGAATGCGATTGTGGGGAATTTGAACAAATTGTACTACGAGAAATCACATTTGCTGCCGAAACATGCGATGATTTTGCGCAAATTGTGTACTGGAACAGCGATGGTTGCGCTGAAGACTACAGAAGCTCAAGATATTGTAAGTTTGGCCCACAACGTTGAGACGAAACTTGCTTGAAGTTAGGATAACTTGATTTCAGTTCCGCAAACTCTACGACAACAACTATTATCGTGGCGCCTATGAATGGGTCACCTACAACATCAACGCTTCTCACCATCACAATTGGCATCATGTTAGTTAGAGCAACTTGATCTTCTAACAAAATTCTGAAAAAATATTTATTTCCAGGTTCAACATGCTTATCGAATTTGTTTGAAGCTCGAGAGTTATGCTCCAAGAGTTATTAATCGTCTTGATGCGGTGAGTTATGACGTGGCAAAAATAAATTTTCGAATTTTTGGTGAAAATTTGAGATTTGGGATCAAAAATTGCAATTTTTCAACCAAGAATAGGTCTCGAAGCGAACACCTACAGTAATCCTTTAAGATCTACATTTTCTATAAAACTTCAAGTTTTTTCACAGAACCGTGAGAAAATCCAATTTTCTGAAATTTTGAAATAATCTACAGTAATTTAATCTAGGTTACAGTAATTTTAGGCTACAGTAATAATAGTTGGAATGTTAACCAAGCATGGGTCCCGAAGCGAACACCTACAGTAATCCTCAAAAAATCCCCCATGATCCATTTTTTTTTTTAAAATTTGAAGTATTTTCACAGAACCGTGAGAAAATCCAATTTTCTAAAATAATCTAGGCTACAGTAATCCTAAACATCGCCTTATTTGAAAAAAAACTTATCTACAGTAATCCAAAAAAAATTTTTAAAAATTTTCGAAAACTATTTTTTTCCAATTTTTTGATATTTTTTCCACACGAAAATGAAAAAAAAACTATTTTTGTTTTTTTTTCAATTTTAAACACCCCAAAAGACCTTATTTAGAAAACGATCTACATTAAACCCGAAAAAAAAGAAAATGAGAAATTTAGGCCTAATTTAGTGCCCTAAAAAGCCCTAAACATTCAAATTTTGCAGCGCAACACAATGATCGACATCCGCGAAATTATTCGACAAAAAATGGAGACCCCAGAGCTGGCGAACAAATTAGACCTTCAACATTTGCTCGATTCCCTCTACACTTATCTCCAAAAAACTCCTCGCAATGAAACCGGCGAATTTGCGGAAAGTTTTGCCAGATATTGCGATAAGATTGTGGATGATCGCAATGAAATTGTTCGATTCAGCAGTTTTCATCAAACTATTCATCAGGAAAAGGCGGCTTTTGAGGAAATTAAGGTGAGTTGGGAAGTTCAGCTAACTCTCCTACTCTGGATAGTTATGACGTGGCAAAGTAATATTTTCGAATTCTGATTTCACAGCGTTGTTTTGGAGCTTCCTAAACATCACTGTGATTTCAGAATTCAAAAATATTGTGTCTGAAATGAAGTACAGTAACCTACATCTCTAATTTTTTTTTGTAGAAAAAACCATGGAAATCTGAAAAATAAGGTACATTAATCCCTTGAATACAGTAACCTTTGAGACTATTTCTCAAAAATACAGTGATAACTACAGTACCCTTTCTCAAAATCATTAACAAGTGATTTTTGCTCAAAAACTGCCATTTTCAATAATTTTGAAAAATTTCAGATAAATTTTTAGCGCTAAAATTCAAATTTCTGAAAAAACTCGTAAAATTGCTCATTTTTGATGATTCAAAAATTTTCAGCAAAAAAATTTCAGCCAGAAATTTCAAGTTTTGCTATTTTTCAAAACTCACGAGCTCTTTAAAAAAATACAGAACTTTTTTCTCTAAAAAAAACTTAGCTCTAGGAATAAACAAGTTACAGTAATCCCCTGAATACAGTAACCTTTAAGATTATTTCTCAAAAATACAATGATAACTACAGTACCCTTTCTCAAAATTATAAAACTTATTAGTTACAGTACCCTACCGTAACTTTGCCACGTCATAAAAAGTTACAGTATGACCAGAATTTTGAGGATTACAAAATTCGAGTAAAAAGATCAAAATTCCAGTGTCTCACCGATCGTGCTCACTCGGATTTCCACAAAAAAGTGACACACAGTGCAAGTGAGCTGCTCAACAGCCTCGAGCCATATTGTCAATATGGAATTGAGCTCGCGTGCTCATCAAAATACGGAACTACATTTAACGAACATAAATGGTTTGAGAGACCGTTCAACGATGTGTTCTACAATTTGGATTGGGCCAAATATAAGCCGTGGGACACGAAACATCATTGGAATATTCAGAAATTGGTGGATTTGGCCAAGAAGTTGAAATTGAAACATTGAGAAACTTTTTTTTCGCGCTTTTTTGTCATTTGATACTTATAAATAAATACCTCGTTTTGTTTTTGAAAATTGGAAAAACATTTGAATTTTGAACAAATCTCGGCCAAACCGTTACAATTTTTGAAAATTTCTAATTTTGAGGTCCAAAAACTGAAAATTTATAGTTTTCTCATTTTTGGAACCACGACTTTGAATTAAATTGCAAATTTTTTTTGGAAAAAAATTTGAACATCAAAAATAAATTTAATATTTTTAAATTGCCACGTGGAAATTTTCAAGCTCAAAAAAATTGAAAATAAGAATTCCACGTGGCAATTTTCAAGCTCGACAAAAATTGGAAATAAGAATTCCACGTGGCAATTTTCAAGCTCAAAAAAAGTCGGAAAAAAATTCCACGTGGCAATTTTCAAGCTCAAAAAATTGAAAATATTTTTTCATGAATTCCACGTGACAATTTTCAAGCTCAAAAAAATCGGAAATAAGAATTCCACGTGGCAATTTTCCAGCTCAAAAAATGGAAACATTTTTTTCATGAATTCCACGTGGCAAATTTCAAGCTCAGAAAATTCGGAAAAGTTTTTTTTCACAAATTCCACGTGTCAATTTTCAAGCTCAAAAAAATTGGAAATAAGAATTCCATGTGGCAATTTTCAAACTCAAAAAATTCGGAAAAATGAATTCCACGTGGCAATTTTAAAGCTCAAAAAACTTGCAAATAAGAATTCCATGTGGCAATTTTCAAGCTCAAAAAACTGGAAATAAGAATTCCACGTCGCAATTTTCAAAATGGGAATATTTTTGCACAAATTCCACGTGGCAATTTTCAAATTTCCAGGCAAAAATCCACAATTTAACACATATTTTCATAAATATTAGCAGAAAAAGAACACCATAAAGAATTGGGGTGGGAGAAAAAACGTGTTATACTTGGGGAGGGAAAGGGGGGAGACCGGGTAATAATCTTGAAGAGAAAAAAAAACTGGGGGGAAATTGGGGAGCCGGGGAAAAAACCGAGAACCGGGCAAGGGAATGAGATTTTCGTGTGTGGATATATTATATAACAACAGAAACAGAAACAACAACAAATAACAACAACAAACGTATATTATATATGAACATATTTGAATGCGGCAAAAATATTGGTGTTTTTGTTTGGCTGATATTATAGAAGAGAGAAAGAAAGAAAGAAAGAAAGAAAGAAAAGAGATTGGCAAAATCCGGGGAAAAAATCAAGGAGAATCGAATTATGAGAAGAATTGTTAAAGCTCTGTGCCTGATGAATATCGAGTGTGTTTTCAAATTATGCGCCTAATCTGTAAGAAATTATGGAATTTTGAAGAGAAAATTGATTTTTTGGTTAAAAATTAACCGAATATTGGCCAATCGGAGCTTTTTGGCCAATTTTAACAACCAAATTTTTATCAAAATTTGGCCAAAGCAGTAAATTGATTAAAAACTGGAAAAATGTTGGTGAAAATTGCACCAATTTTTTTTTCAATTGCAAATTTTGATTTAAAAAATCACAGATTTTCCAAATGAAAAATCCGCCTAAAATTTTGAATTCGGTTGTAAATTTTTTTAAAATTTATTTTTCAGTGATTTTTCTTTAACAAGGTAACTGCTTCAAATTTCACTCTACATTTTTAGAAAGATCACGATTCCAGCGTCTAAAATTGCAGAACTCAACTTCTAACACGAGTTATGACGTGGCAAAATCGGGATTTCAGGAAAATCCAATATAATAGGTTTGAAGCTAGTTTTCAGCTCCCAAAAACCCGATTTTTGCCACGTCATAACTCAGACTAGAAGTTGAGTTCTGCGATTTTCAATGGGGAAAAAATATTTTATAAATTGTCATATTTCATGAAAATCACAGAATTTTTTTGAGTTGAAAATTCAATTTTTAGATTAATTTTTCAGCCTAGAAATCCCTTACTCCCATAAAAAATCCCCGATTTTCTCAACATTTTTTATTTTATGTCTTTTGTTTGGTGTGTCACATTGATTTACAATCGAAAAATGTGCAACTTTTCTGACATTTTTTCGCGAAAAACAGAAAAAACCAGGAATTTGAGCAAAAAAGACGGAAAAAAGCTTCGATTTTTAATTTTTCGAACTGGTTTTCACCTCAAAATCGACCCAAAAAAAAAACCAACCTTAAAATGCTCCACCTCTGGAGCTTTTCGTCGAATTATTCCTATAATGTCCTCCGCCACCTCGATGTCCTCCTCCTCCACGATTTCCACCTCCTCGATTCATATTATTATTATTTCCTCCAAATCCACCACGTCTTTGTTGTCTTTGTTGATGGTGTGTGTTGTGGGAAGTGTTGGTAGTAGAAGAATCCGGTGGAACTTGTTCGGATTTTGTGGTGGAGGCTGGGGGCTCAGTGGCACCAACTTCTTCTCGTTGAGCCGATGAATCGCGGGTGGAGTTTTGCGAGTCTTGCGGTTCGCTGGCTGGAAAACATCGCGATGATTTTTAGATGTGAGAGGAAATTTTCAACAGTTGAAATTTTTGATTTTTCAGAAAATTGAGTGAATTTGAGCCTGAAATTTGAAAAATACTAAAAATCAGAAAAATAACATTAGAAGAGCTGCTCTAACCCCCTCCTTTTCCTTCTTAATTTTCATTCATAAAAAAGTTGATAATCTGCAATTTTTGATAAACTTTGAGCTCAAAATAGCTTCATTTCGGCCAGGCATGTTCATTTCGCCGGCGAACGCCGGGCGTCGCCTTTTTTATTGAGGCGAAGGCGAGGCGTGCCTCTTTTTATTTTTCAACGCACAAGGCGAAGCGAGGCGTCGCCCGGCGATTCGCCGGGCGAGTTGCATTTTGCAAGTGAGAATAGATTCAATTTTCTTCGATTTTTTCATAAATTCGGTTGTCGGCGGGGCTTCAGCTACCTATTAGCAACATTTTCAATCAAGATTTTGCTTTAGTTTTCACTAAAAAGTATATTTGGAAAAGAAACAGCTATTTTTAGATGGAAAACAAATCGTTCAAATGTTCTCCTGTAACTGTAAGGCGATATATTTTTATTTCTAAGCTTACAAAAACATTTTGCTGAAATTGAATGTTTATAAATACAGTTTTTTCACAAATTGGGTAAAAAAACTAGGTTTTCAGTGAAAATGACTCTTTTCTTCACTTCTTTGACCTTAATAATGTGTTTCAGAAGAAATCTTAGCACATAACGTTAAAATATGAGTGAAATTATCACAATTAATCGTTTTTCATGCAAATAAATTACGTTTCTTTATGAAACAGACAACACACATGCGTTTTCTCGCCGCGGCGAAGGCAGGCGAAGGCGAGGCGTGCTTTTTATTTTTTTCGAAAAACAGGCGAGGCGTGCCTCGCCTGCACAAAACGTCGCCGGGCGAAAAGCAGGCAGGCAAAACGAACACGCCTGATTTCGGCTTTTTAGTTAAAATCAAATTTTGATTCAAAAATTCTAATTTTTATAAAATTTTTATTTAAAAAAAATAAATTTAGAGTTGAAAAAAATCGGAAGCTCTTCTAAATTTATTTTCTGGTTGTTAGTATTTTTCAAAATTTAGGCTCAAATTTACTCATTTTTCTGAAAAATCAAAAATTTGATTTTTCCAGTTCAAAGGCAATATAAGCCTAATTTTCAGCTCAAAACTTTTTGTGAGAGAAATTATCGAAATTTTTATTTTATTTTATATTCAAAAAACGAAATTTTCAGTTGATTTTAAAAAATTTTTCCACTGAATTTTTTTAAATTTTAAGCTCAAAATTACTCAATTTTCTGATTTTTCCAGTTCAAAATCATTTTCAGTCTAATTTTTGGCTCAAAATCTCTCACCAGTTACACTTGGACACATCATTGGTGAATGTGCATCATCGCCAGTCTTCTGACAAATCGGACAAACTTCTTCTCGCAAAACCGGACACCACGCTTTTCCATCGGGTTTTCGAATCGAATGCGATTCAACTTGCTCTTTGGGCATCTTCATTTGATCGCATTTATAGCAAAACAATTTTGCGCTTCCCGATTTTTCCGCATTTTCAGCCTCATGTTTTGTGGTCGAATCAACCTCTTCTTCCGATTTTTCTGGCTCAATTTTCTGTGGCTCAACTACATTTTTCGGCGGCGATTCAATGAGTTGCAACACTTGTTTCACTGGTGAGCCGCTTCTCGAAATCGCCGGCTCCAAATGCTCAATTCGATTCGTCAAATGAGCAACATCGTCGTCTACCGTATTATTATCGTACTGTTGTTGGCTACTGTAGTTCGGATTGTGATGTCCTCCTTGTCCTTGATAGTTTTGACGATAATTTTGTTGATAGTTTCCGTATTGTTGTTGTTGTTGAGAATATTGGCCAGAGTTTTGACGAGACTAAAAATGAACTTTTGAATTTTGGGGTGAAAATTCGGGCAAAAATCAGATTTTTTAATTAAAATAGTTCAGAACTTCTAGATTTTCAAGGCAAAATCAGGAAAATTTATCATTTTTTTTTCGTAAAAATCAATTTTTAAAATGGAAAACTGAGATTTTGGGTAGTTTTCTAGGTGATCAGAAGATTTTTGACTCATGAGAGCTTATCTGGTAAAACTCGAGCTTAGTTGTCAAGTAGCTGAGCCTAGAGAACCTAGTTGTCTAGGGTCGGCGTCTAGAGATCCAGTTTGTCAAGGAGCCGCGCCTTGAGAACCACTATGGCTAGGTACGGCGTCTTGGGAGATTCTACGTCAAGGAGCAGCGCCTTGAGAGCTTCTATGCCAAGCAGGTGAGCCTAGAACCTCCCTTTGTCAAGTAGTCTCGCCTAGAAAACTGAATTGACAAGAATCAGCGCCTAGAGATCCAGTCTGTCAAGGAGCCACGCCTAGAATACAAAAATCCAGGCGATTTCTATAGAATTTCCAATTTTCAGGTCGAAAATTCGAAAAATTGATTATTCTGGGCTAACAATTCAAGGAAATCCCCAAAAATCCTCACATGTTGATTATTTGGCCAGCCTCCTCTAACAGATCCACCTCTTCCATTATTTCCTCCTCCTCTCATTCCACCGCCTCTTCCAACTTGTTGTCCTCCACCATAAAATGGTGATTGTTGTTGCTGTTGTTGTTGTGGTGGAGCTTGTTGAAATCCGCCACGATTTGCTTGATGATTCGGTGGAAATCCGCCTCTTTGTTGTTGTTGGAATTGCTGTTGAGCAGCCGCAAATTGATTCATCTGATTTGGAGGAATCATATGAGGCGGCGGCGGTGGTGGACCTTGATTCGGATACATTTGCGGGTGACCGTATTGTTGAGGTCCGCCGAATTGCTGTGGTGGTCCCATCATTCTTTGGTTATATTGCTGTTGTTGAGCCATTTCGTATTGTTGCTGTGCTTGCTGTTGAGATTCGGTTGGTTCTTGTTGAGCAGTATCCAAGGATTGTTGAGATCCTGAAGCTTTAGAGGATTTTTGGAAGGGGACTTTGAATGGAACTAGTCCCTCTTTAGGCTCTTGGAGCTCACAAGGGAACATTTTTGATTTTCACATGTTTTCTAGTAAATAGTTTTTGTCCCGCCAATCACTATCCCGTTGTCTAAGATTACAGAACTCAACTCCTAATATGAGTTATGACGTGGCGAAATTCGAGATTTCAGAAGCTGAAAACTAGCTTCAAAAATGATTTTCATGCAAATCTAATAGCATAGGGTTGTTCAGAATGTTCGATAACATAAGTTCAGAAGGTTCTGAGAGATTTTGCAAAAAAATTTGAAATTTGCAACTTTCCGGAGGACTGAATAATATTCAAATTTTTCTGAAAAATCTTTCGGAACCTTCTGAACTTATGTTATCGAACATTCTGAACAACGCTATTCTATAAGGTTTTCATGAAAATCACTTAGAAGCTAGTTTTCAGCTTCTAAAATCCCGAACTTTGCCCGTCATATCTCATTGTAGGAGTTGAGATCTGTAATTTCAAACAACCGGAGCGTCGAAAACTACTAGAAAAGGTAAGGAAAATACGTTTTTTTTTTCATTTTCCTACCATATTTTCCACCGCGCTTCGGTTTTTCCTTTTCCGATGAGGCGGATGGCGATGGATTGGCCTTTGTCACAACTCCACAAGGATATGGCATGTATAATTGTGTTGGTTGCATCAATCCAGGATTCAGCACGAGCTGCGTCATTCCTGGTGCATACATCGGCTGCGCGGCGCCAACAATATGAAATTGTTGTTGTTGTTGTTGTTGCTGTTGTCCAGCCGGTGGTCCTCCCATATTCGGTGGTCCACGTGGGAAATTTTGCGCGCCCCCGAAACCTTGCGGTGGAATCATATGCGGTGGTCCGCCGCCGCCACCCTGATAAACATGTGGTGGCGGTTGCGAGGGTCCTCCGTACATTTGTGGTGGGTAATTTTGCGGGGGAATTTGTTGCCTATTGAAGTTGGGGCCAGCGTTTTCGCCACCCCGATATTGTTGGGGAATCTGATCGTAGCCATCGTTGACACCGTGAATCGGGAAAGAGGCGGTGTTTGGATTGCCGTTGGATTCGTCGTAAGATTGATAGCGCTGCATCCGAGGATCGTAGCCGTATTGTGGTTGTTGATCGTAGTGCTAGAATTGCTCATCTTTATTTTTTTCAACACTGACATTTTCAGGTGTTTTAAGCAAGTGAGTTGAAATATTGAATTTTAATTTTATTCATATGATAGAATGGTCTAAGACGAACAGAATGATATAAATTTTGATGAGTTTACCTTATCCATAAGTGATTTAGCGAGGTTTAGACGATAAGATCAACGCCTCGCTAAATCACTTATGGATAAGGTAAACTCATCAAAATTTATATCATTTTGTTCGTCTTAGACCATTCTATCATATGAATAGAATTAAAACCCAATATTTCAACTAACTCGCTTAAAAAACCTGAAAATGTCATTTAGCCCCAAACAAAACCGAAAAATCCCTTACTTTTCCATCAAATTGTCCATCGTGCGGTGGTGCCTGATATTGTTGCTGGAAATACATGGCACCACTGCTATGTGGTGGTTGCGACGTTGGTGGACCGCTTCCGCGCATTCTCCTGTTCTCCACAAATTGTTCGGCGCTTTTTGCTGCAATTGGCATATTTCTCGGCATGCTCTTGCTAAAATGCCTCTCTTGCTTATTTCGCACTTAAATTCACCACACAACACACGCGTACAACACAACAAAACCGAAGAGAAAACACACCCGTTCAAGCCACGCAATGAGTGTTTTCTACTGTAAAGCGAAAAATCTGCGATTGAAAAAAACTGTGCAAACACTTTTGTCTAATTCTCTCTGTTCGCCGTTATATTTCGCACTACAGTATTAAAGGAACATGATACATTTCATGCGTTGGGTCTTGTCGCGATTGCTAACTTTCTTCGCAGGACCTCAAAAAATAAGCAAAGTAGCAAGTCAGGTAGAACTCGATGCGCTGATTATCATGCTATATTTAGTTTTTCATGAAGCTTATCTAGGTTTTGAGCTACAGGGTGCACCGTTTTTACACCGTTTTGCTGATTTTTGTGTTGCTTGAGCGGGTGTGAAAAACCGAATTTTTTTTTGAAAATTAGAAAAAAATACTCTAGGCACACATATTTATCGGCGAGCGATATCTCGTCGCGCGGTATACGGTAACACACAAATCGGCTGTGTTTATTTTATTTTTCTTTTTTGTGTCGCGTGACGCCCCTATTTTACGTGTTTTTCGTGTTGAAACGTGGAATTTTTCACATTTCAAAATTGTAATTTTATAGAAAAAGCTGTAATCTTTCAGGTTTTTATAATCAATGGAAAAATGTCACAATTAATCAAAGAAATCAGTCAAAAAAGATCAGTCGGCTCAGTTTTCACTGGAGGCTTCGTTAAATGGAGTGCAAATGGGCAAAGATTATTTTCAACATGCTCTAATATTGTGAAAGTTATCGATTTGGAAAATAACGATGCTAGTTATACAATTGGTGATCCAGAAGATGAATTGCGAATCACATGTATCGCATTGGATAAAAATCGAAATCGTTTGCTAATTGCTTATAACAATCATGTAATTCGTGAATATACAATTCCATTGGAAGATGGAGAAGAACCACAATTGGCAAAAACCTGGAAAACTATGCATACCGCTCCAATTTTAGTGATGGAATTCAGCGAAAATGGTGTGATTTTAGCAACCGGCTCAGCTGATCATATTACAAAAGTTTGGAATTTGGAAAAACAACAATGCACTCATACTTTGAAAGGTCCATCTGTTGTTTCTTCAATTGTATTCGGAAAACACGATAAACTTGTTGTTGGATATATTGAAGGACAACTTCATTTGTATGACATAACTTTGGGTGCGGAGAAAAAGTTTATAAATGAATGGAAAACGCATAGTAGTAATATCACTGCACTTTTACGCATCGAAGACACTCGTTTGGTTGTTGCATTGTCAAGAGATCAAACAATGTCAATTCATGAGACTGAAACGCAAGAAACTATCAAAGTTTTGCCACTTTTCGAATCTATTGAATCTGCGGCAATCGGTCATAATGGAAACCTTTTTACCGTTGGAGAAGAGGGAATTTTGAAAGAGTTCAAGATTGAGACAGCAAAGCTTTTGAAACAACAAAAGATTTCTGGGTGAGTTAGAAATTTATATATGGAAAACTATCTAATATATTCATTTTTTAGGACTCGCCTCGATCAAATCAGCTACGACCCAATAACAAATCGTTTTCTATCCGTGTCCGCTGAAACCAATATTTACATCATCGATTTTGAAGACTTGAAAATCTCTCGACAATTGGTTGGATCACACGATGAAATCTATTCCTGTTGTATTTTCGGCAAAAACGAATCTCACATTGCCGTCGCCTCAAATACCAACGAAATTCGAATCTATGATTCTCAAACTCTCGATTGTCAATTAGTCTTCGGACACACCGAAAGTGTTCTAGGAGTTGTTTCACCATCTTGGGACACAAGTTTATTAGCCTCTTGCTCTAAAGATAATTCAATAATTTTCTGGCGGCTTTCTGAGGAGAACGAAGATTCCAAGACCACAACAAAACCATACCTTTTCCCGATTTCTGTTGCAACTGGACATGCAAATTCAGTCACATCTTTATCATTTTCAAATACAACTAGAGCTCCATATATTACATCAGTTTCAAGTGATAGTATGATTAAATTGTGGAGTTTGAGGGATTTGATTAAACTGCAAAGGGAAGTGAAAATTGAGGAAGATAGCCAGCAGAATATTTTTGATTTATTGTAAGTTCAATATTTCTTAAAATTATTTACTCAAACAAATATTTCCAGACCAAAAGTTCCATGCAGCTCCACATTAGTTGCTCATGCTAAAGATGTGAATTGTGTCGATGTGGCTGATTCGGACAACGTCGTGGCGACTGGTGGAATGGATAAATTGGTCAAATTATGGCAAGTTGATACAACGAAAATGCAATTGGGAATTGGCGGAACTTTGAGTGGACATAGAAGAGGTGTTGGTGATGTGAGATTTGCCAAAAATGCACATGTAAGAATTTTTAATGCTGAAAAAGATCCTGTTTTCAGTTTTTGCTGCGGGACTTTCTGAAGAGCACAAAAATGAGCCAAAATCCGAGAATTTTCTGCAAATCGTGGTTTTTAGAGCCTGTAACTCACGTTGGAGAAAATTTTATAAAAAACTGAATACATGGCAATGTTCAGGAAGTTCGATTTACCAAAGTCAAATTTTTTTTGCTAGAAATATTTTTTTTCAAAAAAAATTGTGGCTCAGAAAATTTTTGTTAAAACTAAAACTAACTAGCAAAAAAGTTAGTTTTCAGAAAATTTTCCGAATTCTCTAGCCAAAAAAATTTGACTTTGGTAAATCGAACCTTCTGAACATTTCCCTGTAGTCAGTTTTTGATAAAATCTTTTCTAACATGAGTTACGAGCTCTCAAAAACGTGATTTTCAGAAAATTCTCGATTTTTGGGCTCTTCAGAAGGTCCTGTAGCAAAAACTGTAAAGAAACATTAGAAAATTTAGTTTATTAATGTTTTTTCTCTTCAGAAATTGGCGTCTTGCAGTGGTGATATGACAATTAAAATTTGGAATATTTCGGATAAAACTTGCCAACAAACTTTGACTGGTCATACTTGTGCAGTTTTCCGAATCCTATTTATTAGCTCTGATAATCAATTGATCTCTGCCGATAGTTCGGGAATTATCAAAATCTGGACTGTCAAAAATAGTGAATGTGAAACCACAGTCGACGGACATACGGATAAAATTTGGTCGCTGACTGCGAAGGCTGAGGAGAGTGAATTTGTGACCGCTGGAAGTGATGGCAAAATTGTTGTCTGGAAAAATGTGACGGAAGAAAAAGAGATGGCGGAACTCGAGAAACGAAGAGAGAAATTAGAACAGGAACAGACGCTGACGAATTTGTTGGAACAGCAAAGATTTGATGAGGCACTGGAATTTGCGTTGGGATTGGTTAGACCGTTTTGCGCGTATAAGGTGAGAGTTTTGGGGAATTTGGGCTGGAAATTGAGAAGATTCATGGGAAATTCGGTTTTCCAGTTTTTTTTAGAACGAACGTGAAATTTGAGACCTAAAATTGATTTTTGGATGATAAATCTGAAATTGACCAAAAATTAGGTGATTTTTTGATCTGAAATCGTGATTTTCCAAAAAAATTTGGGAATTTTTAATGACCTGAAATCTGACCTGAAATTGGAATTTCCACTTTCAATTAATTCTTAGATCTGAAATTGACCTAAAATTTGGGGTTTTCATGGTTTTTCGACCTGAAATTGAAACTTTAGACTCAAAAATAATTTTCGCATGAAAATTGACCAAAACTTAAGATTGTTTCACTTGGAAGTTGTGATTTTTGAAAAAATTTGCAATTTTTGTGCTAATTTTGACCTGAAAGGAAAAATGTGAAATTTTTCACCTAATTTCAATTTTTGGATGAAAAATCTGAAATTGGGACCTGAAATCAACCGAATTTCATGATTTTTATTCAAAATTTTGAATAATTTCAGAAATTTGACATTGATTTCAACAAAAATATAATGTTTTCAGCTATTTTTTCTAGAATTTCAGCCTCAAAAATTTGAAATCTGAAAAAAAAACTAATTTTCTCTCAGGTTATCACAACTCTCATCGACCACGGCCAACTCGCTTCAGCCCTCCCAAAACTCGATTCGCGCAAAATCCAAATTCTTCTCGATTTCACAACTCAATGGAACACAAACAGTCGAACATCGCAAGTTGCACAACGTGTTCTCTTCGAACTTTTCATGATAATCCCTCCGGAAGAGTTTCTCGAAATGCCGAATTCAAGAAATCTCATTGAAAGTTTTCTGCCGTATACAAACCGACATTTGGATAGATTGGATCGCGCAAGACAAGATGCGAGTTTGTTGGAATTTATTTGGAAACAAATGAGGATTGCTTGAATTTTGTTGGATTTTTTTGTTATTTGTTATTGTTATAGTTGAATTTTTATTGATTTTTTTTTAGGATTTTTTGAATATTGGAAACCCGTTTTAACGGTGAAAATACCTCAATTATTGAATTTCAGGTTTTTTTTGGCTGGAAAATGGAAAAATATTAGAATTTTCAGTGAGGATTTCAAAATTGACGAAATTTTGAATTTCTGGGGCCGAATTCAGGAAAGAAGGCTTCAGAAATTCAAAATTTGGCAATTTTGAAAAAATCCTTCTGAAAATCTTAATTTTTGAATGTTAACCCAACTTTTATCAAAAAGTCATCACAAATTCAGATTTTTCCAGTAAAAGGTTCAAAAAATGGCATCAAGCAGCACATTTGACGATGATTTGCCAATGGAAGAAGGAATGCCAGAATTGATTGATGACGATGATGTGCCGAGTGTTTTGCCATCATTGTTGGAGCAGAATTTGGACACGGCGCCGAAAGGAGCAGCAAAAGGAGATGGTTTCACTTTGGTGGGTTTTTGTTTTGGAAAAAGTTGAATTTTATCCTTGGAAATGTTGTTTAGACTGAAAAATCATTCAAAAATGGTCCGGGAGCTCAAAAGATCCAGTTTTTGCTGCGCGACTCTCTGAAAAGCACGAAAATCGAGAATTCTCTGAAAATCTCGTTTTTCAGAGCTCGTAACTCATGTTAGAGAAGATTTTCTGAACACAGGGCGATGTTGTGACTTCGGTAAATCGACCCTTCTGAACATCACTCTGTATGCAGTTTTTGATAAAATCTTCTCTAACATGAGTTACGGGGTCTCAAAAACGCAATTTTCAGAAAATTCTCGAATTTTATACTTTTCAGAGAGTTGCGCACCAAAAACTGGAAATTTCTCAGCTTGAAAAACTGTACAGAAACATAAATGTCACATTGAGAATCTTCAAATTGAATATTCATCCTTGAGAATCCCCCATTTCCTTCATTTTTCCCCTCGAAATCATATGGCAATTATACCGCTGCCTGCAAAAAAAAAAACCACTAAAACCCACCAGATTGAGGTTTACAACAATAGGCCCGAAAACCATAAAAATTGTGTTTTTCGCTGCAAAAAATGAATTCTGATTTTCATTTTTAAAACAGAACAAAAAATGATTTTTCGGCCCCCAGACCACTTTCAAAAGGCAATAAAAATAAAGCAAAAAAAAGTTCACATTTGGTCGAAAAAAAAAGAAACAGGCGTTTTTTTGCTGACTAGGAGGTCGAAATTTATGGGTTCTTTTTGAAGTTTCGCCGCCTTAGAGATTAAAATTGAAATATTATTATTACTGTACTTTTTGAGAGGAACAATTTATGCGTTTTGGCTAGAAGAATCCCTAGAAAATCCAATTTTTGGCTGAAAAAAAATGAATTTTATTCAGCGGCACTCTTTGAAGTTCGGAATCCATTAAAAACGTATAAAAATAAAATATTTTCTCATTTTTTTTGTTATAAATGAAGAGATGAAAAAAAGTAGAACAAATGTTGGGAAGATTTGAAATTATGGGAAAAATGCCAAAAAAAAAAATGGAATTTCTTGAATTTGTTTTAATATTTGACATTTTCTGGGAATATCGATCTAAAAGCCCAAATTTTGATCGTAAAAATCAGAAATTCCGAATTTATGTTGATTTTTCACGAGTTTTCAAGGAATTTTGATGGAAAATTTTGAAAAAAAAATGAATTTTTCCCAAATTTCTAGCCCAAAAACCCCTCCAAGCCGTTTTTCGCCAAAAGCATTTCTACTTTCTCTCCTCTCCGAATAGAACATGTCATTTATGTTTTAGGTGTTTTTTTTTGCCTGTACATATATATTTATGTGTTTGGCCGTGTCGCTTTGCACACACACATACTGAATGTGAATGACATAAAATTGCTGCGTCTCTTTTCGCCGATTTGAACTATCGGCAAGGCAATCAAAAGGGAAAAAACACCGAACGACTTTAGGCAGAATGAAAAAAAACACCTTGGGAGGTCGCAGTTGTTTTTTATGGGTGTGTTGCGAAATCGGAAAAATTGAACTTGATATCGATTTTTGATAAAATATATGTTTTCCGGTAGTTTTCGACTTGCTAATCACGATTTTGTCATCTGAAATTGCAGAACTCAACTCCTAATATGAGTTATGACGTGGCAAACTTGGAAAGTTCATGAAAATCGATTTAGAAGCTAGTTATAACCTCCTGAAGTCCTTATTTTTCTGAACTTTTCAAGTTTGCCACGTCATAACTCATATTAGGAATTGAGTTCTGCAATTTTGACAATGGGATTGTGAAAAGCGGGTCGAAAATTACTAGAAAACGTATGTTTTATCAAAAATCTTGAAATCTTCTGAAATTGTTTCATTAAAAAAGACAAATTAAGAAATTGTTCAAGTTTCAAACTCAAAGTTCTTAAAAGTTCAGTTAAAATCTACTTTTTGGACCGAAAATAGGTTGAATATTTCAGGAAACTCTATTATTAGATTTTAACTGAAATTTTCAGATATGGAGAATACTTTTTTTTTCAAAATTTTTCTCAAGATCAATATTTTTCAGGTAAAACGTAAGCGAAAATCACATGCCGACATCGAAATGGAAGACATCTCAACTCCAGACGAAGGAAAAACCGAAGAAACCGCAGGCGAAGAATCATCGAGCGGTCCAAAATCCGCAAAACGCAGCAAAGGACAAAAAGGCGAATTCCGCAACGTCGCCGTTCCAAAACATCGTTATACACCTTTGAAAGAAAATTGGGCAAGCATTTTCACACCGATTGTGAAAAATTTGGGATTACAAATCCGATTCAATTTGAAGAAACGACAAGTTGAGATTAGAAATCCGGAGGATCGAGAGGATACGACTGATTTGCAAAAGGCCGCCGATTTTGTGCGCGCTTTTATTTTGGGATTTGAGGTGAATGATGCGATCGCCTTGATTCGTCTTGATCATTTGTTTTTGGAGACTTTTGAGGTAATTTTTGGGGAGATTTGAGATTTTGATTAGAAAATCATAATTTTTCATATAAAATTCCACGTGGCAATCGCACAAAACCTCATCTTCAGATTGCCGACGTCAAACATTCATTAAAAGGAGATCACGTGAGTCGTGCGATCGGTCGAATTGCTGGAAAAGACGGTCGCACCAAATTGGTCATCGAAAACACCACAAAAACCCGCATCGTCGTCGCCAACACCAAAATCCACGTTTTGGGAGCGTATCAGAATTTGAGATTGGCCAGAAATGCTGTTTGTAGTTTGATCATGGGTACGTGTTTTGTTGGATTCTGATGGGGAAATTTGAAAATTGAAAAAATCTCGAAATTTCTGATGACAAATATGTGTTTTCTGGTGAATTTTGATAAGTTCATTTCAACTCTGAAAATGAGCTATGACGTGGAAAATAAAAAAAACGTAAAGAGAAAATCCTCTAGGATTTCTAGTCTCAGCTGCTTGAAATAGAATCTCTCAAGGCCCTTTACCTAGCCAGAGTTGCTTTCAAGCCGTGACCCCTTGTTATAGTGGTTCTGTAGGCGCGGGTCCTATACAATCAGGCTCTCTAGTATCAGCTACTTGACATAGTAGATCTTAAGTCGTGACTCTTATCCACGGTTGCTCTCAAGGCGCGATTCCTTGACATAGTGGTTTGTCTAGGCGCGGTTCTTTGTCTGAGTGGTTTTCTAGGCTCAGCTACTTGAGGTTCTGCTATTTGATAAGTAAGAATTCTAACCCCTCTAGAACACCGTGTAAAATTCCAGAATTTTCCCCCCTACATCCATGAAAACTGGAATTTCCTGCAATTTCACACAAAAATGACACATTTCACATTATGTTGCTTGATGGGTTTTCTTTTCTATTTTCCTAGACTTTGTGTTGCGTTCGTGAAAAAAGTGAAATTCTTCTCGTTCGTACACCTCTTAGGCGGTGGGGCAGATTAGTTTCTCCCCCGGGAGAAATGGGGAGAAAGAGGAGAAAGGTGGTGCACAAAGAGGAGAAACAGTGTATTTTTGGAGTTTCGCCCCATTTCTCCTCATTTCTCCTCGGAGGAGAAATTAATCTGCACCACCGCCTTATCATCAGAAGATAGTGCACTTTTTAATAGCACAAAAGTATTATTTTTGTCGAAAGTAGGAAAAAACCCCCCGAAATAATACGGTTTTTTCGATTCGCAACACACACAAAAAGTTGCCTTTTCGTTGTAATAGGACACACTATTACAATAGTTCTGGAAAAAAGACGGAAGAGAAGATGTTATCAATTTGGAGAGGTCATTAATTAATTTGAGAAGTTTTTTGAGAGGGGTTACTGTAGTTTTTGGTAGAGCGCACTTTCCCCACTTATCCATCAAACTATACACACTTGCTACACTTGAAGATTTCGAGTGTTGATCTAATTAGCGATGTTTCTTTTTTTTTTCGTCTAGACCACTTTTTTTGGGAAAAGAAGGTCGCGAAAAATGAAATTTTGATGTGAATTTTTAAATTTTCGAGTTATGACGTGGCAAAATTCAGAATTTTGAACAGAAATAAGGTTTCTGGCAATTTTTGTGATGAAAATGTTTAGTGGTTTCACAATTACAGTACTTTTCCACGTCATAACTCAATTTCTATCGCTTGAAAAGTCTGCCACGTCATAACTCACTAGAAAATTGAAGAGCTAGCGAGTTATGACGTGGAAAAGTACTGTAAGCACTAAATCAAATGATTTTTGAAAAGCCTGTAACATTTTTATCACAAAACTTGTCAGAAACCTAATTTCTCGTCTTCAGAAACACTGTTACGGTATTTTGCCACGTCAAAACCAGGGGGGTTTCCTAGCGAAATTTGAATCTACTGTCACAATTTCGCTCCGACCTCCAAAAGTGCTTTGTGTTCTAGTTATGACGTGGCAAAATCACCTTTTGAAACGCTGTGAAGGAAACAATGTTACAGTATGTTGCCACGTCACGACAAATTTTCAACCCTAGAATTTTGAGCTTACAATCAGTTTCCTATCAAAATTCAAATCTACGGTCTCAATTTCACTCTGACCCCCAAAAGTGCTTTCATTTTTTCGCTCGCCCTCGAATTGCCACCCATAAAACAAAAGCCCCCCTTCTCTCACCGAAACGCAGCAGTCGTTTTTTATTTCGCTTGTTGATGTTCGTTTCGTGTGTGTGTGTCTCTCTGTCTATGTTTATTGAAAGAGGGAAATGAAACAAGCCCAGACAGACAGACCACACACGATGAAAAAATGATCTTCGTCGTCGTCGCCGCGACTGAGGCTGAACAAACCCCAATAGTTGTAGTGCACTTTGAACAGCATACGGTGAAAAGAGAATTGAGGAGCAGACTAGAGTTGATTTTTTTTGTGTTTGAAAAGAGTGGTGGTGGAACGGCGGCGAACGCGATAGATAGATAGCTAGATAACAAATATTGAACACTATTTTTTCTCGATGATCAGAAATCGCGAGAGAGAAAGGTGAAAAGTCGAATTTCGGTCTGGCTGATTGTGAAAAAACATCCGTTAGACTAAAAAAAAAGAAATGAAAAGATAATTGATTTTATTGCTGGAAATCCGCTTGGTTTTAGCTTAAAATTAAAATTATCTGTAACTTTCAATTAAAATTTCAAAATTTTCTAAAATTCCGTCTTAAACATCTTTCTACGCTTCGGAGTTCATTTTGACCATTTTTGAGATCTCATGACTAAAATTTCAGCTAGAAATTCTAATTTCCAGCCAGCCAGCCAAAAACCAGAAAATGACGAAAAATCATGATTTTCTCCATGATTTATCAGTTTTTCCCAAAATTGAACAAATCTGAGATATTTAGAGTATGATCAGATGAAAATCTCAGATTTGCTCAGTTTTGGAAAAAAACTGATAAATCATTGAGAAAATCATGATTTTTTTTCGTCATTTTCTGGTTTTTGGCTTGAAATTACAGAAAAATTGAATTTTCAACTGAAAGTTCATAGGTTACGAGAGCTCCAGAAAAAGGTCGAAATGAACTCCGAAGCGTTTTTAGACAGAAATTTCAAAAAATTTGACCAAATTTTTAATTGCCAAAAATCCTGAGGTATATTACAGATTTCCAGCAGAAAAACTGAAAAATTCATCAAATTTCAAAAAATTCTATATTTTTCTTACAAACTTCATTATCGATTTTATACCCCAAATAATCAATCAATAATTTGCTTCTATGAAAATCCAGGATTTTTCCAAAACTTTGACTAGAAAATTGAAATATTTCTTTCGAAAATTTTCCCCACGCAAAAATCAATCAATCAATCCATTTTTGCAGGCGCAAATCCATCAAAAGTATACGGTAATTTGCGTAATATGGCATCACGTGGAGCTGAACGTCTCTAAATTCCAATTTTCCTGTTTTGTTTCCCGCCTCTAAAAATTTATATTTTCCTTGTTATTCTCATCCTCATCCTGTATTTTCTTGTTATTTCTTTTCTTCTTTTTTCTAGAGAGAGAGATGAACTTTTTCACTGTTATGATCAAGTATCAATGGAGCGCATTTGCTAAAAAAGAAAAAAACATTTATTGTTTGGTTGCACCAAAAAAAGTTATGACAAAAAATTATTGGAAAACAACAAATTTAGGGACCACCGGGTCTGGGTTTCTTTGAGAAAACTGGAAAATTTAAAAATAAATATGACAAAATTGGGGGGTATCTTGAAGATACTGGTAGACAAATGTGATTAGAGGAAAATGCGTGGGCAAGAAAAGCTTCTGGGGGTGTCACTTGGTGATGATTAACTGGGGGCTCCGCGAGAAACTCTAGCCGCACCTGATGTTTTGCTGTTGCAAATCGATCAGCAACTTCAAAAGAATGAGATTTTCGGGGAGCGTGAAATTGGGAGGTGCGGGAGCGGGAAGCACGATGGGTGGACTTGGGAGAAGGACGGGTGAGAAGGCGGAGCCGGGAGCAGCAGCTCGAAGAAATGGCAAGAATGTGGGGGGAAGAGTTAGGGGAAGTGGCGATGGGAGAATGGGACTTTGGGGGCTTGTCGAGATTGTGGAGGCTGCTGAGGTAGAGCTGGTTGAACCTGCAAAAATGATATGAGTTTAGAAGCGGCGCGGTTTGCGTCGCGTGGAATACTGTAGTTTTCATCTTGTAAAATTCAATCGCGCTCTACTGTACACAGCACATTTTTAAATTCCCTTTATTTTTTTGTGGGCCGTGGGATACTGTAGGTTTTCAGGGATACTGTAGATTTTCTGGGATACTGTAGATTTTTTGAGATACTGTCGGGGTTTTCCAGACTTTCTGAATTTTTATTGAAATTTTCAGATCGCATCAGTTTTTTCATAGGATTACTGTAGCCCATTTGGCGCGAAACAAAAAATTTCAAAAAAATCAGAATTCATTATTTTTTGGCTGTTATCAGATTACTGTAGCTTAGGAAACTGTAAATTAAGGATAACTCCTTAAAATTTGGGTTAAATTTAGGTTAAATTAAAGTAACCTTCTTAAAATTTAGAATCGTTAGGAATTTTAAATTTAGGTTAACACATTTAAAACTAGGTTAAAGTTGGATTGATTCCTTGAAATTTAGGATCTTTAGGATTATTGAATTTAGGTTCACTCCTTTAAATTAAGGTCAAATTCAGGATCTTCAAATTTGGGATAAATTTAAGGTAACTTCTTTAAATTTAAGTTAAATTTAGGATCTTTAAATTTGGGATAAATTTAAGGTAACTCCTTTAAATTAAGGTTCATTCCTATGAGTTTAGGTCAAACTCTGGATCTTTAAAACTTAGGATAACTCTTCTAAATTCAGGTTAAACTCTACATTTTTAAAGTTTAGGATAACTTTATCGAATTCAGGGTCTTCTTCACATTTAGGTGAAGCTTATTAAAGGGGGGTAAGACGACAAAATTTTTTTGTCGCAAAGTTAAAGACTCCCCAAAAGAAGTAAAACCTCCAAGGGATTTTTTCTGGAAACGTCCAGAAAAAATGTTCCATAAACTAGGTACCACGTATAGCTATACGTTGAATTTATTCCATAAACTTTTGGACAACGTATAGCTATACGTTGAAAAAGTTCATGGAATATTTTTTTCGGACCTTTTTAGGCCTTTCGAGAAAAAATCCCCTGGGGCTTTTACTATTCAAAGGGAGCCCGATTCGTTGAGCAAATAAAATTTTGTCGTCTTACCCCCCCTTTAAATTACAGCTCCACCTGAAGCAGAGTTACTATAACTCCCTCCCTTGCCCATCCCATCTCCATACCTGATCTTCTCGGCCGAGCCGCCGAGCTCTCCCTCAAATTCTGTGCCAATTTTTTGGGCGCCTTCACCTTCGGCACAATTCCACTTCTGCCTTTTTGCTGATCGCGTCGCAATTTGATTTGTTTTGCCATCAGAGTTCGACGATTCTCAACCAGCGCGCACTGGAAAAATTTAAATGCATTTAAGAAAAAAACTACAGTATCCTAGTCAGGTTTTCCCTCAATTTTATTAGGTTTAACCTTGAAGAATCACATAAATAATATAATAAAATGTCCCTGGGTTACTGTATCCCTCGAACTTACCGTCGCACACGTGCACGTCGAAAATTGGCACATACTGCGTTTGTGTCCGCGCAGCGGAATTTTGACACCGTGTGCTCCGCAACGAGCGCATTGCGGGTCGCGGATGCGCGGACCTTTGATGGCAGAGTCGCGCGGTTCTCGCTGTTTTTTCCGACTTAGCATATTGTTCAATTGACGACGTTGCTCAACCATGTAACAATCTTCGCATGTACAGTTTAGGAATCTGAAAATGGAGGAGGATTGAGTTGGGCTAAGTTCAGGTGGAATTTGAGTCTAGGATAAGCTGAAGATTCAAAATCTTAAACAAATTACGGAAATTACCCTGACTCATGTCTTCAAGTCTAAGCCTAAGTATGTTTTATGAATTAAGGTTTACCTTAAGATATGTTTAACTAAATTTGTAAATTCTTTTGTAAATTTGTAAATTCAATTGATTCTTAAATTCATTAGGAGCTTAACAAATTCTTAAAAACCAAACCCAGACTCGGTTTTTGTATTACCTAATGAATACCTTATCTAAGCTTAGGCTCTTAGGTACTTAGAGATGCCATTAACATCTAAGCTTAATCCTTAAACCTTGAGCTTAAGCTTGAACCCTTAAGCCCACCTTCTAAGGCTAAACCTGCCCAAGTCTAAGCCTTTCTAAAGCCTAACATTATCCATAAGCCTCAGCCTATATAACTGTAAGCCTATCCCCCCTAAGCCTAGACCTTATTCATAAGCCTAGCCCCCTAAGCCTAAGCCTAACCCGCACCCCTAAGCCTAAGCCTAGACCTTATACATATGCTCAAATCAAAAAATATTTCGACAGTTCTGTCTTGTCACCACAAAAATTGTAAAAATGACCATATTCCAACCATTTTTTTCTTCATCTTCTCAATTCAATTTTTTTTGGACAACAACAAAAAAAACACAATTGTGTGTTAGCCATAAAATTGTCTATATGATTTTAATTGTGTTTACAGTACCATCCGGTGGTGTCCTTTCTTGCGCATTTTTTTTTGCATTTTTAATGGAAAAGGTTATACTACAGTTGTTTTTTTTTTTGGTAGCTTTTTCAAGGCAAACCTGAGGATACTGTAGGGTTTAATGTATGTTATAAAATCAAAAAATCGTTGAGTCAGGAATTTTTCTCACGCATTTTTCTCAAAAGTGGAATTGAATAAGGAATCAGGAAGAAGCTGGGGAAACATTCCTGAGATTCTTGGAGACAGTTACGATAACTAAAGCGCATGGCAGGCTCAACCTTAAAGGCCCGGGCCAAACCCAAAAAGGGCTATGGACACAAGTTGTCTGGGTGATGGGCCTTCAGAAAGAAATTAAGGTTAACCTAGGCTAAGGCTCAGCCTTTAGGGCTTAACTTTAGGCTTAGCATAGGCCCCGCAAAATCCCGGAAACTAAAAATTGGAATTAACGACTAACTTAATATAGTCCTCAATGCTCTTAAAGAATTTAAAATTTTCCAGAAAAAGGTCCGAAGAATTTTTAAAATTTAAAAATGTACCTAATCTTCTAAAAATTCCCCCTTACTCACTTGCATTTAGGCTTGTGGCCTTTTCTCGGATAATGCATGCCATGATTCAAACACCTCTGGCAGAAATACTTCTTCTCCTCATCCTCACTCAAATATACATTCTCACAAGTTTCTTCCTCATCTTCCATCTCTTCGCCAAGGTCTGGAAGTCGAGCTGAGGTGGACAAGGCTGGCGAACAGCTCACCACATCGATCTCTTCTGGAAAAATGATGGATCTTGGGGTTGATCAGGGAAGATCTATTTGATCAGGAGAAAGTTCTTATGGGGTCAAATATCGCAATTTTATTTAATTTCATAATTAATACTCACCTCGGGTTGTCATTTTTCCGCAAAAAAGAAGTTAAAGCTTGGGTAAAGTGTGGTAATAATAATAATAATAAAACAAAAATCGATTTTCAATCAATCAAAATAAAACAAAAAAAAAGAGTAGTAGTAGTCTAGTTATCAAACAAAAATAGGCTAGTTTAGGTCATCCAGTGTTGCTTGCTTGCTCTAAGCCTAAAGACCTCCAAGGGGGGCTGAGAAAAAGTGAGAAAACGAGACACGAAGAACTGACTGGGCGGTCGTCTCGACTCCGCCCCCGAAAATGCGTTTTTTTGTTGCACGCGGCACACACTTTTGAGAGAAAGAAGCGCAACAAAAAACGGCTGGTTGGGAAATTTCGGGGGAGGGGCGGGACGGGAGGCGGCGATTGGACGACGGGACCGCACACGAAGAAAAACGGGGTGTTCGTTGTTTTCTCTGCGTCTTCTTTTTTTTCTTGTTTTGATTTTTTTTGTCTAGGTGGAATTTTTAAGGTTTATTTTTTTTGTATGGAAAACTAATTTGGGTCACAACTTCTCAAAAAAATTCTCGAGGCGCCTTGATAAAAATCAATCACTTGTCTTTTTCGAAACTTTTCGATAACCTTTTTCGTTGTAAGACCACAGTCAGATGAGAACAGGTTTGTTACTAATATACTGTGCGTAACAAGCTCATTAGGTTCGCAAAACATATTAGTTGCAAATCGAAACTGTGCTAGGCAAGTTGGTTACTAACGATCGTTTCTCGCGAGATTTAATAATGAAGGAGTTCCCCTGTGACCCGAATTTAAATTTTTTTGAAAAATTTTGAAGTCCCGCCTCCTAGGTCTGAATCTTGGTGGGCCCAAGTTAAAAGCACCAGACCATCTTCAAATTTTTGGGCATTAAAATATTGTTAAGTAACTTGGTGTCTTCTACCCAGGACTGGGCCGTTTCGCTTGCCCAGGGCTGGGCTGTTTCGTTTGCCCAGGACTGGGCCGCTTTTGCTAAGCCCACGGGTCTGGGCTGCCAGAACGTAACTCCACTCGAATTTCTACTGTCCCAAATTTTTCTGAAAATTCGGACCTGGCCCGAAAAAAGGCCCAATCCCCTCTCCTCAACTTCGATCCAAAAATTCTGCACAGCTCTCCCCAATTAGCTCAATAATCTTGCTAATTTTAGACTTGTCACGAAAAAAAAACTTCTCCAATGTTTACACATAGTATTTTCGTGCAAAGTTCAAAAAACCAGGGGTTTTCTCGAAAATCCAGGTGATTTTTTTAAAAATATTTTCCAGCATTTGCGTACTTTCATCTATGTACAGTAGCTTGGGATGATTACAACTTTCGCCCTTCGAAATTAAATACATGTTAGCCGGATTTTTTGACATGTAAATAACAGCTCTCTGTCGTGAATAATACATACAGTATACCTTATGTTGGGCCCATATTAAAAATGGACAAAAAAAGTGGGATTTTGTGTTCGTTCTGTTTGAGAGATCATCTGTCTGTCTGATGTTTTTTGTTCGAAAAAAATAAACGGGGAAGCAGATGTTTTTTTCATGTATATATGTTTCGGGGGGATTTTTCATTAGTTTGTTAGTAGTTTCTCAAAAGACAACAAAAAGTCGTCGAGTTCGGTGTCAAATTTCTGAACAACTGATATTAGTATGGTTTTGACATGGAATTGATAGAGGTCAAAGCACACAGGATCTGAGGGAGGAAAATAAGGGGCTCAAACTCAGGGTAAGGCCAGTGCTTTTTGAAAAATCCCAGAAAAATTGGGCTAGGGTGGTCATTGCTCATGGTAGAAAAGCCTGGGGATAAAATTTCAGGCTCGGAAACTTTTTAAGCTCACGTTCAGGCCTTATGAGGTTCTAGGTAAACTAAACATTGCTCATGTTAGAGAGGCCTGGGGTTGAAAATGTTAGCCTTAGATTTGTAGCCAAATAAATACATGATTTTTGAAACCAGACTGTTAAAATCGGATTTTGAGTAAAAATTTTGATCTTCGAACCCTTTGGGTTCAATTCAGGCTGCATGAACTTTAGCTTTCCTACAAACCCAGACTTTTCCGATTTCCAGAATTTTCAGAAGGTTTCAGAGCTTCATCCCCCCTTTTAGCTACAAAATTCCCCTCTTCTAGACTCTTGAGCGCTCAAGAGTCTAAAAGTGTCCAAAATTTTTGATCATTTCGCCTCTTCTTCTCCTCGAATCCATCCGAATCCCATTAAAATTCAGACCACCCACCAAGAAAACTGGAGCGCGTTCGTTTTCGTCACCGCGCGCCTCGCCTCGCCTCGCAACACACACTCTAAGCGCACTAAAAAAAACATCTGCTGTCTGGCGCCCTCCAGCGTTCCCGCGCACTCTCTGTCAAGTTTAAGTGTTGCGAAAAAAAGTGCATTCTCTCTTTTCTCTTTTCTTCGCTTCGCTTCGAACACACATATACACATCGAATGATGCTTTGGGGAGGCAAAAAAAGGGGAATGAATGGCTTTTCGCAACATGTCAAATTTAAGCGATAAGAAACAGGGCGACGGCCGTCGCGACCCACACAAAAAATGTCTGCGGCGCAACGAACAATAGAGATGAGGGACCGTGTGTATGTAGGCCTCATTAATTTATTCATTTTTTTTTGTGTGACAACCTACTTTCTCTTCCTGGATGAATGGAACATTTGAAATCCTATGTAGTTCTACAGTACCAGAGGGGAAGGAAGGGAACTAGGCCGAGGGGAGATTGCCTGGACTCACGGGGGATGCTTGGACAAAAGGGGGAGGTCGGCTCGACTCGGCCAAGCCTGGACTCGGTCTGATGGGTTGTCTGAGTCGACCAACAGAGAGGATTTCCTGAACTCTGCCAAGGGGGAGGGCTCGTCTGACCAGAGATTGCTCGGGTCAATGGGGGATAAGCTGGATACGGCCAAGTCTGGACTCCGCCTGGACAGCCCTGGCTCGTACAGTTCTCCTGCATGTTTAAGCCAGGTATTTGAGTAGCCTACCCAAAATCCGGCCAGCCTTCTTCTTCGGGGGTTGTCTGGACTCAACCCAGGGTCCGTGGGCTGCTCGGGCCGAGGAGGAGGGGGGTCGACTAGGCTCGGTCTGCACTGCGCTGACTCTATCAGTTTTGAAAGTCTTCAGGTCGCCCGATTACTGCATGTATAGGCCCGATATTTTAGTAGCCTTTCCAAAATCCTGTCAGCCCTCTTCCTCTACAGTCCCCCCTCCTCCTAGGACCTTTTTTATATGCAGCCTAGTTCTACAGTGCCAAAGGGGCTTGTCTGGACTCAGCCCAGGGACCGTGGGCTGTTCGGGACGAGGGGGGTCGACTGGACTCGACCAAGCCTGGACTCGGTCTGCACCGCCCTGACTCGAACAGTTCTGAAGGTCTACAGGTAGCGTGTATGAGCCAGGTATCCTCTACAGTATCCCCCCCCCAAGCCCTTTTTTCATAATAAATACCACCAAGGTTGCAAAAACACATATCATATTACACTTATATTCAAAATTGGCAACAATTTTCCTTTCCGTATACACAAAAAGTGCATATTTTGTTATCTCTCTTCTTGCCCTTTCCTCTCCTTCCCTCAAACGCTTTTATTATTTTAGACCACCCAGTCTGCCAGACAGTACCGTATACTCTAGACAAGGAAAAAAAAAGGTGCGCAAGCGACGATGGATGAACAAATATTGAAACTGTTTGTGTTCATTCGCAGGGAAATGGAGGAAAATGTTGCGAAAAGATCAGGTAGATCAGAATGAGACAAAGACTGTAAAAAGGTTGGCAGATGTTCAAATACTTCCTGAAACCATATATAAGCTAAGCCGGATTAGCGGAAATATCAATTAATTTGAATCAACTCCAAAAATGTCTAGCTTCTTGAACATCCTTGTTGTCTTGTGCACTATTGCAGTTTTGTCAAATGCTTGCAGTGATTCAGCGTCGAAGTGAGTTAGATCAACTTATGATAACTTATCCCACCCTAATCCAATTGCAGCTGCGCTAATTGGGTTCGAAATGGTTTCTGCAAATCGTCCTATTACACATACACCCAAAAGAAAGCTCAATGTGCATTAAGTTGTGGATATTGTGGTTCAACATCAACAGCATCTGGTTCAGTAACATCTTCATGTTCAGATAAAATCACAACTTGTGGTTATTGGGCTGCAAATGGTTTCTGTACCAATGGTTTCTATAATACAACAATTCAAGCTCAATGGTGCGCGAATACTTGTGGATTATGCAGTTCGACTTCTGAAGCGACTACTGAAGGATCCACTGAAGCCACAACTTCTACATAAATTTTTGGGAGGATTTGGGGACGTGTAGATTATGTACTGAATAAAGTATTTTTTCATAATACATTTTGTGAGAAGTTGTTTTGCAAAATAATTTCTAGAGTGAAAATGGGCCCTGGTTGAAACATCTCAAATTTCCAGAATATTTTTAGGCTTACAAGAAGAGGGTTAGGCTGATAGCAGGACTAAGTAAATCTGAAATTTTGATTTTCCAGGTTACCAAACATCTTTCTGATCTAGATTCTCAGCCAGATCCAGAAAAAAAGTTCCTACAGCACAACATTCCATTGAACCTTTCAATCGTCCAAAAAATCACATGATAGAGACGTTCAATTAGTTTCGTTTCACTCATCACCTTTTGATAAAGAAAAAATGATAATCTCCCATCCCTTTCATTCATTTTGTCTATTTTCCAGCTATCATCTCTGAAAAGAAGATATATGATGCTTGGTTGGGTTATTTGCGACTGCGGCTGCATTTTTTTTGTGTTAGTTGTCTGTCTGCTTGAGATGCGAATCGAAACATAATACTAATTGGCGGGATGAACTTTTGAGAAGAAAAAAAGATTTTTCGCATGAATTTATTCATGTATGAAATGCGGGGAATTCTGAATTTAAAATACTTTATTCAATATCTACACTCCAAAAACACTCTCAAAAATGTTTAGGTAGAAGTTGTGGCTTCAGTGGATCCTTCAGTAGTCGCTTCAGAAGTCGAACTGCATAATCCACAAGTATTTGCGCACCATTGAGCTTGAATTGTTGTATTATAGAAACCATTGGTACAGAAACCATTTGCAGCCCAATAACCACAAGTTGCGATTTTATCTGAACATGAAGATGTTGCTGAACCAGATGCTGTTGATGTTGAACCACAATATCCACAACTTAATGCACATTGAGCTTTCTTTTGGGTATATGTGTAATAGGACGATTTGCAGAAACCATTTCGAACCCAATTAGCGCAGCTGGAATTGAATTAGGATGAGATAAGATAGGATAAGTTGATATTGAACTCACTTCGAAGCTGAATCACTACAAGCATTTGACAAAACTGCAAAAGTGCACAAGACAACAAGAATGTTCAAAAAGATAGACATTTTTCGAAATGTTTTTGATATTTCCGCTAATCCTGCTCACAGTTTATATACCATTTTCCAAAAAGTTTCAGATGTCTCATATTTGCACATCTGTGTGCCCTTTTTTGCCAAAAAAAAAGAGAGGAGACACAAATTTTTTGAAACATTTCCTGGTTTTTGCTCGGCTCAACAAATGCTCCTTTTCGTCTCGCAACAGGAAAAGAGAAAAAACTTGGCGAGAGGAAAGAGAAGATGTGATTTTTTTTGGAACACACATAAAGTCGAGAATATTTTATGTCTGCACTATGTTTTTTTCGGCTTTCAGAAGGAGGGACTTTAAGACGATGATGTCAATTAATTAATTAACAAATATTGACATTTTTCGAAAAAGTGTGAGGAACAAAGGGTGTTTACACATCATGAAACTTTTTTCAAACAATGCGAGCTCAACTTGAAACAATAAAGTGCATGTTGGTACAGATGATCAAATAGGATTTACAGGTATATAAAAATCAGACGGATTAACAGGGAAAATCATAACCAAAATGTCAAGTTACTTGAACATCCTTGTTGTTTTGTGCACTGTTGCTGCTTTGTCGAATGCTTGCAGTGATTCAGCTTCGAAGTGAGTTAGCCTAATTCAATTTAGCAATGAGAAAAAAAGAGCGTCACACCTTTGGACCGGAAATTAGGAAATTGAAAAATTTTGTCTGGGTTTCATTGAAAAGGGGTTCAAGGTTTTCAGAAAAAATTCAACAAGGGTCATTAAATTCTTTAAATTAAGCTCACTTAAATTCCTAACTTAAAGCTTAAATTAACGATCAACTTATCCTAATTCAATTCCAGCTGCGCTAATTGGGTTCGAAATGGTTTCTGCAAATCGTCCTATTACACATACACCCAAAAGAAAGCTCAATGTGCATTAAGTTGTGGATATTGTGGTTCAACATCAACAGCATCTGGTTCAGCAACATCTTCATGTTCAGATAAAATCGCAACTTGTGGTTATTGGGCTGCAAATGGTTTCTGTACCAATGGTTTCTATAATACAACAATTCAAGCTCAATGGTGCGCGAATACTTGTGGATTATGCAGTTCGACTTCTGAAGCTACTACTGAAGGTTCCACTGAAGCCACAACTTCTACCTAAATTTTTGTTGGGAGTGTTTTGGAGTGTAGATTATGTATTGTTGAAATAAAGTATTTATCTTCAAATATTTTTTTTCGCAACAAGGACATTTCTCTCGAACAAGTTGACCTTTGTTTTTCCTTTTTTCCGATTTGATTTGAAACAATACTATGTCAAAAACTGGAACCGTTTACGTTGTTTGAAATGATAAGACGATTAGACCCATTTTCCCTTTTTTTTTGAAACAGAAGAAAAAGAAAAAAATAGACAGATAATTGGCAGATGTGTTATGGTCCCAAAGATTCGCGCATCAGATAAAGAACAGTGACCTAAACTTCAGGAAAAAATAACTATCGATCAATTAGGAACCAGTTAACTGAGTAAATAACACAAGCTTGTACCCAAAACCAAACCCAAAACCCATTAAACTGACCTGACATGAGTTGCAGTTGTATAAGAACCAAATCCTCGAATTCATTTTGTTTCCATCATTGAAATTGGAGTGGGAAACCAACATCGGCTCAATTCCGAATTCTCAAGCAATCTGGAATTTCTCTGGGTCATAGAAAGAAAAATAAACGCCCGCTTACCTATAATTGAGAGCTATCAATGAAGACAGGCCGAATACCAAAAAATATTTCAAGAATTGAGCGTCCAACCTGAAAAAAAAGATCTAGCGTGATTTTTTTCGTATTTTTATTCTTAAAATAAAATAACGTGAATACTTTTTTCGAAAAAATAAAAAATTCATTTCAAAAATGTTTTTCTTGAAATGTTCGTGCGAAATCACTGAAAATTTGATTTTTTTTCAAAATGGGCTAACTTTGAGAAAGGATCACATAAAAAGTATACAAAAATAGAAAAAAATATAAAAAGTACACAGCAATAGAAAATTTATTGACATTGTTTACTTTTACAACGACACTCCGCCGCTTGCCCGCTGTTTAGCGCAACACGAGAATATTTTCATTTTTTGTTTTTTTTCGCTGGGATTTCAGGTTTCCGGGGAAAATCAGTGGATTTCAGTCAACAATTGAATTTTTAGATGTTCGGACAATTCGATTTCAATGTGATTAACGTGGAAAAGTTAGAGGATTTCGGATTTATCAAGGATATTGATTGGAATTTTCGATGATTTTTGTGTGATTTGAGAAATAGAAGCGATTGGTGAGTTTTTTGGGGAGGGATTCCGGAAAAATTGAAAAAATAGATAGATAAAAAATTCTGTAAAATTAGAAAAAATATATGAAAACAATCGTTAAAAATTGAAAAAAGTTAGGCTAACTCATCAAAATCTAGGCCCAAAAATCTAGTTTTGAACGTAACTAAGTGTTATGAAAAATTATTTTATTAATTATACAAAACCAATACATAAAGTTAAGTGCATAAACTGCAAGTTTTAGCGCAAAATTGTTTTCTTTGAGTATCAGTATAAAATGAATTAGTACAATAACCTCTTGCTGCCCAAGATGAACAATATTTAATATTATCAACACATGCTGTTGTTGTAGTTGAATCAGTTGTTGAATCTGTTGTTGAACATAAATTACAAGTATTTGCACAATATTGAGTTTTTAATGCTTTTGAATAAAATGGATTTGTACAAAAACCATTTGATGCCCAATATCCACATGTTGCTTGATTATCTTGACAATCTGTTGTTGCTGAACCAGATGCTGTTGATGTTGTACCACAAAAACCACAACTTTGAGCACAATTTGCTTTCTTTTGTGAATATGAATAATTTGGAGATTTACAAAAACCATTTGCTACCCAATTTGCACAACTGAAAAGTTTTAGAATTATTGAAACTAATTAAGAAATTAATAAAACTTACTTGGAAGATGCATCACTACAAGATTGAACTAAAAAAAATTAAAGAAGAGATGATTGCAAGACTTCTAAACATTTTTGGAATATGTTACAATCAGAAACGTGTTCAGTATTTATACTAGTTTCAGAAAGTTTATTCAGCTTTCGTGTCAAATTTGAAACAAAGAAAATATTTGATTGTTGCTCTCCAGTGAAATGAAGAAGTTGTATAATAATCTTTGGAACATTTTTTAGAATTTTTTAATGATATTATACTCATAAAAAATCTGAAAAAAATATGTAGGTGAAGCCTTTTTTCGACTGTACTGCCATTGAAATGACAGTAACTCTATCCAAGATCAATTTCATAAAAGTTTCAACATGTGCAAATAAGTTCACAGGTGTGTAAACTTCCTGAAACTAGTATAAATACTGAACACGTTTTTGATTGTAACATATTCCAAAAATGTTTAGAAGTTTTGCAATCATCTCTTCTTTCATTGTGTTAGTTCAATCTTGTAGTGATTCATCTTCAAAGTAAGTTTTATTAATTTCCTAATAAATATCAAATAATCAATAAACTTTTCAGTTGTGCAAATTGGGTAGCAAATGGTTTTTGTAAATCTCCAAATTATTCATATTCACAAAAAAAAGCAAATTGTGCTCAAAGTTGTGGATATTGTGGTACAACATCAACAGCATCTGGTTCAGCAACAACAGATTGTCAAGATAATCAAGCAACATGTGGATATTGGGCATCAAATGGTTTTTGTACAAATCCATTTTATTCAAAAGCATTAAAAACTCAATATTGTGCAAATACTTGTAATTTATGTTCAACAACAGATTCAACAACTGATTCAACTACAACAACAGCATGTGTTGATAATATTAAATATTGTTCATCTTGGGCAGCAAGAGGTTATTGTACTAATTCATTTTATACTGATACTCAAAGAAAACAATTCTGTGCTAAAACTTGCAGCTTATGCACATAACTTTTTGTATTTGTGATATTTGTAGAATTAATAAAATAATTTTTGATAACACATACTTACGTTCAAAACTAGATTTTTTTTCAATTTTTTTCATATATTTTTCAAATTTTATAGAATTTTTCATCGATTTTTTCAATTTTTCCGAAATTCCTCCCCAAAAAACTCACCAATCGCTTCTATTTCTCAAATCAAACGAATATCATCGAAAATTCAAAAATTCCAATCAAAATCCTCGAGAAATCCGAAATCCTCCAAGTTTTCCACGTTATTGACCTTGAAATCCAATTGTTCATCAATATTTCGAGCTGAAAATCACAAAATTTGAATTTTTAATGGAAAAATTTCAATCGAAACAGTTTTTCTTCAGAAAAAAACCCACCTTTTTTCGATAATCCTCGAATTTTCCGTTGGACGCAACAATTCCAGTCTTGTAGAACATCTAAAAATTTAATTTTCGACTGAAATCCACTGATTTTCCCCGAAAACCTGAAAACCCAGCGAAAAAAAAACAAAAAATGAAAATATTTTCGTGTTGCGCTAAACAGCGGGCAAGCGGCGGAGTGTCGTTGTAAAAGTAAACAACTTCAATACATTTTCTAATTTTGTACTTATACTTGTTATGTTTTTTTTCTATTTTTGTATACTTTTTATGTGATCCTTTCTCAAAGTCAGCCCATTTTGAAAAAAAAAACAAATTTTCAGTGATTTCGCACGAACATTTCAATAAAAACATTTTTGAAATGAAATTTTTATTTTTTCGAAAAAAGTATTTATTATTGAATTAAAAAGACGTGAGAAATAAAAAAGTAGGTCAAGTGACGTGGATTTAAAAACAGTATAGGTAGCCATGTCGTCAATTGCGATGCGGTTCTGCGTTGCGTGTTGACCTCGATATTTTCCATTGGATTTTCCAAATTTTCATTTCTAAAAACGTGTCGCTCACACGCATCGCAACTGACGACATGGCTACCTATACTGTTTTTAAATCCACGTCACTTGACCTAGTTTTTTATTTCTCACGTGTTTTTAATTCAATAATACGTTATTTTATTTTAAGAATATACATCCGAAAAAAAATCACGCTAGATCTTTTTTTCAGGTTGGACGCTCATTTCTTGAAAAATTGTATTTTGTATTCGGCCTGTCTTTATTGGGAGCTCTAAATTAAAGGTAAGAGGGAGTTTATTTTTCTTTCTATGACCCAGAGAAGTTGTAGATTGCTTGAGAATTCGGAATTTAGCCGATGTTGGTTGTCCACTCCAATTTCAATAATGAAAACAAAATGCATTTGAGGATTTGGATCTTATACAACTGCAACTCATGTCAGGTTAGTTTAATGGGTTTTGGATTTGGTTTTGGGTGAAAGAACACAGTGATTTGTGTTAAATTATATCAGGTAAGTTTGGGGTACTGTTGTATTATGTATAATTTAAGACGAGAGTTGTTCACAAGCCAGGGCTTGTGGAAAAAGAGAAAAATCCCTTAAAATGTCTTTTTTTTATTTTTTCAATTATTTTTATAGTGTTTTTTTTTAAATATTCCACATTCCGATTTGTTTTCAATTAGCTCTTCAACTTCTATCGAACAAAGATTTTTTGCTACTATTGAAATGACAGTAACTCTAGAAAAGATCAATTTCATAAAAGTTTCAACATGTGCAAATAAGTTCTCAGGTGTGTAAACTTCCTGAAACTAGTATAAATTCTGAACACGTTTTTGATTGTAACATATTCCAAAAATGTTTAGAATCCTTGCAATCATCTCTTCTTTCATTGTTTTAGTTCAATCTTGTAGTGATTCATCAAGCAAGTAAGTTTTATTAGTTTCCTAATAAATATCAAATAATCAATAAACTTTTCAGTTGTGCAAATTGGGTAGCAAATGGTTTTTGTAAATCTCCAAATTATTCATATTCACAAAAGAAAGCAAATTGTGCTCAAAGTTGTGGTTTTTGTGGTACAACATCAACAGCATCTGGTTCAGCAACAACAGATTGTCAAGATAATCAAGCAACATGTGGATATTGGGCATCAAATGGTTTTTGTACAAATCCATTTTATTCAAAAGCATTAAAAACTCAATATAAGATAGGTTAAATTTGAAAAGTTGCCGGTTTTGACGAAAAAATCAAATATCTGTCCAAATCATTAGCTTTAAATTTGAAAATCAATGAAAATATTCAATCGATAAATGTTACTGTACTTTTGATTAAAAATAGGCAAATATTTCAGTTTATTTTATTTGAATTAGAAACGTTGTATTTATTTTCAGAATCTAACGATTTGATCCCAACCCAAATCGTTATATTTTGAAAACAAAAAAAATATTATTTGTGACTAAAAACGTGACCTTCTATTTTTAAAATCTAACGATTTCATCCTGGCTCAAATCGTTAGATTTTGAAAATCCGAAAAAAGTCATTGTTTATATTTGTTTTACAATTCATGGGCACCATAGCATGTTCTACAAACTTTTATAATTGTCTGTATTGCCCAAAACAACTCCATAAGTCATTTTAACGCATCTCGTCTCGAAGCGAATAAGATTGATCAGTTCAAAAAAAGAGAAATGGCGAAATCCAACCAGAAAACGTGTGACACGTATTATTTTTCGTTGGATTTAGTCATTTCTCTTTTTGAAATTGTTTCATCTCGACGTAATTTTTGAGGCAATATGTCTAAAAAATTTCTTGGTGTGGTTCTGGAAAATGACACCAACAGTTTTTGGAAACTTATCATATGTGAATGAAATGCAAAAAACATATGAAGAATGATTTCGGTTAAATTTTCAAAATCTAACGATTTGAGCTCGGATCAAATCGTCAGATTTAGAAAATAAAAGGTCACGTTAGAAAATAAATTTTCACCACGCACAGCCAAAATTAAAATATAACGGTTTGTGCTCGGCGCAAATCGTTATTTTTCGAAAATCAGAATTTGTTCTTTTAAAAATATATGGTTTTTACAAAAACATATTCGGCCATAAAAATTCATTATATTTTTGTTGGATTTATAACAAAAAATATAAATTTATGTATCTTGGATAAAAGTATTATTTTTAATTTTTTTGCGATGATTTTTTCTTTTTTTATAATTATTGTCCAAAACCGGCAACTTTTCAATTTTAACCTATCTTATATTGTGCAAATACTTGTAATTTATGTCCAACAACAGATTCAACAACTGATTCAACTACAACAACAGCATGTGTTGATAATATTAAATATTGTTCATCTTGGGCAGCAAGAGGTTATTGTACTAATTCATTTTATACTGATACTCAAAGAAAACAATTTTGTGCCAAAACTTGCAGTTTATGCACTTAATTCTATTTTCTATTTGTGTTTTGTAGAATTAATAAAACAATTAATAAAACAAAATTCAAATTCCTTTTTTTAATGGGTTTTTTCACTATCAAAACAACCAAGCTTGTGTTATTTACTCGGTTAACTGGTTCCTAATTGATCGATAAAATATTAATGGCCCTTCTTTTCTTATTTTTTATCCATCTGTCAAGATGTGCGCATCATCAGATATCAGAATGACCTTCATTTAATCCCTCCCTCCATTCCTCTATCCATCTTTTTTCCATCCCGACAGTTTTTTACCTCGAAGGCGATCCGTTTGATAATTATTGGTCTCTCATAATTATTCATATTACTAACTAGTACTACTATTGACCTCAAATGAATTTAGTCCCAATTTTTCTCTCATTTTTTTTCTATGACTTTAGTCTCTGTTTGATCATTGGCGAGCCACGTATAAAATGTGCACCGACCGGGATTACTGTAATGATTGAAGTGGATTCGCCGTTCAAAGGCGCTTTGTTCCTGCGCGGGTCTGCCGATAAGAAATCTTGTAAAGCGGATTTCTCGAAAAACCCGGCTGGCAAGAATATCAGTTTTGAATTTGGCTTCGAAGATTGTCCAAGCAGACGGAAACGACAGGTAAACTAAATTCTCAAGTTTTTCCTATCTAAAAAATAAGTAGATTGTCCAACCGCGAGGAATGACAATGAGTTCAGTGCTAGTTGTCAGTTACCACGGATCAATCATAACTCACAAAGATGTTGCATATCAGATTGATTGTTTCTACCGAGAAGAGCACAGTAAAGTACAAACTTTGCTCAATGTAACGTAAGTGAATCCTAGCATTTACAAGTTTCTAATCAAATTCCTTCAGAGCCCCAAAACCTCTCGTCCTTTCTGATCAGCCAACTTTACCAATCTGCGACTATAAAGTTGAGGTCGCTTCGGGATCAACTAAAGATGGTGTAGTTACAAGTTCCCTATCCGGAAACTCCCCTGTAGTAACAGTCGGTGAATCTGTTGTTCATGTTTGGACGTGCTCAGGCGATGCACCAAACGATGTTTATTGTATGCAAGTTCATAGTTGTATGGCTGATGATGGTGATTTGGACAAAATCGAAGTTGTCGATTCGAATGGTTGTACCAGTGACGGTGAACTTCTATCAGCAATCCATTATAATGGTAAATCCATGCGCGCGGCTGCCACGTCACAAGCTTTCAAGTTTGCTGACAAACATTTGGTTTATTTCAAATGTTCGATTCGTTTGAGTGTGAAAGGACCAAATGAGAGTTGTCCCGTGAGTTTTTACCGTGCTAAAATCAACTAATTCAAAAAATTCCAGATCAATAATTGTGTCCCGAATCTTGTGCGTAACACAAGATCCACCAACGATCAACCACTATTCATTTTCAATCGTCACGGTGGTTTGGAAGATAGTGCAAGTCAGCAATATGACGTGGTTGTGACGTCACCGGAATTGCTGGTCGAGCCAGCCGGTTTGAAAAATCACATCATGTCGACATATCGACCGCCGGAAGCGTTGAAAAAATCGGGAGCTTCGAAATTTTCAGCACTGATTTTTCTCTCTTTAATTTTCCTGTTGTAAATTAATTTGTCGGGTTTTTGCAGTCAATAAAATTATTATTATTATCATAATTATTATGAGAGGGTGAAACCGGAATGTATACAAAAATGACATGTATTTTCTTGTTCTTGCTTGCTCACGGCAAAAAAATCGACGAAGCTCTTCGACTCGATGATGAGAAACCCGCACCCGATATCATCGAGTTTTGCTCACTAGAACTACTACTCTTCTGCTCCTGACAACACTGGCTGATCACTTCCGAATTGCAACTTGTTGTCAGGTTTGCCACGTGTCACGCCATCTCATTCTCGTCGTCTTCGGCGTTTTTGAGGTTGGAGGCTTTCATTGAGGCGAGACGATTCTCTTGGCGGTAGAAGTGTTTGAAGTTGGCCACCTGAAAACATTAGGGATTCGGATCAGACCTGCTTTGAATTTCAAAATTTTCTCCGAAGGTTTTCAGAGAATCCACGTGGCAAAAAACTCACAATAATTGGAACTGGCAGGGCCAAAGTGAGCACACCAATCATCGCACACATTCCACCAACGATTTTACCGGTGGGTGTGACTGGCACCAAATCTCCATATCTGCAAAAACCAACGCATTAATTTTTCCTGAACGCAAATACTTAAAAAATCCACGTCACATCACTTCAAACAACATTTACTTACCCAACAGTGGTCATTGTTACCTAGAAATTGTTTTTTTTTATAAAAAATTTTTTTTTGTTGAAACAGTGAGATAGCTAAATAAATTTGAACTCACCAACACAAACCAGAAACTGGCAGGAATTGAGGAGAATTTGTTTTCAGTTGTTTCAAAAGTTCCAGTTTGCTCGGCGTAATAAATACTTGAGGCGAAAAGGACCAAAGCGATGGCCATGAAAAATATAAGCAAGCAGAACTCTTGAACCGATGCGCGGAAGGTTTTTCCGAGGATTTGCAGGCCGACAGAATGCCGTGAGAGTTTGAAGACGCGGAACACTCGAACCAATCGAAGGACACGCAAAACTGCAAAGGACATTGCCGAGTTTTTGCCCTCCTCGTTTTTCTTTGATGGATCTTCAGAGCTTAGGATCAGATTGACGAAGAATGGGGCGATTGCGACGAAATCGATGATGTTCAAAATTGATGTGCAGAATGTCATTTTACACGGGCAACTGATGAAGCGAAGGAAGAGTTCTGCAAAAAAGGGACGCTATTGGGAAAGATTTTCAATTTTCTTACCTATCGTAAACCAAATAATACACACTAATTCAATGATGAAGAACCACGGAACTTTATTATCTGGAACTACAGTAATCTCAGGTGGTAGAGTAGTGGTAGTTGTGATAATTGGAGCAGCTGGCTCCGGGTAGCAGCAAACGGGTTGTTGTTTTTTAGTGTATTGCGCTGAATTCGCATCAGGCACTGTTTCCCAGCAAAATGAGATTATTGAGCTGCAAGAAAAAAAGTTTTACCAACTCGTTCAGTAGAGCTCCTACATTGCAATAACTGCGATTGAAATGAAGGCAACAACTCTAGCAGCCACTGAACTATCCGGATATTCCATCAATTCCCAGATCTTCCTTTGTGTCTTATTTTCAGGCATCAGAACTTCTTTCGGCTTCTCGTATCCCTCAGCAATCCAAAATTCTTCCAAAAGTCCATCGCCCATTTGAAAAAATCGCATTTCGCGTAAAAATATATCGATTGGCACGGCTTCCGGACGTTTTACCCGACCGTTACTTTGATAGATGTACAATATCGATTCGAATCTGGAAAATACCAGGTTTTAGATGCTGTTTCCACTAGGCTTTTGCTAAAAAGGCAAAAGATTTTTAAATGGATTATTGGGGGGAAATTTTTGGAAAACGCAAGCAGAAAAATTTTAAAAATGTTACAAATGTTGACGATGTTCGAAGTTGAACGAGGGAGATCTGAAGCAACTTAGGTTGGGGCACGATTTCAAATCCCCCCGAAATCAAAAGACACCCAAAACTCACGTCGTCCTGTGTCGATCGAAAAAATACTCATCGGTTTGTGCAACATAATAACTTTTTCGTTTTTCAGGATCGCCTAGGAGAGAATTGGGATATCTGGATAATGTGCTTTCGAAGGTTTGGAATTTCATGCCGGATACATTTATTGTGATGATGTTTTGCTCGGAGATATAACTGAAATATGAAAAAACATTTTTTGAAAATTTTAAATTGCCGAGCCTATTGTTCATGAAAGCAACGATACACCACAATTCCGCTTGGATTTTTTAAGCGGTGAAAATCAAAAATTCGAATTTCACAGCAATTTTGTATGAAAACAACGATGCTCCGCAATTTCGCTTGGTTTTTTGAAGCGGAAAAAGGGTGAGTTCAAATATTTTCCATAGAAACCTGATTTTCCAGGGAAACCGAATTTTTTTTTTCGAAAAAAAAAACTCACGTTTCAGACCTCGAATCAGGCGTTCCTCGTTGCGGACTCAAATCGCGCTTCTTCTGCCGAGCTCCATTATTCTTCAACAACATTCCATTCGCCTCCTCATCATTTCCAGCCATTTCACCGGCTCTTCTAGAAAAATTCAAATCAAAACACACTTGTTTTATTTCTGGGGAGGGAAAAGTGAGGTAGGCGAAGCTAAGCTTTATGTCATCTGGAACATAAAAACCCTCGTTTTTATCTTTTTCTCGTGAAAAACTGGCGAAATTATTTCTTGGATAGAATTTTGAGGGCAAAAAGCCGATTATTTTGAGCTGGAATACACATTTTCGGCCACAATATTTATAAGCCTAAATTAGAGCTTTAATTTAACCTTAATATAGGATATATTAGGGAAAAAGCCTAATTATAAACTTATATCTAAATAAAAGAAAAATAAAAAAGAAATAAATAGAAAAGTGAAGGAAAAATAACATATAAATCATTATATGGAAATGAGTTTATATATATTCTTCTTCTTTTTTTCATGTATACATTTTTCATATGCACTTCTCTTCTATTTTTCTGTCGAAAAAATGAGCCAAAAATGGAAATTTGAACGATTTTTTGAAACCTAGGCAAAAAATTAAAAATTCACGCATAAAAAAGTGAATAACATATAATTTTTTGGATGCGAAGAGCCGAAAAATCGATTTTTTGCTCCGAGAAACAGGAAGAAAACAAAAAGTGAAAAATTTCGTGAAAAGTTGAAAAATGGAACACCTGACTTATTGAACAATTGTTCTCTCATCATTTTTTTTTGGGGGAAAATTAAAATTCATAGAATTTTTAGAAATTATCTCTCACCTTCTTATTCGATTTTTGAATCTAGACCTCCACATTTTATTTCTATTTACAGCATCTTGAAAAATCCACGGTTTTTTGGATGAAAATAAAAATAAAAAGAAGTGAAGCGAATAACGACTTTAGATCCTCGAGAAAACTTTTTCTTTTCTTTTTTTGAAAAAAAGGAATATTTTTTCTAATTATCTTCCCAAAAATTGGAAAAAGAAAATGGAATTAGGTTTTTTTCTCGAAAAAAACGGGAGAAAAATTCAATTTCTTTTTTTTCGGTGAATTTTATATGATCAAATTTGTTAGGCTGTTCAAACAATTTTTCAATAAAAAATGTATCCAAACCCCCAAATCCCTCTCGATTATTTTTTAATCATTTTCTGCTTAATCCTAGCTCATAAATCTTGTGCTTTCTATTTATTTTTGCTCATCAATCATCAATCATTGAAAAGGTGGAAGAGCAAAGGGAATTCATTAATTTTTGATTTTTTCTTCTTTTTCCGATGATTTATGAAATTCTAGAAACATGTTTGGATTTCGCATGGTTCCCGGTCCTTGAAAAACATTAGGAATTATTCCAGGAGAAAATACGTTTCTGTGAAAACTGATTTTCATAGCCAATATTTTGCGTGTGGTTTATTTATGACAGTGTAAACCGAAAGCTTCGAAATCCTACGTAGCAAACCCACATGGCCGCTTCGCGGAAAATTGCGGTCTACACTCGCGGCTTTGCCGTTCGGTTGTTTTTCAGATCTAGAATCTTGAACTCACCCAAAATCAGCACTCCTGCTCCGATTTCCGCCACTATTTTTGTGATGATTCGAATTATGATCCGGTGAAGATTGCCGACTTCCACGTTGACTATTACAACCATTTTGATATTTTTCCGGATGCACATTGAGAACTTGTTCGAGTCTCCTGCAAAAAGTTTTTTTGTCTACGTCATTTTTGGCTCAATGACCAAAAAACTATCAAAACTCATAAATTTTATGTATTTTTTGCCAATTTCCCGAGTTTTTTTTCGCGAAATGAAAAATAAAAATGAAAATAAAAATAAATTTGATGGAATTAAGGCATCAAAAATCGCATCTATCTACTATATACTAATTGGGAAAATTTTTTTGGCAATAGTATGTCCGGGACCCGTTCTCAAAACTGTGCGCATAAAAATTGATGATCAAAAAAAGAAAAAGTTTCTAAATGTTGGCAGCTCGATGCGCTTCCTATTCATTCTTTCTCAAAATGTATGTGAGTGCGCGGAGAATCAAAAAGTTTGAAAACTCCAATGTATTTTTCGATTTTAAAATGTGTCGCTCGACTTTTCTCAATTTCCAGAAGACCGTTTTTGATGGGACCTTCACCATTCGATCCCAAATTCTCTCCCATCGAGGCGATAATATTCGATTTTTCAAAAAGTGCGCGAGTTTTCACGTGAAAAATCAAAACTTTTTTCATGTAAAAAAGAATGATCACGTTTTTATTCCAAAAAAATTAAAGGACACGTTTCTTATCTGATCTTTCTGTTTTCTGAAAAAAGCGAACAATTTCTGGGCATTTCTCAATGTTTCTCTTTACCTAACCGGAAAATAAATCAAAAGTAAGTCAAACTACTGTAGATGGCGTTAGCCAGCGAAGCCCTTCTAGTTGGGATTGAATAGAAATTTTTTTTTTTGAAAATGTGACTGACCTATGACAAATTTCCGGAAATTTGATGTTTTTCGAAAAATTGCAGGAAAATAATTCCACGTGGATTTTATTTTGGAATTTCAAATTTTTTTTTACCACGTGGAACTTACAGATTTTCCGATAAAAAATAATTTCAGGAAAAAGTTCCCAACGAATTTCTTCTCTAAAAATGCCACGTAGATTATTTTCTGAAATATGTTCTGAAAATCTCTTAGAAACTGATTTCAGCACAGTTTAAAAATTTTTTATTTTTTACTTTTATTGTTAGAGAATGTTCCGTGGATTTTGAATTTTCAATCAACTTTTTTTCAGAGTTTTCAGAAAAAATCTCAAGAGCTCTGAGATCTTGAAAACTCATCAAAAAAAGTTCCCCATGACTAACCTGACCAAACTATCTATCATTTTCTTTCTCATCGAGACATTTCAAGATATAAAATTGGATTTTCAGATTTTCCGAGCCGAAAAAAAAGAAAGATCAGAACAAGATTTTCTCAAGAATTGTAGTATCAAATAAATATTCGTTTTTCTTTTTCGTGTTCAAAAATATTATAAATAATAATAATAGATAAAAATTGAGAGGGAGAAAAACGAGAAGATATTTGTTTGAAGCCAAGCAGAAATAGGCGGAGCTTCGTGTCAACAAATGAAAATTCTATTGGAAAATGAAATGGATGTTTATGGAATTTATCAAGTTTTATTACATTTTTTTTGAAAGCTTTTGCCACGTGGAATTTGAGCAAACTACACACAATTTTTTCATGTGATTTTAATTGCACATCAAAAATAATTTCAAATTTCAACAGCTGGATGATTTTTCTTTTACAATTAGATCAAACTACATATAGTTTCCGGTTTTTCTTAAAAAATTGCCACGTGGGTTCTTCAGCCAATTTTTTTTTCTAGAAATTAAAAATCCAAAAATCTTGGCTTCCTCAATTTTTCTTCTTCACAAAATAAATGAGACTCTTTCTGTTGTCACATTTTTGAAATAAATGTTCATAAAACATTTCCAAATTTTACCTCGCCAATTTCTGTGCCCAAATCCATTCTCGATTCTCGTGATGATGATATGAGGAAGCGGCTGAATCGCTATCATCTGATTCTACCGGTGATTTCATGGGGGAAAGATTCTAGAAATGGAGGATTTCGGAGAAAGGGAAACAGAGAGTTTTGGGAAAAAAACGTTGAAAAATGATGTTTTTGATTTGAGAAAGGAAAACAATTCAAAATTTTCAAAATTCTTGACACAAAATTTTAGGGTTCCTAGAAGCCAAAGCTAAAATTCTCTGAAACTAGAGTTTTGAACTTTAAGAATCCATAATTGATTTTCCTAATTGATTTTCATTCTATAGAATTTTTTGTACCAGAAATTCCTTTCTCAAGTTTCACCAAATCAAAAAACAAAAATCGTCATAATCCTATATTTTTTTAGAATTCGGTAATCCTTTCAGAAAACATCATTTCTCAATTCTAAAAATGTTCAGATCAACAAAAAAATTCAAAAATTTGGGATTTCAAAAAAACATCCAGTTCCCAGAAAATCAATAAAAAGAACCTCTGCAAAACTCAATATTTTTCCGACAAAAAAAAAAAGATAAAAAATGAAAACATATCTCCTCACATTTCTCTCTGTGTGTCTCACAATTTTTCACTAGTCCAACCCAGTGTTTCAAAAATTTTTCCAACATTTTTCCCTTTGTCAAAACAGCTGCGTTTCTTGCCTATCACTATCTTTGTTTCACCATGGCTTTTCCTGGGTCGAGATTTTTCTAGAGAACGCCCCCATGCTCTTTTGATCAGAGACCTACTAAATATTTTTATTTTTGAAACACATAAATTTACAATTAGGTTAATGGATTTTTTTTGTTGATGAAAGAGTAATTTGAGTAAAGTTTTGACATTTTTGAGATATGAATACAGAAAATGGAAAACACAAAGAGAATTTATTAAGGGAACTCTAGAATTTCATTGACAAACATTAAATGACACGTGGCAAAATTTTTTATAATTATATTTTTATGAGGTTTATATAATTCGTTTTCACGTGGCACATTTTCTTCAATTTTTCAAAAAAAAAAAAGAAAAATTTATTTTCAAATTTTCAAGTTTCAGATTCAAATTTACACGTGGGAACTTCTGGTACCATCAGAGCTCCAAAATTTTATCGACAAAATTTTTTTTTCAGATTTTCAATATTCAAGTTCAGTTTCTCAAATCCACGTGGCAAGGTTTTTTTTTCAAATTCTCAGGTTTCAGATTTTAATTTACACGTGGCAACTTTTTGAGCAATTCAAAAATGATCTCATTTTTTTTAGATTTTTAGTCAAATCCACGTGGCAAAGTTTATCCCCAACCTTTCAAAAACTCACAACTCTGGTCGTGTGAATCGAAACATCGTAAACTCGATTTTGTTACTGAAAAAAATCCATTTTTTCTTGTTTGCAACAAAAAAAACATGAAATTTGATACATTTTTTTGATGTTTTGATGCAAAAAATAATATAAATAACATTGGAAATGAAATGAAAAATGTGTCACAGAAAATAGGAGAGCAGAGAAAAAAAATAGTGAGAAAATTAAATATATAATTGAGATGTGATGAAATTTCTCGAAAATTTCAAAACTCCAGACATCTTTTTTTTGAAAATGTTCTACTTTTTCGAACGAACAAAGTGTGATGAAAAATTCACAAACTTTTAAAAGGGTTCAAATTTTTGACCTTCAAAAATCCAAGCTGAAAAAAAATTCCAGAAAAATTGATTTTTCGCGGAAGCGAATAAGAATGAGGCGTTTAATCCAATTACCTAAACTGGCCAAAAAAGATCCGCTTTTTCCATCTTTTTTTTTTTTAACCAAACCACGAAAATTGGATGGAAAACACATTAATTTCAAGCAAAAACATTACTTGTTTTGAATTTTGTTCGAAAAAAAAAGAAAATCTGAAAAGTAATTATTTTCTGGATTTGGGTTTGGTTTTCTCCAAAAACAAAACAAAATTGGAGTTACTGTATCTCAAGATATATAAAAAATAGTTTCTCATTTTCCGGAAAATGCTATGAGAAGCTATAAAAAAGGGGAAGAACATCATAAAATGAATAATTATCCAGAATAATATATTTTCTTTCTGAAAAGAAATATAATTAGTTTTGAACATTTTTTATTAATTCTACGAATATCACAAATACAAAAAGTTATGTGCATAAACTGCAAGTTTTAGCGCAAAATTGTTTTCTTTGAGTATCAGTATAAAATGAATTAGTACAATAACCTCTTGCTGCCCAAGATGAACAATATTTAATATTATCAACACATGCTGTTGTTGTAGTTGAATCAGTTGTTGAATCTGTTGTTGAACATAAATTACAAGTATTTGCACAATATTGAGTTTTTAATGCTTTTGAATAAAATGGATTTGTACAAAAACCATTTGATGCCCAATATCCACATGTTGCTTGATTATCTTGACAATCTGTTGTTGCTGAACCAGATGCTGTTGATGTTGTACCACAAAAACCACAACTTTGAGCACAATTTGCTTTCTTTTGTGAATATGAATAATTTGGAGATTTACAAAAACCATTTGCTACCCAATTTGAACAACTGGAAAGTTTAAGAATTATTGAAATTGAACATTGAGTTAATAAAACTTACTTGCTTGATGCATCACTACAAGATTGAACTAAAACAATGAAAGAAGAGATGATTGCAAGGATTCTGAACATTTTTGGAATATGTTGAAATCAAAAACGTGTTCAGTATTTATACTAGTTTCAGGAAGTTTACACACCTGTGAACTTATTTGCACATGTTGAAACTTTTATGAAATTGATCTTGTCTAGAGTTACTGTCATATCAATGGTAGCACATTCGAGAAAAAGTTGCATCTATTTTCTTCAAATTTTATATGAGTAAATTTTTTTTAATTTTCTAAAAATGTTCCAATGATTATGTATTTTGTAATTTCTTCATTTCCAGGGAGAGCAACAATCAAAGTATTTCTTTGTTTCAAATTTGACACGAAAGCTGAATAAACTTCCTGAAACTAGTATAAATACTGAACACGTTTTTGATTGTAACATATTCCAAAAATGTTTAGAAGTCTTGCAATCATTTCTTCTTTCATTGTTTTAGTTCAATCTTGTAGTGATGCATCAAGCAAGTAAGTTTTATTAATTTCCTAATTAATTTCAATAATTCTAAAATTTTCCAGTTGTTCAAATTGGGTAGCAAATGGTTTTTGTAAATCTCCAAATTATTCATATTCACAAAAGAAAGCAAATTGTGCTCAAAGTTGTGGTTTTTGTGGTACAACATCAACAGCATCTGGTTCAGCAACAACAGATTGTCAAGATAATCAAGCAACATGTGGATATTGGGCATCAAATGGTTTTTGTACAAATCCATTTTATTCAAAAGCATTAAAAACTCAATATTGTGCAAATACTTGTAATTTATGTTCAACAACAGATTCAACAACTGATTCAACTACAACAACAGCATGTGTTGATAATATTAAATATTGTTCATCTTGGGCAGCAAGAGGTTATTGTACTAATTCATTTTATACTGATACTCAAAGAAAACAATTTTGCGCTAAAACTTGCAGTTTATGCACTTAACTTTTTGTTTTGTAGAATTAATAAAATAATTTTTAATCAAAGATGACTCATGTTAGAAAGTGAAATGATAACCCGATTTCTCTTTAAATTGATTGGATTTCATATCTTTTGATAACAAAATGTTGGCTTTTCAAATTTTCGCATTATTTTTCGCTGGATTTCTAGCCACCGAAGCTGCAGATATCGATTTTGTTAGTTCGAAATTTCATTTTCCCTTTTTTTTCAAAAACCCCATTCAACTTCAGGCTCTAATATGTGACAAAGGTTATCGTGTCTCCTCAATCAAACGTTCTAAAACAAATTACAATGTTTTGGGAAGTCTTACCGTAGAATGCGAGCAGATATCGCTAGCCGAGTCAACGAATTGTGCTCCTCAGCAGAGTGTTCCGAAATGCAGTGGATTGTTGGAGGGATGTACTGGGAATACGTGGCTTGGCGGGTTTCATGTTTATTTGTTGGAAAATTCGACACAGGCTGCTGTGTGAGTGGAGAAATTTTCACTTTTTTTCCGAAATTCCAAAAAATTCCAGCCTAGACCCAGTCTGCTGTTCTTCCCCCTCTGTCCAAATCGACTCCGGATCTTGCATCAATGATCAACTCAACACCGGAACTCGCGATTTCGCTCACTCCATAGTTTCCGATCTGATTTATCGCGGTTGGCAATGTTGGCATCAATACGATCAAAAACGGACCTTGGTAGATTTATTGTGGAAAACCGAGATTTGTCCATTCCAATCGTCTGATTTTCCAGTGATAACAAGAAGAAGTGGGGAAATTCTCAAAAAACAAACAAATATTTTAAATTTTTCAGGCGAATGCGAAGAATGTCAATGTGATTGTGGAATTGAGCAATGCTCTAACGGTGTCACTCCAGTTCGCCTAATTCACAAAAAACTTCTCTTGCCATGCTCGTGTGATTGTACATGTTCCTTTAAGTGTGTATGAAATAAATATTGTTTTTTAAAAGTATAAAAGTTTTGATCTATTTCAATTTCCCGCTTTTTGGGAAGATCGATAATGTGTTATCAATCGATGTAATCAAAGACTACATTGTGGTCAGTTTCCTTTTCTTTCTTATTTTTTTTTCATTTTTATTTTTGTTGTTTTTGTTCCTTTTTTTAAAGATTTCTTATACTTTCAAACGTAAAATTTTTTTCCAGTTATGAAAAGTGTTGTGGAAGGACAATGTGGTCAGCAGAATGCGCTGGTGGGACTTGCCAACACATTTGGCCAGTCGTCAAATCAGCGAATTGCGCCGAGCTCTGTTGGACCAGGTGCACTTTTGCCGCAAAATTCGCTGGGTGAACAGATGGCGAATGAGTTTTTGCGAACGCAAAGATCAGCGGCGCCGACGAGTTTTTCGCTGAAAGCCATGCAACACAATTTACCGCAAGTGGGGAAGTCGACGAATTTGGCTATGAATTGGAGTAATGAGTTTCAGCCGAAGCAGGTTGGTGAGATCCAGGACCAGACACGAAGTCACTTGAAAAAAAACCTACTGTACGCAAAAGTGCGTCGCAGTGTTTGCACACACTTCGAAGAAATTATTGTTTTCAATTTCAGAATCAACTCGCTCAACAATGGTCACAACAATACTCCACAATTACACCGCAACCTCAAAGACATTTCGATTCAGCGTGGCAACAGGCTGCTCCTATGTCAACATCTTCCGCGATTCAACAAAACTCTGGAATGTGGTCGTCAGAATTTCTTGACAATATCGAATCAAGTCTTCAAGGTTCTTCCTCTTCACAATCTGCCAGTCAATGGGCTGAAGATTTTTTGGGACCGGATTCGGTTTGGAATGGTCCTTTGCATAATGGAGCGGCTTATGAATCCACGTGGAATCAGATTAAGAAGGATTTTGAGGAAAGTGTATTTGCGGAGAATTCGGCTGCACAAACGATGAATAATGATTATATATTCCTTGATCAGAATCCCTATAGTCAATTATCTGATCCGCTTGCTCAGGGTGATAGTTTGATGCGGAATGGTGATATTGGTGAAGCGATGTTGGCTTACGAGGCGGCGGTTCGGCAAAATCCGCAAGATGCAAAAGCGTGGTGTCGATTGGGATTGGCGCACGCGGAAAATGAGAAGGATCAACAAGCGATGACGGCGTTTAGAAAGTGTTTGGAGATTGAGCCGGGAAATAAGGAGGTAGGGGAAATTTTTTCGAAAAATACTTGAAAAATCGATAAAATTTTGAGAAGCTCAATAGATTTCAAGGCGCGGAATTAAAAAAATTCAAACTAATTTTTCAAGACACGAAATTCAAAAATGTCAAATTTCCCGCTTTATTTTTCAAAGCGCGAAATTCAAAAATTCAAATTTACCGCTCAATTTTTAAAGGCACGAAGATGAAAAATTCAAATTTTCACTCATTTTTTCAAGGTGCAAAATTCAAAAAATTCAAATCAATTTTTCAAGGAGCAAAATTCAAAAATTCAAATTTCCCGCTCAATTTTCTAAGGCGCGAAATTCAAAAATTCAAACTTCCCGCTAAATTTTTCAAAGCGCAAAATTCAAAAATTCAACTTTCCCGCTCATTTTTTTGAAGGCACGAAATTCAAAAATTCAAATTTTCCGCTCATTTTTCAATGCGCGAAATTCAAAAACTCAAATTTCAGGCTCTTCTCGCTCTTTCTGTCTCAATGGCCAACGAGGGTCAAGAAAATGAAGCGCTCCACCAACTTGACAAATGGATGTCCTCATATCTCGGATCCGATGTCACTCAAATCACCAACACTCCACCAATGTATTCCTCATTTTTGGATCATGATATGTTCAATCGAGTTGAGGCGAGATTTTTAGATGCAGCTCGACAACAAGGAACTCAACCAGATCCGGATCTTCAAAATGCTCTCGGCATTTTGTACAATTTGAATCGCAATTTTCAAAGAGCTGTCGATTCGTTGAAATTGGCGATTTCTGGAAATCCTGAAGATCCAAGATTATGGAACAGATTAGGAGCCACGCTGGCGAATGGAGATCGAACTGCTGAAGCGATTTCGGCGTATCGAGAAGCGTTGAAAAGATATCCGACTTATGTTAGAGCGAGATATAATTTGGGAATTTCTTGTATGCAATTGACATCTTATCGAGAGGCGCTGAATCATTTTACATCGGCTTTGGAATTGCAGAAAGGGGGAAATGATTCGTCGTCGATTTGGGCAACTATGAGGTGAGTATTGGAAAATTGAGCGGGAGATTTGAATTTTCGAATTTCGCGCCTAGAAAATCAAGCGGGAAATTCAAAAAATTCAAATTTCGTGCCTTGGAAATTAGGCGGGAAATTCAAAAATTCAAATTTCGTGCCTTGGAAATTAGGCGGGAAATTCGAAAAATTCAAATATCGAGCCTTGAAAGCGGGATTTTTAAATTTTTGGTTTTTTTTGCCACGAAAAAAAAAAAAAAAAAAATCGGAAATTTGAATTTCAAATTTCGCGCCTAGAAAATCAACTACACAAAACAAAATTAATTTTAAAGTATAAAATTAAAAATTTTCAGATCCGCTGCCATCCGTACACCAGATGTTCCAGATTCTTTGCTGCGAGCTGTCGAAACTCGCGACCTTCCAACATTAAAATCAGTTTTAGCAACTCTACCCTAAAATTATTGCATGAATTTTTCAAAAATAAATGGACTTTGATCTAAAACGATGACTAACAAAACATTTTTAGCAGCGAAGAAAAAAACCTTTTTTCTCACATTGCACATGACTTTGGATTGTCATTTATCAAATTGGGTGAGCCCCCAGCTGCTCATCTGCTTTTTGTCTCACATTTTCTATATTTTCTATTTACATTCTTTTATTTATTATATTGAATATTGGATAAAAGTAGAGAGAAAATATGATAAGATGGGTTTTGGCGTGGAATTTGTTGATTTTTGGTGGAGTTTTGGGTGATGAGGTGGGTATTTTACGGAAACTTTAGAATAAAACAGGAAAATTCCTCAAATTTTCAGAAATTTGTGAAACCGCCTGTAACAACTCTGGAAGCTTCACTTCCACCAGAAGATCTAGAAAACTCCACCCGAACCACACCAAATTCAACTCCAAGTCCCAATCCGAACCCAAAAACATTAGAAGATCTACACGACGACTATGCGAAAATTCTGGATGGAATGATAATTGATGAGAAAATCGAGAAACATCCCAAAAATATTCTCCTAAAGAATAAAAATCATCAAAAACAAATTGTAATTGAACAAACTATTGTTGAACACGAGAAAGATCATGAAATTCTCGAAGCATCGATTGAAGTTCCGAGAATTGCGAAAAATGAGAATGGAGAGGTATTGGAGGTGGAACCATCGGCGGATAGTGTTAGTGAGAAAATTTTTCAACCAAATTACTTAAGCCATACTTCCAGACCTACAACTTCGACGATCTCGACAACCCGAATCAAGAAACCATTCTAAACAACCAGAAAATCATTCCAATCATCCCAGAAACACAAAAACCCTATGAAGTTGTCACAATGTTTTCCGCCACCACCACCACAACTCAAATTCCCTCCACTCAAAAACCCACGATTCCTGGAAGACTATCAGATGCTAAAACTGATGAAAAGGAAGAAAGAAGTTTTGTCATGACATTTTGTATGACGATTTTGGGGCACCCAATTCCACCAAAAATAGACACCGAAGATCGGAAAATTGTGCTACCCCCGCCTAGAATGCGAAGAGAATCGGAAGCGGAATCTATGGATGATATTCGATGTGCTTGCGAAGAATTGACTGAGGAACTTCTAGGCAAACAATTAATTATGTAAATTTTTGTACATATAAACATTCTATACTAACATATTGTCCAAAAGAAATGAAAACCGGCATTCATTTTAAACACAATACGCGAAAAACCCACAATTTTAGAGATGTTGACAAGTTGATGGGGGGCCCTTTAACATAAATATGGAGAAAACATTCAATTCACATTATTATATGATGATTGAAAGACGAAAAACGACACGAAAACGCACTACTTTTACCGTTGAACAATTGTATGTTTTGGAGCATTATTTTGGGAGAAGTCAGTATGTTGGAGCTGTTGAAAGAGCCAGATTATCGGTGATGCTGGGGTTAGAAGAGATGCAGGTTAGTTTGCATGTGCGCTTTATTGAGAACCTCGAAATTTTATCGAAAAAACAAATACGCTCTATTGCTAACTGTGTTTTCCCAGCCAAAATTCAAATTTCTATGGTCAAAACCCACATTTCCTATAGAAAAATTGAACCCGTCCATCATATTTGCTCTCTAGTTTTTTTACTCCACCTATCTATCAAACTTGAACAGGAAAATATTTTTTTAAGTTATCAGCAAGTTGGTTCCACTATGAAGAGATAAGCGGAATGGGAATTCCCGGACAAAAATACATTTTTCAATGGAGCGCACTTGAAAAATTGAAATTTTTGAATAGAAGTTCTATAGAACAAAAGCTTTGTTGAAATTCAAACAAAAAAAATTGCAGATCAAAATCTGGTTTCAAAATCGACGGATTCGTTGGCGACGCGACGAAAATCGCCGAGCAACTTAGCCTAACTTGCCCCTAAAACTCACTCTATTTTGTATTGTTTGCACAAAATTTGTAGTCTACACACACTTAGATACAAATACACGTTTTGGTCGCCTACTTTTTTTGCATTTTGCTGATAAAAACATTGATTTTTGGTATTTTGTAATTAATGTTCATATTGATTTTTCTTGTTTTTTTAATCTCAAGGTCATCCCGGGAAGTAAATCTCATAAAAATTTCTCTGAATAAATTTTTACCTAAAAATCTACTAGAAAAATGACATTTTTTATTGAATATTTTCGAAAGGTAAAGTGTTTTTTGGTTGGTTCAGGTGTCAGAGTCGGGTTACCTTGAAAAAATAAGAGACGCAGACAAAAATTCTTTGATAACAAAAAAAAGTATTTTTGCAATCCAAAGTATTTTTTGGTATCTGTCACGTGATTAAATTAACCTAACCTATTTAATAAATTTAAATAATTATTTATTCGCGGGAAAAAATGCTTTTCACATTTTTTATCGCCATTTTCTTATTTCTACTCGCCTGGAAAATGTTGGTTTTCTAAATATTTTCAAAAAAAAAAAAAATTTATTAGTTTGGATTTTTCACGTGACCTTTAGGTGGATTTTGAGTAAATTGACCTTTCAAATTTATTCTGAGCCATTTCGAGATTGTATTTTAATCCAATCCAATCCAAAAAAAAAAATAAATAAACGAGCAAACACGCTCTTTCGCTAATGGTCAACACAAAACTTTTATTATTACACCCGAGAAATGGGAAAAAGAAAAGTGTCTCCTCGTGGACTCTTCTCTACGACTATGTGCGCAAACTATTTATTGTTGTGGTTTTGTACGTTGAATACCATTTTAGTTTATACATTCAACGAAACGCACAAAAACGCCAACATACGCAGGTTTGCACACTAATGGGAAACGCATTGTGTTGTTGTTGTCATAAATCGAACGAAGAGCAGAATGCGCAACTAACTGATGTGATATTATCAAGACAGCCGCCAGTTTCAGGTGAGAATCTCTTTGAGAATGACATTTTCATGTTTTTTAAGCAAGTGAGTTGAAATATTGGGTTTTAATGTCATTCATATGATAGAATGGTCTAAGACGAACATAATGATATAAATTTTTATGACTTTACCTTATCCATAAATGATTTAGCGACATTTAGTCAATCGACTCGGCTTATCGACTAAACGTCGCTAAATCACTTATGGATAACGTAAATTCATAAAAATTTATAATAATTCTGTTCGTCTTAAACCATTCTATCATATGAATAGAATTAAAACCCAATATTTCAACTAACTTGCTTAAAAAACATGGAAAAACTATACTGATTGTGAGACCCAAAAACCCGTTCAATTTGCAGAAAACACTCGCGGAAATTTGCTCGTCTTTATCAATCCGCACAGTGGACGCGGAAAGAGTTTGGAAACTTTTGTAAATACAGTTGCACCACGTTTAGACAAAAATTCGATTAGATATGAAGTGGTTATCACAAGTAAGTTATTTTCAACAAGGAGAAGCAGGTGGTATATTCAGAATTTGCCTCAAAGTTGCTAAACACGAGTTTTTTTCTCAAATTTCAACTTTTCTCGCAACTGTGAGACAATTCTGAATATATCCTCTGATTCGTCTTTTTTCGAGGAACAAGGAGAACTATTTAATTTTTCATGAAACCCATTTTTAACTGTGTAACTTTGTAAAAAAAAAAAAAAAAGCTGAAAATTCATGAAATGACACTGTGCCCGGAACGCGACAGCAGAGAAAATGTTTTGCCTCTACCCTTTTCTCATACTCTCTCGTGTGTCTCTTTTTCTCTCGCGTCTCTTTACAACCCCACACACTCTCGCTGAAAACTGACTTTTGAATAAAAACCGCAATTTAAAAGCTTGAAACTCGGAATTTCGAAGAAGTAAGATGATTATCAGAAAGAGGAAGAGTAGTAGAACGCAGAGATATGAAATTCACCCAAAAAAGTTCTGGAAACGGCTTTCAAACACGGGTTTGAAAAAAGTAAATTTCTATTTTTCAATTTTTTTTCATCCAAAAATGAATTTTTCCAACATTTTCGTAACAAATCTTGTAGAGAAGGTTAAGCTGGTTAGATTCCAATATCAAAGTCTTAACAATGATAGCTACTTCATGAAATTATCGCTCTCAAAGTTTCATACATGGGCAAGTTTTGGCAGAAAACCATGAGTTCAAATGAACATTATTTGAAATTGTGTTTTAACAACAATATAATATAGGTCTTTCTCTTTCAAATGATGTATAAAACTTCAGCTTTTTGGAAATAATTCGATGAGAAAATCCAGATTTGGTTTCAGAAGTTTTTTCCCCAGAAAAAAAAAAAGAATGGCCGAGATTTTTTGTTCTGGCCGAACTAATCGGAAACTCGGCCATTGTTGCGCTCAGGGCACAGTGAATGAACCGCCTTAGTCCGCAAACACGGCGACGCGCAAATGCACACAAACACGCCTACCGTATCCCTATTTTTTTTTATTTTTCAGCCGGTCCAAATCACGCCAAAACCTATTTATCCACCAAAAAAGACCTTGGAAAATTCAACGGAATTGTGATTTTATCCGGAGATGGTCTAGTCTTCGAAGCCCTCAATGGCCTAATGTTACGCGATGACGCTTTTCAAATGTTCCCATCGTTGCCAATTGGAGTTATCCCAAGTGGCTCAGGAAATGGCCTGCTCTCATCGATTTTGGCAAAGTATAAAGAATCACTGGAGCCGAAAAATGTGATGACAAAGGCGATCGAATTTGTGACATCGCCTAGTGCAAAAGCTGAAGCGGTTGCGCTTTTGCAAATCAAAACTGATACGGCGGATTTGGTTGGATTTTTGAGTATTGGATGGGGTTTGATGGCGGATATTGGTGAGTTTTTGCTTTGGAAGTGTACTTTTTTGTTAACAAGTTTATTTTTGCAGATATTGAAAGTGAAAGATGGAGAAAATCACTTGGTGCACATCGATTTACCGCAAGCGGTTTCATCAGAAGTGCATGTAAGTGATAAATTAAACAATATCGATTCCTCGGCGGAGAATTCTGAATTTCGACTCAGTCGAGAGATTCTCGAATTCTGGTTTCATTGAGATGATTTTGATATTTCCCAAATCATCGATGGATTTCACGCAGAATCTTCTCAACAAAGTGTAATTATACTTGTCCGCAAGCTTCAATTTTTCGAAGAGCTCCAAATCTTTGAACCAAATCAAGAAGTGCTCAATTTTGTAATGCAAAAATGAGGCACGGAATTCTTGAGCGCTTCTCATCAATGATTGATAGTTTGAGGCTGGAAAATTTTTTTGAAGCTAGACAAAAATAAGTAGATTTCTTACCTGTGACTTCGATTGAATTTGGCTGAATGGCGGCGAGAAATTGCATAAACTCTGAGGAGTTGTATTCCAACAAGATCTTGCTCGCAGTTGAATCTTTTGTGACGAAAAGATCGTAGAAGTATTCCGAAGCCGATGCCAGTTGCTAGAAAAATAGATTTTAGACAATGTTTACAAGGGAAGCGTTGAACTTTTGATACCAAATGCTGATCACGATTCCGAAGTCAAAAATTGCCATGTGAGACTTTTCTGGAGCTTCAAAGTTGGTTCGTCCATTTTCACCTGGTTCCAGGGTTGAAAATCAATTTCTATAACATGAATAAGGTTGTTCACCACATTCCAAAACCTGTCAGCTTTATAGTTTTTCAAAAAATATGAAAAACTAGCTGAAAACTGTAATTTTTCAAAGTTTTTTGTGCATTTTGAAAAATTACAGTTTTCACTTTTTATTTTTTGATAATCTAAAAAGCTGATAGGTTTTCGAATGTGGTGAACAACCTTATCCAAGTTATAGGAATTGATTTTCCACCCAGGAACATGGTGAAAATGGGCGAACTAACTTTGGAGCTCCAGAAATGTGCTCACAGGGCAATTTTTGACTTCGGATTTGTGATCAGAATGGTCGATTTGGTATATTTCAATATTTTTCACCCTTGTTAGATAATTTTCCCCCAAAAAAAACCTACCATTTTGTTTACTTTAAATTCAACCTCTTCAACCGAAATCAATCGATCAATATAATTCGGGAAAAGTTCCGCGAAGTTATAGAATTTGTAATCAAATTCGATTTCGATGAAAACATTCTTATCAACTTCGAAACCATTGTCGATGAATTCGAGTTTGCAAAACTCGACTTTTTTCTCGCGATTATTGAAATCGAAGTGATGAATGAATTCTTGAGTCAAATTCGAACCATTGCCAATTTGTTTGAGCATCGAAACTTCCGCGTTGACTTCGCACAGCCAATTTTTTTGCTCCGAGTTTGTTTCGCAGACGAGGAAAATGTTGAATTTTCCTTCTTCAATGTTCGATGCGAGTTTCCTAAAATTGGAATTTATTTTTGAAAAAAACTTCTGAAAAACTAACCAATCTTGATCGCCAATTCGAATCGCAGCACTATAGATCTTGTTCGCGCCTAATTCGCGAATTCCTTCGACTTTCAGGCGAAGTTTTTGAGATTTTTCAATCGTAGGATGCATTTTATCCCGGATAGATAGAATATAAAAATCCTTACGAGGCCTAAATCTTTTTCTGAAAATTAGGATGAGCAATATTTGAATACCGTAGTTAGATGCGCGATGTGTTTGCCGCCAAAAAATGTTTTTTGAAAACAATATTTGTTTTTTTTTTCAGTTTTGCGATCATATCGAGGAAAATTGGTTTATCGACCGTATAAAAAGTATGATTTTGAGATGGACGAGAAGAAATATGATGTTTATGGGAATACAACTGAGGAAAGGGTGAGTTTTTTAAGATGAGCAATACCTAAATTGTACATTTTTGATGAAATTTCATGAAAAATTGATTATGGGCCTATGCAGAATAATATTTTTGAGTAGAGACAATGTGAAATTGAGAGAGTGCAGACAGAAAAATTGGTTTTTCGCATAAAAATACAAAAGACTGTCTGCACTCTCTCAATTTCACATTGTCTCTACTCAAAAATAACAAACTATATATTTAGTTTTTTTCAGGAAAAATATGTTTTTTTTATTACAAAATATAATTCTGCATAGGCCCATAATGAAAATTTATAACATGAGCAATGCTTCAGCTAATTTTTAGTATGGGAATAGAAATAGGAATTTTTAATATGAGCAATATCCTGAAAATTTATAAAATGAGCAATTCTAGCACAAAATCCACCAAAAATCCCAATTCTTTCCAGATAGCCAAACTCGATCCAAAACCAACCGATTGGGTAATCCACGAAAACGAAGACAGCGAAAATAAAGAGGATTTGGTGACAATTGAAGATGATTTCATCAACATCTACGCAGTCACAATATCACATATCGCATGCGATGGACCATTCTCACCGACTGCAAAATTGGAAGATAATCGCATCTTTTTGTCGTATATTTTGAAACGGGATGTTACAACACGGGTTGATATTGCGAAATATTTGTTGGCCATTGAACATCAGGCACATTTGGATTTGCCGTTTGTCAAGGTTGGTTGAATTTTTTGGGAAAATTAGGTTTTAAAAATTGGAATTTTCAAAAGCCCTAGGAGATTTTTGATAAAAATAATCTTTTTTTCCGTTTTTTTTTCAAATATTCTTTGAAACTGTTCAAATCTCTAATTCTTGAAAAAATACGTTTCAAAAATTTTAATAGAACATTTGAAATTTTAATTTTTGATTGATTTACGAAGTGAAACTTTGATGCAAAGCTGGAATTTTCAAAAGCCCTAGGAGATTTAATGCTAGAAAAACTTTTTTTCTGGTTTTTTTCAAATATACTTTGAAATTGTTCAAATCTCTAATTCTTGGAAAAATACGTTTCAAAAATTTTTTAATAAAAATTTTGAAAATTCAATTTTAATGTTCTTCAACTCTCCGTTTTCATAAGTACGCTAAAAACAAGAAAAGTAGGAAGGTTTTCAAGTAGCTAGAAGTTATATTTCTCAAGTAGCCGCGCCTTGGAAGTTCAATTGTCAAGTATCAGCGCCTAGGAAGACTCGTTCTCAAGTAGCGGCTCCTAGAAAATCTTATTTTGTAGGATCCGCACCTAGAGATCCACTATGACTCAAGGAGCCGCGCCCTGTGAGCTTCTTTACCAAGTAGCCCATCCTAGAAATTCTAGTTCTCAAGGAGCAGCGCCTAGAGAACCTAATTGTCTAGGAACCGCATCTAGAAATCCAATATGACAAGGAGCAGAGCCTAGAAATATTTTCAAACTCTACAAATTTTTAAAAATGAGGAAGAACTTCCCAATTTGAAAATCCCCATACAAAATTTGCCAAATTTGTTGTTTTGCTCTTTTCCCTGTCATTGAAAAATTGCAGGTTGTCGAAGTCTCGTCATTATCTCTCGATGTCATCGACGAAGGATCATATGTTGTTGTAGATGGTGAAGTCGTCGAAACAAAAACATTAAAAGTGACAACGACTCGCAATAATATGGCTGTTTTTTCGCCATCCTCCGATTAATGATCTTCTAGGCTTCTCTTATCAATTTTTTATCTGAACCGGTTTCTTTTTTTTATAGAACACAACTTACTTGTAAATAACACGCAGATACTTGAAAACAAATGAAAATTTTCAATTTATTCAAGTTTTTCCCATTTTTTTATTGGATGTTGTGAGCTGTTGGATATTTCTTGTGCTTTTTGTGGCTTCATTTTTTTCCAGATTTTTCTAGATGATTAGGATTCAGCGAAGATGCTTCAATTGGAGGGATTCGATGAGAGAAGGAGCGTTTTCGCAAGCTTTTGATGGGGAAAAGAGACCGACGCATATTATTGTGGGAGCTGGGAGTGCGGGATGTGTTTTGGGTGAGCGATTTTGGGGGAAATTGAAGGAAATCTGTATTTTTCTATTGAAAATTTTAAATATAGTTTGAATTTCAGCCTTAAAAAATATAGTTTGAATTTCAGCCTCACTGTTTTGAGCCAGAGTCCAATATGAGCAATGTCCAAAAATTTAAGTTCAACTCGAATTGAAAGCTGGGCTATAACTAAAAATAATTAAAATTTGATAGAAAAATTATTTTATATAAATTTTAGCTCTAATTTTATAATTAACGTGAAAAAATTGAGCTATAATTGAAATCATTGAAAATTTTAGCTGTGGCTCAAGTACATGACAACTTGATTAATCGGAGCAATGTCTTAAAATTGGAGCCATAACTAGAATCATTGAAAAATTTAGCTGTAGTTTAAATTTGAGCTGAAACCTGGGAATTTGATTAATATGAGCAATGTTCTAAAATTTAAGCTAGAATAATTAAAAAAAAAACTATAACTAGAATCATTAGAAAATTTAACTGTAGCTCAAATTCTAGCTATAACTTTAGTTATCTGAAATTTAGCTGTAGCTTAAATTTGACCTAACAAGGAAAGGTTTTCAATGTTCCCCCAAGGAAAAAATCGAGAGTATGTGGAATGTTGAGGGTTCCCATGGGTAAGAAAAACCCTAACGGGAATAAGGAGAAAAATGCCTTGTTTTAGAAAATTTTGGTGTTATTGATTTTTGCGATGAAATTTTTTAGAAAAATCGAAACTTTTTTCAAAATTGATGAAAAATGTCGGTCCAAAAATCCATTTGTAGCGCAAACGGCGTACTTTAGTATTACTTCGACTAAAATTAGGAATAAAATAATTTTGGTCCCAAAAGTCCACTAAATCAAAAATCCAGTTTAAAAAATTCATAGAAAATCAACGTTTTCGTTGTGAAGGAGAAGTTTGTGTGAATCGAGACTATGATTTTCGGATTCTACGGACCAAATTACGTCTGTTGACCGTCATAAATTTTTCAAGTTCCGTTCATTTGAAAATTGAAAAAATTATTTTTTGTGTTTTTTGGTGACCATTTGATCAGAAAAACCCCGACTAAAAAAACCAAATTTCAAAAAATGTCTAATTTTTTGATAAAAAGTTTCACAAACACGTAATCGACCATTCTGAACAACTTCCACGACTCAAAAGTTCATGAAATAGATTCAAAATCGAGTTACAGATGCTCTAAAAATCAAAAAATGGTGTAAAAATCGACCTAAAATACATTTTTTCTCGAGAATAAGGCATTTTTCTCCTTATTCCCGTTAGGGGTTTTCTTACCCACGGGAACCCTCAACATTCCACATACTCTCGATTTTTTCCTTGGGGGAACATTGAAAACCATTCCTTGTAAAACCTAAAAATTTGATCAATCTGAGCAATGTTCTAAAATTTGAGCCATAACTAAAATCATTGAAATATTTAACCCTAGCTTAAATATGAGCTGAAACCTGGAAATTTACTTAATCTGAGCAATAAAATTTGAGCTATAACTTTAGTTATCTGAAACTTGAGCTGTAGCTTGAAATATCTGAAATTCGGGCTAAAAATTGACTTATTTGTAAATTTGGGTTTTAGCTTAAATTATTAGAGAAATTTAGGTATAGTTCAAAATATTCAATCTGAGCAACTTAGTTATCTAAAATGTAAACTATCTAAATTTGAACTTATTAAAAATTACCCTAAAACTAATGAAAAAATTCAGAATTTTTAAAATTCATGTAAATTTCTATGGAAAATTGTTCAAAAATCACATATAAATTTTGTAAAAACTGAAACCAGCTTGAAAATTTATCCTCCCCAAAATTTTCGAAAATATTTTCCAGCAAATCGTCTCACCGAAAATCCCTCAAACCATATTCTTCTCGTCGAAGCCGGTCCGAAAGATCACAAATGGGATTTTCGTTTACATATGCCAGCGGCTTTGATGTACAATTTATGTTCCGACACTTATAATTGGTTTTATCACACAACAGCGCAAAAGAATTTGAATAATCGCACTTTTTATTGGCCGAGAGGGAGGTAATACATCTAATTAATTAATTAATTAATTAAAATAATTGCAGAGTTTGGGGTGGATCTTCATCATTGAATGCGATGTGTTATGTTCGAGGACATCGGATGGATTATGATCGATGGGAAAAAGAAGAGGGAGCTGATGGTTGGAATTATGAGAGTTGTTTGGAGTATTTTAAGAAGGCCGAAAATTATGATAGGAGTTTGGGAGAAGATGATCAATTTCGGGGGAATCGGGGGCCGATGAATGTGAAGAGAGGAGATGGAGAACATCCGTTGCATAGGTGGGGGCTGGGATTTGAAAAATGCTTCAAATAGAGTATAAACATGCCTAGGTTAGGCCTAGCTGCCGAGCCTAGAAATTCTAGTTGTCAAGGAGCCATGCCTAGAGATCTACTATCTCAAGAAGCCGTGCCTTGAGAGCTTATATCTCAAGGATCAGCGCCTTTAGAGCTTCTTTCTCAAAAAGCGGTGCCTAGAGAACCTATTTTTCAAGGACCCGCGCCTAGAGCGTCTAGTTGTCAAGTAGCCGCGCTTAGAGAAGCTATTTTTCAAGTAGCCGCGTCTAGAGATTCACTATCTCAATGAGCCGCGTCTAGAGAACCTATTTGTCTAGGACACGCGTCTAGACAGCCTAGTTTTCAAAGAGCCGCGTCTAGAGATTCACTACGTCAAGGATCAACGCCTAGAAAGCCTAGTTCTCAAGGTGCCGTGCCTTGAGAGCCTCTATCTCAAGGAGCCGCGCTTAGAGAGCTTCTATCTCAAGTAGCCGCGCTTCGCGAGCTTCTATCTCAAGGAGCCACGCCTAGAGAGCCTAGTTCTCAAGGAGCAGCGCCTAGTCTCCCAGATTTGGAAAATCAAATTTTTCTGCAATTTTTGTCCCGAAAAAAGAAAGCTATCGTTCAATCAAAATTTTGGGATTTTTCAGATACTTAGAAAATTTTTGAAACGTATTTTTTTCGAGGTGAATTTTTAAATTCAAAAATTTTCCAGAGCCTGGCTCGAAGCCGGAAAACACCATCGCATCGGTACAACATCAGATCAAAACGGCAAAGATCAAGAGGGAATCGGATATATGGACATGACAATTCATAATGGCGAAAGAGTTAGCGCATCTAAAGCCTATATCCATCCGATTTTGGGAAAACGCGAGAATTTGATCACATCTTCGGGAATAACTTGTACTCGAGTGCTTTTTGATGGAAATCGAGCGATTGGCATTGAATTTATCAGAAAATTGAATTTTGTTGGGACGGAGAATATCGATTCTTATAGCCGCGAGAAGATCTATATTCAGGGAGATGGGGATGTTATTTTATCCGGCGGTGCTATAAATACACCACAGATTTTGATGTTAAGTGGACTTGGACCTGCTGAACATCTCAGGTCTCACGGGATACCAATTGTTGCTGATCTTCCTGGTGTCGGGCAAAATCTACAGGATCATTTGGAGATTTATGTGCAGCAAGAATGCCGCAAACCGATCACCCTGTATAATCAATCTTCTTGGAAATTCCCGCATAATATGGTGAAGATTGGGTTGGAGTGGTTTTTGGCGAGAAAGGGATTGGGAGCGAGTAGTCATTTGGAGACGGGTGGATTTGTGAGAAGTTCCGATGACGTGGCACATCCTGATATACAGTTTCATTTTTTGCCGTCCACTGTTCATGAGGATGGAAGGGTTAATGGAAGTTGTCATGGGTATCAGGTAGGCGTTTTTTTATTTTTATAAATTGAAAATTTAAAAATTAAAAAAAAAATTTAAAAGCTTCAACAATGAAAATTGAGCCCTAAGAATTATCAGAAACTCTGAAAATAAAAATAGATAGAAATCATGAATTTCAGCTCCAAAAGAATAGATTTTATCCATAAAAATGAGCTAGAATTGAAAATCGTGAATTCGGAGTAACTTCGAAATGACGATTTATTATTTTTATCCATTTTCGAAGTTACTCCGAATTCACGATTTTTTAATTTAGCCTAAGTTTGTGGATGAAATGAGCTAATGATTTTTCAGACTAAAATTTTATTTTTTCTTCTAAAATTTCAGAAATTCTTTTTTCATGCTTCAAAAGTACCAAAAATTGAGCCCTAAAATATATAAGAAACTTTGAAAAAAAAAATTTAAGTGAGCTTGTCTGAAACTAAAATTTCAGATTTTCAAAAATAGTTTTCAAAATTTCAGAAATAGAGTTTAGAGTTTCAAAAATACCAAAAATTGAGAGAGTGATCGAAAATTCCGAACAAAATTCATCAAAGATTTCCAGGTGCACGTTGGTCCAATGCGCTCCAAATCAACCGGCTACATAATGCTCCAATCAAAAGATCCCAGAAGAGCTCCAATCATAAATCCGAAATATTTGGATAAAGACGAGGATTGGAAAGAGTTCCGAAAATGTATTCGAATTTCGCGCGAATTATTTGCGACACAGCCTTTTGATGAGTTTCGAGGCAAGGAATTGGCACCTGGAAGTGATTGCCAATCTGATGCGGATATTGATCGATTTGTTAGGTGAGAGCGGGGTATTTCGAAGGGAAATTTGGGATTTTTGAGGTTTTTTGGACTTTAAAAGCTTTATTTTTCTGAAAATTCAATAGTTATCTTATAATTAAATTTTTTTATTCAGAAAAAATATTGATTTAAGAGACGTTTTTTGCAAAAAGGCAAATAGGGTCGGACAACAAAAAAGGGTGTAATTTTAGAATCGGCTCAATTTTTTTTTATTGATACATGGATAGATGGTGAACATTTTCCACCATATTTTTTTCCATAAAATCGATGCACCAATTTGGTGGGGGTGATGAATGCGAAAAAGGGCATTTTTTCAAAAAATCAGAACTCAGCTCAAACTTCATTATTTTTGAGGATCAAAAAAGGATTTTGTAGCTCTTGAGACGCTCTTTACTCCTGAATTTACTAGAATTGCCGAAATCCAAAAATAAATTTTCAAAATCGATGAAAAATTTTTGACGCTAATTTTCCCCCCTTAAACGCCATTTCCGCAATTTCTAACTCGATCCATTAGATCCGCCTTGCAATTTTACGGCGGATTAGTCGAAAAAAACGGAAAAAAGGGGGGGCCTCAGAAAAGTTTGTTTCCACCTTCTAATTTTCATTCTGACGCGCGCAACACACATGTGTGTATTTTGTGTGCGCATGCTCCCACATATATGTGTGTTGTGTGTTAGAAGCTTGAAATATACAAGGGTACTGTAGTGTGTAGTTTTTTTTGTATTTTAATTGTAGATTTAGTATCTGGGGAGGTAAGAAAAACCCCGAAAGATTTTTACATGCAAAAATGTTTTTCCTGGGGGTAGACCTTTTTTGAGATTTTTTTTTTGGTTCTAAATTTTGAAAAATTGTAACTTTACTTATAGTGGACGAAAAAAATCGAACATAAAATCTAAACAAAGCTTACATTTCGCTCTATGAATTCAGCTCATGGACAGTTCTATGGACTGGAGAAAATGGTTGTAACAAACTTTTTTTTCTGACCTCAGACATTTGAATACATCTTTGTTGTCTTAACGAAACACTTTGAAAATGTCGGGAACTATAACCTCTCAACTATTCGCACCAGAAAAAGCTAGCAGCCATTCCTAGAGAACTACTCGGGAAAAATCCCGCAAGTGCCGGCAAGAATTGAAGTCGAGCCGCAATGGCTGCGGGTGAAGCCGCCGTTGTTGCGGGGGAAAGACAAGGGGAATGTGAGAGAGCGCAGACGCTCGCTACTTTTTGTCTGTCTGCCTGTGCTCTCTCACACTTCCCTTGTCTTTCCCCCGCAACAACGGCGGCTTCACCCGCAGCCATTGCGGCTCTACTGCAATTCTTGCCGGCACTTGCGGGATTTTTCCCGAGTAATTTATCCTCGCTATCAGAGCACTACATGTCAGCCCTTCGAAAATTGAACATCGCTGAGAGTGAAGTAGACTCAGAATCAGTGAAAAAAAGAAAAAAATCTATAATTTTTGAAATCCCTGTTGTTGCACATATTTTGTTTCGAAATAAGTTGAGGCCTTTTACTCTTATGGCTAACTGAATGCTCAATAATGTATTTTAAAAAATCAAGCTGAATGCTATTTCACAAGTTCTAGACCAGCAATTTTTACTCGCTGTAGATCACGCGGGATTCGAATATCTTCTCGTTTCTTTCACTTTCAGCGATTGCTCTTTGACATGCCGTTAGAGAGCAAGTCTGACAAGAATCCTATCAATTTTCCAAGCGAGATTTTTCCTTTTCAAACTTGCTCTTTAGGCGTGGCTTCTTGTCAGAGCTTCTTACTAGGAGCAGTACCTAGAGATATTGGATCTTTTTTGAAGGCGCAACGACTTGACATAAAAACTATCAAGAGGCCGTACCAAGTGAAAGTTCTTAACGCAACGTTGCCAGACATAGCAGCTCTTCTAGTGCTGATAGAGAGCGCGTAAACTTCATTTTCGATTCCCTGAAACTTTTCCCAAAACTTATTTTTTAGATAATATTTTTCATAATGTGAGGAATCGATCCAGTGAACTTTTTTTTACGTTTTTAACTTTACTTAAAATTGCAGCCTGCAGAAAACACTATTTCTGTTTATTTTTGCAAGAGAAAAGTATACAATCGATGTTCAGAACTACGGGGAACCCGGAAATCTATCGATTTTAACATTTTCAATACAATACGAAAATATATACGTAATTTCGAATCTAGACAATAGAACACTTCACACTTTTCAAAAAATATTTCGAATTTTCGTTTTTTTTTTTGAAAATTTCGGTCAGAAAAAAAAGTTTGTTACAACCATTTTCTCCAGTCCATAGAACTGTCCATGAGCTGAATTCATAGAGCGAAATGTAAGCTTTGTTTAGCTTTTATGTTCGATTTTTTTCGTCCACTATAAGTAAAGTTACAATTTTTCAAAATTTAGAACCAAAAAAAAAATCTCAAAAAGGTCTACCCCCAGGAAAAACATTTTTGCATGTAAAAATCTTTCGGGGTTTTTCTTACCTCCCCAGATACTAAATCTACAATTAAAATACAAAAAAAACTACACACTACAGTACCCTTGTATATTTCAAGCTTCTAACACACAACACACATATATGTGGGAGCATGCGCACACAAAATACACACATGTGTGTTGCGCGCGTCAGAATGAAAATTAGAAGGTGGAATCAAACTTTTCTGAGCCCCCCCCCTTTTTTCCGTTTTTTTCGACTAATCCGACGTAAAATTGCAAGGCGGATCTAATGGATCGAGTTAGAAATTGCGGAAATGGCGTTTAAGGGGGAAAATTAGCGTCAAAAATTTTTCATCGATTTTGAAAATTTATTTTTGGATTTCGGCAATTCTAGTAAATTCAGGAGTAACGAGCGTCTCAAGAGCTACAAAATCCTTTTTTGATCATCAAAAATAATGAAGTTTGAGCTGAGTTCTGATTTTTTGAAAAAATGCCCTTTTTCGCATTCATCACCCCCCACCAAATTGGTGCATCGATTTTATGGAAAAATATGGTGGAAAATGTTCACCATCCATCCATGTATCAATTAAAAAAAATTGAGCCGATTCTAAAATTACACCCTTTTTTGTTGTCCGAGCTCCTTCATTAAAATTCACCTTTTTGCAAAAAACGTCTCTTAAATCTTCAAGTTCAAAAAGTTATCCTAATTGTAAATGTTTTTTTTTGCAATTTGAAAGATGACCTAAAATTTTAAAAAATCCAATTTCTCTAATTTTCGAAATTTTCCTCAAATTTGTTCATAAATGGAAAATTCGTGTAGTTCTCGAGGACAACCTTGATGTTTCAAAAATTCAAAAAAATCGGAAGTTTCCGTGTAGTTCTCGAGAAGAACCGCAAAGTTCTAAAAAATCAAAAAAAAATTGGGAAATCCGTGTAGTTCTCGAGGACAATCGGCAAATTTCAAAAATTCAAAAAAATTGGAAATCTGTGTACTTCTCTCGGAGAACCGCGAACTTTCAAAAATTCAAATTTTGCAGAGAAAAAGCGGCTTCTGCCTATCATCCATCTTGCACTGCAAAAATGGGCCCCGCCACCGACAAAATGTCCGTAGTCAACCCGAAAACTTTGGATGTTTACGGGACTGAAAATCTGAAAATCGTCGACGCCTCGATTATGCCATCAATAGTTAGCGGAAATCTGAATGCGCCTGTGATTATGATGGCCGAAAAAGCGGCGGATTTGATTAAGAATGAACAGCAGAAACGGGTTTAGGAGAGGTGAAATTTGAAGAGAGAATTTTTAGTAATGTATTTTTTTTCTGTGAAAAATTTAGTTTTTTTAGATTTTAATCAATGAATAGTTCAAATTTTAACAATTTTGAAAATTCAAAAATAATTGGAAACTTTCGTGTAGTTCTCGAGGAGAAGCGGGAAAATTCAAAAAACTGGAAACTTTCGTGTAGTTCTCGAGGAAAACCGGGAAATTTCAAAAATTGAAAAAAAATATGAAAATCCGTGTACTTCTCTCGGAGAACCGCGAATTTCCAGAAATTCAAAAAAATGGAATTTATCATGTACTTCTCTCGAACAAGCGGGAAATTTCAGAAATTCAAAAAATTGGAATTTTTCGTGTAGTTCTCGAGGACAAGCGGGAAATTTCAAAATTTAAAAAAAGGTGTAATTCTCGAGGACAACCGCGAAGTTTCGAAAATTCAAAAAATTGGAAAAACACTTAGTTCTCGAGGAAAACCGGGAAATTTCAAAAATTCTAAACTTCCGTGTATTTCTCTCGGAGAACCGCAAAATTCAAAAAATCAATAATAAATAAATAAATTTATGTACAGTAGCACCGGTTACAGGTATTTAAATTCGAAAAAAAAAATAATTTAAAGGAACATTGCTAAAATTAACACGAAAATTGATATTGTTCTATGAGAAAATGCCGAATTTTCATCAATTATCTCACCGGAACCTGTATTTTCAGCTGATTTTGGTTTTGGAGCTGGAGTTGACATTGGAATGAGATGTTCTGTAATTTTCAGATTTTTTTTTACAAAATTTTCAGATTTTTTCACAGAAAAAAAACCTTGAATATCATTTTGATTTTTGACTCCAAATGCTTGAACATCATTGGATTTTGGCTCGTTGCCAACAAATGTCAAATTCACCACTTGGCTCAAGTTCAATTGCTCAATTCCACGATTGTTTCCTGGAAAACCTGGATTTTTGAAATCGCTGTGATTTTTTGGAGCGTTTTGAGACCGAATACGTTAATAACATTTGTGTACTTCTCTCGGACAAGCAGGAAATTCCAGAAATTCAAAAATTTGTGTACTTCTCTCGGACAAGCGGGAAATTTCAGAAATTCAAAAAAAAATTAAAATTTCCGTGTAGTTAGTTCTCTTGGACAAGCGGCAAATTCTAGAAATTCAAAAATTTGTGTACTTCTCGAGGACAAGCGGGAAGTTTTGAAAATTCAAAATTTTCTGTGTACTTCTAGAGGACAAGCGGGAAATTCCAGAAATTCAAAAAAAAATTGGGAAATTTTCGTGTACTTCTCGTGGAAAAACGGGAAATTTCAGAAATTCAAAAAAAATTGGGAAATTCCCGTGTACTTCTCGAGGACAAGCGGGAAATTCCAGAAATTTAAAAAAAATTGGGGAATCCGTGTAGTTCTCACGGACAAGCGGGAAATATCAGAAATTAAAAAAAATTGGAAATTTTCGTGTAGTTCTCTCGGAGAAGCGCGAAATTTCTAAAATTCAAAATTTCTGTGTACTTCTCGAGGACAAGCGGGAAACTCCAAAAATTTAAAAATTCGTGTATTTCTCTCGAAAAAATATCGTGTTTGGACTCAAAATGACCGGATTTTCAGGCGCACTCCAAATCTACAGTACCCCTTAACTACAGTACCCCTCAACCCACCATGATATTTAAAATCATCACCAAACATATTCTCGCCTTTCGCCCACAAAACAAACAAATCATTGGGTCCCAGCGGATGATCGGTCGGCTCGATTTCTCGAATATCTCTTCGGAACATCACCAAAGTTCGACCATCCACTTCTAGACCATAGGCTGCACTTAGACTCATCTCACCGTCGTACCTGAAATTAATTTTGGGATTTTTTTGGGGTTTTTTTTGGAAGCTGGGAGTGATTTGGAGCATTTTGATATCAAATATGAGATATTTATAGAATTTGAAAAAAATCTGAAAAAATCTGGCTAACCAATAATCTTCCAATGGAGTTGATCGATCTCTCGAATAATAATCCGAAATAAAAATGCGTCCATCTTTCACCGAAGCCATTATCATATCAACACAATCCATTGCGTGAAGTGGGGCTTTTAAGCCTAAGTCGGCTGCAAAAAAATTTTATTTTTTTTTGGAGTTGTAGTTATGACGTGGCAAAGTTGCTTAAGAATGCCAGGAATTTTACGTTTCAAAAAAATGGAAAAAAATTGTTTCAAAATTGAGTTTTCCAGAAATATTTCCAAATGTTTCAAAAAAACAAATTTCAAAAGTAAAAGTGCTGGGAATTTTACGTTTCAAAAAATTGGAAAAATTTTTTTCAAATTTCCAAATTTTGAGAAATAAAAAAATTTCAAAAATATTACTGTGAAATTGAACTTTTAGCTTCAAAAACATCTGAAAATTCAATTTTTTCTTGTCAAATTTGTTTTGTAAAAAAAATGCCGGGAATTTTACGTTTCAAAAAATTTATTTAAAAAAATTGAGGGTTGTTTTTTTTGTTTCTGCGATACAAATCACAAAAATCTAGATTTTTGGAGAATTTTAATTAAAAACTTTCAGCTGAAAATTCATCATTTTTTTCTTGTTAAGTAAAAGTGCCGGGAATTTTACGTTTCAAAAAATTGGGAAAAAATTGGTTCAAAATTGAGTTTTCCTAATTGTAAATATTTCCAAATTTTGAAAAATTAAAAAAAACTCAAAAGTAAAAAAGCCGGGAATTTTACGTTTCAAAAAATTCATTTAAAAATTGAGGGTGGTTTTTTATTGTTTAAGCGATAACAATTATAAAAATTCGGATTTTTTGAGAATTTTAATTCTCAAAAACTTTCAGCCGAAAAATCATCATTTTTTTCTTTTCAAGTAAAAGTGCCGGGAATTTTACGTTTCAAAAAATTGGGAAAAATTGTTTCACAATTGAGTTTTCCTAATTGTAAATATTTCCAAATTTTGAAAAATTAAAAACAATTCAAAAGTAAAAAGTGCCGGGAATTTTACGTTTCAAAAAATTAATTGGAAAATTGAGGGTTTTTTTTTTATTGTTTCTGCAAAATTTCGATTTATTTCTCAAAATTCAAATTTTCAAAAACTCACTAAACCCATTATTTTTCGGCATAATCGGTTTTGCCACAAAATGTCTTCGATCAGTTTCCTCTTCCTCCTCTTCTTCACCTCCATCATTCTCCAATACCCTCGCATTCTTCCGAACATCTTCCAAAACCGGAAAAAGCCTACAAGAAGTGCTCAATTGCGTTGGACGCCATCCAAGCGACAACCAAGAGCTCGTTTTGAAGTCCAAAATCAATTCGATTTCATTCTCAACTCTTCTTGAATACAATTGATCGTCGGCTGAAAGATCGTGTCGAACATAGCATTTCGGGTTGAACATTCCGAAGCGCGGAAGATCTAGTGCATTCAAATCATCGTAGCCGAAGCAAAGATCGTTTTGAGCGTTGAATTCTGCAATTTTTTTCCAAAAAAAATTAATTAATTAAAAAAAACCAACTTCGATCACATCGTTGCCCAAAAAATCCATAAGAACAATAGCATTTCTTGCGAATCAGCGAATCTTCTTGATCTACACATTTCCCGCCATTCAAACAATCCTCGTCCACAGAACAGTGAGCTGCAAAATATTTATCAAACATTTGCGGGCAAGCCAAAACAAGAGCGCGTGGCCGAGTGGTTAGCGCGCGCGCCTCTGAATCTCTAGGTCATTGGTTCGATCCCGCGTCGGCGCAAACTTTTTTCACTCACCATAATGTTCACATTTCTCGCCAGTATATCCGATTTCACACTGACAAATTCCATTTTGCATCTTGGTTCCTCGCTGATTACAAGCCTCCTCTTTTACAGCGCCCTTTTTCAGGATGTTGATATCCGCACAGGTTTTGAATATTTTTCCGGTGGATGTGATTTGCTCGACGAGAAGCATACATTGCTCACATGGAGTTGTTGGGTTGATTTTGGAAGATTTGGAATCGGATGTGCTGATGTTTTGGATGGTTAGACCATCGGAATCGATTATTCTGATTCGATAGGTTGACTGGAAAAAATGTGGGAGATTTTGAAGAGCGAAAAAAAGGATAATTCAAATTTTGTTATAATTTTCAAGTAAAATTTTTTTCAAAACTAATATTTCATAGATTTTCACAAATTTTTCAGATTTTTGAAAGACGAAAAAAAGAAAATTCAAATTTTGTGATCCAAAAATTATTTAAAAAGTAAAATTTTAATTTAATTTTTTAAATTTCATATATTTTCACAAATTTCCATTTTTATCTACAGTATCCCAGCTACAGTACCCACTTTACAGTACCCTTCTCAAAGTTATTGGGACCCCATTATGAATATTTTTTTCAAGATCATTTTTTTTGGAATTTGTAGGGTTCTCTTTCTTACAGTATCCCCGCTACAGTACCCCGCCAACTCACATTCTTTCCCATCGTCGTCGGAATCCACGTCACCTCATAGCTCTCACCAATATCGAAATTCGTGTAAAAAGTTTTCATCGGCTTCGGAACGCCGCACGGCGCTGAAGTGATTTCGGAGGGCAGAAAATCGAGAGGCGGAAAACGAGCTTGTGGATAGGTTAAAACCAAGTTGGCCCTGATTAGAGGGCAGCAGATGATTAAGATGAGCAATGGGATTGTGGTCATTTTTCTGGAAAAATTGGGGCGGTTTAGGAGAAAACATGACTGAAAAAAGAATTTTTAAAGTTGGTCGGGGAATTAATGCCACGTGGAATATTTTTTTTAATTTTTGAAAAAGCTCCAAAAATATGCCACGTGGATTAAGTGGTGGGGGAAAATCAGAAGAATTATTTTCAGAATTTTGAAGAAGCTTAGAATTTCAAAAATTCCCTGAAAATTGTGCCACGTAGATTTCTTTTTTGAATTTTTAAAGTTGGGATTTTTTTTTTTCAAATTTCAGAATTTACACAATGTGAAATTTCTCAGAAAATAAAATTTGCTACCAAAAATATATGCCACGTGGATTTTTTTTTGATTTTTGAATTAGCGGTCAAAATTATTTGCTACGTGGCTTTTTCAAAATCAAAATTCGAAATCGGAGCCGAAAATTGTGCCACGTGGATTTTTCTTTGAATTTCAAAAATTTCCTGAAAATTCTGCTACGTGGTTTTTTTTTGTAAATTTTTGAACAACCTCAAAAATTGTGCCACGTGGTGTTTTTCAATTCAAAAGTTACGTGAAATTCAGAATTTGGAGCCAAAATTCATGCCACGTGGATTTTCCAACCTATATTTTGGCTGAAAAAAACAAAAAAAAACCTAGAGAACTTAGCCAAAGAAGACCTCCCCTCAAGGCATATAAAAATAACACTTTTCTTTTTTTTTTTAGCATTTTTTTTTTTTAGTTCTAAAAGGGATAAAGGAACTTGTTCCACCTCTATAAACACTTTGGTTTATAGCGGGAAAAAAAGAAAGAAAAACTAGAAACTTTTTTGCTGCATAAATACAATAAAATTAGAAAGGGATGATGACCGGAGAATAAAGAATGAAGGGAGAATTAAGAATGCATGTTGTATACACCGATAAACTGAGTGAACAGGAGAAAAAAATTAGAGAAAGGCAGGAAAACCGGTTGAAAAAGGTTTTTTTTGAGGGAGAATTTTGCAGGATTTGAGAGGTTTTAGCAAGAAATTTTGAATTTTACGGGATTTTTTGAGGTTTAGGCGCTGATCTTTGACAGTTGGGATTTCAAGGCGAGGCTACTTGAAAACTAGGATCTCTAGACGCGGTTCCTGGACATTAAGGTGCTCAAGGAGCAGATACTTGACATGGTAAATCTCTAGATGTGGATCCTTGACATAGCAGCCCTCAAGGCTCGGCTCCTTGACATGATAAATCTCTAGGCTCGGCTACTTGGCTTGGATGTTCTCTAGATGCGTGTCCTAGACAACAAGGTTCTCTAGGCGTAGCTGCTCGACGATTGAGGTTTCGAGGCCCGGCTACTTGACAACTGGGTCTTCTAAGCTCGGCTCCTTGACATTGTGGATCTCAAGGCGCAGCTCCTTGAAGTAGTGAATCTCTAGATGCGGTTCCTTTACATAGCAGCTCTCAAGGCGTGGCTGCTTGACAAGGTAAATCTCTAGATGCGTGTCCTAAACAATAAAATTTTCAAGGAGCAGCTGCTTGACGAGAGAGGTTTCTAGGCCAGGCTACTTGAGGACTATGTTTTCAAGGCGCGGCTCCTTGACATAGTGGATCTCTAAGCTCGGCTACTTGGAATAGCAGCTCTCAAGGAGGGACTCCTTGACAACTGGGTCTTCTAGGCTCGGCTGCTTGAGAACTGAGCTTCTCAGGGGCAGCAACTTGACATTTTTAATTAATCAAAACTAGAACTCTAAACATTTTGGGCAAATTTTAAAGGATTTTCAGAGATCCTTAAATTCTACCGCGAAAAAAGGTCTAGAAATCTTCTAAAAACCCAGGAAACTTCAAAAAAAAAATCACACAGTATTCTATTTTCAGACACTTTTACTTTTATACAATATTCCCCCATAATCAATCAAAAAATGGTGATAAAAATTAGGAAATAATTAATTACAGATTTTTTTTCCAAAAATTTCAGACCACACCTAGTGTGATTCTTGATTGAAAAGATTTTTTTTTGGGCCGAAAAAAATTCCCAAAAAAAATGCATTTGCGTGCGTGTCAAATTAAATTGGAATTGTAAATTAATTCGAAAATTTTGGGTAATTTTCTGGGGTTTTTTCTCTTTTTTTTCACTACGCGTAAATACTTGAAGAGTATTTAGGGCAAATAAATAAATAACATTCGAATTTTCGAAAATTTTTGGTATATAGTTTGAACTACAGTACTTTAGGCCTAGTTAGGCCTAGAATTTGGGTGGGCCTTTTCAAGCCCCCTGGACGTTTGAAATCCATTTTTGAAATCAAAAATCCACGTGACTAATTTTCAAATTTCTGCCTTGAGTTTAGGCCTAAAATCAGTCCTAGTTTCAGGCTTTTTCAGGCTTTATAGATGATCAAACTAAAAAAAAATAAAAAAGAGAGATAAGAAAATCTGTAAATTGGCTAAATAAATAAATAAACAAATAAATTATCATAATAAGCGGAAAAATAGGAAAAACTTGTTTTTTTTTTGCCCAATTTTTTTTTCAGAAAAAATCATTTTATGCGATATTTTTTGCCTAGGAAAAGTACCATAAAATGAGATGAAAATAGGAATAAAAATGAAAATGGAAATGAAAATAAATTTGGATTTGGGTCTCAAGTGGATTTTCCTGTATCCATGTTTTGTTGTCCTTGAGAGAGAGAGAGGATGGACAATCCGGAAAGTTTCAGTGTATTCAGAAAGTTTTGAACAATAAAAATATGTTTCGTATTTTAATCTGCTCGACAATGTGGAACAAATCCCCAAGGCGGTCAGAAAAAAAATACGTTTTGCGGGGAGAAATCTGGTTTTTGAGGGTTTTTATAGTTAGAGAAACTTTCAGAATTTAGGAAATTTTCAAAAAGTTAGCCTAAAATCCAATTTTACAAGAAATTTTTTTTTAAAAAAATTGCCACCCAGCGGGATCGAACCCATGGCCTAAAAACTGAAAGACAAGCGTGCTAACCACTCGGACATGCAGCGGTTTTGTTCCGATGTCGAAAATATCGAATGAGCACTAGAAAAATGTATAATTTGTTAGTAAAAGTATATTTTTTCCCAAAAAAAATCCACTGTTTCAAAATTTTAATAGAATATTGCTTATATAATTTGATTCTGGTATATCAATAAAGTAGTGAAAACTTTAAAAAATTAAAAAAAACGCTGTGAAACACACATTTTTGGGAGAAAACCGAAAAGTGAATAATCGATAAATAAAATAGAAAAACAAACATTTTTCCGCTAAACAAAGGGCAGAGTGGAGTTTCGTTGGAATTTTGTTTTTATTTTTTTATTTTGTTGAATGTTATTGTATTGAATGAATTTAAGCAGTTTAAGCACTACATTTTCAGAAGATGATTTTTAAAAATTCTTGAATTTCGGAAATTTTCATTTGGAGAAATTAAATTTTTATTCGTCAAAAAAAATCTACTGTTTCAAAATTTCAATAATTTCTTTTTCATAATTTTACTCAAATAATGTGAAAATTTTGAACCTTGAAAATATATGTTTCAAAATTTCAATATAATTTTAAATTTATGGGGCTATTCAGCGATTTTCTCAACACGCTGAGAAAACGGGAAAAATGCTGAGAAAACCATTTTCTCAACCGTTTTCCTATTTTCTCAGCCTACCTGAATAAGTTTTCTCAACCAATTCAGCGTTGAGAAAAGACGTTTAATAGCCCCATTAGATTTTCATTGTTGCCAATTCTGAAAAACAAAAACCCATATTAAAAAAATAATTTGAACTTTCAGAAAAAGATCCAGAAACTCCCAAAATTCATCAAAGTTAAAAAAACCCAAGTCAAAATATTTCTGCGAAGAAGAAGAAACATTGAATTTTTGCGGATGAAAATGCGAGATAAAAATTGAAACGCTAGCCAGGTAAAAACAAAACAATCGAATTCTTGTTTGATTCTTATCGAATCGAAAAATCTTTTTTCGGAAGATTTTTCCACCGAAATTTTTGGGTGGCTTGCTAGATTTATTGCTTTTAAAGAAGAATTCTAGATTGGGTGGGCTGGCTGGAAAATTAATTTATCTGAAAGCCACGTGGCATAATTTTCAGATGTTGAATTTTCAACTTTTATGTCCAAAAATTGCCACGTGGAATGCTTTAACCCTATTAAATTTTGCCAAAAGTTTTTCAGAGAGAAAACTTCGCAAAAATAAAGAAAAATGAGAACAATTTAGTAAAAACGTAGGTATTTTCTTCCCTTTTTCTTTTCTCATTTTATAGGCTTTACAAGTAGTTTTGACGGATTCGCTTCGAAGGTTTTATTGGTCTGAACAAAAAAAACGAATACTTACATCATAAATATTTGTGTAGGCGGATGGAAAGAATTTTGGGAGGAGGGAAAATCAGGGAGGGAATTTTTTTAAGCTTGAAAATTCTGAATTTTGAGAGGATTTTTTTTTCAAATTTTTTATGACTCGTGTTTTTTCTGCCTATCAATGAGAATTTTCGGCAATCTCTGAATGGGGCCATTTTCTGAGAAAATGGGGCCACCTGAATGGGGCCACTTGTGTGGCAAATTCCCTCAATGGGGCCAGCAAGAAAAAAGTAAGAATTTCTCACTTTTTCCTTAATGGGGCCACCTAAAAAGATAAAACACATGATTTCTGCATAATTCCTCAATGGGGCCATGTATTTTTTGTGCATTTCCTGAATGGGGCCCATCTTTTCATATTTATACATCTTGTGACGTCATAGTGATCGTGAATTGAAATTTCATGAAAGTTTTCAAATTTTTTAATAACGTTATTATGATGTGGTTTTTATTCTCAGCATTGAAAACATTTCGAATGTAAGCAGTTTAAGCACTAAATTTTCAGGCTCTGATGATGAAAATATTATAATTTTCCTCGAATATTTCGAATATTTTTTCTGGGTAAACTTTACATTTTCCCAATTATTTTCTTCAATCAAATTGATGTTTTCTTCTAAAATAAGTTGTTCATGTCATTAAGTTTTGGTTATTATCGTATTCTTAGCTAGTTGACAACAAGTTTTTGGATAACTTCCCAAAAAACTCATCTGGGTCCTCAAAAAACACACTTTTTTGCGCGATGTCCGTGTCTTGTTTACTTATGGGCAAGGTGCCAAAATATCAAGGTGTGAAAACTTATATGACATGTTTTTCAATAGTTTTCAATTTTTATATAGAATTTCTGTGAGAATTATCTAACGAACTACAAATTTGAGAAAAAAACATTTGATATTTTTTCTCCAATCTGTGAAAATTCTGAATTTTCTCTGTGATTTTTGATAGTTTTCGAGTGTTTGAAAAAAGCAAGACTTGAATTCCAAAAAGAAATATTTCATTTAGTTTTACTGTTTCAAAAATTCACGAAACTGGGGAATTTTCATGTAAGAGAGGCTCCATGCCTTCAGAACCCAACATTTGCATACGTGGTAAACATATGATTAAGTTATAACTCACATACGCTATTAAAAAATTTGAAAACTTTCATGAAATTTCAATTCACGATCACTATGACGTCACAAGATGTATAAAAATGAAAAGATGGGCCCCATTCAGGAAATGCACAAAAAATACATGGCCCCATTGAGGAATTATGCAGAAATTATGTGTTTCATCTTTTAAGGTGGCCCCATTGAGGAAAAAGTGAGAAATTCTTACTTTTTTCTTGCTGGCCCCATTGAGGGAATTTGCCACACAAGTGGCCCCATTCAGGTGGCCCCATTTTCTCAGAAACTGGCCCCATTCAGGGGCCCCATTCAGAGATTACCGAATTTTCGTCTCTGAAAAATTAATTTTCAGGGAAGTTTTTCAGAGGAAAAAGTCAGGGAAGTTTTTCAAAGGAAAAACTTCGCAATTAAATTTTTGAAGTGTAAAATTCAAAAAGTATATGACGTGACCCAATTTTTCTCAAAAAAATTTTTTTTTCTCAAATCAGTCATCATTTCTAATTTTTTGAAGCTCAAGAACTTTTTATACCTGAATTTTTATTTCCTAGTAATCAAACATTGATGTAATTAACATGAGCAATGTTTTTTTTTCGTCTAAAAATCTGGGTATAATATTTATCAAGCCTGAATTTTTTTTGGAGAGGATTTTTGTTGAAATTTTGTGTTGTTCTTGTTTATTCTGTTTATCAATGAAATTTTTCGTCTCAAAAATTAATCGAAATTTTGAAACATTAGATTTTTGAGATCAAAAAATACATATTTTTGTAAATGATTTTGTAGAGAACTTCAAATCAGAATTCTTGAAATGTAAAATTCAGAAATAAATGTTTTTTTCATCATTTCTGATGTTTTGGAGCTCAAGAACTTTTCACAAAATTAAACCTGGATTTTCTATCCAAAAATTGATATAATTAACATGAGATATGTATTCAGAAATCGTGGAGGGAATTTTTTAACGCTAGAAATTTGAAACTGGAACTTTATATCTGAATTGTAAGAGGACTTTTGTTGAAATATTTTATTATTCCTGTTTTCACTGTCTATTAATGAGAATTTTTGTCTTAAAAATTAATCGAAATTTTGAAACAGTGGATTTTTGAGCTCAAAAAAATTCAAATTTAAATTTTTGAAATGTAAAATTTATATGACGTGACCCAATTTTTTCCAAAAAAATATTTTTTCTCAATCCGGTCATTTTCACATTTCCAGAATGAAAAATTCAGCAAATTAATAATATTTCAATTACAAATTCTGAACTATCTAGTTCATTGCCAACAATATTTTTCACAATCAAATTGTAAAAACAACGGAAAAATTCATGAATTTTTGATTCTATCTGAATTACCACCGGAAGCCGAAAAATCAGTTTGTGTGGAATTTTATGAATCTGAGTTGGAGAATGTTTTGAAGGATATGATACAATCTGAAGTGATGAGCAAGTTTAGAGAGGAGAATCGGGTGAAATTGTGCTCGGAAATCGCGAGAGAACCCAAAATTCCCCGATTTTCAAAACCTTTTATTCAAAAAAAAAAATAAAAATCACCACATTTCCAGCCAAAAAAATCAAACCAGCGATGAACAGCAAACCCAAAACAGTGCAAATTCCCGCATCTGCAAAACTCATTTAAATTTTCCTCTAGAAATATTCAAACTTACTGGCTGAAAATATCTCTGAAACTGTATATTCTGATCGTGAATGAATGATTGGTTTTGAAGTGGAAGGTGTAGATTTTGCAGATTGTATGTTGATTTCTGGTGAAACGAAAATTTCCACAACAGTTTTCCTTATCTTCTCTCAATACAGTTTTCCTTGAAATTTTTGATATTTCCACATGATTTTTGAGATCCGGAGAAGTTGAACAGAAACTCCAAGGTTTCTCAATAGCTGTGCAATTATTATAGAATCTCAGAGTTTCTTGGAAAAATGACTTTGGCCCGATAACAAAGCAATATTTGGCCAAATAATCAGTTTCGTTAAAAAATCGAAATCCCGAAATTGACGATTTTGAAGTTATCTCAACTCGCTGCGCCTCAAATTCACATCTATCTTGACCGCCACAAGGATGATCAGTTTTCTTCAAAATTGTTTGATTGGTGATTTGCAATTCCGAATTTTGCACGGGATATTTCTGCTTTGGAGACATTTCTGGAGACAAATACAACGTAACTCCGGTAAAATTCTGCAAAATCTCCACCGGCTCCTCTTTTTCAAATTTCTTTTCGAAAGAACCAAAGGGATTTGAGTGAACCCATTTCCACCACATTTTTTCGAGAAATATCGTGTTGTCTTTGAGTTCATAATCATAGCTGGTTAGATTTTCTTTTCCTCTCACTTTTTTCTTTTTAAGTTCCGAAATATATCGAATTCTGAAATCCACAGCATTTTCTTTTCGGTTGAAAACATGAAACATTAAAGTTTCAACCCAATCTGTAGTTTTTTTTAAACTCAAATAGTTCATTTGAGTTTCTGAATTCCATAGTTCGATTGTTGATCTTTCAAAATCTCTAGCTTCTTTTGATGTTTCTCGTTTTATCGTTTTGCTTACTTCATAGGTGTTTTTCAAGCCACAATTTCTAAAAAAAACCAAAAATTCCAAATGTTTCTAGAAACAAACAACTAACTCATGATAAACCATCTCAAAAACATTCAAATTCTCCATTTTCACCAAATCCGATTGAAATTTGGATTTCAATGAAAGCGAAATTTCAGCAATAAGATCTGGCTCGCTTCCAAGAATATTTGTTAATTTCACCCTTCCGTCAACAAATCGAATTTGAATTTGAAAATAATCCGAAGGCTTTGAGATTTGAGATATAACTGGCTGAACGTTCATTTCAGTGTGCGATGATAATTTGACTTTGAAGTCGGGGAAGATTTCGATTCTGGCGAAATAACGAGATTCATCGTTGGAAACTGCGATTTCAATTGTTGTGGTTTTCAAGGGATTTTTTCTAGAAAAAGTAGACTTAGCCTAACTTTTTCTCAAAAATTGAAACCTACCTTCTGAAAGCAATATAAATCGCATAATTTTCCCCGATCACTTTTTCCAATTTCACCCGATTCTCCTGTCTAAACTTCCTCATCACTTCAGATTTTATCAAATCCTTCAAAACATTCTCCAACTCAGATTCATAAAATTCCACGCAAACTGATTTTTCGGCTTCCTGTGGTAATTCAGATAGAACCAAAAATTCATGAATTTTTCCGTTGTTTTCACATTTTGATTGTGAAAAATATTGTTGGGAATGAACTAGATAGTTTAGAATTTGTAATTGAAATATTATTAATTTGCTGAATTTTTTCATATTAGAAATGATGACTGAATTGAAAAAAAATATTTTTTTTTGGGAAAAAAATTGGGTCACGTCATAATTTTCGACAAAAAATTTCGAACAAAGTGTAATTTGTAAATTTGAGTTTGTAAAAAGTGTAATTGTCCAATCATGAAGACATTTGGTTATGAAAAATATGAGATTTTTTGAAACAGTGGTTTTTTTCGGAAAAAAAAACATAATTCAAATTTAGATTTCAAGGAGCAAAGATCCAAAATTCCAAAAAAAAGTTCCCAAAAACCTGATTTTCACACTTTTCTGTTAAAGCAAACCGCTTTCAACACTTTTTTATCAAAAAAAGAACAAAGGACTTCCGCTAAATGTGGCAAAATTACAGTAATCCGAAAAAATCGGGAACTTTTGAATTTGAATTCTTCAACAAATCAGAATTTGTTTTAAAACAGTGAATTTTGCTATTCAAAAAAAATTTTTTAAAGAGAATTACGAACAAAAATATCGAGAAAATCGAGGGGAAATTTGGTTATGACAATTGTGAAAATTTTGAAACAGTGGTTTTTTTCGGGAAAAATTTGAAATTTTGAAACCCTCGAAAACTCAAATTTTCAGAATTTTAACGATGAAAAACTCACATTTCCTCCAGTTTTCTTCATGCTTCAAAATCATTCAACCAAAATTCGCCTTCAATTGTTTCGATATTTTCACCATTTTGCTGACGATTTTCCTGTAAAATAGAAATGAGTGAAATTTAAATAAGTGCCCCAAACTGAAGAAAACTTTAAGAAATTGTCCAATCATGGAGAAATTTGGTTATGAAAAATATGACAATTTTGAAACAGTGGTTTTTTTTCGGAAAAAAAATTGAAAAAAAAGAGAAAAATTATCCTAAATTTAAATTCCAATGCCAAAACTCCAGAATTCCAAAAAAAAGTTCCCAAAACCTAATTTTCACTGTTTTCTGTTAAAGCAAACCGCCTTCAACACTTTTTTATAAAAAAAAAGAACAAAAGTATTCCGCTTAATGTGCCAAAGTTACAGTAATTCGAAAAAATCGGGAATTTTTGAGAGAAATCCTGGCCAAATCAGAATTGGTACATCAAGAGCGAAAATGTGGAAATTTTGAAACAGTGAATTTTATTATTCAAAAAAATAGTTTTATTTGAGAATGATGAACGAAAAATCGCAAAAATCAAGGGGAATTTGGATTATGACAATTTTGAAACAGTGGTTATTTTTCAGAGAAAAAATTGAAAAGTTTTCTAATTTCGAAACCTCAGTTATCTAAACTGTTTCAGAATTAAAAATCTCCTTTTTTTCAAAATTTTTTTCCGAAAAAACCACTGTTTCAAAATTTCCCCTTGATTTTTGCGATTTTTCGTTCATCATTCTCAAATAAAAATATTTTTTTGAATAATAAAATGTCACTGTTTCAAAATTTCAAATTTTAATCCCAATTTTATTTTAGATATGAAAAAACTCCACGTGGATTCCAGAATCCAGAATTCCCAAAAACCTCATTTTCACACTTTTCTGTTAAAGCAAACCGCTTTCAACACTTTTTTATCGAAAAAAAAGAACAAAAGTCTTCCGCTAAATGTGCCAAAGTTACAGTAATCCGAACAAAAATTGGGAATTTTTGAATTTGAATTCTTCAACAAATCAGAATTTGTTTTGAAACAGTGAATTTTATTATTCAAAAAAAAAATATTTTTAGAGAATTCTGAACCTGAAAATCGCCGAAAATCAAGGAGAAATTTGGTTATGACAAATGCGAATTTTTTGAAACAGTGGTTCTTTTTCGGGGAAAAACTGAAATTTTGAAACCCTTGAAAACTCAAATTTTCAGAATTTTAACGATAAAAAACTCACTTTTCCTCCAGTTTTCTTCATGATTCGAAATCATTCAACCAAAATTCGCTTCATAAATTGCTTCGATATTTTCACCATTTTGCTGACGATTTTCCTGTAAAATAGAAATTAGTGAAATCTAAATAAGTACTCCAACATGAAGAAAACTTTAAGAAATTGTCCAATCATGGAGAAATTTGGTTATGAAAAATGTGAGAATTTTGAAACAGTGGTTTTTTTTTTCGGAAAAAAATTTGAAAAAAAAGACAAAAATTATCCTAAATTTAGATTCCAATGCCAAAACTCCAAAATTCCAAAAAAAGTTCCCAAAAACCTCATTTTCACACTTTTCTGTTGAAGCAAACCGCTTTTAACACTTTTTTATCAAAAAAAAAGAACAAAAGTCTTCCGCTTAATGTGCCAATACTTCCCAATATTCAAAATTTCCCCCGTTTCCCCAAAGAAGCCGCCTTTTCACACCTTCTTATCAAAAATCAAGCCACGCCCCTTTTCTGGGGCCTATAAAAGCCCAGTGCAAATCTTTAAAATCCACCAACCAAACTCAGAAATAGAAATGGCGTACGATTTCGTCCCAAAATCAGCGTACACTACACTTTTCTATTTATTCCTATCAATTTCCTCAATTCTATACTATTCAATGTGCTTTTTGGCGAATTTCGGTGCACAAAAATCGCATTTGTTTTGGCTCACCGAACATTTTCTATGGCGAGTTTGCCTAACTCAATGGTGCATTCTTGCGATTTTCGGAGCAGTATTCTGGCGAAAAATTCGAATTCTCTATCTTTATTTGGCGGTTTTGGCCGGGAACGGAACTATGGTTTTGTGGATTTTGAAAATCCAACAATTTTTGGATGGAAGAATTGATTTGAGTGAGTTTTTTTCAAATTTTATATATTTTTAGTCTAATTAAAAAAAAGTGTAATCAAAAATTTAAAAAAATCCCAATTTTTCAGTGAATATTCACCTCAACCTCATCTCCCTTCTATTTTTCTTCGCAATTCTTCACAATTTCACAACCTTCTACATTTTTCATCGAAATTTGGCTAAAAACAGCAAAAAAAGTGCGATAATTTATTATGTCTAATTATTTTTTAGGTTTTTTCGCTTTTTGTCATTTAATTGGTAATTAATTAATAAAAATTAAATTAGAAAAGTGAAGAATTCTGGATTTTCAGGGAAAAATTTACAGAAAAAGAAAAAAATCCACGTGGAAAATTTTCTATACAGTTTTTGAGTGGGAAATTGGAAAATTTTGAAATAAGTGTTTTCGGGGCCAAAAATCCACGTTTTCTGGGAGTTTTCACGCTGTGAAAGAGCCAGAGAGCACAATAATGAGCCAAAAAATTGAAAATTTTCGAGAAATCGCGTTTTTGGAAGCCCAGAACCTCTAAGGCTTCGAAAAACGCGATTTTTCGAAAATTCCCAATTTTTGGCTCATTATTGTGCTCCCTGGCTCTTTCACAGCGTGAAAACTCCCAGAAAAACGTGGATTTTTGGCCCCCGAAAACATTTATATCAAAATTTTCCAATTTCCCCACTCAAAAATGCACCGATTTTTCAATAAATCGGGCACAACGGGACGCTTTTTTCCAAACGAAAATTTCAAAGTTTTTTTTTCTGGCGCCACAAACGTTTTTCGCTGGCCAAAAAAGAAGGAGGCCATTCTTTTTTATTATCATAATATAAATAACATGCCTGCACGCTCTCTCAATTTCACACACTATTTCGCGCCTCCGGAGTTTTTCTCTCTTTTCTCTGGTTCCCGGGAGGGTTTCTGACTCATTTTATTTTTATTTATTTTTTATTTCAGAAGAAATACACATTTTCTCCTCGCAGATTCTTCAAAAGAATGTTTCGAAACTCGATTTTTCCGCGAAAATTTTCTATTTTTGGCTACAATCAGGTAATTTATTTTGATGAAAAATCGGTTTTTTTTTCATTTTTTTTTTGAAAACAACAATTTTCAACCCCTTTTTTCTACCAAAAAAAAAATCGCAAAAATTTCCTTGTTCACACTTGGTAAACTTTGCGAATTCGTTGCTCTCAAAAAGTAAACAATCCAAAAAAAATGGAGCAAATTGTGAGCATTTTGAAGGAATTGCCATCTGTTGCGGAAGACGTTATTACAAATATCGTCAGCAATCCGGAGACAAGCGAAATTATTTTGGAGGCGGGGAATTCGCGGAAACGCCGCAAATTGGTAAGTGTTTTACTTACAAGTTACAATTAGAATTGAAAAAAATGGCCTAGGTTTTGGGGGACTAGAAAACCAACAGGTCAGTTGTGTGTAGTTCTCGAGGAACATGTTTTTGAAGCGAACAAACCGATTTTCGCGCGGAAATTATTATTTTTCAAAATTTGAGGCGTTTAACTTGGCTCATAGGTTTCATCTGGGCTCTGTAGAAATTTCCAGAGCCAAAATGAACCTGTGACATTTCGAGCGGGAATTATTATTTTTCGAAATTTGAAAAATTTTTTTATAGCTTGAGTAAATGACATTTTCATGGTTTTTTAAGGAAATGAGTTGAAATATTGGGTTATAATTTTATTCATATGATAAAATGGTCTAAGACGAGCAGAATGATATAAATTTTGATGACTTTAGGTTATCCTTAAGTGATTTAGCGAATATCGACTAAATATCGACTAAACGTCGCTAAATCACTTATGGTTAACGTAAAGTCATCAAAATGTATATCATTCTGTTCGTCTTAGACCATTCTATCATATGAATAACATTAAAACCCAATATTTCAAATCACTTGCTTAAAAAACATAAAAATGTCATTTAGTCGAGCTGTAAAACCTCAAATTTCAAAAAATGAATAATTTCCGCTCGAAAATCGGTTAGAATTTTTCTCCCCAAGATTGTTCCAATCTTTTTTGCCCTTCCCAATCAAAAAAAGATAGTAAAATCATGATTGATAACAGATTTATCTACATTGTTTCATTTTCTCATCCCTTTCAAACATTTTCCCCCTAAAAATGACCCTAACAAATTGCCTTAGTCATAAGGTACAAATTAGGGTCATCAATGATATCCCCCCTTCTTACTAATTTTCCCACCCATTACTAAACAGTAGTTGTAGTGCGCGCACTTTTCGTCTAACAGTCTCTACCTCGCTTTTCTCTCGTCACTCTCTCGATTTCGCGCGCTATTTTTGCTCCCGACGATTTTTTTGGTGATGGTTGCCTTCAAAACATACACAACCAACACGACGACGATATATTCGTCACCTTTTTGCTTTTTGGCTCTTTTTTTGGGGAAATTTAGTGGGAAATGTGGGATTTTCCCCATTTTTTTGGAGGAAAAAGGTTTATTTTCACTGAAAATCCACGCAATGTATCTTAAATTACTTAAATTAGTTCTATATTTCCCCAAAAACCATAAATTTCCCGCAGGCAAACGCGCGCGAAAAATAAAAATATTTTTTCTGTCTGCATTTGTGCGTCGCCGTGTTTGTATTCGGTGTGTGCACCAAATACAAACCACAGTAATCCTCGCGGGTTTTTTTATTTTTTCTTTTTTTGTTCCACCAAAAAAAATGCTTAAAAAGGCTGAAAATAAATAATTTCTGAACGTGATAGCTACGTGTCCCACATTTAGATCCAATCTCATTTATTTTCGATGTTTTCTGATCTCAAAAATGGCTGAAAATCCTGAAATTGATGAATTGTAAGTAAATTCTGGAATTTCTTTGATTATCCTTTACTGAGTTCACAGTAAAAGATAATCCCGCCTTTTTTGATTATTCCTGTTCGTTGGAGCGCATTTGCTCATCATGTTGCAAAATTTCTATTTTTAGCACAAGTTTATTTTGAACAAATTGTTTATTATTGTCAAAAATGTTTCATTTTTGGTTTATTTTTGTTTTGAATGACGCACATGGATTTTTTCCCAAAAGAAAAAAAAAATCAGATAAGATGCATTTTTCCCAATATGTATAATCAAACCAAAATAAAACAGTTTTCACCTTGAAAACACACCGTGTTTTACAAGACTTTTCGCTTCTTTATTCGACATTTTCTTTTGGTTTTCAAATCTCCAGTGTCAAATCTTCAATAAAATTTGTCCCAAAATCTTCAAAAAAAAAATAAAATTGCAGATTCGTTTATGTGGCGATATGTACGAACAATGGCCGGCACTCGAATTTTCGGACCTCAACTCGAGTATTCTTGACTTGTTTACAAAGTGAGTTGTGTTTCGTATTTGTTTTGGGATGGGAAAAAAAGTGGAAAATGGAAGAGACAGAGGAATTTTTGGCGCCAAAAATGCCACGTGTTGAAAAATTCGAATCTGGGAGAAGAAATACACGTGGCATGGTTGGATTCTGGTTTTTGAATTGAGTTATAGCCCTCACGAACATTCCAATGCTGAAAATCCACGTGGCAACTGGAAAAGTCAAAAATATTGAAAGTTTACACGCTGTTTTGAATATATTTAAAATTTCTACGCATTTTCCCGCCAAAAATGCCACGTGGCAGGGTTGGGTTCGGATGTTCGAATTGATTTCTAGCCCTCACGAAAATTCCGGCCCCGAAAATCGACGTGGCAGTTGGAAAATTCAAAAAATTTTGCGTCAAGAATGCCACGTGGCAGAATTTCACATTTTGAATCAATTTTCCAGCCAAAAATGCCACGTGGCAAGAAATACATGGATTTGAAGGGAAAATGACACGTGGGAAATTTGAAAATTCAAAAATGTATCATTTTTCATTAGCCACAAACCTCACCCAAGAACCTGGAGTAGTGCGTGAAAAAATGCCCAGCTGGTTTTTTTTTCCAAAATTGCCCACCTAGCGCTCGCCATGGCGAGCTTTTTCAAAAAAAAATTCGTTTTTTTCAGTGAAAATAGCAAAAGCTTCCTGAAATCCCTCTCCCTCTATGTCCCTCCTAATTTCCCTCGCGCCCCGGGTGGGACTCGAAGCCACACCCTCCACGCCACGTGCGTTCAAGAGACGCACGTGTTCACCACTAGACCAGCGACCCTGTTGAGAACGAGGAGGCGAATTTCCAAGACAACAAACACTTCTGTGCCACCTACTTTTCTTTTTATTTCACATTGTGAAAAAAACTGAATTTCATTTTCAGCTTTTTCAGTATTTAGAGTGAATATTTGCGTGTGGAATTAACTAAGTAGCTTCCTAAGCCTAGTTCCCAGCTACAAATAACAATGGCCAGCTACTTTTTTGTTTAAAGGCCGAGAAAACCGATGACCTGATTTCTCTTATAACGTTAGAGCATTTTGGGTGATTTCACACTTCAAACTTTTTGAGCTTTCGGAGTGATTTTGAGCAAAAAGTTTGTTTTGGGACTAACATTATTTTTGCTTGTAGATTCATTTGAGCTTTTCAAAATTTCTGAAAAAATGATTTTGACATGAGTTATCGAAAATGACCAGTATTTTACTCCAGGTGATAGGTTTGCAAAAAATTGAAAAAGTTTGCAGGTGGGAGAAAGGTGAAACTAGCTGGGAATCGACTTACTTTTTAATATTAAGAAACAAAACATCAAACTTTTCCTAGGAAAAAAGTCAGAAAACCTGAAAAACTGAATTTTTCGTATTTTTTAGATGTTTCCAGCTGGCCATCGGGAAAATAATAGTTGAAATGAATCTAATTTCTGAAAATTTTCAAAGAACATCGTTGGAAGTAACATTTTCTAACCAACAAGAGAAAATTATAGAATTCAGTGAAATTTTTTCGACGAAAAATTCGAAAAAACCTTCGAATTTTTTAAAAATTTTACCCACCTACAAAATTTTTTTTTTCAGTTGCCCACCTGGGATTCCAGGTATTGGGTGAGGTTTGATTAGCCACGTGGCAGAATTCCGCATTTTGAATCAATTTTCCCACTAAAAAATCCACGTGGCAGGGTTCTATCGATTTTCCAGCGCAAAAAATAGCCACGTGGAAGAATTTCACATTTTTAATCAATTTTCCCGCCAAAAATGCCACGTGGCAGGGTTCTATCGATTTTTTAGATGCCACGTGGCGAATTTCCATTAAAACCTTCTATAAATTTGTGAATTTCTCTAGCCCTACCTAATTTCTCACACAAAAATTATGTTTTCACAGATCTACCTCTCAATCAGTAGCCTCATCTCTTCTCTACGAACTCACTCGATCAGACGCCGATGAAAATGGCGGATCGATTCGATTGAACAACGAAGAACATCTCAAATGGTGTATGCAAGTTCTGAATCACTCGCTGACTTTGTCATTTTCGACCGGAAGGGAATATGAGACATTGAAAGGTAAAAATCAGAAATCTCGTATTTTTCGGATAATTTCGGATCATAAGACCAAAATTCAGATAATAAATTTAGAAATTTCATAGGAAACCCAAAAATAGCCCAATTTTCAGCTAAAAATTCATCATTTTTCATCACCTTTTTCACTATAAATGCTAAAAAAAAACCCTGAAAAACTTGAATATTCATGAAAAATTGCTTGAAATCTGCGAAATTTGATAAAATTTGGACTGGAAATCATCAAAGTTAGATGATTTTTGACAAAAAATAGCTTAAAATTCATCATTTTTCATCAAATTTTGACTAAAATTGCTCAAAAAACCCTGAAAAACTTGAATTCATTGCTTAAAATCAATAAAAATTCATCCGATTTTCCAGGAGCCGTTCGAATTTATCTCCACTGGCTTCGCGCGCTTTGCGACACTCCGGACAACAATATCCCCACACCGCTCCTCGCGACACCCGAAAAATATTTTCGAAATATCATCGACGCGTTGAGATGGGTGTTCTGTCGAAGAGAGGATGATATTTGGCAGACTGGTGGAACCGGAACATTGACACCGCAACAAGTTCCACGTGGTTTGGCTATTGAGAGACAGGCGATTGAGATTGATATGATATTGGATTCGTTGAAATATTTGACGAAGAGTGCAAGCAGGAAATATCAGGATGAGGTTAGCGGATTTTGTTACTGTAAAATTTGAGATTTGGTTCTGAAAATGTCTGAAAATTTGGAATTCAGACCCATTTTCTAGACTTCAGAAATTCACTGTTTCAAGTTTTCTAGATGAATTTTTGAAATTAAAATATTTTATAATTTTTTTTCCAAAAAATTCACTGTTTCAAAAATTCTAGATTAAATTTTCAAAATTAAAAGTACTGATACCTTCCAAAGTACGTACGGTCTGAAAATATCATTAAAAAAGTCCAAATTAGGTCTGAAAAATATTGAGATTTAAAAAAAAGTTACTTTTGAGCCTTGTTGAGAATAGAATTTGGCCCTGAATAGTCTGAAATTTGGAAAATTTACCCATTTAGGCTTGAGAAATTCACTGTTTCAAGTTTTCTAGATGAGGTTTTGAAATTAAACTGTTTTATTAATTAAGTTCATTCCGATTCTTCTTAAAATTATGGTCAATTTTTTCCCAAAAATTCACTGTTTCAAAAATTCTGGATGAAATTTTTCAAAATTAAATTGTTTACTATTAATGTTGATTCCAATTTTTTTCAAAATAATAGTCAAAATTTTTTTTCCAAAAAATTCACTGTTTCAAAATTTTTAGATTAAATTTTCGAAATTAAACTGTTTTATTAGTTTCGTGTTTGGTATTCTCAAAATTAAAGTCAATTTTTTTTCTTGCAAAAATTCTAAATAAAAATTAATTTTCAAATTTAAACTATTAAAAATATTGAATTTGCTTCCGATATTTTTCAAAATTATTGTCAAATTTTTTTTCCAAAAAATTCACTGTTTCAAAAATTCAATGTAGATGAAAATTTCAAAATTAAATTGTTTCATTAAATTTGCTTCAAATTCTTCTCAAAATTATAGCCAGAATTTTTTTTCGAAAAAAATTCACTGTTTCAAAAATTCTAGGTAATATTTTTCAAATCAAAAAGTTCTGATCCTTCCAACTTTTCATCTACAAATAATAAAATCTCTCAAAAAACCCGCCCAAATTCCAGGTCTGGTCTCGATCTCTCAGCTTCCTCCTCAACAGCGCCGATATTTTGCTCGCCGAGCCAAATGCCACTGAAGAAATGGGAACACGAATATGTGTTCGTGTCGCCGACACACTTTTCGATTTGTGGTTGAATGCCGTGATTTTGGAACACATTCCATCGTTGACTTATTGGAGCTCACTGGCCACGTTGACCCGGAGATGGAGGCATAATGTGAGAAATTGAAAATTACTTAGCCTAACTTCTATTGTTGCAGATTCCGATCATTGAAGTTTGGGCGAAGAAAATTCTTGGATTATCAGTGTTGGTTTGCAGGAAAATGTATGGAGAGGATTATTTGAAAATTGAGATTCGTAAGTCTAATTTTGTTCATAGACAGATTTTGGGGTTTCAGGACCTCTGAGCCAAATTCTGGGCTCTCAAAAGTTCAAAAATTAATTGGCTCATAAAAGTTAGCATAACTCAATTCGTGGTCGATTTACCACCCAAAAACATCAATAAATCAAATTTTCAGAAAAATTTCTGGTTTTGGAATTTTCTGAAAATTTATGTACCCCTGCTCATTTTTTTTCAAAAATCAAAAATTTTTCTGAAAATTTCATTTTTGGGTATATCGACCATGCTGAACAATATCTGAAACTTTTTTTATCCAAAAATTGTTTTGAAATGGAGTTATGATGACTTTTATGAGCCCAAAACTAGGCTCAAAGGTCCTAAACTTTTTAGGGTGTTCTTATGAGCCCCTGGACGAAATTTCATCAAGATTTAGAGTTTTGTTAAAGTTTTTATGATTTATACATTTTTTTCCAGCCGATGAATCGATTTCACAATTTGGCCAAGTTCCAATCAACAACCAGGAAGATGATGAGGAAAATGAGGTTCATTTATTGTATAGAACTTGGTATAATATGCTGTGCCTTTTCGATTCGCCCGCCAAGATTTTGGCACATGACGCCGGGAGGAATATGAGCCTAAGTGGGTTTTTTTTCAAAAAATTCAATTCCGAATTCCGAATTCCAGACGGAAACTCACCCCGTAGATCATTCTCCAGTGTCTCATCGGATCTCAATTCCACCTCGACATCCGGTGCAACCCAATCAGTCTCATTCTTCCTTGCCGCAACCACTTTGCAAAGAATGGTCGATTTGTTTTATGGTGATTCGAAAGTTGCGATTGATTTGAGAGCCGCTGCGCAGGAAACGGCTGTGAAAACATCGAGTACACGAGCTGCGTCGATCGCGACGGATCATACGAATGTGAGTTGCGGAGGGATCTTGTAGAGCTCAAAATTCTGAACAGGAAGGTGTATTTTTCTTGGGAAAATTTTGGATTTTAAAGGTACATAGTGGCGAGACCCTTCGATGCTCCTTTAAAAATTTGGGTTTTTTCTTCTGGGGGATTTCAAGGGGATGGAATTCAGAGTTTGAGAAAAAAATTTCTCAAAATTCAGGCAAAATTGTAAATATTACTACTAAAGATCATTTTTCGGATTTTCCGAGCACATTTTCCGGAAAATCGGAAAATTGATTTTTCCGTGAAAAAAACCGGAAAATCCGGAAATTCGGAAAATTCGGAAAATTTCCGGCACAGGCCTGCTGTGCATATTGTAGAGCTCTAAATTCTGAACAGGAAGGTATATTTTTCTTGGGAAAATTTTGGATTTTAAAGGTACATCGTGCCGAGACCCGTCCATGCGCCTTTAAAAACTTTGTTGTTTCAGGAGATGAAATTCAGAGTTTGAGAATCTTAAAATCATATTTGAAATTCCCAAAAGTGGGATTTTCAGCCAGAGAATCTTGTAGAGCTCGAAATTCTGAACAGGAAGGTGTATTTTTCTTTGGAAAATTTTGGATTTTAAAGGTACATCGTGGCGAGACCCTTCGATGCTCCTTTAAAAATTTTAGCGTTTTTCCTTTTGGGGGATTTTAGGGGATGAAATTCAGAGTTTTTAGAATCTGAAATTTTCAAAAATGGGAATTTTAGCCAGAACATCTTGTAGAGCTCAAAATTCTGAACAGGAAGGTGTATTTTTCTTGAGAAAATTTTGAATTTTAAAGGTACATCGTGCCGAGACCCTTACATGCGCCTTTAAAAACTTTAGCGTTTTTTTCCTCTGGGCGGATTTCAGTGAATTTTTAGAATCTGAAATTTTCAAAAATGGGAATTTTAGCCAGGGAATCTTGTAGAGCTCGAAATTCTGAGCAGGAGGGTGTATTTTTCTTGGGAAAATGTTGGATTTTAAAGGTACATCGTGGCGAGACCCTTCCATGCGCCTTTAAAACTTGGAAGCTTGCAGTTTACACTTGCGCAAAGCTGCTGAAACCTTCTAGACTCAATTTTTTCCAGCGAACCGCCTCAACTGCTGGCGAATCTTCCCGTTTCGTCTCGCTGAATGGTCCAATCGGTCAAATAATTGTGGAAGATGTCTCATCGAATTCCACAACCAGCACCCAACGAACAACTTCCGATAACTCGAGAAAACTTGTCAAAGATCGCACCGAAAGTCGTGTCTCTGAGCACACAACTTCTACACTCACCTATAAATCTGCACCACCTGGACATCATTTTGAATCAAGTCCCGCTGAATCGATTGTTGGAAATTCGGCGGTGTCTGCACCGCCTGCCGCCAACATCCAGGAGGCACCGAAATCACCAGCGATGTTGAATGACCCGCAAAAATTGGCGGCGAAATTTGTGACCAATTTTCTGTGCGCCAACCCGGCTTGCCAACCGTTTATTGGAGCGAGACGGCCGAAAACTGATCGAATGTTGAGCCTGGTTGGAGATTGGCTGTTTGATATTGTCAACACGCAGGCGGCGGGAACCAGGAATTTGTCGGGTGCAAGTTTGGGAGCGACGACGAAGAAGGGAGTGAATAATGAAAGAGTGTCGGATGGTGAGGCATTTTTTGGGGAGCGGGAAAAATTTGGGGAAAAATATTTCCCGATTAAAAATTTGGTTTGTGAAAAATATAATATTTTCAATATTCTAGACTAGATATTCTTGGAATTTTCCAAATGGATTCTGAATTGCATTTGCCACGTGGATTTTCGGCGCTAAAGGTTTGAAATCCAAAAAAAATTGCATTTCAAAATTTTTCAGCACTGAAATCCACGTGGCACTGTTTTGAGGCCAAAAATACAGTGCCACGTGGATTCGAAAACAGTGCCACGTGGATTTCGGTGCCAAAATTTTTGAAATGCAAAATTTTTCGATTTTCAATTTTAGACCGAAAATCCACGTGGCAATAAGAAAATTCAGAAATTCTGATTTTTTGATTTTTTGAATCCAAAACAGTGCCACGTGGATTTACTATAGGTTTTCTACATTTTCATTCAGTTCCACCTGATTTCTCCAAGATTATTCCATCTCATTTCATTTTGATACAATTTTTCTTTTTTCTTCCTCATTCAAACTGTTTTTTATTATTCCTTTTCCTTTCTTTTGTGTACTTTTTTCGCCCTTCAATTTTCTCATTCTCACAGCTTGAGAGATGAGATTTTCGAATTTGATTCGAACTTTCTCCGGGATTATTAAAGATGTAATCGGAATTTCTCAAAGAAGAAATTGAGGAAAAAGCTTATCAAAAAGAGAGAAAGAGAGTAAATAATAGCTATCAGTCGTAGTTTTTGAGTGTGTGGTTCGTTTACCTTTCTTGTATCATTCACGCCTTTTTTAGTTTGCCTATTGTATATACACACAACTGGTTTTCTTCTTTTTTTTTTCGTCGTTTTTTAGTCGCCTTGACAGAAAGAGATGCGTATCAACATCATCAGTTTTTGAGAGGACACTTTTGTTGTTGTTAGATGACCATCGCTATTCAAAAATTATCGAGAAGGCTCCGATTGCTCCGCCGCGGCGAAGGCGCCAACATGCCGCTTCTTGTAATGATGCTGATGAATTGTTTGGGATCAGAAAAGGTTTGTGGACTTTTTTGGCATTGCTCAGGTTAGACGAATTCTTCTAGCCGATTTTCATACGATTTTTCAATGAGAAAATTTTTTCTCACAAAATTGTTGGTATTGCTCAGGTTATACGATTTCTTCTAGGTGATTTTCATACGATTTTTCAACGAAAAAATTATTCTCACGAAATTGTTGGCATTGCTCATGTTATATTTTTCTCTCCAAGCTTAAAAACTCGAATTTATTAGCATTGCTCATGTTATAGTATCATTCCTGGGCGATTTTCTTGATTTTCAACAGGTAAATTTAGCATTTTCCGGTCAGAATTTAGAGAATCTTCGATCTTCGCATGATTTTTGACATTACTCATGTTATACTTTTTTTCGTCAAATCTAAAAGCTCGAATTTATTCAGGAAAATGTAGCATTTACCGATTTTTATGATTGCTCATGTTATTCTTTTTCTCGCCAAAATTGGTTCTAGTTTTCTGTAATTTTTTTTCAGCCAAGTTTTGCCTTTTTTCTCTCATTTCTCATAGTCTTGTGATTTTTTGACTTTTGGACAATTTTTCCTTTCAAGAAACATCGAACTGGTTTTGTTTGAAAAAAATTGTCTAGATCTTGGCATTGCTCATGTTAGAAAAAAGGTAGAACTGGTTTTGTTTTTTTTGCCTAGAATTTTCAAATTTGTCTAGATCTTGTCAATATGTTTTGCTCATGTTAAAAAGTACTTTGTTTCGAAACCTTAACCACATTTCATAATTGTAAATCATTACAAAATAGTTTCTCTTTTCAAAATTTCACAAAAATGTTTGCTTTAAAAAATTGCGGCTTTTTCCCCTCTATCCGGAAACATTGCTCAGGTTAGTTTCTTCGAAAAACCAGAAATTTCAAACTTGCAATCAAAAGAATCCTTGAAACCTCACAAAAACTATCAATTATGCAGTCTTTTCATCACATAATTCCTTATAATAATAATAATATGGTTTATTACTGGAAGTGAAAGCTTTTCGTCGTAATTGAAAATGAAAAAAGCCTTAGTTAGTTAGTTATCACATGATTTGACCGAGAACTAGTTGTTGTTGTTTTTTTCTAGGTTCATCCAATTTCAAGGACGAATTGGAGAGGATAATCGGATTTGTGAAAATTTCCCCCCAAAAAATGACCGGAAACTTGAACAAATATTGATTGATTGGCATAATTAGAACCTCAGGGAGGTTTCTATAATTATCTGGTTTTTCGTCTTTTTTCGCCGGCGCGCGCTCGAGCGCATTTTGTTGACCTTTCATAGTCAAAAACAAACGAAGCGGCTTTTCTTTTCTTGGTTTCGTTTTGGAGCGCATCGAAGGATTTTTTTCCTCAGATTCAGTTCAAAAACCTTCACCACTTGAATGAAGGAATGTTTTTGACATACTTATTTTATTTCATTAATAATAATATCGTCTTCTTAGTGTAACCTTGGTTGTTTTTCATCTGGTTACCGCAATTATTAGTATTCCTCGTCATCGATTATCTCTCTCTGATATTATTATAGATTTATGAGTGGCGAACCGCCGTTTGCTGTGCAACTCAACGAAGTTGTGGCGAGATTCACGTCGAAATTGTTGTTCTATCGAGAGGTTCCCGAAATTGTTGTGGCCGATTGTAATCAGAGTTGGTTTTGGGCCTTGGGATGAAGGTGACAGAATAAAAGTGGTACACCAAAAATAAATGAAGTTTGGTGTACCAAAAAATTTTGTTGGGCAATTTTATGAGTACAGAATTCGGATTAAAAATTTTCGTACAGTATGTATCGTACATCATATACCAGACCTGGGAATTTTCACGTTTACGTTTTTTACGTTGTACGGTTCTTACGGGATTTCACCATAAATTTCATTTCACGGTTTTACAGTTCGTTAAAAAATCACTAACAAGGGAAGTGCATAAGGGTAGGTGTTGAACTTTTTGTGCAATTTGGTACACATATAGATTCGAACCTGCTGATCTTGAATCTGTTTTCAAAAATTGCCACAAGTGCACCCAAAAGCAGTTTTGCGCCATCGAAAATTCACCATTTTTTTCTTCGTTTCATATATCAAACATTTGCAGGCAGAAAAAACAGGAGCGCGTAGCCGAGTGGTAAACACTCACGTCTTTGAAATTTTAGGTTATGGGATCGATCCCGCTCCAAGGCAAACTTTTTTTTCTATTTTTTTTTTGCAAATCCATTTATGATAACTTGTCAAAACACGTTATAATATTTATGATAACTGGTCGCAAATGTTTTGATTTGGAAAGAAATTAGTGAATGTTGCGTTCAAAAGGCAGATGACTTTTATTTTGAAACAAAAAAGACCAATAAGAATGGAATGATCAAGAGAGCTAGCCTGGAAACGATGAATAAAAACTTTCAATTCATATCTAGTGCAAATCAGCTGGATAAACTCCGAGAATTTCATCGACTGGGGAAATTTTTTCTAGAATTTTTTCTGACGAAAGTATTTTAAAGGTGAAATTTGAACGGAAAGATGAAATGATCTCCATTTGATAACTTCTGAAAAATGTTCTGAATTTTTTTAATGGTTATGTTTCCATGATTTTGTTTTTTGTTTTCATAAATGGATTTTCAAAAAAAAAATGGAAAAAAAAGTTTGCCTCGAAGCGGGATCGATCCCATAACCTAAAATTTCAAACGTGAGTGTTTACCACTCGACTACGCGCTCCTGTTTTTTCTGCCTGCAAATGTTTGATATATGAAACGAGGAAAAAATGGTGAATTTTCGATGGCGCCAAACTGCTTTTGGGTGCACTTGTGGCAATTTTTGAAAACGAATTCGAGATCAGCGGGTTCTAATCTATATGTGTACTAAATTGCAGAAAAAGTTCAACACCTAACCTTATGCACTTCCCTTGTAAATATAGGGAATTTTGACAAAATCAAATTGAAAGTTTTAAAAAACTCCAAAATTTTAATTGAATCTTAGGATTAACTAATTTTTTGATGGGTATGGAGAATGATATTGTTAAAATTATGTTAAATTACCAAATCCCCAATTTTTGAAGAAATTTATGCTGCTTTTCAGTTGAGTAACAAAATTTTACGGTATTTTACGGATTTTAAAACCGTTAAATTCAGATTTCACGTTTCACGGTGCCACCTAAAAATTTCCGGGGTCTGTCTGGTATATATCATACAGTATGTATCGTACAGTATGTATCGTACAGTACAGTATATCGTACAATACTGTGTCGGGTCTGTTAAGCATAGATATTTTGTTCATGACACACAAAGACTATTGTACAGTTTTTGCCTCAAATTAAAAATATCCTGAAGTATTTTTTAATATGCTCGATTCAAGCTTCCCAACATTTTGGCCGCCAAATTTGAGGTTTTGAAAAATCTCTTTCGTTTTTTTTCCATCCAGGAAATTGTATGCGCCTTTGATTAATGTACAATTTCCGAAAGATTCTTCATTTCCATTGTTGTTTTCCACATTCTTCCCATGACTATTTTGCTAATCGGATTGATTACTAACTTTCTATCGTTATTTATTTACTTTCTCTGACTCTGTCATCTTTCTGGAGCAAAAACAACATTGCAAATAAATAATATTATTATTTTCATTATTAATACTGTCCTCCTAGTCAGCTGGGTCCTCTTTGCTGTTCCCCCCGACGAAAATCCACATCATTTTGTGAACAAATATTGAAATAAAATTTCTGTTTCTGCCACAAAAATCAATCTATTCAAAAAAAGGAACGGGGCTATTGTGTGAATTCATGTGAATTTTTCCCAACACACATTTTTGGCTATTTCTTGGCAAAATGGCATCGGCGAAATGGAAACGATGGATTTTCAAAATGTCGAGGAGTCAGGAAAGTTGGTGGTTACATTTTTCGAATTTGAACTTGGGTTTGGTCAGCTCTAGGCAGAGTCGGATCTTGGCTAGGCCTAGGTTTTTGGCTAAGCCTAGATCTTTGGCTAAGCCTAAAGGTTCTGGTCAGGTATAAGCCCAGATCTTGGCTAGGCCTGAATTTTCAGTCAAGCCTAGATTTATGGCTAAGCCTAAGATCTCTGGTCAGGTATAAGCCTAGATTTTTTTTTACTGAGCCTGAATTTTCAGTCAAGCCTAGATTTTAGACTAAGCCTAGCTTCAAGGTTAGACTCAAGCCTATGTTTAGGCCTTGACCTAAGCCTATAACGAACTCTGAAGCCCTTTATCGTTTGCCTAAACCTAAAGTAGGTTAAGCCTTGGAACTAGCCTTGTTCCAATCCTAAGGTTTACCCAAAACTCTAAGCCTAAGCTTGAAATCAGGCTTAATAAGCGCAAGCCTAGACCCAACCTTAGAGGTAGGCCTAACTTTAAGCCTAGCTTCAACCTTAAGCCTAGGGCTAAACCTGAGCTCCAGCCTTAGTTATCCGAAATTTTCTGGTATTCCACGTGGCACATTTTTCCAACATTTTTGCACTTGAACACCTGTGGATTCTCAATTTTTCCCAGCTGGGGGTTTTTTTCTGTTGATCAAAATAAGTTTGCCCAAAAACACACAAAGAGCATTTTTCATATTTTTTGACAGTCAAGGCTCAAATTGCACAAACATGTCACCCTGGCTTTTCATCTGGTATTGTTTTTTTTTTCGCGCACTTTCTCCTCTTTTTCTCCGCTTCTCCTCAATTCATTTCGTGCTCTTCCTATTCTTTTTTTATTTGTCTTCATCTCTTTCTCTCTCTCTCGGCATACCTTACAATACTTTTTGGTCATTTTTGCCGCAAACTTTTCACTTCAACTTTTTGTTTAGTATTCCTATACTTATTATTATTATAATAGGCATCTATTTGGCATAATTTAAAAGACCTGGTTTTTTAATCGCATTTCTGTGTCGAGAATTTTTGGAGAGGATTAGTATTGTTTTTGACAGTGAATTTAAAAAATTGTGGCTGTGGTTGGGTGAGTTTTTGATGGAATTTTTGGGAATTTTTGCGAAATTTGGGATTTCTTATCAAATTTTGCATTTTTGTTATCAGTTTGTTTTTAGTGTTCAAATATTTTTTTGAACGCCAAGTATTTATTTTTTGTTAGAACATTTTATGGTTTCACGGAAATTTTAGAAGTTGTAGATGTAGTTCCTAATTTAGGATGATTTATCCGAACTTGTTCTAGAGGTTCACAAATTTCGGAATATTTCTGATGAATCTGAAAAGTTAGACAATTTTTACTTTGGTTCGATTTACACGTCCTACAAATCTTATTCGAATTATCGGGCCTGGTCCAATTCGTGTGGCGGCCCGATTCAGAAATTTGGTGCAAGAATAGATTTTTCTGAATTTCCTACCAGATATCTGAGATTGAACAATTTTGGGTTCATCCTTCAAATTATGAAACGTTTTCAGATGTTTTTTTTTGGTTTTTTTGGAGTTTTTTTTGGGGTATCTGGAAATTTTTTGTTCTGGAGTAAAAATTCCACGTGGCAAATTTCTTAGTGTGAAAAATCCACGTTGCAAATTCAAAATTTTTAGAATTTCAGGAGTTATAAAATTCCACGTGGCAAGTTGTTCTTTAACATTTTCTAGAATTTTTGGAGTTAAAAATTCCACGTGGCAATTTTTGGCTCGAAAAATCCTCGTGGAAAATTGTTTTCTTCAAAATTTCAGCAGAAAATCCATGTGGCAATTTTTTCCCGATCGAAAAATTTCCCGGTTTTTGTAGTCAGAAAGAAATTGATAACATTTAGAAATTACCAAATTTCAAAAATTTCTAGAATTTTTGGTACAAAAATAGAAATTTCTGAATTTTCTAAATTTTGTCAAAGCTGTCTTCTAGTTGTCTCTGAAAATGTTTTTTTTTTCGTAATTTTGAATTTTGTCAAGTCAATGTTCATTCTCCCGAATTATGAGATGTTTTTAGTGGTCTTCAGATTTTCATCAGTTTTTTGGAATGGCTGAAAATTTTTGTCTAGATTCTAGTTTTCTCTGAAATTTTCACCATCTATTTCTGTGAAGTCTTGATTCTCCGATGTTACTTTGATCTTCTTCTCCTTCTTCATTGTCACCTTTAGTTCTATTCCTCGTTTTCTTTGACCCTGAGGCGTCAGGCAGAAAAATCAATATGTATTTATTTACCGGTAAAACTTTTGTGCAAACACATTTCTCATTTTGTTGAATGTTGATGTTCCTCCCTCCCAGTTTTTGAACACAAAAATTTCGATCGATTTTTTATGCTTCAACATTTCTTCCTGACTCATTTTTCTGTGTTTTTGCAACAATAGAAATTTTCGAATTTTTTCCGAACATATTAGTTTTTGTATGAAGAAAAACAGGTTTCCTCCTGGCTGGTCGCGCATTTTCCTTTTATTTTTCATCTTTTTTCTCTCTTCCCCTTTTTTCTCACTAAATTTTCATATGTTTTTTTTTCGTTGAGACAGAAATTTTGACAATTGTTTTGTTGCCCAGGAGATCATGCTTTTGATTTTTTTCATTGTTGCGAAATTTTTCTTTGTCAACTTGGAATTTTTTCGTGAGCTTTATTGAGAAAATTCGTTTTTTTCCGTAGAATTTCATCCATTTTTTCGAATTTCGTAACTTTTACTCCTCTTGACCTTCAGTTTTTTTGTCGTCAGCCACAATTTCGACGACGCGACGGCGACGTGTGCGACGTCGCGACTCGCACAACGATGCGTCGCTACGTCGCCAACTCGTTCATCGCAACAAGTTGGCGCGTAAACGTTTCGAGATTCTTGAGAAGTGGGCCGCGAGCTCTTCGGCATGTTCGCCATTGCAAAATGCGGATTTGTGTATGTTGCAGGGGGATTCGGAGAGGAGTTAGGCTAAGTCTGGAGGTTTTGAGCTTGGAAGGACTGTGTTAACATGGATCTTTGGTTTCAGAATTTTCTGGGAATCTGAATTTGAATTTGAAATTGTTCAAAAATTTTGGGATCTTATAATTTCTGATTTATCGAAATTTCGAATTCAGAAAATTCAGAATCTCTATTGCCACGTGGATTTTTGAAGCCTAGAATCTGAATTTCTGAATTTTTATTGCCACGTGGATTTTTGGCGACCAAAATTCGAAAAATCGAAAAAATTGCATTTTAAAATTGTTTGGCAGAGAAAATCTGAAATTTGAATTTTTACAAATTTTTTTTCTGAAAATTTTTTTGCGCTCGCTAAAAATCCACGTGGCATTGTTTTGAAGCGAAAAATCAGAAATTCTGAATTTTTCTAAAAATGAGAATTTTTTTATTTTTTTTTATTGCCACGTGGATTTTCTGGATTCAGATCTAATTCTTCAGAATTTTCGTTGCCACGTGGATTTTTGAAGCCTAGAATCTGAATTTCTGAATTTTTATTGCCACGTGGATTTTTGGCTACCAAAATTCAAAAATCGAAAAAATTGCATTTCAAAATTTTCAGCACCAAAAATCCACGTGGCATTGTTTTGGAGCGAAAACTCTGAAATTTTGAATTTTTATTGCCACGTGGATTTTCTGAATTCAGATCTAATTTTCAAAAAAATGGAAAATTCTTTGGAAAGTTTCTAGGCCATTAAAATAATTTTTAAGAAATCAAAATAAAATCAACAAAAAATTTAAAAACCAAAAAAATATATAAATAAATAAGGTCTAGATCCAGAATTCAACTCTCTTAATTTTGCAGATGTAATATCGGGTCTCTCGCTTCATTCAGTCGACGTTGATGAAATCCCAGATGCAATTCCACCAATGATGAATGGCACATCAGGAATACAATCACAAACAAGATCGGATAGCATCACAACATCCAACACAACATATTCAAATCGCCGAAAATCAGTCGGAAGTTCGTGCTCATCGGCAGCCGGTGAGACTGATTCGATCGCAAGTTCGCAGCCACGAATTGCAAGTGGACCAACATCTGATGAGATACATTTGATTGATGGAATTACGGCTGGAAGAGCTGCTGCTCTCGCATCGATTATTCGAATTATTTGCTCGAAATCGAGTAGTGAGAAGATACCAAATGCACAGTTGGCCAATTTTTATGCCACCGTTTTTCAGACACTTGTTGAGGTGAGTGGGGGGGGGGGGCTAACTAGAGTCTAGGTAAATCCTAACTAAACAGTAGTCAGGTTTTTAGACCCTGGGATTCTAGATCGGGGGAAAACCCCGGAAAATTTAATTTTAGGTTTTGAATAAGCTCTCTTTACGATTTAGGATGAAATTTAGAAGTTTTAAGTTCCAGACCCTAAATTATGGGCTTTTTTTTTGGACCTGGCGGATTTCCCATGTAAAAATTAGAGCTTCTAGATTTTTAAGGGCTTTTTTTGGTTTGGGATCTTTAATTTTAGAATTTGAATAAGTTCCCCTTAAAACCCCCCTTAAGATTTAGGATGAAATTTAGAAGTTTTAACTAGACTCTAGTTAGAATTTTAAATAACCCCTAGTTCATTGAAAAAAGATTTTTGGTGGGCTTTTTAAGGTTTTGAATAAGCTCTCCTTGAGATTAAATTTGACCAATTTTCAAAAATAATTTGCACAGGGGTTTTATTACTACCGAGAATTAATCACGTACGAAAACATTTTATCTGACGACAAAAAACCTCCGCAAACAGCGCGCTACGTGGCCGACAAAAAAACAATAGCGTGTGGCCGGCCTCGCGAGATGTCGGTCGCTGCAAACACACATATAGCCCGACTTTTTTCTTTTTATTTGTGTGTCTTTTGAGCCAAAGGGTTTTCAATTTTCTTTTTGAAAATCTGAAAACCTAAGCTCCGCCCACATGTCTGTGCGGAAAAAGATGGGCGGAGCCTAGTTGCTCGATTACAATTTTGCATTGACTCGGTAGTGAAAAAACCCCTGTGATTTGCAAAGGGTTCAAGATAAATTTTGAAAAATAATTTTCAAAACATAGTTTTTCAAAAAATAATTTGCGAAGAATTCAAAAAAAATTTTAACAAAAAAAATGAATTTTCAAAAAATACCCAATTTTTTACAGAAAGACCGTGTGATGTTATGCACCCTATTTTATTATGGCCGCAATCTCTTCCGTCTCGGCCTTCCCGGCATCGAAAGTCTTCTCCCACACTTTCTCTTCGCCCTCGATATTGTCATGATCGAAAGTTCCAAGCTCAGACTACACCCATCGATTCCTGAAGTTGAAATCAGAAGGGCGTGCTTAAGAGCACTCTCATCGGTGATTTGTTGGCCAACGACGTTTGGAATGAGCAAAATACCGCAAATCGCCGAAGCTGCTGGCCTCAAATCCAACGCTGCCACCTATTTACACCTGAGATCGCGGATTTTTAAAACGCTAATGTTTAGCGTGCGAAATGAGACGGATCCGACGAATTTGCACATTTCTCTGGCTCTTTGCGCGGTTTTGGTTGAAGAGAGTTGCCAATTTGATTTGGGATTGAATGAGGAGCAGACGAAAGAGATGATTCGGATATCGACGACTGCGAGTTCGTCAGGCCAACCGGAAAAAGGCCTCTGCGCATCGATTGTTAGAGGAGTCCTATCGGCGATTTGTGATAAATTGGGAAGGATTGAGACGATTGATCATTCGACAGCCTTGGCTATTATTGATGTTCTTAATTGTATTTCGCATGTTAATCATACGGTGCTTTTTAATAATAGTGAGTTTTTAGGGGAGTTGGAAATTTGTAAAAATATGATGAAAAGTCCAATTTCCCAGCCTAAAATCTAGGGAATTTTTCCGAAAAGTTCCTGAATTCTGAAGAATTTTTCCCGGAAAAATTACGTTTCGAAAATTTCTCATAATTTTGAATGGTGAAAATTGGAACGTTTCAGCTAAAGAAATTTTGATTTCAAATTTCAGAAGAAAATGTAATTCTGGAAAAGTTTTGGATTCTGGCTAAATCATAATTTCCAGCCTAAAATCTAGGAGCTTTTTAGGAAAAAAACAAATCCTGAAAAATTTCTCCCGGAAAAATTACGTTTTGAAAATTTTTCATAATTTTAATGGTGAAGTTTTGAAATGTTTGAAATTGAATTTAATTTATGAAAATCTGAAATGAAATTTTGATTTCAAATTTCAGAAGAAAATGTGATTCACAATTTCCAGCCCAAAATCCAGCCTAAAGCTTTCCAGGAAAAAACAAATCCTGAAGAATTTTTTCCCAGAAGATTTAGGTTTTGAACATTTTTCATAATTTTGAACAATGTTTTTGAACTCTAGTGAGTTGCATAAATTGATTTCAGGATAAGCTGGAATGAAATTTTGTTCTCAAATTTCAGCAGAAAATGTGCTAAAGCCTAATTTCCAGCCTAAAATGGGTTTTTTTCAGAAAAAAAATCAAAAGAATTTTTTCCCGGAAAAATTACGTTTTGAAAATTTTTATTATTTTGAATGGTGAAAATTTGAAACGTTAGAGCAGAAATTTTCTTTTTGAGAAGCTGGAATGAAATTTTGATTTCAAATTTCAGTAGAAAATGTGATTCTAGAGAAGTTTTAGATTATGGCTACAGCATAATTTCCAGCCTAAATTCTGGGGCTTTTGAGAGAAAAAATAGTGCTAGAATTTTTTCCCGGGAAATTTACGTTTTGAAAGTTTTTTATAATTTTGAATGGTGATAATTGAAACGTTTAAGAATAAATTGACATTTTGAAAATCTGTTATGAAATTTTGATTTCAAATTTCAGAAGGAAAGTTCCTGAAATTTTTAATTTTAGACTTAACTTCAAAATTTTTAAGCAAAAAATCTAAAAAGCTATCGAGAGATTCTGAAAATTTGAGAACCAAAACAAAATTTGTGAAAAATCAGGAATTTTTTCCCCGGAAGTCTAGGAAATTTTTCTGAAGCCACTAAAATTCTGAAACTTCTGAACCCCTCTCAGCTAAACAATAATTTATTTATCGTTTTCAGTGGATGTTTCAACTGGAACCCTCGTCATAGCCTCAATGTGCCGCTTCATCGAACAGCAACTCTCCAAACCGCCACCACAACACTCGAAAGATCTCCACTCGACAGTTGTTGCCGCATTCAACGCTGTCGCCGTTTGGCTAACAGCTTCGCCACTTTTAGCCGAATGTGTTGGTGTCCTTGGAATGGTGTGTGACGTCATTCAACTGGGAGTGACCGGACACAAAAGTTTGGCAAATGAATCGATGATGGTTTCCAAGGGAAATGCGATTCAACATAAACCAGCGAGTCAACGGGTTTTGGAGGCGGCTGAAGCATTGATGTATACCTTGTTTTGTGTGGTGGGCCGTCAACCGGGTCCACTTCGAGACGAGCGCCGCCTTCTGCATCGCTACGGTCCTTCGCTCATCGATACCACCAAGTTTTTGCATGTTCTCGTCAATGGTGACACGCTTTTGTCACTTCACGAAGCGTCGCATATTCAGGAAATGAATTCGGGTGAGTTGAGATGGTTTTTTGACAGGGATTTGGATTCTGAAAAGTTGTTTGAACATTTTTTTCAAAAAAAAAAAAATTGTCCAGAGATTTTTTGAATTTAATTTTGAGTCATAAAATCATAAATTTAATTTTGAATCAAACTTTTTTTGAAAATTCAATTCTAATTTAAAAAAATTTCAATTATGAAATTCTGGTTTTTTTTTGAAGTTTATGAAAAATAAATCCAAAAATTTCCCAAATTTAAAATTTTTTGAAAATTAAATACAATTTGATTTTTTTTCGAAAAAATATGAATTCAGAAGTTCCAGAGCTGAAATTCTCCGGTTTCTAAATTGTTTTGAAAATTAATTACAGATGGATTTTTTTCTGAAAATTTCTGAATTTCATGAATTCAAAGTTTTTTTTTGTTGAAAAAATATGAATTCAGAAGTTCAGAGCTGAAATTCCTGGTTCCAAAAATTTAAAAGAAAATAATTTAATCTTCCAAAATTCCACTATTTAAATTTTTTTTTTGAAAATTAATTACAGTTAGATTTTTTTCTGAAAAATATGAATTTAGAAGTTCAGCGCTGAAATTCCTGATTCCAAAATTTTTTTCCTACAGACAGTGCCGCCGTTGTCTACGTCCGCCGCTCACCAATGCAATCGGCCAACACTGGCCTGGCCCGTCTCAGGCCACGCCCATCTTCAAGCTTCGAAACCGGCGCCGAACTTGTTGCACCACCGATCACACCAATGAGTGCAATGTCGCAAGATGGTGGATTTGCGGATGGTAAGTTGATTTTTGGGGGGTTTTTTTGGGCCCGGTCCGGGCCGGTCCGGCCCGATTCAAAATTAACCATTTTTGTGTTGTGCATGTGTCCTGTGTGATTTTTTAGCTGCTGGAAAATTATCCACGTGTTCAATGGATAGTGGAGGAAAAATTTCGACGGCTTCCAAAGGTTTGTCTCAATTTTTTCCCTCACCAGCAGCTCACATGTCCCTTTAACCTACAGTAACCACACGCACCGCACCGCCTGCACTTTTTCCCACGTCGTCAAGTTCGTCTAACTCGATGATTATACCCACCGGCTCGATTTTGTCCGGAATTCCAGCTAACAAGAAATCTGGAGCATTTTTTGATGAGGAAGAAGAATATGAGCAAGAAGAGGAGCAGGAGGAGGATTCTGATGGTTTGTTGTTTTTTTGTTGTGTTCACCGTGTGGTTTTTTGTGAGCTAACCTGAGTTTTTTTTTGCGGGACTTACAGTAACCCTGGACGGATTTTGGGCGCTGAGTTTGAATTTTTTGTAAGAAAATTTTTACTGTTTCAAAATTAAATTCAAAAATTTTGAAGAAAATTTTTCCACTGTTTCAAAATTTGGTTTAAAATTTTTGAAGAAAAAATATTTTTGATACGATTTTTTGCTGTTTCAACATTTTATGAAAAATTCAGTTTAAAAATTTTTTTCAAAAATTTTGAGGAAAATTTTTCACTGTTTCAAAATTAAGTTTAAAAATTTTTGAAGAAAAAATATTTTTGATCCGACGTTTTCAATTATTAAAAATTTTTTATAAGAAATTCAGTTTAAAATTTTTTTTCAAAAATTTTGAGGAAAATTTTTCACTGTTTCAAAATTTAATGAAAAAAATTGTAACAAAAATTTTTTGATCCGATTTTTTTCAATTATTTAAAATTTTGAAGAATTTGAAGAAAAGAATTCATATTTTATCTTCTCATTTTTCAAAAAAAAACTTGATTATTTTTTCACTGTTTCAAAATTTTATGAAAAAAAAAAAGTTTAACAAGAACTATCTGATACGTTGAAAAATTCCTGGTGAAAAACCCAACAAAAACACATTTTGAGCATTTTTCTTCAGAGCTCCTGGAAATACAGTAATCTGAGTTTTTGAGGCCTAAAAATACGGTAAATTTGGATTTTTGTGGGCCCTACAGTAACCCAGGAATTTTAAGCTATCTAGGATTTTTGCCACTAAATTCAAAATTTTCCAAGATTTTTAAGAGCTCCTGAAATTACTGAGTTTGCCCTAAAAATATGGTAAATTTAGATTTTTCTGGGCCCTACAGTAACCCAAATAACCCACCAATTTTTTTGCAGTTCCAAATACTCCGCCAGCTCGTGTTGCACCTCAAAAATCAATTGGTGAACAATTTGTGATCCCCGCTGATTTCTACAAAAACACTTGTAAATTAGACGGAGCATTCCGAAATTTGGAATCAACGTCTGAAACTGAAGCGATTGCCGAAGAAATGAAATTGGCGAATTTGGAACAAGAAGGAAAGCGGCGAACGTTTTTCGATGAAGCGAGAAGATTGAGTGTTTTTGAGAAAATGACATTGGAAGAGAGAAGAGCGAAACCAATTGAATCCAGCCAGAAATGCAACTCATTGAGAGTTATGTTGTATGATTTTGGATTGATTGATGAAAGTATTTTTGGAAGTGAAATTGTTGTGTTGGATAGTGGGCAAAGGTGGGGGATTTTTGGAGGTTTGGGAGGGTTTTGGGGTGAAAATTTGGCGAAAATTGAATTTTTAACTGGAAGCTTCTAATTTTGTGAAATTTCCAGCTTTACAGCCTAAAATTTCAAATATTGAATTTTTTACCTGAAATTTGACAAAAAATCAGGATTTCGGTGAAAATTTGATGTTTCAAATGTTATTTTGAACTGGAAAATATCAGAAAAAAAATTGAAACTAAATTTTTTCACTAAAAGTTGCTTGAAAATTTTTGGAATTTTAAAGTTTAAATTTCTTCATTGAAATTCAGGATTTTTATATGAAAATGTAAATTCTAGGATCGAAATTTGACGAAAAAATTGATTTTTTATGTAATTTTGAACTGGAAGCTTCTAATTTTGTGAAATTTCCAGCTTTACAGCCTAAAATTTTAAAATTTGAATTTTTTACCTGAAATTTGACAAAAAATCAGAATTTTCAGTGAAAATGTGATGTTTCAAATGGATTTTGAATTGAAAAATATCAGAAAAACATTGCAAATTAATTTTTTCAAGTGAAAATTAGAGATTCAAATTTTTTTAAATTCATATTTAAATTCAAATTTTCGCCACCTAAAGTTCAAGATTTTCAACTTTTTTTTCCCTTGCTAAATTTTGAAATGTTTTCAGCATGAAATTTGACGAAAAATTAATATTTTCAGGCGAAAAAACTCGTGAAAACTGAAAATTTAAATTTTATCTGAAAATTGAGGATTTTTATATAAAATTGTGTCCACAAATCAAGCTGAAAAACATGTTTCTCTCTGAGATTTCTGAAATTTCTGAAAATCACCTGAAATTTGCCAAAAATTATATTTTTTCAGACAAAAAAATCTGATTTTCTCAATGTAAATTTGAACTAAAATCAATTTTTTTATCAGAAAAAATCGGATTTTTGACTGGAAATTTGACTGAAATTCTGGGTTTCTAGTTCGAAATTTGTGAAATCTGAAAATTGAAAAAAAAATCTGATTTTCTCAATGTAAATAAAATGTTTTTAATATCAGAAAAAATTTAAAAAATTTCTAAAATTTTAACCAAAAACACCTTCAGCTCTGAATTCAAATTTTCTCAAAATTTTTCCCAAATTTCAATCCTTCATTTTTCTACAGCGACAAATTCTATCGAGATCTCCACGAAACCGTCGATTGTACTCCAGCTCGTTATCATCAAACCGCTCACATTTTCTACGTCAAAGAAGGTCAACGAAACGCTGTGGATATTTTAGAAAATGCGCTGAATGTTCAAAACACTTGCGCTGATTTTTGCCAATTTTTGGCGAATTTGGGAGAAGGTGTTGAGATTGGTGTGCATGACACGTGGACTGGACATTGGTCGACTGCGTTTTCGCAAGAGAGAAGTGAGTGATTTTTGGTTGAAGCATTGCTCATGTTAAATTCTGATTTCTGGCCGAAAATTTGAAATTATCACTTTAAAAAATTTGACCATAAAGTTTCACTGTTTCAAAATTTTTCAAAAAAAAAATTGGAAAATTCAATTTCGGTTAATCAAATTTTCTAAAAAAAAATTACTTATGTTAAAATTATCCGAAAATCAAGATTTGCGGCCGAAAATTTGAAATTCTCACTTAAATAGTTCCAGAAAATTTCACTGTTTCAAAGTTTTCTCAAAAAAAAAATTTGAAAATTTAATTTTGGTCAACCATATTTTTTCAAATGAAAAATATATGAAACAGAGAATTTTTCTAAAACATTACTCATGTTAAATTCTGATTTCTGGCCCAAAATTTGAAATTATCACTTTAAAAAATTGGACCATAAAATTTCACTGTTTCAAAATTTTATCAAAAAAAAAATTTGGAAAATTTAATTTTGGTCAACCATATTTTTTAATGGAATACTTATTTCAAATAGAGAATTTTCAAAAACATTACTCATGTTAAAATTATTATGATTTCTGGCCGAAAATTATCAAATTATCACTGTAAAAAATTTGACCATAAAATTTCACTGTTTCAAAATTTTTTGAAAAAAAACAATTGGAAAATTTAATTTCGGTTGTATAACATAATAATAACATAATATAATAATAAACCGAAATTTCATTTAGAAATATTTGAAGCAGTAAATTTTCAAAAACATTACTCGAAGTTAAAATAATTCTAATTTTTGGCCAAAAATAGCAAATTATTACTTTATGGGGCTATTCAAGTTTTATTATTACTTTATGGGGCAATTTTCTCAACGCTGAGAAAAGCGAAGAAAACCTATTCAGGTAGGCTGAGAAAATACGATGTTAAAAAGTGAAGAAAATGCATTTTCTCCGCATTTCTCCTGTTTTCTCAGCGTGTTGAGAAAATACTTGAATAGCCCCATTAAAAAATTTGACCATAAAATTTCACTGTTTCAAAGTTTTATCAAAAAAAAATTGTAAAATTTTATTTCGGTCATCCATATTTTTTGATGATGAAAAATATTTGAAACAGAGAAATTTTTAAAACATTACTCATGTTAAATTCTGATTTTTGGCCGAAAATTATCAATTTATCACTTTTAAAAATTTGACCATAAAATTTCACTGTTTCAAAATTTTTCTCAAAAAAAAATTGGAAAATTATTTCAGATAATCAAATTTTCTAAAAAAAAAAATTACTCATGTTAAAATTATCCGAAAATCAAGATTTTTTCAAAAAAACAATTTTGTTTCATAAAATTTCACTGTTTCAAAATTTTCTGGAAAATGTTTTTTTTCCATCAAACATAAGCCCAAATAGGCGCGCAGTCTTGAAGCCAAAATATAATTTCCAATAAATTTCACGACATTTCAGCAGCTGAAATTCAGCTCATCAATTTGATCATTTTCCAGAACCCCAACGCGAATCCGACGCCGTAGATCACTACATTTTCGACGGAATTCAACACGCTCTATGGTGGTCAATGGCCAACAGCGAATTAGCCTTTTTAATGCCAACCGAACGAAGTGTTCGAATGTTCAAACAATCAATAACATCACCAGCAAGTAGTTCGAGAAGGGGTTCGAATAATAATAGATCAATGAATTCCACAACTTCAGATGAACGATCTTTTGACAGTTCAACGGATTATTTGAATGTGCGGAAAGGCGAAAAATCGCCGAGCAATCTTTCGGATCGCGATTTTGTTCGACCTTATGCTGGAGGCGGATCTTCGATGGGTGGAGCTCATATTGGAAGAAGAACAACTGCGTTGAGAATTATGTTGGTGTGGTTGGAAAGAGCTGAAGATATGGCAACTTTTCCGATTTTTGAATTACTTGGAGCTTGTGATGATGGAAGTGAGCATCTTCAACAAAGCTCAGCTCAACAGAAAGACACCTCACAAATCGCGCATCAAATCTTATTCATTCATTCAATCGAGCCGGGAATTGTGCAAATTCGCACTCGCGGCACGGCCAATCGTTTCGGTGAGCCCGGCCCATTGGTGGATGGTGTCGTCGTCTCAGCTGCCAATCTACCGCGATTCACTCGCTCCACAATTCTCAATTCGTCGCGTCGCGATGTCGCCGAAATTGAGCAATATCAATTTCCGCATATTCGCCGAAAGGCGGCGATTTGCGAATTTGCGAAACGATATGCAAAGCGGGAGAGTTTTGAGAGTTGGCTGGTGAATTTGATGCAGCAGGAAAATTAGTGTGTATATATATTTTTTGTTATTTTTTCTATTTTGTTATTTATTGGGTGTGCCTTTCTGTGTGAATAATTTACGGAGATCTTTAATGAATTTTACGAGCCTTCAGAGGAAAATTTCATAAATTTTTACAGACAAAACAAATAAATAGGGGAATCTTACAGGATTTCGCGAAAACACAACAAAAAAATCAAATCAATTCGAAACCGGCACCTGAATTAATTGCATATCTCAGCTTTTCCTCCAATTTTTCGCGTGTTTGATATTTTGGGAGTTTGAGCATGTTCATACACGTGGCGCTTGTTGGCAATAGATGCTCTTCGTTGATCTGCAAAATTAGAGATTTCCAAATTGCCACGTCACAGTTCAAATTTTGAGAAAACATTGAATTTTTTATTTTTTTTGAAAATTTTCCTAAACTGCCAGGTCACCAGAATCAATTTTAAAAATTCGAAAAAAACGAAAACTTAGATTTTCTAATTTTTTTTGAAAAATTTCACTAATTTTATCACTAATCGAGTTATCGTAACTTTCAAGCTAAATTTCAGAAATATTTGAGAAACATTTCTAAATTGCCACGTCACAGTTCAAATTTTGAGAAAAAACTGAATTTTCTAAATTTTTTTTGAAAATTTCCTAACTGCCACGTCATCAATTTTTAAAATTCAGAAAACTTTTGAATTTTCTAATTTTTTTTTGAAAATTTTTCTAAATTGCCACGTCACAGTTCAAATTTTGAGAGAAAACTGAATTTTCGAATATTTTTTTGAAAATTTATCTAAATTGCCACGTCACCAGAATCAATTTTAAAAATTCAAAAAAAATCGAAAACTTTTGAATTTTCAAAATTTTCCTGGAGTTATCGTAATTTTTAAGTTAAATTTCAAATTTCCCTGAAATGCCACGTTTTCAACTGAATTCTGGAATTGCGGAGTGTCGTTTGGGATTTTTAGAAAAATACAAAAATTTCAAAATGAGGAATTGCGGCAAAAAAAACCTCTACGTGTCAATGCGGAGTGTCGTTCGGGATTTGTCGAGAAAAAACCGTCACTAAGCTCACTAAGCGAGTTATTGTAACTTAAAGCTAAATTTCAGAAGAATTTGTGAAACATTTCTAAATTGCCACGTCACAGTTCAAATTTTGAGAAAAACATTGATTCTGGTGACGTGGCACTGAAGTTTAGCCTGAGAGTTACGATAATTCGATCAATGATATATATCTGGCGGGTAGTGCGTGGCGCCATGTTTTTCATGGAAAGTGGGCGGGGCTTGCGCTTTTTGAACTGTTTTTTCGAATTTCTCCCGTTTTTTGATGAAAATGATATTGGAAATGTGTTTTTGGGCAAGTTTGAAAGATATTCATTGTGTTTCGAAATACACCTAGTGCTAGATGAAGGTGATTTGTCTGAGAATTTGGTAAAAACAACAATAAATCGATGAAATTCTCTAAACGTAGCCCAAAATTAGCAAAAAAGCTTTTTTATGGTCGATTTGAAAGTGAGAAGTAGGAAATTACATGCATCTAACAATTCTAGAGTTCAATCAGACGTCCAGAGATTCCTAAACTTCAGACTCATTTTTGACTAATAACAAGCCTATAACACGAAGCATTTTTGAACTGAAAATGAAATTTTCAAAAATGATTTATATCAAGTAAAACTGTTGAAAATGGCAACTTGATGTCCAAAAACATGATACAATTCATCAAAAATATTTGTTTCACTAGTTCTAGAAATGTCACAGAATTTATAGGTATAAAATAAGTGAAAAATAAGCAATAAGTCTATTATAGGCTAATAATAAGCTTATCTGTAATTGCCTGTGATAGGAAAAATGACAAAAAACTGAATTTTCAATATTTTTCCTGAGAACATTCCTAATTTACCACGTCACCAGACTCAATTTTTAAAATTCAGAAAACTTTTTTCGAAATTTCCTAATTGCCACATCATCAAACCCCCAAATCCTCACCAATAAAATGCCCAACGGCGGGAAAATCTCCTTGAATCCCTCAATGGGTGGTCTCGAGCATCCGGTCATAAATTTCAAAAGAGCAGTTTTATCATCAGCTGATAGATTGTGAACAACATCCCAGAATAGATGAATATATTGTTGATCGGTTTGATCGCGGATATTGGTGCACATACAGTGTTTTCGCATCTCATCGACATCGAACACCGTTTCGATTCCAGCGATCAGGGTCTGAAAAACTTGAAAATTTCAGAAATAGTCCAATTTTCAGCTCAAATTTCAGAATTTTCAGTAAATTTTGAAAAAAAAATCAGAAATATCTTATTTTTCGGTTAACTTCGGATCATCAGACCAAAATTTAGATAATAAATTTAAAAATTTAAACCACGTGGCAAAAATACCCAGTTTTGTGCTCAAAAATTCAGAAAAATATTTTCAAGAAAATTTTCGGGTTTTAGAAAAAATGCAACATGGAATTTCAGATTCAAAAAATTTCCACGTGGATTTTCAGGTTTCAAAATTAGGAAAAAAAAGTTTTTTGACATTTTCTGAATCGAAATTTTTTGTGGAAAATGTTTTTTTTTCGACTTGAAAATATTGAAAAAAAAACTTGAAATTTGATTTTTTTTTCTTCATAATCTACTGAAAATTCTGAATTTTTGAGCTTGCAAATTGGACTATTTTTGGGTTGAAATTTTTAAATTTCTTTTCTGAATTTTAGTCTGATCCGAAATAATCCGAAAAAAGATATTTCTGATTTTGTTCTTCAAAATTTACGAAAAATTTTGAATTTTTGAGCTTGCAAATTTTGGAATTTTGTTTAATTTTAGAAAAAAAAAATATTTTTCAATTAAAAAAAAATTTCCAGTATCTTTAAGACCCTAAAAACTTAATTTCAGAGCCCTAAAATCATGATTTTACGGACCTTCGAACTAGGCCCGCTTAAATTTATTATCTGAAATTTATCTGAAGTCTGATGATCCGAAATTATCCGAAAAATAAGAAATTTCTGATTTTTTCTTCAAAATCTACTGAAAATTCTAGATTTTCATCTGAAAATTGGGTATTTTTGTTTAAAATTGGGTCATTTCTGAATCAGTCCCAAGCCCACTAGGTCCCCTTAGGCCCGGCCCAACAAAAAATCCCACCAACCTGAATCTCATTCACCGAAAACATCGACAACCATTCAATATTCACCACTTCACTAATCCCTTTTCTCATCGCATTTACCATTGGAGCGAATTTGAGTCTCAGATGATAATTGACATAAAGTCGAACGTATTCTTGAACATTTTCCTGATTTACTCGAATATTTGAGCCATTTGCTTTCAGATTTATTTTCTGAAAATTTGAGAAAAATACAGTAACCCAGGACTACTGTAGCTGAAGTTTGAAGGTTACCTTGATCTCATCAAATTCATCTGTGACAACACTGAAATCCAGCTGTAGATCATCCAATTCCTGATTCGAAAATTCGGTCAAACTTCGGAGATGTCTGAAATTTTCGATTTTTCGTGCTGAAAATGCTGAAAATTCCAGATTTTCGGCTAAATCATCAAATTTTTGGCTGAAAATGTTTCCTGAGCTCATTTTTCGTGCTGAAAATGCTGAAAATCCAAAAAATTGTAGAAAATTTCATCTAAGCCTATTTTTCGTCCTGAAAATGCTGAAAATCTTAATTTCCAGCTAAATCATCAAATTTTTGGCTGAAAAGGTTTCCTGAGCCCATTTTTCGTGCTGAAAACGCTGAAACCCCGAATTTTCAGCAAAATGATCAAATTTTCGGCTGAAAAGGTTTCCTGAGCTCATTTTTCGTGCTGAAAACGCTGAAAATCCTAATTGCCAGCTAAATCATCGATATTTTTGACTGAAAAACGTTTCCTGAGCTCATTTTTCGTGCTGAAAATGCTGAAAATCATAATTTCCAGCTAAATCCACAAATTTTTGGCTGAAAAAGTTTCCAGAGCTCATTTTCGTGCTGAAAATGCTGGAAATACTCATTTTTTGCTGAAAAGGTTCCCTGACCTCATTTTTCATGCTGAAAACGCTGGAAATCATCGTTTTCAGCAAATTTTCCCAAAAAAAGACCCACTTAAAAAGAATTGGATCAAAACTCTTCATATGCTGCAATTCTACATCATTATCCAATCTGCCGCTTCCGAAAAGTTGAGCCAGGAAAAATTCGGCGAATCGTAATTCAATCAATTGTTTTTCCTGGATCAATTTGGCCAACATTCGACCCAAAAATTGATAATGTCGATAATATTCCGAACCATAGACAACTATTGAAAGCGGATTTGGGTAGATTAATCTGAAATTAAAAAATTTTGGCTGAAATTTGGAGCACACGGGAAGTTTGGGAGCTCAAATTCTGAAATTTTAATTTTTTTAAGAAAAAAAACCTCAAAATTCTGCACAAATTGAGGTACAGTAACCCAGGAGTACTGTATTTTTGGCGCCAAAAAACTCACTGATTATGTGTGACTTGAAACAATCCCTTATTCACATCAAAACCCTCCTTCAAAACTTCGTTCAAAAATTCGCGAAAAATTCCGCCGCCATCCATTCCGGCCTCATTCTGGCCAGCCCAATTGATCATTTTGACGCGGATCGGGTCGCGGATATCCGGACGGTCTGCGGAAAAAAATGATTTTTGCCACATCATAAGTCAAATTTAGAGTTGAGCTAAGAAGTTCTCGATTTTTCAAATGAATAATCTTACTGAAAAAACATAGTTTCACTTTGGAATTGTGGAGTGTCGTTAGGGATTTTCCAAAAAAAATTCAAACTTTTGTTCAATCAATAAAAATCGCCAAGTGTCAATTCGGAGTGTCGTTTGGGATTTTTTATTTTGAAAAAAATTGGGAAAGAGATTTTTGCGAGAGATTTTAATTTATATACTGAAAAACCACGACAGAACGAACGGTTTTTAAATAAATATTAAAAAATTAAACATAATTTTTGAAACGTACATTTTTTTTGTTGAAAATTTTGAGATAAAAATCTTTCACGTGGAATTTTCGAATGAAAAAGGGTTTTTTTCTAAAAAATTTAAATTAATGTGGAAAAAAATTCAAAATTTTCTTCAATTAATAAAAATTGCCACGTGTCAATGCGAAGTGTCGTTTGGGAATTTTCAGAAAAAATTCTAAATTTTCTGCCTGAAAATGCTCAAAATTTCAAATTTTCAGCTCGAAATCGATCAAATTCTGAATTTTCGTGCTGGAAATGCTGAAAATCCCAATTTTCAGCAAAATCATCAAATTTTTGTCTGAAAAAGGTTTCCTGAGCTCATTTTTCGTGCTGAAAATGCTGAAAATCCTAATTTTCAGCAAAATCATCAAATTTTTAACTGAAAAGGTTTCCTGAGCTCATTTTTCGTGCTGAAAATGCTGAAAATCCTAAATTTCAGCTAAATCATCAAATGTTTGGTTGAAACGGTTTCCTGAGCTCATTTTTCGTGCTGAAAATGCTAAAAATCCTAATTTTCAGCTAAATAATCGAATTTTTGACTGAAAAGGTTTTCTGAGCTCATTTTTCGTGGCGAAAAGCCTAATTTCCAGCAAAATCTTCCTCACCTCCACCTCTTTCATTCACCAAACCCGGTGCCAACACATCAAACGCATCCTGATACAAATAATCGCGCCTTACAGTAATTCGATAACCGGGTGAATTCGGCTGAAAATCCATCATTTCTCCAATATTATTCTGTCGTCGATGAAAAGCCAACAATTTCGAGAAGATTTTGATGCGTTGCATAAAAGGAACAATGAATGGAATATTTCGCATGATACATAAATTACGGGCGGCGATTGGTGAGAGTTTTGGCGCGAGTTTTTCGAGATATTCCAGTGTGTTCATCATCGGAAGCTGAAGAAGATGAAGAAGAGGAATCAGAATCATAATCAGCCAATAATTGTTGAACAAATGTCGAATCTTCGCTGCAAAATTCGGAGGATTTTGTGAGAAAATTTCGAACACTTTCTGAAATTTTCTAGAATTTTTTTTGAAAATTTCTAGAATTTTTTTTGAAAATTTCTAGAATTTTCTGGCTGAAAATGCTCAAATTTTCATCTGAAAATTGATGAAAATCTGAATCTTCGCTGGAAAATTTGGGGATTTTGTGGATTTTTCACATTGAATTTGCTATTTTTTTCAAATTTTTCACAAATTTTTTGCCCAAAAATTCAAATTTGAGTGGAAAAAAACCTGAATTTTCTCAATTTTTCAAAAATTTCCAGACAAAAATTTGATGATTTAGCTGAAATTTAAGATTTTCAGCATTTTCAGCACGGAAAATGAGCTCAGGAAACCTTTACAGACAAAAATTTGATGATTTAGCTGAAAATTATGATTTTCAGCATTTTCAGCATGAAAAAAAGTAATCTCATGGGAAAAACTTCAAATTTTCTTAAAAAATCAAATTTTCATCTCAAAATTGTAAAAAATCGGAATTTGTGGGATTTTTCATCATTTTCAAATGTTTTTTTTACCAAAAATCAATTTTCTTCAAATTTTTAGCTCAAAATTGATCAAATTTTGAATTTTCGAGCTTCGAGCTGAAAATGCTCACATTCATTTTCATACCAAAATTTGACAAAAATCTCAAATTTGCATCTTCTGGATTCAAAAATCATAAATTTTCACAAATTTTCAGCCAAAAAATGGTCAGAATCTGAATTTTCGAACTGAAAATGACCAGAATCTCAATTTTCAGCAAAAAAATGCTCAGATTCGAATTTTCATACCAAAAATTTGACAAAAATCTCAAATTTTCATCTTCTAGGTTCAAAATTCATCAATTTTCACAAATTTTAACCCAAAACCTTCAAAAAACCGGTCAGAATCTCAATTTTCGTCCTGAAAATGGCCAAATTTATGAATTCTCTCAATTTTTTTCCACAAACTTTTGATTATTGGCTCCTCTTCCAATTCGTCTTCTCTGAATTCCCACAAAATCTCCATCCCATTTCGTGATCACAACATTTCGATCATGATCACTCCAGAATTTTTCCGTCAGGAATTTGAGTCGTTCGTCTTTTTCGTGGACTGCTTGGAGAGTTGTGACGACTGCGTCACAAACTTCTTGCCATTTCTGGAAAAAGAAAAATTGATGGGAAGATTTTCAGACTGGAAACATTTAATGGGTTTACTGAAAATCACCTAAAAATCACCACAAAATTAACCTGAAACTCAAAAAATTGGCCTAAATTAGGGTCTAAAATTAGGCCTTATATAGGGCCTAAGAGGCCTGAAATTTTTGCTAAAAAAAAGCCCAGAAACCTAAAATTCGAAAATATTTATTAAAATCAAGCCCATAATCAAATATGAGAGGCCTATAATTGAGCCTAAAATTAGTCTTAAAGTTGGGCCTATAAAATATAAAATTAGGCCTTAAATTAGGTCCAACGTTAGGCCTTATATTGGGCCAAAGGGCCCGAAATGCTTGCTAAAAAGCCCAGAAACCTAAATTTCAAAAATTTTTTGAAATTAAACTTATAATCAAATATGAGAGGCCTATAATTGGGCCTTAAATAAGGTCTGAAGTTAGGCCTATAAACGATAAAATTAGGCTTTGTATTAGGCTCAAAATTAGACCTATAACTGAGCCTGAAATTAGCCTGAATCTGAAAAGTGAGTCTGAAACCCAAAAAGGCCTGAATCTTCGGCTTAACAAAATTAAAATTGGGCCTTAAATAAGGCCTGAAATGGGGGCTAACGAAAGCCTAAAATAGGGCCTAAAGTTGAGTATAAAATTTTCAAAATTAGCCCTTAAATTGGGTCTAAACATGGCTTTTTTTCAATTAAAAATAGGCCTTAAATTGGACAAATGTTTCAGGCCTAATTTTTTTTTAATAGATTTAATTCTAGGCCTGATTTTTAGACCTGAATTTTGGCTTAGAGAGCCCATTTCTGGCTCAAAATTCTCCAATTTTCAAAAATCCCCCAACCTTTTTCGCATCCTCCAATCTCGCCTCCAATTCTTTCAATTTCAAATTCCCGGCTCCACCAGGAAAATCCGGATGAACCAAATTGATCAATTTGAGGCACGTGTCTCGCAACAAATACAGTACTCCCACGAAATTCGGAATAATTATGTCGGGTTGAAATTCGGAATCGGTGATTGATGAGATTCTGGAGGAATATTTTGTTGAAACGTATTTTTTTCTGGTTTTTGAGTAAAAACTTTGAATTTTGAGTAGAAATCTACAAATTTTCGATCAATGTTGAGATTTTCAAAAAATTATGATTCTAATATTTTTGAAACGTATTTTTTGCTGGGTAAGAACATTTCAAAAATAGGTTGGAAAGTCAGTCTTTTGAAGTGAAAACAGGAATTTTCAATCAAATTTAAATTTTAAAGTAGAAAATCCAGAATTTTTATCTAGAAATCCTCGAGAAATCAAATTTTGAAGCCAAAATTCAAATTTTCAGTCAATTTTGAGTTTGACAAATGAACTCGACGTATCGATATGAAAATTCAGAAAATTATTAGTCTAATATTTTTTGAAACGTATTTTTTCGAGTTTTTTTTTCAGAAAAAAAATTTCAGCAATTTTTTTTTTGATAAAAAATCTCAAAACTTAGCCTAACTTTTGAAAAAAAACTTCAAATTTTCAAGCCAAAATTCAAATTTTCAGTCAATTTTGAGTTTGAATAAAGAATTCAATGTATTGATATGAAAATTCAGAAAATCATTAATTTCATATTTTTGAAACGTATTTTTTCGAGTTTTTTTTTCAGAAAAAAAATTCAGAAATTTTTTTTTGGTAAAAAATCTTGAAACTTAGCCTAACTTTTGAAAAAAACTTCAAAACTTCAAGCACAATTTCAAATTTTCAGTTAAATTTGGGTTTGTAAACTGGATTCGGCGTATCGATTTGAAAAATCAGAAAATTATTAATTTCATATTTTTGAAACGTATTTTTTCAAGTTTTTTTTCAGAAAAAAAATTCAGCAATTTTTTTGGTGAAAAATCTCAAAACTTAGCCTAACTTTTAAAAAAACTTCAAATTTTCAGTGAAATTTGAGTTTGAATTATGCATTCAGAAAAAAGTATCGATTTGAAAACTCAGAAAATTATTATTCTAACATTTTTGAAACGTATTTTTTTCTAAATTTCAGCAAAATTTTTTCGGTAAAAATTATTGAAACTTAGCCTAACTTTTGAAAAAACTTCAAATTTTCAGTCAACTCTAGGTTTGTAAACTGGATTCGGCGTATCGATATAAAAATTCAGAAAAATAATAATTTTATATTTTTGAAACGTATTTTTTCAGAAAAAAATTTCAGCAAGCAAATTTTTTTGGTAACAAATATTAAAATTTAGCCTAACTTTTGAAAAAACTTCTAATTTTCAAGCCAAAATTAAAATTTTCGATATATCGATTTGAAAATTCAGAAAATTATTAATTTCATATTTTTGAAACGTAATTTTTCTGGTTAAGAAGCCCCAGATTTTCAGACAAAAAATTTAAGTCAAATTTTCAGCCTCTTCCCTAAAAACCCACCGATTCTTCACACATCCACAAAACAAAATCAACGCGGATATCAAAAATTCAATATCCGTACATTTTTCATCAAAAAATCCTCGATCATCAATCGATTTTCGAATATAATCCCAGAGTCTGAAATTGAAAATTTCCGATTTTTCTGGAATTTTTAGCGAAAAAACCCACGAATTCATAAAATTCTCCGAAGCAGCCAACGAGTCGACAATTCTCAAAAATTGTCGTTGAAGTGAAACAATTGTAATTACGTTGACATTGTTCAAATTGGCTGGAAAAAAAAATAGAATGAGGAATTTCAGATTTGATTTGAGAAGGGCTGAAAATGACCCGGATAAACTGGGATTGAATTCAAATTTTTAGAAAATTTTCAGAATGATCTTAAAATTTCTGAAACTCTGAAAAACTAAAAGGTTCCCAAGGTATGAAATTAGCCATGAAACTGAGATTTTCATCCGAAAATCATAAAAATCTGAAATTTAGGCCCAAAGGCCTGAAAATGTTCGGCCTGAGGTTATAAAAAAATCCGAAAATCTCAAATTCGGGCTCAAAAACCCAATTTTAGACGTGGAAAGCCCAAATCACTTTCCAGAATCAGAAAATGCTCAAAATGCTCCAAATTGGCTCCAAAAGCCCAGATTTAGACCTGGAAAGCCCAAAATTCGTCCCTGAATCAGAAACTGCTCAAATTTGGGCTCAAAATGCTCCAAAAGCCCTAATTTAGACCTGGAAAGCCTAAATCTCTTTCCAGAATCAGAAAATGCTCAAACTTGGGCTAAAAATGCTCCAAATTGGCTCAAATCTAGTCCAGGACCCAAAAATGGCCTAGAACCCCCAAATGTGGACTCAAAATGCTCTAAATTCACTTAAGAATCTAAATTGAAACCTTAAAGACCTTAATTTTCAGCCCAAATCTCAAAAAAACACTTACCATAACTCTGCGCAATTCGTCTAAACTTGGCACTTTCCAAAATCGTCTCAATTCTCTCCTTTAAATAAGAATCCACCAGATTTTCAGTTTCCATACCATTTCCATGATTTTCAGCCAAATTTTCAGCACAACTACTTCCAGCCAACGCATCAAAATACTGTGAAATCTCCTCACTATCTGCCGCCAAAAATTGGCTCTGTTCCAACAAAAACAATCGATATTTCGCCGATTTTTTGGGTACATTTTTGGCCAACAAAAAATGTTGGAAATGCGGATTTTTCGGGAGTTATTGATTGAGCAAATTGGGGAAGCAGGATGTTGAAAAATATCAAATCTGGAGCGGATTTTGTGGCGGATTCGATGAATTTTTGATAGATAAGAGGAGAATGGATGGAGATGGATTTCTGGAAAAAAACGGGGTTTTTTGAAGAAATTTTGAGCATTTTTTAGCTTAGAAAAATGATTTTTCATCCAAAAATCTGATTTTCAGACGAATTTTTGGCTGAAAATAACTAGGAAAAGCTCAGAAAACTCAAAAACTACACCAAAAAATAATCAGAAACCCAAATTTTCAGCTACAAATTTCCAGATGCATTTTCAAATCAAAAAAACCTATTTTCACTGAAAATCCTGATTTTCAGACAAATTTTTGGCTCAGAAAATCAATTTTCAATGAAAATCACACTAAAAAATCCTCTGAAACCCAAATTTTCAGCTCAAAATTTCAGATTTCAGCTCAAAATTCTTGCAGAAATATTATTTATTCCATGAAAAATCAATTTTCATCGAATTTTCAGCTTAAAAACCAAATGAGCATTTTTCAAGCTCAGAAAACTGAAAATTAGAATTTTTCAACCATAAATCCGATTTTCAGACAAATTTTAGCTCAGAAAAAATTCTCTGAAACTCAAATTTTCAGCTAAAAATTTCAGATGTTTTTTTCAGTTCAAAAGTACCTATTTTTCATTGAAAATCCGATTTTCAGACAAAATTTTTGACTGAAAATAATTAGGAAAAGCTCAAAAACCCAAATTTTTGAGCCAAAAATGCAGTTTCAGCTCGAAATTTCAGATTTTCGAAAAAAATATCAATTTTTATTGGATTTTCAGCCTAGAAAACCGAGTTTTGAAGCTGAAAAATAAAGAAAATTTGAAATTTTCAGGATTTTCAGCTCTAAATCCTTTTTTCCTTTAAAAATTGGGTTTTCTGTTGGATTTTCAGTCCAAAAATCACCTCAAAAATCGAAAAAATCCTCTGCACAACCTGTTGCGCTCTCATTCCAATTTTCTCTCCAATTTTCTCCATTTTCGGCTCGTTCACGGCATTTAAAAGTGCAATTTGTGCCTCGAAAAATCCAATTTTCACGGCAATCTCGAACAATTTCTGCTCATTTATCACAAAACTCTCCAAAAATCGCAAAATCATGAAGAAATTGGTTTGTGACGTGGCGGAGCGCATGAATTTGAGGCAACATTTTGTGAGGCAAATTCGACGGGAATTCGGAAGGATTTTTGGAATTACGGAGGGTTGTTCACGAGCGGTTTTGATGATTTCATTCAGGCAGATTATCTGGAAAAAATTGGGGGTTTTCATATAAAAAATCAAAATTTTTGGAAATTTTAGCCTAATTTTCATGTAATTTTTGCTAGAAATCAAAAAATTTATCCGAAAATTGTTTATTTTTCTTTTGAATTTCAATTTCTTGCTGAAAATCCTGAAAATTTCAAATTTTCCAATGTTTCAGCTTCAAAACTTGGTTTTTAGCTGAAAATCCAACTGAAAAACTGATTTTCAGATTAAAAAAGGATTTAGAGCTGAAAATCCTGAAAATTTCGAATTTTCCCATTTTTCAGCTTCAAAACTTGGTTTTAATCTGAAAATCCAACAGAAAAATTGATTTTTCGAGAATTTTCGAAAATCTGAGATTTTGCGCTGAAAATCCTGAAAATTTCGAATGTTTCCATGTTTAAGCTTCAAAACTTGGTTTTTAAGCTCAAAATTCAACTGAAAACATCTAAAACTTAGATGAAATTAATCTTAGATTAACACACTAATCTTAGATGAAATTCTGGCCAAAACTTGATTTTTTTGGTTTCCAGCTCGATTTCACACATTTTTCATTAATTTCAGGTAATTTTCAGCTGCAACCAATATTTCAAACTTCGAATAATTTTCAGGTTTCATATTGATTTTCAGAGTTTTCAGATAAATTGTTCACTAAAAAATATCAAATTTGGTTCATTTTCAACCCCAGATTGAGAATTTTTTATAGTTTCAGATCGAAAAATTATCAATTTCAGGTTATTTTAAACCTTGAAACCCTCAAAATTGAGCATTTTTTCACATATTTTTCACCGAATCATGATTTTCCAACCAAAATTCAAGAAAAAACAGTCGAAATCCCAAAATTCATCAAAATTTGAATGATTTTCAGGTTTCAGATTGATTTTCAGAGTTCTCGGGTGAATTTATGATTGAAAATAAGCAATTTCAGATAATTTTTCTTCTAATTTAAGATTTTTCCAATTTTTAATGTTTCTGATCAAATTTTCTGATATTTTCCACTGAAACCCATCAATTTCAGGTAATTTTTCCTAAAAGTTCAAATTTTTTCCAATTTTTAATGTTTTCAGATCAATTTTTTCCACATTTTTCACTGAAAATCATCAATTTCAGGTTATTTTCAGCTGGAAAATCATTTTTCCAACCAAAATTCAAGAAAAACACTCAAAATCCCAAAATTCATCAAAAATTGAATAATTTTGAGGTTACAGAAGTTTTTATTATAAAATTTTCGAATTTTCAACTGAAAATTATCAATTTCAGATAATTTTCAGCTCGAAAATGATTTTTCCAACGAATTGTTCAAAATTTGAATGATTTTCAGAGTTTTAAGGTTAACTTTTCTCTGAAAATCATCAATTTCAGATAATTTTCAGCTCGAAAATGATTTTTCCAACGAATTGTTCAAAATTTGAATGATTTTCAGAGTTTTCAGGTTAACTTTTCTCTGAAAATCATCAATTTCAAGTAATTTTCAGCTGAATCATGATTTTTCAACCAATATTTCAAGAAATAACAGTCAAATCCCAAAATTCATCAAAATTTGAAAATTTTCAGATAAATTTTCCAATAAAATTACCAAATGGATCATTTTCAACCCCAAAAATTGAATTTTCCTTAATTTTCTCCCCTCAAAACCCTTACCAATCTCTCCTCATCCATTTTCTGCTCATAGAAATTCACCAACAATTTCGCCATCATCTCCCCGTTCCCTGGTGCCACATCATTGCTCATATTATCAAATCTCTGTCGATATTCCTTCCTTTTCTCCTGCTTCTTCCAATATTCTCTCCATTTTTTCTGCACCAATTTCGCGGCTCGATTCTTTTTATCCTCCAAATTTCGCTGTTCGGATAGATTGTTCAAATGTTCAAGAAAATTATTCCTCTCATTCAGACTTCGCATAAATGCTTCTTGTTTTCGATCTCGCGTCACTTCGCCATTGAAAAACGCGAAATTCAACGACATTTTGTCTGGAAATTCTGGAAATCTGAAATTTTTGGCTGAAAATCACGAATTTCAGATAAAAACTGGTTGGAAAACCATTTCGAGAAAAAAAATTACAACAAAAATCAATCAATAAATATTGTTCCTAAGAAAAAAAAAACAAAGAATTGTGAAATGAAATAACAAAAAAACAGAAAAAAAACAGAAGACCCAAGTATTATTAACAAAAAAATGAAAAATTTCAGAATTTTGGGCGGAAAATTTCGGATTTTTGAGATTAGAATGGATAAAAATGCCACGTGGATTTTGGGGTCCAGAAAAATTCAAAAAAGAATTTCAGAGTCCAAAAATTGCCACGTGCATTTTGGGTTTCAGAAAAATTCAATTTGAAATTCCAGAGCTGAAAATACCTAGATAAGGCTCAGAAAACTCGAATTTGATCAAAATCACACCAAAAAGTCCTCTGAAACTCAAAATTTTCAGCTACAAATTTTCAGATGTTTTTCAGATCAAAAATACTCATTATTCACTGGGAATCCGATTTTCAGACAAATTTTTGCTCAGAAAACTCGAAAATTTAAGTTTTCATTGAGTTTTCAAACCATAAATGCTCAAATCTCAGATTTTCGAAAATTTCTGGCAAAAATCCGAGAAACATCAAATTTCTCCCAGAAAATCAGCTTTTCTGTTGGATTTTCAGCTTAAAAACCAAGTTTTGAAGCTGAAACATGAGAAAATTTGAAATTTTCATGATTTTCAGCTCTGAATCCTTTCAAAAAACCACATTTCTCTCTGAAAATCAGCTTTTCTGTTGGATTTTCAGCTTTGAAATATTCTTTCGAGATAAAATGAATTTGGCGCGAAGATGTTAAAATTCTTCTTTCGAATTTCGATTTCTTGCTGAAAACCCAACAGAGAAGCTGATTTCAGAGAAAACTGTGGTTTTTTCGAAGAATTTAGAGCTGAAAATCCTGAAAATTTCAAACTTTCCCCTGTTTCAGCATCAAAACTTGGTTTTTAAGCTGAAAATCGGATGAAAAAAGTTTTAAAGAATTTTTCGAAGGTCCAAAAAACATCATTTCTAGCTCAAAAAATCCCAAATTTTCCCCTCAAAATCCCCCTAATCCTCCTCCTCCTCTTCATCTTCATCATCCTCTTGCAACCATTTAACAATCGGTTCCATCAATTCCCTCAACTTGGATCCGGAATCAATACTTCCAGCCCATTCCAAAATCGCTTCCTCATCCAAAACATCCGCATCATTATACAAAAAATGCACAATTTTCGCGCATTTCGGCCCGAAATTCGCCGATTCTTTGTCGAATTTCTCTTCGATTGCCATTAGCATTTGAATTTGACATTTTCTTTCCATTTCCAATTTTCGAGCTGTTGCATTTGAATCGGATGATTTGTAATAATTTATGAAGAGTGGACGCCATTTTTTGATTAGCTGGAAAAATGGGAAATTAGGGATTTTCAGAAGATTTTTTAGTATGAAAACTTCTGCTAAATTAAAAATTTGTGACCTTGTGAATTTTCAGCTTTATGAGAAGCCCTGAAAGTCCCTAGAGCCTTGAAAATACCCTCGAAGCCCGTAAAATCCTCATAAAGCCTTTAGGAAGCCCAAAAATGTGGTAAGAGCTTGCTAACGGCTTTAGGAAGCCCTAAAATCGCCTAAAAGCTAACTTAAGCCCTTAATAACCTTTAAAAGTCCCTGAAAGCTAACTAAAGTCCTTAATAAGCTCCAAAAGCCTGTAAATTCTTCCTGAAGCCCTTAAGAAACCCCCAAAGCATTTCTGAGTGCCTGAAAAGTCCTAGAATCTTTATAAGGCCCTAAAAAGCCCGTAAAAGCTTCCTTTAGACCTTCTTAAGGCCCTTAAAAATCTTCAAAGCCTGTAAAATCTTCCTAAGGCCTTAAAAATGCTCCTAAGATTCCTAAAGCTTCCTAAAACTTTTAGAAGCCCCCTAAACCTTACCAAGCCTCTAAAAAGGATCCTAGAGCCTTTTGAAAGCCCGTAAAATCTCCCTAAAGCCCTTAACGAGCCCTAAAGCCCCCAAAACCCTCTTTAGCCCAAGTGTAAGGCTTACCACCAACAACTCCTTCAAATCCTCCATTCCAGGCAACGCCAAAAACGCGGCAAACACATTTTTCGCCACATCATCCACACTAACATTACACGCCAATTTCGACGAATTGATCTCCAATATCAAATTATTCATTTGTTGATTTGCCATCGATTGCATTCCTTTCATACTTTCGAATACTTCGTCGTAGAATTGACGAGTTGAATCATCGAAACCATCGTCGAAGTCGACGTCGAAATCTTCGTCACTTCCCTCTTCGAAATCCTGAGAAATGGGGGAAAAATTAAGAAATTAAAGAAAAACACGTGGGGAGAAAACTAGGTCACGTCAAAAAAATAATGAAAAAATATATTTTTTTTCAATTTCGATTCAGAAAATGTCAAAAAACTATATTTTTTGTCTATTTTTCTTCATTTTTTTTTCATTTTTGTGTGGAAAAAAATGTCAAAAAGTGTTTTTTTTAATTATTTTTTTTCTCGATTTTTCATTCAGAAAATCAGATTTTTGTCATACTATGATTTTAAAAAATCTGATTTTTTTCGAATATTTTTGTGTCACAGAAAAATCCGATTTTCCAGAAAAAAAAATTCCACGTGGAAATTTGAAAATTCAAAATTTTTGAGTTAGCCCAAGTCCCCCTGAATTGTTTAAGATTTTCAAATTTGCGTTCCACGTGGATTTTTTGCTTCAAAAAATCAGGATTTTCAAATTTCCACGTGAATTTTGGCCAAAAAAATTCTTGGTGGCCTAGAAAACCAAAAGCTACTAGGGAATTTGGTTTTCTAGGCCACGAATAACAAAAATCACGATTCACGGCGCTCATCTCGTAAAATTTGGCCGAGGAAAAAATTTGCAAAAACGGAGGGGAAAAAACTCGGCCACGCGGCCATGAACGGCAGACTCCGCCCCTTTTTTGTTTTTTTCGTCGAAAATTTTTTTTGTTCAGACTTTTTTGGAAATTACTGTTTTTCTCTTGTTAGACAAAATTTCGCACAGAAAGGAAACGACCATTTTGTAGACAATCATCTCACGGTTCTTATTTGATATAGATCGACTCTCAAAACTCAAAAACCATGTACCCTATTGCCAAAAATTGGGCATTACTCAATTTACAGTTTTTGGCCTTTTTCGAGTATTCAGCTGCAGATTTCCGATTTTAATCTATACTTTATATATAATAATGGCTAAATCTATAATCCTGACTTTTTCAATAACGAGGATTGCACGTTTTTCACTCACACAACAACACAAGGCTGTTTTGCAAAATTTTGTGAAAAAAATCTCTCAATACAAAATGTGCGCTCTAGCGCACACGTGGCCGAACTTTGTTTACAAAAAAAGCCGTTCGGCCAAATTTTACGAGATGATCGCCGTGGATTTCCATCAAATTGAAAGGTTGTGTATTTCTCTCGGACAATTCGTGGCCTGGAAAACCTAATTGTGATTTTCTAGGCCACAAAAATCAGGATTTTCATTGGGGGAAAATGCTGTGTACTTCTCTCAGACAATTGGTGGCCTAATTTTTGGTTTTCTAGGCCACAGATCTCGATTTTTGGCTTCAAAATGTGTAAATTTTGTCTAGAAAATTCGAATTTTTGCCCAATTTTTCCCCAAAAATCTCCCACCTCATCTTCTTCCTCATTTTCCTCGACATTGCTCATATTAATCCCAATTTTTCCCTGCGAAATCTTCCAGAATCCTCCACCATTTCTCAATTGCCACAAATACAATTCCTCTCCAATTTTTTGCGCGACAATTTTCTCAAACTCATCTTCATCCACCTGCCAACTACAAATCGCCGAATTCTCCAAATTCTCCCCGATTTCCGCCATTTTCACACCATTTCCAATGATAATTTCGGGGAATTTCGAGTTATCCAAAATCACCGAATTGTCTCCAATAAATCCCCCAAAAATTTCGACATTTTTCCCAATTTTCACATTTTTTCCAATGATACAATTGGAAATTGTGGTGTTTTCAGCAATTTCAGAATTGCTTCCAATACTTGAATTGTAGATTCTGGCGGTTTTGGAGATTTTTGTATGGATTCCAAGGGACACATTGACTGAGGCATCGGAAAGCCTGAAAAAAAAAAGAATTTTTGGTTTTGAAAAATTGTGGTGAAATTTTTCACTGTTTCAAAAATTCCACATATTTTTCTAGATCAGGAAGATAAAATAATGATGAAGGCTATTGGCAAATTTCCAAGAAATTTTTTTTAAAGATTTAATGTGAAAAATACAGTTTCTATTATTTTTTTTTTTTGAAAAAAAAATTCTGAAAAAAAACATTTTTTTTGAAAAATTTTTCACTGTTTGAAAAATTCCACATATTTTTCTAGCTTGGGAAGATAAAATAATGAACATTAAAAACATAAAAACTCCAAAAAAAAAAATTTTTAATTTTTGATTCAGAAAAAATACAGTTTCTATTATTTTTTTGAAAAAAAAATTATGAAAAAAACTATTTTTTTGTGAGAACATTTTTTCACTGTTTCAAACATTTTATATAATTTTTGCCTAATTTCGAAAAACAATACAATGAAACATTTTCACTGTTTCAATATTTTCATACAATTTTTGATGAGTTTCTGTTTTAAGCAGATTTTTAAAGGATTTTTGTGAGAAATTTAGAATTTTTCACTGTTTCACAATGAAAAAAATCAAATTTTTTATTTTTTTAATGAAAAATTTCACTGTTTCAATATTTTCATACAATTTTTGATGATAATTTTGTGAAAAATTCAAAATTCAAAATTTTTCACTGTTTCACTGGGAAAAAAAGGTTTTTAATGAAAAATTTCACTGTTTCAATATTTTCCTATTAATTTTTGACGATAATTTTGTGAGAAATTCAAAATTTTCCACTGTTTCACAAGGAAAAAAAATAAAATTTTCAAATTATTTAAAAGAAAATTTTCACTGTTTCATTGTTTTAATACAGGGTGACCCAAAAAAAACGTTACAAAGTTTTTTCGAAATTATTACTCGAAATGTTCTGAAATTTTGTATACACGATTTCGAGCTAACTAATTACCCCAAAATACACACTGAAAAAAATTTGTTTCATTATACCTTGTGTTTCACGTGAATTACATGTGAAACAAAACTGTGAAAAAAAGGCCTTGGCGCCGCAGCTCTTTTTCGATTCTGGACCCTACAGTGTCTGTGGAAGTGAACCAAACTACCTCAATTTTTTTTTAAATTTTAGCGAAACCATATAGCTTGATAATTTTCAGTGCAAATAAGCTATGGAATAACTTCATAGTCTCAGAGAAGTGCAAGATGTAAGTTGAAAAAAATTCGAAAAAAAATTTTTTTTTTCTCAATTTTTAACATTATCGAACTCAATTTGAGAAATATTAGTTATATAACCTCAAACTGATTTTCACAGGGTCAATACAACCTAGTCACACTGCTTTAGCAAGATAAACATAATCATAATCCCATATTTCAGCCATCGGAGTTCTCTTTTCAGAAAAAGTGAAAAATTTTGACCCAATACACAAAATGAGTTCTAATTCATGTTGAAACCATTTTTGGATAGGAAGTCAAGTACTCAAAATGATCCCAGAGAGTTTCTCTACAAAGCCTGAGAGCGATATGCTTACCCCAATTGACTCATGAATAAATGTTAGCTGTGAAAGTTCAACCACGTTGTATTTTCACGAGTTGCGGCGCCAAGGCCTTTTTTTCACAGTTTTGTTTCACGTGTAATTCACGTGAAACACAAGGTATAATGAAACAAATTTTTTTCAGTGTGTATCTTGGGGTAAGTAGTTAGCTCGAAATCGTGTATACAAAATTTCAGAACATTTCGAGTAATAATTTCGAAAAAACCTTGTAACGTTTTTTTTGGGTCACCCTGTATTAATTATTGAGGATTTCTGTGAGAAATTTATAATTTTTCACTGTTTCACAATGAAAAAAAATCAAATTTTCAAATTTATTAAATGAAAAATTTCACTGTTTCAATATTTTCATATCAATTTTTGACTAGAAATACTGTTCACTGTTTCACAAGGAAAAAAAATCAAATTTTCAAAAAATAAATTCAAAAACCTACACAATTCTCGAAGACATCGAGGTATTCAAAAAGTCCTCTTCCTCCAAATAAATATTCCTTGGACAAACCGAAATAAATCTCGAAACCTCAACTCTTTCCGGTGTCAACGGATAAAACCATCTTTCCAATAGCAAAGTATTCAAATGCAATAAAGTATCATAGTCTTTTGCCATATAAGCAGATTCATTTTGTGGCAAAACATCCACGTGGATGTTGAGGCCTAGAATATCATCTTTTGAGAGCAATTCGCGAATCACATCTTCCATTGTTGAAAAATCAAAGTTGTCGCTGGAAAATCAGGGGTTTTTGGGGGGAATTTTGAATTTTTCTGATCAAAATTTGGATTTTTTGGGTCAAAAGGCTTTTGATTAATATGAGCAATGTTTTTTTTTTCAACTAAAACAAGCAATTCTTGGTTTTAGTTAACATGAGCAATGCTCGGCTTTAACTAATACGAGCAATGTGAATTGGATTTCCCCAAGTTTTTCACTGAAATTTCCTTAATTTTGAGCTCTTAATATGAGCAATGCTTTCTAGATTTTTGAAAGTTAATATGAGCAACAAATTCTCAAAATTTTTCGTTTTTTTCAAAGATTTATCAAAATTTTCCCAATTTTCAGTGAAAATTGACGAACTTTGAGCCTTTAACATGAGCAATGCTTGGCTGGAATCTAGAAAATATATGAGCAATAGTACTTCAAATTTGTTGGATTTTTTCAAAATTTCAGCTTTAATATGAGCAATGCTTGATAATTTTTCAAATTTAACATGAAGAATCAATTTTCAGAATTTTTTGATCTCTTTTTCAAAGATTTTTGATAAATTCTGAAAATTTTAAGTGAAATTCGGCTTTTCCCAAGTGTTTCACTGAAATTTTCTCATTTTAAATTAAAATTATTTTTTGAGCCTTTAATATAAGCAATGTTTTGTAATTTTTCAAAATTAACATGTGCAATGCCCAAATTCCTTTAACTTTCAGCTTTTAACATGACCAATGCTTGGCTGGAATCTAGATTTTTAATATGAGCAATACTAATTCAAATTTGTTGGATTTTTTCAAAAATTTCAGCTCAAAGCCTTTAATATGAGCAATGCTTGATAATTTTTCAAATTCTAACATGAACAATCCCCCCCCAAAATCCCTCACTTAAACTGCGTAACAATCAATCTCGAGCACAACGCAATTCCCGTATTCACAACATCCCTTCGAATCTGCGCATTCTGATAGAAATCCACCTTATCCACCTTGATCAAACCGCTCGACGTCGCAGCCGGATAAAGCACAAGTTTTCCATCGGAATTCACGCCAATCACCGATTTTTCGCGATTCTCACAACCGCCATAGATCAACGTCATAACATTGTCCGCATTTTCGACACGACGCTTTCGAAAATCCCGAATTTGTTGCGATAAAGTTGAAGAGGTTAGCGAGGATGGATTGGAAATCAATAGAAAATTATCCGTAATTAATTCCCGGTTGTGAATTTCTCGCAAACAATCGCCCAGGCTTGAAGATCCATCACAAATCACAACGGAAAACTCCTCAAACGCACTTCCCCACTCATTTTCCACAAGTTTCGCGTATTTTTGCGATTTTCCCGTGGCCACCAACATCACGCTTTCGATTTCCGTCCTCAATAGCCAATTCATCGTGTAATTTATCATTGGGATATTGGCGAGCGGGATGAAACCGAAACATTCGTAGGATTTTTCGAGAATTGGTGCGAATCGTTGATCGAATGAATCCAGGAGGACGATGGCGGTCAGCGGTTTTTCTTTGGCTGGTTTTTTCGGGTCCGGCGCCATTGGTTGCTGGAAATTTCAAAGATTTAGCGTGGAAAAGGGGGTTAACCCAAAAAACAGCTGAAAAACAAAACAATTCTCACCAAATGCAGCAAACGCGCTCCAGCGCACACATTCTCAATGGAGCGACATTCCATCTTTACTTTTATTTTTTCCGGTTTTTCCACTTTTTACGGGTTTGATGGTGAAATATAGTATAGCGTGAGTGAATTTGAATTGGAAAATAAAATTAAAAAAAAAAAGATTTTTAGCCTGGTCTCCGATTTCTTTTGCCCGAATGCTGGAGGCATCGAAACACACATCTATTTCCTTGCACAATGTTTATTGGATCTCGGGCACAAAGTGATTGTGATAACTCATGGATATGGAGATCGGAAAGGGATTCGATATTTGTCGAATGGGCTGAAAGTCTACTATTTGCCATTTTTGATTGTTTATAATGGAGCATCGTTGGGATCAATTGTGGGAAGTGTGCCGTGGTTTAGAAAAGTTTTTCAACGCGAACAAATTCAGATTGTTCATGGGCATAGTGTAGGTGGTTTTTAGAAGTAAAATTCGCACTGAAAAATAATTTTTTTTTGCAGACATTTTCCTCGTTGGCTCACGAATCTTTGATGATTGGTAGTCTTATGGGTCTTCGAACTGTTTTCACTGATCATTCACTTTTTGGATTTGCTGATGCTTCCGCAATTCTTGTTAATACATTGGTTTTGAAATATTCGCTGGTTAATGTTGATCAGGTTATTTGTGTTAGTTATACGAGGTGAGGTTTTGGGTCAAAAAAAAAAGAAATAGAAATTTTCAGTAAAATCTTAAGCTACGTGGATTTTTGTGGCAAAAAATTGAAGAAAAAATGATTCCACGTGGATTTTTCCCGCCAAAAATTAACATTTGAAATTTTTTAAATAAGGAAATGTTGCCACGTGGATTTTTAGCTCAAAATTTTAGAAAAAAACGCCACGTGGCATAAATTTTATGCAAAAATTTGAAAATTTAAATTTTTTCGAGAATTTTCAAAGTTTTGCATGCAAGAAAATTTGCCACGTAATTTTTTTCGCGCAAAAAAAATTAATAATTTGAAATTTTTAAATAAGGAAATGTTGCTTTTCCCGCCAAAAATTGTTTAAAAATGCCATGTGGCATAAATTTTATGCAAAAATTTGAAAATTTGCATTCTTTTGAAAAATTTTTAATTTTTCTAATGAAAAATTGCCACGTGGATTTTTCGCGCAAAAAAAAAAGAAATTTCTAATTTTTTTAATAACGAACTGTTGCCACGTCGATTTTTAGTTCAAAAAATTGAAAAAAAATGATTCCACGTGGATTTTTTGCGCAAACATTTGAAAATTTGAATTTTTTTTTTTTGATTTTCTATTTTTTGTAAGAGAGAAAACTTGCCACGTGGATTTTTAGCTCAAAAATTGCTTTAAAATGCCACGTGGCATGAATTCGGCGCGAAAATTTGAATTTTTTCGAAAATTTTCAAAGTTTAGCATGGAAGAAAACTTGCCACGTAGATTTTTCGCGCTAAAATTTCTGGAAAAAAATTCAGAGCTAGATTTTGAGCCCCCAAAGTCGAATTAGAGTTGAAAATGACCCCTGGGAACGATTTTTGAGCTAAAAAATCAATTTCAGCATCTCCTGAGCTTGATTTTGAGCCCAAATTCTTATTTTTATTTCAGCAAAGAAAACACGGTGCTACGCGGTCAATTAAACCCCTCAAAAGTGTCAACAATTCCAAATGCCATCGAAACTCGCTTGTTCACTCCAGATTCTCAACAATTCCATCAAAATCCAACAACTATAATCTATTTGGGAAGATTGGTTTATCGAAAAGGTGCCGATTTGCTATGTGATATTATTCCAAAAGTTTGCGAAGCTCACAAAAAATGTCGATTTATAATTGGAGGAGATGGTCCGAAAAGAGTGGAATTGGAGGAAATGCGGGAGAAATTCAAATTGCATGATAGATGTATTATGTTGGGAATGTTGCCGCATAATAAAGTGAGAGAGGTGCTCAATCAGGTCAGGAGTTTTTTTTTTTGGGATTTTGGACGATTTCTTGTGAAAAATACAGTTTCTTAACTGTTTTCAAATACTTTGAGCTTCTGAGCTTTAAATTGCTCCCCAAAAATTTTTTTTTGTGATTTTGGACGATTTTTTTGTGGAAAATACAGCTGTTTTTTCCAAATTTTCTAAAATTTTTGAAGATTTTGAAGCTGAAAATTCGGATTTTTCAATTTTTCAAAGTTTGTACCCCAAAAATCCACGTGGCATTTTTTCTCTTGAAAATTTGAATCTGAAATTTTTGAGCCAATCGAGAGCTGTCAAGGCTCGGCTATTTATAAACAGGGCTCTCTAGGAGCAGTTGCTTGACACAGAAGCTCTCAAGGCGCGGCTCCTTGACATAGAAGATCTCTAGGCTCGGCTGCTTGAGAACTGGGATCTCAAGGCGCGGCGACTTGACACCTAGACTCTCTAGGCGCGGCTCCTAGACAATTAGGTTCTCTAAGCTCGGCTCCTAGACAATTAGGTTCTCTAGGCGCGGCTGCTTGAAAACTGGAATCTCTAGGCTCGGCTGCTTGACACAGAAGCTCTCAAGGCTCGGCTGCTTGAAAACTAGGCTTTCTAGGCTCAGCTCCTTGTTGAAGTGAATCTCTAGACGCAGCTCCTAGACAATTAGGATTTCTAGGCTCGGCTACTTGACACAGACAAAATCACGTGGCAGCAAAATCAAACCTAATAAGTTTTCGCTGAAAAATCAACATAATTGCCACGTGGAAAAAAATATTTTTCAATTTTTAAAGCAATCAGAAATTTTTGAAATCCTGAATTGAACTTTGGGGCGAAAAATCCACGTGAAGCTCAAAAAATTCCAGATTTTTCAGCTAAATTTTTCTCATTCCAGGGTCAAATCTTCATCAATACCTCATTAACCGAAGCATTTTGTATGAGTATAGTTGAAGCTGCAAGTTGTGGTCTACACGTCGTTTCAACCCGCGTTGGTGGAATTCCTGAAGTGTTGCCTGAGGAGGAGTTTATATCGCTGGAAGAACCAGTGGCTGAAGGTTGGTGGGATTTTTCTTGTTGTGGAATTTTTCACTGTTTCAAAAAAAAAATTTCAATAATTTTGTTGGACAAAAAATCAAATTTTTTCATTGGGAATTTTTCACTGTTTGAAAATTTCTACATATTTTTGGAGGATTTTCGAGATTTCGATTCTATTTTGATATTTTTTTCGGACGAAAATTCACATTTTTTCATTCAGAATAAAAAAAAATTATAGAAATTTTCACTGCTTCAAAAATTTGACATATTTTTTGAGAATTTTTGAAATTTCGATTTGAGTTTGCCTATTGCGTGACAAAAAAATTCAAATTTTTCATTGTTAATTTTTCACTGTTTCAAAATTTTTTGTTATTTTGAAGGAAATTTCAATATTTGCTCCAGTTTCTATTTTTCCAAGCTGAAATTCTAAAAAAAAACTATTTTGTCAAGTTTTTTTCACTGTTCCAAAATTTCCACTTATTTTTAGAGCATTTTTGAGATTTCGATTCTATTTTCTTTTTGGTCGAACAAAAATTCACATTTTCAAACCTCATCCAAGAACCTGGAGAAGTGGGTAAAAAATTGCCCACCTGGGTTTATTTACCAAATTTGCCCACCTAGTGAACAAATTTTGCCCAGCTGAGGCTCGCCTTAAAGACCCTAAAAAATTTTGCCCACCTAGGTTTTTCGAAAAAAAATTGCCCACCTGGAATTCCAGGTGTTGGGTGAGCTTTGCACATTTTTCTTGCTGTGAAAAATTTCACTGTTTCAAAATTTTCACATATTTTTGAAGGAATTTTCAATATTTGCTTTGCTGACTAATATTCCTATCAAAATTCATTAAAAAAAATTTTGTTGAAATTTTTTTCACTGTTTCAAGGATTTTTGAAATTTTGGAGGATTTTTGAAATTTTGATTCGATTTCGTTTGTTTTTATCGAAAAAAAATTCAAGTTTTTATTGAAAATTACTCACTGTTTCAAAATTTTTACATAATTTTGGAATGAAATTCAAATATTTGTCTCAATTTCTGCTTTTCCAAGCTGAAATTCATCCGAAAAAAATAATTTTTAATTGAAAATTTTTCACTGTTTCAAAATTTTTTGTTATTTTGAAGGAAATTTCAATATTTGCTTTGTTTCCTATTTTTTCAAACTAAAATTCATCCGAAAAAAATTAATTTTTATTGGAAATTCTTTCACTGTTTCAAATTTTTCATATAATTTTGAAGGATTTTTTGAAATTTCGATTTAATTTCGTTCATTGTGTGACAAAAAAATTCAATTTTTTCTTGTTGTGAAAAAATTTCACTGTTACAAAATTGTTTATTATTTTGAGAGAAATTTCAATATTTCCTGTTTTCTTTAAGCTAAAATTGATTCGAAAATAATTTTTGTTGAAATTTTTTTCACTGTTTCAAAATTTCCACATATTTTTGGAGGATTTTTTGAAATTTCAATATGATTACAAAGCGTATTTCTGACTAAAAATTCAGATTTTTCATTGTTAATTTTTCACTGTTTCAAAATTTTCATATAGTTTTGAAGGAAATTCAAATATTTGCTTTAGCTTGTAATTTTATTTTTCAAAGCTGAAATTCATCTAAAAAATATATTTTTCATCGAGATTTAACAATTTTGTTGAAATTATTTTTCACTGTTTCAAAATTTTCTCATATTTTTAGAGGAAATTTTAATATTTGCTTCGCCATCTAATATTCCTACCAAAATTCATCCAAAAAAAACAAATTTTTTATCTTGATTTTTTCACTGTTTCAAATTTCGTTTTATTATTTTGAAGGAAATTTCAATATTTCAACCAAAATTAATTTTTTTCATGGAGAATTTTTTCACTGTTTCAGAATTTTCACATAATTTTGAAGGATTTTTTTGAAATTTCGATTCGATTTCGATTTAGAACAAAAATTTACATTTTCATCGAAAATTCTTCACTGTTTCAAAATTTCCACATATTTTTGAAAGAAATTTCAATATTTGCTTTATTTTTTGTTTTTTCATCCAAAAAAAATAATTTTTAATTGAAAATTTCTCACTGTTTCACAATTTTCAAATATTTTTGAAGGAAATTTCAGAATTTGCTTAAGTTTCTATTGTTCTCAACTAAAATTCATCCGAAAAAAAATTAATTTTTATTGGAAATTCTTTCACTGTTTCAAAATTTTCCCATATTTTCGGAGGATTTTTGAAATTTCAATATGATTACATAGCGTTTTTCTGACTAAAAATTCAAGTTTTCATTGAAAATTTCTCACTGTTTCAAAATTTTGTTTCATTATCTTGAAGGAAATTCAGATATTTAATTAAGTTTCTATTGTTCTCAACCAAAATTCATCCAAAAAAAATATTTTGTTCAAATTTAAAATTCACTGTTTCAAAATTTTCATATATTTTTGGAGGTTTCTTTGAGATTTTGATTGGAGTTTGCGTTTTTTTTGTAGGGCAAAAAATGTTTCTTGTTGTGAAAAAATTTCACTGTTTCAGAGTTTTCTCATATTTTTTGAAGCAAATTTCAATATTTGCTTCACTCACTAATTTTTTCAACCAAAATTCGTCCGAAAAAAAATAATTTTTAATTGAAAATTTTTCACTGTTTCAAAATTTTTCCTTAGTTTTGAAGGATTTTAGAAATTTTGTGTTCTTTTTGTAGGGCAAAAATTCACATTTTTTATTGTTAATTTTTCACTGTTTCAAAATTTTCACATATTTTTGGAGGGTTTTTAAAATTTTGATTTTATGTCGTGTTAGTCGAACAAAAATTCACATTTTTCATAGTTTTTTTCACTGTTTCAGAATTTGTTTTATTATTTTGAAGAAAATTTAAAAATTAGCTTTAGTTTGTAATTTTATTGTTCAAACCTGAAATTCATCCGAAAAAAAATAATTTTTAATTGAAAATTTTCCACTGTTTCAAAATTTTCACATATTTTTGGAGGACTATTTGAAATTTCAATAGATCAGACAAAAATTACATTTTTTCGTTAAAAATTTTTTCACTGTTTCAGAATTTTCTTATATTTTTGAAGGATTTTTTTTAGATTTAATTCAACTACTTTCTATAAGTGAATTTTCCAGATTTTAGAAACATTTTCTTTTTTCAGACCTCGTTTCCGCTCTCCTAACCGCAATTTCAAAACGTGAATCTGGCGAATTAATGGATCCGGAAGAAAAACACGAAAAAGTTTCGAAAATGTATAATTGGCCAGACGTGGCGAAACGAACTGAAATTGTTTATAAAAAAGCGTTGGAAGGTCCCGAACCGAGCAGATTTACTAACTTGAAAAGGTGAAAATTCAATTTATTAATTTTTTTTTTGAAAAATCGATATTCCACGTGGCATTTTCATACAAAAATTCATCAAAAATTCATTTTCAGATACTACTCGCAAGGTTTGGGCTTCGGAATTCTCTACATCACAGTCTCCTGCATGATATGTGTATTTTTAACCATACTCGATACAATCGATCGATTTTCAGCCAAAAAAGCGAAGAAAATTGAATAAATTATTGATTTTTTGCCTTTTTTCTCAAAAAAATATGCCGGAAGGTATATAAATTCCCAAATCCGGCCCATAATTCGATAACCATTGAGCGATTTTGTTGATGGAATTTTCTGGAGAAGAGGATTTGAAGATTTCGCGATTTGTTGAGCACGGATGAATGTTGTAATAGAGAAGACCTGGAAAATTATTGATTTTTTCGAGAAAATCCACGTGGAAATTTGAATTTTCAGCAGCTGCGCCTAGAGAACCTAATTGTCTAGGAGCCGCGCCTAGAGAGCCTAGTTTTCAAGCAGCCGCGCCTAGAGAGCCTATGTGTCAAGTAGCTGAGCCTAGAGAACATAATTGTCTAGGAGCCGTGCCTAGAGAGGGTAGTTTTCAAGCAGCCGCGCCTAGAGAGTCTAGGTGTCTAGTGGCCGCGCCTAGAAATCCTAATTGCCTAGTGGCCGCGCCTTGAGAGCTCCAAAAAGGAAATTTGAATTTTCAGCTGAATTTCATGCTGAAAATCAAACATTGCTCATTTTAAGCTCAATAATTCTAGATAATAGCTATAAAATTATAGAGTTTAATATGAGCAATGATTTAATCAAAAAAAAATTTGCGTTAAAATCTGAAATTTTTGCCTAATTTCACGAGAATTGCAAGAAAAATTGTGATTTTTTCAGAAAATTTTCGAAATTCTAAGCTAAAATTTCAAATTTCACGAGTTTTGGCTGAAAACATCGATTTTCAACCAGAATTTCGAGATTTTCAGCCTAAAAATCATAATTAATGAATTCCGCGTGGAAATTTGAATTTTCAGCAGAATTTCATGCTCATTGCTCATATCAATTCCTAGATTCAGAGATGCTCTAAATCTAGTATTAATATGAGCAATGAGCTATAAAATTATAAAGTTTATGAGGAAAATTGTGATTTTTTCAAATTCTAAGCGAAAGTTTCCAATTTCCTGTCAAATTTCACGAGTTTTGGCTGAAAAAAAATCGATTTTCAACCAGAATTTCGAGATTTTCAGCTTGAAATTCATGAAAATTCCAATTTTTCACATTTTTCCCCTCAAAATCCCTCACCCAAAACCGGATGTTCATTCAACGAATATTTCGCCACCACCAATTTTCCCATTTTCCTCGCACAACCCCTCAAAAACTCCTCAACACTCCCATTTTCCACCGGCTCTCCATTTTCGCTCGAAATCGCGAACCACAAAACCGGCACCCGATAGATCAAACTATACACAATATTCACTTCCAGAATTGCAATTTCTCCGCAAATTTCGATCGTTTTCAGCAATTTTCCATAGTTTTCCAGGGGAACCTGGGAGAATTTTGTTAGATAAAAGTGCCACGTGGCAACAAAAAACTCACTGTTCCTTTAACAATCTTCCACTCCTTCCAAATCCCACAAAAATCCTCCAATTCTTCGGGAAAATCTTGCATTTTGGCCAAAAAAAAAAGAAAGCGGTGGCCTAGAAAACCAAGAGAAAACTCGGTTTCATTGAGAGTGTGTGTATACTTGAGAGAGATAGAGAAAAAAGGGAAGCTAAACAACATGCAAGCGGAGTGTCGTTGCGAAAAAACCTTCGCTCCAAAAATCGGTGAGATTTAGGCTTATGAAGGTTTGACTGAAAATTTCAGAGTTTTCTCCATCGAATGACTTCAAGCATTTTTTGTTTAACATTAATTTCATATATCTATGGATAAAATTATGAATTTTCTAGTCACATGCCATTTTCAACAACACAAAAATACGATGCACAAAATGTTTTTATAAAATAGTCAATAGGCTTTCTTTTATGTATCTTGAAATGTGAAAGTTTATAATAACTGTTGAATCGTTATCACTTCCATAAGCCATGCTAAACATTTTGTCATTTCGTTTGAACAAATATTCGAATCCACAAGCCCTGCAAACTTCAATATTATACATATTTGTAAAGAGAAAGGAACTCACGTAATTACTTTTGCATAAATTCCAGGAGTATCCTCTAATTTCTGTTTTGATTGAAAAAAGATTAGATATACATTTTGATCAATGCCATTGGAAAACAAATGATCCACAATTCGTTCAATGTCAAATTTTTCACTGCCATCATAACCAACAGAAATACGAAAAGCTTTTAGTTGAAATATTTGATCGAATGTTAGATTTGGAATTGTGACTTTGTTTTTCATGGAGCAAAGTTGGTCAAAATCAATAAATCCACAACTAATTGGATCGACTTTATTATTATTCGGAGAAAGATGAATTGATTCCAATTTATTCAGATTTTTTTCAATTTTCATCTTGTTGTACGGAAAATCGGGCTGAAAATAAGCCCCTTTTAGTCTGATAATACTTAAAACAGAAACGACGAAACACACACACACATTTTTGAAAGTGTGCGAACCATGCAATTTTCATCAATAGGGCGCACTTTCATTTTTACTTTTATTTTCTTGTTTTTGTTTTTTCGGAAATTTTTTCATTCACTCATTTTTTGTTGCTTTTCCATGAATTTGAATGAAACTTGTTGCGAAATTCATATTTATCTATTTTCCTAGTAAACGTAACACAAATTTAGTTGATTTTCGATAGTTTTATACTAAAACTGGTGCTAAAAAGTAATTTTATATGAAAATGTACATTCTTGAAGTTTTCTTCCGTTTAAAGTACTTATTTAAATTCGATTCATTTCTATTTTACATTAAACGCTTGCAAGCGAGTTTGAGGTCACTATTTTATTAAACAACGCATGTTCGCCCTATTGACAATTTTTTTTTCTCTGACCGTCTCTCAAATATTTCGTCGTTTTCGTTTGTGTGGCTAACTTCCCTTGTATATTAATTCAAAGAAACTCACAATACTGATCGTCAAGCTTCTTAAGCAATTCTTCAAAAATTTCAATAAACCTTGCAAAAGATACATTACATAATCAGTAACTTTTTCTCTTGTTTCAACTTCAATCATTTGATCTATGTCTTCTGAGCTTAAATCCATCTGTTCTACTTCTTCAGATTTTATAGGAATATCACACACTAGAACCAATGTTCTTGATGCAATCAATCGATCGACATACGATTCGCCTCTTTCTTCTGAAGCAATCTTATTCCGCATTTCGAAAAAAACACCTTTGGTTTCATCGTAAGGATTATTTGTTATATTGACAGAATAAAAACACAAATCAGGTATTTGAGCTTCTTCGGAACATAGTTTCGAACATTGTGAAAATTGAATTTTTGTGGCAAGATCCATATAATTTATAACAGTTTCTCGCATTTCAAATGGCATATCAAACCATCCAGTTGTATTATCATCCAATTCCATAATTTCGCAATAATGAAACAACTAGAATCAATAAATTCGGAGAAAATTACACAAAACTGTCCTATTGCAACAAAAGATGAACTGTCATTCCCAAAAAAAAAGTCTGAAAAAAAAAAGAAAAAGGGGGGGCGGAGTCGATTGTGAAATAGTTTTCTGAAGATAATTTACTCAAGTTATGTGGCGCTAAAAAGTATAAAGCAATTATTGTTCGAAAATAGTCCATTCGCTTTCATTGAAGTCAGGTGGAGCACGGCAGTGAATTTTCATAGCTGGCATGTTTCCTGGACATTCGATCCAAATAATTTTGCTCATTTGTTTGAACAAATATTCAACTTGATAACGTCTGAAAAATGAATAACTGAAATATTGTATTAAAAAAATGGAATAACTTACGTAACTCTTTTAGCATAAAGGCCTGGAGTATTGTCTAAATCGATTCTTGATTCAAATATGATTTGATAGACATTTTGATCAATTCCAACAGTAAACAAACGATTCAAAATTTTTTCAATATCAAATTGTTCACTGCCATCAGAACGAATGAAAATAGTTTTTGATTTTAGTTGAAATATCTGTTCGATTGTTAGATTTGAAATTGAAACATCTTTTTGAATGGAGCAAAGTTGTTCGAAATCAATAAATCCACAACTAATCGGATTGATGTTCGAAGAGAGCGCAATTGATTCTAACTTATTCAAATTGTTTTCAATTTTCATCTTGTTGTATGGAAAATCGGGCTTAAAATAATTACTTAAGTCTCTGAGGCTAAATTCCCTTCTATAAAATAACTTACAATACTAATCCACAAGCTTCTCAAGGAATTCTTCACAAATTTCAAAATGCCTCGCAAAAGATACATTACAAAATCAGTAACTTGTTCCCTCGTTTCCAGTTCAATCAGCCGATTTTTATATTGTGAGCGTAAATTCATAAGTTCTCCTTCTGATACATTTGGGATGTCACAAACGAGGAAATTTGTTATTATAAAACCGATTTTTGTTTTTCGAAGACTGGACATTTGGAAAAAAACACCTTTGTTCTCGCCGTAACAATTATTTTTTATGCTACACGAAAAATAGGACGAATCGAATAATTGGGATTCTTCGAAACACAGTTTCGAACATTGTGAAAATTGAATTTTTGTAGCAAGATCCATATAATTTATAACCATTTCTCGCATTTCAAAAGGTATATCAAACCATCCAGTTGGATCCAAATTATCATCGACTTCCATTTCGAACAGTTTTTCAAAATAAAATAAAAATATAATATTTCGCAATAATAAAACAACTAGAATCAATAAATTCCAAGAGAACTACACAAAAGAAAACAGCCATTCCCAAAAGTTTCGACGATGAAAAAATAATATTAAAAACGAAAAAGGGGCGGAGCCAAAAAAAAAGGCGCTTTTCTTTTTTAAAATTGAATCATATTCTTCAGTTGGTCGTGCAAAAAAAAGGAAAAAACAAAAATTTTTTTTGAAAAAATAAAAAAATCTCGTTTGATGTTTCTGTAAAACACCAATTTTTTCAATTCAATATTTTACAAATAATATTTTTTCGCAACAATAAAACATCTGGAATCAATAAATTCCACAAGAGAGAATTACACAAAAGTAAACGTGCCCTATTGCGAATGCTTATCGCCGCCAGATTTGAAATTTTCATTTTTTTTTTAAATCAGATTTTTCTTCAATATTTTACAAACGAATCCATTTGATATGTTCGAAGTCAGAAGTATGGAAGTATATACTAACTGAGGAATTTTGTCTCGCATCAGCCAGGCTAAACATTTTATGGTTTCGTTTGAACAAATATTCGACATCACTCCACGGTCTGCAAAGTTTTTTATACAACTTGAATATGATATTAGGATAAGAATAACTCACGTGGATCGTGTTGCATAAATTCCCGGAATCGCACAAATTTCCGGAAAGGAATTCAAATCCTGTTTTGCTTCAAACGTGATTTGACGAACATTTTTATCAATTCCATCAGTAAACAAACGATTCACAACTCGTTCGATATCAAATTTTTCACTTCCATCATAACCAACAGAAATAATTTCTGCTTTTAGTTGAAATATTTGATCGAATGTTAGATTTGGAATTTCAACTACTTTTTTTATAGAGCAAAGATGTTCGAAATCGATAAATCCACAACTAATCGGATCAACTTTATCATTTGGAGAGAGATCAATTGACTTCAAATATTTCAAATTTCTTTCAATTTTCATCTTGTTGTACGGAAAATCGGGCTGAAAATAAGTCTCTGAGGCTAAATTCCCTTCAAAATGACTCACAATACTGATCGTCAAGCTTCTTAAGCAATTCTTCAGAATTTTCAATAAACCTCGCAAAAGATACATTACATAATCAGTAACTTTTTCTCTTGTTTCAACTTCAATCAATTGATTGCCATATTTTGAGCGTAAATACATCAAATTTTCTTCAGATATGGCAGAATTATCACAAACTAGAAACCTTTTCAATCTCATCCATTCGATCTCTTGATCAACATCCGATTCGTTTTCGTCTTCGTCTTCTGAATCACTAGTCCAGATATGATCTCTCAACACTTCGAAAGAAACGCCTTCCAGTTTAGTGAATGGACTATTTTTTATATTGACAGAAGTGTAACGCAAATCAGGTAATTGGACTTCTTCAAAACATAATTTCGAACATTGTGAAAATTGGATTTTTGTTGGAACATCCATATAATTTATAATCATTTCTCGCATTTCAAAAGGTATATCAAACCATCCAGTTGTATCCAAATCGACTTCCATTTCCATTTCGATCAGTATTCAGAAAAATAATAAGCGAGAATCGACAAATTCCGAGAGAACTACACAAAAGTGAATGTGTCCTATGTTTTGCAACAAAAGAAAACAGCCATTCCTAAAAGTTTCGACGATGAAAAAATAATATTAAAAACGAAAAAGGGGCGGAGCCAAAAAGGGGCGCATTTCTTTTGAAATTGAATCATATTCTTCAGTTGGTCGTGCAAAAAAACAAAAAAAAATTTTTTGAAAAAATAAAAAAAATCTCAATGAAGTTAATCGTGCCAAATATATTTTTTAAAACTTTTTTTCGTGTTTTTCCCATTCATCATTATTTACTTGTAATTTTGTTTCATTTTCGCTCAATAAATTGTATGATTTTTTGAAGAGTTCGAGTGACATTTCGAAGTTTTTTGAAAGTTCAGATTCTTCTTCAAGATTTCATCCACTTTGGAAAAATTGAAACATTTTTTTTCCAAAAAACTTTAATTAGGAAAAAAACAAGCAATTTTCAACATCAAAAAAATAAATAAAACATGTTTGAAACAGAAAAAATAAGTGAGTAAAACAAGACTATATAAACAAAAATTACCGATTTTCCAGCTTACAAATGTGATTTTCCGAGAAGAATCGATAAAATGGCCATTCTGACAAACATTCCATTTTTAGCTTGTCTGAAATAGGCAGCTCTTTCATCGTGATCCAATTCGACTGCAATTTCATCGATTCTTGGCAATGGATGCATTACAATTGGAAGAGTTCGGGTTGGAACTGGAAAAAATGATAAAATGTTTCAAATTTCAGCCTCATCCCGAATTTTCAGCCCAAAATTCCTCACCCAAAATACTTTGCAAAACTTCTTCCTCTTTTTCCAGCCTCATTCAACAATTTCGCATTAATCACATAACTTCCTTTCACTTTTTCATAATCTTCCGAATTGGCGAATCGTTCCTTTTGAATTCGGGTGACGTAGACAACATCCACGTGGCGAATTCCTTCGGCCAAATTGTTGAATTTTTTCTGGAAAGTACATTTTTAATTTTGCAAAAAAATCTTGGAAAATCTCATTTTCAGATGAAAATTCTCAAAAATAACCGGAAAACTTCAGATTTTCTAGAGGAATCTCAAATTCCAGCTATTTTTACTGATCAAAAATTTTCAAGCAAAAATTAGATTCTTCAATTTTTTTTCTGAAAAAAAATGAGTTAGCCAGGATTCGAACCAGCTCCTTTCGATTGGAAAATATTGAATTTTTAACAAAAAAACCTCAATTTTCATATTTCAGATAGAAATTCTCAAAAATATCAGATTTTCGAGAGGAATCTCAAATTCCAGCTATTTTTCTGATAAAAAATTGCAAGAATTTTAGATTTCTCTTGAAAATCTGATTTTTCTCATCTGAAATTTGAAAATCAGTGAACTTTTGAAACTTTTAAAATTCCAGATGAGAAAAATCAGATTTCTAGCCATTTTTCAGGATTTTCAAGGGGAATCTCAAATTCCAGCTATTTTTACTGATAAAAAAAAATTGATTCTTCAATTTTTCCTGAAAAAAAACACCAGAAAATCTAGAAATTTCTAGATTTTCAAATATTTTTTATCAGTAAAATTGAAGAATTTTGACTAGAAATCTGATATTTTCTGATTTTCCATCAGAAAATCTAGAAATTTTCACAGGATTTTTATATTTCTAGATTTTCAGGCCCCGGGTTCGAATCCGGGTGGGGGAACTACATTTTTTTCAAAAAAAAAATTCCCAAACCTGCACAAAATTAGTCTTCGCTCCAACATATTGAATAACATCTTCTGGCATTTGCAATTCCTCAATCGGCGCAATATAATGCAGAGTAATATCCTTATACAAACACAACAATTTGGCCAACGAATGAACAGTTCTTCCATTTCTCAAATCTCCAACCAACGCAATCGTCAATCCATTTACAGTTCCCATTTCTTGTCGAATTGTATAAACATCTAAAAGTGCTTGTGTTGGATGTTCACCAGTTCCATCACCGCCATTGATTATTGGTTGATCGCAGATTCGGGCGGCTCTTTCGGCTGCTCCATTTTCTTTGCTTCGGAGAACAACAACATCACCGTAGCTGCCGAGGATTTTGACAGTGTCTGGAATTTTTTTTTGAAATTTTCGTGATTTTTGAAGGATTTTTTCGGGAAACTTTTTGACAAAAATTTAAAAATTTTACATCAAAATCAATAATTTCTGAAATTTACGTGATTTTTAGAAAGAATTTGATCAAGATTTCAAAATTTAGACAAAAATTGATGATTTTTACATGAAAAATTCAGATTTTCTGAAAGTTTCAGTCCAAAAAAATTCAATTTTCATTTTTTTTTAAAACAAAATCTGATTTATTCATGAAAAATCACAGGCTTTCGGTCACAAATAACCACAATTTTGTATTAAACTAAAATACTTCAAATTCCCGTCAAAAATCGAATTTTCTGATTTTTTCGTAGAAAATCATAGGTTTTTGGTGAGAAATTCAAAGCTTGGACAAAATTGAGAATTTTTGAAATTTTCGTGATTTTTAGAGGATTTTATCGGGAAACTTTTTGACAAAAAATAACAATTTTTACATCAAAAATCAATAATTTCTGAAATTTTCGTGATTTTCAAGGGTTCTTTGGGTAAATTTTTTACAGCTAGAATATGAACAATTTTTCAAAATTTGTACAAAATTGATGATTTTTACATGAAAAATTCAATTTTCTGAAATTTTCAGCAAAAAATTCTATTTTCATTTTTTTCAAAAATCAAATTTTCTAGATCAGAAAATTCTGAAAAATCTGATTTTTCATAGAAAATCATAGGAGTTTGGTGAAAAATTCGATATTTTCCCATAATTCCCCCCTCAAAAACCCAACCTTCCAAAGTCTCTCCTTTCTGTACCGATGACGTGGCACTATCAACCGAAATAACACTTCCACCCAATCTTTGCATTGCAGCCGCAAATGAGCAAGATGTTCTTGTTGAAACCTCATAAAATAGATTGACCAAAACGTGTCCATTCAGAATATGATTTAATTTGTGATGTCGATCAATATCATGTTTATATCTGTCAGCCAAATCGAAGATTTTGTTGATTTGAAGTTTGTCCAAATTTTTGACACTTATCAAATGTTTCGCAACTGGACTAATTGAATCATTCAAATTTGTTGGTGAAAGTGCGCGTGGTGGAGTGTGAAGTGGACTTTGTTCATCACAACTATCAGTATGTGGGCGAGTTAGGAGATCTGCAAAAATGATTCAGGATAATTGGAATTTAACAGAAAAAATGTGTGAAATTCAGAATTTTGATGAAAAAATCAGGTGAATTTGAAAAAAAAACCCATTTTCTTGAAAATTCGGCTAGAATTTCATGAAAATTCTAATTTCAGCTTAATTTTTCACATTATTCAAATTTTCAAAAAAATTGAAAAATTTCCGAGCTAAATTTTGATGAAAATTCCAATTTTTTATGAAATGCAGTTTTTCTTTCTGATTCAGAAATTTGAAGAATTTCGAATTTTCAGATCAAAATTCTAATTTCAGCTTAAAACGCACAATTTTTCATAGTATTCAAATTTTCTGAAAATATAAGAATTCCTGAGCTAAAATTTGATGAAGATCCCACATTTTCATCTGAAAATTCCGAAAAAAAACCCACCATCCTGCAATTCCTCAAAATCTCCAGCTCCAAGTGATGTCCTTCCTGTCGCCGCATACAATCTCAAATTCTTCCCACTTCCCGCCTTCGCAACAATCCGCCCATCAATAAACGCTTCCTCTCCACGAATCACAACATTCACAACTCTTCCATGAACTTTTCGCCCAGCGAACGGTGTCCAACCAGCTTTCGATTTCCCGCCATTCTCCGGAATCACCCACTCTTCCGCCAAATCCACTTCAATATACGTGTTATCATCTTGCGCAGCTGGCAAATTGAAAATCTTGCGTGGATTCGTCGACAATCGATCGGTAACATCTTTCAAACTCAGCAAACCATCATAAACCGCTGTGAGAAGAAGTGGAAGCATGAATTCGACGCCGGGGAATCCGGGTGGAATATTTCCAGATTTCCCAGTTTTTTCGTCCCATGTATGCGGGGCGTGATCGGTGGCAAAACAATCGATGAATTCGAGATTATCCCAGAGGGCTTTGCGATCTTCTTCGGTGACGAGACGCGGGCGAACTTCGCGAATTCCTTCGGGCAAATCTTTTTCGGTTAGGAGAAGATGATGAGGACAAACTTCACAAGTAACTGCCCAACCCTGAATGAATTTAGGGTAAATCAATTTTTGAATGTTGGGTTTAGGTAATTTAATAAAAAGTAAATTCTTAAGGGTTAAGTTAGGTGCAATTTTCGAAAAAATATTCTAAATTTGGGCATAGCTTCCACATCCCTGCTGAAATTCCAATGAAAATCTGAAAAATGCTAGATTTTCTCTAGTTTTTCAGATTTTTATCGTATATTTCAGAAATTCAAGCAGTCTTCCGCAGCCACACATTTTTGGGCTTGTTCATTTTCCACACAAAAAAAACAGTTTTCTGAATAATTTTGTTGAGAAAATACTAGAAATTCAAATTTTTCACTGAAACCGTGAAAATTTATTGAAAAATACAAAGTTGAAATTTCAAATTTTAACACTAGAAATTCATGAAATTTTATGGGATTTTCTATTTTTTTTTTGAAATAAATTTATTTTCAAAATCAATTTTTCAACTTCGACAATAACACAGTTTTCTGAATAAGTTTGTGTAGAAAATCCCAGAAATTCAAAATTTTCAAATTTTTTCTTTGAGTTTTGAAGGTTTCCAACAGAAAAACTGCAATTTTTGACCACTTACTCGCTTTTTCGCATCTTTGATCAACAAAATTTCATCTTTGGTTGCCACGTGGCAAACATGAACCGCTCGATTGGCCATTTGCGCAACACACAAAACCGCAGCCAACGTCTGTTTTTCGGCATGACAAACGATCGGACGATTTGGTGGGAAGGCGGCAAAATGTCGTGTCCAATCGGAGATATTGTCCATTTTGAGTGTGGAGAATGTTTCGTTCAAATACATTTTGAGACCGGCCGATTTTTCGGCGAAATCTGCGGCGAAGTTGGAGTTTGTGGGAGTGGCACCGATGTAGAGAGCATAGTCGACGACCGATTTTGAGGAGGCGAGCTGGAAAAAAGATTTCGTGAATTTGGAATCCCAAATTTTGGAGGAACAACTTGTGCCATTTTTTTCGAGAAGCCTGAATCACAATTTTCAGATTTTAGAAAAAATTATGATTTTTCAGATTACAAAATTTCACTAATTCTGGAGGAAAAACTTGAATTCCACGTGGAATTCTCATATTTCGTGGATTTTTCAAAAAAATGTCAAAGTTTGAAATTTTTAACTGAAAATCGATTTTCTAAAATTGCAAATTTCTTTCAGATTTTTAGAGAAAAACATTTGATTTTTCAGATTTTGTGAATTTTCCAGAAATTTTAGGGAAAAGCATTTTCAACAAAAAAATTGAAAATCTCAATAATTTTAAGGAAACACTTGAATTTTCGAATTTCGTGGATTTTTTCAGAAATTTTTAAAATCAAAAAAAAAAAAGATCCAAAATTTTCTTGATTTCACTGATTTTGCCATCAAAAACATCAAAAAGTTTTCAAATTTCCTGAATTTTTAAAACTTTAAAGCATGAAAAATGCTCGCAATTCAGAATTTCAAGAAAAAATATTTCCAAAAATCTTCTTCTGATCTACAAAAATTCACAAATTTGGCCACAAAAACAGATTTTCAGATAATTCATGTCCAGAAATGCCACAAAATTTCTTGTTCCAAAAAATACGTTTCAAAAATGTTCCAAATCTCAGACCGGAAAATTTCCCAGATTCAAATCTAATGTCCGTTCGCCAGCGAAGAAAACGCGTAAACAGTTTATCAACAAAATTAATCAAGAAAACTTGGAAGATAAGTATAATTCGAGTTTTGCAAACTTCTGAAAGAAGAAAAATTACAAATTGCTTCTTTTTTGGTGAAAAACGGAGAAAAAACAAGAAAAAACAGAAAAAAAATGAAAAAAAAATGGGTCGGCAAAAAAAAGCAAACTACGGTATGTAGTTGGAGCGCGTTTCCTTCGCTGAACAACAAACAGTAGTTTTTTCTCTCGAAAATCCTCATTTTCACAGTATTTTAACACCCCAAAACCCCCCACCTTCTCAGTCTCATAAAAAGTCTGCGCATCAACCAATGCAGGCGTTGTATTCGGCATCGCCAAAATCGTGGTAATACCTCCAGAAAGCGCCGCTTTCGAGCAAGTCTCCCAATCTTCTTTGTGCGTCGCCCCAGGTTCACGAACATGCACATGAACATCAATCAAACCAGGCAATCTCTTCAAATTCCGCGAAGTCACACAATCAATTTGCGAATTCATCGCTGGCCGTTTTCCAACCATATTCAACGCTCGAATGAATATCTTCGCACATTTAATATCAGTAATCAATGGAATTCCATTATCAACAGCCATTCTTCTAGTTTTATATCCATGTGTTCTGAAGGCTGAAACTCGATATGCACCAGATCCACGAATCGGCAAATTAATGACCAAATGGAATTCCTTATTTTCCAGGAATTCAACGACACTCCGGCTTCCACTCGCCGTTTTTTCATCCGACGATCCTTCTTCAAACGGCCAATCAACTGGTTTCACGTTGATTTTATTCATTTGGAAATAATCAGCGGTTCCTGGACAAAAAAATTACCGATTTTGTATGATAAAAACCATGGGAAATCCTCACCTTTTGATCCGTACAATTCATATCCCAAATGTTGCAAAATTTCGACACTTTTCAACATTTCCGCTTTTGCGTGATAACCTCCGATTGAGATGAAAATGTTCTTTTTTGGAACGACGAATCCGGTTGAGAAGAGCGACTGGAAAAAATTAATTTTAATTGGATTTTTAGCTAGAAAAATTTTCAGTTTGGGCTTAGGCTTGAAATTCAGGCCCTAAATTTTGCCGAAATTGTTAGCCTAAGCCTAAAATTTTAAAACTTAGCCTAAATCTTAATAAGTCTACACCTAAATTTGAACCCAAATACCTAAACCTTATGGATTTTCAGCTTACGCCTGATTCAGGCGGCCTGAATTTAAAGCCCAAGTCTAAATTATGAGCCTAGATCTGAATATAAGCCTGAATGAACTTAGGCCAAGTCAAAAATTCTAAGCCTAGGCCTAAAATTTTAAAACTTAGCCTAAATCTTAATAAGCCTACGCATGAATTTGAAAGCTAAAACCTAAGCCCAAATTTCAAGCCTAAGGTTAAATTTTAAGCCTTAGCATAATTTTATTAGGTCAAGGCCTACATTTTAAGCCCTAAGCCTAGAATTGATTTTAATCCTAAGCCTAAGCCTAAATGGTTAAAAATCTGAGCCTAAATTTTGAACTTCGGTCTTTTTTTTCGGTTTTCAAGCCTAGGTCTAAAATTTAAGCTTAACTATAAGTGATTTCAGGCTTTTAACCCCAAGCCGAGATGATTTTAAGCCTAATGATAAGCTTAATTCTACTAGGCCAGAACCTACATTTTAAGCTCAAACCTAGATGATTTCAATCATAGGCCTAAAATTGAAGCTTAACCCTAATTGATTTTAAGCTCAAGCCTAATAATTTCCAGCTTAGGACTAAATTTTCAGATTTTAAAGCCCAGAATAAATTCCTCACCTTCAAATACGCCTCATATCGATCTTTTCCAAAACACGCAACCTCTCCCGTCGAACTCATCTCAACTCCCAACATAACATCAGCTCCAGCCAAACGAGAAAACGAGAATTGCGGCACTTTGACACCAACTCTGCCTTTTCCTTTGAGCAAAGTGGCGGTTGGTTTGATGGTGGCTCGAATTGCCGGATTATCTTCGGCCATCATTGCACGAGTTGCCAGCGCAACAAAATCGTAGTCCAGGGTTTTGGAGACGAATGGGAATGAACGAGAAACTCGCAAATTGCATTCAATAACCTGGAGAAAAAAGGAGGTTTGGGAAAAGTTGATGAAAAAAAAACCAAATTTTTTTTCAAAAATTTCATAAGATTTTTTGCACCAGAAAATACGTTTCAAAATAATTTTATTGATTTTCTACTAAATTGTAACGTTTCGTTTTTTGCTCCTTGAACATTCGTGGAAAACTGTATTTTTACCTGACTCGAAAATTTCTATTTTAAATTTTCAAAATTTGAGTCTGAAAATTTAAAAAAATCAAAAATTACACTTTTTCTAGTGCTAAAAATAAAAAAGTTCTTGAAATGTTTTCGCCATGAAATTTCGAATTTTAGGCCCACAATTCCACGTGAAATATTTATTTTCAATGGTATTTATAAGAGTACAATGAGAAAGTTACAGAACGTTTCAATTTTCCGTAGAAAATGGATTAAATTATTTTGAAACGTATTTTTTTCCAGTTAGAATTTCTCAAAAAAAAAAACATTTTGCCACGTCAAATTTTGAGGTCAAAAAATCCTGAAACCTTAAAAACTGAAATTTTCGCCGCTCACCTTCAACTCATTATCCTTGGCAATTAATTGCATATTAAATGGTCCATTCGCATTAAAAGCCGACGCAATTTTAATCGTAATATCCTTAATTCGATCCAACGTCACTTTATTCATATCTTGAGCCGGTGTGACCAAAGAAGCATCTCCCGAATGAACACCAGCATTTTCGATGTGTTCACTGACTGCCATCACAATTAATTCACCATCAATCGCAACTGCGTCGACGTCGAGTTCTTTGGCTTCGCTGGAAAGAAAATGGGGAATTATTTTCAAACTCGCACCTAAAGTACTCGAGAAAAAATTCAAAATTTGGGCATAGCTTCCGCATCTCTGCTGAAATTCCAATAAAAATCAGAAAATGCTAGATTCACTCTAGTTTTTCAGATTTTTATCGGATATTTCAGAATTCGAGCAAAGTCTTTAGCAGCCACGTGAATTGCTATATGACGTCATAGCAATTCACGTGGCCGTCAAAGCGGAAAAATAAAGAATTGAAAGAATGCAAAAAACCGTATTTCGTCAGTCGCGTGCGGCTGTGCTTCGCGGTCGGGAAACAAGAACCGCGACGCAGAGCCGCACGCGACTGACGAAGTACAGTTTTTTGCATTCATTCAATTCTGCACACATTTTTGGGCTGATTTTTGAAAATTTTTCGAAAACTACAATTTTTCCAGTTTACCGAATAATTTTTGTGTAGAAAATCCCCAAAAATTCAAAATGTTCACTGTAACCATGAAAATGGCTGAAATTTCCAATTTAAAAAAATCCCCCAGCACTAACTTAATAAATTTGCTAACAACAACCGGATGATCCTTCGCAACAACCGCCGCTTGTTTTAAAAACACTTCCAAATCCTCCGCATTATGCGCAACATTCATCGCAGCTCCCGACAATACATAACTCGGCCGAATTAGACACGGATATCCGACTTGTGCGCAAAAACTCTTCGCATCTTCCATATTCTCACTCTTCTTCCATTGTGGTTGACTGATTTTCAACAATTCCAATTTTCGCGAGAATTTGAAACGATCTTCAGCGTTATCAATGTCATTTGGAGAAGTTCCGAAAATTTTAACCTGCGCGCGAGATAATGACATGGCAATGTTATTTGGAGCTTGGCCACCGAACGCAAGAATAACTCCTTTTGGATTTTCCAAATTATAAACATCGATGACGGTTTCGAATGAGATTTCTTCGAAATATAAACGATCACAAATATCGTAGTCAGTTGAAACGGTTTCCGGATTACAATTTATTGTTATTGTTGTGTAGCCAAGAGCCTGAAAATACGAAATTAAAAAAAATAGTGAAGTGTGTTATGAGTCCCGGAGATTTTCAATGATTCTCTACAGTTTTTCACTCTGAAAAAGATCTAGTTTTCAGTGACTCTCCGAAGAGCCCAGAAAATGAGCCAAGTTTTGTGGAATTCGGGTTTTGAGAGCCCTCAACTCATGTTATTTTGAGAATCGTGAGACCTAAAATTTCAGCAAAACTTTTTTTTCTGGAAAATATGAATGAATTGTAAATTTGAATGGGAACAAGTTGATTGATCGCATTGTTAGATGAAATTGTAACTTTGCCTTCAGGAAGTTAACAACAATATAATTTGAATAAATTAATTGGTTTCAATTAATTCTGGAACGTACATTTTCCAAACTTTCAAATATAACTGAATTTAATTTCAGTAATGAGAATTCCAAATGAATTCGGAAATCGGGTTTTCAGCACGGAAATCAACAGATTGGGACATTTTCCGGCTGAAATTGGCTTTAGAAACTAGAACTTCCAATTTCACCCTGAAAATTGGTCCGATTTCTCCCCGAAAATTCTTCCCGCACCTTCAATTCTCGAATACATCCAACACACGACGAGTCGAATTCCACCGACGATCCAATTCGATAAACCCCACTTCCAAGTACCATCACAGCATTCTTCATATTGAATTCGACATCGTTTTGAACGCCGTTGAACGTTGTGTACAGATAATTGGTTTGTGCCGGCCATTCACCGGCTACTGTATCGATTTGTTTGACGCATGGACGAATTCCTTTTTCGTGACGCGTTTCACGAACTGACCATTCATTGCTGTAAAAATTGTGGGAAAATTAGGAGAAAACTTGTAATTTTTATCTAGAATAATTCCTGATAAATTTTGATGAAAAACTAGATTTTCTTTTTTTTGATTTATTTCCAATTCGAAAGTATTCATTGAAAAAAATATTTGATAGTAAATTATATCAAAATTTTGAAACGTATTTTTTTTTGTTTTTATAAAATTCGAATATTTGAATTTTTTTGAGCGAAACTTTCAGGAACATAGAATTTTTGAATTTTCAGCACTAAAATAGTGAAAAATCGATTAAAATTTGAATTCCAGAATTAATTTCAATTAAAAAAAATCATTTTGAACTTCTAACTTTTTTTTCAATTATGGGAAAATTAGGAGAAAACTTGTAATTTTTAGAATAATTCTGATAAATTTTGATGAAAAACTAGCTTTTCTTGGTTTTGACTTATATCCATTTCGAAAATTTTCATTGAAAAAAATATTTGATAGTAAATTATATCAAAATTTTGAAACGTATTTTTTTAGTTTTTATAAAATTAGAATCTTCGAATCAAATTTTGACTCGAAACCTTTGAGAAATTAAAGCTCCTCATCTTAGGCTAACTCCGGATAATTTTTTTATCAAAAATTAGGCGATGCTTGAAATTGTGAAATAAATACTATTTTAATTTTTTTGAGCGAAAATTTCAGAAACTTATAATTTTTTTAATTTTAAGCACAAAAAAACTTGATAAAAATTTCAATAATTTTCGACAAAAAACTGAAAATAATAAAACTTTAAATGAAAATTTCACGTGATAATCTAAACTTTATTATGTTTTTTTAGCACCGAATGAAAAGCGAATATTGTAAGATCAATAAACACTATATTGAAAAAAAAAATTTGATAGTAAATTATATCAAAATTTTGAAACGTATTTTTTTTAGTTTTTATAAAATTAGAATCTTCGAATTTTTTTGAGCGAAAATTTCAGGAATATAGAATTTTTGAATTTTCAGCACAAAAATAGTGAAAAATCAATTAAGACTTGAATTCCAGAAATAATTTCAATTCAAAAAAACTGAAAATAATTGAATTTTGGTTGAAAATTTCAATTTTCTCAATTATCCCATACCTTCCAATCTTCTTTGCAATTTGTCGATCCGAGAAACCAGCCTGTTTGGCTTCCAACAACAATTCAGCCGAAACACTCGAAATGCTCTCTTTTTCCAATCGATGATAAATATCAACAATATTATACATTCGATAAAGGAACCATCTATCGATTGCGGTCAATTCGTGAACTCGTTCAACATCAAAATCTCCATAGTACATTCCACGCGCCAGTGCAAACATCCGCTTGTCTGTGGGTTTTGAGAGATCCTGAATTGAAATATTGGTTTAAAGGTGGAGTCTTTTTTATTTCTGGAAATTAATTTCAGAATGATTTTTTTGAATTGAAACCTCTGGAAACTTCTCAAACATTTTAAAGAGAAGTTGGTAAAATTTCAGCTTTTTTTGTGGGTGAAAATCCGGAATTTTATCCAATGAAATTTACAAGGAAACCTTTTTTACTCAACACTTCAAATCTCGATGAAATCTTCTCCATAGATAGCTTTTGGGGTCATAAGAACACCCTGAAAATTTTAGTCTCCCAATGGACCTCTGAGCCAAGTTCTGGGCTCTCAAAAGTTCGAAATTTGCCAAAATTGGCTCATAAAACACGTCATAACTCAATTTTCGATCATTTTTATGAAAAACTGAGTAGCAGATGATGATCAGCGTGGTCGATTTACCCAAAAACCATCAATAAATCGAATTTTCAGAAAAATTTTTGATTTTGAAAAAAAGAATGAGCAGGGGCACATATGAATTTTCATGAATTTTCAGCCGAAAAATAAAAAACTTCAAAATTTTTCGAAATAAAGTTTTTTATTGATTGACTTTTAGGTAATCGACTATGCTGATCAATATCTGAAACTTTATTTCTCCCAAAAAAATTTTGAAATGGAGCTATGATGACTTTTATGACCATTTTTAGGCCTTTTTTGAACTTTTGAGAGCCCAGAACTTGGCTCAGAGGTCCATTGGGAGACTGAAATTTTTAGGGTGTTCTTATGGTCCCAAAAGCTATCTATGGACAAAAATGCATTATGATTTGAAGTGTCGAGTAAAAAAGGTTCCCTTGTTAGCAAAAAACAAGATTTTCTTTATTTTATCCAAAAGTCAAAATTTCTGAATGGAAATCGAGATTTTTAAAGAAATAATGGGACTATTCAAGTTATTTTCTCAACGCTGAGAAAAGCGAAGAAAACCTATTCAGGTAGGCTGAGAAAATACGAAAAAAGTGAAGAAAATACAATTTCTCCGCATTTCTCCTGTTTTCTCAGCGTGTTGAGAAAATACTTGAATAGCCCCATAAATGTTTTCTAGTAGTTTTCGACCGGCTGATCACGATTCCGCTGTCTAAAACTACAAAGCTCGACTCCTAACATGAGTTATGACGTGGAAAATTTTGGAGGGTCAGAATTCGCCTTTAAAATTATTTTCATGAAAATCCAATAGCATAGGGTTCTTGAGGATTTTCATGAAAATAAATTCAAAGGCAAGTTTTTACCTCCAAAAGTCCCAAATTTGCCACGTCATAACTCATTTTAGGAGTTGATCTTTGCAGTTTTAGACAGCGGGATTATGATTAGCTGGTCTAAAATTACTAGAAAACATATATTTTATTGAAAATCTCGATTTCCATTCAGAAATTTTTACTTCTGGATGAAATAAAGAAAATCCTGTTTTTTTTGCTAAATTTCATAAAATTCTGGATTTTCACCTATAAATTTCACATTTTTGTCATCTGTCATGATATTTTACAGAATCGGTTCGGGCTCTTTTTTCAAAAAAAAATCCTGATTTTCTCATACCTCATCAGTCGGTGGTCGATTAAAAGTATACGGTGAAAATCCATCCGCATGATCCGACACCATTCTCAACGCCTTCTGCAGTGCTTCCTCGAAACATCTTCCAATTCCCATAACTTCTCCAACCGATTTCATTGAACTTCCAATAGTTGTGCTGACTCGCGCAAATTTTCCCAAATCCCATCGCGGAATTTTGACGACACAATAATCGAGACTCGGTTCGAAGCATGCGGTGGTGTTTCCAGTGACAGAATTTCGAATGATTGGGAGATGTTGACCGAGTGCAAGTTTGGCGGCAACATATGCAAGGGGATAACCGGTGGCTTTTGAGGCAAGAGCTGAAGAACGCGAGAGACGAGCATTCACTTCAATAATGTAGTACTGGAAAAAAAACATGGATTTTCAGAAAAATGTTGAAAAAATTCAATTTTTCTGGGAGAATGTTATCGATGTTTGAAAAATTGTAGATTTTGAAACTGTAGATTTTGAAAAAATCGCTTTCCAGTCGAAAATATGGGGAAAAATATAGTTTTTGGCCAAAAAATTTACAGTATCCAAAAATTACTTTCAATATAATTTTACTTCAATTGAAGATTCATGAAAAGTCGATAAACATTGTAGGTCAAAATTAGTTTTTCGAGTTTTTCAACCAAAAAATAATGACAAATCGAGATTTTGGAAACTTCTGAAGTGATTTCTGATGAAAATGAGCCTTATTTTACCTTATTTTATTGATTTTTTCGAAATTCATCAAAATTTGAAATTTGTACGAAAAATCATCAAAAACTTCTGAAGGTCAATTTTCATCAGAAATCACTTTAGAAGCTTCAAAAATCTCGATTTGTCATCATTTTTGACTGAAAAACTCGAAAAACTAATTTTGACATTCAATGTTTTTTCTGCCCTAGTTAAAATTTAGAATTAAACAGAACTACGAAATTACTGTAGATATTGCCGCCATAAATTTACTGTTTCAAATTTTTCAGAAATCTACAAATCTGAAAAAAAAATCAACTGTTTCAAAATTTGTTCAGATCTACAATTTTCGATAATTTCATAAGCCTGTTCGTCTTATCATGTTTGGAGTTAAAATTAATTAATTAAATGGAAAAACACGAGTTTTCATAAATTTCCCCCAAAAACCTACTGTCAACGAAAAAGGATCCAACGCATATTGAATATTACATTCTCCAATGATTCCCAAATGTCGAATAACCTTGATCGCACACGTTCTTAACGCATTATATTCTCGATCCGACAGTGTTTGTGATGGCGCAACAACAACACTTTCGCCGGTATGAATTCCGAGTGGATCGACATTTTCCATATTACAAACTGTTACACAATTATCGTAGGCATCACGAACCACTTCGTATTCGACTTCTTTCCAGCCCTGTGAAAATTTGGGAGGTTTTTTTTTTGATAATAATACCTAATTATTCTATTGAATATATACACAGAAACAAATTATTCACAATTTCTGAATATTTCACAAAATTTTGAAACGTATAATTTTCTTTGTGAAAAATTCGGTGAAAATTAGGAATTTTTGATATGAGAAATATATTTTTAAGCTTGAAAAAATAGGAAAAATATCACTAAAAATTAAAATCACAAATTACATTTTTCGGAAAAAATTCAAATTGAAAAAACACGGATTTCAATTTTCTCTAGGCTCGGTTCCTTGGCATCGAAGATCTAGGGCCGCGGCTCCTTGCCAGATTGTGTCTCTAGGCGCCGATCCTCGCCAAATTACATCTTTAGGTTTAGCTCCTAGACAATCAGGTTCTCTAGGCGCCAATCCTTGACAATTGCATTTTCTAGGCGCGGCTCCTTGAAAACTAGATTTTCTAGACTCGGCTACTTAGCAAAGAAGCTTCCAAGCCTCGGCTCCTTGCCAGATTGTGTCTCTAGGCGCCGATCCTCGCCAAATTACATCTTTAGGTTTAGCTCCTAGACAATCAGGTTCTCTAGGCGCCAATCCTTGACAATTGCATTTTCTAGGCGCGGCTCCTTGAAAACTAGATTTTCTAGACTCGGCTACTTAGCAAAGAAGCTTCCAAGCCTCGGCTCCTTGCCAGAGTGTGTCTCTAGGCGCTGATTCTTGACAACTAGGTTTTCTAGTCTCGGCTACTACAAAATTTCGATTCAAAACTATCTCACCTTCAAACTTTTATCAATCAAAACCTGATTCGAATGCGCCAACGCTTGTTGCGCAATAACAATCAACTCCTCGCGATTATCCGCAAATCCACTTCCAAGTCCACCCAAAGCATAAGCTGCTCTCACCAAAACCGGATATCCCAACATTTCCGCCGCCTCAATCGCTCCCTCCATAGTAGTCGCCGCTTTACTCGGCGCCACTTTTTCACCAACCGCCGAGATTTCCTGATTAAAAAGATCGCGATCTTCCGTCTTCATGATTGTTGTGATTTGTGTTCCCAACACTTGCACATTATATTGCTCAAATACCCCATCTTTGTACAAATCAATTGCACAATTTAGCGCGGTTTGTCCACCAAATCCACACAATATTCCAGTCGGTCGCTCTTTTTTGATAACATCTGTCACATATTCTTTGGTGATTGGTAGGAAATATGTGAAATCAGCAAAGCCTTTTGATGTTTGAACTGTGGCGATGTTGGGGTTGATGAGAACTGTTCGAATTCCTTCTTCGCGAAGAGCCTTCAATGCCTGCGCACCAGAATAATCAAATTCTCCAGCTTGTCCAATCGTCAATCCACCCGATCCCAAAACCAACACTTTCCTCTGCTCTTTTGCATGATAAACCTGTTCGAAGCTCATTTTTCTGGTCAATTCCTCATCGACATTCATAAGAATTCCATTTTTGGATTGTCGAACCGCTTCAGCGAAAACATCGAAGAGAAATTCGCAATCGGTTGGTCCGGCGGTGTGTTCCGGATGGAATTGGACACTGGAAAATGGGATTTTGACCGAGGTATTTCCATAAATTTCACAAGGGAAGTGCATGGGTTCTGAAATTTTGATAGAATATATATTGAAATATACCAAATCGACCATGCTGATCACGATTCCGAAGTAAAAAAAATTGCCACAAATGCGTGTGAGCACTTTTCTGGAGCTTCAAAGTTGGAATTAAGTCCCCGGTTTTGTTTTTGTCCAATTTCACCGTTTTCCCGGGTAAAAAATCAACTATAAACTAAAATGCTGATAGGTTTTCGAATGCGGTGAACAACCTGATCCAAGTCATAAAAATTTATTTTTTACCCGGGAAAACGGTGAGAATGAACAAAAACCAGAACTCAATTCCAACTTTGGAGCTCCAGAAAAGTGCTCACAGGCATTTGTGGCAATTTTTGACTTCGGATTCGTTATCATCATGATCGATTTGGTATATTTCCATATGTTTCATCAAAATTTCAGAACCTAACCACTTTCCTTGTGAGAAAAAAATATAATTTTTTGCCGTGAAATCTCATTTCAATCTTCACTGAAATTCAGGTCCATAGAAATCTGTAAATTTGAAGAATTTTGAACGGCCTGGAATATTTATCATCTGAATATACCATTGAAAAAACTCCAAAAAATGCTCCGTCAACCAAAAATCCTGTGCTCAGGGAGCATTTTTGTGAGCTTTTCAAAGTCAAAAGTATATTCAGGTGATAATGGGCCTATGCAGAATAATATTTTGTAATAAAAAAACATTTTTTTCCTATGCAGAAAAACGTCGAAAAAACAAAATATACAGTTTATTATTTTGAGTAGAGACAACGTGAAGTTGAGAGAGTGCAGAGAAAAAAACCATTTTATGTCTGCGCTCTCTCAATTTCACGTTGTCTTTATTTTGTTTTCTCGACGTTTTTCTGCATAGGAAAAAAATGTTTTTTTATGTTTTTTTATTACAAAATATTATTCTGCATAGGCCCATAAGGGTTTCCAGGCCATTCAAAATTCTTCAAATTTACAGATTTCTATTGGCCTAACGAGGAAAGAGATTTTCAATGACACATAGATGTTTCTGTATAGTTTTTCACGCTGAGAAAGATCCAGTTTTTGCTGAGCGACTCGGAAGAGCACAAAAATGAGCTCAAAATCACGTTTTTGAGAGCACGTAACTCATGTTAGAGAAGATTTTATCACAAACTGAATACAGGGTGATGTTCAGGAGGGTCGAAAAACTTCTGAACGCGATCGGCTCATTTTTGTGCTCTTCCGAGTCGCTCAGCAAAACTGGATCTTTCTCAGCGTGAAAAACTGTACAGTAACTTCTGTCTCAGCTTTTCCGATGAAAAATCAATTTCAAACCTGAAAAACGGTTTGCTCGAATGAACAATTCCCTCATTCGTCTTATCATTCTCATTTGTAAACAACGGTTTCCAATCACTGGGCAACGTATTTGTATCAACAGCATATCCATGATTTTGTGATGTGATATAGCATCGTCCAGTCGCATAATGTGTGCACGGCTGATTGTGTCCACGATTTCCGTATTTGAGTTTATAGGTTTTTGCTCCGATTGCACGAGATATCAATTGATGTCCCAAACAAATACCAAATACTGGTTTTTCACCGCGAGCTATCACTTTTGCGATTTTGTCGACGAGAGGAGCGCAGATTTCTGGATCTCCAGGACCGTTTGAGAGGAAAAGACCGTCATAATCTGAAGAAAACAAATTAAGATCAGAATTTTCGCCAACTCTTCGAAAATCCACCTCTTTCAGTGTCAATGGGATGTGTCCACGGAACAACTTTAACTTTGAACCCGCGTTTCGCCAGACATCGAATCTGATTATTTTTCAAACCACAATCAACTGCTAGAATCGTTTGTTCACCATTTCCATAGATTTTCGGCTCTTTTCTTGATACAAAATCCACCAAATTATCCGCGTTTACATCGATGAAATTGTAGGAATTCGGAGAATCCGATTCAACAATCAATTTTGCTTTCATCGATCCAGCATCGCGGATTTTTTTGGTGAGTTGTCGAACATCGATTCCAGACAAACAGGGGACATTGTTTTTACGAAGCCATTCGGAGAGCGATTGAATTGCTTGCCAATGACTGTGTTCGCCATCGTGACAAAGTCTGGAAATTCGTTGTTTTTCACACGGAGAATTTCGAGGTCTCGGAGGGAAAAACATATTGACCCGTCGTCAAAAATTGCAAAGCCCTGGTGAGCTATGCCGTGGCAAATTTCGAAAAATCGTGTAAAAAAAGAACAACTAGGTTCTAAAGTCACGAATTCTCACATTTTGCCACGTCATAACTCATCAGGGCTTTAACAAGGGAACGGTTTCAACTTGCAATCGCGATTTTTAATGAAATATATGTTTTCTAGTGATTTTCGACCCGCTGATCACGATCCCGTTGTCTAAAACTGCAAAGCTAGACTCTTAAAATGAGTTATGACGTGGCAAAGTTGGAAAATTTGAGACTTTTGGAGGTCAAAACTCGTCTTCAAAATTATTTTCATGAAAACCCGATAGCAAGGCTTATGTAATCGACCTTCCTGAACAACCCTATGCTATTGGATTTTCATTAAAATAATTTTGAAGGCGAGCTCCGAAAGTCTCAACTTTCCCAACTTTGCAACGGCATTACTCATGTTAGGAGTTGAGATTTGCAGTTTTAGACAGCGGAATCGTGATCAGTGTGTCGAAAACTACTAGAAAAAATATATTTCATTAAAAATCTCGATTGTAAGTTGAAACAGTTCCCTTGTTTGTAGTTTTCGACTCGCAGGCGATCCCAAAGCCCTGGTGAGCTATGACGTGGCAAAATTCGAAAATGATTTTCATGGAGGCTTGATTAGGAATTGTAGATCTGGAACTTTTGAAAGATCTTATCGAAGTACAGAAGTCCGAAATCTGCAACCTCTATCAGGAGAATTCACGAATTCTCACATTTTGCCACGTCATAACTCATCAGGAAGACGACAAAAACTTTTTTTCTTTCAAAAATCTGTTCTTCGCTCACTTTTCGACAATCAACGCAGCTGGCCAAACTCGATCACTCTCAAACTCCTTCGGCAAACCAAACTCATCCAAAACCCCTCCATCCGGAACTCCATAATTACCAATCAGCGGATAGGTCAACGTCAACATTTGTTTTGCGTACGACGGATCGGTGAGCGATTCGACGTAGCCAACCATTCCGGTTTGGAAGACGATTTCACCAACACAACTTTTGGTGGCTCCGTAAATGTTACCCGAAAACGAGGAGCCATCTTCAAGATGAAGTGTTGCCTTCATATTTTCCCAATTCATTCGTCAGATATGATGATATACTGACTGCAAAAAATAGGAGAAATTGGGAAAATTTGAATTTTTGAGGACAAAAATACGGATTACTTACATTAAAATCAAACCATTTTTTGGGATTAATGAAAATTTGAAATGTTTATTTTTTTGAATTTTTCACGTAAACGTTTGCCACGTCATAAAAGTTCAATTATCTAAAAAATAAAAAAACAATTTTTTCCCAATCTATTTTTAGCTTTAAAAATGTTATGTTTCAAGATAAAAATGAAAAACACAAAAAAAATATTATCATCTTGTTATTCTCAATTTCGAATTCGAAATTTTTTACTCAAGATAACAAAATGATCGCGCGCGGGCAAAAAAAAACATGTGATTTTTTTGCTGTTGAATGGTGTTTACTCCAAAGTACACAGCGAGAGACGCAGACAGTTAGAAAACCCCCGAAAAATAGGGGAAAAGCTGGCCTAAAATCTCAAAAATATTTGTTTCTAGAGCACATTGTCGTTGAAAAATTCGCAAATTTTTTCGACAAAGATCACTTTTTTGTTATCAGCACAGCAGCACACAAAAAAGTTGTTTAGCACTTTTTTTCGAAAAAAAAACGAAGCATAGAATGACCAGTCTAAAGGTGAAAAAATGTCTGATGAACAACAAGTTTTTTGTATCTTCTCTTATTTTTTGAACAAAAAAGACAAAAAGATAAGGGCCTGAGGGAGGGGGGAAAACAGCAAAAAAAAATAGAAAGATATGAAATTGGATTGGGAAAAAGAACACATGTTGTTCTCAAAATGCACCTTTGAAATTAGAATTTGAAAATGGGCACTTTTCAGGTAAAGAGTACCCATTTTTAATCGAATGAGTATTTTTAGCTCTGAATTCCAAAAACCTCAATTTTTCAGCCGAAAATAAGTTAACCCTATACTTTCGAAACTTCTCAATCTTTCACCAAAAATTCAAACAAAAATCCCCACTCATTTCCCCGAAAACCCCGAAAAACCGTGAAATTTGGGAGGCCGAAAATAAAAGTAAAAAATGTGTGTGCAAACACCGCGACGTCAGAATGCACAAAACATTTCACCTGACGCGCAGTTATTTTCATTTTCGCACATTTTTTTTTTTCTTTTTCACACTGTATTTTTTTTTTTTGCAATTCGAGGGAGACGCAGACTTTAACGTGTGCAGACAAATCTCTCGCCGAAAAAGGGAGAGAAATAGTGTGTGGCAGACACACAGCGCGTCGAGACCAGCGAGTGTCTGCGTCTCCTCGAAATTGCATTTTTCTATTAGAAAAAAACACAGTGTCACTTTGAAACAATGAAAACCGTTGCAAAAATCGAGTGACCAGCTTCTTGATAACATAGAGGTCAATATGATAAACATTTTATCTCTATCTAAAAAGTAACTATTTTCTGATAAAGATGTAAAAATCACCCGTGAATACATAGTACAAATAATATAAATATTGCGAGTTTTACAGGTATTATCTTATAACAACAAACAACAGGGGATTCAATCATCAGAAGAGGAGACTGTAGATTGCGCGCAAGATCCTTCCGATTGCGATTTTTTGGGCGCTAGACCCGCCTCAGCGCCAAATGCCGAAATCCATCGGGAAATGTAGTTGTCGGAAGTGTCGATGAATTGAAAATGATCCGAGTCATCGTCGGGATTCTCGTATAATTTATAAAATGGGATTTGAAGTGTTGGATGAGTTGAGAGCTCGATGACGATTGCATCATTGCTTTCAGGTTTGGTGCCGAGGATTTCAGCGATTTCGGAGATTCGGATGGGCCGCCCGTCTGGAATTTACCCATAAATCTGCTGGAAACAATTCCAGGGAGAAATACGTTTCAAAAAAATCACATTTTGATTTGAAAAATGATCAAAACTACTCACTTCTAGCATAAAACATGAACCACAATTCGACGCGCGACAATTTTTTGTTGTAGATGAAATGCGATTGTCGATTGATGACTGGATGATCATCAAAACGACAAATCGATGATTGTTTGGCTATAATTCCAGAAGGGCGCTGAAAAATTCTGACATGTTTCAGCCACGTGGATTTAAATCATTTTTAAGTACGCAAAAAATTACAATTCAAATTTTTCCAGCAAAAAATCTCACCTTGTGAAGTGTCCAAACATCGCCTTTCGAAATTCTGACAAATTCCGTGATTTCTTTCGCAAATTCTTCTTCACTTATTGTTGAAACCACCATTTTTCTGCAAAAAAGCAATCAAATAAATTTTTTTATTGGAAAAAAAAAGTTTTATTGAAAAAAAGGCAAATATTTATTAAAATTGAATTTTTTCGAGAAAAAATTGATAAAAAATAAATGAAATCCTTGAATTTTTGTCTCTTGTCAGAAAAAGAGCTAGAGTTTAGAGTTTTTCTGAGCACAATGTGCTCTTTTTCTCTAATTTTTGTTGCTTCTGCTCTTCTAATCTAACATCCCACAAAACACTTATATCCTCTTCTTTCCCAAAAAAAATAAAGAACTGACTGAAAAAGGGGCGAAAAGGGAGAAAATATGTAGAAAATATATGAATTTATTTAGAAAGGATGGATGAAAGAAGAAGAAGAAGAAAATGGAGAAAAAGAGGATGAAGTCATGTGAAAAAATATGTGTGCAGAAGAAAAAAACGGAACTTTTTTGGGACCATGTGGAGGAAATCTGGGTGAAATTTGGCTCGAAAATGTGAAAATTGAAATTTTTGCCACGTGGCTTTGAAATTGGGTGATGATTTCATCCTATAATTAGAGCTCAAAGTTAAGGAAAAAATTTAAATTTTTTGGACAATGAAAGTATCTAAAATTTAAAAGCTGAAAAATACAATTCTGAAATTTTAGCCCCAAAATATTATTTGGCTTTTTCAGAGTTTTTAAATTCAGATTTGGCTTTTTTGAATTTGAATTGGATTTATTTTAACTCGAAATTTTACGCAAAAAAATGGTAATTTTTTGAAAAAAACAGAAGATTCAGGAAATCAGGGCTAGAAGTTTCAAAATTTTAGGAAAAACTCTGATTTTTGAAGCTGAAAAATTGAATTTTCTGGTCCAGCTGAAAATTTTGGAATTTCTGGAAAATCTTTTTTTTTCATTTTGGGTTGTGCCATTAAATTTTGCCGCTGAAAATTTTTTGAAGCTCAAAATTTTCAGTCTTGAACTTCTCAGCTTGGCTCAAAAATCGTTGAAGTTTTTTTTTTTCATACGTGGATTTTTTGGCGCCAAAACTGAACATTTTCTCAAAACATTTTCAGTGGAAAATTGAGTTTTCAGAGACAGAAAAACGAAGAAACGAACCAGAAAATTGAATTTGAAGGTGTTTTTTTCTGGCTGAACTTTTTCAGCAAGAAAATTGCATTTTTTGGCGCCCAAACTATCGATTTTCTGAAAAAGTGGAAGAAAAGTTCAAAAATATGATTATATTTTTCTCTGTTTCAGGTGTCAAATAACACAAAAAAAGTTTTTTTTCGGGGAAATTTGATCCTTTTTTCTTTCTTAGAAAAAAGAAAGAATTAGAAAACATTTTTGAATGGAAAATTTCAGAGTACTGTAGTTTTTGGCGCTAAAAATCATGAAAAAATTTGACAAGGTCATTTCTTGGGAGGAAAAAAATAAAGAAGAAAAATAATCCTAGGATTATTTCAAAACCTGATTTTTTCTGCTGAAAAAAAATTTAAATACAAAAATCTTGAATAGAAAATTTTGGCGCCAAAAATTTATATGCCACGTGGCGCCAAAACTGAAGGTGTCATTTTCCCCCTTGAAAATCAGGAAAAGCTCAAAGAAGATTGATTTTCACATCAATCTTTTTTGATTCTTTTACACATCCGAAAAGTGTTGTAACAAAAACATTTCATTTTGCTTTTTTTCGGCGGAAAATGTGTTACTTTTTTCTAATTTTTAGAAAAAAGTTAGAACTCACAAGATTTCAGTGAAAAATTCAAAATTTCCAGCTGAAAATCTGAAATTCTTTCTCTAGCCACAAAAAATAGCCAAAAAACACACAAATTCAAAAATGTATGAATGTTTTTCCAATATTGTCATAATGTTGTTTTTTCCTGCTTATTGCGAAAAAAAAACAAAAAATGCATCATATTTGGCGCCAAAAACGGGAAAAATAGAAAATTAGATAATTAATTAATTAACAAAATTATGTCACCAGAAAAAAAGAAGTTTTTCCGCGCGAAAAAAAAATAAAATCTCAACTTTTTTTCCCAAGACACCGATTAGGCTAAGCCACCCAGAAACGAAAAAAAAAGGAGAAAAATAGCAGATTTTCATATATTTTTGAAGTGTTATACAACTTTTTTTGGAAAAGTAGTAACATAAAAGCCACGTGGCATTCTAAACCTTTTTTGAATTCAAATTTTGTTCTAAAAATATGCCCTTTTAGTCTGATAAAGCAACGAAACACACACAAATTTTTGAAAGAGTGCGAACCATGCAATTTTCATCAATAGGGCGCACTTCCATTTTTACTTTTATTTTCTTGTTTTTTTTTGTTTTCCGATATTTTTCATTTTCGTGTTTTTCGTTGAACTAGTATTCTCCAAGGGAAAAGCGACATTGGAGAGATTCTCAGGGTTCCCATATGTTATAATTTGAACGTGTCCATTTCTAAAATCTGGGGGGGGGTTCCCAATTTTTAAAAATCCCCAGAAATTTCTTCGCGAAAACACACAGCCCGTATTTCGCGCCAAGGTTGCGCGTAGGATTTGGTGTTTGCGGGCAGTCGGTGTTGACATACACTCTTATTTTTTCCGTTCTTTCTTTAGGTTTGGGATTTGAATGAAACTCGTTGTAAAATTCATATTTATCACTTTTCCTAGTAAAAGTAACACAATTTCAGTTGATTTTTGATTGTTTTATACTAAAACTGGTGCTCAAAAAGCTTTTTTTATGGAAAAATGTACTTTCTTAAGTTTTTCTTCAGTTTGAAGTGCTCACTCATTTCTATTTTACAGGAAACACGTCTGCGAAATTATGGAAATATCGAAACAATTTATGAAGCGAGTTTGATTTTCAATCACGAGGAAAACTGAAGGAAAAGTGAGTTTTTTAACATTGTTTTTCAAAATTTGAGGTTGTGGTCGCAAGAAAAGCAAAAAAAGCATGTTCGCTCCATTGACAAACATTGTTTTTCTCTAACCGCCTCTCAAATATTTCGTCGTTGTCGTTGAGGAAGGGTGTGACGTGGCTTGTTCCTGCAAAACTTTCAAATATTCAAATTTCGCGCGGTAAAATCGTGTTCTCCTCGAGAACTACACACACATCTCCAAAAATGAAGTGAAGCGATAAAAATCTTGATGTCTCCTAATATGTTATTACCAGTTTTGATCAACAAAAAGTAGGTGTTGTGACCTTGGATTTATTTTGGAGTAGGGCGAAAAAAAATCATATTAGTTTTATTATTGCGCCATTTTGTCACTATAACGTTATTTTTGATTTTATGAAGATTTTCTAACATTTTTGACGTCAAAAATATAAAAATAGCAAATTTCGTTCACCTTGAAGAAAAGGCAATTTTCTACTTTTTTCTAATCCGCTACCCTGGGCAGAAAAAAAAATGATGATCCGAAAATTGAACGAGTTTTTTGTTCATGCATTTGTGATTCTGATTTTCTTGTATTAATTTAGTTAGATACACAGAAATTGTTTTTGAGTGAGTTTTTAGCGCTAAAAATTCATAGCTGCCGAGGCTAGAAATTCTACTTTTCAAGGAGCCGTGCCTATAGAACCTCATTGTCAAGGATTGACGCCTAGCGAACCACTATGTCAGGGATCAGCGCCTAGAAAACTTAGTTCTCTAGTAGCTGCACCTAGATAATCTTATCGTCTAGAGCTCGCATCTAGAAATTCGCTCTAGTAAGGAGCCGCCCCTTGAGCAAACCTCACCCAAGAACCTGGAGTAGTGCGTGAAAAAATGCCCAGCTGGTTTTTTTTCCAAAATTGCCCACCTAGCGCTCGCCATGGCGAGCTTTTTCAAAAAAAAATTCGTTTTTTTTCAGTGAAAATAGCAAAAGCTTCCTGAAATCCCTCTACCTCTATGTCCCCTCCTAATTTCCCTAGCGCCCCGGGGTGGGACTCGAACCCACACCCTCGTGCGTTCAAGAGACGCACGTGTTCACCACTAGACCACCGACCCTGTTGAGAACGAGGAGGCGAATTTCCAAGACAACAAACACTTCTGTGCCACCTACTTTTCTTTTTATTTCACATTGTGAAAAAAACTGAATTTCATTTTCAGCTTTTTCAGTATTTAGAGTGAATATTTGCGTGTGGAATTAACTAAGTAGCTTCCTAAGCCTAGTTCCCAGCTACAAATAACAATGGCCAGCTACTTTTTTGTTTAAAGGCCGAGAAAACCGATGACCTGATTTCTCTTATAACGTTAGAGCATTTTGGGTGATTTCACACTTCAAACTTTTTGAGCTTTCGGAGTGATTTTGAGCAAAAAGTTTGTTTTGGGACTAACATTATTTTTGCTTGTAGATTCATTTGAGCTTTTCAAAATTTCTGAAAAAATGATTTTGACATGAGTTATCGAAAATGACCAGTATTTTACTCCAGGTGATAGGTTTGCAAAAAATTGAAAAAGTTTGCAGGTGGGAGAAAAGTGAAACTAGCTGGGAATCGACTTACTTTTTAATATTAAGAAACAAAACATCAAACTTTTCCTAGGAAAAAAGTCAGAAAACCTGAAAAACTGAATTTTTCGTATTTTTTAGATGTTTCCAGCTGGCCATCGGAAAAATAATAGTTGAAATGAATCTAATTTCTGAAATTTTTCAAAGAACATCGTTGGAAGTAACATTTTCTAACCAACAAGAGAAAATTATAGAATTCAGTGAAATTTTTTCGACGAAAAATTCGAAAAAACCTTCGAATTTTTTTAAAATTTTACCCACCTACAAAATTTTTTTTCAGTTGCCCACCTGGGATTCCAGGTATTGGGTGAGGTTTGCCCCTTGAGAGCTTCTATGGCAAGCAACTAAGCCTATATATCCTAGTAATCAAGGAGCCTAGGCTAGAAAACCTAGTTCTCAAGTAGCCGCGCCTAAAGAGCCTAATTGTCTAGGGCTCGCGTCTAGAGATCCACTCTGACAAGGAACCGCCCCTTGGGAGCTTCTACAGCGTTAAGCAACCAAGCCTAGAAAGTTCAATCGTCAAGGATCAGAACCTAGAAAACCTAGTTCTCAAGTAGCCGAGCCTAGAGAGTCCAGTTCTCAAACAGCCGCGCCTATAGAACCTAGCTCTCTTGGACTCTCATTTAGAGATCCACTATGACAAGGAATCGTTCCTTGGGAGCTTCTATGCTAAGTATCCGAGCCCAGAAAACCTAGTTCTCAAGTAGCCGCACCTTCAGAGTTCAAGTTCATTTTTTTCAAACTTTTTTGAAACCCCATTTTTCAAATTTTGAAAAATCAATCATTTTTCCGCCGTGTCAAAAAGTGAAAATGTACTTTTCAAATTTCCAAACGAAACCCTATAATTACCCGCCTTTTTCCGATTTTCCACCAAGTGGAAGTGCCCAATTTTCGTGTCACCTTTAGGCTGGTCTAAAATTTTTGCCACGTGGCATTTTTTTTCGCTTTCCTAAAATACTACTATTCTTCTCTATTCTTCATTTCATTTCATTTCACAATGAAAACATGATCAAAATAAATAAATAAATATTGCCTAAATAAATACGCGAGAGAGAGAGCACACAAAATCGAGAGACGCCGAGAAAACCGTTTCTTCTCGCTTTCTCTGCGTCTCTCCCTATGTTGTCTCTGACCCTTTTCAATTGTCCGAAACTTTTTCGATCGCGCGCAGCGCGCTCGCAACGAAAAACAACATTTCTTAGCTTTTCCAATTCATTTTTCATTTTTATTCTGGGCCAAAACTGGGCTTTTTGGGGAAAATTGGGATTCTTGGCACTCAGAAAATTTAAATTCAGGTTTTTTATTTGAAATTTGATTTTTCTTGACAAAATTGCTGCATTTTCGAATTTTTTGATAGAAAAACATCTGCGTGGATTTTTTTTTCGTAAAAATTCTTGAATTTGAAAAATTTTGACAAAACCAAAATTTAAAATATAATAATTTTTGCGCGAAAAATTTGAAATTGAAAATTTATTGCCACGTCGAAAAATCCGAGCTCAAAAAATTCCAGAAGTAAATCTCCACGTGGAATTTTTTGCAGCAGAAATTAAAAGTTGTCCCGATTTTTCTCCATTTTTTAACCCAAATTTTAAATTTCCCAAATTTACCCAATTTTTTTCCTTCATTTTTCCCTCCCTAAAACTTCCGGTCAAGATTAGCTGAAGAAAATTAATTACACTTTTTCTTTCTTTTTTTCCTTGCCGCATTTTCATTTTCTCTCTTCCGACACAAAAATTTACATAAACTAACTAAGTTAGAAGGGGGGATTATTTTTTCAATCGATTTTTTGTCTTCACAAAGCTACATACACAGCTCACTAGAAAATGAGTGAATGAGTGAAAAAATAAACAAATTTTCTCATAAGAAACATATGTGACCTGGCACATTTTTATGAGAAAATTTGGAATTTTCTGGCTGAGTTAGGCTAACTTGATCTGAAATCCTTTTAACTTTTGCCATCCACGTGGAGTTTTTTTAATGATTTGAACATTTGAATTCAATATTTTTGAGTTTAACATGAGCAATACCCCCATTTTTGGCTCTTTTTTCTCCCACAAACCAAACCATGACTCATAAATATTGATTTCCTGTTTTATTTGACTTGATAACACACACACATTTTTCGACAGAAAATGCATATTTTTCACGGTCTGTTCTTTCTGTTTGTATAGTTTTTTCCATGAGTCATGACGATTTTTTATTTTTTTTTATTTTGATGCGAGATTTTTGGCTAAAATTGAAGAATTTCAGTCATTTCTAGATTTCAAGATATGATTTTAATCTTTGAAATTTATCTGAAATTTTTTGGTGTAGAAAATTCAGAATTTCTAGATTCTTTGGAACTTGTAAATTTCAGGAATTCTTTGAATTTTTCTAAAATTTTGTTGAAGATTTTCAGGTTAGATTCTTGGATTCTCTAAAAATTCGGTATTCAAAATTTTCTTTGCCACGTGGATTATTTTTTGAATTACAAATTTTTTAGTGTGATTAAAAATTCCACGTGGCAACAATTTTCAATTTAGCGATTTTCAGTTCAGAATTTCGGTCCTAAATATTTGAGACACGTGGATTCTTTTTTGAATTCCAAATTTTTTATTGTGATCAAAAATTCCACGTGGCAACAATTTTCAATTTAGCGATTTTCAGTTCAGAATTTCGGTCCTAAATATTTGAGACACGTGGATTCTTTTTTGAATTCCAAATTTTTTATTGTGATCAAAAATTCCACGTGGCAACAATTTTCAATGTAGAGATTTTCAGTTCAGCATTTCAATGCCAACAATTTCAGTCCTACAAATTCGGGAATTTCAGAATTTTCAGAGTTAAAAGCCACGTGGAATTTCAAAATTTGTCAAATTCTCTGATCTACCAAAATTTTCTATATCCACAGGTTGTAATTTACTACCTCAAATCGCTCGACCTCATATTTTTCATTAATTTTTGGGTAGATCAAAAATATTTTTTCTCTAAATCTCTCGGTTTTGCGCTGAATTTCGTCGATTTTAGTCCCACCCCTAAGATCGTGTCAGGTCTCAAAAAATGCGCGAAATTTTTCGGGTAGTAAATTACACTCTGTGATATCCTAAATTTTCGCCATTCCAAAAACAAATCCAGTTTTCACTTTTTCCATTTCGCATTTCATCCCAAAAATAGAACCAGGAATGATGAATAAAATAAAATGAAAAGTGAGAATTTTGGCAGCCAGCCAGGCCGGTTCCTTCTTTTTCTTCTTCTTTTCATTTCTCTTTTGTTCTTTTCCTACTTCTCCAGATGACACATCTTTTCTCTCTTTTTGTTGTCGTCTTGTCATTTTTGCATAAATGAAAGAAAAAAGAACGGTGTGAGAGAGAAGTTTTACGATAAAATAAAAATTATGCTAATTTATCGATTTTCTTTTGGGGGATGGCCTAGAAACCCAAATCACATTCTAGGCCCTCTTCTGGTAGATCAAAAATCAACCAGTAGTGGCCTAGAATCCCAAAAAAAATGGTCAAAAGCCTAGGTTTGGATTTCTAGGCCATGACTGACTTGGGGTTCTAGACCACCTTTTTTTAAAGGGATTAGGTTTTTGCGTGCAGCTTTTGGGGGTTTGGGTTCCTAGGCCATCATTTGGATTTCTAGGCCACAGATTTCTTGAGCTTGAATTGGTTTTCTAGGCCATGATTCATTTTTAGGCCCTGTTTTCTCGCCCTTCTCTAATCTCTCTCTCTCTCTCATTTTTTTTCAAATTTTTTATGTGAGAACGGAAAAATCTTCTCCTCCTACCAACCCAGCAAGTGTTCCTTTTTCCCTCCAAAAATCCTCTACTTTTTTCACTTTTTTTTTCTTATCGATTTTTGTTTGGCTCTGGAAATTTGATATTTTTTCAGGAAGGCAGATACCTTCGAGACTCCGGAAAGGCTTTGGATTTCACTTTTATTTTTTTTTTTTTTTGGACGATCGTAGTAAAGGTGAGGTTTTATAGCCCTCCAGCTACTCAAAAGTAGCTGCTCGAGTAACTGAGCAGATTATCTGCTTATCTACTCGATAGTACAGCACGCTCATCTGCTCGAGTAGATAATCTGCTCATCTGCTGAGTAGCTAAGCGTACTCATCTGCTCGAGCAGATTATCTGCTTCGCCTGCTCGAGCAGTCTACTCGAAATCTGCTCACTTGTTTTTTGAAGATGAATTTGAAATTTTTTTTTAATGACTGAAAAGTTGTAAGTGAAGTAGGAGAAGCTTGAATTTCAGCTTCTGGTGTCATTTTAGGCAGAAGCTGACTTTTAAAAGAGTATGCATGAAAAAATCGATTTTTATGAAATTTGAAATTTAAGGGTATTTTGATATGGGGAACATCGTGGTGAGACCCATTCGGCCCAAAAAATCACTTTTAAAGGACCCCATCACTCAAAAATTTTTTTTTGAAAATGAGGTATTTGGCCTCGGGGAACATTTTGGTGAGGTATACGGTCGGGAACAGACTTTTAAAGGCGCATGCCAGGTTATTGCACATTTTCCGAGATTTTTTTTCAAACGATCATAACTTTTTTATTTTTTAATCTTTTTGAAATTTCGACAACCATTTTGACGGTCTTGAGGCGGGCTACATTTTTTGTGTTGACACCAACTACCGTACTTCGCTCCTAAGAGGTGAAAAATACGGTTTTATCTCTCAGATCTCTCAAAAATGTCATTTTTTGATGTAAATTGAACAAAACCGTGTTTTTCACCTCTTAGGAGCGAAGTACGGTAGTTGGTGTCAACACAAAAAATGTAGCCCGTCTCAAGACCGTCAAAATGGTTGTCGAAATTTCAAAAAAGATTAAAAAATAAAAAAGTTATGATCGTTTGAAAAAAATATCTCGGAAAATGTGTAATAGCCTGGCATGCGCCTTTAAAAGTCTGTTCCCGACCGTATACCTCACCAAAATGTTCCCCGTGTCCAAATACCTCATTTTCAAAAAAAAATTTTTTTGAGTGATGGGGTCCTTTAAAAGTGATTTTTGGGCCGAATGGGTCTCACCACGATGTTCCCCATATCAAAATACCCTTAAATATCAAATTTCATAAAAAATCGATTTTTCATGCATACTTCCTTTAAAAGTCAGCTTCTGCCTAAAATGACACCAGAAGCTGAAATTCAAGCTTCTCCTACTTCACTTACAACTTTTCAGTCATTAAAAAAAAATTTCAAATTCATCTTCAAAAAACAAGTGAGCAGATTTCGAGTAGACTGCTCGAGCAGGCAAGCAGATAATCTGCTCGAGCAGATGAGTACGCTTAGCTACTCAGCAGATGAGCAGATTATCTACTCGAGCAGATGAGCGTGCTTAGCTACTCGAGTAGATAAGCAGATAATCTGCTCGAGCTACTCGAGCAGCTACTTTTGAGTAGCTGGAGGGCTATATGAGGTTTTACTCTGAAAAATTAAAAAAAAGTAAAATTGCTTGCCTCGACTAGGGATCGAACCCGTGACCTAAGGATTCAAAAGCGTGCGTGTTAACCACGCGCTCATGTTTCTTCTTGCACGCAAATTTTTGATATATGAAACGAGGGTTCACCTAACGTTTTCCCAACTTCTATTAAATCCATCCGCTAAAATTGGGTCATTTCAAACAACTTAAGAGGTTGGTTTTCCATTCAATTTTGTGTGTTAAATAACCTTGAAAACACCATTTTTCCAATGCTTGTGTGTTTTTTTTTCGCGCGGAAAGAAAAAATTCAATTTTACTCAGCACTTGACTCTGTAGACTGACTGTACAAATTTCGTTGATACTTTGTACGAAAACGGGGAAGAGAGAATTGCACATAAGTAACATCCGTTCATCTACAAAGTAGCTACAGAACAGCATCGGCGTAGCTACGGATTCAAAATTAATATAGAGCGGTCACTTCACTTCATTTCTGTCCGCGAATTGTGTAGCTACAGCGGAGATACGCTGTACGTACGTTTTCATCTCGGATTGTGTGCCGCTTGGCAGCTCTCGTCAGAATTTCAGGAGTGCGTAATAACGATTTATCATCTGCGTAGCTACGAATTATATTTTTTCGTAGCTACGCTGAAGATAAAATGAACCTACGATTTTCGGGAAAAAAAGTGTAGGTACAGCGTTCATTCGCTGTATTCACACTTTTTCAATTTGTACAGTCAGTCTACAGAGTCAAGTGCTGAGTAGATAATTCTGCTTCTCTAATCCCCTCTCTCTCTCTCTCCGAGAGTTTGTTGACTTTTTTCTTCAAAAAAAAATGTTTAGACATTTTTTTTTGAAAACTAGTTATTTTCAAGAAGAAACTTGTGTTATCGATTTTTTCTAGGCTCTTTTCCTCTTTTTAAGCTAGCTCTGGGTTGGCTGAAAATATTGATTTTTGTTTTTTTGGCTAGAAAAAATTCTGGTATTTTTTCAATTTTTCATGAAAAAAAACTAATCAAAAATTTGTTGAGACGTATTTCTTGCTGGAATTTTTCAGCCCTTTTTTTCTTGAAAAACAAACCCAGGTGGTATTTACGATGCTCCGCGTTTACATAGATTTTCCACGTGGCAAAAAAAAAATTCAGGAGTTTGTGAGCCGAAATTCGAATGTTTTTCTGTAAACGATGCTCCGCGTTTACACAGTTTTGTGAAATTTACGATGCTCCGAGTTTACGTAAATTTTTAGCCGCGTCAAAATTTGATCTGCAAAAAATCCACGTGGAAAAAAAAATTCAGGAGTTTTTGAGCCACAATTCGAATGTTTTTCTGCAAACGATGCTCCGTGTTTACACAGTTTTGTGAAATTTACGATGCTCCGCGTTTACGTAGATTTTTCGCATCGAAATTTGACGTGTCACAAAATCCACGTTGCAAAAATATTCTGTAAACGATGCTCCGCGTTTACAAGGTTCAAATTATTTAACATCACATTTTCTACCATTTTCATAATGCATGAATCATCTCAAAAGCCACGAAAAATATTCAACAATATTTTAAAACGTATTTTTCTCAGCCAAAATTTGAATGTTTTTCTGCAAACGATGCTCCGCGTTTACACGGTTTTTAGAACATTTTCCAAGTGGAATTTACGATGCTCCGCATCATATTTTTCTTCCTTTTTTATAATGCTCAAATCATATTGAAAGCCACCAAACAATCTGTGAAAAATATTCAACAATATTTTGAAACGTATTTTTCCAGGCTCCTCCAAAATGGTGGCAGTTCAACGAACGACCATCGAAGCAGTCAGCGCAGTCCGCCCGCTCAAAATCATTTCGCTAATCTGCCTTTTCATCGCCGTCGGCTTCTCAATTCTCTCGCTCTGCTCAACATCGTGGCTCAAATCCGGCTCATTCCGCACGGGCCTTTTTCAAGAGTGCACATCGTCGAATGACCCCAATCATGCTCCACCGTTTGTCGGAGCACCCGAACCCGGAAAATGTCATAAACCATCGAGGAATTCGGGATTTTTGACAGCCGCCGCGGTTTTATTGCTGATCTCGTTGTTTTTGACAGCGTTGGCTGCGCTTTTTAATATTGTTGGATTGAGTAAAGGCGATGTTCGTGGGAAATATCGATGGTATCGATTGGCCACTATGATTGCCGCATTTTCTGGTGAGTTTTTTGGAGGGTTTTGAGCTCGAAATGCTCTTGGGGACTAGAAATTTGTTTGGATTTCTAGGCCATGAGATCTCAAATTATTTTGGATTTCTGATTTTGAAGTTCTGCTGAACTCTAATTTTAGGGAATCCAAGATTCTAAAAAAATTTTGGAGCCAGAAACCAAAATTCCCAGAATCTGAAGATTTACCTAGATTTAAGAAAAACCTCCAGAAAATCTCCTGAATTTAATTTCTGAAACTGAAAAAGTTCCAAGAAACTTTTTTCAGAATTTTGAGCTTCAGCTGGGTTTTTCGAAAATTTCCTAAATTCAATTTTTGAAACCAAAAAAGTTCCCAGAAACTTTTTTTCAAAATTTTAAGCTTCTACTGGGTTTTTGAAAAATTTCTAAGTTTAATTTCTGAAACGTAAAATTCTCTAGAATCTCAGAAATCCTAGATTTCAAAAAAAAAATGAGTTCAGAATCATCCAGAACTTGTTCATCGAATTTCAGAGATGAAAAAATCTGATCCCAAAAATCTACGCAGGAGCTCGAATCATTTTGAATTTTTGAACATTTTGGAAAAATAATGGGGTGATTCAAGTCAAAAAAAAAATAAAAAACATTTTTTGACAAAAAATTCGATTCAGCAAATGTCGAAAAACCATATTTTTTCTTATTTTTTGACATTTTTTTTCGTTTTTGTGTGGAAAAAATATAGTTTTTTGACATTTGCTGAATCAATTTTTTTTAAATTTTTGTTTGACTTGAATAAGTTCAACAAAATTAGAAAAATTCCAAAATTCCACCCCAAATCATTTCTACTTCCAGTTCTTCTCCAACTCATCGCTCTAATCATGTTCCCCGTCGCATTCTACGTCAAAATGAACGAATACGGTAATCGTCGAAATTGGGAAGTCGATTGGTCATATGGAATCGCATGGGGTGCAACATTATTCACACTGGGCGCCTCAATTATGCTCATTTGTGATAAAGAACACGAAGAGGTTTATTATAAGGAGAAGACGATTTATAATCCACCGCCTGAGTTGAATGAACGATAGAGCGAATTTGCTAATTTTTATTGAATTTTTTGAAATGCCTTTTACTTCAACAACAACACGTGTACTTCTTTTTTTTAATAACCCTGAATTTAAATTTTGAAATCAAAAACTTTGTCCCAAATTCAAGTACCCTAACGCATTTTCTACCCTTTTTGTATATATTTTGTCGGTGACTTTTGAAAAAATATCCATTTAATAAATAAATCCTTTGATTAGAAGAGCTTTAAAACTTTTGAAATGCGTCAGCAAGTTTCAGGGCTACTAGGAATGCGTCAGTAAACTTCAGTGTTACCAGAAATGCGTCAGCAAACTTTAAAGTTTCTAGAAATGAGCCATTCACACCCTTTTAGTCTGAAAATAAAACAGAAACGACGAAACACAGGCAGTTTTTGTATCGGACCTGAGGAATCGGACCAGGTCCGATTAATCGGACCCGATTTCGAAGGTATTTTGAATCGGACCAGTGACACAATTTTTCAATAGGAATCGGACCACAAAAAAGAAATCGGACCACCTTGCCTTTTTTGAATCGGACCAGATAAAATCGGACCAGGTAAAAAAAAATCGGGCCAGGTAAAATCGGACCAGGTGACAAAAAATCGGACCAGGTGACAAAAAATCGGGCCAGGTAAAATCGGACCAGGTGACAAAAAATCGGACCAGGTGACAAAAAATCGGGCCAGGTAAAATCGGACCAGGCGACAAAAAATCGGGCCAGGTAAAATCGGACCAGGCGACAAAAAATCGGACCAGGTGACAAAAAATCGGGCCAGGTGAAATCGGACCAGGCGACAAAAAATCGGGCCAGGTAAATCCGGACCAGGCGACAAAAAATCGGGCCAGGTAAAAAAATCGGGCCAGGTGAAATCGGACCAGGTGACAAAAAATCGGGCCAGGTGAAATCGGACCAGGCGACAAAAAATCGGGCCAGGTAAAAAAATCGGGCCAGGTGAAATCGGACCAGGTGACAAAAAATCGGGCCAGGTGAAATCGGACCAGGTGACAAAAAATCGGGCCAGGTGAAATCGGACCAGGCGACAAAAAATCGGGCCAGGTAAAAAAAATCGGGCCAGGTGAAATCGGACCAGGTGACAAAAAATCGGGCCAGGTGAAATCGGACCAGGCGACAAAAAATCGGACCAGGTGACAAAAAATCGGGCCAGGTAAAATCGGACCAGGCGACAAAAAATCGGGCCAGGTAAAAAAATCGGGACAGATAAAATCGGACCAGGTGGCAAAAAATCGGACCAGGTGGAATCGGACCAGATAAAATCGGACCAGTTTACCAGTTTTTCTGGGCGTTCACTAAGCCTAAGCCTTGAAAGACAGAAAAGTTAAAGCTTTTGGGCTTTACTGGCCCGGATATTAGGCTTAGGCTTAGTAAACGCCCAGAAAAACTGGTCCGATTTTGCCTGGTCCGATTTTTGCCTGGTCCGATTTTTTGTTACCTGGTCCGATTCCACCTGGTCCGATTTTGCCTGGTCCGATTTTTGCCTGGTCCGATTTTTTGTTACCTGGTCCGATTTCACCTGGTCCGATTTTGCCTGGTCCGATTTTTTGCCTGGTCCGATTTTTTGTTACCTGGTCCGATTTCACCTGGTCCGATTTTTGCCTGGTCCGATTTTGCCTGGTCCGATTTTTTGTTACCTGGTCCGATTCCACCTGGTCCGATTTTTTGCCTGGTCCGATTTTACCTGGTCCGATTTTACCTTGTCCGATTTTACCTGGTCCGATTCAAAAAACACAAGATGGTCCGATTCCTTTTTTGTGGTCCGATTCCTATTGGAAAATTGTGTCCCTGGTCCGATTCCAACAACCTTCAAAATCGGGTCCGATTAATCGGACCTGGTCCGATTCCTCAGGTCCGATACAAAAACTGCCCGAAACACACACACAAATTTTTGAAAGAATGCAATTTTTATCAATGGGGCGCACTTCCATTTCTACTTTTATTTTCTTGTTTTTGTTTTTCGAAAAATTTTCATTTTCGTGTTTTTTGATGAATTTGAATGAAATTTGTTGTAATATTCATATTTATCTATTTTCTTAGGACAAATAACACACGTTTAGTTGATTTTTGATTGTTTTATACTAAAACTGGTGCATAAAAAGCTTTTTTATAGAAAAATGTACATTCTTGAAGTTTTTCTCAGTTTGGAGTACTCACTCATTTCTATTTTACAGGGAAATGGTCTCGAAACAAATGGTGAGGCGAATTTCGGTCAAATATTCTGAATTTTGAGGAAAACTGGAGGAAAAGTGAGTTTTTTAACATTGTTTTTGAAAATTTGAGGTTTTGAGCAAGTAGGGCTACTATAAATACGTCAGTAAACTTCAGGGCTACCAGAAATACGTCAGTGAACGTCAGGGCTACCAGAAATGCGTCAGTAAACTTTAGAGCTACCAGAAATGCGTCAGCCAATTTTGAGAAGCTAGCTACAGTAGTCCGAACTGCAAAATCATGATTTTCGAAAATAAAATTCCACGTGGCTAAATTTTAAAAAAAAAGTGGAATTCACGCAAAATTTTTAAATTTCAAATTCAAATTTTCCCGCCAAAAATGCCACGTTTCAAAAATACGGTAGATATAAACACCGCGACGCAAAAATGCACATAAATCTTCTCCCCCCCCCCCCAAGTTACTGTAAATCTATAGTAAAACGATTCGCTTTGGAAAAGTGACGCAACTTTCGACTTTCTTTAGCCTAATCGGTTGGCTACGCGGATTAAACGCTTCTTTTTTTTGGAAAAAGAATTATAAAGTTTCACTGGCTTTTAGGCTAACTTTTAGGCATATATGAATATGAAACCTGAGAGATTTTTGGTCATTTTTATTTCTCTTATTTTTATTTACAATTTTTTTTGAATAGTACAAGTCCAAGTCCTTGGCACATTTTTTTTGAGAGAAACAGTTCTCAAGCTCCGCCCACTTTTTTAAAATTTTCTTCAAACCGTTAGCATTTTATTATGCAGTAATAAAAATAATAATATTATAGAGTTATAAATGAATTGGGTTTTTGATTTTTGGTATTTTTTGGTGGTGTTTTTGATTGGTGTGATGGCGAATTATTATCCGACTGTACCGCCGCCTAAACTTGTGGGTTTTTTTTTGTTTTTTGGGATTTTGAATTTGGAAAAAATGTATTCTTAGCTTTCAAAATCCACGTGGAATTTGAAACTGAAAGTTCAACATTCAAATATTTTCTATTAATTTTTATTCGAAAAAAAAATTATTTTGAAATTCCTTCTGAACCTGATATTTAACCTTTTTGAAACGTGGCATTTTTGGCGGGAAAATAAATTTTAAATAAAAAAGTTAGGGTAACTTTGAAAAAAAAATGATTTTTTCAAAAAAAATTTTAATAAAAAAATAATCTTTTCAAAAAAAATTTTCCACGTGGCATTATTATATTCTGACAGTTTTCGTAATTCTGAAAATCGGAAAAATCATCTATTTTTGCAGTTCGAGGCTACTGTAGCTGTCAAACTACCAGAAATTTCTAAAATTCAGGCGTTTTCGAAAAAAATTACTTCAAAAAATATTTGAAACAGTAAAAAAATTTCTTTAAAAAATCCACGTGGATCGAAATTTTCAGCACTGAAATTCCTCGAATTTTCCAGGTATTCGGGGCTACTGTAACTGCAAAACTACTAAATACAGTACCCATTATTACAGTACTGGGAAAAGGTGTATCAAAAAATTCATTTAAAAAAATTTTAAGGTTTCAAATTTTCCTGGAGGGTTTTTTTTTCCAAATCCAGAAAAAATCCACGTGGATCAAAATTTCCAGGAATGCAATTCCGACTCGATCCGCTTGCACATCAACCCTTCCGGTAATTTCGGCGGCCACGTTTATGTACGCGGCTTTTTTCCGCAAAGGTAAGCCGCTTGTCACTATGAATTTATCTCAACTCTCTCTTGCTCATATTAATCCGGCGAATTTTTGATTTGTTTTGGCGCCAACAAAATTCTTCTTCGCCCCATTAAAATCACTAGATGATTTTATTTTTTTTTCAAAAAAAAAAAAAACTATCGACCATGAACCGTTTTGTCCTTGCAGAACGGACATTTATTTATTTATTTTTCATTTTTCTATGTAAACATGCATTTTTTCTACACGGTATTTTGAAGGGTCATTTTTCGCGCACCCGAGAAAGTTTAGTTTAATTTAGAGATTCCACAGGTTAATCACACAGCAAAGCACAAATAAAAGTTCAAAAAAAAAGTTCAAATGATTTTTTGCAGCGTTTGTCATTTGAATTATTGCCACAAATTGACGAATCAACCGATAATTATGGATTTGTCATTTCGAGGACCTTGTAATTTGAGACGAAGGAGGAGTGTGAGTTAGAGGAACTTGGGAAAGGGATTGTGGAATTTTTTGTAGAACTTACTTTGAAGCCGAAAGTTCCTATAACTTCTAGAAGTTTTGTGGAATTCTGGAACTTTTTTTTCTGAAAAATAGCATTTTGCCAAGTTCATGACAAATCTGAAAATCAGATTTATTTGTCTGAAAATTCCACGATTCTAGGAGTTTTTGGATTCTAGAAATTTCAGAATTCATGGTTTTTTCAACAAAAAAAACAGTGAATATTTTTTTCTTCAAAATTCCCAGTCAGAAATATGTACGTTTCAAATTAAACATCAATTCGAATTTTGAAAACCGAAATTTAATACAAATCTTCGTGTTAACCCAATCTCAATCTCCGAAATTCTGATTCTGAAGAAAAATGTGGAACTCCAGATTTTTCAAAAATATTTTTCAGTAGAATTCATAGCTTCCAATATAATTATGTAAATTCTAGAAGTTTTGAGAGGCCACGTGGAATTCTAGAGAACTTTTTTTTCTGAAATTCAAAAATCAGAACTATTTGGCTGAAAATGCCACGTGGAATTCTGGAATTTTTTTCTGAAAATCAAAAATCAAAACTATTTGGCCAAAAATGCCACGTGGAATTCTAGAACTCTTTTTTTTTTAAATCAAAAATCAAAAAAACTTGGCTGAAAATGCCACGTGGAATTCTAAACAATTAAAATTTTGCAGATCTCCCCACCTTCAATATCCTATGACGTCACCGTAATCATCCAACACCACCCACTATTCGTGACGTCATTCGACAAAGCCTATCGACTAAATTGCATTTATCAGCAAAAAGATATTGATGTGCAGCAAAAACTGGATGTAAAGTAGGTGTAAACGCGGAGTATCGTTGTATTTAAAATCAATAATTTTATTTTTTTGTTCCAGTGATATTCCACAAACCGACGTGAAAATCAATAGTGCACCACAATGTCGGTATGACGTGTTATCCGGCTCGATTTCGGGACCAATTGTAAAATTTGCAAATGTTGGAGATATCGTGTACCATAAATGGACGTGTGATAGTGGTAAGCTTTTGAAAAAAGCAAGCGCGCTCTAGCGAACTTATCGATTTTTTGCAGAATTTTTCGGATTTCTCGTGCATTCTTGTGTTGTTCGCGATGATTCCGGGAAAATCTATCAATTTATTGATGAACGTGGTTGTGTCACCGATTCGACACTTTTTCCCGAAGTCAGTTATTCGGTGGATTTGAAAAGTGCATTCACAAATGTCCGGGCTTTTCGATATGCTGATCAGGTTATGGTGCATTTTACGTGTCAGATTACGACGTGTCGATTGTCGGAAAATGGATGTGAAGGCATTTCGGTGGGTTTTTTGTGAATAAAAATTTATGATCTACAAGATTCTGGAGTTCCATGTTTTTCTCTAGAACCAGAATATTTGAGATTGAAATTGGGTTGACTCGAAGGTTTTTATTGGATTTCGGTTTTCAAAATTCTAATAGATGTTTGATTTGAAACGTAATTTTGATTGGCAATTTTGAAGCACGGAAAATTATCATTTTCGGGTCGAAAAATGCCACAATTTTTAAATTTGACAGCAAAAAAATAAAAAATATAGAAATTCTAATGAAAAAAAATTTTTTTGATAAAAAAACTATATTTTTTCCTATGAAAAAAAATGTCAAAAAATAGGAAAAAAACATTTTTTCGACATTTGCTGAATCGAAAAAGGGTTTTTTATTATTTTTTTTAGCTTCAAAAATCCACGTTGAATTTGAAGCTGAAAATTCAAAAGATTTGATAAATATTTCTAGTATTTTTAGAAAAAAATTAAAAAAAATTTCTTCTGAAACTTTTCTGACCAGAAAATTTCAATTAAAAAAGTTAGAGGAACTTTAAAAATCAATAAAGTTCTGAAAATTTATACAATTATTTTTTTTTCGAAAAAAAATAAATGTGGTTCTAAAATTCCTAAAATTAATTTTTCCTCTACAAAACAGTTTTTTGGAATTTGGACAAATAATTATTTTTGCAGTTTGGGGCTACTGTAGCGAAATTTTTTATTATTTTTTTCGACTTGAATCACCACATAAAATTTCTAGAATTCGAAAACTTTTCAGAAATGCTCTGAAAATCACCCAGAACCATTAAAACTCCCAATTTTCCAGCCACCAACATGTGCACCAATAGAAATGGGTCCAATTCCGGTGCATTACACGAAGAAAGAGCCCAAAATTGCCCAGGAACCCGAAACTTTACCCACGAGAACTACACGATCTTCTAGCTCCACTACATCGACAACAACACAAAAATCAACAGTGAGTCCAGGAAATTTTTGGGGCGAAAAATTTAAATTCAAATTTTTCAGCTCATAACCGATAAGCCACGTGGCAGAGAAAATTTGAATTGAATTTTTTTGCGCTAAAAAATTCCACGTGGCGAAGAAAATTTGAAATAAATTCTTTTCGCGCTAAAAAATTTCTCGTGGCTTAGAAAATTTAAATTTTTTCGCGCTAAAAACTCAGAGATTCGCTGGCCAGCTCGCCACCAGATCGCTGCGGCCACCTGGAAACCGCATGGCCGCCAGGTCGCCTCGAGTTTTCCGGCGACGTGGCCTGTGTGTTTGAAATTCTGGAAAGCTGGCAAGACAGTGGTTTGTACTCAAAACACTGCATTTTCTACTGTTTTTTTCACTTCCTAACGTTTCAAGTGCTGCGAAAAAACAGAAAATGAGCCAAATTTTTCGAAAATGCCTCAATTCACAAGTTTTTAAGACATTTTCATGAAAATTCATTTTGACGCGGCGAAGTGGCCACCACATGGTAGCCATGTGGCCGTGACCTAGCCAGAGCGTGGCCACCTTGCCAGCGAAAAAAAACCGGGCGACATGGTTTCCATGTGGTTCCCAGGTCAGCCAGCCTCCCCACCTGGTGGCGAGCTGGCCAGCGAATCTCTGAGAAATGCCACGTGGCAGAGAAAATTTAAATTGAATTCTTTTCGCGCTAAAAAATACCACGTGGCAGAGAAAATTTAAATTTGAACATTTTTAAAATCTAAAAAATGCCACGTGGCAGAGAAAATTTAAATTCAAATCATTTTCGCGCTAAAAATGCCACGTGGGAGAGAAAATTTGAATTTTATTCTTTTCGCGCGAAAAATTCCACGTGTCAGAGAAACTTTAAATTTGAAAGATTCTAGACCCAAAAAAATTGAATCTGAAAAAAAAATTTGAATCTGAAAAAATCGAATTCCAATTTTCAAAAAAAATTCAGAAGATTCTAGAGCGCTAAAAAATTGATCCACGTGGATTCTGAAATCACAAATTGTTTCAGAGCTCATCATATTCCTACCCAAACACTGAACCCGATGATGGATCCCTCCAAGACAATACAGTCGAACTACCAATCCTCAAATCCCCCAAATTCGGCTTGGAAATCAGCAAAGATCCCGAAATCGACACCGACAACATCGGCCTCGAAATCAGTGGCGAAGGTTTCAGCATCGAAACTTTATCGAAAACTCTGGATATTCCTCTAGAACCCTTTCCGTTTCCAACAAAAGCCACAATATTTCAACATCGAACACCTCGAGGAACTTTTGAGAATTCTCAAAATTCAAATAATTTCACGATTGAAGTTGAGGCCAAACAAATGTTGATTTTGGAAGATGACAAGGATATTCAGAAGAGTTCGGTGGATTTGGAGAATTCAAGGATACTTCTGATTTTGGTGGTTTCTCAGGTGTTAACAATTGTCGCCTTGATTTCACAGTTTTTGTATTATCGGAGGGTGTATAGAAAATAAATGAGATTTTTTTGAAATTTTTGAAATTTAGGGTGTTAACTTAGGAATCGACTTCAAGAGGTTCGAAAATTTGAAAAAAATTATTTGAAAAAAAAAATTAGAAATTGTAGGAAAAATATTTCCAACAAATTAAAATTGATAAAAATGCCACGTGCCAAACATTTTCAGATTTAAAAAAATTCAAAATAGAATTTCAGAGTCAAAAAATTCCTCGTGGCAACAATTTTTTGCTCAAAAATTGCCACGTGGATTTTCGGGGGGGGGGGGGTCCAGAAAAAATGCAACATGGAATTTCAGATTCAGAAATATGCCACGTGGATTTTCAGGTTTCAAAAATAGGAAAAAAAACATAGTTTTTTTCTGATTCGAAACTTTTTTTCAAAAAAAAAATTGATTTTAGATGAAATTTTAAATTTTCGAGGATTTGGAGAAATTATTTCTCAAAATTTTATTGAAAATATTTTTTTATTGATTTTTTTAAACAAAATTTCTAATCAAGTCGAAAAAAAACATTTTTGAAATTTTCGATTCAGAAAATGTCAAAAAACTATATTTTTTTCCTATTTTTTTTTTCATTTTTGTGTGGAAAATAAGTAAAAAAATAAGAAAAAATATAGTTTTTTTTTAAAGTCTAATATGAGCAATGCTTAAAAATGTTTGATATAAAGAACCTTGATCAAGCCTCAAGGTCATTCCTACTTCCGCATTCAAAACATTTTTGTTTTCAATATAAAAAGCTTCATTTCCTATCATACAATTCGATTCAATACGTGTTATTGCGAGTAGTTTCAATTTTTGTAATGTGCTGCAATATTTTGGCACAAAGTGGTGACAATTTTTTGATGAGTCTCCTCCTCGCTCGGTATATTTTTGTAGAGCTCGCGAATTCGATTACACGCTTCCTCGTATTCTCGAGTCGCATTGTCGACTTTCAGCTTGTTTTGATCACTTTGATTCGATTCGAAGGCTCCGTTTGCAGAATCCATGTTGAGACGCCATTTGTTGAGATTTGAAACTGCCTGGAATGCAAAAATTTTGAAATTCAAAAAATTCCAGGTGGCATAATCGTGATAAAACACTTTTATACTTCTACTTTCATTATCTATACTGAATTTTAGAGGAAAAAAATATTTTTCTGTGGAAAAATTGAAAAAAACTCTTTTACGCTAAACAGCGGGCAGGCGGAATGTCGTTGTTTTCGAAAAATAATTTTTCGCGTCTTTTTCTTTTATTTTTTCTCTGCACTCTCTCAATTTTATACATAGGCACTGCTTCTTTTTCTGTGGAAAAATTTATTTACGCTAAACAGCGGGCAAGCGGAATATCGTTGTTTCGTTGTTTTTTGTTTTCGAAAAATAATTTTTCGCGTTTTGTTCTTTAATTTTTTTCTCTGCGCTCTCTCAATTTTATACATAGGCGCTGCCTATTTTTCTCTGCACTCTCTTAATTTTATACATATCTAGGCGCTGCCTATTTTTCTCTGCACTCTCTCAATTTTATACATAGGCGCTGCTTGTTTTTCTGTTGAAAAATTTATTTACGCTAAACAGCGGGCAAGCGGAATGTCGTTTTTTTTCTTTTATTTTTTTCTCTGCACTCTCAATTTTATACATAGGCGCTGCTAAGCTCCGCCCAACTTTTTAAAAAGAAAAACAAGCAGCGCCTAGTTTTTTTTCTCCAAACAAACCTGCGAATGCTGTTTACACTCCTGATTCTGATAGCTCTTCAACTTCTCAGTTTCCATCGATATTTTTCCCATCAATTCACCTTCTTGCATCGCTCTCTTCTTATGAAATTCAACACATCCTTTCACATCTAACTCTTTATTCGCCTCCGAAACCCAACTCAATGCTTCGGCCATTTCATGACGATGTTTCGCTTTGAGCATCGAATCCAAATCATTGAAACCAGAGGCGAGATGTTTGAGACGATTCGGAAAACCTTTGTAGAACTCGGAAATTTGGGAAACATCATCGGGAAGTCTAGAAAAATAGGTTTACCCTACATTCTCTTGCAAAAACCCCCAACTCACTGTGTAGCTTGAGCTCTTCCAGTCTTCTCCTTCACTTTTTGCTTCAATCGCCCAAACATATTGATCGGAGTTTATTTCAAGAATCTAATAGACTAATAAATGTGCAGAATCTTGCGAAACCCGCCCTTTTATGCTCTTTGAAATCTAGGTCATGCAAAAATGTCACGTTTTATTTTAATTTTTGTAAAAAAAAATTTAAAAAAAAATAAAAAAACAAAAAAGCTTGCCCCGAACCAGGATCGAACTGGTGACCTTTAGATCTTCAGTCTAACGCTCTCCCAACTGAGCTATCGAGGCACACATTTCCCCACATTCTCAATACCCTATTCATTCTCGATGGCGGTTTATTACAACTTTTCGTTTTTTTTGTCATTAAAAAAATGGGAGGTTTGGTTTAATATGAATTATTAAATAAATATAAGAAGTATAACATATCTAATCATTTTTCTCGTTTTTTTCTCATTCTTCTTCTTTTCTTGTATTCAAATCGCTTCATTCATGACGACATTCATTTTTGACCTTAACATAATTTGAATTCTAATTTTTTGATTTTTTTTCTCAAAATTTTTCTAATCAATAGGTTTTTACAACAAAAAAACCCACCCTTTGTCCGTTCCTTTTGATACAATTTTTTTTCATTTTTTGTCAAAATTAAAAAAAAATATACCTTTGAAAATAGCTCGCACCGGGGTTCGAACCCGCAATGCTTACTTAGATTGCTAGCACCACTGCCACTGAGCCCTCTTTTTTTTAAATTTTTTTGTCATTTTTTTTTTCAAAAAAATATTTACCCAAAGTACTTTTTTTGATACTACAGGACCGGTTTTTTCAAATATTTTATTTCCAAAAAAAAACTAAAATTTTTTATTTTCACAATAATCCCCTTAAATTATTCAAAACTGTCTACTTTCACCAGTTTCATTTTTTTTGGCCAAAAAGTGATTATTGTTGTCTAAAATTGGTTCAGGTGAACTTTGCAATTCATCATTTTTTTTTTGATTTTCTGTCTCGTTCCCATGACTTGTTCTATCTTATTATTGTTTGCTTATTTATTTTATTTTCTCCCCCAATTTCTAATCTCCAATTCTCGATTTCCAGCTATTCCAGCAATGGGTGCTCCAAAAACCAGCTCCCTGAAATGGCTCACCAAAAACCTATTGCTCATCTTAACCATGCTTGGTGTGGTGTTAGGAATTGTTATCGGAGGAGTTATGCGAACTTTTGAACCATCGCAAGAAGTCATAAAATATGTCGGATTTCCCGGCGAACTTTTTATGAACATGCTGAAGGCGATGGTCCTGCCATTGATTGCGGCAAGTATAGTTTCGGGGTTAGCACAACTCGATGGAAAGACTTCGGGGAGATTGGGATCGCGGGCTGTGATGTATTATGTGCTGACTACCACGCATGCAGTTATTGTGAGTGAAAAAAAAATGAAATTTTGAATTTCATAGAGAACCGGAAAGTGTGCACTAGAGCGTATTTGACAATTTATAGGTTGTGTAGATTTGATATCAGTATTTCCTTGATCGCTCATATTCATTTCTAAAAGACCAAAAAAATCAAATATTTTTTAATTCTATTGAAACCCTGAGAATGTGCGATAGAGTGTATTTGATTTTTCAAAAATTTTAAATTTTTTGAATTTTATTCAAAATTTGGCTGTGTGCATTAGAGCGCATTTGCTTCTATCGAAGTTTAGTTTGAGCTCATATTAATTCCTAGAGGACCAAAAAACGTTTTTAAATTTTATTGAAACCCTGAGATTGTACGATAGAGCGTGTTTGCTCTTTTTTTGAATTTCGTTCAAAATTACGTTGTGTGCAGTAGAGTGCATTTGTACTATCAACTTTTTTTTCAACTCTCATCGCTCATATTACAGACCAAAAAGTGTACCTTTCTTTAAAAATGCGAACACATGACAATTTCTCAACAGACAATACCATTACTTTTTATTAAAAACCGGTTTTTCTTTTTTATGAAAGTTTTGTTATCAAATAAGACCATTGATGTGACAGTTCGTTTCAAAGATCAAAATTTCCAGCTTGGTATCATCGTCGTCACCATAATCCATCCCGGAGATCCGAACATCAAAAAAAAAATCTCGGGCTAGCCGACAGCGAGAAAGCCGACGTGTCAGCCGTCCAAAAATTCCTCGATTTATTCCGCAACGCGTTTCCCGAAAATATAATGCACGCGACTTTTGCGCAAGTTCAAACTGGATATATCAATAAAACTGGAACCGCTGAAAAAATTCTGAAAACACAATATGTTGATGGGATGAATGTGTTGGGTATCATCATGTTTTGTATTGTGATGGGTTTAGTTGTGTCGAGAGTTGGAAAAGAGGCTGAACCTTTGGCCAAATTTTTCCATGCTTTAGATGTTGTTATAACTCGAATGGTTATGATTATTATGTGGTTAGGACCAATTGGTATTCCATCGTTGATTGCTCAAAAAATGTTGGAAGTTAGTGATCTTGTATCAACAGCTAGAATGCTTGGATTATTCATGTTCACAGTTATTTTGGGCCTAGCAATTCAATGTTTCATAACTCTTCCACTAATATTCTTCATCGGAACTCGTAAAAACCCCTACACATTTTTACGAGGACTTGGTCAAGCAATATTAACAGCATTAGGAACATCATCATCAGCTGCATCTTTACCAGTAACATTTAGATGTTTAAATAATCTTGGAATTGATCCAAGAGTAACTAAATTTGTATTACCAGTTGGTGCAATGGTTAATATGGATGGAACTGCATTATATGAAGCTACTGCATCTATTTTTATTGCACAAATGAATGGAATGAATTTATCGATTGGACAAATTATAACAGTTAGTATAACTGCTACATTAGCATCTATTGGTGCAGCTTCAATTCCCTCAGCTGGTTTGGTCACGATGTTGATTGTTTTGACTGCGTTAGGACTTCCAGCTTCAGATATTTCTTTGATTATTGCAGTCGATTGGTTCTTGTAAGTCACCTCAACACCCGTTTGTTGAAAAAATTAATTTTTAAAAAATAGCATGTAGTGAGCAAATACGCTCTAGCAAACTTGTTTTAGTCAAAATCCGAGGAAAAATAGATTTTAAGCGCAAATGCTTCAGATTCTCCACGTATTTAGTGATGAAAAGTCGTTTCAGTCAGTTTTTCATATTTCAAAATTAAGATGAGCAATATTTTGCATACAATATATCAATCTGTTTCTTTTTCTTCAATTAGCACTAATATTCATATTTCACCTCTCAATAATTCGAAAATTTGAAGGGTTTTCGTTAAAAACGTGAAACAACACTTTTCACAAACACACAACTTGACGCGCAATTGCGGACGCTTATTATTTTCAAAAAAAAAACATTTTCAGAGATCGCTTGCGAACATCAGTAAACGTGATCGGTGATGCTTTGGGTTGCGGGTTCGTCCATTATATTTGCGCTGATCATTTGAATGCTGATGTTGAGGAGGCTGAGAAAAACAACAATGCTCTTCAAGCTCACGGCGTTGATTTTGCCGAATTGGAACGTGAAGGTGGTGTTGTTGTTATTGAGCGAGTATGAGCGCATTTTTTATTGATGTATATAATTTTATACCAAAAAGGCTTTAAAACCCAATTCAATGAACTGTTTTTGATCTTTGTTGAATTCTACCAACGTGTTGATTTAAAATTCTAATTTATTCGAATTTATTCACACTGTTTCAGTGTGTTTAGAATGATCAAGAACCCGTTATTGGTTTTCACTTTGATTGGAGTTTTTGTGGGAATCTTGGTTGGTGGACTCTTGAGAAACGCAAATCTTTCTCAAGATGCCGTTAGATATCTCGGATTTCCTGGCGAAATTTTCATGAATATGTTGAAGGCGATGGTTTTGCCGTTGATTGCGGCAAGTATAATTTCCGGGTTAGCACAACTCGATGGGAAGACTTCGGGGAAACTTGGATCGCGGGCAGTGTTGTATTATGTGATCACCACATCTCATGCAGTTATCGTAAGTTCTTGCATCCAGTATCTAGAATTTATTTTCTATCTATGTAGCTTGGAATCCTTGTCGTCACCATAATCCACCCAGGCGACCCCACTATCAAAGCCAACTTAGGGACCACTGACACCAAAATAGCCAATGTCCCAGCTATCCAAAAATTCCTCGATTTGTTCCGCAACGCGTTTCCCGAAAACATATTTCATGCAACTTTTGCGCAAGTTCAAACTGGAACTGCTGGAAATGTGCTGAAAACTGAATATGTCAATGGGATGAATGTTTTGGGTAAGCTGGGTAAGCAACGTTCTCAAAGTGATCTCGAAATTTTAGGAATAATTGTGTTCTGTATTGTGATGGGAGTTGTGATTTCAAAAGTTGGAGATGACGCAAAACCTCTCATGGAAATTTTCCGCGCGCTGGACATTGTTATCACTAAAATAGTTATACTTATTATGTGGTAGGTAGTTTTTTAGGCCGCTCCGTGAGTTAACCCCCCTTCCAGAAAAATTTTAACCCCCCCCCCTAACCAACTTTTTGTGGGGGGGGCGTTAAGGGTCCTACCTCCACAGTTAAGGGCCCTACCCCAACAGTTAAGGGGTCTACCCCAACAGTTAAGGGTCCTACCCCAACAGTTAAGGGTCCTACCCCAACAGTTAAGGGGTCTACCCCAACAGTTAAGGGTCCTACCCCAACAGTTAAGGGGTCTACCCCAACAGTTAAGGGTCCTACCCCAACAGTTAAGGGGTCTACCCCAACAGTTAAGGGTCCTACCCCAACAGTTAAGGGGTCTACCCCAACAGTTAAGGGCCCTACGTTCACAGTTAAGGGCCCTACTTCAACAGTTAAGGGCCCTACCTTCACAATTAAGGGCCCTACCTCCACAGTTAAGGGGTCTACCCCAACAGTTAAGGGCCCTACCTCCACAGTTAAGGGCCCTACCTCCACAGTTAAGGGCCCTACCTCTACAGTTAAGGGCACTACCTCCAATGCACCTAAAGTTAACCCCCATTCCTCCGAATTTGGAGTCTATGTATAGGCTTTACCAAATTTCAAGGCTAATTTCTAGGCTTGGCCCGATTGGTATCCCCTCTCTAATCATTCGAAAAATGTTAGAAGTCACCAACCTCCTTCAAACTGCAAAAATGCTTGGATTATTCATGTTCACAGTGATTTTGGGCCTAGCAATTCAATGTTTTATAACACTTCCACTAATCTTCTTCATCGGAACTCGAAAAAACCCCTACACATTTTTACGAGGACTTGGTCAAGCAATATTAACAGCATTAGGAACATCATCATCAGCTGCATCTTTACCAGTAACATTTAGATGTTTAAATAATCTTGGAATTGATCCAAGAGTAACTAAATTTGTATTACCAGTTGGTGCAATGGTTAATATGGATGGAACTGCATTATATGAAGCTACTGCATCGATTTTTATTGCACAAATGAATGGAATGAATTTATCGATTGGTCAAATTATAACAGTTAGTATAACTGCTACATTAGCATCTATTGGAGCAGCTTCTATTCCTTCAGCTGGTTTGGTTACGATGCTGATTGTTTTGACAGCTTTAGGACTTCCAGCATCAGATATTTCAGTGTTATTTACAATTGATTGGTTTCTGTGAGTCCTTGGAGCCAAGGTTTGGCTGCCAAAACTTGGAGTTTTTATTTTATTTTGGTAAATGTTTACAGAGGCCGCCTGCGAACCGCTGTAAATATAATTGGTGATTCATTTGGTTGTGGATTTGTTCACTACATTTGCAAAGATCACCTAGAATCCAATGATGAAGAACAAAAAGCTTAAGAAAAAAGTTTATTCACTAATGTTAATTTGTCTAAACTGATTATCCTCCAATTTTTCTTCAAGCATTGTCAAAACATTATCATATTGTTGATGAATTCTTGAGACAATTCGACACGTCGCAATATTTTTCTCATTCTCGTTTTCCTCCAATTTGGATAGCATTTCATCGAGAATATCTCTTGAATTTGACAATTTCGAAATCGCTTCTTCCAAACCCATCGATTCGGTTTCGCATGCTGAATCGATGATGTTTTCGAGCTCGCTGATCAGATTTTCCAATGATTCCATTTTTCGAGAAATGAAATGAGGAGGAGAGGTTCTCACGTCAATTTTTTTCAAGAAAAAAGAAAAAATATATTTTTCTGGGTTATTCAAAAGTGCAATGAACTTTTTTAAAAGGGTTCTTTTATGTTTTATTCAAAAGACTGTGCAAAGAGGTTTTAGAATGCTAGACTTGATCTTTCGATTTTAGACAGAAAATTTTGACAACAAAAAAATCCTAAAAAAGTTAACTGTTTCGAAAAATTTTGATAAACAGATTTCAGAAATTCAAAATTTTTCTCCAAAAAAAATTGACTGTTTCAAAATTTTGTGATATTTTTTTGAATTTTTAAAAATTGATTTGCAGGATATTCATACTGGACAGATTTCATTGAGCTGAAATTTGTGAAACATTCAAATTCCGTTTGAAAATTTTGAATAACACGTGGATTTTCAGCTCGAAATTGCGAAATTGCGAAATTCAAAATTGATTAATTTATTGAAATTCAAAATTTTTTCAAAAAAAATTGACTGTTTCAAAATTTTCTGATAAGTTTCTGGCTTTTCTGGAAAACTTTGCTAACTACAACATTCTGCATTAATTTTATGAAAATATGATTTTTTGAAATTAAAGTTCGAATTTTAACACGTGGATTTTCAGTTCAAAAATTTGAAAAAAAATTCATTCTTTCTATACAAAATTTTTCTCGAAAAAAATTGACTGTTTCAAAATTTTGTTATATTTTTGTCGTATTTTTGAAATTTTTGATAATAATTGATTTATGTGTTTTTTAAAAATGAAACGTGGATTTCACTGTGTTTTTTTCTAATAGAAAAATGCAATTTCGAGGAGACGCAGACACTCGCTGGTCTCGACACGATGTGTGTCTGCCACAAACTATTTCTCTCCCCTTTTCGGCGAGAGATTTGTCTGCCCACGTTAAAGTCTGCGTCTCTCAGAACTGGCAAGAAAAAATACAGTGATTTTCATTGAAACAGAATTCATAATTTCAAATTTCGTTCGAAAATTTTGAATAACACGTGGATTTTCACTGAAAAAAGCATATTTCAAAATTTTTCTCAAAAAAAATTAACTGTTTCAAAATTTTGTTATAGTTTTTTGAATTTTGGTTAGTTTTGATCATATTCGATTTATGTCTTACTAAAAAATTAATCGTGAATTTTCAAGAATTCAGAAATTCGAATTTCGTTTGAAAAAGTTCGAATAACACGTGGATTTTCAGCTCAAAAAAGCAATTTTCAAAATTTTTCTCAAAAAAAATTAACTGTTTCAAATTTTTGTGATAAATTTTTACCGGAAAACTTTGCTAATGTTATTATCGAATTTTAACGAGCGCAAAAATTTCAAATTTCAAAATTTTTTCTCCAAAAAAAATTAACTGTTTCAAAATTTTGTGGTAAATTTTAAGCCGAAAACTTCGCCAATTTAACAAAATAAAATTTTAATCCCCTCTGGGGCGCGAAAATTTCAAAATTCAAATTTTTTCATCTGGTCCATATGGCGCCCAACTGCTCCTTTTCCACCAAAAATACATGACTCACCCAAATAAATTGCACCAAAATGCTCTGCGTCTCTCACTCTCTCTCTCCTGTTTTGTTCCCCAACTCATCTATTTTTTCCCATCCTTCTTCGCTCCTCATTTCATTCAATTAGTGAGCAGTCTTCTAGTCTTCTATTTTCACTTTCCTTTTCCCTTTTCTCCATCTTCAGAATCGCCTGAATTTTTTGCACATTTTCGTGTTTTCAAGAGATTTTTCCTTTTTCTTCTTATTCTTTGTGACGAAAATTTATTATTTTGGAACACCAACAAAAAATATGTTACGAATTTTTGAGTATTTTCACTTCTGACTCCATTTTTTTACCGTACAAAAAAAATGACTCTTGCCATCTTTTCATCGAAATTCAGCGCACACGAAAATGTAGCACGCGTAGCCGAGTGGATAAGTTGTTGAATTCCCACTCTTTTGACCCAAGTTCGATCCCTCATACCCGCACCTTTTTAATTTTTTTATTTTCCTTGCGAATCCACGTGGCTTCATCTTCCACGTCCACTTTCTTCCCAATCGATCAATCCAGAGATATCCTTTCATTTTCCAAGGCAAAAAGTCCCTCTTCTCTGCGTCTCTCAATTTCCCATTCTCTCTCACTTCTTCCTTGCATTTTCGATAATCTTTTTTCTTTTTCCCATTTTCTTCGAAAAACTTTTCTTTTGCCATTTGTGGTCCCCGAGCGAGAGAGTGTGTGAAATTGAGAGAGTGGCGAGAGAAAAGTGGTGGTGGAGCTTCTTCTTCTTCTTTCCGCGCACCCCGAAAAAAAAAGAAGAACTTTTTTTTGGTCGATTCCCTGAGGGAAAATTTTGCGAGGTTTTATTTGTGTTCTGAATTTTTTTTGGTTTTTCGGAAGTTTTCTAGATTACTGTAGACAAATATAGTTGAGATTACTGTAGTTTGAAGTGAGTACTGTAACTCCACATAATATTCCAACCAAAATTTTTAAATTTTTTAAAAAAGTTCCAAATTTGTAGATCACCTCTGGGTTACGGTAGATCATCCCAGGAATACTGTAGGCTCTAGGATTACTGTAGATTCTCAAAAGCCCTGTGAGCCCTTCAGAAGCCCGTGAGATTCTCAAAAGCCCTGTGAGCCTAATAAAAGCCCTGTGAGCCTAGTAACAGCCCTGTGAGCCCGGTAAAAACCCTGCGAAGTTCTCAAAAGCCCTGTGAGCCCAATAAAAGCCCTGTGAGCCTAATAAAAGCCTTGTAAGATTCTCAAAAGCCCTGTGAGCCCTTCAGAAGCCCAAAAGACCCTAAAAATTCTATTTTTTCTGTTTTTTCTGCCACTAATTAGCAGCAATTCAAATTCAGACCACCCACGAAGAAAATGGAAAAATCCAGAATTCCTTTTTGACCTTTTCGCGCCCAAAAACACTCTTCTGAAGAGACGCAGACATCAAAAAAATTTCCCGAATCGAGAAAAAAAACCGTAAAACAAACATATTTTTTGTTTTGCCTCTGTTCCTTTTTCGATTTATAAATTTATTTTATTTTGTTTATTTATTTGAAAATAGATGCAAAATACTCGGATTTTCTCCAATTTCCTTCGCTTTTTTCTTGAAAAAAACATGTTTTGCTCATTTTTCAGATTGCTCTTGAAATGCAAAAATGGTGGAAGCGATAAGTGTTCTCAATCTAAATCCAATGCATCTTGACATGTCACAACTACAAATGGATGCACAGTAAGTTAAAAACAATGTTTGTTTTGCTTATCTTCAGTATTAGATAAGATAATGTGACCTAAAAACTGAAAAAATAAAATAAAATAGAAAAAAATCTACTGTAGATTTGTGGGGTCTTGTAGCGATGAGCTGTGAAATTGCAGTATATTTTTTTAGTTAGTTTTTTTTTAACCTGAAATTGAAATTCAAAAAAAATAAAATAGAAAAAAACTACTGTAGATGTGGGGTCTCGTAGCCATGAGCTTTTTTTTCAATTTTTTAAAGTTACCCTGAAATTAAAATTTAAAAAAAAATAAAATTAAAAAAAATGTACTGTAGCTGTGTGTGGTCTTGTAGCGATGAGATATTCTTTAAAAATTTTCTAGTTAACCTGAAATTGAAATTTAAAAAAAACTACTGTAGCGAAGAGCTCTTGGACTACTGTAAATATTTTTAGATTACTGTAGTTATAGCTCAAAATTCATGAAATGTTTACCAAATTTTTTCAAGAGCATTTTTGAGCTGAAAATCCACGTTTTACAAAAAAAATGGAATTTCTGAACTCTGTTTTTTCTTTGAAAATCAAAATTTCCGAATTTGAATTTTTTTTGGCTGAATCTTCAGGGTTACTGTAGCTTTGAAGTTACCATAATTTTTCTCGCTAATCTGAAAAGTTAGGGTAACTTTCTAGGTTTCAAAAAAAAGTTGGGCCAAAATTTTTGGAAAACTTCCAAAAATTTTGGCCCAACTTTTTTTCAGAACCTCAAAATTTGACTGAATTTTCAGGGTTACTGTAGCTCGTGAGCTTTGAAGTTACCCTAACTTTCTAGGTTTCAAAAAAAAAATTCCAAAATTTTTAGAAATGATCCTAAAATTTTCGAATTTTTTTTCTGGAACAAGGGGATTCAAATCGAAAAAAAAACAATTTTTTTCATTTTTGTGTGGAAAAAATGTCGAAAAATAAGAAAAAAAAATAGTTTTTTCAAAAAAATAAATTTCTGATCTTCAGAACCTCAAGCCGAAGCAACACCTCAGTCTCCTCCTTATCAATCTCCGAATCATCCGAAATAATCTCGCCGCGAGCCGAAGAAATCCTCCGAATGCAGGCCGAACTTCGCGCAACTCGCAATCAATTAGCCGAAAAGGACAAGAAGATGACTGAGATTCAAGTGACAGTCGATGCCGAAGTTCAAGAACTCACTGAGAAACTCTTTCAGGAAGCCTATAAAATGGTGAATTCGGCTGAAGCGAGAAGGGAAAAATCGGAGAAACTTTTGAATGAGAGTCGGATGGAGGTAGATCTACTGAGAGCTGAAGTTCTGGCGTTGAAGGAGGTTGTCAAAAATTCTGGATCGAATTATTATAAATCAACATCTCCAGAATCAGCGCTCTCCAAGATGTTCTCCTCGAAGAATTCTTCGAAATCAAGATCTCTACCCTCAACTTCAGTATCTCAATCGCAAAATCAAAATCTAGCTCAAAAAGAAGCAGATTCAGTGGAAGAAATCGATCCAATTCTATTCAAAGAATTCGAAGCCTGGAAACAAAGCGGGCATCCGATGCAGAAACATCCATTCATCGATCGAGTTATGGTCGAAGAAATCGAGCCGTGTATGCTTTTCGAAAACACCCCACTCGCCATCGAAATAATGAAATCGATTCAGATGAATCGGATACAAATTGAGCCGATTAATGAGGCGAAACCCAGTATACGGTGAGCAATAGATTGCTCATGTTAGGTATAAGAAATTTCATTCAAAATTTTTTTTTGCAGAAATTGTTCCTTGACAAATGTTCAACGGTTTTGTCCGTATCGAATAAGAACTTCTGAAGAGCAAAATGATTGGAACTATATTTCATTGATCGCCAGAAATCGCGTGAGTTGTTTGTGTTATGACGTGGCACAGTATCTAGGATACTGTGCAAACATTTTTTGAAAATAAGGAATTTTGAAAATTGAAAATCCATCCACTTTTTATTCAAATTTCACGCCAAAAATTCACGTGGTTTTTCCGAAATTTCAAAAATTTGAAAATGAAAAAATCCACGTGGAAAATGAAAAAAATCCACATTTGTTTCAAAAAAAATTTAAAAATTTTTTCCCGCCAAAAAGTTTTCAAAACAAAAAATTTGAAAATTAAAAACAATCCACGTGGCACATTTTTTTTTCAATAAAATTCATAGCGGACGCAAAATTCCAAATTTCGCGCTAAAATTTTGCCACGTGGAATTCAGACTGCAAAAAAATATGTTCAAAATTAAAAAAAAATTGTTTAAAAATTCAAATTCCACGTGGCAATTCGAAATTTCAAAAATTTCGAAAAAAAATCCGAAAAATCCACGTGGCACATTTTTTTCCCGAAAATATTCAAAATTAGGATAAAAAAAATACTTTTTTTTCCAAAAAAAAAATTCAAATTCCACGTGGCAAAATTCGAAATTCCAAATTCTTGCAGATCGCCGCGGTCTGCGACTTCTACACCTGCATCCGCTACCTCTCGCAAGGCCTAATAAAACCCGGCCTTCGCGACGCCTATTTCCACGTCGTCAATCTACGCAAAAACATGTCGTTGGCAAAACTCGGTCTTGGATTTGTGCCAAGATCCAACATTCGACACAATCAATAATTTCCAGAAATATACAGGTTGTACATAAAACTTCTTTGTCTTCATCTTTAAATATACAAAAAAAGCGATAAATTAATAATAATGATAAAAAAATAGAATAAAAAAATCACAGTTCAAGTCCAAAAAAAAATCCAAAAACCAGTTATTTTTTCTGCTGTAATTGATTTGCCAACCAATCCATCGCCGCATCAAGACCTTCGCCTTTGGAAGCGGAAGTTTTGAAAATTTGAATTGTTCGATTTCGAAGCGCTTCAAGACCCAACGCTTTATAAACTTCAGTTTCAGTCAGACAACCAGCAATATCCTGAAATTTTTTTGTTGATTTCAAAATTTCTCATAAAGTTTCTACCTGTTTATTCGCCAAAACCGCTAGAACAGCTCCTTGCAATTCATCTTCTTGTAACATCGAAACCAATTCCTGTTTCGATATTCCAACACGATCTCGATCAGCTGAATCGACGACATAAATAATTGCGTCGGTATTCGCGTAATAACATCTCCAATATGGTCGAATTGACGTTTGACCGCCGAGATCCCACACTTGAAATTTCAGATTTTTGTATTCGACTTGTTCGACGTTGAAGCCGATGGTTGGAATTGTGGTCACGATTTCGCCGACCTGAAAAATCGAGGTTTTGTAGATATGCTAGAAATTTTTCGGATCTTGAAAATGAGATTTCCCAAATTCTTGAATCAAAAAATCTAAATTTGTAATTTACAGCAAATTTCTGAAATTTCAAAAAATTTGGAAATTCTCAGATTCATCGAAAAATTTTTTACAAAAAAAATGATCCCATCAAAAATTTGGTAAAATTAGAACTTCTAAATTTTTGAAAAGAATTGTCAGTTTTTCTGAAATTTTCAATTTTTTTATTCAAAAAATGTGGTTTTCCGAATTTCTCAAAAATAGTTTTTAACCAAAAAAACTTCGGAAATTTTCAGATTTTCAGAAAAATTCATCGAAAAAAATTTACTTTCTCAAAATTCAAAATTACAAAAAAAAATTATTTCATCAAAGTTTTGAAGAAACTTGCAAAATTCAGAAAATATTTTTTTTTTCAGAAAAATTCGTCGAAAAATAATTTTTTAAAAGAATTTTCAGATTAAAAATTCATTTTTTTTTCAAATTTTTCAATTTTGTGCCCAAACTTCAGCTTTCTCCCCAAAAATCTTGGATTTAAATTTAGATTTGAAAGATAACTTTTTCTTATCAAATTTTTCCCCAAAAATTTGAAAAATCGGATTTTTTTCAAATTTTTCAATTTTTCCCCAAAAAAAACCTTGGATTTAAATTTAGATTCAAAAATGTATATTTTTCCCCAAAAAACTTGGATTTAAATTTAAAACATCACATTTTTTCCCAAATTTCCCCCGCACTGCCTCCCCAAATCTACGTGTGTGTGGAAAAACGAAAAATGTCTGGCACGCTCTCGCAAACACACACTCTCTCGCACACAACTGTTTACTTTTATTTCGCGAAAACAGTGCATATTAGGAGCTGATTTTTATGTGTTTTTCATCAGAACCACAATATGTGTTATACATAGTTCGAAAGAGAATTTCTTCGGCTACAAACACATATGAAATGTTATAAATGAAACCGAGATAAAAAAATAAAAATTTCATGCAAACATGACATGGTTTTTTTGAATTGTGTGAAAAACGCATGTGTTTTTTGATGACCTGGCTCATTTTTTGAATATCGAATATATGTATAATCGAGTCGTAGTTTTGTTCAGAATATCAAGGGCTTTCAGCTGATGTAAATCAATATTTATGAAATTGTGAAATCATGGAGGAGTAGGGATTTTTCGTTTGTCAATTTTTAAAACGAAATTTTCATTTTCATTTGAAAGGAACTCGAATGAAGTTTACATACGTTTTGAAGAGAATTTCTCGGGCTTCAAAATCATATATATTTCTATACACAAAAATGGAAATTGAAAGCACCGCTTTCGGTTGAAAACTCAACGCTGTTTTTCGCAACACTACTGAACGCGGTTTGTTTGTTTGGTGCAAACCCAACAAGTTTTCAACCGAAAGCGGTGCTTTCAATTTCCATTTTTGTGTATAGAAATATATATGATTTTGAAGCCCGAGAAATTCTCTTCAAAACGTATGTAAACTTCATTCGAGTTCCTTTCAAATGAAAATGAAAATTTCGTTTTAAAAATTGACAAACGAAAAATCCCTACTCCTCCATGATTTCACAATTTCATAAATATTGATTTACATCAGCTGAAAGCCCTTGATATTCTGAACAAAACTACGACTCGATTATACATATATTCGATATTCAAAAATGAGCCAGGTCATCAAAAAACACATGCGTTTTTCACACAATTCAAAAAAACCATGTCATGTTTGCATGAAATTTTTATTTTTTTATCTCGGTTTCATTTATAACATTTCATATGTGTTTGTAGCCGAAGAAATTCTCTTTCGAACTATGTATAACACATATTGTGGTTCTGATGAAAAACACATAAAAATCAGCTCCTAATATGCACTGTTTTCGCGAAATAAAAGTAAACAGTTGTGTGCGAGAGAGTGTGTGTTTGCGAGAGCGTGCCAGACATTTTTCGTTTTTCCACACACACGTAGATTTGGGGAGGCAGTGCCCCGCTCCTCACCTGTAATCTATACAAAATCGTCGTTTTTCCAGCTCCATCCAATCCCAATATCAAAATGCGCATCTCTCTCGCTCCAAACAACCCCCGAAAATACGACATAACTCCGCCCATTTCAGCGAGACTAAACTAGAAAACTTCTGAAGATGCCTGAAAAAAATTTCAAAATTTTTTGAAAAAAAAGTAAAATCTTCAAATAAATAATTCAAGGCTCAAAAGGACCTTTAAAATTCCAAAAAAAAAAATGAAGTGTGAGAAAAAACTCAACAACTTTATAAAGAATAACAAAACAACAAAAGCAATAACAAAGAGAAAGGAAAACTAGGCTTTTTTCGGGCCGCCGGGCCCTGATCCATAAATTAGTCCCTTCTTGAGTCGACTGGGATTTAGGCCGTAGGCTTTGACACGCGAATCGGTCACTCCACTTCCGAATTTTTCGGCAAGAACATTTGTCTGCAAAAACAAACATGGATTCTGCGGGCCTAGTTTCTAGGCCAGATCTGATCCAGGCCTTTCTGGAAGTCTGGAAAATGGCTGAAAATCCCCACCTTAGCATTTCCTCCATTCTTATTTCGTTTTCGCTTCATTTTCTTGGGCTCTGCTGAATTCTCCTCACTTTGAGCTTCAACTGGAGCTTGTTCAGGTTCAGGAATTTCTGGAGCAACTTCTTGGACCTGAAAAAAAAACATAAAAGGGTTACTGTAAATGTTCGTTGTGGGACCCAAAATAACGGGGGATATCGAAGAGGAAACAAATTAGGTTACTGTAGATTTTTCGTGGCATTTTCCATTAAAAAAAATATGGGTTACTGTAGAATTTCGTTGTAGAACCCAGAATATTGAGGATTCTCAAAATAAAAAATATAAATACATTACTGTAGATTTCAGAAACATTTTTGATGTTCAAAAAATTTGAGTACTGTAGATTTTTCGTGGCAGGACCTTCATAGGGTTAAGAATAGAATTTTTCAATTTTTCATTAAACAAAGATATGAGTTACTGTAAATGTTCGTTGTGAGACCCTGGTAGCTTTGAAAAACATTAAGGTACTGTAGATTTACTGTAGATTTTTTCAGGACCTTAGAGGGGTGAAGATTGAATTTTTTCATTAAAAAAAATATGGGTTACTGTAAATTTTCGTTGTGGGACCCTCAAACATCTCCTACAAACAGATTACTGTAGATTTTTCGTGGCAGTACCTTCATAGCGTGAAGATCTATTATCTATGGGGTTACTGTAGATTCTCGTTTTGGGACCCCTGCAGATAGATTACTGTAGTTTCAAATTGGTTACTGTATATTTTTCGGGACCCTTTTCCTGTTTGGAAAACACAGTACTGTAGATTTTCGTGGCTAGGGTTTTTCAGATTTTTCTACAGTACTCTATTTTGAATTTTCTCTTGAAAAATATGAATTACTGTAGATTTTTCGTGTTGAGACCTGTTCTGGGGTGAAAATTCACGAATTTTCTTATTTTTCCCACCAAATTCCCCCCAAAATTCTCACCTTTTCCACAACCTTCGCCTTCTTCTTTCCACGTTTCTTCTTCTTTTTCTCCGCTCCCAAATTCACATTGTCCTCCTGGATTTCTTCTCCCTCATTCTCTAATCTCTCCTTCTCCTCTTCCAATTTTCGTTTCAGCGATTTTTTTCCGCCAAAATCGGTGGCGAAAATCCTGGATTTCTTAGCTTTATCAGCCGCTTTTCTCTTATACGCATTCTTATCGAAATGCTCTTCTTGCGAACTTCGATAGGCGGTGACTTTTTTCAGCGAAGCCCACGCGTTTAATTGTCGCTCATCAGCGTCGAGAATTTCATCGGTTGTCAGGCCGAAATCATTGGGTTCGACTTCACGGTATTTGAAGCGGGTTATTTGATCGCCTGGAAGCAAAATTTCAGAAAAATACATCTGGAATTCATTTTTTTCAAAATTGTTGCTCTAAAAACTCTGTAGAACTTAGAAATTCTCCCAAATATTAACATAAAATCTGAGATTTCAGATTTTTCTTGACCAGAGTTTCTGAAACTTTTCAAATTCAGAACAAAGAAACCAAAGTGCTGATTAAAAACCGGCTATACAATTTTTTAAACAAAACAATTTTGAAACGTAATTTTTCGAGGTTCGAAAAATGTTTTTTTTTCTGAAATTTTTTAGTGAAAATTAATCAGAAAAAGGTCTTAAAAACATTGGATTGTGAATTTGTGATCGCCAAAAATTTTATTGATAGATTTAGATGCCCATTGAAAAAAAAATATTGGAAATTTTTAGATAAAACTATTTTGAAACAGTGAATTTTTTTGGCTTTAAAAATGATTTTTTCTGAAATTTTTCAGTGAAAACTAATCAGAAATAGATCTTAAAAACATTGGATTGTGAATTCGTGATTCTCAAAAATTTCCTCATTAATTTTCAATGCCCATTGAAAAAAAAATTGGAAATTTTTAGACAAAACAATTTTGAAACGTAATTTTTCGAGGTTCGAAAAATGTTTTTGTTCTAAAACTTTTCAAATTCAGAACAAAGATACCAAAGTGTTGATTAAAAATTAATCAGAAACAGGTCTCAAAAACATTATGGGGTGAGTCATAAAAATAAATTGACAAAAAAAGTGCGATTAATTTCACGTTTTTTGTCAATTAATCGCATTCATTTCTGAAAAAATGCGATTGATTGACAAAAAACGTGAAATTAATCGCACTTTTTTTGTCAATTTATTTTTATGAATCACCCCATTATACAAATTGAAAAAAAGTGGAAATTTTTAGACAAAACAATTTTGAAACAGTAAATTTTTGAGGTTCAAAAATGTTTTTTTATAAAAATTTTCAGTGAAAATTAATCAGGAAAAGGTCTATTGTCAATCTGAAAATAAAAGAACATCTGTTTAAATTGGCGCTCACGTACAGTAGACTAAAAATGACGTGACACATGCACATCAAACTGGTTGGCAAATAGCCAACGTGTAAATTTCGCATTTTATTTTCAAATAGACTCCAAAATTTTGCGAAGTCTACTGTAGTCTTGGTTTCCTAGGCCATTTTTCGGAATGACAATAAAAAACATTGGATTGTGAATTTGTGATCGCCAAAAATTGCAACAGAAAATATCAATGCCAATTGAAAAAATATTGGAAATTTTTAGACAAAACAATTTTGAAACGTAATTTTCGAGCTTCAAAAAAATTCATCAAAACTTGGTCAAATTATTTTCAAAGCTGAAATTCCAAAACAAAAACTGTAAATTCAGAATACTGTGGAATTTTTGAGCTAAAATATTCCATAACAATCAGTTTTCAGAAAAATTCCATTGCAACTGCTTTAGAAATTTTTAAACAAAACAATTTTGAAACAGTTAATTTTTTTTTAGTTTCAAAACCAATTTTTTCTGAAATTTTTCAGTGAAAATAAATCAGACACAGATCTTAAAAACATTGGATTATGAATTTGTGTCCGCCAAAATTTTCCCAATTATTTTTCAAAGCAAATTGAAAAAATATTGGAAATTTTTAGACAAAAAAATTTTGAATCAGTAAATTTTTGAGGTTCAAAAAATAATTTTTTCTGGAATTTTTCAGTGAAAATTAATCAGAAACAGGTCTAAAAAACATTGGATTGTGAATTTGTGATCGCCAAAAATTTCAATAGCAAATACCAATGCCAATTGAAAAAAATTTGAAAACTTTTAGATAAAATAATTTTGAAACGTAATTTTTCGAGGTTCAAAAACAACAGAATTTTTCCAGAGAAAAACCTGTATTTCATGATTTTCGTTCCCAAAAAACCCAAAATTTCCCCGCTCACCAATAATATCCTCATAATCCAATGCATAATATTCATTGAAATATTGCTCAAAAGTCTTCTCTTTCGGATCAAATCTCGGTTTTTTCTTCGCCAATGCCTCTTTCAACACATTCTTCTTCTTTTTTCGGCGATTTTCTGAAACAAAAAGGTTTTTGATGAGAAAATCGAAAAACTTTTAAAAAAGAAATTTTACCATCAGAATCTTTTTTCATCGCTTTTTGTGCAGCTGCAACCATGTCGAATTTTCCATTTTTCTTCACATCAATTCCAGATTTTTGCGGTTTTTCAGAAGTTTCGCCGTCTTCTGAATCTTCTTCTTCTTTTTCTTCTTGAGACTGAAAAATGAAGAAATTTGGAATTAAATTTTAAATTTCTGCTGTAAAATTTGAAATTTCAAGAAAAATTTTTAGGCCAAATTTTCGGACTGAGTTTAGGCTAAGGCTTTTAGGCTAAGGCATTTAGGCTAAGGCTCTTAGGCTAAGGCTTTTAGGCTTAGAGCTTAGGCTTAGGCTTCTTATAGGCTTAGGCTTAGGGGGCTTAAAATTGGAAATTTCGTGCAAAAATCAGTTGAAATTCAAGGACTTACAAGGAAACCTTTTTTACTCAACACTTCAAATCATGATGAAATGTTGTCAATAGATAGCTTTTGGGGCCATATGAACACCCTAAAAATTTTAATCTCCCAATGGACCTCTGAGCCAAGTTATGGACTCTCAAAAGTTCAAAAATTGCCCAAATTGGCTCATAAAACACGTCATAACTCAATTCTCGATCAATTTTATGAAAAACTGAGTAGCAGATGATGATCAGCGTGGTCGATTTACCCAAAAAGCATGAATAAATCAAATTTTCAGAAAAATTTCTGATTTTGAAAAAAAGAATGAGCAGGGGCACATATGAATTTTCATGAATTTTCAGCCGAAAAATAAAAAACTTCAAAATTTTTTGAAAAAATATTTTTTATTGATTTACTTTTAGGTAATCAACCATGCTGATCAATATCTGAAACTTTATTTCTCCCAAAAAAAATTTTGAAATGGAGCTATGATGACTTTTATGACCATTTTCAGGCCTTTTTGAGTTTTTGAGAGCCCAGAACTTGGCTCAGAGGTCCATTGGGAGACTTAAATTTTTAGGGTGTTCTTATGGTCCCAAAAGCTATCTATTGACAAAATTTCATCATGATTTGAAGTGTTGAGTAAAAAAGGTTCCCTTGTTAGCCTCTCTCTAGAAAAAACCTTTGAAATTAATTTTGCTTTGTACAGAGAAGGTTTTGACCGAATTTTCAGCAAAAATTCACTGAAAACTACACTTTTTCCATTTAAAAAAATGTAGTTTTGAATTTTTTTTTTCGTAAGTTTCACAAGTTTTCAGCAAAAAAAACATACAGACATGTTTTATATCAAAAAATACAGAATTTTCCCAATTTCCACCCCAAAACTTTCGTTTTGGCCGAATTTTCAGAAAAAAACGCTGAAAACTACACTTTTTCGATTTAAAAAAATGTAGTTTTGATTTTTTTTTGAGAAATTTACAAATTTTCAGCAGAAAATCGATGAAGAACTACACTTTTTCTATAAAAAAAATGTAGTTTTGGCATGTGTGATATCAAAAAATTCAGAATTTTCCCAAAACCCTCCCTCACCTGTTTCTTAATTTCATCAACATCCATCTTATCATAATCCTCATAATCACTATCCTCTTCAAAATCGCTAAAAATCGGTTTCTCCATCATTTCATCCTCCTTCACCTCCTCAATTTCCCCATAATATTCCTCATTGAATATCTCCTTCATTTTCCGATCAAACTCTTTCGGATCAAAATCCGCATTCAATTCATCTAAACTAATCGGTATATCACAACCCGCCGCTTTTTTCAATTTCTCCAATTTCTGCTCGATTTCGGATTTTTTCATTTTTTGCAATTCTCGCAATTCCTTCTTTTTCTCTTCCTTTTCCTTCTTTTTTCTCTCTTCTTTTTCATTTCTTTTCTCTTTTCTTTGACTATTTTCAGTTCTCATTGATTCTTGAACAGTTCTTGGATAACTTTTGATGAATTCTTGATCTGGATCTTCGAATCGGAAATTGAATTTTCTTTCATATTCTCGATTTTTATCCATATCCTTTTCATCTTCTTCCAAAGCCACAATTTCATCATAAGTTGGATTCCTGTAATAAATTTTAGGTTGAATTTCAGCTCAATTTTCAAATTTTCTCCGCTTCAAACTCACTCTTCAGTCTCTCCCGGCACATAATCCTTATTAATCAGATAATCTCTCAAAAACTTTTCCGATTCATCCAAATTCGCATCATCTTTCCAGAATTTCTTCAAATGTTTCAATTCTTTGCATTTTTTCTTGTCGCTTTTCGAATTTTCGGTTTTCATCCAATCGTAGAAATCTTCATCGTCTTTTTCCTGGAAAATTTGAGGATTTGGGGAGGTTTCTGAGAATTTTACGCTAAATTCTAAACTTTAGAGAATATTTGAGTCACGTGTCGAATAGCCGAGCCTAGAAATTCTAGTTGTCTAGTAGCCGCGCCTAGAAAACCTACGTGTATAGGACCCGCGCCTAGAGAATCAATGTGACAAGAACCCGCGCCTTGAGAATCCCCGTATCAAGGTGCGACGCCTAGAAAGCCACTGTGACAAGGATCATCGCCTAGAGAACCCAGTTGTCAAATAGCCGAGCCTAGAAAACCTACGTGTATAGGACCCGCGCCTTGAGAATTAATGTGATAAGGAATCGAGCCTTGAGAATCACTATGTCAAGGTGCAGCGCGTAGAGAACCCAGTTTTCAAGTAGCTGAGGCTAGAAAACCGGAGTGTATAGGACCCACGCCTAGAAAATCAATGTGACAAGGGCCCACGCCTTTAGAACAACTATGTCTAGGTGCAGCGCCTAGAAAACCACTGTAACAAGAACCCACACCTTTAGAAACACTGTGAGAAGTATTGGCGCCTTGAGAACCACTGTTTCAAGGTGCAGCTCCCAGAAACCTTCTGTGACAAGGACCCACGCCTTGAGAACAACTATGTCTAGGTGCAGCGCCTCCAGAACAACTATGTCAAGGTGCAACGCCTAGAGAACCAAACAATGTGCGAATTTGAATGTTTGATCTCAAAAATCGGACGTGATGATGAATTTTTTTCAAAACGTGACATACATTCATAACACAGAAAAAATCTCCCTATAAAACCCCGCATTCACAGGCCAAAATCCATTTTAGAATAGAATCGAAGGTTAAAATGAATAGTGAATCGGAGGTAAAAAACCAGGGTGGATCAAATCAAGACGGGAAGCGTTTATTCAAGTTCTCTTTCAATGTCAACAAAAAAACCGACGATCAAACTGAGATGACCGGCGAATTCGTGGGCGATGTTCAGCATTTTTGCGATTACGATGAGGCGGTTGCGAAATGTTTTCAACTTCTCGAAGCCTGTTATATTCCGGTGGGCGGGAAGCCATCGAAAGACGACGAGGACTCGTTTCAAAAATTGGCCGGAGCGTTGCACGATTTCAAGGCGCATTTTCAGAATACACCACAATCTGCAGCGCTGGACACATTTGATACGAATATGAAGGCGGCGTGTTCGGCGAGAAAGGCGCATCAGAAGGATCAGAAGTATCAGTTGAGACATTTGAGAAGATTTCATGTGGATGATTTTCAGAAATTTCTTACACAACGGAAAGCGTTTGATGAGTGAGTTAGGGGAACTCTGGGGCCCCCTGGACCTTCCCAACTTCTAGATTTGTCACGTCACAACTTCCAGATCTCGCAAACGAATGGATCAGGCAAAAGTGGATGTTCGAGACGCCAAAACAACGGCGCAAATTGAGAAAAAAGCAATTTGTTATCAAATGGCTGTGGATGATTTCGATGCGCAAACTGAACTTGTAAGCTTCCCATAAATTTAGGAACTTCAAAATTCCGATTCAAAAAATTTTCCAGCTCATCAAATTGATTGACGGTTTGCCGAAAATCAAGCAAACCAATTGCCACGATATATTGATGTTTTTGACGAAACACAAAGTTTTTCATGCTGATATGGTTCGCTTCTACAAAATTGCATGATTTTCGAGAGAAATTTTGAATGAATGATTTTTGAAAATTGTCGAGGATCTTTTGCAACGTGGATTTTGAATTTTTCAAATTTTTTGCGTCAATTTCAAATCTAGGCTCAAGGAGCCACGCCTTGAGGGCGTTTATGACAAGCAGCAGCGCCTATACATCCTAGTTCTCAAATAGCCGCGCCTAGAGAACCTCATTGTCTAGGGCTGACATCGAGTTTAGCACTTCGGCAAGAGCCGAGCCTTTAGAGCTTCTATGCCAAGGAGCCGAGCCTAGATAACCTAGGTCTCAAGTATCCGAGCCTAGAAAATTCAATTGTCAAGGAGCCGAGCAGAGATAACCTAGTTCTCAAGCAGCCACGCCTAAAGCTCCAAAGGATCGGTGTCTAGAGACCAGGATCGGTGTCTAGAGACCAACCCTGTCAAGGTGCCGAGCCTTCCGAACCTAATTGTCTAGGACTCGCATCGAGAACAGTACTTTGGAAAGGATCAGCGCCTAGAGAACCACTATGACAAGTAGCCACGCCTTGAGAGTGTTTAAGACAAGTAGCCGAGCCTAGACATCCTAGGTCACAAGTAGCCGTGCCTTGAGAACCTAATTGTCTAGGGCTCGCAGCGAGTTTAGCCCTTTGGAAAAGAGCCAGGCCTTGAGAGCGTTTATGACAAGTAACCGAGGCTAGAAAATTAAATTGTAAAGGAGCCACGCCTAGAAAATTTAATTGTCAAGGAGCCGAGTCTAGACATCCTGGTTCTCAAGTAGCCGCGTCTAGAGAACCTAATTGTCTAGGACTCCCATCGAGATCAGTACTTTGGCAAGTAGTCACGCCTTGGGAGCTTCTATTACTCCTAGTGCCCAAAAATTCACCCACCTGCTCCAATTTCGTTTTCTTCCTCTCCACCAAAAAATCATCACCGTCATCTTTGATCCCGGAATTAATTGCAGCTGACAGGCTACAAAAACACAATTTTGACTAGAATTCGAGGCAAAATCCCTACCTTTTTCTCAATTTTTCCTGCTCCTCATGATATCCTTCGCGTTGCTCTTTTCTCTCAATTTCCTCATCATCATCATCTTCATCGATTTGTCTGAAAATAAGGGGAAATGAGTACAAAACAAAACAACATATACATATATAGCCGAAATTTGCGAAAAGAGGACCCTTTTTCTTGTTGTTGGCAGCTGAATTGTCAACTTGTGCGAAATAGTGTTGGAAATGTGGAGAGTGTGGTGAGAGAGGCAGAGAGAAAAAGAAGATAGCATCTTTTTTGGAAATGGAAATGGAAGAAGAAAAAATGGAATAAGTCGTGGAAATTTCGATTTTTTGGGAGAAATGAGAAATGCAGAAAAAATGTTCACGTTTTCACGTGAAAAAATTATTTTTTTTTGAAAACGGAATCAAAATTCAAATTATTTTTCCGACTCTTTCGCGGCACCAGCAAATAAAAGTTTTCTTCAAAAATATTCATAAAATTTTGAAACAGTGAAATTTTTTAAGATTTAAAAATGGGAATTTTTCCACGTGGATTTTTTTGATACAGGAAAACACAAGATTTAATAAAATTGAAGAACACTTTAAAGAATATAAACTTTTTTGAAACAGTGAAATTTTTTGAACAAGAAAATCTTTAGAAAAATTGATTTTTAGGACGAAAAATTCCAGCTACGTGGATTTTTCGCCTAAAACATATAATTTTCAGAATCTTAAATTCAGATTTTCAGTCAAATCACTATTTTCCTCATTAAAATTTTGAAACAGTGAAATTTTCGAATTTGCAAACATCATCATCGACTAATATAATCAAAGAATACTGAATAAAAATATAATTTTTTTGAAATAGTGAATTTTTCTGAGCCAAAAAATATTCAGAAAAATAGATTTCTATGGTCAAACACACATATCAGCAAATAAACATTTCTTCAAAAATATTCACAACAATTTTGAAACAGTGAAATTTTGCCACGTGGATTTTCGGAATTTGGTAAAAAAATTATCCAATGAAATTAAAGAATACTAAACAAAAATATACATTTTTTGAAACAGTGAAATTTTTAGAAACAGAAAATCTTTGAATAAATATATTTTTTTGGCCGAAAATTCCAGCCACGTGGATTTTTACACATAATTCAAAAATACAATTTCAGAGCCTAAATTCAGAAAATTGTCCCAAATGAAAAGATTCAAGTTATTTTCTTTTAAAAATAGAAAAACAAGCAAATATAACATTTCTTCAAATAATATTCATAAATATTTTGAAACAGTGAGATTTTGCCACGTGGATTTAGGAATTTGGAAAAAAACTCGGTTTGGTCAGTTATTTAATATGTTTTTTGGGATAAAAAAATTAATATACATTTTTTTTGAAACAGTGAAATTTTTGAAGCGTAAAATACCGAAATTTTGCCATGTGGATTTTATGAATTTGGTAAAAAACCATGGAGTATTTAATGAAATCAAAGAATACTGAATAAAAATATAAATTTTTTAAAACAGTAACATTTTTAGAACCAGAAAATCTTCAGAAAAATAGATTTCTATGATCAAACACACAAGGTATCAGCAAAAAAAGTTTTCTTCAAAAATATTCATAAAAATTTTGAAACAGTGAAATTTTTGAAGCATGAAAATACCGAAATTTTGCCACGTGGATTTTCTGAATTTGGAAAAAACAACTACTAATAAAATTAAAGAATACTAACAAAAATATAAATTTTTCGAAACAGTGAAATTTTTTTGAGCCGAAAAATCTTTGAAAAAATAGTTTTCTAGGGTCGAAAATTCTAGCCACGTGGATTTTTACATAAAATTTAAACATACAATTTCAGAGTCTTAAATTCAGACAATTGTCCCAGATGAAAAGATTGAAGTTATTTCTTTCAAAAATAGAAGAACAAACAAATATACAGTTTCTTCAAAAATATTCATAAAAATGTTGAAACAGTGAAATTTTCGAAGCAAAAAAATACCGAAATTTTGCCACGTGGATTTTAGGAATTTGGAAAAATCGTGCACTAATAAAATTAAAGAATAATAAAAAATATAAATTTTTTGAAACAGTAAAATTTCTTGAGCTAAAAAAATATTCAGAAAAATAGATTTACAGGGATTTTCGAATTCAAGGAAGCAAATAAAAATTTTTTTCGAAAATATTCATAAAAATTTTGAAACAGTGAAATTTTCGAAGCAAAAATAGGAACTTTGCCACGTGGATTTTCGGAATTTGAAAAAAAACAGGTTTTGGTCAGTTATTTAATAGGTTTTTCGGGCTAAAAAATTTAAATACATTTTTATTGAAACAGTGAAATTTCTCGGACCAAAAATCTTCAGAAAAAATGATATTTTGGGATTTGCGAATTCAAGAAAGCAAATAAATATTTTCTTCCAAAAATATTCATGAAAATTTTGAAGCAGTGAAATTTTTGAAGCATGAAAAAACGGAAATTTCGCCACGTGGATTTTTGGAATTTGTAAAAAACATCAACGAATAAAATTAAAGAAAACTTCAAAAAATACAAATTTTTTGAAACAGTGAATTTTTGAGAACCAGAAAATATTCATAAAAAATAGATTTCTAGGGAGTTTCAAATTCAAATGACCAGCAAATAAAAATTATCTTTGAAAATATTCATAAAAATTTTGAAACAGTGAAATTTTCGAAGCATGAAAATGGGAACTTTGCCACGTGGGTTTTTTGACATCGTAATGCTTTAATGAAATTAAAGAATACTGAATAAAAATATAAATTTTTTGAAACAGTGAAATGTTTAGAAACAGAAAATATTTGAATGAATATACTTTTAGGGATTTTCAAATTCGAATCACCATCAAATATAAATTTTTTTCAAAAATATTCATAAAAAGTTTGAAATAGTGAAATGTTGCCACGTGGATTTTTTTAATCTAAGAAAATCATCTACTAATGAAATTAAAGATTTCTAAAAAAAAAATATAAATTTTTTGAAACAGTGAAATTTTTAGAACCAGAAAATCTTTGAAAAAATAGATTTCTAGGGTCAAAAATTCTAGCCACGTGGATTTTTACATATAATTTAAAAATACAATTTCAGAGCCTTAAATTCAGACAATTATTCCACATGAAAAATTTCGAGTTATTTTTTTTCAAAATCGAATCACCAGCAAAAATACATTTTCTTCAAAAATATTCATAAAATGTTTGAAACAGTGAAATTTTGCCACGTGGATTTTTGAAATTTGTAATAAACATCAACGAATTAAATTAATTAGAGAACACTGAATAAAAATATGAATTTTTTGAAACAGTGAAATCTCTTGGGCCAAAAAATCTCTTCCCAAAAATCCAACCAACCCTCCTTTCTCCAGCACCAATTTCCTCTCATAATCCTTAATCGTAATTTTCTCATCCTTCTTTTTCTTCTGTTTTTTTTCCGGATTCTTCTGCGAACTCGTTGCTTCTTCAACTTCCTTAAAATAACTCTTTCCATTCTCAAAAAAACTTCGATCGCCAGATTTAAGGGCTCCAAGGGTTTTCAAAAATGCTTCTTCATGCTCATCGGTCCATTCGGGTTCGGATTCAGAAGAGGAGGAATTTCCGTCATCTTCCAGATCACCGTAACGATCTTTGACTGAAAATTGGGGGATTTTTAAAGATTTAGGCTAAATTTCAACAAAAAAAAACCAACTTTTCTGCATTTCTTCCAATCTTCTCCAATTGTCATATCTTGTTGCATAACCCTGCAAAAAAATCGATAATTATGAAATTTCTATTGAAAATGATGAAGCTATAGTGCAAAAATCAAAATTTCATAGATTTTTTGAAACAGTAAACTATTTTTTTCCAAAAAAATTCAATAATTTTTGCCACGTGAATTTTATATTGATTTTTAGGCTCAAATAATCCAATTGTCTTGAAAAATTCAATTTTGAGCTTCAAAAATCAATAAATTTCGATTTTTAGGTTCAAAATTATCCAATTGTCTTGAAAAATTCTATTTTGAAACTTTCAGAGCTTCAAAAATTGCCACATGGATTTTATATTGAAAAAATATTTTAAAATCAATAAATGTTGATATTTAGACTCAAAATTATCCACTTTTCATGAAAATTTCAATTTTGAGCTTTAAAAATCAATAAATTTCGATATTTAGGCTCAAATAATCCATTTTTCAAGAAAAATTCAATTGTAGTGATATTTGGACTCAAAATCATCTAATTTTCATGAAAATTTCAATTTTGAGCTTCAAAAATCAATAAATTTTGATTTTTAGGTTCAAAACGATCCAATTTTCATGAAAAATTCAATAATTTTTGCCACGTGGATTTTATTTTGATTTTTAGACCCAAAAAAAAATAAAAAATTCAATTTTGAAACTTCCTGAGCTTCAAAAATCAATAAATTTTGATATTTAGGCTCAAAATTATCCAATTTTCGTGAAAAATTAAATTTCAGAGCTTAAAATCAATAAAATTTGATGTTTAGGCTCAAAATTATCCAATTTTCATGGAAAATTCAATTTCAGAAATCCCAGATCTTCAAAAATCAATAAATTTTGATATTAAGGCTCAAAATTATTCAATTTTCATGAAAATTTCAATTTTATTGATATTTAGACTCAAAATCATCCAATTTTCATGATAATTTCAATTTCAGAAATCCCAGATCTTCAAAAATCAATAAATTTTGATATTAAGGCTCAAAATTATTCAATTTTCATGAAAATTTCAATTTTATTGATATTTAGACTCAAAATCATCCAATTTTCATGATAATTTCAATTTCAGAAATCCCAGAGCTTAAAAATCAATAAATTTCGATTTTTAACCCAAAAGCCCTTAAATCTCACCTTATTAAACCCTAAATCCTGTTTCGCATCCTGCTCTTCTTCTTCATCGTCAAACAATGACAAATTCTTCTTCTTGCTCATTCTACAAAACTTTGAAATTCAAATTTTTCCTGCAAAATTCCAGATATCAAACTGTAATCATTTTTCACAGAATCAAATAAATTTCCAAATTGTTTTTTCTCAACAAGAAGTGTTTTCACTACTCCCATCCCTTTATGCATAATAAAATGCCCACAAAAATAAAAATATACAAAATTCAAGAAGATCAAATCAAATAAATTATGTGTAAAAGTGTTTTGCGATATCTACAAGGTTTCTAATTTACAATTTTTTGCATTCAACAAAGCCGGCGCGGTGCCAAATTCAAACTCATGGAAGTTTGTGAACAGAAACTTGATCATAGGCTGGTGGAGCTTCACCTTCCGGCTCTTTTTGTGTCCAATTCGATTCGGCATCTTCGGAAATCATGGATTTTTTGGCTGGGATTTGACCGAAGGTTGGTGGATGTTGGAATTGAGAGGATTCGACGGTGGTCTGCAAAACAAGGGGCGAAATTATTTTTTTTTCGTTGTGGGACCCGTGAGCTTATGCTTTAGGGCCAAAATCATGGTGGGATTTCCCGAAGGATTATCCTGGACTTAGTTGGGCTAACTTGGGATTTTGTCAGCTTTTTGTAGCGGGGAATCAGAAAATTTCTTGAATTCTATTGAATTGGAATTGAAAATTTAAAGCGAAAAATCTGGAAAATCCCGGATTTCTTTGGCTGAAAATTCTACAACCTTTTTTCAACTGAAAATTCCAGAAACTTGGAATTTTTTCAGCTTTTTGTAAAACTTTCAGTGGGGAATCAGGAAATTTCTAGAATTTGGTATTTTCAGCAAAAAAATAGGTTTTGAAGCATTTTCAGCCAAAAAATCCGGGATTCTCTAGAAATTAATCTGGTCTGAATTGTAAATTTTTAAGCTCAGCTGAAAATTCCAGAAACTTGAAAAATTGGGCACCAAAACATTTTTAGCTTGAAAAGATCTTCAAATTAATTTCTAGAGAATCTCGACTTTCTTGGCTGAAAATGCTATAAAACCTATTTTTCTGCTGAAAATACCAAATTCTAGAAATTTCCTGATTTCCCCCTTAAAAGTTCTACAAAAAGCTAAAAAAAATTCCAAGTTTCTGAAATTTTCAGTTGAAAAATAGGTTGTAGAATTTTTATAGCATTTTCAGCCAAGAAATCCGGGATTTTCCAAATTTTTCGCTTCAAATTTTCAGAGGTTATTTTCAAGCTGAAAATCTTTTTTTTTATTGAATTTTGAATTTTTTATTTAGAATGTTATAAATTAACCGGCACATAAAAATAGTGAGATCAAAGGGAGAGAGAAAAAAGGGGTAATTCACATGAAATCGAAAAATAAATAGGGTGAATAAAATAACTTCCCAAATTTTTAAAAGACCTAAATCCCGCAAGAGACCTGGTCAGTTGGAGGTTTATTGGAATTTTTCTAGAGTTTGTGGCCAGAAATCCAGGATTTCCAGATTTTGCGCTATAAATTTTCAGAGGTTATTTTCAGGCTGAGAATCTTGGTTTTATTAAATTAGGTCCGATTTTCAAAATTTCATTTTAAAACTGGAATTTTTATAGCATTTTCAGCCAAGAAATCTGGTATTTTCCAAATTTTCGCCTTAAATTTTCAGAGGTTATTTTCAGGCTGAAAATCTTTTGTTTTAATTGGAATTTTTATAGCATTTTCAGCCAAGAAATCCAGAATTTCCAGATTTTTCGCTTTCAATTTTCAGAGGTTATTTTCACGCTGAAAATCTTCCAAAACTCACATAATGCTCAATTTTCGGTCTTCTAATGAACAAGATGATTCCAAGTCCAGAAATGATGAGGAAAAGAATAGCCATCGTCAAAATGAGCCAGCGAATCGATTGATTATGGATTTCTGCAAAAAATTGATTTTTGAAAATGAATTATGACGTGGCAGGCAAAGTTTCCCACGTTGATTACGTTGCAAATAGTCTTCATACTCCTCAATGTTGAATTGTCGAATAATCGGCCGCCCATCATAACCCTGATTTCCAACTTCAGGCCCCTTCAACGCAATCATTCCATGTCCCGAAGGTCTTCCCGTCATTTCTTCCATTTGCTTTTGAGCATCACTCATAACACGTCGAACAATTGTTTGCAAAAATTGTTGGCTTTTGTCCAATTTGACGTCGTCCGAAGTTCTGAAGGAATTCTTCATTGGAAGAAACACTCACAAAGAAAAAATAATGAGAAAAAAAGGAGAAAAACTCACAAGAAAAGCCCATTATCGGATTTTGATGGCGGTGTGAAAATTCGGGGTTTTAGCAAAATATTGGAGAGGGTTTTGAAGGCATCTTCATTTTGATCGAAGATTGAGGCGGATGAGGCGGAGCCCGAAGTTTCTTGTTGGATTTTCCATTTTGGCTCGGGGCCAGATGTGTCGAGGGTCATCTGGAGAATGAAAATAGTGAAAAATTTTCATTTTTTCTTCTTGTATGTACTTAGAATGCCTTATTTTCTGTCAAAAAAAAATTCGAAGCAAAAATAAAACTTTTTAATTAAACTTTCGTGAGAACATTGCGTGTTGAAGTGGAAAATCGGGTGTTCTCAGAAAAAATTCTGACAGAATCGAAAAAAATTGGACCACCCACGAAGTCTCTGACAAAAAATGTTTTTTCAACATCGAAATATCAATTCACGAAAAGTCATAGGATAAAATTACTTTTTTCGAGTTTTTCAGTCAAAAATGATGACAAATCGATATTTTTGAAGCTTCTGGAGTGATTTCTGATGAAAATAAGCCCTATTTTCCCTCATTTTATTGATTTCTTCGAAATTTTCACCAGAATTCACTCAAGACGCTTCAAAAATCTCGATTTGTCATCATTTTTGACTGAAAAAACGAAAAAACTAATTTTGACCTATGACTTTTCACGAATTGATCTTTCAATGTTAAAAAACCGTTTTTTGTTCGTGAATCAGCGCTAAAGCAAGTGCGCTCTATCGCACATCTCAGCTCGTGTCTAACAAAGAAATATGAGAGCTCTTCACGCAAACTTGTCAACCTTCGGCTCAAATTTCCGCAACTCACAGTATAACTCGCTTCATATGGCAAAGAGCACGCGAACTTGCAGGCTTTCAACTCTCCATTATCATTTTCCTCCTCCTCATCCACCATCGTCTCATTCGAATACATTTTCACACAATCCGCAGAGCACAGGCTGAAGCCAAAAATGTCTTTGGCAATCGATTTTCTCGCCTCACAACCCGCTTCGCAGGCCGATTTTTCGGCTGCGGTTCCAACAAATTTGTCTTTGCACATCGACAGGCATTCGGATTTATCGTCGGCGGCGACGAAGTGGAGAAGAATCAGCAGCAAAATGCTGACAACAACTCGCATTTTTTCTGGAAAAATGCGGAGAGTTTCAGATAATTTATGTGTGAGTAAAAGTGAGAAAGTGAAAAAGGCTCTGCCTGCAGGCAGGGATTTCATGCGAACAAAATCAATAACAACCAAGAGAAACAGGGAAGAACACACACATATTTCTGGCGAGTTCGGTGGAGCGCGTTTGCTCGTCTGAGAGTGCAATTTTGCAGGAAATAGATATTTCAGAGCGGTAATTAAGAACCGCAAAAAACTAGAATTCGTTTGCAAACAACAAAAATTAACTTTATTCAAAATCTAAAAATCTTCGAAGAAATTGAACCTTCGAAACATCTGAAAGCGCCTCGAATTCAACTGTTTTCGTAGCTTCTTTGAGTTCTTTACTCGATTTGAAAGATTGCATACAAGTTTGCTGAAAATTAAAATTTTCAGCAAAATTCTAAGAAAAAACATTTTTCTCACCAACAATCTTGGAAAATTGAACTTGTCAGCGAATTTTATGAATTTCATGATCACACATTTTGAATTCGAATTATTTGAAGTTTCCAAGAGTGTTGCGATTTTCATTGGAATTGTTTTGATTTTGAAACGACTGGCGAGATCCAAAAATTTGTCGCAATCATCAGCTGAACAAAAAAAAATCTTGAAAATCGAGAAATTTGAAAACTCACTTTTAATAAACTCAATAACTTCTATCGCTTGCCAAAACGGAACATTCGGATGCGAAAACATCATAAGTTTCATGAAATCCAATAATTTCACATCGTCAATTTTGATTTCAGAAGATTGTGCTGAATTGTTTGTGATCAAAAGATTGTAGAAATAATCGGAAAGCATGCAAAGTGACTGAAAAATCAAGATTTCAAGAAGATTTTGAGAATATAACTCACTCCTTTGTTGAAATGTAATTCAACATCTTCAACCTTCACAACAAGATCAGAGTAGTTCGGAACCTTTCTCGAGAAATCGTAGAAAATGAAATCAAAGTTAACTTCTATTATAATCGAATTGTTTTTTACCAATCTGTTTTGTTGCAACAAAATATTATCCCTGTAAATATGAAAAATATAAACGAAAATATATTAGAACTAACCAAAAATATGTAGGAACGTCGCAGGAATAACGGTAATCATCTGAATCAAAATATTTGACGTTTTCAGAAAATCTACTCAAATGATTATTTTCTCCGATTTGCCTCAAAAGTATCACTTCCGCTTTCACTGCGCAAATAGATCCCTTCACATTCTCCAAACTACAGCAGTAGAAATCGGCATACAGATCCTGTTTACCACTTCGATTTCTCAGCTCAATGCCAATTTTCCATTTTACAGAATCTATCTCAAATTCTTCACTATATCTCTTTTCTCCTTTCCACTCTTTCACATTTTCGAATCTCCATTTGATTGTTTTATTGTCACAATGAATCGGGTTATTCATTTTCAAATTCGAGTGAAACCTGAAAATTGAAAAAAGACGTGAAAGACATCAACTCCCGAGAAAAAACAAGCGAAGAAATGTTTTTTTTCGAAAAAAAACAAAAATAAAACAACGATACTCCGCGGTTACACAAGAACAAACCGCGCGAAAATTGCATTTTCAAAGCAAATTTTATCAAAACTACGAAACTGACACTACCTAAAAATCTTTATCAATTAATCCTAACTAATCAAAAATCCTATGAATATTATCAATTGCATCCATCGGATTATCCTTATAAAGCAAAAAATGTCCCTGAATCGAAGCCGGCGATAAATTTTCGGTGGATTTTATCGATTTTATAAAAAGATCGGCTTGTGAAGACGTAGAAGATGGATAAAATCGAAGAAACATCTGGAAATTTTTTTTGGAATTTTTTTAAATGAAAACAAAAATAGGAAAACTAACTTTTCTCAACATATCCTCGGTGGCATTTCCAAAATATTGTTTGCGATCAACTCTTCCCGGTCGAATTAGAGCCGGATCCAGTCTTTCCACATAATTTGTTGTCATAAATGTGATGCGCTCTTCAGCACAAGCAACACCATCTAATGCGTTGAGAAGACCAGAAAATGTGACACTGGAAAAAGATGGAAAATTATTTTTCGTTTCGTTTTGCCACGTCAAATGTCACGGTAAACGTGTAGATGAAAAAAACGGTTTTGGGCATTTCTAAATTTAAAAATCGTGTGAAAGTGTGTTCTGGCATAATAGTGATACGGGTGACTTTATTATTCTGGGCACTACAGGAAACCACGTGGCTTCCATTTTTTCATTTGAAAAATTGCAAAATTCACGTGGATTTTTGAAGAAAAATCAGTAATTTTTGAATTTTCCGAATGAAAATTGGAAACTTGTCAGCACAACAAAAATAACCAGAAATTTCTATAATTCAAAATTTGAAATGAAAAAATACATCAGGCTTTTCTTGTCATAAAAGTTTCACAAGGGAAACTTTTCTACTCAAAACTTCAAATATTGATGCAATTTTGTCCATAGACAGCTTTTGGGGCCATAAGAACAGCCTAAAATTTTTAGGATCTCTGGGCCAAATTTTGGGCTCTCAAAAGTTCAAAATTGCTCCATTTTAAAATAATTTTTGTCAGAAATAAAGTTTTAGATATTGATCAGCAAGATTTTTTCGAAAAATTTTGAAGTTTTTTTATTTTTTGGCTGAAAATTCATACCTTTTTCCAAAATCAAAATTTTTTCTGAAAATTCGATTTAGGGTAAATCGACCACGCTGATCATCATCTGCTACTCAGTTTTTCATAAAAAATGATTGAGAATTGAATTTTGAGAGCCCAAAACTTGGCTGAGGTCCTTAAATTTTCAAGGTGTTCTTATGACCCCAAAAGCTGTCCATGGACAAAATTTCATCAAGATTTGGAGTCACACCTGACGAGACATGTCCAAAATGGACACTGTACAAAAATTTTCAAACGTCACACTGTACATTTTTTCACAAAAAAGTGTAGTTTTCATTGATTTTCAGCGGATTTTGATGAAAATTTTCAAAAAATTCAAAATTTCACGCTTCACAATTTTTTTTGCAAAAATTTCCACACTGCACAAATATTTTGGGACACTCTCGAAAATTTGCCTATTTTTGGGTTGTATATGAAATTTTTAAATTTATTTTTTGAATTTTGGTCTGATCCGAAAGTATCCGAAAAATAAGATTGATCCGAATATTGTAAAATAAAAATACACGTGGATTTTTGAAAAATCATAATTTTTAGAACATACATCGGCCAAGCCGTGGCTGGCCAGAGTAAAATTTTTGGAAAAATCTGAATTTCAATTTTTAGAGGTCAAATATTGAAAAATCACAAATTTTAGAGGAAAAAAAACTGAAAAATTCACAATTTTCGTACTGTAAAGAGTTATCGTGCAATTTTTTATTGTGGAAACCACGATTTTGGCCGAGGTGTGTTTTAGAACCAGGATTTTCCAACGCTGATTCTCTAATACAAAAAAATGCTAACCGTGACATTCCTTGATAAGCCGGATGATTGGCCATTGGATCTTCTCGACTAACAAAAGCCGCATCAATATCTTCCAAGATAACCACCGAATTCGGCGGAGCTGTATTCAACAAATGATTCAATCGATCATCATCCAAAGTTCGTTCACTCAATGACAACAAACAAACACTATAACCATAATGACTAGCCAACGCCGAAATAAAACTCGATTTTCCAGTTCCCGGAGGACCATAGAACAAATAGCCCCTTCTATAGGGAACTCCTCGATCAGCATACCAATTTGAGGATTTGGTGAATTCCTCGAAATCCTGACAAAGTTCCTGACAGATGTTTTTGTCGAGAATGACACTTTGAATGTCGCGCTTTTTTCGGGGAATTCCGAAACGCAGCCATTGTGGACCGACAGCTTGGTAGATCACAAGACCAGTTTGAGTCTGAAGTTTTTTGTTTTCGAAAAAAAAGTTTAAGTAAGTTTCTGAAATCTTACATTATCAATTGCATCTTTCGCCGATTCTTGCAACATTTTTTTGAAAAAAGTCACATCTGATCCGAGGGTTGTTAAAGTCACAGTTTCAAAAGGTGTTCGAATTCCGTCTCTTTGAATGACTTGTTTTTCTCGCTGCCTTTCGACTTTTATCCAGCGATAATTGTGAACGAAAAAATGTTGACCGTGACCGGGTAAAAATGAAATCGACAGTTCGGTTTTACCACTTTCGGCTTGCTGGACAATTGTATTCGCGGAAAGATTTCTGGTTTGTTGTGCACTTCGTTTATTGATGAAGTCTAGGAGCCAGGGATAGGCTGCATCTTCATTGTTGATTTGAAGGGTGATCATGAATCGTCGGCGGAAATAAGTGTTGCCGATTTGCGCGGATCTTCGGAGAACATTCATTGCTAGACCGATTCCTGCTAAACCGGCTCCAGCGTTGAAATAGGGGTTTGCTTGTAAGGTATCATAAATTTTACTGAAATTTGAAGTTTCTGGCACTGATACTTCGCCGACTTCCATGCCTATTTTTAAAAAAAAACTCATTTTTGTCTTACAAGGAAAATGTATGCTTTCATCGTGTTAGACAACAAATCTCAAGTGTGAGGGGAATGATGGCAACAACAATACATTTATTCGATAACGATATAACAATGAGAAAATTATTCCTCTTGTTGTTCTTTGAGTGAGAGGAGAAGAGCTTTCTTGTCGGCGACGCGTTGTTTTCTCTCTTCGTATGTGATCTTCTTGGCTCCGTGTCTCTTTGGCTTTCCGGCCTTGCGGTCTTTCTTGGCAGCGCCGGCTGGGTTGGCTCGGATGGCGGCGTGAGCTTTTTCGTAGGTCTGAAAATGAATCAATTAGATTGGATATTCTGACAAGGATAATTATCTAGACTCACCGAGACGATGTTGTCAGCGTTCAAACCGTTGGAAAGGTACTTCGAGAATTGTCTCTTGTATCTATCCTCATCTTCTTCCTTCAAGTAGGTCATGTAATCAGCGACGTGCTTTCCGAGAATTCTGTCACGGTGAGCTTCGGCGTTGTATTCCTTCTCTTCTTGGTCGAATCCGTAGAATCGGTTCTCACTAGAAAAAATCGCAAAATGAATTCAAGATGCGATGAATAAGAAATTTACCTGTGTGGAACGTTGATTCCTCCGTCAGCGACTCCCTTCATGACGGCGAAGACCTTTGATCCGGTGGTGGTACGGGCAAGCCCGACATCAAGGACAGCCTTGAATGGAGCACGGTCTCCAGATTCTTCGACATTGTAGTCTTCTCCGGTGAGCTATAAATTTCAATATTAAGAAATATGAAATTTAGGAAACTCGGGAGTAAATTAAACTACCTCAACATGACCCTCATAGATTGAGTCAAGTCCGATGGTCTTCAAGTGACGACGAGCAAGGAGGAGTCCGGTAGCGTAAGCGGCGGCGTAGTTGGTAAGTCCAACCTTAACTCCGTAGCGTGGAAGCTCGTGAGAGTAGGCTGAAGCGACAACAACGTCTCCTTCAATCTTTGAGTAGGCGATCTGAAAAAAAATAAATTTTAGCATAAATAAATAATTTCGAAAATTTTCGAAATTCACGTTTTAACCCAAAAAAAAATGATTTTAGGATCAAAATTGTTAATTTTGAGATATTTAAAAACTCACTTGAGCGACAACATCCTTGTTGGTGATTCTGACGATGAGACGGTATTTTGGAGTGTTGTACTTGTTCTTGGATTGAACGGTAAGACGTTTACGGGCGTAGTAGTCGGTCTTTCCCTCACGACGGCGTCGGAGTTTGACTTGGTAACGCTTGAAGTAGGCCTTATTCTTAATGACCTTGACGAGACCCATGTTTCCTGAAAATCAAAAAATAGTGCAATTTCAGAAATTTTTCAGAGACAAAAAAGCTAGCTTCATATCGAAAATTTCAAAAATAAAATTCACAGGGCTTAACTTTAGAAAAACAAACTCATGAACTAAACTATTCAAAGAAAGAAAATAAAAATAAAGGTGAATTTCACAAATCAGTAAACAATAAATAAAATAATTTCTAGCGAGTCATAGCCTATTTCTTATGGAAAACCCTAATTAAATTCCAAAACCAGAATTATTTGCAGCTCAAACTTTGCAAAATCACAAATCCTCCACGTCAAAACGTGTGAAAACCTTGCAAAACCCCAAAAAAGAAAAAGAAAATTTTAGGATTCGCCAATTCGCAAATAAAGTCCGCAATATTCGCACATACACCACGAATGCACACAAATAGTTAGACACGCAGGCGCGGCAATTCAAACGCACATTTTTCTTTTTTCTTTTTTTTCTCTCCGTTTTTTTTCGGAGAAAGAGAAGGAAGAAAGTGAAATTTTCTGGATGTTTTCGAGCGATTCAAGCAAAAAACTTTGGCCATATAAAAAGTAGTCGCTATCAAGTCCATTATCCAATCCGTTTTTTGTCATTAGCGGATAATTTCGGCTATAAAAGCAATGTTCTAATGGATTCATTAATCGGAGACGAACAATGTCGAAGTACGTGATTCCGGTTTGTGCTACAATTTCGTTGGCTGCAGTATGCTGCGCATTGGTTGCTATGCATTCAATTGTCGTCGATATTGACAATATGAGAGATGAAATTGTCACTGGAGTTCATGAAATGAAGGTTTGTTGAATTTTTTTATTATTTATTATTTTGAAATTAAAAATTTGGATTTTCAGATGATGTCTGATGACGCGTGGAACCGTATGATTCGTATGCAAACCAAGAGTGTTGACGCTGAAACTCAAGTTGCATTTGCCAGCATTTTCTCCAGAACCAAACGCGCCGCTGGAAATTATCCAGGACATTGCAACTGTGACGCCAATTCTCTCGGCTGTCCACCTGGACCACCAGGACCACCAGGAACTCCAGGAGGTCGTGGTGAACAAGGGCCAAGCGGAGACAAGGGACGAGACGGAGCTTCTGGTTTGGCACTTGCCGCAACTCATCACATCCCAGGAGGTTGTATCGAATGTCCACGTGGTGCTCCAGGAGAGCCAGGTCCAGACGGACCGGTTGGACAACCAGGATTCTCCGGAGCTACCGGAGCCACTGGACCATGTGGAGAGGATGGTGCACCAGGAGAGCCGGGAATTCAAGGAGAGCAAGGAGGTCCAGGAGAGCCAGGAAATGAGGGATCAACTGGGCCGACTGGACAAGATGGAACTATTGGAGGACCGGGATTGGCTGGACAACCAGGAACACCTGGATGGCCAGGACCACAAGGAGAACCTGGAAAGAACGGGGATGCTGGAACTGACGGTGAACAAGGGCCGGATGGACCACAAGGACCACCTGGACAACCGGGAAGAGATGCTGATGATGGAAGAGATGGTTTGCCAGGAAAAGATGGATCTGTTGGGCCTGACGCTAATTATTGTCCATGTCCAGCTAGAGCTAAAAAGCACTAGAAAATTGTTCAATAAATATTTATTTAGCATTTTTTTTAATTTTTTTTTTTTTGGAAATTTGAGGGATAACAAAATTCTGTTTCAAAATACCATTTCTAACTAATTTATCTTGCTTTTTTTCTTGGCAAACACTGTGTTTTTTTCTAATAGAAAAATGCAATTTCGAGGAGACGCAGACACTCGCTGGTCTCGACACGATGTGTGTCTGCCACACACTATTTCTCTCCCTTTTTCGACGAGAGATTTGTCTGCACACGTTAAAGTCTGCGTCTCCCTCGAATTGCAAAAAAAAAAAATACAAAACTCTCATTTTTCCTGCACACATGTTCAAGCAAAAGAAAATGATGCAATGCGCCTTTAAACAAAACTGAAATTGGTGTCGCCTGTTATGACAAAATGGCTTAACCGAAAAAAAATATGATTAGATATTCGAAATCTACGTATTCGAATCTAGTTGAATAACTATGCGCCGATTCACCAAACACCCTAGGAAAAAAGTCACCATCGCTTCGAGATATCGCTCGTAAAAAACATCATGTTCCTTTAAAATTCTACTGTAACATGACAAATAAAGAGTGTGAAACACGGAGAGAGTGCGAGAGAAAAAAAAGGAAAATCTGCATACACACAGATACGCAGAGTGTTTGCAAACAGTAAGACTCATTGCACCATTTGAACGTGTGTGCCTGAAAATTTGCTGAAATTTTGCGAAAAAAAACTTCCGCTGGCCTAGAAAACCAAATCACGTGGCTGAATTTGTGTGTATTTCTCCCGGACAAATTTTCATTTTTTTTTCTTTTTTCCACGCACTTTTCCCATTTTCGTCAATTTTTGCAGTTTTGCCCATCAAAATGGAACCCAAACGTACTCGCGGGCATGGCCCATCAACACCAACTCGAATAATCAAAGCGCGCCCAATTCTCGTCTCACAAGTCGTCGAAAAAGAATTGAAAATCGCGCCAACCTCCAACACAAATTCAACTGCAACACCCCAGAAAGATTTGGCGTCTCCCGCCTTAGCTCCAACTCATCAAGGTGGTTTAAAAATGAAAGAAGCCTCGAAATTCATCACAGAATACGGCGAAATCAGCGAACTTGTGCAAGAAGTGCTGACAAATAACGTGAATTTCAATGTGGTCTCAGCGATTGGACCACAAGGTTCAGGAAAATCGACAGTTTTGAGTATGCTTGCTGGAAATAATTCAAGACATATGTATAGAGATTATGTGTTTCGACCAGTTTCAAGAGAGGCTAATGAGTTATCGAGACATCAAACTTTGAAATTGGATATTTTTGTGGCGAATAATCATATTTTTATTGATTGTCAACCAAGTCACAGTGTTTCGATACTTGAATTTGTTTCAAGAGCTTCCAAATTTGATGACACACTTTGTGGAACTGAAACTCTCAAGCTTCTCGCCTTCATTTTCAGCGTCAGTCATACAGTTCTCATCTGCAACGAGAATATAATCGATCTGAATTTCATCAAAACCATGCGAACCGCCGAATTAATCCGTCCGTATCTCAAGAATTTCGAGCCAAAATTGAATTTGGAGCGAAAAGTGAATGTGTTGTTTTTGCACACCAAAGCGCAAAATATCGATTTTGCCACGTGTGTTTTGAAGGAGCGGGAAGGGTTGTTGAGAGCGATGTTTGAGGATTCGACACATTTTCGATTGCCGGAAATTGGGAAGCGCTTGATTTTTGTGTTGGCTGATATTAAATTGAGAAGAGATCAATTGTGTGGTGAGCGTTTTTTGCCACGTGGCATTTTGAAAATCTATTTGGGATCCAAAACACAGAAGTTGTGCTACAGTAACCGGTTACTGTATGTTTCAGCGCGAAAATTCCAAGTTTTCTGAGCCGAAAATATTGATCTACCAATTTTTAACGAAATTTCTACAGTCTGAGAGTTTTTGATCTCAAAAAACGTGGATTTTTGCGCTGAAATCTACAGTAACCATGGTCCTCGAAGTACTGTACGTTTCAGCGCGAAATTTGGAATTTTTTGAGCTCAAATAAGCCGGGGGTTTTTTTGAAAATTTCTAACAGTCTGAGCATTTTTGATCTCAAAAAACGTGGCTTTTCACGCTGAAATCTACAGTAACCACAGTCTTCGAGGTACTGTAAGTTTTGACCCGAAAATTCCAAATTTTCTACAGTAACCTTGTATAATCCCATTTTTCTCCAGAAAACGCCGAAGCTGAAAACGAAGACGACATCGAAAAAAGTTTCCAAGATTTTGACGAGGAAATCAATAAAATTCGAATAGAGATTCTGAAAAATCGCGATTCCTTCACTGAAAATATTGGAGTAATGGATGAGAAACGATGGTAACTTTGCTAGAAAAAAATCTGCAATTTTTCTCTGAAAATTTCAAAATTTCCAGGGCTGAAATGTGCCAAGAAGTAATGAAAGATCAAACACTTGCCGCCTCACTTCGAGCATTTCAAAAGCTATCAAATGACGCGAATTTGATCAATCAATATTGATTTTTCTGCTTTTGGTTTGGTTGGAAATTTTGCTGGAAATCCGCAAAACTTGGTTTCTTTTTGGAGAATAAATTAATTTTTTTTCAGAAAAAATGCAAAAATTTCATTTAAATACCCATCTCACAAAATTACCCAAATAAAAAAAATCTAAAAAATCCATGAGACCAAAAAAATTAGAGAAAAAGTGAAAAATAGGGAAGAGTTCGTTGAAATATTATTATCACATTGATTGTTTTCGGGTTGTTTGGCAGCTTTCCAATTTTTGAGATAATCGGGAGGACGGCGAAGAGGTGAGTGGAGAAGGTCTTTGGCGTGAACTGCAAAAATTGACGGGATTGCTCATCTTAAACAGATTTGAGATTGCTCATATTCAACAAAATGGAATTGCTCATATTAAGCAAAAAAATCGGGATTACTCATGTTAAACAGATTTGATATTGCTCATGTCAAGCAAAAAATAGGCATTGCTCATGTCAAGTAAAACTATCGGGATTGCTCACGTTAACGAAAATATCGGGATTGCTCATATTTAAGTGAAAAATCTAGATTGCTCATATAAAAAAACAGGCATTGCTCATATTAACGAAAGTATCGGGATGTTTCATATTAAACATAAATTAAAGGATCGCTCATGTTAAACTAAACTTAGAAGATTGCTCATATTAACGAAAGTATCAGGATTGCTCATATTAAACTCACTCTGCGTAAATTCTAGCGTCGTATTCTGAACCAAAACATTCCACAATTCCTCATCCATCACTGAATTCCTAGCAATATTCACCTCGTTATTTTTCGTGTCCGTAATCACCAAAATCAGCATAGTCTTGGGAATTTCGTGCAAAACCACAAATCGATCGAATAGCCCGATTTGCCGGCCGAAAATCGGAGTTATCCGAAATCTGACGTGTTTCTCGAAACATCGCTCGAATGGCACAATTTTGCTGAAATAACATTTTCCGTTGTTCATTTCGGCTTGACCGGCGACGAGTAGAACAAGCGATTCAGACAGATTCTTCCAGAATCCGAGCTTCAGAATTTTGAATAAGGAGTTGACGATGTATTTCAGAAGACTTGACGGTGCTGGGGAGGCACTGCTAGTTTTTGCGGTGTTGATACTTGGAACACATTCAGATTGAGGATCGATTTCGGTTGTGCTAAAAAATATTTTTTTTGTTTTAAAACTACTTCCTTAGTCGCGTGCGGCTGTGCGTCGCGGTCGAAATACAATCAATAATTGATTTTTCCCTTTGACCGCGACGCACAGCCGCACGCGCGCCACATTTACAAACTTTGTCATCCATTTCTGTGTTATCAAAATATAGGCAATCTCCTTGTCAAATTTGATCAAATGCATTGGCAATTCCACGTTAATCGAGTTATTTTTCGTAGCAATCACAAATCCGTCTCTCGTCAAAACATAATAATTATAATTCCTCCATTCTTTTCGATTTCGGGTGAATTCCTCGAAATACATTGGGAAATAATCGTGTCGCCATTGAGTACCGACAACTGCCAGACGGCGATTTTCGTGAGAAATTGTTCTGGAATGAGGATTTGAAAAAAAACGAAATCAGTGAAAATTTGGCGTCACATAAAATGTTTCTATATTTTGAGTTTTACAACGACACTCCGCCGCTTGCCCGCTGTTTAGCGCAACACGAGAATATTTTCATTTTTCGTTTTTTTTTCGCTGGGTTTTCAGGTTTCCGGGGAAAATCTGTGGATTTCAGTCAAAAATTGAATTTTTAGACACTGTTTCGATTGAAAAATTTCGAGTTTTCAGGATCAAAAATGATTTCAAATGTGAGAAGAACGATTATTGGATGGATTTGAAGCGATATTCGACCTCAGTTTGAGAAATAGAAGCGATTGGTGAGTTTTTTGGGGAGGGATTTGGGAAAAATTGAAAAAAAAATTCTGTATAATTTAAAAAATATACGGAAAATTATGAAAAAAATCTTTAAAAATTGAAAAAAAGTTAGACTAACTCATCAAACTATGGAAAAACCCAAAACTTTTTTGCAAAAATGAAAATATTTTTCTTCTTCCACGACCAACCGTCAAGCGGAGTGTCGTTGTTTTTTTCTCGACATTTCAGAGAGACCCAGACAAATCTCTCGCCTAAAAAGTAACACAGCGTGCTGAGACCCACTTAAAGGGAGGAATTTTTGTATTTTCTCCTTGCTAGAAGCGGAGTGTCGTTGTTTTTCACTTACTTGAACATAACCAATTGTTGAGTTATCAAATCTTTCCCCTCAAATTTCGATTTCTTGGTCAGAACCGTCGCATCGATTTTGTCATCATGATTATCTGCGGATCCAATTTCTTTGTCGAATTTCTTCCCGATTTCCTTCATGTACCCCTCAGCGCTATAAACAATTTTCATTAGTTTAACATGAGCAATCCCCCCCCCCCCCAGTGTAACTCACCACTCTGGATATGACGCGGTCGCCTTCGTCCTCAAATGTACAAAAGTGTTCAGCAGGTATGAACTATACTGTTTATCCGTAAGATTCCTTGCCGCTTCAAAACAACTTTTCACATCCATTTTCGTCAAATGCTTTTTGAAACTAGCCCCCCAGTTTTCCAGCGATTTTATCAGTGCTCGACCCAACTTTGTTTCTTCCGCGCACACCGGATCTTCAGATATTTTGATAAATTCTGCGAATCTTTGCGATTTCTTAATTGTATCAAGTCGCCAGTTGCAAATATCTCTTCGAGCGTAGTAGAAATGCAGTAACTTGTTTTCAAAAAGCTTTTCCCATTTTGCCGATTCCAGATCCGTCTCTTCAGAATACTTGACTTCTAGATGCGATGTGTTCACCGTAACAATAGTGAACGGCGAATTTTTGATTGGTGCGCAATAATAAGACATATTCCGCTCACGATCTTCAATCTGTCTATCAATATCACACGCCCTATTAATAATCGCCAATCGCAAATCCTTCATTCCAGTTGAATTGGTCTCCAAATCAAACATATCAAGCGTTGGGATACTATCAATCAATCCAACTAATCGATAAACTCGTTCATCACTCATTCCATATTGAACCCTTTGAATATAAGTTGCTCGATGCCTGGTAGACTGTGCATCGTAGCACGCACTTCGACGAACACAATGGGTTTCAGTTCGTGGAAGGTTTAGCTTCGGATGATAGATGATAATCCCATTGTTATCTACGATATAGGCGTATAATTGATCTGTTGTAGGTGGTAGATGTTTAGTTATCTCATTGATATTTATATCAATAGCAGCCACCCCAGCCAATGTCTTATTTTTAAAAATTGTCTCATTTTTCGCCAAAATCGGCATTGATAATGTAACTGTTGGTCCCAAGCCCTGCGCCTCCATGTACAAATTCGTCCAACTGGGTTCTCGATCTTCCGGATTAGTTCCTTGAAGTGCACGCCCTCTCACTTTACTCAATTTATCCATAAACATTCTCGCTTGCGGTTTAACATCCATAATCGAGTCAATCTCCGAATATGCACCCTTCGATTTACAAGCCATGAATTTCTGCAGAGGTAGTTCGTTAGTGCCGAAGCCCATCGAATAGCCAAATATCCGAATCAATTCCTTATCGTGATCACTGAATTCCTCATCTAGAACACTATTCGGCCATTCATCAACACCATCAGTGAAAATGATCAATAATTTATGACCGCCAGATCTGGTCGCTGTTTTGTTGCGAAGATAATCTAGAGATGCATTCAGAGGTCCAGCAAATATTGCCTGATTGTTCTGTTCGAGCACATCTAATTCTTCAAAAAATGCTTTTTTGTTAACAGTTGTTGCTGGGATAAAAGTGTCGGATTTTAGAATTGAATCATATCCTGATGAGAAATGAAGACCGTAGAAATAATCATTTGGGTTCAAGATTGATAGGATGAACATCAGTGTGGATTTGATTAGGTAGAATGTGGGGCCACTAACCGAACCAGAGCTAGAATACATTTAGTGATTTACGAAATAAAAACTTTTTAACGTTTTCTTAACGTTAAAACCGTTTACGTTAAAAATAACGGTAAAAACGTTTAACGTTAAAAACGTTAAAAAAAAACTCTTAACGTTTTCTTAAAGTTAAAAAACGTTCAAACGTTAAAAATAACGGTAAAAACGTTTAACGAAAATTGTGAAAAAATGAATAAAAATACCGGTCGTGAATCACTTTTCTGGGGTTTTTAACGTTAACGTTAAAAAGGTTAAACGTTAAGAAACGTTAAGAATCCCTACATTATTAATGAAAATGACATTTTCCCTCACAAGTACCCCCAACCAACCTGTCAATTAAAAATAAAATATCCTTGGGAACACTTTCCGCAGCCGCAAACCACGGTCGGAATCTCGGATCAAACAAATCTGTGGTAATCTTTTCCGGCTGAATCACCCAATTCCTCCTCGGATACATCACAGTCAATCCCGAATAAGTTCCAATATATTGATGTCCCATCTCGGGATTCTTCGTCTTACTCGCAATCATCTCTCGTTCAATCAGCGAGCTTTTTGTCCAATCAAAGTCTCGCGCCACATTCGGGTCACACCAATAGCTCTCGGTGTTGATGTGAACGCCGGTTTTTCGCGATGCATTTTCGTTTGGGTAGAGGACATTGCTCATGTTTATGAATTGTGTGTAGTTTTCGCAAACTTCGTCAGACATTCCGGATATTCCATCGTCTCGATACTGCAAAAATATCGTTGAAGTTTTAGGGATTGCTCATGTTAAAGGGGCATATAAGTAAGCCTATATTTGATTAGTGGTACCTAACATTAAATATTGAAAATTAAAAAAATTCTGGGTGTGAACTCCGAGAGAAGTACACACAAATAAAATGTGTGTGCGATAGAGCGCACTTGCGCCTTTCCAAGGAATTTTCCTGAATAAGGAGCGATTTAGCTAACAAAAATATCGGGATTGCTCTGTTAAACATATTGCTCGCGTTAAAGGAAATTAGACAATGACTTCAGAATTTAATAGCATTGCTCATATTAAACAAATCACTCACCACTTCATGATATTCATTGTAATTATTGACAAACTCCACATCTATCGTATCCTCCGCGGCTTTTGCCAAATTCCTCAACGCATGAACCCGCTGCCTCACCAATTCGTCCAAATTCCTCTTCGCATTTTTCAACGCCTCCACCGGATCCCTCTTGTCACTCCCAATGTCTCCCTTGATTTTCGTCAATTCCTGTTTGAAAAAAACACACATTTTTGGTGGCTAAAGAAACCGAATCATTATTTATGGAATAGGTTTTCTCGCGTAAAATTTATGGACTTCCTTCCGGCCCTTTTTTTCTCGTTTTCAATTGAATTTGAGTGACGGTTGAGAGATTGAGAGACGCAGAGAAATTCAATTTACACAGCTTTTCAGCACAAAATGTTGGATTTTTTCTAGTTTCAAAATTAAAAAAAAACAAAAAAAAATTCTGCCCCATGCCAGGCTCGAACTGGCGACCTCGGCATACCCTATAGACTATAAGTACCACGCGCTAACCGACTGCGCCAATGGGGCACGCGGTTCCATCGATTAAAATTCGTGTTTATTTCTAAATTTGTATATTTTTTCCGAGAACGTGTGAATTCTGGCCCCTATATTTGGAGAAGAATTTATTCTAATGTAAACAATATACGAATTTTTTGCATGTAAACAAAATTATCGGGACCAGAAAAACATGCCCCATTGGCGCAGTCGGTTAGCGCGTGGTACTTATAGTCTATAGGGTATGCCGAGGTCGCCAGTTCGAGCCTGGCATGGGGCAGATTTTTTTTTTTGGATTCTTTTTGAAATCGCGCTGCTTTGGTTAAAACTCTAGCTGTCTATCTACTCTGCGTCTCTAGCCTGTCTGCATCTCTAACCTTCCCTCGCTCTCTAACCCTCACCTCCTCAACCAGCGAAAACCTGGAAATCTTCTCAAATTCTCGATCTATCTGCTCGCCAAACTCCTCCAATGATTCCGGCGGCTTGGCATCGCTGAAAAAATTTCCAGATTTTTTTTCGTGAGTTTTCTGAAGCCCTCCATACTCTATTGAATCCACATTTGGCAACAAAAATAGAAAATATAAAGATAGTGTTGTAGGAAAAAACAACATCGGGTCACAAATTTATTGGAGCATGAAGCTGGCGGCTCCAAAAAAAATTGTGTACATTTCTGGCTCTTTTTTGAGCCACACACAAAAAAGATGGAGAGAGGGAGAAAAGGGGCGTGGCTTAGGGGGAAAGAAGAACAAAGAGGGATGAGATACATAGATAACAAATTCGGACTAACCAGATGAGTAGTAGTAGTGAGAGAGTAGAGACGCAGAAGATGTGAGGTCGAAAATGTCCCATGGGCACATCTAGAACAATCCTTGCTTGATTTTTTTGGCAATTTGCTCTGGAAGATGGCCTGAAAATTAGGAGAAATGGGGGTTTTGAAGGGGAAAAATGTTCTAGAAAAAGTTTTTTGGAAGGCTGTGAATTCCGAAAAAAAATTATGAAATTTGAAAATTCAATTTTGGTCAGAAACATTTTGGAAAAATTCAGAATTTGGAAATTAACATGAGCAATTTCAGAGGATTTCAGAAGTTCTAGAGAATTTAGAAGTCTTGAAGGGACTTTTGGAATTTTTGGTCTGAAAAAATCGTTTTGAAAAATTTCAGAACTTTTCTGGGAATTTAACATGAGCAATTTCAGTTTCTGTGAAATTTTTGAAGTTGTGAAGAGAAGCCACAAGATTTTTAATTTTTCAAATTTTTTGTTTCTGAAAAAATCTGGAAGCTCAGGAAAAGCTGGGAAATTTTTTTGAAAATTTTTCGAATTTTGCTGGGAATTAGAAATTTAATATGAGCAATTTCAGAGAATTTCGAAACTCTGAAGAGAATTCACAGGATTTTTAAAATTTTAAAATTAAAAAAAAATTTGGAAGCTCAGAAAAAGCTGGGAACTTTTTTGTATGAAGTTCTTGATTTCAGAAGAATTTTTCTCGAAATTTAACATGAGCAATGAGGGTTTTGCCACGTGGATTTTTTTCTGGGAATTTTAGAAGTACGAAAAAAATTGAATTTGAGATTTTTGTGCCAAACTTTCAATTTTTGGAAAGTTGAAAGCGGGAAACTTTTTGAATTTCAAAATTTTTCGAAAATTTAGAATTTTTTTCCACGTGGATTTTTTGTGAAAAAAAATTGTCACGTGGAAAATTTGAAATATCCTCGGAAACTTTCTGAATTCAAAAATTTAAAATTTTGCCACGTGGCTTTTTTCAACAAAAATTCAAAGTTCTCGAAAATTTTTCAAAATTCAAGAATTTTAGCCACGTGGATTTTCCCTATCAAAAAAATTTTCAAAATGAAAATCTGTGCACTTTTTCGCCTTCCAAAAATAAATATTTATCTTCAAAATTTTCAAAGTTCAAAATTTCTCACGCCTCAAAATCTTTTTTTTCTTCATTTTTTTATTGCAAAAAAGTTCTTGTGAAAAAAATCAAAAAATAAATAAAAATCTCAAATTTCCTCTTCTCAAATTTTTGACACCTTTTCGGAGCGAAAAATCCTCGTTTTTCTTATTTTTTTGCGACGATGAAATTGAAATTTGATATTATTTTTGGATATTTTTTTTTATTTATATTTATATAAAAAAATATGAGAAGGAAGAAAATAGGAAAAAAAAAAGAAAAAGAAGAAGCTGAATAAATCTGGGGATAAAAAAAATATGGCGAAAAAAAAAACACAGATGTTGCAATTTTTGGTTTTTTGGGGGAAAGATTGATTTGGAGATTTGCCACGTGGATTTGGATCTATGGGTACTGTAGATTTTGGTATCAAAACTTCAAATTTTCAGATTACTGTAAAGGTACTGTAGAGGTACTGTGGAAGTGGATTTTCCCTATCAAAATGCCTTTCAAAAATAAATTCAAATGTTCAGGTTACTGTAGAGATACTGTAGAATTTCGCGCTCTTTTTTTTTTTGAAATTTGAATTTTATTGTGGTTCTAGAGTATCTAGGAGTACTGTAGATTTTGGAACAATTTTTTGCAGATCCTCAAAAAATTTATTTTTGGATTACTGTAGCTTACACGTGGCAAAATTCACTGAATCATTTTTGAAATTACAGATTTTCAACGCTGGGTTGGGTTGGGTTTCGCAGCGATTCTAAGGCATACTGTAGATTTAGATTTTGGCGGGAAAAAACCATGTGGAGCTATTTTTTGAGATTTTCCAAAAGTTCAAAAGCTACAGTAATCTAAAAAACATGGGTCTTGAAACGATTCCTCAGAGTACTGTGGTTTTTGACCCCAAAAAAACCACGTGGCGAAAATCGTGAGAAAAAATAAGCTGAAATTTTTAATTTTTCAAATAAAAAATTTCAAAAAAAAATTCAGAAACAAATTTTTCACTAAAAACCCAATTTCGGATCTAAAAATATAGTTATGACGTGGATTTTTGGCTCAAAAAAAGCTGAAATTTTTAATTTAAAAAAAAGATTTCAGAAACAAATTTTTCACCAAAAACCGAACTTCAGAGCTCAAAAATATAGTTATGACGTGGATTTTTGGCACCAAATCTCCTCAAAAAAGTGCGCATTCAAAAGAAAACTTTTGATGAGAAGAAAAAAAGAAAAAGAAGAAAATATTGAATTTCAAATTAGTCCTCTTCTTCACAATGGCTTAGACTCTTATTCAACTTTTTCCCTGGATTTTCTAGAAAAAAAGAGGATAAGTTTTTAATTAAATGCAAAAAGCATTGAGCTAGAAAATGAAAAAAAAAAAAGAAAAAATTTTCGCGCCGCGCAGAAAAAATGGAAAAAAATATCCATGAATATAAATTTTGAAAAAAAAATAATAATATAGTTGGAATATAATTATTTTTATACGAATTAATTAAGGGGAATTTTTAACATGAGCAATGGGAATTTTGAGCTTGAATTTTCAGATTTCACCTTGAAATCCACGTGGCAGGCACATTTGTGTTTCAAAATTAAAAAAAATAAGGTTACTGTAGGTTTTCCCGTCATTTTTCGAGATTCAAAGAATTTTCCAAAACTACCGTACTCTTAGAAATCGCTGCAAGACCCAACCTGAATTTTTAACATGAGCAATGAGCTTAGAAACTACAGTACCTCTGAAAAATATCAATTTTGAGCTTGAATTTTCAGATTTCACCTTGAAATCCACGTGGCAGGCACATTTGTACATATTTCAAAATTTAAAAAAATTGAATTACTGTAGCATTTCCCGTCATTTTTCTAGATTCAAAAAATTTTTTGAATCTCAAAAAATTTTCCAAATCTACAGTAATCCTTGAAAATCGCTGCGAGACCCAAACCAAATGGAAAAATAGGTCTAAAAAATGAAAAATAATATGCCACGTGTCTACAGTAATCCAGAATTTAATAAAAAGCCTTATGTACAGTAACCCAAAAATTCATCGAATCTGAGAAAATCTACAGTACCCATCAGTAAAATACAAATTTCGGCTTGAAATTTTAAAAAAAGGCACCAGAAACTACAGTAACCCAGAATTCTCAATTTAAAAGTTCCAGAAAATTCCCAAAATCTACAGTAACCCAGGGGAAACTATAAGATTCAGTTCAAATCTGAAATCTACAGTACCCCTGGACCTTTGAAAGCTTTTTGGTTCAAAAATTTCCAGAAAATTCAAATTTTTAGCCCTAAAAACAGGATTTTCCAAAGCCAACAAAATTTCTCTCCCAAATTTTCACAAGGCGCCTCAAAAAAGAACACATTTCCCACGGCTTAACCTCTAAGCTCATCGCACTTTTTCTAAAAAACTAAACAGCGAAAAAAATGATGAAAAAAGGCGGCTGAAGGGAAGAAAGAGGGTGTCGAAAAAAAATTGAATGAATGACACAAAAAAAAAACTTTTTTCTCCCCTCCTCTTTTTCCATTTTCGCACATCTTTTTCTTCAGAATTCTATTACTAAAAGAGAAAAAAAGCAGAAAAAAAGATGATCAGAAAAGCAGGAAAAAAGTGGCGCGCCGATTTTTTGACATATTTGTTTTTGGCAGGATTTTTCGATATTTCATATATATATAAAACTTAACAAAAACGAGGAGACAAGACAAAAAAAAAACAAGAGAAAATCAACAAAAATTATTAAAAAACAGGGGGAAAATGAGATTTTGGCGGGGCAAATTCGAAAATTTCGAATTTATTCTTCCATCGCATCGCCGCCTAACAGATTTCCAAGTGAATCGGCCAATTTGTCCGAACGTTGAGCTGCAAAAAATCGGGTTATTTTTTTTTAATCGGGTTTTTTAGCGGGAAAAATGCCACGTGGCAAAATTTGATTACAAATATTTTATTTTGTGAAAAATTGTTAATCCACGTGAATTTTTGAGGTTTTTTTTTCAAAATGCCACGTGGAAAAGGATAGCAATTCATAGCTACAAAAATGACGTCAACACTATTCTTTAATATTGCTGACGCGCCTTCTGTAGCTACAAAATATACGTCAGCACTATATTGAAATATTGCTGACGCGCCTTCTGTAGCTACAAAATATACGTCAACACTATTTTTGAATCTTGCTGACGCATTTTCTAGCTACAAAAATGGCGTCAAGACTGAATTTTTGGCTGACGCAACTTCTGCAGCTACAAAATATACGTCAGCACTAGATTTAAATAATTAACGAGATTTTTTTCTACAGCTACAAAATTTGTGTCAGCACTATGTTTGAATATTGCTGACGCAATTTTTGTAGGTACAAAATATACGTCAGCACTATATTTGAATATTGCTGACGCAACTTTTCTAGCTACAAAAATGATGTCAACACTAGATTTAAACATTGCTGACGCAATTTTGGTAGCTACAAAATATGCGTCAACACTACATTTCAATAATTCTCGAGATTTTTTTCTACAGCTACAAAATATACGCCAGCACTATATTTGAATATTGCTGACGCAGTTTTGGTAGATACAAGCGCCAATCTTTCAAAATTCAAATTTTCCCAAGTTCAAAAAAAGAACTTACCAGTCTTTTTCGCCTTCTTCTTATTCTTTTTCACTGCATTTTTGATCAATTTGTTCAATTGTACATTTCCATCAATTGCTAGGCTAAATAGTACAAAATTCATGAAAAATCCAAAATTTTCAGCCGAAAAAACTCACTTTTCCGGCAATCCCGGTTTCACATCATCCATTCGCACAATCTTCACTTTTCTTCCACTTTCAACAGTCTGTTTTTGCTTTTTCTTTGTATTTCCTTCAGTTTCCATGTCTTCATCATCTTCTTCTTCTTCTTCATCGTTCGAATTGTGTGGTGCAATAATATCACTTTCCATCGGAAGTCCTTCAACAATTTGTTTTTGCTCTTCCGCAATTGTGTCGATGTCGAATTCTTGACTGAATTGGCTGACGATTTCGGCTGGCACAATGTTTTCGTCTTTTGCGGAGCTGGAAAAAATTCAAAATTTGGGCATAGCTTCCGCGTCCCTGCCAAAAATCCAATTTTCCAGCTGAAATTCTGAGTTTCAGATGGAAAATTGGATTTTCAGCAATGAAAATAGTGAATTTCAGTCATTTTTCAAAATATTAATGAATGAAACTCAAAATGCACTTACTTAATTCACAAAAAATTGAAGTTGAACATAAATTTCAAATTCAATTTTTGTAAATTAAGTAAGTGCATTTTGAGTTTCATTCATCAATATTTGAACATTTTCGGTCATTCAAAGCCGAAAAAATCCACGTGGATTCATAGATTACTCAATCCTTACCCTTGCTCTGGTGGATGTGTATAATATCTCAATTTTCCCGTATTCCAATCATTCAACACGCGTTTTGCAGCCGCATTCATATCCGGTCGAGCGCCACGACGAAGTTTTCCGATTCGTCTTGCGAGTTGAGCCAAGAATTGATCGACTGAATTGAAGTCGGCTAGAGTGTAGTGGAGCATGAGCTGGAAACGCGGGGGTATTTTTAATGAAACATATGTTTTTCTAGTAGTTTTCGACACACTGATCACGATTCCGTTGTCTAAAACTGCAAAACTCAACTCCTAACATGAGTTATGACGTGGCAAAGTTGGAAAATTTGGAACTTTCAGAATTCGCCTTTAGAATGACTCGGTCAGAAAACGGCGGGGTCGCTACCAATCGGGGCGGAGTCGCTACACGTTTCGGGGAACAAAAAATGTGTAGCGACTCCGCTCCGATCGGTAGCGACCCCGCCGTTTTCTGACCGAGGATTTTCATGAAAATCTAATAGCATAGGGTTGTTCAGGAAGGTCGATTACATAAGTAAATTTCAATTTTTCAATTTGTAATCAACTTTGAAATATACAAAAATCTAAAGATTTTTCGATCCCGTGAATTCCTAAAACAAAAAAAATTTCAAAGCTAACCACAAATTGAAAAATTGAAATTTACTTATGTAATCGATCTTCCTGAACAACCCTAGGCTATTAGATTTTCATGAAAATCATTTTGAAGGCTAGTTCTGAAAGTCCCAAATTTGCCACGTCATAACTCATGTTAGAAGTTGAGCTTTGCAGTTTTAGACAGCGGAACCGTGATCAGCGTGTCGAAAACTACAAGAAATCATATATTTCATTAAAAATCTCAGGAATTTTAGCGTGAAATTTCGAAATTCCCGGCCAACTCACAGTCTCTTTGCTGCAACGACGAAGAATCGCGTGAACCGGCGCAATTGGATCCAACAAATTATCGACACGAATCGCATTCTTCAACGCCACCTCAATCGGATCCAAATCTTTCTGACTGACCAAAACAACTCCCGGTGAGTCGATGAGTCGAATGTTTTTGTCGAGTTCAACCTCTTGGAGCTCTCTGAAAACATTTTGATGTGATTTATCATTAAAAAATGGCTTACTTGGTGATTCCTGGAAGATTTCCAACATTACACGCTCTTTTACGTTTCAAACTGTTGATGACACTGCTTTTTCCAACGTTTGGAAATCCGACAACTCCAACACGAATGCTAGTCTTAATATCTTTGTTTCTACAATAATTTCCCAAAATCTTCATAACAATATCCGCTCCAACACATTTCGAAGTTTCAGTATTATTCAAAATCGAGCTATTGAATCGTCCAATATTCGATTTTTGTTCTTGAGTGCTTGCTTTGAAGGCGATTGTTGGGAATTGTCCTCTCAAATATTCCAACCATTTTTGAACATTTTCCCGTGGAACAAGATCGATTTTATTGAGCAAAAGAATGAGACGTTTACCACCTTTCAAGACTTGTTCTTCGACTGATTTACTACGAGAACCAAGAGGATCTCTGGCGTCAAGAACTTGAATAATCACATCAGCAATATCGATAGTTTTCCTAACTTCACTTGCATATGCTTTGATAGTTCGGTCATCCATTGTATTCGCATTTTCCAAATTGAGATTTTCTTGTTTTTTCTCGAAATCTGTTCCCTGTTTGGCTGCTTTTTCAACCATTCCTTCGAAATTTGCGGGAAGATTCATTTTTCTTTTCTCAACTTTTTGAATTCGAGACGCTTCCTTGGCTGCTTCTTGTCGAATTCGAATCTTCTCCCTTTCTTGTTCTGCTTGAATCAGAATTTCTTCTTTGAATGGACATGAGTTTGGAACAGAGATTGATTTCTCTTTCTTGGCTTTTCCTGTCCCATTCTTTTTGGCGTTTCGTTTCTCCTTTTTGTTATGTTCACGAACTTTCTTCTCGATTTTATACCTCTTTGCACAACTGACCCGTTTGCTAGCTTTCTCTGAAACAAATACAACCATTCACAATATTTGAAATTCCCAAAAAAAACTCACTTAAACAATACTTTGCCATTTTTCTGTGTGTATGAACTCTGAAATAACCAAAAATTAGTCTAACTTGTAGAGAAAATCACGCTGAATTTTTCTATTTTTAAAAAAGCTGAAAATGCTCTTTATCACTGGGAGAAAACGTAGAAAAAAGGGAAAAATGAAAAAATTCGAAAAAATAAAAGAAGCAACATGGAGTTTTCTCTCGCTTGGGTCTCACAGCGCAAACACACATTTCGGCCGAAACTACGGTTTTTTGCGATTTTTCTCGTTCATTTTGAAAATGCATTTTTGAATTGCCGCTCTAGAAGTTTTCCAGGGTTTTTGGGGATTTTTCGGGGTTTTAGAAGGAAAATCTGGGTTTAGAAGTGCTTTGGGGAGATATTTTTGATGTTTTTAGGCAGAAAAATAGGGGTCGATGTGAAAAATCTGGTTTAAAACTTGAAAATTTGATTTTTTTCGTTTTCAAAGTTTTCTGGGTTTTTTTAATCTTTAAAAAATTAACCGGATTTTTCGCTAAATCAGAATCTTCATGAGAAACTTGAAAATGTTCCTTTCGATGTGAAAAAAAACTTGAAAAGTTGATTTTTTTTCGTTTTCCAAAGATTTCTGGGTTTTTATATCTTTAAAAATTCCTTTTTATTCCCTTTTCTCGTTGTTTTTTGTTGAAAAAAACCTTATTTTGAAATAATTTTGCAGATGGCCCCAGCAGCACAATCCGGACCAAGACAATCCGCTTCCGGACGTGAGCGTACTTTTAAAGACAAAGACAAGCCAGAAAGTGTGAGAAACAGTAACATTGTTGCTGCAAAAGCTGTCGCCGATGCAGTTCGAACATCTCTTGGACCAAGAGGAATGGACAAAATGATCCAATCTGGAAATGGTGATGTTACTATCACCAACGATGGTGCCACTATCTTAAACCAAATGAGTGTTATCCACCCAACTGCTAAAATGCTCGTCGAACTCTCAAAAGCGCAAGATATTGAAGCTGGTGATGGTACAACAACAGTTGTTGTGATGGCTGGAGCATTGTTGGATGCTGCTCAACAATTATTGTCAAAAGGAATCCATCCAACAACAATCTCCGAAGCTTTTCAATCAGCTGCGGGAGAAGCTGAGAAAATCCTGTCCGATATGAGTTCCCCAGTTTCTCTTGACAACGATGAGCTTCTCACCAAAATGGCCACGACTTCGCTTAACTCGAAAGTTGTCTCACAACACTCTTGGTTGTTGGCACCAATGGCTGTGAATGCTGTGAAGAAAATCGTTGACGCTGAAAAGGATACCAATGTGAATTTGAAAATGATCAAGATTGTCAAGAAAATGGGTGATACTGTTGAGGAATCCGAAATGATTGAGGGAGCATTGATTGATCAAAAAACAATGGGAAGAGGAGCACCGACACGTGTGGAGAAGGCTAAAATTGGATTGATTCAATTCCAATTGAGTCCACCAAAGACTGATGTGAGCTTTTTTTACTCTAAAAGGGTCACGCTTTGAAATTCCCCCTAAAAATCCCCATATTTTCAGATGGAAAACCAAGTAATCATCACCGATTATTCTCAAATGGATCGCGCTTTGAAAGAGGAACGCCAATATCTTTTGGAACTTTGCAAACAAATCAAAGCCGCTGGTTGCAATGTCCTTCTCATCCAAAAAAGTATCCTGAGAGATGCGGTCAATGAGCTTTCACTCCATTTCTTGGCCAAAATGAAGATTATGTGTATCAAGGATATCGAACGAGAGGATATTGAGTTTTATTCGAGAGTGAGTTGGGGTTTTTTTTGTTGGAAAATTGAATTAATTATGAAAAAAAATATATAAAATGAGCAATGTATTTGAATGAGACGGCAACAGAGATTATGAGCATTTTTAAAAAGGGTCCAAATGTTGATGAATGAATTGGGAAACAAGTGCGCTCTAACGCAAATTGCGCCTATTTTTTTGAATTTTGAGATTTTTGAAAGGTTTTTTCCTTCATAATCAATAAAAACACTATTTCAGACAAATTCTTTCAATTTCTGTTTATTTTGGATCGAAAAACACCAGAAAATGCAAAAATAATGCGTCTTCTCGATATTTTTTGATTTTTCGCATTTTTTTCAAACAAGAATTTCATTTAACATCACATTTCAAAAATGTCATCTATGATTTGTTGTTTTTTTGCGGAAAACACATGCAGCATTTGAAGAAGATGAAACCACATCAACACCATTTATTCTGAAAAAATTTAGTCTCGTTAATTCCAAACCCAAGAAAACATCACTTGAAAACTCTGCTGAGAGTTGTCCGAACAAAATCCAAATATCGACTGTTGAAACAAATCATAATAATTGTCGAAGGCATCGAATGCGCCGCGATCAGAAAACACAAAGCGTTTGCCAATTCTATTTGAAAAAAAAACATCGGAATTCAGTAAATTTATATAATTCTAACAAAACAACCTTGAAGTTGCTATAACTCTTGCAGCAAAATGATACCAATCATTGTGAGTGGTGCCAGAATACAGATGAAAGGAATTATACATTGAAATGTGAGAGCAATCAGAGCTGATTTGTGAAGTTTATATGTGGCAGTAGACATGTGATGACGCATTTTATGTAAAGTTAGCATTGTGTAAATTGATAAACTCAGGCTGTACCTGAAAAATAGAACTTTTTTTAAAATAGAAGTTTGAGTATAATAAATTACAATGAAAAGATGAGAATCCAAATAAATGCTACAGCCGCTGCAATAATCCAACCTAAATTAGTACGCCAGTCGTAAACGATAAAGTTTGGATTCTTGAGAAGATGAAGACATTTTGGAAAATGTTGGGAGATAAACTCGTATTGTTTTTCATGGGATGGTTCTGACAGGAGAATTGAAATTGAAACGATGAATGGAAAACAATGAGCGATTAATGTCATGAAATTGGTGAAATACGGTGGAATTTTGTTGGTCTGAAGGGCGATTGTCTTTTTCTGGAGGCAAGTTATGCAACAAAAAACTAACCGGACGCAATTCCGCTGCTGATTTTGCACGAAATTGAAAACAACTAACCAACGATGGAAGTTCGAAAGCTAACACAAAAACAAAACCGATGACATTTGTATGGGGAGAAATATAGCTGAGAATTGGTGAGGTATAATAATTGCCAAACATTGGATAATAATAATATGCGGCACCAATCCATGTCATATGATTTTCCACTATGAAACTGACTATCTAGAAAAAAAGTGGTGCAAAATTTGACACATCTTCTTATTCTGATTCACCTGAAGATATAGTTGCCTGTATTTGTACTCTGAATTTGGAGATTTACACATTATCAAATAACAACCCAAACAATTTATTGGAAAAGATAGACATGCGATTGAATGAAGACAATATGTATAATATGGGGGTGGTTGTTCAGGACAATTCAAATCCATTTGCAAACTGTTTTTGAATATTAATAATTTTCTTACATGAAACATCTGCAGGCATTTTTTCAGCTGGAATTCTGTTCTTAGAATTGTTTGATCAAAATCAGAATAAAACCTGTCATCTCTGATTCAGAAATTAATTTTTTTAAGTTCCAAAAGATTGAATCAAGTTTTTTTCTGTTTCACATAAGATGATGCTTTAATGTACGTTGTGTGAAACTTGTCAGCCGAAAATCAAAAAAAAACCAAACAATTCTGGCTTTAGCAAAAATGTTGATTCCATATAAACCGGGCCATTGAATAGAAAAGGTCGCGGAGTCACCGAATAAACTTTTTCTGTAACTTTGGGACTTAAACTATCATCGGAGAGGGAAAATTAAGAAAAATATAGTTATGACGTGGCAAAGTCGCCACCACTGTCAATACTGTAATTCATTTCACAAAGGATCTGTTTCAACTTGCAATCGAGATTTTCAATGACATATATGTTTTCTAGTAGTTTTCGACCCGCTGATCACGATCCCACTGTCTGAAACTGCAAAGCTCGACTCCTAACATGAGTTATGACATTGCAAAGTTGAGACTTTTGGAGGTCAAAACTCGCCTTCAAAGTTATTTTCATAGGATTTTCATGAAAATGATTTTTAAAACTTCCAAAAATCCCAAATTTTCCAACTTTGCCACGTCATAACTCATGTTAGGAGTTGAGCTTTGCAGTTTTAGACAACGGGATCGTGATCAGCGGGTCGAAAACTACTGGAAAACATGTATTTTATTAAAAATCTCGAGTTGATTGACAGTGCTGGCAAATTCGCCACGTCATAATTATGTTTTGAGCGAGTGATTGAACTGCCAAAGTTTCCTTGTTAATTTTTTGTTAAAAAAATCAATATTTTTTTCCAGATTCTTGGATGTCGCCCAGTCGCCTCAGTTGATCACTTCAATGCCGAAGCTCTCGGATCAGCCGACCTCGTCGAAGAAATTTCGACCGGTGGAGATGGAAAAGTGATCAAAGTGACCGGCGTGCAAAATCCCGGACAAGCTGTTTCGATTCTCCTTCGCGGTTCGAATAAGCTCGTGTTGGAAGAGGCCGATCGATCACTTCACGATGCTTTGTGTGTGATTCGTTGTCTTGTCAAGAGAAGAGCACTTCTTCCAGGTGAATTTTGAGGGAATTTTGAACCTGAAAACATGAAATTCTGCATTTTGGCCAATTTTTCGAGTTTCTTTTGAATTTCCCACCCAAAAATGTACAGAAAAACCTGTTTTTTCCGCTCCTTCCAAAATGTTTCTTTTATTTATCTTTCTCGCAATGCAGCGCTGTGAGAAGAAAAGAGATATTGAAAATGTATTTGAGAAACGCTTGAGGCAAAATGGGATGGGGGTATAGCTCAGTGGTAGAGCGCTCCCTTAGCATGGGAGAGGGCTGGGGTTCAATTCCCCATACCTCCAAGAGACTTTTTTTGTTTGGCAGATTTGGAATGACATATTTTTGGAAAAATCTGAAGTTGTAGCCTAGAGTTTCAGCTTCTTTAAGATGCCCCTAAGGCCTGAAAATTTCGAGAAAAATTGATTTTTCATGAATTGTTTCTCCTCAAAAATCTCTTTTTACCAGGTGGCGGAGCTCCTGAAATGGAAATCGCCGTGAAATTGCGTCAATTGGCACAAAGCCAACACGGAGCCACCGCATATTGTTGGCGAGCATTTGCCGATGCTCTCGAATTGGTCCCATATACATTGGCCGAAAATGCCGGATTATCGCCAATCAACACTGTCACCGAATTGCGGAATCATCATGCCAATGGAAATTCGTCGTATGGTGTTAATGTTAGAAAGGTGAGTTTGGGTTTGGGAGGGGGATTTGGGGAAGCTTTTGTTTTTGGCGTTAAATTAGCCTAACTTTGGAAATTTTATTATGGGGTGATTCGAGTAAAAAAAAATAATAAAAAAAATTTTTTATCAAAAGAAAAAATGTTTTTTTTATTATTTTTTTCGACTCGAATCACCCCAGAATTTTCTAGTGTAGAAAGAGAAATTCTGGAAATTTTGTCTGAAGCTGTATTTTCAGCTCACATTCAGATGTTTTCAGTCCAAAACCCTCAAAAAGTACACATGATTTATTGGAACTTTCAAAAAATAAGAACTTCCGAAAAAACCTCTACTTTGTAGCGCTGAAATTGGATTATTTAAAGGAACACCAAAAGCTAATAGTCACTCTAGCGTATCCGAACAAACACTTCAGAACTCGAAATAATCAATGTCAATTTACAAATGTTCGCAGCAAGTAAAAAAAAATTTGAAAAAATGGTGAAGTTTGCGCCAAAATAAAAAAATGGGAAAAAAACCGTTTGAATTCCCTCCTCAGAGGACTCAGAGCGAAATGTGCAAACACCGTCACGGCAGAATGCACACAAAAAAATTATTTTTTTTATTTTTTTGTTTTTTCGGGAGTTTTCGCTTGTTTTTCACTTTTCAACGATGAATTCATATATTTTTCAGTAAATTGATGTTGGCAATTCTTCTCCCAACTGTCTTGATCATGTTTTTGACGGAGGAATGCGGAATTTCGTCGATTTTCAGCCAAAAAGTGAGTATTTTGAGAAATTATAGATTATTCTCATAAATCACTGTTTTCCAGGCTCAACAATGTGAAACATGAATAAAATCTGCTGAAAAATCAAAGAAAACCGTAGAAGTAGAAGAAAGACTCTGTGAATAGTCATGAATCGAGGCGAATTGGAGAGATTTGATGAATTTTCATGATTTCAACACAGGCATAAATTCTTGACTTTTTAAATTCAGAAATACCTGTCGCAGAAAAAAAAAATTCTCGCGTGAATCGGGAGGCGGGATTTATTTGGCAAGGTGCGGCACGTTTTTTTTTCAAGCAATAATTATTTCTGATTTTTTGCATTTCGAAATTTAGTGAAGAAAAGAAGATGAAAACGAAAAAATTATTTAAAAAACGTGGAACGTGTAATCGTGGCAGGGGGCGGAGCCGACAGGAAAAAAAGTCAGAAATTTATGCCTGTGTTTCAAGTCGGTTTCGATCAAAAGTCGTCCTTTTTGCAAACCAAACTCACCCAAAACACTTCTTCCTCGACGATTCTGCTCATCAATGTTCTGATCGCGATTACTCTATACATTTATTCTTTTAAAAGCTGTATTCTGTCATTTTTCAATAAAATTTGATGAAAACCGGTTTATTTGTTAAAAAAAACGAATTTATCAGAACTCCGACCATTCAAAAACAACTGTAGGCGCTCAAAGTTCGTGGATGTCATATTTATTTTGAATATCATCAGGTTGTGTTGGAGAAACGATCAAAATCCGCGATTGCAGGTTGAAAACGCAGATTCCGACCAAATTTACTTAATTCGCCACGAATGTTCTTCCAATCTGCAATCAATAAGTTTTGTTGATAACTAGAATATCGAATTTACTACTTAAAATCGTCGTTTACTATGAGAAACAAAGAAAAAACGGAAAAACGCGAAAAATATTTTTCGAAAACAAAAAAACAAAAAGAAAACAACGACATTCCGCTCGCCTGGTGTTTAGCGTAAAAGGCGTGGCAATTTGATTTCGAGTTTTTTCATTTTTCCACAGAAAAATATTTTTTCCTCTAAAAGTTCAGAAGAATTTTTTCATCGAAAAGTGAGTATAGGGAATGAAAGTAGGAGTATTAAAGTGTCTGTTTTGGTATGCGCGGCTTCACCTAGCGATGTTGACCTTTTAGTTTTTGGTGTTCCTTTAAGCCAATTATACTTTCCAAAAAATCTGAAAAAAAATAATTTTTTCTTCTGAAAACACAATCTGAGCTCGAACTTTTGGCCCCAAAATTCAATAAAACTTTTTTTTTTGGTTTGCAAAAAAAATTCTACGTCATAAAAATTTGCTGTTTCGAATTTTTGAATTAGCCTAACTGGTTTTTTAGGTCTAAAGAATCCAATAAAAATTGTTAAACACAACTTTCCTATTCTTCTTGCCTTCAAAAAATTAGTTAAAATTCAAAATTTCCCCAAACTTTTCTAATTTTTCTCTAGATCCCCCTTTTCATTATGCTCCAGAAGAAACATCCTTTTTTTATTCCTCATTCGGTTTCTCTTACATGACTGCCCCCGAATTTATTTTTCATAATAATTTCAATTCAATCAAAAAAACACGTTTTTTCTCGCCAGTGGGCGCTCGTCCGAATTAATAATCTATTTTTGACAATATGTATCCATGAAAAGATGGAAAAAATGTTTGACGAAGCGCAAAACATGTAGTTAAATCTGAATCTAAATTTAAATCTAATGGGGTTATTTTGGGATGGAAAATGCGGGAAATGTGTGTAAAAATAGAATTTATGAAGAAATTATGTGTTTCAGGGATATGTTACCGATATGAATGAGGAGAATGTTGTTCAACCATTGTTGGTGACGTCATCGGCCATCAAACAAGCTGCCGAATGTGTTCGATCGATTTTGAAAATTGATGATATTGTGAGTTTTTTCTGGGGGTTTTTTGTGAAATCTGAATTCAATAGCAAAAATTGAATAAGCTACAAAAATTCTCATCAAAATCTGAAATATTGAAGCTTTTTGTTCATCTGAAAATGTGAAATTTCACAAAAAATTTGGATTTTTGAATGAAATACTCAAATTTTCCAAGAAGGTGAAATTAAATTCCAAAAATTCTTATCAAAAACTGAAATTTTGCTTCTCTTTTTATTGAAAATCCGAAATTTCACAAAAAATTTGGATTTTTTGAATCCAAAATACCGCATTTTCTCCAAATTTCCACCAAATTTCCCTTCCAAAATCCTGATTTCTGGAAATTTTCCTGAATCTTTCTCTAAACTTCGCACAATTTTCTTCCAAAGCCTGCTAATTTTGATCCCTTTCCCTTATTTTTCGACACAAAAGTGATTCCCCGCGCCGAAAAATTGGCGTTTTTCTTTGCTTTTTCTGTTCTGTTCTGCAGCTTCTTCACATCAAAAACGAGATTTTTGCATATGTATATTTCGTCATTTGTTATTCCTCTCAAAAAATTTCATTTTCGAAAAATGTTCAGAATGAAAACAGATGCTGTATGTATGTACTAATGTATTTTTAATGAGCAGGAAAATCTGCAGTGGGAAAAATGTAAAAATATGTGGGAAATTCGCGCAATTTTGTACCTTTTCCCATATTTCCTGCTGAAAAAAAAAATCAAAAAACCATTGATTTCTGAACTTTTTGGGCCCACCAATTCTAAAAACATGCTAATTTCTTAATGGGGTCAACCCGAAAACATAGCGTAACTCTCGAAAAACAACAAAAACACTTGGAATTTACGACCGAGTGCGCTTAGCGAATTAATAGCGCGCGCAAAAAAGTTCCCTCATCTCGGCTTTTACACGATGTGTCATCAGAATACATTTATTCTAGGGCTCATTAAATTGAGCAGCTTGGAAATTTGCTCTCCAGAGAGGAGATTTGCACTGTAATTTATCACCAAAAATCATTTCCTCTTATTTTTGATGACAAATAAGTTAGAGATAATCATTGAAGCTGAAAATAATAAGAAGTAATACGTCAGTTGATGTTCTTGCTATTGCTACAGAACACAAAATTAGGTTATCAGAGATTAGGGAAAAGTGCTGGGAAATTGGTTGGAATTTTGAGTTTTCTAGTGGCTGATTTGCTGGAAATCATGGAATTTGGGTCTGAAAATCTGAAACTTTAAAAATTGAATTTTTTCCCTGAAAAAATACGTTTCATCAAATTTACAAACAATTTTGGAGCAGTTTTGGAATATTATTATTGGAATAGCAGTTTTGGACTATAATATATATGTCTTAAAATATTCAAAAAATAATATTTTAGAAAAATTGAGAAATTTCGAGTTTTCCAGGCAAAAATGATGACAAATCGAGATTTTTGAAGCTTCTGGAGTGATTTCTGATGAAACTCAGCAAAAACTTTGGAAAAGTGAATTCCAAGGTCAATTTTCATCAGAAATCACTCCAGAAGCTTCAAAAATTTCGATTTTTCATCATTTTTGACTGAAAAACTCGTTTTTTGACTTTTCGTGAATTTTAATGTTAAAAAAACATTTTTTCGTTCGTAAAAAAAGCTAAAATCTTTGAAACAGTGAAAATATTCTCCCCGAAAAAAATACGTTTCACCAATTTTACAAGCATTTTTAGAACTCCTCAGGAGAACGACCGCGAAATCTGCGCGAAAAGCGGGGTCTCTGCGATTCGCTCAACCTTCGCGGGAGAATCGCGCGTTTCGCACAAACCTCGCGCAATATGGGACCCGGTCGACTGGACGTCGCGAAATTTGCGCGAATTGCGGGGAACTTCGCGTTTTGCGGAAATTTCGCGGGCTTCCTCGACCGAATTGGAGCGTTTCGCGACATTTTCGCGCAGTAGCATGGTATATAAAAAACATTTTCGCTATTCGCGTCACGTGCGCGCATGGTCAAGTGGGTAAAACAAATGTATTCGAGGTGAGAGGTTGTGGGTTCGAGGTTGGGTGAGTGTGATAAATACAAATGATGATCACCTGAATGTGAGGATCGATCATGATGACATTTTGTTTTGAAATTGAGAGGACACCGCGAAATTCACGCAAAACGCGATAATGAAACCGCGAAATTTACGCGAAACGCTGTTACAACACCGCTAAAGCGCGGCGGATGCGCGGCGTTTTAGCGGACTTCTGGGGTTCGCGTTTCGCGCAGATCTCGCGGTCGTTCTCCTGAGTCTTTCAGGATATTGTTTAAATTATAGTTGAAGAATTAAAATTAGATTGAAAATTATTATAACTTCAAATCTTCCAAAAAAAATCCTGAATTTTTCCAGGTAATGGCTGTTCGCTAATAACCTACACAATCTACTCTCGATCCGATTTTTTTGCTGCAATTTTCAAACGCCCCCATTTTTTTGTTACAATTTGATCTTCTTCTTTTAATTGTTATGATCTTCTTCTTCTTCTTTATTTTTCGCAATTTTTTAATGCTTCCAGTGCTTCACGAGAATCCATAAACAGAAATGTCATTTTATTTTAATTAATTAATTTTTTAGAAAATTTTTTGATCGAAAATTGTGAGAGAAAATGGGGCGAAGGAGAGAATCTATGATACATTTCAAGAGAAAAAAATAAGTTAGGGTAACATTTTTGGGCTTTCAGGCTTAGGCCTAGTTTAGGCCTAGGCTTAGGCCGATCCTCCCGCCAATTTTCGATACGATTTGATGTCGTGGGTGATGATGCAATTGACTGGTGAGAAGAAGCTGCAAACATTTTGGGGTTAATATGAGCAATGGGGCTTCTAGGCTTTTGGGCCGGGCCTCTAGGCTTTCGGGGTTTTCAGGCTTTTGGGCCTGGCCCCCAAAAATTCCCGTGTGCTTTGATTTTTGGCTACGTAATTTTCATGGCATTTTGAAACGTCGAGAATATTTTCAGCTGCTCTTTTTTGAGACTTTGAAAAAAATGGCTAATTTTGCCACGTCATCAAAAATTTTGGAAAAAAATTCCACGTGGAATTCGAAAAAATTTGAAAAAAATTCAAGTTACCCTAACTCTTTTGCCACGTCATAACCACTTGAGCTTTGAATTTTGAAGTTTTTCCACGTCATAGCTCACAGGCGGAAATTTTAAAAATCAATTTCAAGTTATCCTAACTCTTTTGCCACGTCATCAAAATTTCAAACGTGCAGGCAGCTCACAAGGAAGTAATGACTGCTGTCAATCTCAAGGCCACAGGTTCGATCCCCGCTGTTTTTGATTTTTTGAGCTAAGCTTATTTTTGGCCTGCAAACTTCTCAAGTTATCCTAACTTGTAAGATTTTTGGACCTCTAGTTAGGATAACTTGAGAAGTTTACAGGCCAAGAATGAGCTTAGCTCAAAAAAAAATCAAAAACAGCAGGCACCGTGGCACGAACCTGTGACCTTGAGATGGACAGCAGCCACCACTGCCACTGAGCTACCTATTATGATGACGTCATAGCTCAAGAACTCACCAATTTCGCGATCCGGCCAACGCTCTCAATTGTCCCGATTTTTTCATCGTCGGAATTTGATCCCCGTAAAAATAGTCGGGATTGACGTAGTAGCTAAATTCAAAATTTGAAAATTTCAATTTTCGCGCCGCAAACTCACGCGTTCGCCACAAATGTCGAAATCAAAAGCACCAAAATCATCGAGATGAGTTTTGTGGAAAACGACATTTTTCCAAATTCGGGGTTACCTGGAAATTTGAAATTTTGAAAGTTGGCGCGAAAAATTTGAAAAAAAAGTTTTGAGTGGGAAGAAAATTTGCAAATGCACCAAATGTTAAGTGATTCTCAAGTGGATTTTGAAGAAAAAAACATTTTTTTTTGAAAAAAAAATCTGAGGTCTTGAAGGATTTGCCACGTGGCATAAAAGTTTTAGCTTTAAAAATTTCGAAAAATTTTTTTTGTAGTCAAAAAATGGGATTATGGAAAAACAATTTGAAGTACAGTATATCTATCCTCTGCGTCTCTAACCTTATTTTCTGCATCTCTAACTATGTTGGGTAGAGCAGAGAGAAGCAGAGAGTCAAAGGTGCATCTATTCAATTTTCGACCAAAGGATCTCGCAGCGACCGGAAAAGTAGAGTACTGTACTGGAAATTCAAAGAGCGGCAATTCAAATTTCTTCGGAATTTTCAAAATAATTTTGCCACGTGGCATTTTTGAAGTACTGTAGTTTTGGGGCTGAAAATGTGCTAGATAATTTCGAAAATTAAATTGCTAGGGTCTCTTAGCGAAAATCTAAACATTTTAGGAGGTACTGTATTCAAAGGCACATGAAAATTCTAAACAAAAAAAATTCGAATCAGAAAAATATAGGATGCCATGTGGCAAAAGGGTACTGTAGAGATACAAAAATCAGGGTACTGTAGAATTAATATGATGGTATTGTAGATTACAACAAATTGGGCTACTGTAGATCTTGTTAGAGACCTTGAAATCTTTTCAAATTCCAAATTTCGGCCCCAAAATCTACAGTACTCTATTTGTTTTTCAAAAAAAAACAAACAGAAAACATTTTTTTTTCTCAAAAAACCCCCGCACTTTTTTCTAATTAGCAGCGAAAAAAATGTGAAGGGCTCGCGGAGCCACAAGATAACTGAAATCTCGTTTTTGCTCGCCTTGAAAAGTGGGCGGAGCTTAGGCTGAAGCCGAAGCTCCGCCCATTTGAGAAAATTTCAGCCTGGCTGGCTGGAAACGGGGGGTGCGCGACACAAAAAAATGCGTTTTTTCTGAAAAACTTTTTTAATTAAACTTTTTTGAGGTCAAATGTCAATTTTATGATGATGATGATGAATTTTTCAATTAAAAATTATTTTTAATTGAAAAAAAAAACTTTTGCTCAAAATTATGATGATCTTTGGAAAGAGAACAAAAAAAAAGAAAAAAATATCGGCTAGAAAAAAAATTATTTGGAATAATAATAGTTTTTGGGAACGGAGGGAGGTAGGGAAAATTGAATTTTGGAGGGAAAAAATTGTTGTCTGGAACAAAAATATGTGTCTAGAAAATAGTATGTGTGCTCAAAAAATGTGCTTAAAATGAGATTTTCCACGTGGATTTTGAGCCCAGAAAATTTAGAAAATATGTTGAAGTCTGGCAAATTTGGGAGCTGAAAAAAAGTGGTCAAATAATTTTTCTCCTAATTTTTTGAGCTCTCAAATTTGAAGTTATCAAAACGGCTTGATTAAAATCAAAATTAAATTTCTGTCTAAAAAATTTCTAGAAATTTTGAAACAGTGATTATTTTTATTTGGAAAATCGAAAATAATTTTTGTTCATTTGAGCAGATGAAAAATCAATTTTTATTGAAAATATTAGAAAAATTTTGAAACAGTGGATTTTTGTTCAGGTTCTAATTTTATATCGAGAAATTTTTGGAGCAATCAAGTCATCATCAAAATTAAATTTCTGTCAAAAAAATTGAAGAAATTTTGAAACAGTGATTTTTTTTTTTGAAATTTCAATTTTTTTTCTAGAAAATTGAGAAAATCCAAATTTTCGTGTTCCACGTGGCAAAAAAGCCCTGTGAACTCCGAGAGAAGTACACGGAGACACACACAAATTAATTATGTGTGCGATAGAGCAAATTTGATTACTCATATGAGCAAAACACGGTCTTGAAAATTTTCAAAACAATTTTTTTCATGAAAAATAGAAATTCGAAAAAATTTCACTGTTTCAAAATTTCTAGAATTTTTTCAAGAAAAATTGAATATTGTTCCTCATCATTCTGTCCAAATAAAAAAAAATTAATTTTTATTTTCTAAAAAAATTCACTGTTTCAAAATTTTTCAAAATTATTTTCAAGAAAATTTATTTTATTGTTGTTTCGTCAGATTCTAATTCTCTTAAAATTTTTTTATTTTCTAAAAAAATTCACTGCTCGGGAGAATTGTCGCTAACAAATCGCAGAAATGCGACGAAAAATGAGTGTCGCGAATCTGCGCCAATGAGTGCGACATCGAGAGAGTCTAGTGTTTTTTGTCGCACACAATTTTTTTTTTCGCGACCGTCGCACATCTCGGCGCAGATCTGCGACAAGAGTGTGCGTGTCAGTGACGTCACAAAAACGGGCGGTTTTTAAATCATTGATTTTTTAGCCGTTTGTTGATTTTTTTTGTTTTTTTTCTTGAAATTCTTTGTGTATGCGGTTAATGAGTTCAACGTTTTTCTTCTTCCGACGTTTATATTCTTATGCATGAAAAAATCTATTGATTTTCAGTGATGCGATCAATTTTTGGAAACGATTTGTTTATTGTGGCTGATATTAAATGGTAAGAATTTCATGGGCGGTTTTTGAACAATAAAGAACATTTTTCAGTCACGAAACTATGAAAATGGAATGGATACTGTGATTGTTGTTCGATCAAGAAAGTAATGTTATTCCTCCTGGCATTGATTATAAAGATGGCGGGAGTGAGAAGGAGATCGAGTAATGATTAAACAATCAGAACATACTTTTGCTACTGATATGGATATTTATGATGACATTCAAGGTAATTTTTTCATTTCTTTGTCAAATTGAAAACACTAGGCTGGATTAATTTAGATAAATCTTACATAAACTGATAAAACGCTTTGAACATCTTGTAAGAATTAATAGCAAATTTGTTCAATCTCTAACATTTAGCTAAAAATTCCCAAAAATTGGGATTTTTTAGGCTCTAACCGAATACTTAAAATTACAGAGGCTATCGGAAGAACGATTGGCAAGAAAAAAGAAATCAAATCAACACCACTGCGTCATCAAAACGAAACTGTCGCCACCACTCGTGCATCACAATTGAAGACTCCCAAAAACCAATATATAATATTCCCAATTTTTTGTAGAATTTATATACTTTATCTATTGGTTTGCAATTATTGGATTATAATATTCAAATTGCCTTCCATTTTATTATGTGAATGAATACTCATGTTAAATAAAGCATTCATTTTTGAAGAACCTGATATTTATTAGCCAAAAAACAAACGTTAGCACATCATTGCGCAGATTCGCGACATTGGACGTTTATAACGGCGCGAATTCGCGACACTGTTCGCTTGTTACGGCGCAGATTTGCGACACTGGTCGCTCATTACGGCGCAGATTCGCGACACTGGTCGCTTATTGTGGCGCGAATTTGCGACGCTGGTCGCATACTGTGGCGCAGATTCGCGACAGTGGTCGCTCTTATTTATTTTTGTGTGCGACTCGTTGGTCGCAGATTCGCGCCAAACTGTCGCATTTCAAGCGACCATCGTCCCGAGTGTTTCAAAATTTTTTAAAAATTTTTTCAAGAAAAATTGATTTTTGTTCTGCAAGTAATTTTCTCTACCAAAAAAAATTATTTTTGATTTTCAAAAAAAAATTCACTGTTTCAAAATTTCTAGAAACTTTTGGACAGAAAGATAATTTTGATACGATGTTATTTACTTCTTCCCAAATTTGAGAGCTCATAAGTTTTCCGATATAAACTGAAAACCTGAAAAAAAATCCACTGTTTCAAAATTTTTCTAAATTTTTTCAAGAAAAATTGATTTTGGTGCTGCATTCATCTGCTCAAATAAAAAAATTTCTAAAAAAAAATTCACTGTTTCAAAATTTCTAGAAATTTTTTGACAGAACTTTTATTTTGATACACTTTTTCAAGAACTGAAGAGCTCATAAATTTTCCAATATGAAATTAGATTCTGAACAAAAATCCACTGTTTCAAAATTTTTTCAAGAAAAATTGATATTTGTTTTGCAATAGATCTTCTCGAACTAAAAAAAAATTAATTTTTATTTTTCAAAAAAAATCACTGTTTCAAAATTTCTTCAATTTTTTTTGACAGAAATTTAATTTTGATGTTTCTTGCATACCTTTCCAAATTTGAGAGTTCATAAAATTCGAGAAAAAATATGCCACGTGGCAGATTTCTTCCGCTTCCGCGTCCGTAAACCACGTGGCCGCTGCGCGGAAGCTTGCGGTCTACACTCGCGGCTTCACCGCTCGAAATTTTTCATAGATCACACATTTTTCTTCTGTTTTTGTGCTCTGATGATTAATTTTGATGATAATAATTTTTCACTTCAAAAAATTTTCTAGTTCGTCTAACTCATGACGCCTCAAAGTTTTTTTCACGTGGAATTTTGATTTCTGATTTCTCTTCCACTCGAATTCACATTTTCCAAAAAAAAAATCCGAAACAGCAAATTTTTATGACGTAGCATTTTTTTTTTGCAAAACAAAAAAAAAGTTTTATTGGATTTTTGGGGCCAAAAGTTCGAGCTCACTTCTGTTTTCAGAAGAAAAAAATTTGTTTTTTTTCAGAAAATTTTTTGTGGCGCCGCTGAAAGTATAATTGGCTTAAATAATCCAATTTCAGAGCTACAAAGTAGAGGTTTTTTGAAGTTGAAAGTTCCAATAAATCATGTGTAGTTTTTGAGGGAAAAAATCTGAAAACACAGTTTCAGACAAAAAATTCCAGAATTTTTTCATATCGGTAACTACTGATAATCAATTTTCGAATTGTGAATGAATTTTTTTCAAAAAATTTTGAAACAGTGAATTTTTTTTGGAAAATTAATTTTGCGAAAAACATAAAAATTTTGCCACGTGGATTTTTTTCGGAACAAAAGCATTTGAAATTCGAAATTTTGCCACGTGTCAGAGGATTTTTGGCTCTAAAAAGTTCTGGTTGAAAAAAAAAAGTTTTTTTTTTTAAATTTTTTTCGACTTGAATTCAAGATTCAAAATTTTGCCACGTGGATTTTTGTTAGGTCGGAAAATATTCTGTTTTCAAATTTTGCCACGTGTCAGAGGATTTCTAGCCCCCTTGAAAATTCAGAAAAAAATAGTGCCACGTGGCATTTTTCGCCAAAATTTTTTTTAAATTTTTTTAAAAATACTCATTTTTTCGCCTCGTTTTCAAAAGGAAATTGAAAAAACCACGTGTTTTGTTTTTTCAAAAAAAAAAAAATCTCGCTTCCCAAAAAAAACAACACCAAATTCATCATCAAAAATTCATGTCATGTCCCTTGAGGACACAAAAAAATGAAAAATATTTAATGAATAATAACCGCCCAAAAGTGACTGGAAAATATATATTTACAGATTTTTCGGGGGATTTTGGCGGAAAAAATTATTTTCCACGTGGCATAATTTTTGAATCAGAAAGATTTTGACGGCCTGAATTTCTTTTTGAGTTGAGCCAAATCCAAAATGATCCTGCTCATACAATGTACATAATTGCTCATATTATACTCATTTTTTTACGAGACACGGAAGAAATTAAATACCGTAGCTCTGATTTTCCCGAGAATTATTTGATTTATAACTTGTTTTTCATCGAAAAAAAAACAGAACGGCAGAAAAAAAAATTATATAACTTTTAGGAATTTAAGAAATTAGGTTAGGTTATTTTGATTTACGCAGGAAAAGCATGAGAAAAAGAAGGGATTTTTGGTGTTCAAAAATTAAATTTAGGTGAGTTTTCTAGAATTCATTTTAATGAAATTTGGACGCGGCTTCACAAACTTTTATAAATCAAATTTTGAACGATGCTCCGCGTTTACGCTACGGAAAAAATACGATTATTTTAATACCACATTTGATAAGGAAACTTGAATTTTAGGATCAGCCGCCATAAAATCAGGCTACAAACGATGCTCCGGGTTTACGGGCTCAAAATATTGGGCAGCAAATATTCCCGGAAATTTTACGTTTCAAAAAATAAATAAAAAACTAGAATAATTTTAAGCTTAATTATATACTTGGCCTAAATCAACCCTTTTGACTCTAGTTAGCCTAAGTCCAAGGCTAATCCTAGAAAAAGGAAAATAGAAAATGAGATTGCTTCTTGATTCTTGTTTCCTCTCAATTCGCACATTAGACTAATACATTTTAGATTAACACGCTCTTTTAGCAAAGAAAAATATATACACTTTTCTTTTGCTGAGTGACGAAAAATATACATAAATACTTAATTTGGCGGGCGCCACGTCATCATCACCCGTCTGGAAAAGAGGAGAATTTCAGCCAAAAAAAAACTGGAAAAAAAAGAAAATAAGAAAATGTCTACATGTCTTTTTTGAAATGAATAGATGAATAGAGGAGAGAAGGCAACACACAAATTTTAATGAATTTTTCAAAAGTAATTTGATCTTTTAAGATTTCCCCCTTTTTTTCTTCGAGAGAAAACAAAAGATGAAAAAAAACAAAACAAAAACAGGAAATCTAGGGAGAAGCTGGAATTACAGTACAGCTACAGTACTCTTTGCAGTTCGGTTTTTTTATTTCTGAAAAATTGCAGCTGTAGTTCCGAAGAGAGAAAAAAATGCATTTGCAGTCCGGGTTACGGTAGCTGTTGAAGTTGTCATTCTTAAGGTACAGTAATCCAAACTGCAAATCCTTTAGATACAGTAACCCGAGTAGCAAAACCTCTAGATACAGTAATCAGAACTGCAAGAGACAATAAGCTCTCGGAATAAATTGTATAGAACTGCAAAATCTTGAGGTACAGTAATCCAAACAGCAAGAGACAATTTCTCTAGAAGAAAATTTCATAAAACTGCAAAATCTTGAGATACAGTAACCCGAGCTGCAAATTCTCACGCTACAGTAACCCAGACTGCAAATTCTTTAGATACAGTAATCCGAACTGCAAATCCTCTAGATACAGTAACTCTAGATTTTTTAATCTGCAAAACTCATAATTTTCTGAAAATTTCGAGATTTCTGAAATTTTTGAGAATTTTCAGAGATAGCCTAAGTCAAAAAAAATGTTTTTCTCGAAAAAAAAAACAACAAACGCCTTCTCAACAAAAAAAAATATGTCAAAAACAATAAAAATCAAAAATTTTGCACAACAAAATATGTTTTGCTTCAGATTTTCAGCCGCAAAAACATTTATATATACGGCTAAAACTTAGGCCCTCGCAAAAAAAATGAAAAAAAAACGCCGTCATTTCCTTTGGAGAGTGGGAGGAGAAGAGGGAAAAAACACGAAAAAAAGGCATTAAAAAATTCTGGAAAAAAAGTGATTAACTTTTTTTTTGTGGCGCCTCGCAAATGAGTTTTAGCACGAAAATTGGAAGTTGGAGTACTGTAGATGGGGGAGTACTGTAATCGAGAAGATTGGATTTTAGCGGTTGTTTTCAGCTCGTAGGGTTTTGGAGTACTGTAGATACCTTAGAAGTACTGTAGTTTGTAACATTTTCAGATTTTCTAGAAATTTGGGATCTGGAATATTTAATTTTTTTAAATGAAAATTATGTTACCGTAGATGGCCTAGGAGTACTGTACTTAGTTTAAAATTTAGGCTTCTAATGAAATTTTGGAAAACCAGAGTACTGTAGACGATCTTGAAGTACTGTAGGAAGAATTTTCAAAAATTTTTGATCTACAGAAATTTGTATTTTTATGAAAATTTGGGTTACTGTAGGTGAATATGGGAGTACTGTATCTGGAAAATCCGAATTTTGATCTACAAACTTTGAATAAATTCTGGGTTACTGTAGGGTGAATTTAGGGGTACTGTAGTTACATTTTTTGGCTTTCTTTAAAAGAATTTTGTGATCTAGAAATTCTTATTTTTGTAATTCAGGTACTGTAGTGTACTGTAGTTGTTTTGTTCCAGAGTACTGTATCTGACAAAGCAAATTTTGATCTACAAACTTTTTCAAAAATATTGTGGAGTACTGTAGAACACTTGGGAGTACTGTACTTCAGATTTTTCATAAATCCAGGCATTCTCAAAGAGTATTGTAGTCGCATTTTTCTGAAAATTGTGATCTACAAAAGTACTGTAGCAGCTACAGTAACCGAAACTTTTTTTTTGAAAATTTCAACTATTTATACACAAACACAAAAAAATCACAATGCGCTTATTTTTCATAAATTTTTTTTTCAAAAATTAGGGTCCTGGCGCGAAAATTTGGTTTTTTTAAAATTTTTTTTTGAAAAAATGGTACCGGAAAAAAGGAAAAACTACACAACTAACAATAATAAAGTGACCCTGAGAGTCCGGGAAAATGTTTGAAATTAATTAATTAATTAATTAACTGGCTCGACATCCACGATTTTGATGTGTTGTCACGGCATCTCGATAGGCGTTGAGGACACTTTGGAGTTGACTTAATTCGTTGTTGAGACGAGCTGACCGCGCTTTTTCTGATGATACCTGAAAATTTATTGATTTAGGAGTACTGTAACTAGAAATTTTGGATTTTTCGGGAAATTTTGATCTAGAAACACTATAATTTAATGCAAATACAGTAACTCGAACTGCAAAACCCCCAAGTTTACCTTAAATTTCAATCTAGACTCACAAATAATCAATATCTACAGTAACCCGAACTGCAAGGGCTCTGAAGATGGAAATTGTTTTGCAGTTCGGGTTACTGTACTTCTGAAATATCTGATTTCTGAGAATTTGAAAAAGTCAGCTACAGTATATCGGACTACAAAAGTCATCACATTTTTTTTGCAGTTCGGGTTACTGTACCTCAAGTGAATAGATCAATAAAACACAATACCTACAGTAACCTGGACTACAAAAATTTTCAAATTTTTTGCAGTTTGGGTTACTGTATTCACACATTTCAAGATTACGGTATTTCTCAACGAAAACTAGTTTTTTCTAGATCAAAAACACAATACCTACAGTAACCCGAACTACAAAAATATTCAAATTTTTTGCAGTTTGGATTACTGTACCCCTCCCTCCCTTTAAACAAATACCGTACCTGTTCTTCCAATTCGCGAATTCGATCCATCTTTTTTTGTCGACATTTTGTGGCCGCCTGTCGATTTCTGGCCCGTTTTCTGTCCAATTTTTTGCGCTCCTGATCATCCATTGACATTCTGTAAAATAAATGTGAATCTAGGAGGTTTGGGAGAGATTACTGTGGATTTTGGGGACCCTGGGAGCCACGTGGTATGATATTTTTGTGTATTTATGAAATTTGGAACTCCTGAAGTCACTACCGTAACCCGGAATGCAAGAATGTTGTTATTTTTGAGCCTTCAGTTTGGATTACTGTACTTCAGAATAAAAAAAATTTGAAAGGTACAGTAACCTTCTGAGGCTGTTACATTCTCTACAGTAACCTGGACTACAAAAATCTTCACATTTTTTGCAGTTTGGATTACTGTACCTCCCAACTGTGACGCTTTTGAGAATTAAAAAAAAACCAATACCTACAGTATCCGAACAACAAAGTTTAGTTTTTTGCAGTTCGGGTTACTGTTGTTTCTCAGAAATCCACGTGTCATTTTTTCACGCCGAAAACTCTACAGTAACCCTGAACCCTCAAAAAATCCACGTGTCATTTTTCGCGCCAAAAACCCTCTACAGTAACCCTGAGACCTCGAAAAATCCACGCGTCATTTTCCCTCTATTTTAAACGCTACAGTAACCCTAATGTTTTTGGCGCGCAAAAAAAGAAAATTCGAAAAACCCACTGTTCATAATACTGGCTCATAATTTGCGAGTTCGAATAACTCGCCGAGCCAAAATGTGGATTGGCAGCAGAAGAAGCGGCAGCAAAATCGAAAAAATTCGTCGGAAACGGCGAATTCCGATACATTTTTGAGGGGAAATTTAGGAATTTTTGGGAAAAAATCAGTGACCAGCTAGACAAAAGAGCGGGTTTTTTCTCGAACAAAAAAATGGAGAATGTGTATATTTTTTTTCGTATGTATGTGTCCTTTTTTTCGCTTGTGCGGGATGAATCACAACCAAAAAAAGTGTCCCGCGCCTTTTTTTTGAGAAGCAGCAGCAGAAAAAACGGCGCCGTTTTTTCTCCCCTCTGCTTTTTCTTTTATGTTTGGTTTTACAGGCGCGGCCTGTTGTTAAGAATGAGAGGGAAAAAAAGAAAAAGATTTTATGATTTTGAAGTTATTTTTGGCTGATTTGGTGGAATGATTGGAATTTTTTTCTGAATTTAGAAATGACACGTGGATTTTCGTTCGAGGAATTTTGATCTACACTCGCGCTAAAAGCGCTCGGATTACTGTAGGTGACTAACTACAGTATCCCGAAATATCTTGGATCTTGAACCGATCTACAGTAACCCGGGAATACTGTAGGTACAGTACCCTTTGTCTAGATCTGACAGAATCTCAAAAAAAAAGTTCAGAATTTTGAATTTTGAATTTTGAATCGGAATATTTTTGTTGATGACACGTGGATTTTTTTTTCTGAAAAAGTTGCTCGAAATTTCAGAACTCCAAAAATGACACGTGGATTTTGAGGCACAGAATTCAAAAATGATTGCTCATTTTAAAAAATATAATTTTTTGATAGAAAATTTCAGAATTTTAAAAAAATCTGAAAAAAATAGAAATAGTTATCTTAACTTTGAGGCCCAGTTAAAAAATGACACGTGGATTTCTGATGGAAAATTTGAAGGCCAAGAAAATTTTGAAATAGAATTTTGACACGTGGAGTTTTTATGATAGAAAATTTCAGAATTTTCAGAAAGGCCCTGAGCAAAAATGACACGTGGATTTTGGGGCCCCGGAAATCAGGGCTCAAGACTCATTCTGAAAAACAGGACCAAAAATTTGAAAAAAAAAAGTTCAGAGAAAAGTTTAAAAAATGACACGTGGATTTCTATAAAAAAATGTATGTTAAATTTTTTCTGAAAAATGATTTCAAATTTTCTGAAAAGTGGATTTTTTGCACGAAATTTGAAATTTAAAAAAAATTAAAAATACAAATTTCTAGACGTTTTTTTGTACTCAGAAAGAAATTTCAAATACAAAAAATATTTTTTGGAATTTTGTGGAATCAAAATATTAAAAATTCCACCTGAAATTAAGCCACGTGGATTTTACTAAAGTACAGTTCACCTATTATCTACAGTACCCCCAACCAATTAAAAAAAAACAATTATTTTTTGTCACCCCATAATAAATCAAGTTTCTTCTTTTTCCCTCTAATCAAATAAAATCTACAGTAACCCGCAGGAAAATCGTCTTTTTTTCAACAAAAATTTCGAAAAATTCCAAAAAAAAACCGTAAAGTGTTAGGTATTCTATAAAATAAGCATAAAACATTTTTTGATAAGAAAATGTTTTTGGTTTTCAAAAAAAAATTGATTTTCAGAAAAAATCAATGATTTTTAATAATAATAATGTTATATTTTCGAAATGAGAAGAAAAGGTTGCGAAATATTGGATATTTCGAAACTTTTCGTATTTTGAACCGGATTGTTTCGTGAGAAATAAAATATTTAAAAAAAAACCGCGACCTCAACATAAACAAAACACCATTGTGGGTAAATAGTGTGCGCGCTTAGCTCAGTGGTAGCGCGCTGGATTTTCAACTCATAGGCGGGTGCTTTTGCAGGTTCGGTCCCCCATGCCCGAAAAATTTTTAAATGTTTTTTTTTGTTTTTTTTTCAAAACTCACAACGCTGAATGATCCAAATGTGGTGAAAAATCACCATTCGACGAATTCACACTATGACAAAAATAATTGTGAGTAGTTTCGATACTAGTAGAAGGCATTGAGTTATTATAACTCGAGCTCAAATTTGAGCTCGCTGAATTTGGCTGATATCCACCCCAATTATGCATAATTAATTAAATGAAGCTAGAAAATTTCGAAAATCAGCAAAGAGAAATCAGTCTTGTCACAAAACACACATGAACAGACAGGCAAAAAGTGAGAAAGGCGGAGTTTGGCGCGAAAAAGTGGGCGGAGCTTGGGGGGAACTGTATGTATGGTATGTAGATAGAAAAAAAAGCAAAGCAAATGGGGAACTGTATGAGTCATATATTTATTTGTAATTTATTATTATTTGGGGAGGACAAGGAGTGACTCATCGCTTTTTGTGTGTGCGTATTTGTTTGTAACAAAAAAAAAGTGTGTATGCAAAAAAAAATGATGTGAGATGGTCAGTTTTTGATATTTATTGATAAAAAAAAAGTTTTGGTGAGGGTTTGAGGAGAAAATAGTGAGAGAGGCAGAGATGACAGTAGGTTAGAGAGCTAGAGAGAGGTAGACGACTAGAGAGTGAGAGGTATAGGGTTTTAAGAGACCAGAGATGACAGAAGGTTATAGATCTAGAGAGAGGTAGACGACTAGAGAGGTTAGGCAGCTAGAAATCTACGAACCCAGAGAAACCAGGTAGGCAGAGAGCTAGAGAAGTTAGAGAGTGTAGGATTTTGAGAGACGCAGAGAGCTCGGAGAAACCAGATAAGCAGAAAGCATGTGAGGAAGAGAGACGCAGAGAAGATAGCTAGAGATCCAGAAATAGTGAAATGTAGGGAAGCTAGAGAGCACAGAGGATATTAGAGACGCAGAGAGCCAGAGAGTTAGACGATTAGAGATGTGGCAGAGAAATAGAGAAACTGAATTTAATAGACGCCAGAGAAGCTAGAGACGCAGGAGAATACCAGATGGGTAGAGAACATATGAGAGGTTAGAGATGCAGAGAGGCAGACAACCAGACATACTAGAGATTACAGAAAACCCTAGAGAATTAGAGAAGCTAGAGCACATTCAGACGCAGAGAAGCAGAGTGCAGCTAGAGACATAGAGAAGCTAGAGACGCCAGATAATCCAGGTGGTTAGAGAGCATAGGAAAACTGGAGAAACAGAGAAGCTAGAGCAGCCAGAGATCATAGGCACAGTACTAGTTTGAAACTAGAGACGCGGAGAATTGCCAGGCAGCTGAAGAGCACAGTAAAGGTTAGAGACGCAGAGAGCCAGATGGTTAGACGACTAGAGATGTTGCAGATGCAGTTAGAGATCATAGAGAATTAGAGAAGCCAGAGACATTTAGACACAGAGAAACTAGAGCAGCAAAAGATCATAAGGCATCTAGGCAAATTAGAGACGCAGAGAATTTCCAGTAAGCTAGAGACGCAGAGAAACTTGAATGTTAGAGAGCATAGGCAAACTAGAGACGCAGAGTTGACCTTTTGAATTCAAATTTTTTATCATTGTTTGAACGTCGTCACAATCAGTGACATCATTTGAACAATAGTCAAAACTAGACAGCTTGAGACAAGTTAGAGACGCAGAGAACTTCCACAAAACATCTTGAACAATTTTTAAAAACTACATAGTGTAAAAATTTTAATTGCTTATTCGTCGAATTTGTTTTTTTTTCTTTTGAAAAAAAAAAATTGTTTTTTTTTTAGAAAATGTGAGAAAACTATTGAATAAGCCTAATCAAAAAAAGTGCAGCTGCACTTTTTTTTTTGAAAAAAAAACGAGAAACGTGGCAATTTTCTTACAAAAATAGGTCATAGGATTTTTTTTTTCAAAAAAAAAAACATTTTTTTTTTCGAAAACATAAGCCTCACGTGATTCTATTTTTAGACATTTTTGGGGGGGGGAATCCAGTTTTTTTTCAAAAAAAACTTTGCCACGTGGATTCCCTGATTTCGCCCAACTTACTCTTTGGAATTCGCATTTCTTGAGGAACTTCGTGTATATCCGCTATCAGAATCATCGCTGGACAAATTTTGATATTGTTCCATTTTTGGGATTTGCTGAAAACAAAATTTTGTTTTGTTTTGGCCAGAAAAACTCGAAAAATCAATAAAATCTAGGTTTTGACAAAACGTAAAACACGAATAAAATAAACAAACAAAACAAAACAATTCCCATTTTCAATAGGCGACTAACCTGAGCAACGGGCGGTAGATTCAATTTGTCGGGGCGAGAAGTTGAGGCGGCCGCCGTGACCGCTACTGAGGGTACTGTAGTTGTAACGGCGGGCGGTTCGATGTTTGTGGTGGATTTGGTGATGGTTGGTGATGGCAGTGGGAGGATAGGTGGACCGGGAAGAACTGCCGACGCATAGAGTTTGAGCCTGGAAAATATTGTGTCGAGCCGCGTTCGCGGAATTTTGATCTACACTCGCGCTAAAGGCGCTCGAAGTGTTTAAAGGGTCTACAGTACTCCTGAGAACCTCTACAGTAACCCGGAGAGTATTTAAAGGGACACACACTCGCTCCGCTCGAAAAATACTGTAAGTGACGAACTCCAGCGTCCCGAAATATTTTGGGTCTTGAACCGATCTACAGTAACCCGGGAATACTGTAGGTACAGTACCCCTTGCCCAGTTAAATTTTAAAGGGACATACACTCGCTCCGCTCGAGCCGCGTTCGCGGAATTTCGCTCTACACTCAAAATTTAACTGGACAAAAAATACTGTACCTACAGTATTCCCGGGTTACTGTAGATCTGTTCAAGACCCAAGATATATCGGGATAGGCCTGGCGCGAGTGTAGATCAAAATTCCGCGAACGCGGCTCGAGCGGAGCGAGTGTATCTCCTTTTAAAATATAACTTGACAAAGGGTACTGTACCTACAGTGTTCCCGGATTACTGTAGATCGGTTCAAGACCCAAGATACTTCGGGATCCTTTTTGTCAAAAAAATTTTTTTTGTTTTTTTTTCCGACTTGAATCATAGTTTTTTTTTTCAAAAGTTCCTAATTTATTGAGGTATTTTCCGCGCGCGCTAATCTTTTTCGCTTGTTTCTTTTTTCTCCTCTTTTTCCTCTCCTCCTATGAATCATCAAGACTTGCGAATAAATTTCATCACAACAACACGCCGTGTGGTTTGTTTGCATAATAATAAGAAGAAGGAAAGATGAGTCATCTTGTTTTCTCTCTCTCTCTCTCTCTCTCTCTCTCTCTCTCTCTCTCTCTCTCTCTCTCTCTCTCTCTCAGCCTCTCTCTAAACACTTACATATCACTATCAAGAGAAAGGCTTCCAGTTGGTGAAGCCAATAATTGTGGTGGATTTGTGGAATTGGTGGATGTTTGGGTGGAGCCAACGATTGGTGTGCCCAGCAGCGAGAGCATGATTTGTTGCATGTCACTGGAAGAATTTTAGATTTTTTATTTTTCCGAGCAAAACTCAGAATTCAGAAAAATTGGATTAGAAATCTTTAATCAAAATAATCCAATTGACATTTGTGTGCTTCGGGGGAAAAGTTATTTTTAGAAAATATTTTCTAGTTTTTCGCGGGCTGGAAATCTATGATCTGAAGCTTAGAATCCTGAAGCTTAGAATCTGAAGCTTAGAATCTGAAGCTTAGAATCTGAAGCTCAGAATCCTGAAGCTCAATTTCTGAATGATAGATTTGCAGCTCGAATCCTGAAATTCAAAATCTGAAGCTCAAAATCCTGAAGCTCCAAATCTGAAACTCCAAATTTGAATCTTAGAATCCGGAAGTTCAAAATCCTAAAGCTCGAATCCTGAAGTTCAAAATCTACAGCTCAGAATCCTGAAGCTCAGAATCCTGAAATTCAGAATCCTGAAGCTCAGAATCCTGAAGCTCAGAATCCTGAAGCTCTCTGAAGCCTCTGAAGCTCAAAAATCTAAAAATCTCACTTGGCAGTGGCTGGTGTGATGGCTGATTGTCCAGTTCCCGGTGTTCCTAATGGTGGAATGACTGGTGATGTGGCAGGCCGGAATTCGAAATTGTTGACGTTTTGAATTGCGCGGAGAGCGTCTGGAAAATTGGAAAATTGTTTTTTTTTTGGAAAATGAAATCACTTTCTCACGCAATTCTGAAATTAATTTTGAAAATTTTGTGAGAAAAATAAAATGAAATCAGATTTCGTGTCAGGAATCTGGGTTACTGTAGCTGTGAAAATTTCAATTTTTTATTACTGTAGTTCCAGAATCTTCCTAGGTCAAAAAATAGATTTTTAAAAAACTGGTAGATCAAAACCCTTAAGCAGGTAGGTTACTGTAGTTTTCGGGGCCAGAAAACATTCAAAAAATTCCCGAAATTTTGAAGATCAAACATTGTGCACCCACTTTTGATTACTGTAATCTAGAGGGTTCAAAATGCGCCTTTAAAATTGCAGTTCTAGAAACTGGTAGATCAAAACCCTCAAGCAGGTAGGTTACTGTAGTTTTCCGGGCCAGAAAAAATATCACAAAATTTTTTTTTGTAGATCAAAAAATATTGTGCACCCAATTTTGATTACTGTAATCCAGAGGTGCAAAATGCGCCTTTAAAAATTTTATTTTCATAAACTTTTTCTCACCCAAAAAACTTGTTGTTGACAATTCATCTAGGCCAAATCAAAAAATAAATAAAAATAATTTCAGAAAGCAGGAAATTTTTCAGAGCCAAGAAATTTCGAAAGTGTGTCGTATGAGCCAACAAGCACAGCTTCTGCTTCAGCTTCTCTTTTTTTCTCTGCTTCGACGTGCGCGAGCAAAATTCATAGCTCCGCCCACAATTTTCAGAGAGAAAGACTCTCATACTCACTTTTTTTTTCATTTTTTCAAGCAAGCAAAAAAAAAATAAGGGGGGAAATGTTGCACTTTTCTCTAATTACGAATAATATGACCTTTTTGTTTTGTTGTTCAGTGTAATTCAGCAGAACATGAGAAGAGTTAGGCTAAATTGGAGTTTGGATTCAGGAAAAAGTAGGAAGTTCAATGATATCACGCAATTTTGGAGAAAAAATGTTGGAAATTTGAAAAATAAAAGTGATTTCAGATCTCGTGCCACGGGTTACTGTAGGGTTTTTGGCAGATCAACAAACAAAATTTGGGCTTAAAATTGAGCTTAACTTTTTTAAGGCTAAAACTCAGGCTTAGGCCCAAAGTTAGGCTTAAGTTTAGGCTCACAAAATTAAATTGAAGAAAAAAAAATTCAAAAATTGAAAAATGCTCAATGGCTTTTGAAGTTGGGCTAACTTGAGATTAATCTTGGTTTGGGCTTGGCTTTGAGAAAAAAAAAAAGATCAGATTCAGATTCAGGCCTAAAATTAGGCTTATTAAGGCTTAGATTTCAGGCTTAGGCTTAGTTTTTAGGCTTTTTCAGGCTTAATTGGGCTCAAGGCTTAATTTTTAGGCCGAGGCTCAATTTTTTTTTTGCCACGTGGGCTTTCAGGCTTATGATAGGCCTAAAATTTGGGCTCAAAATTCTACCCAGGCTCCCAAAAATTGTCCAAAACACCAGTTTCACTCACCAAAAAATCCTTTCGAATAAATCTGTCGCTGTTGCATTTCTTCGGGCGATGATGTGCTATCTGAAGAAAAATATATTTTTTTTTGAAATTTTTGAGAAAAAAATGTGCATATAAAAATTAGGCTTATCAGGAAATATTTTATTTTTATTGCGCAGCAGCAGCAGAAAAATAGAAAAAAAATAGAAAATGATTCATTTTTGTACTTGTTTTTTTTTGTTTTTGTTTTTGTTTTCGTCGTTTATTTTTTTTTTCTGCAGAAAAAGAAAAAAGGTGGTAAACAAATTTCTGAACAGTTTTTGACACCAAAAAATTTGGAAAAATCAAAAATGCGGTCTGATCGCAGTTTGGTCGGTGAAAAAAAATTCAAAAAATAATCCGATTTTTTTTTCAGTTGAAAATTGTGATTTTTGAAACTGAACATGGGAAATTAATTTCAGTGCCACGTGAATTTTTATCAGAAAAAATTTGTAATTTTTTATTGAAAAAATTTGTGCCACGTGGATTTTCAATAAATTTTTTGAAATCAAATTTCAGAAATTTTGCCACGTGGATTTTCAATGAATAAATTCAGCAAAAAAAAATTCCCAAGCCGAATGTTTGAAAAATTGAAAATTCGGTTTTCTTCAAATTAAATTGAATTTGAAAAAATAAAATTTCAGGAGTCAGAGAAATCATTGACACGTGGCAAAAAAACTTCAAAATTTTTGAATTGTAAAAAAAAATTGCCACATGGATTTTTTTGGTCTTGGATAAAATCAGATTTTCAATTTTTTGTCTGAAAATTTGCAGTTTCGAAAACTATTCCATGTGTGATTTTTATATTCCCCGTGTATTTTTAAACCTGAATTCTAAATTCAAATTTTCAATAAAAATCGGATTTCAAATTTTCACATGAAAAAATTCTAGAAAAAATGTTGCCACGTGGATTTTTCATTTCTTAAGTTATACAAAATTGATATTTTCTAAATTATAAATATTTAGAATCCTCAAAAATCTTGGAGATTCACCAAAAAAATCAGAATTTTTAAATTGTGAAAAAAATTTGCCACGTAGATTTTTTTGGCCATTAATTTTGATTTCTAAAAAATTTGCAGTTTCGAAAAAATGTTGCCACGTGGATTTTCAGCCCTAAATAAAATCTGGTTTCTAATTTTTGATTTTGAAATTTTCAGTTTCAAAAAAGTATTTTTCACGTCAAAGTTTCAGACTAAAATGTTGCCACGTGGATTTTTGATCTCGAAAATTTTGGAAAACTAAAAAAAAATGTTCAATCATCAAATTTTAAATTCCAGAAAAATCTTGCTTTAAAAAAAATTCAGAAATTTTTTGAAATTCAATTTTTCCCGCCCAAATTTTTTTCCAAAACAAAAAAACTAACCTGTAGGTGTATTGGCATTTGATAACAGGTCTCCAAGGAATCTCGTCTCATTATTATCCTCCTCATTATTGCTCATATTTAACCAAAAAAATCCAACAAAGTCTGCGTCTCTGACCTCCTTCTCTCGTTTCTCTGCCCTCTAACTCACCGCTGAAAAACAAAACAACACATTAAATTTCGATTTTTGAGGTAAAAACCGCGAAATTTATGCCGCCGGCACATTCAAAAAAAAATATGAGTCAGTCGACGAGAGAGTACGGGGAAATGAGAGAGACATGGTGAGACAGTTAGAGAAAAAAAAGTGCCTGAAGAGAGAAAAGGGGAGAAAAAAGAATGGTTGTTGGTTGTAAATAAATAGAGAGAGAGAGACGAGAGAGTGAGAGAGTGCAGAGAGTGCAGAGATACAACAATTTTGTGTCGGTGAAATCGATTTTTATTATCTATCGATTTTGGGGGAGTGGGGGGGGGGGGGAATTTCGAAAGGGAAATTTGCCACGTGGCAAATTTTCAAGGAGGGTTTTTAAAAATTAGGAAAAATTGGATTTTCGGATTTTTTTTTTGAAAATTTTAAAAAGTGAAAATTTCAGATGAAATTTGGAACTTTAAAATATTTTCAGCCTCAAAAATTTTGCCATGTGGCACAGAAAATTTGAGGTGAAATTGTAATTTTTCACAATTAATTCATGTGGCACAAAAATTAAAATAATCAAATTTTTAAATTTGAATTTTCATTTTTTTTTAAAGAATTTTTCAAAAAGTTTCAGCCTGAAACCTTAAAAATCCACGTGGCACAGAAAATTTGGAGTGAAATTTAAATTTTTCATATTTAATCCACGTGGCACAAAAATTAAACTTTTTAATTTTCATTTTTTAAAGAATTTTTTACGTTTTTTTTTAAGTTTAAGAAGCCTGAGAGCTTAAAAATCCACGTGGCACAGAAAATATTATTTTTTTTAAATTAAAAATATTTAGAATCCTCAAAAATCTTGGAGATTTTCAAAAAAAAAATCAGAATTTTTAAATTGCGAAAAAATTGCCACGTGAATTTTTGAACCTGAATTCGATTTTTTTTAATTAAAAAAAAACATTTTTAAATTTTAAAGTTATTTTATCTATGACCTAAAAGCTCCTAATTTTCATAACCCTAACTTCCAGTCCAAAATCTTCAAGCCTTTACCCTAAACCTAAACCCAAACAATGTTTGGCGCCAAAAAAATGATGACTTTTCATTTTCTGAATGACACAGTAGTGTGTCTGTGATTATTAACAATAAGTGAAGAAGAAGAATATGAGACACTCAACAAAAATTTTGTGATAAGCAAAAAAAAATTCGAAATGAGTGAGAGCATTTGTTATCAGGAAGAATTTGATGATATCGATTGATTCATCGAGAAACTTTTTTTACAGTACCTGAGGCTACTGTAGCTCATTCTAAAATTCCAAAAAAATCTGAAAATCAATTTTCAGACAAGAAGACAAGTGTGAAAAACAAAAAGTGCAAATTTCTTTATTATCATCATTTTTCTATCATTCTAAGTATTATGAATAAGTATAATCATGAAAAAATATTAATTAAGCAGCCAAAAAAAATCACCGGACAGAAATGAAAAAAGCAAAAAAAAACATGGGGGAAAAATTTTGGCGCCAAAATCTACAGTACTCTAGAAGGGCGAAGAATCTGGTGATTTTCTTTATGACCCTTTAAAAGGAGTACTGTGGATTGTTAGATATACTACTGTAGTTTCGATCTGATTATGTTCCTTTGAATATCTCAGGGTTACTGTACTCTATGTACCTTTAAGGTTTTTAAAAACCACGAGTTTATATTGAAATTCTACAGTACTCAAGGGTGGATTACTGTAGAGAAATCCACGTGTATTTCTGAAATGAAAATACAGTAATCCTGTAATTTTCTGGAGCCCTAGTTTATCATGTTCCTTTAAAGATTACTGTAGCTTTTGAAAAATCCCTAGGGTTTTTGGAGTTTCACTGGATTACTGTAGAGAAATCCACGTGGATTTTGGCATGAAAGTACGTTTACTATGTTCCTTTAAGGATTACTGTAGCTTTTGAAAAATCACGAGGGTTTTTGGAGTTGCACTGGATTACTGTAGAGAAATCCACGTGAATTTTCCACAGTAACCCTAGAACACTCGCGGCTCCTGTATGTCTCTTTAAAACAAAACTTCAGATGATTACTGTAGGCGCGTTTAAAATTCGATTACTGTAGATGTAAAAACCACGTGGAATTTTGCGTTACTGTAGATTTTGGCGCAAATGAAATGAATAAATAATTAAAGCTCTCTCTCAAAAAAATAAATTATGATTTTCAGACAGATTTTCAGACAAGTAAAGTGCATCTCTCTAATAAGCCAATTCCTCCGGGATCTCCTCCTCTTCTCCTGCTCTCAAACTTTTCTCCTCCAAATCGACACGACTTCGATTCGCTGGCAAATTGCCACTCGTCACAAATTCGCAACACTCCTGTGCATAAATTCGAGGATGACTTCGCAAATGTTGACAGTGCAACGAGTCCAAAAGTCGCAATTTCGACACGTTTACACGGTGATTGGTTTTTTGGATGTGCGCGAAGGCTTCGATCGAATCTTCGGAGCAGACGAGATCGGCTGGACCGTAGATGAATAATTGTTTGGTGGGCAGATTTGAGAAGGTTAACATTTTGAAGTAGGCATAGTGCTTTTTGTAGATGTCTTTGTCGAGGAATGAACGAAGCCATAAGACACCTCTGGAAAAATTTGGGATTGCTCAGATTAGGCTCTTAAGGCACTATATTACTCAGATTATGCTCTTTAGACACATTTTTGCTCAGATTAGGCTCTTTAGGCACAATATTGCTCAGATTAGACTCTTTAGACACAATATTGCTCATATTAGCTTCTTAAAGCACAATATTGCTCAGGTTATCCTCTTAAAGCACAAGATTGCTCAGATTAGGCTCTTTCGACACAAGATTGCTCAGATTAGGCTCTTTAGGCACCAAGTTGCTCAGATTAGGCACAATATTGCTCAGATTAGATTAGGCTCTTTGATTACTGTAGACTTTGAAGCAACAGTAACTTTGAGTACAGTACACTCGAGAAAAATTTATGCGAATTTGCAGTTTGGTACAGTAACCCAAACTGCAATACAGCTCGGGATACTGTATCCTCGCAATCTTGCAGTTCGAAATCTGGGCAAAATTAGAAAACTACAGTAATCCGAACTGAAAAACATCCTGGTTACGGTATGCGCCTTTGAAAAAGGTCACGTTGAATTTGACTAGGCTTACATGCCCCTTTAAATGCTCGAAGGATTACTGTAGATGTTCTCAAGGCTACTGTAGACCTATGTTCCTTTAAACACTTCGAGCGCCTTTGGCGCGAGTGTAGACCAAAATCCCGCGCAAGCGGTTCGAGCGCAGCGAGTGTATGTCCCTTTGAATGCTCTCAAGGTTACTATAGAGGTTCTCTATGTCCCTATATCAAAAATTCGGAGTTTATGTCCTTTTAAACCCCCTGAAGGTGCTATGTGCCTTCAGAATACAGTACTCCTCGAGCGCCTCAGGCGCGAGTGTAGATCAAGATTCCGCGCAAGCGGCTCGAGCACAGCGAGTCTATGTCCCTTTAAAGTACCGTATCCCCCAGCAAACCAACCTATGAAACGAGAAGAACGTATACAAAACAGCTCGATAGCTTTCCCTCAACGCTCCATGATAATGACTTGGCGGCAACGTGGCAAACGACACAGCCTGCGCACTCTGAGACGGTGAAGTGAACGCGGGGCAACTGTCAAAGATCAGGCCTTTGCATTTTGCCTTGATCTCCGCACATTTCTCGAATTGCTCCAATTGATCCCAAAATGCGGCGTACAATGAGCAACCATTCATTGAGAACACGTGGAAATAAATCGATGAGATTTCCGGGTTTTGGCCGAGAGTTTCTTCGAGAATTTTGTTGAATGATTTGGCGAATGGGCGGTATGAGGAGAAGCTGCGGATTTTGGAGATTGGAGCGGTGAAGCGGATTGTTGAGATTCTGAAAATCAGGGAACTTGGTTAGGGTTACTGTAGGTTTGGAACATTTCCAAGTTTGCAGTTTGAATAACTTCACTTTGATCTACAGTACTCGAACTGCAAAATCTTGTCCTCAAAAATTGCATCTAGTCAGCTTGAATTACTGTAGTACCTATACAAATTCGAGCTACAGTAATCTTTGCAGTTCAAAATATTCACTACGACTTCAACAGCTACAGTACTCGAACTGCAAAAAAACCACAATTTGCGAGCTACAGTAATCTTTGCAGTTCAAAATATTTGCTACGACTTGAAAAGCTACAGTAACCCGAACTGCAAAATCTTGGACGACTGTAGAATTCGGATTTTTTTCATAGGTTACTGTAGTTCAAAATACAGACTGCTGTAGGTTTTGAACATATTTTTAGAATCTAAGTTGGACCTACAGTAACCCGAACTGCAAAAAAACGCAATTTTCGAGCTACAGTGATCTTTGCAGTTCGACACTACAGTAACCCGAACTGCAAGAAAAAACGCAATTTTAAGCTACAGTAATCTTTGCAGTTCGAAATATTCACTACGACTTCAAAAGCTACAGTAACCCGAACTGCAAAAAAACAAAATATTCAGCTACAGTAATCTTTGCAGTCTGACATCTAGCTACAGTAACCCGAACTACAAAGGGTTTCCGAAATTGTATTTCGTAATAAGGTTTTTTGCAGTTTGGGCTACTGTAGGCCGCTCCTAGTTTTTTCTTTTTGAAAAAAATTCAGGTACAGTAATGCGAACTACAAATTTTGTATTTCGTACTACTCCACATTTTTTTGCAGTCCGGATTACTGTAGCTCCAAAAAACACAATATTTCTAAGTAAAATCCGAAATTTGAAGCTACAGTAACCCGAACTGCAAAAAAACACAGAATTATTTGAATGTTCCTCACAAAAATATTGAGCTACAGTACCCCAAAACTACAGTACTCACCCATTTTCCTCATAATACTGCGAATATTTCGACAAATATCGATCCTTACACCCGGCCCAACCAAAAAGTATCACCAAACTCGTCGAATTCTCCACCAAAAGTTTGATGGCCGATTCGCAGCCCGATTTTTTGCTGGCCGAATCTGCAAAATGCGGATTCGGAGCCAAAAAATACAGTAGTTTTTTTGTGAAAACTTTTTTTTGGTGCTCAAAAACTCACTACACAACATATCGGATCAAAAATCTTTGAAAAATATGAATTTGAAATTTTTTCCCCGATGTTTCCTGGTCTCCTAGAAACCCGCATTCGAGTTCAAAAAACCAAAATTCGCGGTGAAAAATGGGATTTTCGCGGAAATCCACGTGGATTTTTGAAATCTACGTGGAAAATTGAGCGGGAAACCCACAAAATTCAAAAAAAAACCGTGAACTTCTCCCGGACAAGCGGGAATCCCAAAAATTTAAATTTTTTTATGAAAATCCGTGTACTTCTCACGGACAAGCGGAAATCCCGAAAATTTAAATTTTTCATAAAAATTCGTGTACTTCTCCCGGAGAACATTTAAAAACCTCAAAATTCAAAAATCCATGTACTTCTCCCGGATAAGCGGAAAACCCGAAAATTTGAATTTTTCATAAAAATCCGTGTACTTCTCCCGGAGAAGCGGGAAATCCAAAAATTTTAATTTTTCATAAAAATCCGTGAACTTCTCCCGGACAAGCGGGAATCCCGAAAATTCAAATTTTTCGCAAAAAATCGTGTACTTCTCCCGGACAAGCAGGAAACCCTCAAAATTCAAAAATCCGTGTACTTCTCGCGGACAAGCGGGAAACCCTCAAAATTCAAAAATTCGTGTACTTCTCCCGGACAAGCGAAAAACCCAAAAATTCAAATTTTTCATAAAAATCCGTGTACTTCTCCCGGACAAGCGAAAAACCTTCAAAATTCAAAAAATCCGTGTACTTCTCCCGGACAAGCGGGAAACCCTCAAAATTCAAAAGTTCGTGTACTTCTTCCGGACAAGCGGGAATTTCAAAAATTCGAAAATCCGTGTACTTCTCCCGGACAAGCGGGAATCCTTCAAAATTCAAAAAAAAATCCGTGTACTTCTCCCGGACAAGCGGGAAACCCGAAAATTTGAATTTTTCATGAAAATCCGTGTACTTCTCACGGACAAGCGGGAAAACCCAAAAATTTAAATTTTTCATAAAAATCCGTGTACTTCTCGCGGACAAGCGGGAATCCCGAAAATTTAAATTTTTAATGTAAGTCCGTGTACTTCTCCCGGACAACTCACCTTTTTTGCTGGTGATTTCATCGGCCTCTTTTTCGCTAACTTCTCCTGGCGCAACAATAGTCATCCTGTAGCAAAAATGAATTTTTTTCGGCAAAAAATGAACGTTTTCACGTTCACGTGGCACAAATTCAAAAAATTTCAAGAATTTTCGGAAAAAAACGTGTCTTACCCCAAATAAACGGCCACAAAAACGGCTATCGCTTCAAAAATCATGTCACACAACCACCAACCACAAAACCACAAAAACACAACAGTTAGCCTAAATATACAAAACGATGAGGAAAACGGAAAAGAAGAAGAAGAAGAAGAAGGAAAAGTGAGGACGAAAAAGGCGGGCTGGTGAGAGTGAAGAGACGACAGACACACACATATTGCCGGCGTTTCTCGGAAAATACTAGTGAAAAAGAGTTGTTTTTTCTTTTGCGGTGAATCATTTGCACTTGTACTTTTTTAGCTACTAAAAATGAAGCTTATTTGAAACTCCAATTAATTTTGGGCTACTGTAATGATCAAAGGCGCGTTGATTTATTGCGAAATATCTTGCAGCGATGATGAAAATGTGTGTACTTCTCCCGGACAACGCTCAAAAATAATTTTTTTTTTCGCAACAGCACTTTTAAATAGCAAAAATTCAAGTTTACAGAATGTTTGTCGATGATTGTGAAACACATTTCAACACAAAATGTTTGTATGGAGTGCTGGGCGTGGAGAAGACTTGTACTAACTCGGAATGTAAGTTTTTATTGAAAAAATAGTGGTAAACATCAAATTTCAGTGAAAAAAGCGTATTATAAACAGTCTATGCGATGGCATCCGGATAAATCAAGCCTGGAGCAGGAGAACAAGGAATTGTATACGATTAAATTTCAAATTTTGAATAAAACCTACACGATTTTAAGTGATAAGGAGAAGCGAGCGATTTACGATGAAACCGGCAAAATTGCAGATGAAAATGAGGAGACAACGCAAGAGGAAATGATGGAAGCTTGGAGAAAAGTGTTCAAAAAAGTCACCAAGGAAGACATTGATAATTATATGAGAGAATTCGAAGGATCCGCTGAGCAAAAGCGGGAACTAATCGAAAAATATGAGGAATTTGATGGGGATTTTGAGAAGATTCAGGAATATGTTTTGGGAGAGAATTTAAAGGAGATTTTGGATGAATTAATTGCGAATGGGGAATTGAAAGCGACGAAGAAGTATAAATCATCGACGAGTTTGAAGAAGCAAAAAAGTCGAAAATTACGGGCTGAAAAAGAGGCGGAAGAAGCGGAGAAGGTTTTGAGGGAAATGGAGGTGAGATTTTGCTCTAGAGCTAGAGCTTTTATAAAAAAAATTTGGGGAAAAATTCATTAATTCTTTCTACAAAAGCTAAAGTTTAATCAAATGGCTGTAAAAGTTTTAGAAAACAACATCTTGTGACTGTTTTAAATTAAAATAGCTTTTAACCTTAAAAGTGGAGAAAATATTGCGAAATCTTCTAGAAACTGAATAAGAAAACAGTGTAGTCTTATCGAAATCTCGCCATTTCGCAATTGAAAATTGTTTTGAAATAGGAGAAAAATAATGCAAATTGACCTTTCAAGGTTGAATTTTAGTGGATTTTATGCGAAAAATATTGATTTTTCTGATGCAGAACTTTGAAAATCGGATTATTTTTATTTTTAGATCTCGAAAACTTGCCCTAACTTTTCAGAATTGAAGAATTAGCCCAACTTACGAACTTTCTTGAAAAATAAGCCAAATCAATTCGACCTAAGCCTAACGAGCCTAATTTTAACCTTAAGCCTAACCTAAATTTAGATTTGGGCCGGTTTTGTGTAGATTTTGAGAAAAGGGATCATCCAGAACCTTTCAGGCCCATTTTTCAAGCTTCTAGGCCTATTTTTCAAGTTTTTAGGCCCATTTTTCAGGCTTCTGGATATATTTTTCCTCAAGCTTCTAGGCCCATTTTCCAGGCCCATACGTCGCATGCCAGGGGTAATCGACCCGTGGAGGGGTTATCCCTCCCACCAAATTTTGGAGGGGGTTGTCACTTGAGATAAAAAATTTCATGAAATTTTCTCAGTTTTGATGATAATTTTCTCTACATATTCTGCCATAGGGATACCAATTTAAGCCTCAAAAAAGTTTCCACATAAATATCTAATTAAATTAGAGGTAGCAGGGCTTTATTAGACCCTTATCAACTATGCTCCACAATAAAATCCAAAGAAATAAGCCTAGTATCAGAATGGGACCACTATGTCATTTTTCACCTCTGTTATCAAAGAACACAGGGGTAAAAAGTCACTAGGGGTATCTAATGAATACCAATGAATATTAGACTTGAGTTAGGGGTGATTTACCTTAATTAGGTTCTTATCAACTATTTCCAAGAAGGGAAAATGTATTAATTTCAAAAACATTAGTTTGACCCTGAATCAAACCACCAACTCTGAGAAAAAAATATGATCGTAATTGTAGATTACATTACTATTCTGTGGATCGCTCACTTTTAATTTCATCCAAGAGATTAGTTTTAAAAAGGTCATATCAAATCTAGCTAGTTAAACGAGACACTAAATGAATCAAATTGTGCAACCACATTGATCCATATTAATTTTGAATAACTCTACATTGTCGCTTAATCATAATTTTTGCAAATATTACAGTCAGTTGATATGTGAAAAAATGACATAGTGGTCCCATCTTGATACCAGGCTTATTTCTTTGGATTTTATTGTGGAGCATAGTTGATAAGGGTCTAATAAAGGCATGCTACCCCTAACTCAAGTCTAATATTCATTGGTATTCATTAGATACCCCTAGTGACTTTTTACCCCTGTGTTCTTTGATAACAGAGGTGAAAAATGACATAGTGGTCCCATCTTGATACCAGGCTTATTTCTTTAGATTTTATTGTGGAGCATAGTTGATAAGGGTCTAATAAAGGCATGCTACCCCTAACTCAAGTCTAATATTCATTGGTATTCATTAGATACCCCTAGTGACTTTTTACCCCTGTGTTCTTTGATAACCGAGGTGAAAAATGACATAGTGGTCCCATTCTGATACTAGGCTTATTTCTTTGGATTTTATTGTGGAGCATAGTTGATAAGGGTCTAATAAAGGCATGCTACCCCTAACTCAAGTCTAATATTCATTGGTATTCATTAGATACCCCTAGTGACTTTTTACCCCTGTGTTCTTTGATAACAGAGGTGAAAAATGACATAGTGGTCCCATCTTGATACCAGGCTTATTTCTTTAGATTTTATTGTGGAGCATAGTTGATAAGGGTCTAATAAAGGCATGCTACCCCTAACTCAAGTCTAATATTCATTGGTATTCATTAGATACCCCTAGTGACTTTTTACCCCTGTGTTCTTTGATAACAGAGGTGAAAAATGACATAGTGGTCCCATTCTGATACTAGGCTTATTTCTTTGGATTTTATTGTGGAGCATAGTTGATAAGGGTCTAATAAAGGCATGCTACCCCTAACTCAAGTCTAATATTCATTGGTATTCATTAGATACCCCTAGTGACTTTTTACCCCTGTGTTCTTTGATAACAGAGGTGAAAAATGACATAGTGGTCCCATCTTGATACCAGGCTTATTTCTTTAGATTTTATTGTGGAGCATAGTTGATAAGGGTCTAATAAAGGCATGCTACCCCTAACTCAAGTCTAATATTCATTGGTATTCATTAGATACCCCTAGTGACTTTTTACCCCTGTGTTCTTTGATAACAGAGGTGAAAAATGACATAGTGGTCCCATTCTGATACTAGGCTTATTTCTTTGGATTTTATTGTGGAGCATAGTTGATAAGGGTCTAATAAAGGCATGCTACCCCTAACTCAAGTCTAATATTCATTGGTATTCATTAGATACCCCTAGTGACTTTTTACCCCTGTGTTCTTTGATAACAGAGGTGAAAAATGACATAGTGGTCCCATTCTGATACTAGGCTTATTTCTTTGGATTTTATTGTGGAGCATAGTTGATAAGGGTCTAATAAAGGCATGCTACCCCTTACCCAAGTTCAAAATTCACGATTTGCCTCATTGATGCAAATTCTGAGCTTAAGCTCAATAAAATTGTAATTTTCAGATTTCTATAGCTGGAAATAAAGAAAAAAATGAAAAAAAAAAGGGGGGGGGGTTATCCCTATCGTCGAAAATTTTCAAAAATAGGGGTATGCACTGGCGGATTTGAAACAGGGGTATGCGACGTATGTCCAGGCCTCTAGGTCTAATTTTCAGAGGCTTCTAGGCCTAATTTTCAGGCTTCTGGGTTTATTTTTGGCCAAGCCTTAAGGTCCATTTTCCTCAGGCTTCTAGGCCTATTTTATGACAAAAATTGAATTTTTTAAAATCTCGTAAATCATTCAACCTGAAAAATACCTTAGAATCTCTTTTTCAGGCCCAATTTTCAGCATTTTAGGCCCAATTTTCAGCCTTTTAGGCCCATTTTCCAGGCTTCTAGGCCCAAAATCCCCCTGTATTTTCCAGGCTTCCTCGTCTTCCTCCCTCGAATCAATGATTTTGGCGCGAAACGCGAAACGTGGCGCCCAAATGGACTCGTTCTTCGACTCACTCGCCGAAAAATATGCGCCCAAAAAATCCAAGAAAAAATAATTTTCCCTTATTTTTTAACATTTTTCCCCAAAAAATCTCACTCACTTTTTCTTTACTGGTAACCAAGTTTTCTCCAAGTTTGTCAAAAAAAAATATTTTCGCTTTTTTTGGTTATTGAATTTGTGACGGAAACAAGTTAGCCTAACTTTTTCATATTTTTCTCGCGAAGCTTTCCCCATTTTTCACCCAAAGTTTTCAGAATGTCGGATTTCGAGGAGACAATTCGTAGATTGCAATCCGAAAAAGGAGTTTCGGGAATTATTGTGGTTGATGTGGCTGGTGAGTGAATAATGCGATTTTTTGAGCCAAAATTTGAGGAAAATTATGAAATTTGAGCTTTGGAATGTTTAAAATTGAAATTTTTGTTTAAAAAACGTGGCAAAATTGAACTTGAAAAAAATCAATTTTTGAAATTAAAATTTTTTGTGATGATTTTTTGCCACGTGGAAAAATTTGATAAAAACTTGAAATTTTGGAGCAAACTTTTTGAAAAAATTAACAAAATTTGTATGAAAATGTTTAAATTTTAGAAAATTTCAAAATTTTTGAATATTTCTCATGTGGTGATTCAAGTCGAAAAAAAATAATTTTAAAAAAAACATTTTTTATAAAAAATTTCGATTTGAATTACCTCATTTAAATTCCAGAAATTTTGAAATTTTCAAATTCCGCGCTCAATTCTATTATCTAGAAATTTCGGCGCGAAATTTTTAAAATTCAAAATTATGCAGATTTGGAAACATTTCCAAATTTTATAATCTAGAAATTCTAAAGTTTCGAGAAATTTCAAATTTCACCTCAAAAAAATGCCACGTGGCACATTTTGAGCCAAAAATCGTGCTATTTTCAATTTCCACGTCATCACATCCTTCAAAAACATCACATTTTCTGCAGGCCGCGTAATCCACACAACAATGGACAACGACGCAACCCAATTACACGCCGCCTTTCTCCAACAATTGACCGAGAAAACGAAGACAACAATTCGCGAGCTCGACTCATCCAACGATTTGACATTTTTGCGACTTCGAACCAAGAAAAACGAGATAATGATTGCGCCGGACAAGGATAATGTGATTTTGGTGGTCAAGGATTTGAGTTAAGTGTAATTAATTAATTAATTAATTATTATTTTGGTATATATAAATAAGAATAAATAAGAAAGAAACAGAAGAAACTGGATTGATGAATGAATAATAATAATAAATGACAAGAGATCAGAAGCTCTTGAAATAATAATATAAAACAGGGAAGAAATTCAGAGAGAAAAACAAGTTAGCAAAACTTCCAGCGATTTCCGCACTCCAAACAAAACACGAAAGTTGTCATTGGTTCGTCGGAGGAACGAGTTTGAAGTTGGGTGTAGGTGCAGTTCTTTTTGCCACATTTTCCGCATTTGAACATGTCTGATGGAGTTCCTGAAGAGAAATGAATTTGTTTTTTCAATCAAAAATTCCCATAAATTTTATTTTATTTTATTCAATTTTGAATAGGAAACCCATGAATTTTCGGCCAATTTTAATTAAATCCCATAAATTTTCATGAAGAATTTTTTTAATTTTGGAGAAAAAATCAAGGAGAGAAATTTGAGGTTTTGGGGGAAAATAAAGCTGAATTTTAACTGGATATTGGAATTTTCAAAAATTTAAACCAACAAATTTAAATTTTGAACTTTTTTCGAATTCAAGTGTTCATAAGGCACAGCTACTTGAGAAGTAAGATTTATAGGCGCGACTCCTTGAAACAGTGGCTCTCAAGGGACGACTCCTAGCCAAAGGGTATATCAAGGGGTGACTCCTTGACACAGTGGCTCTCAAGGCACCATTCCTAGCCGTAGAGGCTCTCAAGAGGCCGCTCCTTGACAGAGGGTATCTCAAGGAGCGACTCCTAGCCGTAGTAGCCCTCAAGGGGCCACTCCTTGTTACGGTGATTATCTAGGCGCCGCTCCTTGACACAGTGGCTTTCAAGGGGCGACTACTTGCCAGAGAGGCTCTCAAGGCGAAACTCCTTGCCACGATAATTATCTAGGTGTGACTCCTTGTCACAGTGACTCTCAAGGCTCAGCTACTTGACAAAGAAGTTTTCAAGGCGATGTGCCTAGCCAGAGAGGCTCTCAAGGAACAAATCCTTGACACAAAGGCTCTCAAGGCGCAACTCCTTGTCACAGTGGATCTCAAGACTCGGGTGCTAGACACAGTGTCTCTCAAGGCTCAGCTACTTGACAAAGAAGTTCTCAAGGCGCTGTTCCGAGCCAGAGAGGCTCTCAAGGTGCGAGTCCTTGTCACAGTGGCTCTCAAGGAGCCGCTCCTTGACACAGTGGCTCTCTAGGCTCAGCTACTTGAAAACTATGCTTTCTAGGCTTGACTATTTGACCCACAAGTTCCAAATTCCCCTCTCAAAACCACTCACCAGTTTGCACACTCATTTGATGCTCCAAAATACTCTCCTTCGTGAATTTATCCCTCATATCACGAATTTCGGGACTCGCCATCTCTTCGCTCGTCATCATCGCAAACTTTTCCGCCTTCACAACCCCAGTCAAAACATTTTCACGAAGCGCTCCATTTTTCTTGTCGCGAAGATTGAAGACACGACTACGCACAGCCGCCGAGTATTTTTGATTTGTGTCACGGTGGAACTGGAAAATATCGGGATTTAAATTCAGATTTCAGAATTAATTCCGTCAAAATCCTTACCGTGTACAATTTCTCTTCAATATTCACCGCCAAATCTTCCGGATCCAAAGTTCCCTGTGGCAATTCGCCATTTCTCAGCGCAGATAAAAGAAGTTGCGCGGATTTCAGGCGAATCTCGTCATCTTGCAAATGTCTTGGCGGGAAAGTTGCGCTTTCGAAATCGGCAACCACCGAAACATTTTTCGCCGAATCGGTTGATTGTTGTTTTTTGACCGGTTCCGGCTTCTTCTCATCCACACTTTCTTTACGCGATTTTTTTGAGGCTGGCGCCTCTTCATCTTGCGGCTTTTCGCGTTTTGAAGCTGAAGATGATGATGATGGTTCGATGGATGGGGAAACCAACGATTTCCATTCTTTGATCAGATTCTTGGCGCGTTTTGCGACTGTTTCGTCACTGACTTTTTTGCGGAGATTATTGATTTTGACGCCGATTTGAGTTTTCTGAAAGAAATTCACAATGGGAAACATTTTTGTATTCAAAAACTTACAGTGATGATGTCCACAGTGATCGGAAGTTTCGACAAACTCTCCAGCAAGTTCATGCAATCTTCTCTCTGCAAAAAACCAATTATTCATTTTTTTTCTCTCTTCTTCCAAAAACCCTACCGATTCCAAACCATTTTGAGAAATCGCATCGACTTTCTCCGCAATCTCCTTAACTTTTTCGATTGTCGCCATGTTTCCTGCAAAAATATCGTAGAGTTTCCGTGGAAACGAGGAAAAAAAGCCGAAAATGAAAATTTGTGCGCGTCAAATTAAATGTGTAGAGTACAGTACACTGCGACGCACAAATGCACACACAAAAAATATTTTATTTCATTTTTTGCGTGTTCCACTTTTGAGCACCAAAAAAACAAGAAAAAATGCAGAGCAAGATGGTATTTTGGATTAATATAGTGTTACAAATCGATTCGATCGTTGGATAGAATGGGAATTTTTACAAAAAACAAGAAATCGAAGGACAAGAAGAATAAAAAGGAAAAAACCAAGAAAACCGGGAAAAAGGAGAAGAAGAAGTCGAAAAAGAAGCAACATCAGAATAGTGAGAGTAGCAGTAGTAGTAGCGATAGTGACAAAAAGCAAAAAGGAATACCAAGTAATCAAAATGAGGTGCAATTGGTGGATCAGAAGTTTAAAATGGCTGGAGCATTGCAAAATAAGCCGAAGAATCCGGTGGATTATCCAAAGAAATTGATGCAATCTGAATATCGACAAATGTTCAATACAAATAGTAATCTTTCGGTAAATATTTGAAAGCGGGGACTATTTAGAAATACAATCCAATCTGAATTTCAGAACGAGGAATGCATGCTGCTCGATGATTTTCTCAAGAAAAAAGCCGAACTTCGATCATCTGATCTAATGGTGGTTTGTGAGAAATTGGTGGATGAGGAGAAGAAATCGAATCGCTTGAAAATTGTCACCAAATACGACGAGGGCAGATTTGGCGCGATTTATGTGGTGCAACGCGAGGCGGCTGTTGAGTGAGAAAAAAAAATCGCTAAAATCAAAATTGATTTTTTTTTTCCAGTGACAACGTGGTGGCCAATTCGCCATTTATGATAATGAAGACGGCGTTGAGAAATTTGAGTAGTCCAGAAGTTTGCGCCAGATTGACTGTGAGTTTGCAAAATTGCGGCATGGTTTTCTGAAAGAATTTTTAAGAAAACTATGCCCCAACTTTGCAAAAAGGGGCGTGGCTAAAAACCATGCCGTAAGTTGAAAAATATGACCGGTGTAAAAAATAAAAACCAGTGCAGAATTGAATAAATGAAAAAACATTACTTCCTCAGTCGCGTGCGGCTCTGCGTCGCGGTCAGAAAACAATCATTTATTATCGAAAATCTCATCGGTACCACGCGCTTCATCGAAATAAACACGCAACGCAGACCGCGCCGCGCTACAACACACACACAAAAAAGGGAACGATTCAAATTCCCTCCCTTTTTTGTGTGTGTTGTGGCGCGGCGCGGCGCGGCGCGGTCTGCGTTGCGTGTTTATTTCGGTGGATAATATTTTTCCTTTGCTTCCCGACCGCGACGCAGAGCCGCACGCGACTCACGAAGTTTTATTTTTTAAGTCAGCCATATTTTTCAACTTCCGCAATTTTACGGCATGGTTATAAGCCACGCCCCTTTTGCAAAGTTGCGGCATAGTTTTCCTGTAGAATTTTTTTTAAACCTCATTTTTTCCAGCGTGAAATCCGCATTCTCACTCAATTCTGCTCTGCCGACACCTCAGGCCGTCGTATTCCAACAATTCAACTAGAAGGTCGTGTCCTCGGCGTGCCATTCTTTGTAATTCCACTCATGGATGTCAACCTCGAAAAATGTCGTGAAGACATCAATGGATTCTTCTCGCCACCCGCCGCCTTCTATATTGCACAAGAAGTGCTGATGGCCATGAAATTCATCCATTCTCGCGGTTTTTTGCATCGCGATATCAAACCCACGAATATTGTTTTGAATGCGGCCAACAGAAATCAATGGTTTTTGATTGATTTTGGAGAGTGTGTGCAGGCCAATAAGAGTATTGGGTTAGTCTAGCGGCTAGACTAGACTCTAGCCGCAAAATTGGTCCCAAAACGAAAATTTTTTTGCAGCCAAAGTCCACCGGATGGCTACGGTCTTCCATTTATTTCCCGCGAAACTCACGAACTCCTCAATACCGTTGGCAAAAATACGTTTATTCAAGATTTGGAATCGTGGTTTTATGTTTTTCTGGACATGTAAGCGCGCTCGAACACGCAACCGCGCCGCGTTTCTGGTAGTTTTCGACACGCTGATCATGATTCCGTTGTCTAAAACTTCAAAGCTCGACTCCTAACATGAGTTATGACGTGGCAAACTTCAAAAAGGGACAGAATTCGCCTTCAAAATTATTTTCATGAAAATCAAATAGCATAGCGTTGTTCAGGATTTTCATGAAAATAACCTTGAAGAAATTTTCCAACTTTGTCACGTCATAACTCATATTAGGAGTTGGGATTTGCAGTTTTAGACAGGGGGATCGTGATCAGCGTGTCGAAAACTACTAGAAAATATATATTTTATCAAAAATCTTGATTACAAGTTGAAAATTTAGAAACTTCAAAAATGTGTTTGTTGTGCGACGCGACGCGGTCTGCGTTGCGTGTTATTTCGGTAGAGCGCGCTTACATGTCCATATTTTCCAGGATCCGCCCACTTTCATGGCGTGAACTTATCGTCCTCCCAAAGGTTCATAAAATCAAGACAAAATTCTGGGAAGATGTTGAAGCTTCACTCCCCTCTTCCGATTATCCACCACAAGTTTTGGCGATTGCGAAGCTGTTGAGCGGCTCCAGAAGACCTGAGCCACCATATAAAGAGTTTTCGCAACTTTTGGAAAGTGGATTTGTGTCGTTGAAGTATGTTGGGAATTGAATTGATCTCATGAAAATCCATGTTTCAGAGAATCTGACTGGAAAGCTGATTGGTTGAATCGAGAAGAGGCGGCGATTCGCAACAAGCCGCTCAAAGAGCGATATGAGGCGCAGAAATCGACGCTGGCAGATTCGCAGCGAAAGAAGGTGGAGAAATCGACGAGAAACAAGTCGATTTATTGTGCAGTGACTAATGTGCCATCGGAGGACGATGTTGGGAAAACGGCGAGAGGACAGAAATCGAAAACAAGTGAGGGGGGAGGGATTTGGGAGGGGGGGTGTACTAAAATATAAATATTTACAGAAATATTCAAAAATTTCGAAATTTTGACATTTTCATACAAATTTTATCATAATTTTATTAATTTAAAAAAAATTTTTCTAAAATGTAAGAATTTTTATTAAATTTTTTAGCTGAAAAATGGTTTGGGAAGATTCTGAAGCCTATTTTCAATAAAAACCTGAATTTCAGTTTTTAGAAGTCAAAGAGTTTTTAGAGCTGAAAAATAGACATTTTCATCAAAATTTTATTATTCAAGTCGGATTTTTTACGTTTCAAAAAATATATATTTAAATGTTAGATGTATAAAAATCATTCTTTTTTTTATGATTCGCATTCAAATCGAAAAAAAAACATTTTTTGACAAAAAATTTCGATTCGGAAAATGTCACAAAAAAATGAAAAAAAAAGTAAAAAAAAAAATAGGAATTTAAGAATTTTCATCAAAAGTTAATTTTTTGGAAAATTTGATCCAAAATTTAAAAATTTTCATCAAATTTTTCCACGTGGCAAAATCTTTTTTTGAAAAAAATTTTGAATTTCAAAAATTGGTTCCTAAAATTTTTGAAAAATTTAAATTTTTGCAGATAATTCAATGTATGGTTCGGCTCCTGTTGCAAAACGTGAGTTTAGAAAAACAAATTGTAGTTTGGGTTACTGTAGTTTACAGTACTCTTTGCAGTTCTCTAGATTACTGTATATTATATTTTCCAAAACTACAGTACCTCTAGAATATTAGCTGATTGAAAAAGTTGGAAAAAAAAACTACAGTACTCTTTGCAGTTCTATAAATTTTTCAGCGTCCTCCACAAAAATGGCGAAAATCGTTGAGGATGATCCGCTGCCGACGAAAGCTGCCTCAAAAATGCGCCAAAATCTATCGGTCTATATGGATGTGAATCAACAAGTCAAAGCGAAAACACCAAATCAATCGAATCGCACAAAAAGAAAGTATAAAACCTGATTTTGTCTTGCCACGTGGCAATTTCCAGAATAAATTTTGTAGTTTGATCATCATCGAATTTTGCAAAAATTTCAATTTTTCAATTTTAATTTCCAAAATTTTACAAAAAAAAGGAAAAAAATCTGCGAACCCTTGAAAATACTTGAAATTTCATAAGTACTTTATTATTTTTGCTAACTAACTAATAAAATTTCTGTTTTCATTTTCGAAAAAATGTTGAAATTCCTATTGATTTTGGTGCCAATTTTTTTGGCGCAAGATTTGCCGAAAGCACCAAATATTTATAAATGGTTGGAGCAGAATAGTTATATTTGTGAGTTTTTTTGGGGTGGGTACTGTAGGGGGTACTGTAGCTTTATATTTGCAGTTTGGAAGAATTTTTGGAGTACTGTAGCGAGTCGTACCTAAAAATACATTACTGTTCTGAGAGTTTTTATTGAAAACATTTTGCAGTTCGGGTTACTGTGGATTACAGTACTCCTTGCAGTTCTAGAAATTTCAATCTCTTCAAAAATAGTTTTTTTTTTCAAACTACAGTACGCTTTGCAGTTTGAAAGAGGTACTGTAGTTTTCGGCGAAAATTCTGTAAATTTTTGCAGTTCGGGTTACTGTAGTCTGGGAAACTACAGTACTCTTTGCAGTTCTAGAAATTTCGATATTTTCAAAAATATAGTACTCTTGTAGTTTTTCCAAACTACAGTACCTCTTGTAGTTCGAGAGGTACTGTAGTTTTCGGCGAAAATTCTGTAAAATTTTGCAGTTTGGGTTTCTGTAGAATGACAACTACAGTACCTTTTGCAGTTCTAGAAATTTCAATTTTTTCCAAAAATATAGTACTTTCGTAAATTTGCCTGGATTACTGTAGGTTTCCCAAACTACAGTACCTCTTGTAGTTCGATGGGTACTGTAGTTTTTCGAAAATTCTATGAATTTTGCAGTTCGGGTTACTGTAGGTTACAGTAATCTTCTCTGTTCTGGAATTTTGAATCTCTTCAAAAATAGTTTTTTCAAACTACAGTACTCTTTGCAGTTCGGAAGAGCTACTGTAAAACTTCTTGAATCGGGATATTCCAAATCAAATCTACAGTACTCTTTGCAGTTCTAGAATTTTCAATGTTTTGAACAAAACCATGTGCAAACTACAGTACACTCTTGCAGTTCTGCCAACTCTAAAAATTCCCACAATTTTTTTTTGCAGGCGATCCATCGCTAACCAACAAACGAAACCCCAAATTCCTCACATTATTCGAATCGCACCGTATCAAATGTTCGTGTGGAGACCCATTAAAATCGAAAGCCGCGTGTGCTCGTAAATCGACACGAGACAAGCCGCATTGTGTCAGATGTGGGTCTTGGCACGAAAAATTTTTTAAAAAAGATTTTTTGAAATTTACAGTACCCGACACGTGTATGAAAGAATATACCGTGATTTTTGCCAATGCTGGAAATCGCATGAAGAATTCGAAGATTCCAATCAAGAATTTAACGCGAAAAAATCACAGATCAAAAATCAATCATCACAAAGCACTGAAGAATCAAAAAGGCGAAAAAGAAGTTGCCGAAAATATTTTCGATTCGACCGATTTCCACTAAATTGAGAATAAAACATTGATTTTGAACAAAAAAACAAGTTGCAAACAACACTCCGCCTTTTTGCACTTGCCCCTATTTTAGCGACCGCGCGGTTTTTTTATTTTATTTTTTCATTTTTTGTTTCTCTGTTTTTTTGTTTAGATTTAATAAATTTGGTGATGAAAGATGTTTTGAAGTGAGAATTTACTGTTTTTTTATAGGAGTATTATGTGTGGCTTCAAATTGCTCGCAAAATTGAATTGTGGCGAGGATGCTAATGGAAAGCGCGTGAAAAAGGTTTGTCTTTTTCAAGTTTTATCTCAAAAAAAATTATATACCGTAGTTGTTTCGTCGCGACGAGACCCTGTGTGTGTTTCAGCTGTTGCGCCTTTCAAAAACTAAGGTATTTTTTGTTTTTTTTTCCGGATTTTCGAGGTTTTCGAGATTTCTGCATGAAAAAAGGCAGAAATCAACCGGTCTGACCCTGTTTTCAGCAAAAAACACTATAAAAAACCATTTTCAAGTGTTTTATTGAGGAAAAACCTATTTTTTGGTTGAAAATTCCAATTTTTGTTGTTTTTCTTTTTTTTTCAACATTTGATTTATTGGTTTCTCGATTTCTGGGGGTTGGATAACAAATAATGATCAAAATAAATAAATTTGAGAGAAAAATTTATCATTTTGAAGAAAAACTAAAGAAAATCATGAACTGCTGCTGCTATCACATGGTTTTGACCATTTTTCTGATTTTTCAACAAGTTCAAGGTGATTTTTGGGGGTTTCTAGGCCACGGCCTAATTTTCGGGTTAAGGTTTCTCGGCCACCGAGGTTCATTTTTTGTCTAGAATTTTCGAAAATAGATTTTCTAGGCCACGTTTTTTTTCAAATCCTAGGCCATTTTTCATTTTTTCCCGCGCACCTGAAAACTGGTTTTTGCCATTCCTTCGATCTTGACCAAAATTTTCAAAACCATGCCTTTTTCAAAATTTTTGGATTTTCAGATTTCCCATGATTTGGGCTCTCTGGAAATGTAATTTTTCCTGGGGAATTCTGATTTTGAAATGTAGAAAATAGAAAAATTCAATTTTCTTGAGGGAGAGAAACATTTTTGTTTGTTTGTTTTTGGAGAGACGCAGAGAAAAATAAGAAAACTGGTTTTAGTTTTTTTTTTTTGAAAAAGAAAATTTCTAGGCTACAGTCTACTTGATCGTGTTTATCATAAAAACGATATTCGAAATCAACTCCCGGATTTTCGAACTTCAGACGCTGATGTTGGAATAAGATCGGTAAGAAATTCCCTGAATTTTCGGGCTGAAAATATGATTTTCAGCATCATTTTGTTGGAACTTTTCGCGGAAATCCCATCAAAACTCGACAAAATCATGTTTTTATTGATGATAATGGGTGAGTTTTTGAATTTTTGGAAGAAAATTTGAATTTTCAATGAAAAATGGATAGAGCTTGAAATTCTTCATATAAATTTCTCCTGAAAAACGTTTAAAAATGAAAACGCGAAAAATATATTTTTTTTAATTATATACCGTAGTTGTTTTGTCGCGGCGAGACCCTGTGTGTATTTCAGCTGCTGCGCCTTTCAAAAACTACGGTATTTGTTTGTTTTTTAACGGATTTTCAATTTTCTGCATGAAAAAAGGTAGAAATCAACTGTTGATAACAAATAGAAGAATGGAAATAGTCTAACCCTGTTTAAAGCAAGAAACACTATAAAAAACGATTTTCAAGTGTTTTATTGAGGAAAAACCTATTTTTTGGTTGAAAATTACGAAAATCGAGTTCTAATTCACTTTTCTCCTGTTATTTTAAGTTGAATTTCTCGTTTTGATCAAAAATAGCCACCAAATTTGGTGCAAAACACACCAAAAACCCCGAAAATCCCCCACAAAAACAACGCACTCTCGCCCCGCCCTCTCCACACACAAAACATGGCAGCGCGCACAACCCGTCGTGCGTCGGTGAACGCACACATTTATATTTCGGCGAGTGGGCGACTCATAAACTTACCTGGTTGGGGATACTCCGCGATCAACAAGGCGGCGTTCCTATGGCGAGGCCTATTCATTGCACTTTCGAATGGGCTGACCTGTATGGCAATCTCGAGTTGAGATTCGCCAACAACTAAATTTTTGCGTTCTTCGGGAACTTCGGTTCCTGAAAAGTTCTGGACTCCAGAAAAATTCTGGAAGTAGTTCACTATTTTTTGCAGAGTTCCCATCCCACTTCTTCCATTCCACGACTTCTCCAAAGAATCTCCGGAGCCCATCAAAAATTCCCAACTCATGGCACATCATCTGAATCGCCAACACAAATTGAGAAGGCTCGGGGCGCATATTTGAAATTTGTAAATATTTATTTTTGAATAAATGGAAAAAGTCCGAATTTTCTACGTTTCAAAAAAATTTTGTTTACTTTCCCCCAATTTTTCTTGCAAAAAAACTCGAAAAATCAAAAACAAGTTGTTACTTAAATTAGAATCCATTGTGTTTTTTAGCCGAAAAATCGAGATTTTTGGTGTCAACTTGGATTTTTTTAGTTGTGCTCTCATAAAAAAATCCACCCACCCACATATATTTTCCCCCACTTCTGATTCATAATATTAATATTATTCAAAAAGAAAAAGAGGAGAAAGTTGAGATGAAGCTGAAAGCGAAAAGCTATAATCCGCTCGACTGACTGATTTAATACGAATATCAATTTTTCTCAGCTTTTTATTTTTTTCTTGAGAGCAAAAATTCTTGATGTGGATTTGTCACATTTTCTTTTCTTTTTTTTTTGAAAAAAATTGAAAAATAGGAAAAAAACATGAAAAAATTCAATTTGTATTCTGAAGGTGTTCGTTTTCATTTTCTTTTTTTTCTATTTTTTTGCTTCTGGAAAATAGAGAATTTTTCAGAAAACCCTGCCGCAAAATTGCAGATTCTTAAAACATAGATCAAAATTTTGGCGCCAAAAAAATGGGTGGAGATTCGTCATTTTTGGCACCAAAACTCAGCCTTTGATCTTCCAACCCCGAAAAAAAACTCTTTTTTTTTCAAAAAAAAATCTGCGCATGATCTCACTAATTTGATAAAGTTTGCTGAAACCGAAAATTTTTCGATTTTTTTCTGAAACCAAAAATATTTATCTAAATGATTTTCTTGAATTAATAATTCATTAACTCTTCCGCCTTCTTCTTCTTCTTGTTTTGTGAAAAAAGTTCCGAAAACATTTTTCCTCCCCAAGTTTTTTCTAACTGAAAAATGAAAAAAAAAAAGAAATTTCCGGCCACATTTCCTGAAACACTTTCGGCTTTTAGATATTTTATATTTTATTAGCTCAATTTATTTCATTTTCATCCATGGAAAATAAATTTCAAATATTTTTTTCGCCTTCCTTTCAAATGTGACACTGACATATTGACACATTTTTATGGTGCGGTGAAAAAAAAATAGAAAAAAATAGATTATATTTGAATTGAATTAGATTTTCAGACGAAACATCTGAAATTCTGGGCTCCACCAGATTTTTTTCTTGTTCCATTTATCGAACATTTGCGTGAAAGAAAAATAGGAGCGCGTAGCCGAGTGGGAAACACGCGCGCTTTTGAATCATTAGGTCATGAGTTCGATCCCGCGTCGAGGCAATCTTTTTTGTCAAATTTTTTAATTTGCATCCAACGCTTTTTCAAGTTTCTGGCAGGCTTTTGAGGGCCTTGGGAAAATTCTAGGCCCAGAGCCCCACCCCCTTTTTCTCCGACTACAGTGTTATGTTTTTGTCTTTTCCAGTTAGTTAGCTCAAATCACTTTTTCATCGAAAAAAAGATTATCATCTTCTCCCCTCTTTGACGTCTTCTTTTCTCTTCGCGCAAAAAGAAAAAAAAATAAAAAAATAATATAATTTTTTCTCTGAGCGGATATTAGCGCGGATTAGGGACATTCGACTCGCGAATTCAATTTTCATCTATATTTTTTTGCTGCGCGGAGCCAAGAGCCGAGCTGAGGTGATGAAGAGATTAGTTTTTATCGATTTCATCATCATATCTCATTTGCATTTTTTTTCATTTGTTTTATATATTTTTCTCTGAAAAATACAACGGGCCTAGTTTCTAGGCTAGGCTTGGTGGCCTAGAAACCAGGCCCCAATTAGTCCATGGGGTGGCCTAGATCAGATGAGAGGCGAGCGGAAATTTGAATTTCCAGGAAATAACAATCTTGATCATCGCGTTAAGAAGACAGGGCAGGTGATCAAAAATCCCACGCTGGAATTGTAGAAGTTAGGGAAACTTTAGAATTTTATAGTTTCTAGGCACAGAAATGTCCAGAAGCCTAGAAATATTCAGATTCTTACTTAATTTGAGAAGGTTGAATAGGTGGTCTGGCCTAGAATTCTAGAAATTAGAGATCTAGGCGATCGGAATCAGTAGTGTGAATATCAAGTAGCCAAGTCTAGAAAACCTGGTGGTCAAGGATCAGCGCCTTGAGATATTATAAGCCTAGTAGCCGAGTCTAGAAAACCTGGCTGTCAAGGCTCAGCGCCTTGAGAGTCTATCTCTTAAGTAGCCCAGCCTAGAAAACCTGGTTGTTAAGGATCAGCGCCTAGAGAGTCTGCTTTTCAAGTAGCCAAGCCTAGAAAACCTGGTTGTCAAGGCTCGGGGCCTAGAGAGTCCTGTTGTGAAGAAGCCCCACCTAGATAACCAAATTATCTAGTATCCAAGCCTACAAAACCTAGGTATCAAGTAGCCAAGCCTAGGTAGCCTAATTATCAAGTAACCAAGCCTAGAATATCTAGTCCTCAAGTAGCTCCACCTAGACTTCACTTTTTTTTTCTAACTTTATTGATATTTTCCTAAAAGTCATCCGCCAAACTTTGGTCTTTTCATCCCAAAATCCTCCACCCACAACCCAATTTTTTTTATTTCTTCCGTCTTTGTTCTTGTAAGCATGATGTGACTCACTAATGAAGCCCCATCCAAAACAAATTAGATCGCGCTGAACAAATTTTCATTTCTTGCAGAATTCGTTTGAACTAGGCGCGAATTTTTGATGAGTCGTCGTTCAGTTCGCTCATTACCACCCGATACAACTCCAGCTCCTCATGGAGACGTCTGCTACAATGTTGAGGCTAGGGATTATGATTATGAAGCGCTTTTTGAGATGGTTGAAGCTGATTGCGATTGTGGTATTGAGATGCATCTTATTGCACCGGTAAGAATATCGTGAAAACGTTCAGCGAGAAAAAAATTTAAAAAATTAAAATTTTCCAGGCTTGCCAAAAAGTATGTGAACACGTACTTCCACCGTTCCTTCAAATCTCCGAAGACGCTTTATTCGATTATGTGATTCCGGGATTGATTTTGTTTATTGTGTTTTGTGTGGGCACAATTGGAAATGCCATGGTGAGCTAACGTAAAAAAAATAAAAACGAAAAAAAAAAAATTTTTGAAAAAAAAAATTTCCCCCTCTCGTTTATTTTCGTCGCGACGAGACCCTGCTGTTGCGCCTTTCAAAAACTACGGTTTTTTTGTTGTTTTTTTTCCGGATTTTCGATTATTTGCATGACAAAAAAACAGAAATCAACCAGGTTAACCCTGTTTAAAGCAAGAAACACTATAAAAACAATTTTCATGTGTTTCATTGAGGAAAAACCTTTTTTTTCGGTTGAAAATTCGAAAAATTAGTTATAATTCACTTTTCTCAAGTTGAATTCCTCGTTTTTATCAGGAATAGCCACCAAAAACGCTTTTTTTTTGTTGTGAATCAAAGGCGCATCGATTTTTAAAAGATGTGTGTCTCGCCGCGACGAAAGAACTACGGTATATAATTTGTTTTCAAAAAATATTTTTCTCGTTTCCCATTTTTCGGATTTGCGGGCGGAGCAACTTTTAATTTTTTTATTTTGTGAATCACTCAAATTCCCAGGTAATCTTCGTTGTAAATCGTTTCAAAAGAATGCGCAACGTAACCAACGTCTTTCTCGCCTCTCTAAGCACCGCCGACATTTGTCTAATCTGGTTTTGTGTTCCCATAATGTTCATCAAATACACCTCAAATAGCTGGGGACTCGGTAGATTCGCCTGCTATTTCGTCCATTATATTCAACAATTCACATGCTTCTGCTCAGTTTTGACGATGACTATGATATCATTCGAGAGATTTCTGGCTATCGCTTATCCGATGAGGAATATTTGGATATCTTCGATTGGTCGAGCCAAGAAGGCTATTTTGGTTATCTGGATTTCATCGGCGATTTTATCACTTCCGACTGCTCTACGAATTGAATATACAGTTGTGCAAGATGCGAATAATAATGGGACAACAACATATTGGTGTGAAAGAAAAATCCCGCAGAATTTATTCGGTTATGATAGCAATTATCTTGATAAGATTTATGCGGTCTATCAGGTATAACGTTTTTTTAACGTTTAAAAACCAAAAAAGTAATTTACGTAGGGTATTTTTTTCTTAACACATTCCCGACTGAATACAGTGAAGCTAAAACGCATTTTAGTGTCTAGAAATGCTATTTTAAGCTCTTTCAAGCTTTCAAAATCAAATTGTTGATTTTCGAAAATTTTCGAAAAATTTTTCAATTTTTTTCGGGAGATGTGAGGCTTCAGAAGGTCTTAAAATAGTATTTCTGGACACTAAAATGAATTTTAGCTTCACTTTATTCAGTGTGTTAAGAAAATTGTGAAAAATACTGTTCGTAAAGCACTTTTCTAGGTTTTTCAACATTAAAAAAGGTTTTTTACTTCGTAAATAACTGCATTACTCATCAATTATATTCTAAAAGTACAAAAAATAAATATTTTCCAGCTAATCCTCTTGATCCTCTTCCCCGTCTCAACAATGTCAATCTGCTATGCGCGAGTCTCTGCAATCGTATATCGCAGTTCGAAAGATCGTGTGATCCTCTCGCAAGCAATGGTCGCTTTTTCGAAAGCCGCCACCGATGCTGTCACGTTTAGCGGCTATTCTGCGATTCCGATGATAACGACTTCGAAAAATCTGAAGACTGCGAATACGACTATAAATAGCTATACGAAGCATCGAAGTAATCGAGTCGCTGAGGCGAATAAAAAACAGGTGAGAAAGGGGATATATTTGGAATGAAGTTTGAACTTTTTAGGAGGTATGGGTTTCATTTTCTAGAAATTATAAATTTTTTGAAACGTATAAAATTAGGGATGAGCTTGGTCAATCAGTAAAAAAATTCCGAATTAAAGCTGAGACGAGCTGAGAAATTCTTGTGTTTTCAAAATTTCAAATTGCCTCCACGGTTCGGTGTGTGCAAACACTGCGACGCACTTTTGCGTACAGGAAGATTTGAACTTTCACGATATTTCATCTCTATCTTTTGTTTGGTTCAAGTTTAGCCCAGAGGCTTCGTGGGTGGTCTCGGAATAGCTGTGAGACATTTTTTATCCAGTGAAAAATCTTTCTGAAACTTCAGATCCAGACAATTCTGCAAAATTTTGGCTAAAAAATTTTTAATGGTTTTTAATGCTCCTGAACAAGGTATATAAAATCCATGCGATTGATAAAAAAATCATTTTTTAGACAGCTAACATTTAAATATATAATTCTTGAAACGTAAAAAATCAGGGTTGAGCTTAGGTTGTAAAACTGCTTTTGAGATATTTGCAAATATTCTAGTGGAAAATTTTCTGAAACTTCAGATCTAGAAAAAATCCAGGCACACTTCTTCCAGCTCGCTATTTTCTAATCTTCTAAAATTTTGCAGATTGTTCAAATGCTAATCTCTATCGTTGTAATGTTCACATTTTGTTGGCTTCCCACAATTGTCGACGAGCTTTTGACAAGTTTCGGATTTCTTTGTCGAACGTCAAACACTCCACTGCTTCGGAAAATGCGAATGGGGTTCAATTGCCTGGTAATTTTTGAAGCTTGAATTTAATAACAAAAATTTTCTAATTTTTTTTCAGACATATTGTCAATCTTGCATAAATCCGATCCTCTACGCGTTCATCTCTCAAAACTTCAGATCCACGTTTAAAACCGCCTATTCAAGAATGAAAAATCGACTACAGGTGGGGCAATTTCAGCAGAATGTGATTTGAAAAAAAATCTGAAATCCAGGAATCTCTGATTTTAAATTAGCCGATTAACGAAGTTCGGGAACCACGGTATTTTAAAAATTTGTGTGACATTTTTTCCTAGAATGCATGGTTTTGCTAACAGCATTTTTCGAGTGGCTTTTTTTTACAGGGAGCGATGTTTTTGAGCTCAGGGGTGGGGAACCTGGCCTCATGTTGGCTTTGGTGGTAAGAACATAGGCCATGACAGGTTCGCGTGACTAACCTGGCTACCTGACCAAGTTTAGGCAATGTTCAAGGACAGAGTAACATGATGCCATGACATTTTCCCCCACCCCTGGCCTAAACCTTTTCGAAAACCAACCAAAAATTCCAGGGTGTCGAAGAAATGCGGTCACGTATGGGTTCATGTAGTTCTGCAAGTATGATGAGTACTCGAAATCAACACCGCATCTACGGAAGTAGTTTCAACACTCTAACAGTTCCCGGTCGAACAATGATCACACCAAATATGTCAAGAGATGTCTCGCAATTATCCCTCTGCCGGCCAGGTTCACAAATGTCATTCAACCGTTCAAAAAGTCCAATCTCACATGATATGCCATCGACCGCCTTCGGAAGACATCGCCCAAGAAGTCCGACTGATGTGTCGAGAGATTCTGGAAGACCGAGAAGTCCGACTGATTTATCCCAAAGTACAAAACCATCGAGACGATCTTCTTCGATTCGCCCAAGAAGTCCGACAACTGTCTCGCAAATGTCTATGGTTGTTAGATCAAGAAGTCCGACCGGAAATTCTGATTGCTCATCTTTATTGCCATCTAGGTAAGGACCCAGTCGAAAAATCTCGAACAAAAAGTATCGAGTTACATATCATGTTCCTGGGCGTTTGTGTTCTGAACAAACCCGTGTCAAAATTCGAGTGATGTTTCAGAACCCGCTCACCAACCCTCCAATCCACAACTTCTGGCCAATCTCGCGGAAGCATCGAAAGAACCGCTGATCGTTTGAGTGTTCGAGACGCCGTCCGACCAAAAACTCCACCATGCTTTGTCTAAACTACATTTTTAATATTTTTTTCTTGCGAAATATTTATAATAACTCTTTTCTCCCCATATGTTAATCATAAACACCCCGCTCTATACCATCATTGTTTAGAGATAAATTTTATTCAAGTCAAAATATGTATGGATTAATCGGAAGAACACAAAAATCACAGAAGTGGGATAAAATGGGAATCAGACCTGGGAAATTTCACGTTTACGTTTTTTACGTTTTACGGTTTTACGGGGTTTCGCCGTAAAATCCATTTTACGGGTTGCTGTCAAAAAAAACGTTGTTAAAATTATGTTGGAGTTACTAACTTCCAATATTTGAAGAAATTTCTTGATTTTTTCAGATAAAAGTGACAAAATTTTACGAATTTCACGACATTTTACGGTTTTTCAGAACCGTAAAATACTCATTTTACGTTGCCACGTAAAAATTTCCCAGGTCTGATGGGGATGGGGAGATCAAAGTGGGTTAGAATTGCGAGAATTTTCGGATGCTGGCTGGCGATTGGCGACTTTCGACGTTCAGCGAGATTTTTCGGTTCGGGCAAACTGAGACGCGTCTGGAAAAAATCTTTACAGGGTGACCGTTCATTCGAGTTCTACATTTTCAGAACAGAAGTTAGGCTTATTTTAGGTTCTTAAGAAAGAATAAATTTAAGGTTTTAACCCTTTACTCACCTCTCAATATTTTCAAAATACTGAACATGAGCATTGAAGGAATGTTTCCTTCTACATTGTCTCAATTGAGCATCAAAACCATCTCTCATCAACTCGACAATCGAGCAAATCAACAATCTCCACGCTCGACTCGTCTCTTTACTTTGCTTAACTCCATCCTGCTTCAAGATCACCTCCACCATAATCTCCTGAAATCTGTCCCATTCTTGCGAGCTGAAACCGGTCTCCAATTTCAGATTCACGTGATTCGCACCGATTTCACGCAATAGTTCAGTGTCCTGGAAAAAATAATTGGGTTGGGGAACTTTTCTGGGGCACGAAAAAGTGACTCACTACATCACCCTCGATGATTTTGTCGAGAAGTTGTAGGAGATATTTGGCGTGATCGGCGACAGTTCGAACTTGGTTTGGGTTGGTGGAGAGAGAGTAGGTGGCTGATTGGAAACATTGGGAGACGATTGGGCACGTGGATTCGAGCTGGAAATCGGTTGGGATTAAAGTTGAGAAGGAATGCTGAAGAGAAGGCTGGATTTCCGGGTCCCGTGGGCCAGAAACTCTTCCTAACGAACCCTAGGCCTAGCTCTAGTTCATACATGAACTAGGACTCTGAATCCGGAGGGAGGGGCGTTAACTTTAGGTGCATTTTTGGAGGTAGGGCTCTTACCTTTTGAACATTTTGGAGAATTTTATGGCTTTAGAGGCCAAAAACCCAAAAAAATTGGTTAGGGGGTTAACTTTTTGAAAATATTTCCTGGAGGGGTAAACTCAAGGGTCCCCGGATCCACTAATTCATGTATACTCTAGTTTCAGCCTGAAATCTTAATTCTATCTATACCAAGCCAAACGTAAAAAAAACTGGAAACGCGAAAAATATTTTTAAATTAAAGACACATCAGCCACTGGAAAAAACAGATTTCCCGCATTTATTTTCAAATGACAAAAACAGCATGTGCGCTCTATTGCTTCGTTGTGTGCAAACTCTTTCGAAAATCCCGTCGGCTGAGCGATTTCAAAAACAATTATTTTGTTTTTTCACTTTTGCCAGACTCAAAATTTTTTCTTGATTTTTATGAATTCCGATTACTTGAAAGGTGTTGAGAAAGAATAACAAACTCATTTTCTGTTCATTTCTAGTGGATTGTGTGTCTTTAAAAAAAATATACACCGTAGTTCTTTTCGTCGCGACGAGACGCACATCTTTTAAAAATCGATGCGCCTTTGATTCACAACAAAAAATAATTTTTTTTTGTATTTTCCGGTTGATTTCTGCCTTTTTTTCATGCAGAACCCTCGAAAATCCGGAAAAAACAAAAATACCGTAGTTTTTGAAAGACGCAACAGTTGAAACACACACAGGGTCTCGTCGCGCCGAAAATAAACGAGAGCGGGAAATTTTTTTTTCAAAATGTTTTATTTATTTTTCAAATCAACTTTTCCCCCATCACAAACCCTTGAAAAACATCTCGTGAGCACAACGATCAATCCTTTCGTATTAATATGTCGCCACGATCTTCGAACTGTTGACACCTGCAAAATTGACAAAAGTTCAAGAGCTCGCAATTATTTTTCAAGTGTTCATGGATATTTTGCAGACAACAAACCTGTGACGGCGTCAATTGCTGACAAACTGGAATTGTACTTCGTGGCGACAAGGAAATCGAGCCGGCTCGATCGCGAGATGCTCCTCCCGATGTTGTTGTTGATGTTGACATGATGACTTCTAAATTTCTATTTTTATTTTCTGGGGGGGGGGAACAAGATCTTCTTCTAGGGTTCCAATGATCAAATCGAGAGAGAGACTGAAAAAGAGTACGCGAAAAATTGTGCATCTGACATTTGTGTGCAAAATGTCATGAATAATTGTGGGGTTGTTTTTTTTTTCGAAAAATAAAATATGAAATATTTTTTCAGAGAGTTAATAATAGGTGGGGGAGAAAATTGGAGCGGTGATTTTTGGTTGGAAAATAATTTTAACATTACAAATATGATTCAGAATGTCTGGAGGGTGATTTAGAGAGAGGTTAGAGAGCCTAGAGAGCCTATAGAACCCTAAAAAATCCAGAATGCCACGTCACCCAAATCAAGTTATCCTAACTCATAAAAAATATCATCCACATCATCATTTTCATCAACAAAAAAATAAAAAACAGAAAAATAAATCCGAAAAATAATATTTTTGGATAAGGGCGAGCTATTTATACAGTGGCGTGCATTAGTGATGCATATTTGTGTTTTTTGGGTGTAGGAAGGGTGAAAATAGTCAGAATGGGGTGAAATTTGGCAAGAATACGTAAATCAGTCCTAAAAATTATCTAAAATCGAAATATGACTGATTTTGATATTTTGCCACGTGGAAGTTATATGACGTGCAAAATGATGAAAATCGCATTTTTCTCAATTTTTGCAAAACCAACTCCAATTTCTTTTTTGTTCAATTTTTGTTAGTTTTCGAGTTAGACACTATATTTTAGCTCAGTTCAGTTATTTTGGTCCAACAAACCAAGTGTTTTGATAGAAAATGAGATCTATAGTAACCTCCTGAAATGTATACCTTCACTGAAGCATGCCATCGTTTTTGACCATGGCTGAAAGGGTGAAAAATATGTGGTTTGATTGATATTATGGACTCAAATGTTGTCAAACATCATCAAAAACTTATTTGAAAAGTTTCATATGAAAATTGATCAACTTGTTCCAATTTATTAGAGGATATGTAAAAAATGTTAAAATTTCTGTCTAACAAACTGCTCAATTTTCATGCATACCTTATTGAGAGAAGCTTGAAAGTGGGTTTTAATGACCTGAATATGTTCCTTTGATATATCTGAATCAAAGTTATCATAGATTATTATCAGTTTCCAACTCATCTCATAATTTGGTGATGCTACCAATCGATAACGCTCAATTAACGTGGTCGAATGAAAACCAGGCGTTACTAAAACACTGTTTTTCGAAAAATTTAAATAGAAAACCCAAGGAAATCATGAAAAAAGCTTTCAAAACGATTTTTGAACATATTTGAGCCAATTTGGGATGATAACAAAAAAAATTATGCCCGCAGTAATATTCAGACAAAATGTTCATATTGAGATTTCCATAAAACCGTTGAAAACCATTCAATAAAATGATATTTTTCACGGATAGATCGGTTGATCGGGATTGATTTTGATGCACAGTGGTCCATCGAGTAGAATTCGCAGAAAAATACCGTTAAAAACCCTCTTAATAAGAAAAAATCAATCATGAACTTCGAATTATTCCGAAAGTTGAAAATCAAGATTTTTCATTTGTCCCAGCATAATTCTGAATTGGTAGTTCCATGTCAGGACAAACTTTCAAAACATGTTTTTGATGATGTTTGACAACATTTGAGTCCATAATATCAATCAAACCACATATTTTTCACCCTTTCAGCCATGGTCAAAAACGATGGCATGCTTCAGTGAAGGTATAAATTTCAGGAGGTTACTATAGATCTCATTTTCTATCAAAACACTTGGTTTGTTGGACCAAAATAACTGAACTGAGCTAAAATATAGTGTCTAACTCGAAAACTAACAAAAATTGAACAAAAAAAGAAATTGGAGTTGGTTTTGCAAAAATTGAGAAAAATGCGATTTTCATCATTTTGCACGTCATATAACTTCCACGTGGCAAAATATCAAAATCAGTCATATTTCGATTTTAGATAATTTTTAGGACTGATTTACGTATTCTTGCCAAATTTCACCCCATTCTGACTATTTTCACCCTTCCTAGACCAAAAAAACACAAGTATGCATCACTAATGCACGCCACTGTATAATAATATCATAATATTTTGTTTTGATGAGATGAGATAAGTCCAAAACGCGTCATGATTTTTTGAATAGCTACGTATTTCCAAAAAAAAAATCCTATACATTTTTTTTGCTGAAACCAAGTGAACTATGAAATTTTTCCCCCATTTTTTTCGAAAAAAAATGGGCTACAAAATGATTTCATTTTTTTAGTTGGTAAAAAAGCGGAAATAACTAGGCTATGCCTAGGCTAAGCCTAACCTAACCTAACCCAACCTAGGCTTAGGCTAAGCCCAAGTCGAATCTTAGCCTAACCTAAGCCTAGCCTAGTTAAGACTATGAAATTTTGCTCCACCACAAAATGATTTCATATTTTTTAAGTTAGTATAACTACATTTATATATTTTTTTACGAAAATAAAAAAAGTGAGTGGTCAAAATTTCGAGCCCTGGGGCGTTTCCTAAAAAAGTTTTTTTTTCCAAAAAAAAAGTACGACACATCGTAGAAGTTTTCCAGAATGAAAAATAAAAAAAAACTACGAGCAAAATTGAATTTTTCGTGTTTATGTATTTTTCTTATATCTACTACTATGTGTATATATTTTTAATTCAATTTGAATGAAAAAAAAATTTGGTGGAAATTTGATACAGACAAAAAAATGGGAGGATTTTCTGGGGGCAGACATTTTTGAACCACACACAGCAGGAAATCCGGGTGGGAGATACATGGGGTGGTCTGTCAGAGCGAGAAAAAAATACCCGAATTTCTGAAAATGATATTTTTCCTGGGGGGAAAACTCGAGGAAATCGGGTGACTAGACTTTGTTTGGACTTTGAATTTTTGGGTCCTGGGAAAATTTTTTGGTAGATCAAAAACATTTTTCACTAAATCCACGTGGGAAAGGGGGATTTCCGAGGACTTAAAAGTGAGGAGAATTTGATTTGAGCTAAAAATCCACGTGGATTTTCAGAAATTTTCAGACAGAAATTTAATCAGATATTTTTTGAATTCTGACAATTCGGTGCGAAAAAAATGAATTCAAAAAATTAAAAAAAATACAAACACGTGGAATTTTAGCGCGAAAAATCCAAATTTTTGAATTTTTTTTCAGAAATTTTGAGCTTAAAATCCACGTGTTTTCAATTTTTAGATTTATTTTTCCAAAATTCAAATTTTCCAACATAAAAAGTAGCTTAAAAATCCAAAAATTCTCAAATTTCTTGCTTTCCTGCAAAACAAAAATCCGAAAAATAAGAAGATTTTTGTTCGGATTTTGTCCAAAATCATCCGGGAAGCCTTGAAAAAATGATGAATCACCACAAAAATTTTTTGCTCAAAAAATCAAAACAAATTTTTGTCATTTGACTAGAGCTCGAAAAAACCAAGGAAATTCGTACTTTTCCTACAAAAATCCGCTAAGCTTTTTTGATATGAAAAACAAAAATAACAATAGTTGGATAATTTTTTTTCTGGGATGTGGAGGATCCAAAACAACTACAGGAAGTTGCTACAACAATGCAACATTTTTTGCGAAGAATAGAAGAAAAAGTGTATATAATTTGATCTCGCGTCTCGTTTTCGTTGAAAAATGAGATTCTTTGAAAAAGGTTGCAAAAAAAAAAAAAAACTTCTTCCGTTGCGGGGAATCGAACCCCGGCCTTATGGGTGAGAGCCATAAATCCTAACCACTAGACCACAACGGAGTGCTGAGGGCCCGGGGGGAAAATTGCCAATAAAAACCCCTACCTCCTCCTACTCCAGTGCCAACTGTCAGCGCACCATTCGGGCAATTTCGAGTCATTGGTGAGTTTGGCGCACTTCTGGCTGGTGACAGCGAACGAGATGAACGTGGAACCGATAGAGATATCATTTCTGCAAAAAACTGGGATGAAAAATAAAAAGAAAAGAAAAAAAAACAATTTGTTGGGAAAAAATCCTGGTCAAGTACTTCCGCTGAAAATGATACATTTTTTGAGGAAACAGGGAAAAAAAGAAGAAAAAAGGGCGAAGAATATAAATCATTAGAGCTATCTAGTGTTCAATGATCTTGGGGGCTGAAAATTCTGGAAAATTCTGGAATTCTCTGAAATTCTTCTTCAATTTCTTTTTCAGCTTAAAATTTAGAATTTTTGAAATTTCAGAGTTTTATTTCAGCGTAAAAAAATTTCAGAAAATATATTTCAGGCCTCCAAAAATCCCCTAAGTTCACTAACTCTCCCCTAAGGTTCCTTAAAGTTACCTTAAGTTCCCTGAGGCTCTGGCAAATCCAGTTTTCCAAAAATTTTCTACTAGAAAAACATTTTTTTGAAAAAAAAACTGACACCAAAAAAACTGGTCAAATCGAATATTTTATGATGTTTTTCAGACCGAAAAACTTTTTTTTCCGTGTTTTTTTCAGACGAAAAAAATATGCAGAAAACAAAACAATGTGTGGATTTTATTTCATATTTTTATTCTTATTTTTATTTTTTCTACAAAAAAAAATTCAAAAAGTGATATTTGATATTCATGGAAAATTGGTGTTTTGGCAAATTTTCTGACGGGAAAATTTGAAAATTCAAAATTTGGATGAACTTTTTTCTGTGCGGTGCAAAACAAATTTGACAAGCAAATATTTTTTGAAAACGTCATTTTTGTGTTGGAAAAATGGAAAAATAGTGAAAAGAAGCGGCCAAAACAAGATAATTGGGTAGGATTTTTGGCGTTGAAAATAAAAATAAAAAAGTTTTGTGCTGGAAAAAAGAGAAAAAGTGAAAAATGAATGTGCTGCAAAAACTGTGCCGCAAAATTGCAGAAAAGTTGAATTTTTTGGAGCGAAGAGAGCTCGGTCAGAAAACGGCGGAGTCGCTACCGATCGGGGCGGAGTCGCTACACATTTTTTGTTCCCCAAAACGTGTAGCGACTCCGCCCCGATTGGTAGCGACTCCGCCGTTTTCTGACCGAGAGGATTTTCAAAGTTTTTGAAATTTTAGAAATCCACGTGGCATTTTTAACGCTTAATTTAAGTTTTAAAAAATCCACGTGGCATTTTTTTCAAGGAAAATTTCAAAAAAAAAATCACATTGAGGTAAATTCAAAATTTAAAAATTTGGAAAGAAATCTGCGAAAAAAAAATCCACGTGGCATTTTAGTGCTAGATTTTTCAAGAAAATTTAAATCTGAATTTTTTAAGGAAAAATTTAAAATCTGAACTTTTTGAGCGAAAATTTCAAATTTCAAAAATCACTGAATTTTTGGGCTCAAAAAATCCCGAAAAAAATTCACGTGGCATTTTTAGCTCTAGATTTTTCAAGAAAATTCAAATCTGAATTTTTAAATACAAAATTTAGAATTTCAAAAATATCTAGATTTTCCGGCTCAAAAATCCCGAAAAAAATTCCACGTGGCATTTTTGGCGCAAAAATTTCAAATTTCAAAAACCTCTAGATCTTCCCGCTCAAAAATCCAAAAATGCTATTTTTAGGCACCCAGAAAAAATCCATCTTATGTTATAGGCTCTCAAAAATCGTTGTCATGTTGATTTTTCATGTGTTTTTTCTTTTTTTTCCAGCGATGTGCCTTCAAAAATACATACGAACATGAATAACTAAAACAACAAGAACAACCCAAAAATGATGTCATTTATGAGTTGAAAAAATGGACTCTGGACCTTTTCTGAGCCTTGCTGGGCCCAGAAAATTTTTCAGTGGTCCCAAAAATAGCCAGGTTTCATCTCAATGATCCGCTCCCTCCTACATAGCACAAGAATTTTCGTTTTAATAGTAAATTAGCCAAATTTTGGCGCCTGGAAAAGTGCGTGACGTAAATATCTAGTTCTGTTTTCAAATGAATATTTGAATACGGGGGTGATAAAGTGCGCTCTATTGAGAATCGAAAATTAATTGGTTTTTAAGAAGCTAATTCCACGTGGAATTCGAATTTTATGAGAAAATGAGGGAAAAGCTAAAAGGAACACAGCCAAAAAAAGTGCTACAGTATTCATTTTTGGTCTCAGAGCGATCCGAACTCTGAACGTCCAAAATGAGCGCGAAAATTGTAAAACTGAAATTTTTTTCAAGTTCCAGAGATTCCACGTGGCAATTAAATTTCAGGAAAAATTAAGCTTACAAAACTTTTAAATTATGAAAAATCCTAGAAAAAAGAAATTTTCAAGTTCTAGATTCCACGTGGCAAATTTTAATTTCAGGAAGAATTTAGCTTACAAAATTTTAAGATTCTGAAAAATTCTAGAAAAGTATAATTTTCAGGTTCCAGAATCCACGTGGCAAATTTTGAAATTTAAAAAAATATTTTCAGATTTTAAAATTATATCATTTTCCAGTAAAAAGTGACAAAATTTTTCATCCAAAACTATACGAAAAAATTATTGGATGAAATTTTTTTTGGCTGAAAATCTTCTGAAAACTATAAATTTTCGGGGATATTTTTCAGACTTTTTTTTTAATTTTCAGAGTTCCCTTAAATCCCCAAAATCCCTCAGCTCACCTTTATTTGGTCTCGAACTTCTCGGATATTTGACCGACGCCGCCTTCTGTTTCAGCATTTTTGTTGGGTTTCTGAAAAAAAATCAGCAAAATTGCAAAAAAAGAAAAAATCAAGATGAAAGGCATTTGGGAAAAACATCGGGGAATTCTGGGCAAAATAAAAAAAAACTTTTTGATTTTTTTTCGCAAAAAACAGAAAGATATGTGGATATAAAAAAATAAGAAGAAGAAGGAGTAATCGAATAAAAATGGGTCTGGATAAAAAAAACGGAAAAGGAAAAACAATATTTTTGCTGTAATTATATTTTCAGCCTTTTTTTGTTTTTTTGTGTGTGAAAAAACCGCAAAAAACTGAAAAATGAGAAAAAATGACTAATTATGTTATTTGAGATGAAGATATAAGAGACTAAATATTATATCGTGTGTATAAATATTTTTAGCAACATTTTTTTTGAGTTTTGATTCGCCTAAAAACGTAACATTGCGTGATTAGAATTTTTTATCGCTATTTTTCACGTCAAAAATCAAAAGATTCAAAAACAGCACGCGTAGCTCAGACGGTATGCGCGCGGTTTATCAATCCGGAGTTGACGAGTTCGATTCCTCCATCGAACTAATTTCAAATTTTTTTTTACAAAAAAAATGTGAGAAAAAGAAAACCAATCTATTTATTCACCGCCGCAAAACAGAAAAACAACCTAAAAATTCATGAAAGCTCAAGAAAACAAAACATAAATTTTCAAAAAATCTCGTAAAACCGTGTGCAGCTGAAATTTTCAAAAGAATAATTGATTATTTTTTCAAGAAAAATTAGAGACAATTTCTCTGAAAATGGTTGCTCATCATCCATTCCATTTCTCATTAAAACGGATAAAGGGATTAATTTTAATCCGAGAGAACTACAAGAGCAGTCTGTGAAAGCAAGAAAAAATGATTTTTATGAAGAAAGGGTGAAGAATCGAATCATCCAATCAGGAAAAAGGGAAAGAAGAAGTCAGATAAATTCGTTTTGAGAAAATAAGGTTTTTATTCTCTTGTGTGGTTCAAAAAACAAAAGAAACAAAAAACTGTTGCTCCCGCACTCTCCACACTCCACACACTCTCTCGTCTTCTCTCTATCTCTCATTCGTCTCTTCAGCAAATCGCACTCTCTCTTTTTTTTTCGCGCGCGCGCGATTCTGTTTTTTGCTGAAAAATGCTGGATATGGAATTTTTGTAACTAAATCGAATATGGAGAAGATAGAGGAAGACAAATTGAAGCTATTCCAAGTTGAAATGAGCAAGAGCTTTTTGACCCCGGAAAGCTGATAAAATTCAGTTTTATGCTTCCAAAATGAAATTTTCCCAAAAAACTAGATTTCAGAAGTTTATTTTGATCAAATAATATCTTGAAAGTATTCATTCGGTGTGAAAAAAAAAAGGAAAAAGTTCAGATTTTGGCAAATTTCTCAATTGGCTCAAATGCTTCCAGCGAGAATTTCTGGTTGTTGAGCCGATTGTCTTTCCCGTTGCATATCTTGCAAATCGATTAGCAAAACCACGATCATTAAAGGAATTATAACTTTGCGTATCAAGGCGAGACCGAGATTTTTGTTCAGCAACAAAATACGTGAGATAAATTCGTTTCCAAAACCTTCAAGATTTTTATTCTCTTGTGTGGTTCAAAAAACAATAGAACAAATAACATATGTTTGCGGAATATCTTCCCATATTTAATTAGCACTTCTTCTCCTTAACTAACCAACAAAAAACACCAAAGCTATATTAATCAAATCATCAATAACACATTGTTGTTCAGACAAAAAGATTTTGCATATTAAAATTCTCATAAAATTGGGTATATGTATGATTGAAAAATATTTAGGGGATTTTGGGGGGTAGCAAGGCGAAAAGTGATAAAGAAAATTGGAAAATATTTAGGTGGTATTCAAACAAAACAATTGTTGATGGTGATGGTAGATTAGGAATAATTTATTCCTTGGTGCTGACCTTCCATCCGAGAACAGCTTCTTCTCCGCAGGCGGATACGACTTGGACCTAGAAATTTAACAAATTAATTTGAGATTTAAAAATTCAACAAAAAATTGAATTTTATGAAAAATATTTTCAAAACTCACCAAAACGGTTCCTTCGTCTTTCTCAAGAGCATCTCTGATTTGTTGTCCGATTTCGTTGTCTGGCATCTTAAGGTCGTTCTTCTCCTCACAGGTTTCTGGGTCCATCAAGTTGGCATATCCGTCATCGATAGCCATCAACTGAAAGAAAATAGAATTAAAACATGATAACGTTTTTCAAAAATTGAAACTTACGAGGTACTCACGACGCTTGACGACTGGAACATCCATGTTGTGGGTGGATGGACAGATATCTTCGAGTTTCTTGTTGGTGAAAATATCCAAAGCGACCATGTGGACTTTAGCGTGACCGTGCTTTCCAGTCTTTGAGGTGGACATTTCAACGATCTGTAAACGATAAATTTGAATTTTTGTGGAAATATTTAGTATCTGTGACTTATGTTTGAAGTGCTCAGCATATAAAAATTTGGCATCACAATTTTCAGCCGAAACTTATCCAAAACCATCATTGCACGAAAATCAGTGTTTAAAAATTCAAGAAAAATTTACCTTGCATGGACGTCCCTTGATCATGACGTGCTCGTTCTTACGGAGAGCTGAACATTGTTTTGGGAATGTGGAGGCAGCTCCAGATTCGGTTGGGTTGAAGTGCTCATCATCGTGATCCTCGGACATGTTGTACCCTGCAAAATATGTGATTAAATGAGAATTAATGTGAAGAAAACAACGAAGAGAAAATAATTAACTGAAAAATTATTCTGAAACAAATTCAAGACGCTTTTCACAATTAAAATTCAAACTTTTAAAGTTAAGCATAATGCAATTTTACAAAACATGAGGAAAAATTGCATAACAACGTATAAAATTACAAAATCATGAGTAATGTTTCCTATTTCAAAAAATTCCTCAAACTTAAATTTAAGCGTATAAACAGTACAAAAAAGATTACATAAAAAGTGACAATGACCGCTACGTATCACAAGACACATTGCAGTTGACGCTCAGGCAATATGACCAACAAAAAAGCAGGGAGGATTCTCAACGGGGCGAACATGATGAGCTAAAGAAAGATGGAAAATGTCTGTTGCGAAGAACATTTCTTTTTTATTGATCGAATTATTTCGAGCTGATAAAAAACAGAAATCATGCTGACGAGCGTGGAGACCTCAATAAAAAGAACAACAATTTGAGAAATAAAAAAAACAGCATTTCTGACTATACAAACAAACGAAAAACAAGCGATATCAGTATGATAAAACCACAATTTCATCAATTTGTGTCTAGCAAACCGGTACAGGCAAGAACGAGCCTTAAAAGTGAAGAGCCCTCAGTATACTCGGTTAGTAATAACATCTAGAGATAAAGGAAATACTTAACAATTGCAGATTGTTTATAAATCAATCAACAAGTTTTTGTCACATTCTTCTGAAAATCCACAGCGTTTGTGTATTTCAATTGGACAAGAATCTACAAATAGAGACGTATTTTCGATAACTTTTGATGAGCTAACAAAGGAAAATGCACTAACTTTGGTAAACTAAATAATATTCCCTAGATGAGAAAAATTCGGAATTTCAGGCCGATTCCAGACACTTTGCAGCAGCTTTCGATGCTGCAGATAACCGAAAAGCCGTCAAAAAATCATGTGCACAAGCAAGAAACTTCTACAAAGAGGTAAAAACGGAAAATTGGAAAAATTTTAGGCCCAAAACGCGCGAAAAAAGAAAATAAATCCTGCAAATGTGCAAACACTTTTCAGTGTCGTCAATTTAAATGTATGCACACATGTCAAACTACAGTACCTGGCTATCGAAAATAATTCGCTTTTTTCAGCACATCGTCACCAAAAACCCATTTCCACCCCGTCAGAAGATCCCAATAACATCACGCGAAGTTGGAAAACTTGGAAAACAATGGAGAGATGTGGAACATGCAAAGAAATCGAATTCTGGTGAGATTTATTGGATTTTTTCACAAAAAAAAAGATTTTTCATAGAAATCTCACTGAAATCTGTTTGCTCAACACTATCTTTGACAAGCCTTCCAACTACAACATCAAGCAGAACTTCAGTTCTCAAATCAAGCAACAAAGTTCCAACAAAACGCTCGAAACGAGTCACCAAAAAGGAACGTCCAAAAGTTCCTGATTCAATGTATCTTCACTTGAATTCGAATCCAACGAAGATTGAGAAAAAGAAGAATTCTATAAGTAAAGAAGAAGAAAGGCGTTTGCAGAATATTTTTAGCAATCATACTTGAAATAAATTATTTATTTATTTATTAAAACAACTATTCACAGACGAAATATGACTAGCGAAACTGAACAACACAAGTACCCGAAAAGCTTTGAAGAAAATTCAAAAAAATGCATATCACAGTGTCTCCCGATCCTTCTCATTTTCCTTCTGCTGCTCCGTGAAAAAGTGACGTTTCCTTCGTTTTGGTGGCAATTCCATGGCGGCAACTTGAAGTGGCCAACCTCCACCAATTACACCAGCTTGCACAGAAGCACCGGTGACAACAGCCAATTCGGGATCGATTCCATAATTTGGCGATTTGCCGAAATATCTTCCAACGATTTTTCGGACTGCTGGAACTTGCGTGGAACCACCGACCAGGACGATTTCATCGACTTGCGAAGGTTCGAGTCTGGAAAAAAAGATTTTGGATATTAAAATCGCGAAAATTCAAACTAACTTCGCATCTGCCAACGCTGCTGTAATCGGAAGTTCAATAGCTTTCAGAAGATCTTCATTCAGTTTTTCGAATTCATCGCGACTGAGATCGTAGCTGAATTTTCCCACGCTTTTAAGATCCAAGGAGATTGTTGTCTTTGGAACACTTGTTAGCCTAATCTTAGCTTTCTCGATAACCAATCGAATTTGCTGAAGATCTTCCTTATCATCGACAATTTTCGAAGTTTGTTTTTCGATCTCTTTGATGATAAACTTCTGCACTCTATCGTTAAAATCCTGTCCTCCCAATCGATTATTTCCCGCCATCGCTTGCGTCACAAAAACTCCACCTTGCAACCATAAAACCGAAACATCTAGAGTTCCACCTCCCAAATCGACAACAACAATACTCTCAACACCTTGTTTTTTATGAAGTCCATAGGCTAATGCAGCTGCCGTGGGTTCAGAAATGACTCGTCGAACTTCGAGACCAACTAAAGAAGCCGCATGGCCAGTGGTGTTTCGTTGTTTTTCATTGAATTCTGCTGGAACACTAATAACTACTTGAGATAATTTGGAACCAATGTGTTTTTCAGCTGCCGATTTCAAATAATCAATAATCAATGCACCAATTTCTTCAGGGTAGAACTTTGTGATTTCCGAATTTTTGAAAGCAACTTCGAAATATGCGCGACCAGTGTCATCTAATTTGATAACAAATGGATAACGCTTTTGATCTTCTAGAAAATCCTTATTATCTTTTTCAAAATTTCGACCAATAAATCGTTTTGCGTCGTAAATTGTGGTTTTTGGATTCTTCTCTTGTTGCTCAACAGCTCGTGTGCCTATCAAAAGTGTTCCATTTGGTCTGAAAATTCCATTTCATCATTTGCCACGTCATAGCTCAACTTACAAAAACGCAACAACACTGGGCACCGATTTTTTGCCAATATCATCAGGAATAATCGTCGTTTCACCCGTCACCGCATGATAAATCCCAATTGATGAATAGGTGGTGCCCAGATCGATTCCCGCGATTTTCGGAGCCGGTGGAGGCAGCCCATATTTTTGGGCAATGTATCCGGCTAGAAGTAATACGAATATACCAACTCCTATCATTGACCCGGATGCACCCGCCATTTTGGCTGAGAAAACCTGGAAAGGTTTTTTTAATGAAAAAAGTGCGAAAAATGGGGGAGACGTGGAGGTTTGGTTTTCTAGGCCACGGCCAATTTTTGTGTGTGTTTGTTTGTTTGGCTTGCAAAATGGAATTGAATGGGAAAAATTGAAAATGAGTAAAAATCTACATTTAAATAGGTCACAGCGTGATTTACTACCCGAAAAATTTCCTGAATTTTTTTCAAAAATTTTCCCGCTTTCAGATTTTCAAAAAAAATTGAAAAAATTACAGTACCACCAAAATGGGTTCCGGGGTTTTTTGGTACGAGGAATCGCGTGGTAATGGTCATTTGGCTCGAAACCCATGAAAAGATCGATTTTTGTTTTGTTGAAATGCTGTTTTTTGTGCCCTTCTTTTTTAGCAATTTTCGAGAGCACAGCAAATTTTTTTCTACGTGACCTCAAATAAAAAAATCATTGCAGAATGTGTTTTTCACGCGGCACACACATCTGGGCGGAGCCTAATAAAATCCTGTTTTTACTCGTTTTTTGAGGATTTGAACCCGAATTTCAGGGAAAAGTTGATTTTTCACTATCAGAATTGAGCAAAGAAGGGTTGAGGGAGGTCCGGAAGACAGATAATTGCTTATAAATCTTCTAATTCCGCTCAAAATGACGTTTCTCCATATTTTTCTCGATTTTCCTAGGAAAGACAATAAACTTTTGATTCAAAAAACTATTACTACTTGAAAAATTATCAACTACTTCTAAAAATGTAGTTTGAGCATGTTTCCTTCGGTTTCGGCTTCAAAAACACATTCTTTGTGAAAAAAAACAAAAAAAAGAAATTTTTCTTGCGAAAATACTGTAGCGACACGTGAAATTGTGCAATGAGAAAATGCGTAGTGAAAAATTTGCTGTGGAGAGAAACAAAGATCATTTCTGAGAATTAGTTTTCTCGAACCCCGAAAAGAAAAAGGGTATGTTTTTGTTATCAATATTTCACATGACTGGAAATTTTTTTTTCAAAAAAAAAAAAAACAAACCCGCCCCTTATCAACCAATATAAAATGGGTGATACTAGAATTTGGTACAGACATTTTTCACTTTAAAGTTCAGAGATGAACACATTTCCAAAACAATGTTCGGCTCTTCATAAAAATGATTACATAGTCATCAAGGGACGTCCAAGCAAGGTGAACAAGTTTCGAAAAAATTTCAAGTCTAAACTCTTTCAGATCATTGATATATCCACCCTAAATTCTGGTGAACTCCACATTTTCGCTTTGGATATTTTCACCAACCAGAATCTTGAGGAAACCTTCCCACCCACTCAAAACATTGATGTTCCAGTTGTCGAACGTCGTGAATATCAGGTAAGGAATAGAGGGACTAGGAAATTTCTAGTCCCCGGGGTTTATTTCAGTTACTCGAAATCGAAAACGGCTATGCCAGCGTATTTTGCGACGAAGGTGATGAGCCGAAAGCTGACATCAAGATCCCAGAAAACGAAATCGGTCAGCAAATCAGAGATGCTTTTGAGAAAGACGAGGGGCCAGTTATAGTGAGTAAATATATTTTAGATTTTTCATAGAATTTCTTTAAATTTCCAGGTTCAAGTCATATCCGCTTGCGGTGAAGAAGCTATTATTAGATTAAAAACCGACTAGAAAAAGTAAAATAATTTATTTGTCAAATAAATAAATATAGATTCACAAAATGGGCAATCACATCGAACCAGTTCAATAAATATACATCACCCCTACTATAAAAAAAAATATTTGCAATTTTACAATAAATTCTTGACATCCCAAATCATAATAACACGATTTTGTCCACTTGTCGCCAAAAGTCCGAGTGTTTCTTGGAGATGCATAGCAGTGATTCCGGTGCGAATCTCGTGATTTGCAGCCAAAGGAGTTAAGCTGAAAATGAACTTAGATTTCTAAAAAATCAACCAAAAACTCACTCAAAATTCTGCGGATTATCCTTCATTTTCGCGTCGCAATCATTACAAATGCGAATTTTCGTCTCAAAACCCATTGGTGGATAACTTGTCCAATTATTGCAGCATGTTCCGCATACAGCTGCACCGCATGTTCGACAATGATGTTGACGTAATCCGACGACTTTTCGTTGCCACATTGCTTGGAGATTCCAGAAGAATGGCGAGTTGCATTTTTCGCAGAAATCGTTTTTTCGCCATGCCGGGGTTTCGACTCTGGAAATTGAGAAAGGGATTTTTTAGAATTTAAATGGCCCGAAGATTATGAGCAATTTTAAAAATGTTCAAATCACACCTCGGCCAAAATCTTGGTTTCCGAAATAAAAAATTGTATGCTATCTTTTTACAGTACGAAGATTGTGAATTTTTCAATTTTTGTCCTATAAAAACTGAAATTCAGATTTTTCCAAAAATTGTACTCTGGCCAGCCACGGCTGGTGTGGTTTAAATCTTTAAAAAAAAATTTTGGAATTTTTTTTCCAATTTTTCAGAATTTTACGATTTTTTGAATGTAAGACGTCCCAAATAGTTATTAAATTACCAGTGAACAGTTGGATTAAATTTCCGACTTTCCGTTCTCCGGGTTTCAATTTTCCGCACAGGCACAGGCCTGGGCCGAACTATTTTCGTGGCTGAGAAATGTCGGGAATTCGGCCAGAGCAACAAACTCGCTCCAACAATGATAAATTTTGCAACATTAGAGCGAGTTTGTTGCTTTGGCCGAATTCCCGACATTTCTCGGCCACCAAAATAGTTCGGCCACATATATCTTTTGAAACTTAGATATAAGGCGAGGGTAGTCTCAAAAATAGTGAACTTTTGCATAAAACCAGAAAAAAAAAACATAAAAAAGAGGATACACGAAATTTCCATGATATAAAATTAATTATTGCGAAGAGGGAAGAACTAATTCCACGTTATGAAAATTTACAATGATTATTGTTGTTTTACATACGTTTTTTTCTTGTTTTTAAACTTATTTTTATTTTGTATTCTGAAATTGTTTCATAGAGTTTTTATTCAGTAAAAAAGGATAAAAATAATAATGATGGAAAATGATACCGCGAAATAAAAATAAAAATAGAATATACTAGTGAAAGTTATTTTATGAAGTTTCCAAGTTTGTTGAAAATTTTGTTGGAAGAATGTGCCTCTCCTATGTCGATTTTTCGCAAGATATTCATTCCCAGTTCTGAAAATAACGTATTAAAATCCAATTTTTGGAATTGATACTCACCACATTCGTTTATAACACACGTTCTTCCGAACTTTGGGATCAATTCGACAAATTCTTTTAATTCGAAAAGGTCTGTAGAAATTTTTGATTTTCGAAGAATTATTTCAGTAATTTGATCTTCGTCGTCAACGATTTCTCCATTCTCATAAACTCGAATGGAAATTGGTAGAAGTTTCATTGCTGAAAACATGTATTCGTTAGGAGAGATACGTGGGTTTGAGACTGGGCATTAATTTTTCATCTTCTACTCACTTGTTTGGTTGATAATTACTGGTTCTTTGAGCAAAACAAACTTTTTCAGTGAACAAACTTCGCTCTCATCGTTCACCAAAAATAAAATCTGACATTGTTGTTCGTATGAAATCCAGTCATCTAAGCCACCCTGAAATAAAATTTCGCATGGGTTATTTGTAAACTTCTAATTTTCTCACCAAATCCATTGCATTCAAAAATCCAACTTCTGAGGGCTCTATGTCATCGCAGAATCTAATACCAAAACCTGAATTTTTGAATGATTCATATTCTTCCACTATTCCGTCATAGGTTTTTGCACCTTTCACATTTCTGAAAAATTACAATACTATCGTTTTTATGTTTTCCTCACCTGCAAAATTTGGTTAACTGTGGATCATTGGCATTTTCCAAAAATTTTTCAACGACAGGGCGTGGATATTTTTTTCTCAATAAAACAGTGGCGTTGTTTACCTCCAAATTTCTGATCTCCTGAAAAATTACAATGTGATTGTAAAAAACTTTAAAACATTAGTTTGAAAAATACTTACATCCACTAAATCAGTAATTCTTGATGTTGGGTTGGCGTCAAAATTCAGTAAAACTTCAAGAAGTTTTGAGCGGTTCGTTTCGTAAATTCCCGGAATTTTTCGAGCCAATGTTACACCATTTTTCGAAAATTTCCGCATAACGCTTTTAAGAATAGAAAAAACGTTTTCATCCAACACCGAAATGCGAATGAGCCAGGGCGGGTAGAATTCCTGTAAAAAGAAAAACGTCGGAAGATATTTTCAAAAAAAGGAATTTGATTGTTTAATATTTCATGGAATTATTGTACACTCCGAATCTACATTCGGTATTTTGGAAAATTTTTGTTTTTTTTCAGAAATTTCTGTTGAAAATCGAAAAATCGAAGCATTTTGAGGCATGATGCCTCGATCACGCAAAAAATAAAATTTACGTGACTTTATTTTTCAATTTTTTTCGGGGAAATTTTGAAATGTTTTCAGAAAATTTATTTTTTTTAGTTTCATTCTAAATTTCAAGAAATAATCTACAGTAATCTACAGTATGAAACTGGAAAATTGAATCTACAGTAAGAATTTGAAGAATTAATCTACAGTAAGAATCTGAAAAATTAAATCTACAGTATAACTTGAGAAATTGGATCTACAGTATGAAACTGGAAAATTGAATCTACAGTAATTTACTTAAAATAATTAAAATTTAGAAAACTTCAATTTGTTTTTTTGAATTTTTTTGTCGAAAAAATTTTGTTGAAAATCGAAAAATCGAAGCATTTTGAGGCATGATGCCTCGATCACGCAAAAAATAAAATTTACGTGACTTTATTTTTCAATTTTTTTCGGGGAAATTTTGAAATGTTTTCAGAAAATTTATTTTTTTTTAGTTTCATTCTAAATTTCAAGAAATAATCTACAGTAATCTACAGTATGAAACTGGAAAATTGAATCTACAGTAAGAATTTGAAGAATTAATCTACAGTAAGAATCTGAAAAATTAAATCTACAGTATAACTTGAGAAATTGGATCTACAGTATGAAACTGGAAAATTGAATCTACAGTAATTTACTTAAAATAATTAAAATTTAGAAAACTTCAATTTGTTTTTTTGAATTTTTTTGTCGAAAAAATTTTGTTGAAAATCGAAAAATCGAAGCATTTTGAGGCATGATGCCTCGATCACGCAAAAAATAAAATTTACGTGACTTTATTTTTCAATTTTTTTCGGAGAAATTTTGAAATTTTTTCAGAAAATTTATTTTTTTTAGTTTCATTCTAAATTTCAAGAAATAATCTACAGTAATCTACAGTATGAAACTGGAAAATTGAATCTACAGTAAGAATTCAAATTATTTTCGGAATTTAATTGAATTTGTATAAAAACTCACTCTATTAAACATGAAAAACAGATCTTTTAACTTGTTACATGTCAATTTGCGCAACCAATCAAACCGAAAATTAGCCGATGCGAAAATGAATCGAACATGATTCATCTGTAATAAAATGTTTTGGTTACAATAGACAACTATGATTTTATGCACCTTTTCCGCGGTTGAGAATTCTCTAACGGTCATTGATCGAATAATTGCTACCAAATTTGCATTGGCTTCATCTACATTGAAGATAGTGACCGAAGTTTTTCCATTTTTGACACACAGTTGCTCGATTTTTGTTTGTCCCGACAAAATGATATACTTTCCAGTACTGAAAAAACACATTTTTTTTAATACTAAAATCAGATTATCTTACTGGTCGTTTTTGTAACCAAAAACATTGTTTTCAACTTCATCAGTCACATCCTCTCTCAAAACGGCACTGAATTCTATCTTATCAACATCGACCTTAAAAATATTATAGTAATACAGCTCGTTAGTTTATTTTACCATTTCAGTTGAATTGGTTCGAATCTTCAAGTGACACATTTTTTTCATCGTCTTTTTCGCCTCTTCAAATCGTAACTTCTCGCCAAATGTTTTATCGACTTGTTTTCTTCGTGGTTTCTTCTGCTTTTTTACAACATTTATTTGAACACCTAGTTTTTTTCGAATGTTGCCACTTGAATTTGGTGATGGGTTTGAGTCATCAAGTGAATTATCCGAATCAAATGAAGTTTCTTGTTCTGTATTTTCATTTTTTTTTTGTTTTTTTGAAATATTTTTTTGGTTTGAAACTTGGCTTCTTTTGAGATTCTTTGACATTTTTGATTTGGTTGCTTCCTCATCATTTTTCAACGCAAAACTTCCTGGTAATGTTGATGTTGTTGAAACTGTAGAAGCGCTTGTTCTGATTGCATTAAATTCAGATAACTGATGTTCGTTATCAGAGGCCGATTTTTCTGTTTCGAAATCCATCAAAACCAAGTCATCCGACAATGAATCCCTCGCTGGTGAATTTGATGTACTTTTAAGAGTTTCAAAAGTATTTTCGAGTTCTAAATTTTCCATGGGAACTTCTTTTTCCAGCGATCCTTCATCGAGATGAACCAAATCATTGAAAAAATATTGATTTTTTTGAAACGATTCCAAAAACAAAAAATTGTTGTCGATAAATTGCGTTGTTGTGCCTTTAGTTATCTGGAATTTTTTTGTTTATTTTTGTATATTTAACACACCTCGGCCAAAATCGTGGTTTCCAGAATAACAAATTGTACGCTAATTTTTTACAGTATAAAAATTGTGAATTTTTCAGTTTTTGTCCTCTAAAAATTGTGATTTTTCAATTTTTGACCTCTTAAAACTGAAATTTAGATTTTTCAAAAAATTTACTATGGCTAGCCACGGCTTGGCCGAGTTGTGTTTATTTTTTTATTATTAATTTATTCAATACGTTGTGGGCTTTGAATTTTTTATGTTCTGTAAAGGGCAAACACCCGTTCTATGGCCTTAAACAAAATTCTGAATCCTAGTCGCTCCCAAACTCACTTGAGCTCCAGATTCTAAATGGACAAATGTGTCAATTTCCACGATCTCCACATTCAAATCTTTTCCGGTCAAATCACAGCGATATAATTGTAATTGCTCCACAAACCGCAAACCGAAAATGTTGCCTACTCCGGTTTTTAAAATCTGAAATTGCTTATTGAAAATTGGAGCTATTTTTGAGATGGGAACCAACCTCTTCTTCTTGATGATTTTCAAAGAAAACTCCATTTGTGAAAATTACTGAAGATTCCGGGTATTTCTTTATCAATTCGGATTTGATAATTGCGTTTTTGGGAGCCCAAATAGTCCTGTTGCATTCGGTAAACTGTGAAAATTCAAAATTAACCTTTGCTCAAGGAAAAAAAAACATACTTTTTCGAACGGCATTTGGTTTTTGTATTTTTCGAAAATTAAAAAAGAAATGAGAAATCTTACGTTTTTTTTGTTGGCATGACGTGTTTAGTTGTCATTTTCTGTTTAAAAATTATTTTTCATTAATTTTTGACAAAAAATGGAAAACTTCATGAAAGACGAAATGAATCAGGTTGGAAGAAATAAAAATTGGAAGTAATTTCATGTTTTAGCAATCCTGGGAAAATATCATCGAATCTGAAAAATCATATTATTCTAACATTTGTCCATCGCGTCGGAAAACAGCATCTGAAATTATAACATCACAATGCTGTCAAGATAATTGCAACCTTTTCATCACACAGCAAGTTTTCAAATCAAAATTGTTTGTCTAATTTTTTCTCTCAGAGCAAGTATCATAATGTGCCGCGCATCGTTTATTCTTTGCCAACGGAAAAGTGCAGCTCTTATGTCTTCGGTAATTATAATCATGTTTGTTTTGGTTAAATAGAAAATTTAGGTAGTCAATTTATTCATGTCAAAGTCTTGCGTTCGGAACGAAAACGGTATCGAAATTCAAATAAAATTCGGTTGCCAATATTTTTGTCTCCATTTGTTATCCGAAATAATTGGACTCCCTGAAAAAACGTGAGTCAACCGACATTCACTTGGATTTTTTAAATGTTCTAAAACCTTACTGTAGATTACTGGATGTCATCCGAAAAGCTACAAAAAGCACCATTAAAAATGGGACCAGGTCCAGAGTTTTGAGAAACTTTCTGAATGGGATCCAAAAAATTTGGATCAATTTTTGGAAAAATTCATTTTTCAACTGTAGATTACTGTAGATTTATTTTTAAATTCCTATTTTAGATAACTCTACATTATTTTTTCAAGTGGATACTATTGGTTACTGTAGATTCAATTACCAGATTCGTACTGTAGATTACTGTAGATTATTATTTTTGAAATTTCCCTGAGAACAAATAATTTTTCAAAAATATCTCGAAAATTCCCGGAAAAATTGAAGTTTTGAATAAAAAATTGAAGATTGTTTTGACAAACATCTTAGAAATCCCCGAAAATTGTTGAAATATTCATTTTTCATAATTCAGGATGTCAGAAAATGTTAATTTCAACTAAATTTTTCTCTAGAAATATTCCTTCCAAATTGAATTTTCCAAATTCATACTGTAGATTGATAGGAAAGGAAATGATGTAAAAAAAAAAACCATCGTTTAGCATCGTCATAATGGCAAATTCTCAACCGGAAGATGGACCACCTTCAAAAAGAAAACGCTTGAATATGCCAACTAAGCGTGGGGTCGCCAATATTGTAACATCTGTTCAGAACTTGCTGAGAAATTCTCAATCAAACCCGATAGGAGGAAGGTTCCTCAACAGAGGCGTTCTAAACAAGTATATTCTGACATCAAAAATAATTTTTAGAAGTTTTTTTTCAGAGATCTATTTGGTCCAACGAAAATCGACACGAAAATTTTGGAACAGACGATGGCGGAAAAAATACATAGGACAAAGGTTGGTCTGAAATTAATTTGATTCTGAAGCCACATTTTTTCAGATATTAACTATGAACAAATGCCAAAACTGCAGTGGACTGGAAGATATGAGAATGAATGCGGCGGATCCAGCTAAATTGAAAGAAATCAATGAGCAAAAGCTTAAGCATTCGGAAGAAATGCGGTAAGAATTAAAATTGTCGAATAGTTCCTATGAAAAAATTTTTTTCCAGACAAACGCGCTCTGTTTTTGGCATTTTGGATGATAGATGTCGAGAAAATAATGGAATACTCGTTATACGAATTGACGGTGCATCAAACAAAGCTACAAAAATTCCAATATTGGCTTACAAGCCCAAGTCAATTGTAGATGCCAACCGAATTTCTTACACAATGACAGGTGTACAAGTTCCAACTAATGGTAAACCCGTTCGATTTTTTTATTGAAATAATTGTTTTTTCTAGGATCAACGAAGTTTCAAACATCTTGTTATATGAACTTGTGCGATCGGTATAAAAAAGGATCATCTTATTATTTTTCACTTGTTCTTGATTTTTTGGTTAAGGTGGGATACAGAGATGGTTTAAACCTAATCCTTGAATTTCAGCTGGATAAAATGCCAACAAAATTGTTCATTATTGCTGACAACGCAAGCCCGAACAAGTCAGACGAATTGTTAGCTGGTTATGGATATTTGTTGCAATCAGTTCCGAATTTGAAATCGGTGACTTGGTTACTAATAGTGAGATTATTTTCGAAATTAAATTCAGGTTACATTGGTGAACAATCTCGTCGGTCATTCTCACAATGAACTCGACGGATATTTCGGCGTGATGAATCAACATTTATCAACCAAAACCATATTTTCGACAACGGGTATGTAACGAATAATAAAACACAAAAATAGATGTTTTCAGATTATGACAACGAACTGAAGAAAATTAAATCAACCAGAGAAGTCAATAACGTATATAATGTGTATGACATGAGTGGGTTGAAATCGAATGTTGTCCATATTCTTAATCGTGGAACACACCATCAGCTGCATCTTTTCAAAGACGATAAAAGTAATTTTTGAACCAAAAATTATCCATTAAAATTATGAAATATTTTTTCAGACGTAATAATGCAATGCGTTGCAGAATATGCAACCACTGAAGCATTTGAAAAATTATGTAATAATTCCGACCAAATTCCTCTATTCAAAGTAAGTTTGATTTATATTTTTCTAGTAAAAAAATACTTTTTAGGATCAAAATATTGTCACACAATTCGTTGCCCCAATTGTCATCCCTGAACTTGTCGAAACTGAAAAATCTTTGAGAAGGCTCTTCAAATCAGGACAAGGATTTTTCAAACATAGTCACCAGCAATCGATTTTGAATCACTTGAAAAATTATAAATCAGAAGGTAACTTTTTATAGAAAATGAAAAAAAAAGTCTTATTTTAAGTAAATTACTGTAGATTTAATTTTCAAGTTTCATACTGTAGATTACTGTAGATTATTTCTTGAAATTTAGAATGAAACTAAAAAAAAATAAATTTTCTGAAAACATTTCAAAATTTCCCCGAAAAAAATTGAAAAATAAAGTCACGTAAATTTTATTTTTTGCGTGATCGAGGCATCATGCCTCAAAATGCTTCGATTTTTCGATTTTCAACAAAATTTTTTCGACAAAAAAATTCAAAAAAACAAATTGAAGTTTTCTAAATTTTAATTATTTTAAGTAAATTACTGTAGATTCAATTTCTCAAGTTATACTGTAGATTTAATTTTTCAGATTCTTACTGTAGATTAATTCTTCAAATTCTTACTGTAGATTCAATTTTCCAGTTTCATACTGTAGATTACTGTAGATTATTTCTTGAAATTTAGAATGAAACTAAAAAAAAATAAATTTTCTGAAAACATTTCAAAATTTCCCCGAAAAAAAATTGAAAAATAAAGTCACGTAAATTTTATTTTTTGCGTGATCGAGGCATCATGCCTCAAAATGCTTCGATTTTTCGATTTTCAACAAAATTTTTTCGACAAAAAAATTCAAAAAAACAAATTGAAGTTTCCAAATTTTTAATTATTTTAAGTAAATTACTGTAGATCCAATTTCTCAAGTTATACTGTAGATTTAATTTTTCAGATTCTTACTGTAGATTAATTCTTCAAATTCTTACTGTAGATTCAATTTTCCAGTTTCATACTGTAGATCCAATTTCTCAAGTTATACTGTAGATTTAATTTTTCAGATTCTTACTGTAGATTAATTCTTCAAATTCTTACTGTAGATTCAATTTTCCAGTTTCATACTGTAGATTACTGTAGATTATTTCTTGAAATTTAGAATGAAACTAAAAAAAAATAAATTTTCTGAAAAAATTTCAAAATTTCTCCGAAAAAATTGAAAAATAAAGTCACGTAAATTTTATTTTTTGCGTGATCGAGGCATCATGCCTCAAAATGCTTCGATTTTTCGATTTTCAACAAAATTTTTTCGACAAAAAATTCAAAAAAACAAATTGAAGTTTCCGAATTCTAGGTTCACTTTTCCAATTTGCGAGTCAACAAATTAACATTAAAAGTTACAGATTTCGAAGACACTATCAAACAATTGCGCGACAAGCCTGCTTATCCATTATTTGTAACAACTACCACATCTGAAACCGTTACACAATATTTGGAGCGACACGGATACATCGCAACAAACTTACCGAAACCGCTCGTTGTGCAGAAATCGAAATAAAGTATAATTTTCTCAATGTGAATTAAAATAAACTATATTTTTCATAATAATAAAGTTAATGTGAATACAAAACGAAACAAAAATAAATTTGAAACAACAGTTTTTTTTTGAGAAAATAAAACACAATAAAAAGAAAATGTGCCGCCGCTAAACAAATAAAAAATAGGCATGATGATTTTTTTCTGTCGTGGTGACGAGATCTGGTTTTATGCAAAAGTTCACTATTTTTGAGACTACCCTCGCCTTATATGTTCAACATCAATTTTTTGTGCATTTTGAGATTCATTTATCAAAATTTGAAAATTTTTAAAAGTGCTCATAATCTTAGATTTTTTGAGCTACAAAATTCAGAAAATTGAAATTTGTAGCTCAAAAATTGTGGTCAAAATCTGCAAAATTTCAGAAAATCATTATTTTTTGCGACAGGGAATTTTCAGTTCGAAATCAAATTTGAAAATCGAATTTTTCCTCAAAAACCCCAACCTCTTTGCCTTCATATCCCAACACATCAATTTTCCCAAATCATCCGCCGAAAATAATCGATAAGCTCCCGGAGCCGCACAGAGTCTCGTGACTTTTGAAGTATGTCCATTCAATTCATAAGCCTCACCACGTCCACCCCCAATATCCCACATTATGACCAAATTATCGTGGCAGCCAGAATACAAGACTTCTGGAAAAATTCACGATTTTTTAGCTCCCCACCCATTTTTTTAAAAAGAAAAACTCACCCTTCACCCTATCCCAGGATAAACTTGAAATCGGAGCTGTATGTGCACTGAGTTTGCTCACCAAATTCGCATTATTTCCAGACATTCTCAAAACAATCACATTTCCCGCGTGATCTCCAATAAAAACAAATGGCAAATCGATGACCAAAGCTGTGCAACTGTTATCACAATGATAGGCGCCTAATTTGACAGATGTGTCCGCGCAATGCCAAATTACAGATTTATCGCGCGAACAGCTGAAAATCAACTCGGCACTGATTGCATAACCCAATCCGGATATCGGTCCAGCATGCATTGTCCATTTTCGTTTTTCGCTCATACTGTTGAAATCATCAGCTACCGAGAATTCGTAAACTTGGCCATTGATTAGACCAACGAGCAGTCTGAAATGTTTTTTTTTTTGGAAATGACGTGGTTTCCACACACAATTTATCGGATTTTTACGTGTTCTCATTGATTTTTTTTCAAAAAAAAAAAATTATTTACCTATAGGTTTCTTCGGAGTAAAAAAGGCAAGTTGGAGCTACTGGCATAAAATGATGAATTGAAGGCCAGAATTGATCATTATCTCGTTTCAAATACAAACGAACTGATCGATCGTCGCTAGCCGTCCAAATTCCATCATCCTTCGACAACAAAACTATATCATTTATGCGTGCAACATGTCCAGAGATCTTGTGTAAAAGCGCTGCAAAAATTGGAAATATTTCACAACAGTTTTTTAAATAATCTTACTTGGCTTCGAGTTGGCGAAACTTGTGGTTTCAGTCGATTCGGCGGTTTCCGCAGAACGCGAATTTATAATCGCAGCCATCAAATGAACGAATTGTTTATGTTACAATGATACACTGGCCTGCAGAAATCGATGAGGCAAAAAAACAAGAAAAAAAGGTGTGAGATTTTGTCCGAGAGAACTACACGTGCAGTGTTTGCACACATTGCACATGCGGCATTTTATGTGACGCGCAAGTATTTTTATTTTTTTCGTGTGAGCTTGAGTTTGTGAGCGTTTTGTGTAGAATGCCGGATGGATTTCACTGCGTTGTGAGTTTTTTTAAAGGGAAGAAGAGGAAAAATAGTTTTATTACAGAAGAGAAGCGAAAAAGCGGGAGTTTGACGATTTATTAAAAGTTGAAATAGTTGGAATAATAAATGCTCCGAAAAAACAGAATGATTCAACAATTTCGGCCATGGATTTGGACCCAGAGGAGGAGTTGTGAGTTTTTATGAAATAAAATTTTTTCCATCTGATTTCGAAAATAAATCGTTTTTTTAGATTGTTATGCGCTGGTTTCCAAGGAGGTCTCTCAATTATTCGAACCGATTCACTTCATCTTCAAAAACCCAAATCGAAAACTAAAAAACATACGGAACACAAAGGTTTTAACAATATCCAATGGTGTGCGATTGATTCAAGAATGTTTATAACAACAAAAATCGATGAGACTCTAACCCTATGGGATTCACAAAAACTCGCCGAAATAAAATCGAAAAAATTCGAAAATCTCAAATTCGTCCATTGGAATCAATATCATTCAACAAATCCGATGTTGGCGATAAATGAGAAGAAATCTGTGAAAATCCTGGATTTTCGAGTGGGCTGGGAAATTTGTCAAACTATCAAAACGGATCATATTGTTTCGGGTTTTCAATGGTTTCCTTCAAGTCAACATTATTTATATTCTTGTGATTTATCGGGTTTTGTGACAATTTTCGACATTCGAAGTGGATCTCAAAAATTGCTATCCAAAAAAATCTCGGAAAATCCCCTTCAAAACTTGAAAATCAATATTTCCTCTGGTGGATTGGAAACAATTGTGGTTGATAACAAAAATTACATTTATATTCTGGATTCTATTGATCTAAATGAAACCCGCCCCAAGATCCACTTAGAATCGAATGGTTTTCCAAAATTATTCGAAAATTATGGTGATTATTTATTAATTGGAAATGGTGACGAAGATTTGAATCTCATAAATTATCGAAAAACCGGAGGAAAATCTCTCGAAGGTTTTCTGAGAAAACCAACTTGTTCAGTGTTTTTCGAGCGGAAAAATGAGGTGAGTCTACAAATTATTTGAAATTGCCACGTCATAGCCAATTTTTTTCCCAGATTCTTCTTGGCTGTACATCATTCCCACTAATTGTTTGGTCAACAAATTCAACACCTTATAAAAATAATATTCGAATGGATTTTGATACCTGGAGTGATGAAGAATAAAACAAAACATGAAAAATATTTATTAAACAACTATTTTCATTCAATTTTTGGCATTCCTCGGTGTCTGTAAAAATTGATTTTTTGTGATTGTGATTGAAGAAAGAAAAAAAAACAAATTTTACCACTTTTGACAATACATTCATTTTCTTATAACCATTCTGGGTTGTGATGCTTGTGATTTTCATCTGAGTTTTCGATAATTTTTGATATCGGATTTTGATTTTTGGGATAGGTTTGGGTAATCTGTAAAAATTCTTTTTCAGTTTTCAGATATTTCAACTTCCAAAATTACAACTAACAAAGCTTTAGGGATTCTCATAACAAGTCGACCCTTTTCACATTCAATAAACTTTTTCTCGGGTTTTCTTCGAAGTCGACTTCTCAACTCATCTCTCCTCATTTGCTCCTCCATCTTCTCCTTTGCCAATTGTGCATTTTGCTCCAATCTCAAACGATTCTCATGTTTCTTCAAATAATTCCGTTTTGCCGTATAGCTTCCACGTGGCTTTCGAGATGTTGTTGATGATCGAGAATTATTATTGGTTTTTGTTGTTGGAACAATGAAAGTTGGTGCGGGGAATTCGGAGAATCTATGAAGATCTGGGACAGAAGTTGAGAATTTTGCGGCGGGGTTTCTGTTTTTGAAAACAGCTTGAGGAAGGGGAAGAATCACAGGTTTATAGCAAATGAAACCAAGATCAATTGCATTTTGGTCATCGAATTTTGGAAGATCTTCAAATCTTTTTTTAACTTGCACTTCTTCCTCTTTTTCATTCTCTATCTTATTTTGATTTCCATCCACTTCCATTATCTCTACTGCTTCTTCTTCTTTAAATTCTTCATTTTTCAAAACATCCTCTTCAATTTCTTCTTCAGGTGGAAATGGTAAAACCTGTTTCATATAATCCATCAACTTGGGAATATTCACATTTTCGAATTTCAACACAGCCATCAAATCTCGATCCCTCAACATGTCCCCCTGTATATCTGCATTCTCCATAAACATTTTCAACGTCCCCGTCGTCCTTTGCATGATCTCAATCAACTTTCGAACGAGTTTATTGTGCGCGCCACGTGTCACTTCGGTGAAACCTATATTATCTATCATTCGACTCACTGAGTCATTGATTTCCTGGAAATTTTTTTGTTGGCCACGTCATAGTAGTGATTCTCAAACTTACGTGCATAATATTTCTCTGCATTTTTGTGTGAGTTTAGTCGAATTTAGGCCGTGAAAAGTTTCAAAACGTGAAATGAAAAAAATTGAAAAATCCTCCACGAGAAGTACACATCGCGCCGAGACCACGAAGAAAACATTGTGCGCCTTGAACATATCTTACTGTAATAATTAAATTTGCGAGTCTAGGCTGTTTTGTAATACAAAACCATGTGTGTATGTTTTATAATTGACATGAATTGCGTAACATTCTCCCACCTTTTAGAACAAAAGAAAAAAATCTGGTTGGTCCATTATTTTTGCACGACCCTCTATTATTCCTCATTGATACCAGGTTACACCTTTTTTCTAATTTTTTGTTCCTCCAAAAATAAAAATTTACACGAAAGATTAAAATGTTTGTTTTCCTGTCTCTATACATTTTTGAAAAACAGTGAAAATTTTTTTTTTCGTCGGCTGAAGTGGAGTTCGAGTTTTTGTGTGACAAGTTACTTTTTATCCCCGTTTCTCATCTTTTTTTTGCTCGACTCGACATTTTTCGTGTCATGTTTGTTAAGTTTTCGAGTTTTTATATATATGTTTATTGGAAATTCCGTGCAAGAATTTTCAAGAAGATATTTTGAAGGCCAAAAAATAAAAAAATTTGAATTTCGCAGCAAAAAATTGCTCAATTTCCAGCCGGCTCAAAAAAAATTTTCCATGAAAATTTAATTAAAATTTGTCGAGTCGCAAAAAAAACTTTTTTTTTTCATTTCTCGTTTTTTTCTGTGCCCCCAAAAAACACTAGGTTCAAATTTCTCGAAAAGAAAATGAAGAAAAAGTTTAAACGGCCACGAAAAATCTGCTCAAATTTTCGAAAAACGTATTGAATTTCAGTTTCTTCTTCTTCTTCCCGCTGTTCTTTTCTTTTCTCTTTTTTGAATTTTTGAAGTACGAAATTTTGCAATTTTTTCCTCTAAAATGAAACTTTTTCTGGGCGATTCGAAAAAAAATCCGAAAAATTTGGCAAATTAGTGTAACTGACATGTCAAATTAGTCGAGTGTCTCTCGATTTTGTGTGCTATTTTTTCGCTGGTTGATTTTTTGTGAATTTTTGCATTTTGCTGGGCGTCTTGTCCGAGAGAAGTACACATTTGAATTTTTTTTTTTGATTTTCACTGCCACGTGTTTTTTGTTGGCGCGAAATTCAAATCCAGGATTTTTAGCTCCAAAATTAAAAGCCTGTGGCCGTGGCCTAGAAATCCTAATTTGATTTTCCAGGCCAAATTTAAATTTTTTCACTGCCACGTGGATTTCTTATTGCTAGCTGTGAAATTAAAAATCGGTGGCCGTGGCCTAGAAATCCAAATGTGATTTTCCAGGCCTAATTTGAATTTTTCACTGCCACGTGGCGCGAAATTCGAAACTTTGAATATTCAAATCTTGGATTTATTTATTAGCTCCAAAGGTGGCCGTGGCCTAGAAATCCAAATTTGATTTTCCAGGCCGAATTTCAATTTTTTCACTGCCACTTGGCGCGAAATTCAAAATTTTCTCAATTAAAAAATCTTTGCATGCAAAGTGGACCACTTCATTTTCCCTTTGTCCTTGAATTTCGCATGCCACGTGGCATGTTTTGCCGCAATAATTTCTCATGCTTCATTTATAATCTCCTTGTTTTGTCTCGTTTCGTTTCGCTTGCTCATATTAATAATAATACACGAGCTCAGCGAACTTCCTTATTTATTTACCTTGTTTTTCTTTTTGCTCCGCGAGCAGCCAACATTTTTGTGCTGCTCAACAAAGACAACAAATGTAATAAGATATGGATATTTTTCATTTTTGAATACACATAATATTTACATAGAAAATACATGAATCTATACAAATATCTTCGTAAAATTATAAACTTTTTTAGCTATTTCGAAATTCACAGAGACAAAAAGTACGATTTTCTATGTTTTTTTTTTGAAAATGTTCATCGAAGTGTGACAAAAAAGTATATATTTTTAATAGGTTCTTTTTCTCTTTTTTATATTCTCTTTTTTATGTACGTGCTCTCTCGAATATTATAATTATGTTCTTTTTTTCTTTTGAAAAAGAAAAAAGAATGAGAAATCGTTTTGTACTTGTCCTAAATCCGATAATTATTAGCATTATTATACTTTTTGTTTTGGAACACAATTCGATACTTTTTTGTGAGGAAATTGTTGCCACGTGGATTTTTTGAGCTGAAAAATGCCACGTGGCACCAAATTTTTTTTTTGAAATATAAATTTTTCTAAACAAAAATCTACGTGGAATTTTCAACCAAATTTTATTATGTGAATTTTACTGAATAAAAATCCACTTGGAATTTTCTCTTGTCAATTATTCTGGCCCAACTTTTCTCGTAAAAATAAATTTTCAAAATTTTTTGAGAGCTCGAAAATTCCAAGTTTACATTAAAGACACAAGAAACACTGGAAAAAACAGATTTCCCGCATTTATTTTCAAACGACAAAACCAGCATGTGCGCTCTAGCGACACACTGTGTGCACACACTTTCAAAATTTCCGTCGGCTGAGCGATTTCAAAAACAATTATTTTATTTTTTCACTTTTGCTAGGACTCAAAATTTTTTCTTGATTTTCATGAATTTAGATTACTTGAAAGGTGTTATGAATGAATAACAAACTCATTTTCTGTTCATTTCTAGCGGATTGTGTGTCTTTAACTTGAATGAGGATTGCTCATATTATCCCAAAAATCAGCTAATTTCACCGGAATTGAATTGCTCAGATTAATCTGAAAATCTCGAAAATTTGTCAGCATTGCTCATTTCAAACTGAATTTTTCCTACTTTACATCAGATTTTCCCCATTTTTTTCTAGTATTGCTCATATTAATTCAATTTCCAAAAAAAAGTCCCAAGGCCACGAATTTTTTTCAGAGACTTAGAAAACCTCAAGCTGAATTTTTGTGCTAGAAACCACCTGCCAGAATTCCAGATGAAATTTTTTTTAAAATTGTTTTTTTTTACATTAAATTTGATGAGGATTGCTCATATTAACCCAAAAATTCTGCTAAATTTTTCATTACCCGAAAATCTCAAAACTTTGTCAGTATTGCTCATATCAACTTATTTTTTCCCAGTTTCTTCAGCATTGCTCAGATTAATCCCGAAGAAATCCCCTGAAAACCACGTGTTTTTTGTTTCAGAAACCACCTGGCAAAAAAATCCAGGTGAAATTTAAATTTTTTTCTGAATTTTCGATTTCCTCAAAATCTCTCGCTCTTCATTCTTTTCATTCTTCCTTCCTTTTTCAAACAAAAATCCATGCATTGTCCACTTCACATTGTCCGCCCCAACTTTTGTCCAAATCCACCATTGTTATATATTTTCTTTTGCTCCAAACCTCGGCTCTCGGCTCAGCTGAACTCAAAATAATAATGAATAGAGAGCGAAGAACCAAAGAAATATATTTGTAATTAGAGGTGGCTTGTTTTTGTTGTTGTTGTTAGTGGTATGAAAAAGAGGAAAAAGCAGAGGCTCTCTGGCTCTAATTTAATAGGATTTTTCGAGTACTACGCCCCATTTTTAACACACAATTTTGTGCGGGTGAAAATGAGAGCAGACGGCTGGCTGGTTTTTTGCAGCTAATTCACAGCTTGATATTTTTTGAGGATTTTTTGAGCTGGGCTGTGGAATTTTGAAGCTACTTTTAGCGTTGAAATTCTGAAGCTGAGCTGAATTTTTGAGGATTTGGATTTCGGAGGCCTGAATTCTTCTTTAGCACTTCTGAAGTTAAAAGCTGAATTCTAAATTTATAAGCTCTTCAGGGAGCTCAAGATTTTCAGAGATGTATTTGAGATACAGAAAATTTCTGAAGCTTTTCTGAAGAAGTCTGTTAAGATCCTAACTGATCAAAAAAATTTTTCAAAGCTCTCGAATTTTTAAGCTAAATTCACAACTTTGATTTTTTAATTCGGGCTGTCGAATTTAGAAAATTCGGAAAATTTTTGGAGCATTTTTTCAATTTTAATTTCAGAAATTCTGTGAGCTCTGGATTTCAGGGAAATTTTTTGAAGCTCCCGAATTTTTAAACTAGATTCTAGAGTTGTTATTTTTATTCAAGAAAATTCAGAACTCTTGAATTTGATTTTCAAAAAATCCACGGCTTATATTTAGGCAAGTCTTAAATTTTTGAATATCGAATTTCACAGCTCTCAGATTTTCAGAGATGTTTTTGAATCCTGAAAACTGTGAAGAATTTTTCTGAGCTCCCGAATTTTTAAGCTAAATTCTAGAATTCTTAATATTTTTTAAAAATCGGTTCGAAAAACTTTTTTTCTGGAATTTGTAGTTTCCAAATCGATTGCTCATACATACTTTTCAAGATGAACTTCACTGCGAAAATTGTTTTTTCCCATAAAAATTGCGAAATTCTTATAACTCCAATTTCCTCTTCTCCATAAAATTCCATTTTTTTCGCCCCTAAAAAACTTCTTCTTCCAGTCGAGCCAAAAAAAATTGATGAGAAAAAAATGAGAGATATATTTGTATGAATATATAATTTTTCGAAATCATCATCGTCTTCGCCTTTTTTCGTCCTCTCTCCATTTTTTTCATACATTTTTGGTTTTTGAGAAAAAAGTTGGGGAGAAGTTTTTTCTAAACTTAACCCTGAAATTGAAAAAAACTCTAAAAAGTTTCTGAATTTTATAATGTCTATTTTGACCTAAGCCCAAATTTTCTCAAGCTTCTCCATATTTCTTTCCCAGAATAAATCTGGGAAAAAGTTTACAAATTCAATAATCCGATTCTTTCCGTCCTCCATCCACCACAAAAATCCTCAAGTCTTCATCGAACATAATCCTCTTTTCTCCCTCGTTTCCTGACCAATAATAAACAAATTTCTTTGCCTTTTGCAATTTTTTTGGTCCTTTTTCCAGACAAGGAAAAGAAAATCGATTTTCTCCATGTTCTTTTTTTGAAGAAAAAAGAAATTCAATTTCCTCACTTATTCTATTTATCACAAAAAGTGCTTTTCACCTGCTTTTCCCCTTTTTTTCCCAAAAAAAATAAATTTTTTTTCAAGTTGAAAAAAAACCGCGGCGGGTCTCGCCACGCAAAAGTTTAAAAACATTGTGTGCCTTTGAAAATACCGTAACCCTCCTTGTTTTTTATTTTCTTTTTTCGCGACGTTTTTTTTGTCTTCCGCGAAGAAAAATGAATTTTAGATGGTTCCACGTCCGGAGGATGATGATATTGTGGTTGAACCCGCTGACAATGATGGCTTGAGATATGGCAATTCATCGTAAGTGGTTTTTCTTGGGAAATTGGGGGGAAAATATGAAAATTAACATTTTTTGGGGAGATTTCGAGATTTTAAACCCATGTTTGCAGGGTTTTCACTTACAAAATTAAATTTTCCCCTAGAAACAAATAATTATTTGTTAGATACTAATATAATTATAATTATACACACAAAGATGGACCTAAAAATGATGGATATGGGAAGAGGAATAGCCATCTGTTTAGATATTTTGTTCAAAAATTTTTCGCAGTCTCAAAAATACCGTGACACTTCCATTTCATTCTCATTTTCACTACTTGCCACCCACAAAATCAATCAATCTCAAAAATGTTACATAATGTACTTGACACTAGTTGACCTATCTCCTCTCATCTTTTTTCGTTCGTTCATTCACATCTTCCAAATTTCGCTGTCACTCATCTCATTTCTCTCTGCTCGTCTGTGTCTCTCATTTCTTCACACTCTCTCTCTTGGGGTCTCTCTACGAGTTACTAAATCTTCTTTTAACCACCACCATCACTTTTATTATTATTATTTATTATTATTATTTATCGACTTTGTAATGAGCGTTTTATGACTTTCCGCTTTTTGGGGCTTTAAGGGTTTTTAGAGATCTTAAGGTTAAACCTAAGGAATAATTAGAGCGTTAAGCCTAATTAGAAAATATCGAAAGGAAGTTGTTCGGTTAAGGTTAAGCTCTTAATTTTTTTTATCGGCCTAACAATAAGAAAGGCTTCTGGCATAATTGAGATTTTCTCGAGAACTTAAGGTAAAGCCTAAGGTTAAACCTAAGGAATAATTAGAGTTTTAGGCCTTACTTGGGAAAATTAGAGGAACTAGAATAAAAAATTTGGAAAATTTTGAATTCAAATATTTGAAAATTTCAAGTTGAAAAAAAAATAATTTAAAAAAAAATTTTGACAAAAATTTCAATTCAGAAAATATCAAAAAACTATATTTTTTTCCTATATTTGCTGAACCAAAAATTTTTTTTAAAAATTATTTTTTTCGACTTGAAACGTGGTTATTTAAAAATTTGCATTAATTTCAAAAATTTAAGCTGTTTCTTGAGATTCAAAAATTTTGCCACGTGGATTTTTGGGCTCAACATTTTTTTTAAAGCCTAAAGGCTCTTAACTTTGCATCTTTGAATTCTCTATTGTTAAGCCTAAGCCTAACTCTTTTTCTTAAGCCTAAATTTGGACCTAAGCCTAAGCCCAAAGCCTTATTTTTTAAAAACCAAATTCAGGGTCACTTGTTTAAGTAGCTTGCCGTAATTTATGAAGTTCCAAATTAAGCCTAAATTTAAACCTAAGCCTAAATCTAAAGCCTTATTTTTTAAAAACCAAATTTAGGGTTAAAGCTTGCCGTAAATTTTGAATTTCACAGAAATTCCAATTATTACCTTAGCCAAAGCCTAAAGTTCCGAAATAAGCCTGAATTTGAACCTAAGCCTAAATTTCGGCCTAAATCTAAAGCCTTTTTTTTAAAACCAAATTTAGGATAAATTGTTTAGCTCGGCCTAAATTCTGAATTCCATTAAAATCCTAACATTTTGACTTAGCCTAACCTCCCAAATTTTTTTTTATACTGTATCAAAAAGTGCAGCAAAATAAATATGGCTCAAGTATGTTTGCACATGTTTTTGATATATGTCGACACACTAAAATTTGATATCGATTTTATTTGTTCTCCAAATTTTCTGATTCTTGGCTCAGCGCCAGCGCCACCAAAAAAGTTAATCCAAAACTTTTCCCTTTCCCTACCACTCTCTCTCAATTTCCCGTGCTATTTCTCGACATTTTTGGCTCCACACACAATCAATCTTCATCATTATTCTGGTGCTTTTTGCTTTTTCTCAACCAACTTTTGTGATTTAGTGAGCTGCGAGAGAAAGAATTGCAACATTTTTGAATTTATGTTCCTTTAAATCTGCGGGGTACTGTATCTTACTTATTTGCCTAATGAACAGATGTTATATTTTTTGGGGGCGCTTGGGATTATTAAGTACACTTGAATCTAAAAAAATTGTGCACTTGAGCATTTTTTTTTGAAAAAAAAGTACAATGTTTTTGGGCTCACTAACTATACATATTTTTCCATGAATTTCGAATTTAATTTCACTCAAAAATGCAATTTTCTTCTTTCGTTTTCAAGACTTGTCACTTTCTTTCTTCCTTTTTCACTCTGAATTTTAAACGAAAAAAGATGGACAAGAAAGAAAAGAAAAGAGAATTGAAATAGAAGGAGGCGAGTTGACAAAATGAGTAATGAGCTTGGAATTGGTGAGGCCCATATATTTCTCTTTTTGTCACACTTTTATGGAGAGACCACCGGAATGGGAAATTTTGGGATTTTTTTTGGAATTTTTTGTTGAAAATTCTAAAATCACTATTCTATTTCTGAACTTCCCTACGTGGATTTTCAACGAAAACGTGGATTTTCAACGAAAAATCCCAATTTTCCCAGCTGAAATTACATTTTTAATTATTTTTTTGAATTTTCAATTTTCCTGTCCAAAAATGTGATTTTAAAAATAAATTCTCTTTTTTTTTTGAATTTTTTTCTGTAAAATGTTCGTTTCACTTTGATTTTCACTCTGACAAGCAGCCAGGTCTTGAGAGCTTTTTTTTCGTGTCAAGTAGCCGAGTCTAGAAAACCTAGTTGTCAAGGATCGGCGCCTAGAGACTTCCAATTTTCAAGGATCAACTCCTAGAGAGCCTAGTTCTGAAGTAGCTGTGCCTACAGAAGCTGATTGTCTAGGAGCCGCGCCTTGTGAGCTTCTATATCAAGTAGCCGAGCCTAGAAACTCCTATCGTCTAGGACCCGCGCCTTGAGAGGTCTTTTACTATAGCAGCCGCTTTGGGAGCCTAGCTGTCAAGCAGCCAAGCCTAGAAAACCTAGTTGTCAAAAATCAGCGCCTTAGGAACCCAGTTGTATAGGGCCCGCATCTAGATTTCCACTATGACAAGGAGTCGCGCCTTGAGAATCCAATTGTCTAGGATCTGTGCCATGAGAGCTCTTTTGTCAAGCAGCAACGCTTTGAGAGCCTAGCTGTCAAGTAGCCTCGCCTAGAGATTTAAATTTTCAAGGATCAGCGCCTAGAGTTTCCGAAGTCTACTGTAGTTTTGGTTTCCTAGGCCATTTCAATTCTGAGAAATCCAACGTGGAATCAGAATTTTAGAAAAATTCTAAACTTCCCTAAAAAAATCCACGTGAAATTTAGAACCCTGAATTTCTATTGAATATTTTCCATTTGTTTCAACTTCCGGAAAAATTCAATTTTTCATGTTTCGAAATCCCGAATTTTATCCCCAACCAAAAATTATCCAGATTTCGAAATGTTTTCCACCAAATCCAATTTTTCTCCATTTTCCAAATTTTCAAAGCAAATTTGAAATTTCCCACTAAAAATCAATAATAATTAATTAATTTTTTAGCGCATTATATTTTTCTCTAGGTGTCATTTTTGTCACCCTTTCCTCTTCTTTTCCTTCCTACTCCAATTAGTAGTACACCAAATTGGTGTATCCACCCTAATCCCGCCAAAAAACAAAAACCAACAGGTCTGGCGAACCGTATTTATTTTGTCACCTTATTATATTATTTACCAACGCCATTTTTTCTTGTTGGAAAGTTTTTTCTGATATTTTTCATTAGAAAAATTCTTGATCTACCCTCGAAAAAACCGATTTTTTTTTGTTGAAAATTATATTTTTAAAATTTTTTTCAAATTTTTTACAAAATTTTTTATCGATTTTTTCAATTTTTCCAAAATCCCTCCCCAAAAAACTCACCAATCGCTTCTATTTCTCAAATCATCGAAAATCCTCCAAATTTTCCACGTAAAATCCAATTTTCCATCATTATTTCAAGCTGAAAATCAGAAAATTTGAATTCTGCTAACTCCATTTATGTTTCTCTAGAAAAACCCACCTTTTTCGATAATCCTTGAGATTTCCGTTGGAAGCGATGATTTCAGCCTTGTAGAACATCTGAAAATTCAATTTTTGACTGAAATCCTATGATTTTCCCCGGAAACCTGAAACCCGCGCGAAAAAAAACGAAAAATGAAAATATTCTCGTGTTGCGCTAAACAGCGGGCAAGCGGAGTGTCGTTGTAAAACGCCAAATTTTCACCGATTTCGTTTTTTATATCTATATCTAAGAGAGAGATTTTTCGTGTTCAGATCCATGGAAGGCACATCAACCGGGCAGCGGCCTTATATTCGGCTAACTTCGAAATTTCAAAATTTGACCAAGGATTCGGGAAATGATGTGAGGTTCAAATGTGAGGCGATCGGAACACAACCGCTGAATTTTATGTGAGTTTTTTTTAAATTCAAATTCACAAACGAAAAAATGTTTAAAAATGTTTTTTTAACGTTTCAAAATCAGTTTTTCAAGTTTTTTGCAAAAAATGATGACAAATGGAAATTTTTGAAGCTTCTGGAGTGATTTCTGATGAAAATTGACATTCAGAAGTTTTTTCTGATTTTTCGTAGAATAAAAAAAATTTAAATTTTCATGGATTTCGAAAAAATTGATAAAATGAGGGAAAATAAGGTTCTCGAAGCTTATTTTCATAAAAAATCACTCCAGAAGCTTCAAAAATCTCGATTTGTCATCATTTTTGGCTGAAAAACTCGAAAAACAAATTTTTTAAAACATTTTTCCGTTCGTGAATTAGATTTCGCACTGAAAAACCCTTTAAAAAGTGTTTTGCTCAAAATTTCGCCAGAAAAATTCAATTTTCAAATTTTCCAGGTGGCTAAAAAACAACGCACCGGTTGAAAAATCAAAACGAGTTCGGATACGAAACAAAGAATCCTCATCTCGTCTAATAATACAAAATCTAGATGTTTTGGATAGCGGTTATTATCAATGTGTTGTGTCAAATTCAGCAGCTTCAGTGAATACTACAAGTATTTTAAGGGTGAGTTTTGTTAGGGACGGGGTTTAAAGGCGCATTTAATTATACTGTATCCTACGCTGTAGGACCTACAGTAGTATTTTAAAGGCTCACCAGAACATTTCCAAAATTTTTCCCTAACCTACTATACAATTCTGACCCCCCCCTTTAAACTATTCTCAAATCTCATTTGTCCACCCACAAATCCTAAAATGTTTTTTTTGCGCCTCATCATTAACTGAATGTGTTTCCCCCCTTCCTCCTTCTTTTTTCGGCCCCAACCATCAGCTGCGCGAATTTGTAAATTGCAAAAATTTCATTCTCTTTTTGTCTTCTTTTTCCTCGCTGTTTTGGGGTGGTGTTGAAATTGTCGTATAGATTACGAAATTTTCATTGGTCCCGACTTTTTCGCTTTTTTTTGAAGTGAAAAATAGCGATTTTCACTTGAAAATTCATGGTTTTTGGTAAAAATTGAAAAAAAAAATAAAATTATTGTCCGAGAGAACTACACAGATAAACTTCCCTTCGAGATATTTTCAAAGTTTTGTGTGCGCCTTCAAACAGACTACTGTAGAAAAATCTTTTATTTTTCTCATTCTTTTCATTTTTCATCGAAAATGCATTGTTTTCAGCTAAGAAACCATAAAAATGATAAATTTTTCGTATTTTTTTTCAAATGTCCTCTAAGTCCAAACTGCTCTCTCTCTAAAATTGATGAAAAACTTGCTCCCCGAGCAACAACAGCTCAAAAAAAGCTCTATCGGCTCATAAATCACCCAAAATCCCATTCACAACCGCTTTTCTGTTATTTGTTGCACTTCTTTTTGTCTTCAATTTTGTTGCTCGATGCTTTTTTTTAAAGTTTTTAGCCCAAAAATATTTATTTTTTTGCCAAAAGGTCATCTCAATATTTTGTTTAGGTTAGGTTAGATGGGTTTGGTGATGGATTGGGTGTATGTTTTTTGGCAGACACCTCTCTTTTTCACAATATTCTCGCCTGCACTCTCTCGATTTCCCATACTCTCTCACCTTATCTAACTGATGTTCCTTCCCCCCCCCCATCTTTTCTTTCTCTCTGTCTATAGGTTGGGTTTTTCTGTGTGTTGCTATTCATTCACCATATTCACATCATCATCATTATATGTTTTATTCAACACACAAAAAAAGTGCCATTGAAATGTTGCACCTGCGCTCGCGTCCCACGCGGGACCACCCAAGACGATTTTGGCACCTGCGTCCAAAAAACTTTTTTCTTCTTCTCCTTCTTTCTATTCATTCATTTGAATATATATGTATTTATGTGAGAATAACCTCATTTTTATCTTTGCTCGTTATCATTTCTCGTTTTTATTTATGACCGAAAATATATGTGCTGCTACTTTTTTCGACGCGGCGGGGGAAAAATTTACGAATTTTTTTTTGGGAATTTGAATTTGAATCTTGAAATTCGTGTAGTTCTCTTGGAGGAATTCGGAGATTTTTGGAATATTCAAAGGAACACACACATTATTGTGTAGATATTTTCTTGAAAATCTCTGTAGTTTTCTCGGACGACGAATTGAAAATTCCAAAATTTTCAAGCTTGAGGATTTGTTTCTTCTCAGAATTGTTTTTTTCAAAGGTAAATCTCAAATTTTGGTGAATTCGAGAAATTTTCAATTTTTCAAAGATTAAGTAGCCGAGCCTAGAAAGCCTGTTTGTGTAGGACTCGCGCCTTGATAACCAGTGCGACTAGGCGCGACGCCTTGATGTCTTCTAAGTCAAATAGCCGAGTCGAAAGAACCCAATTGTCAAGGGCCAGCGCCTAGAGAGCCTATTTCTCAATTTTCTTTTAAATTTAGCACATTTTGATCGAAAAACAACGAAAAAAACGTTTTTTTTTAAACATTGAAATTCACGAAAAGCCAAAAAATGTCGAAAAAACATTGTAGGTTAAAGTTTGTTTTTTTTGAGTTTTTCTGTTAAAAATTATGAAAAATTGATATTTTCGAAGGTTCTGGAGCAATTTCTGATGAAAATTGACCTTTGGAAGTTTTCAGTAGTTATTGCTGAAAAATTAATAAATTGATGTAAAATAGGGTTCTTCAAGCTTATTTTCATCAGAAATCACTCCAGAAGCTTCAAAAATCTCAATTTTTCATCATTTTTGACTGAAAAACTCGAAAAACTAATTTTGACCTACAATGTTTTCTCGTGAATTGATCTCTCAATGTTAAAACATTTTTTTTCGTTCGTGAATACAGTTTTCACACCTAAAAATTCCCACTCTAAGCCCATTCTTTTTTGTCGGACACCGCCAAAAACCCACTCATCCCCTCCCCCCGTATTTATATATATTTTCCCACTTTTCATGCTAAAAGTGAATAAATCAGATTATATTCAAATCTGTCTGTGTGCTGTGTCCTTTTTGTATCTCCCTTTCTTGTTTTTCTTGGGGTCTTCTTCTATTTTTTGATTGATTAGAGCATCTGGCAAGAACCAAAAGATGTCTCTGTGTGTACTATTCTTCTTCTTCATTTTGTGTGATGCCCTAAAATAGAAGACGAAGTTGACTCATTTATTTTATTGGTCACCATTTTCACACCGAAAATTTGGTGTGTGAAAATGCATAAATTTGAATTTTGCGCTTTATAGCATTGTTATCAATAGAGCGAACTTGACAATAATTTTTTTTTTCAAACGCGCTCCACTGATAAATTCCCTTTTATCTTGCAGGTAAACAACATCCCGGATGCTCTAAAATCCTCCAAAACCTCGAAAAAGCAGCCAAGTTTTGTGGACGATTACGAAGATTACGAGCTAATGGATCGCGGACGATTACCCGACGAAGAGGAGGCGGATTTGTATCGAGTTCCCGAAAATGCGGCTGGCTCAAATTATGCGCAGATTGGAGTCAGCGAACGATGGCTGGATGGTATCAAATACCGTGTTGGTGATTGTGTGCAATATCGCGGAGAGGCTTGCCGCAATTATTTGAGCAATAAATATGTGATGATGACGAATGAGAGTCGAGAGGAGATGTATGATATTGGTAAGGGTTTTGGAGGATTCAGGATTTACGAAAAAAAAAGTCAGAAACCCAAAAAAGTGATTCACGAATGGTATTTTTATTTATTTTTTTTCAATATTTTCTAAACACAAGTGAAGCTAAAACGCATTTTAGTGTCCAGAAATGATATTTCAAGACTTTCTAATCAGCCTAAAAACAAGTTGAGCCTTCAAAATCAAATTTTTGATTTTCGAAAATCACCTATTTCATTTTTTGGGAGATGTTTGTCTTTCAGACCACCCTGGGAAATTTTTACGTGGCACCGTAAAACGCAAAATGAGTGTTTTACGGTTCTAAAATACCGTAAAATTCGTAAAATTTTTTCACTGACAAGGGAACCTTTTTTACTCAACACTTCAAACCTTGATGAAATTTTGTCCAGAGACAGCTTTTGGGGTCATAAGAACACCCTAAAAATTTAAGTTACCCAATGGACCTATGAGCCAAGTTCTGGGCTCTCAAAAACTCAAAAAAGGCCTAAAAATGGTCATAAAAGTCATCATAGCTCCATTTCAAAAAATTTTTTGGGAGAAATAAAGTTTCAGATATTGATCAGCATAGTCGAATTACTAAAAGTACATCAATAAAAAATATATTTTCGAAAAATTTTGAAGTTTTTTATTTTTGGGCTGAAAATTCATGAAAATTCATATGTGCCCCTGCTCATTCTTTTTTCCAAAATCAAAAATTTTTCCGAAAATTAGATTTATTGATGGATTTTGGGTAAATCGACCACGCTGATCATCATCTGCTACTCAGTTTTTCATAAAATTGATCGAGAATTGAGTTATGACGTGTTTTATGAGCCAATTTTGGCAATTTTTGAACTTTTGAGAGCCCAGAACTTGGCTCAGAGGTCCATTGGGTAACTAAAATTTTTAGGGTGTTATTATGACCCCAAAAACTGTCCATGGACAAAATTTCATCAAGGTTTGAAGTGTTGAGTAAAAAAGGTTCCCTTGTGAACCTTTTAACTGAAAACATCAAGAAATTTCTCTAAAAATTGGAAGTTAGTAACTCCAACATAATTTTAACAACATTATTCTCCATATCCATCAGAAAATTAATTAATTAGGCTTATCTCAAAATTTTATTTGAAAAATGTTGAATTTTTTTTTGAAGTTTCAATTTGATTCTGTCAAAATTCATTATAATTAGTGCTATTTTCGTAAAAATTATTTTACGATTTTTTTGGCAGCGTAAAACCGTAAAATGGATTTTACGGCGAAAACCCGTAAAAACCGTAAAACGTAAACGTAAAATTTCCCAGGTCTAAAATTCAGACTGATTAGAAGGTCTTGAAATAGCATTTCTGGATACTAAAGTGCGTTTAAGCTTCACTTTATTCAGTGTGTTGAGAAAATGGTGAAAAATGAATAAAAATACCATTCGGGAATCACTTTTTTGGTTTTTAACGTTAAAAAAACGCATAACGTGTCAACATTCCCATCATTTTCCAGATCGAAATCTTCGCGCAGCCATGTTATTCATCAACGGCGCTCCCACAATATCACAAGAATGTCGTCAACTCAGCGAGGCGGTCGCCTGTCATCACATGTATAAAGTGTGCGATTCGGAGGCCAACAATCAAATCGTGTCGATTTGCAAACACGATTGTGATCAGATTCAGAATCACGAGTGTCCGTCGGAATTGGCGCTGGCCGCCCAACACGAACTCGTTGGTGACACACCGAAAGCGTTGTTTCCGTTGTGCTCGAAATTGACGTCCACCTCGAATTGTATACCGGTTATGGGTTTTGCTAATAAGAATAAGGTTGGTTTTTTATTATCATTGGAGCGCATTTCCATCCATTTTTACAAATCTGCTCCATTGAGAAAATGATTCTCATTAGAGCAAGTTTGGAAATTTTTCATTCCTCCGAACAAAAGCTGAGAATTTCCTCTCCAATTTTATATTTTCCCAGAATCCCTCTTCATCCTCCCCATCCAACAATCGTGGACCACTCACCCATTGGTGCTATGTCAACACTGGAACTCAATACGAGGGAAGTGCCTCGCAAACCGTAACCGGAAAGACTTGCGCAAGTTGGCGTGAGTCGACAGCTCGTGAATTCAACATTCATCGATACCCGGAACTCGGAAATTCGAAAAATTATTGTCGAAATCCCGGAGGCAAGAAATCACGTCCCTGGTGCTATTCAACATTGGGACAAGAAGAATATTGTGAATTGGAACAATGTCCGAAAGATATGTATCCACATTTATCTGAGGGTGGCAAAAAGAGTGAAGGAGGAAGTGGCGGTGGATTGACTGAATCGATCACTGCACTATGGGATTCGCTGGATCCCACAGGACAAGTCGCCCTTGTTGGTGGAGGCGTATTCTTCTCACTCATCCTGCTCCTTTTGTTCTGTTGTGCTTGCTGTTGTCGGGCGAAGAAAAAATCGCCGGGCGGGAAACGACCCGCACACCATAATCAACATCATCATCATCATCAAGGAATCCCCCTTCAACCACCATCGATTATAAATAGCGCGGCGAATTCGGCGTATTATCGAAAATTGAATGGGACGAGTACACCAATAATGGCACGGAATGAAATGGCTTCACTTCTTGGTCCCCCACCGTATCCCGTTGATTTACCCCCACATTTTCCACCGCCAATCGATGATAATTCATATCGAGTTCTAGAAATCGCACCGTCTCAACTTGCAGTGCGAGAATTGATTGGTGAAGGGCAATTCGGTGTTGTACACTCGGGAATCTATACAAGTGGATTATTCGGCCCGGAATCTATGGCAGTTGCTGTGAAAAAATGTCGACAAGATGCTACTAATGCTGAAAGAGCGAGTTTGGAGCAAGAAATTCGGACGGTCGCCTCATTTGATCATCCAAATGTGATTAAATTGATTGGTGTTTGCTATTATGATGGTGGAAATCTGACGGCTGTTTTTGAATATATGGTTCATGGGGATTTACATGATTTGTTGCGATTGCGAGCCCCGGTGGATCATGCAAATATGGAAGATAATGCTGATTTTTTGAACATCGCTACGCAAATCGCGCAAGGTATGGAATACCTTGCATCGATGTCATTTGTACACCGTGATTTGGCCACAAGAAATTGCCTGGTTGGTGATAATCGAACGATTAAGATTGCGGATTTCGGATTGATGCGAACTTGCTATGACACGGATTATTACAAAATGCTACATCGATCTTGGATGCCTGTACGATGGATGTCGAAAGAGGCGATTGAACAGGGAAGATTTAGTGAGGCGTCGGATGTTTGGTCGTATGGTATTACTTTGTGGGAGGTTTGGTCGTATGGAAGACAACCTTATGAAGGGGCGAATAATCAACAGGTTATTGAATTGATTGCCAATCGACATTTGTTGGAATGTCCGCATAATTGTCCAACTAATATTTATAGGTATGTTGTTTCACGAAATAAAAAAAGTTTTTTTAACGTTATAAAAACTCAGAAAAGCGATTCACGAACGGTATTCTTATTCATTTTTTACCATTTTCTTAACACACTGAATAAAGTTAAGCTAAAACGCATTTTATTGTTTAGAAATGCTATTTCACGACCTTCTAATCAGTCTAAAAGACAAATCAAGCCTTCAAAATCAAATTTTTGATTTTCGAAATGTTTCGAAAATCATTAATTTCATTTTTTGGGAGATGTGAGACTTAATTTGTCTTTTAGGCTAATTAGAAGGTCTTGAATGAGCATTTCTGGACACTAAAATGCCTTTTAGCTTCACTTTATTCAATGTGTTGAGAAAGTGGTGAAAAAATGAATAAAAATACCGTTCGTTAATCACTTTTTTGGGTTTTTAACGTTAAGAAACGTTAAGAAAACGTTAACAGACGTTAAGAAAACAAAAAACTTGATGAAAATCTCCTATTTTTCAGTCTAATGGTCGAATGTTGGCATGAGAATACAGAAAGACGACCAACATTTTCGGAAATTCGAAGTCGTTTACAAAGTTGGTCATTAGCCAGTCCGGCACATTCAATATTACAACAACAACAACATAATACACGAGCAGGATCTCATAGTGGCTCATCTGGAGCTGGAAGAAATCAAGGAGGCGGAGGAAGAAGTTATCAAAAATCTCATCGAAATCGGGCGCCTGATGGAGCATCTCCACTTATGAAAAGACATCATCATGATGCAAATTATGCGTATAGTGAAGAAGGTGATGAGTCGGATTGATTTGTTTTTTCTCAGGGTTTTAATTAATTTTAGCGCATTTTCCCTTTAATTATAATAATTATAATTATTTTATTATGTTTAAATATGTATCATATTTTGAATAATATTGAAAGATTGTTTTTTGCTCTCCGCCAGGGTTTTTTGTCTCCTCAAGATGTTTTTTAGTCGTTCCCCCAACCAAATTTCTTTCAATTCTGTGATTCGTTTTTGCTGATTTTTCACATCGATTCCTTCCTTTACTTATTCATCATAAATATATTTTTAAGAATTTTTTGTTTTTTTTTTTCGAAAATAATTAGTGACTTACATTTTTTGCCCTCGATCAGTTTCCAGAAAAATTACTGTTTGCAGAATATTTGGTTTCTCGCGTCTTGAAATGCTGAAATGAGATCTGAAAATTCGAAAACCGAAAAAAATAAGCAAAACGTGTAGATAAAAATTATATGACACGTTTCAAATCACACACTGTATTTTTTTTGCAATTCGAGGGAGACGCAGACTTTAACGTGTGCAGACAAATCTCTCGCCGAAAAAGGGAGAGAAATAGTGTGTGGCAGACACACATCGTGTCGAGACCAGCGAGTGTCTGCGTCTCCTCGAAATTGCATTTTTCTATTAGAAAAAAACACAGTGCACAAATTTATCAAATTTCAATATTTTGAAAATTTCAAATTTTTGGGCAAATGCGCTCTATTGAGAATTTGGCGGGTTCTGGGGGATTTTTGAATTTTTCTACTGAAATTTTTAGCTTCAAGTGATTTCTAACCAATTTTTGATGAAAAATCGATAATTTCACCCTAAACCCTGTGAAAATTCAAACTTTCTGTTTTTCTTCGGCTATGTTCAGAGCCTAAGCTGAAAATGTGCGAAAAATTATTTTTTGAAAAAAATCAAATTGGCCGAAGAAAAACTCTTCCACGGCCATATTTTTGTTTCGCGGATTTTTTTTTCAAAAAGTTGTTTTGACATGGAAAAAAGTGTGACGTTCGATTTGGAAGAGTATAGTGAGTTTTTACCGTGTTGATCTCGAGAATTATAATATTCTTGATCTTTCAGAGACTCCCAAAAAATCGCAGGAATTGAAAAAATCTACTAACAAAAAGGGAACGCCAATAGTAACGAAAAAAACGAAAATTATTCGAAAACATGTGGAAGAAACCTTGAAAAGGATGAAAGAAGAAGAAGACCAAGAAGATGTGGAAAATCAGGAGCCGGAAATCAAGAAATCGAAGATAATCGCTTCACAAGAAACTGCAGCCCAACGAAAACTTCGTGAAACAATTGGAAAACGCGTCGAAACTGCAGCCCAAGCCTCAAAAAAGATGCTTGGATTTCATGTGAGCGCAGCAAATGGTCTACAAAATGCGATTTATAATGCGAGATCTGAAGGTTGTCGAAGTTTCGCGATGTTTGTTAGAAATCAAAGAACCTGGAATCACAAACCGATGGATGAGAAAATTGTGGAAAATTGGAGGAATGCGATAATTGAAACGAGTTTCGATTTGGGAATGATTGTACCGCATGGTTCGTATTTGATTAATTGTGGAAGTCCGGAAGAAGAGAAGCTGGAAAAATCGAGAAACGCTATTTTAGATGAATGTCAGCGAGCGGAGAGGTTGGGACTGAAATTGTATAATTTTCATCCAGGAAGTTCAGTTGGCAAGTGTGAAAAAGCAAAATGTATTGAAAACATCGCAAAAAGTATTGATTTTGTAGCCGGGAAAACTGAAAACATATGTTTAGTCTTGGAAACAATGGCCGGACAGGGCAATTCGATTGGTGGAACCTTTGAAGAACTTCAGGAGATCATTGAAAAAGTCGATGGCAAATATCGGAATCGTGTTGGAGTTTGCATTGACACGTGTCATATATTTGCGGCGGGTTATGATATTCGAAGTGAGGAAAAGTATGAGGAAACTATGAAGAGGTTTGGAGAAGTTATTGGATTTGAGAGATTGAAAGCGATTCATGTCAATGATTCTTTGGGTGAGACATAATATAATAATATTATATACCGTAGTTCTTTCGTCGCGCCGAGACACACAAAAATCGATGCGCCTTTGATTCACAACAAAAAATGCGTTTTTGGTGATTATTCCTGATCAAAACGAGGAATTCAAAAGTGAATTAGAACTGATTTTCGGAAATTTTAATTCAATTTCAATTTCAAAGAATGAGCTAAGGACTAAACTGAATAGGTTTAGATTGATGATAAAGACTGAAATAAAAATGAAATTGATAAGAACTTAGGCTAACTCGGCACTTTCGAAAATGAACATACATAAAATGGGTCCCCAGAAACGGGGTGAGGGGCTAACTTGGTCAATTTTCTGCTGATAATTTTCCGAAATTTGCTCGAAAATCCGGAAAAAAAAACAAAAAACCGTAGTTTTTGAAAGGCGCAACAGCTGAAACACACACACAGGGTCTCGTCGCGACGAAATAACTACGGTATTTAACTTTAAAAAAAAATATTTTTCGTTTATAATATAATGTCGTTTATAATTCGTTTATAATAATAAAGATTATATTTTGAAATTTCAGGAGATCTCGGATCAAATTTGGATCGTCACGCTCATATTGGCGAGGGGAAAATTGGCAAAAAGGCTTTCGAATTTCTGATGAGGGATGAGAGATTGAATGGGATTCCGATGATTTTGGAGACACCCGAGGGAAAATATGCGGATGAAATGTGTTTGATGTATAGTATGGAATGAATAAAGTTTTGTGAGTTATTTTTTCAAAGGGCTACTCTAGGCACAGTGTTTGCACACATTAATCTGCTAAACGTGGAGGCAATTTGAAAATATTAAGAAAAAACCCAAAACTTACTGCCCAAAAATTATTGATTTTTCAAATTTTTTTTATTTTTCACTATACAATAATACTTAAATATATTAGATATACAGGGGAAATATAGTTTTTTTAAAATAAATAAATTAGGAGTTTTGGAGTATTTTTCAAAAATATCAAGTGAGAAATTGGTGATTTTTTTTTGGGAAATTTCTAAAACTACGGTAGGAAAAGCTGCCTAAAGAGGTGCCTAAATTGGATTAATTTTTTTTTTGAAAATTGAAAATAGGAGGAAAAAATATTGCTTAATGAATTTGAAGTTTGCAAATCAGCCCATTCAGCAATTACATTGTTGTTGAGCCGGTTTTTGAGTGGTGTTCGCGTCCAATTTTTGTCCTTTTGGCGGTTGTTGAGCGTTGTCTTTGTCGAGACTTTCGGCCATTTTATCGCAAATGATTTCGACGAGCTTCTCGAATACCGCTTTTACGTTGATGTTTTCTTTGGCCGATGTTTCGAAGAATTCCAAACCTGGAAATAGGGATTTTGGGTTCAGGTGACGTGGATTTTCGCAGTTTTGCTGAAATAGCAAATGAGAAGAATAAATTAAATATTCCAGAAATTTTTGAAACAGTAATTTTCCCAGTAGTTATGACGTGGATTTTTCGATTTTCACCTAAGCAATTAGCGAATGACGAAAATCAATCAAATATTCAAGAAATTTTTTAAACAGTAGATTATTTTTTTGAAAAATTTTCCGGGTAATTATTATGACGTGGATTTTTCGATCTTCACAAATTAAATTGTTAGCAAACGATAAAAATCAACTTAATATTCAAGAAATTTTTGAAACAGTAGATTTTTTTTGAAATAAAAATTTTCCCAGTAGTTATGACGTGGATTTTTCGATTTTCACAAGTAAATTCCTACAACTAACCAATTAGCGAATGAGAAAAATGAATAAAATATTCAAGAAATTTCTGAAACAGTAGATTTTTTTTGAAAAATTTTCCGAGTAGTTATGACGTGGTTTTTTCGATTTTCACAAATTTTAATTTTAAATTTAAAATTTTTTAAATTAAAATTTGTAAATCGTACAACTACTTACCGATTAGCGAATGAGAAAAATACATTAAATATACAAGAAATTTTTGAAACAGTAGATTTTTTTTTGAAAAATTTTGAGCTATGACGTGGAATTTCAACTATTTGAATTTGTACATGTCTGATATTGGGAGAATATCAAATGAGAAGAATGAATTAAATATTTAAGAGATTTTTGAAACAGTAGATTTTTTTTTTAAATAAAAATTTACCAGTAGTTATGACCTGGATTTTTCGATTCTCACAAATTCGGTTGTACTAAACATTTAGCGAATGAGAAGAATAAATTAAGTATTCAAGAAATTTTTGAAACAGTAGATTTTTTCAAGAAACATTTTCCGGGTAATTATTATGACGTGGATTTTTCGATCTTCACAAATTAAATTGTTAGCAAACGATAAAAATTAACCTAATATTCAAGAAATTTTTGAAACAGTAGATTTTTTTTGAAATAAAAATTTTCCCAGTAGTTATGAGGTGGATTTTTTCTTACAAAAAAATCGATAATTTTTCAAGTTGAACGAAATAATCGACCTATATTTTTTGAAAATTCAAATTTTCCGCATTCGCGCTCTATTGAGAATTTTTCAGCAGCGGGAAGACGCAACATTTGAATTTTTGAATAAAAAAAAATCTACTGTTTCAGAAATTTCTTGAATATATAATTTATTTTAATCATTTGCTAACAAATTAAAAGAATCGAAAAATCCACGTCATAACTACCCGGGAAATTTTTATTTACAAATTATTTTCACAAAAAAATCTACTGTTTCAAAAATTTTAATTGGATGTATTTCTGGTGACAAAAAATTATATTTTTTTTTTATTTTCTGACATTTTTTTTTCATTTTCGCTGCGAGATATTTTTTAATTTCGTGTGGAAATGTATATAGTTTTTTGACATTTTTTGAATCGAAATTTTTTGTTAAAAGTTTTATTATCATAATTTTTTTGACTTGAATTCTTGGTAATTTTTTTCTCTAACCCTAACCTTATTTGGTATCATTTTGACCCCAATTCCAGCCCTAATTAGTTTCTTCTAGCACTAATTAACTCAACTAACCCAATTGACTAGCCAATTGCCTTCCTCGATCCATCGACACAACTCTTTCTGAATCCATATCGCACTTATTTCCCACCAACACAACTTGCGCATTTTCCCACGAATACGTCTTGATTTGTGTACACCAATCTTGAACACTATTGAACGATTCCTCATTTGTGATGTCGTACATCAAAATGAAACCCATCGCACCGCGATAGTAGGCGGTTGTAATGGTACGGTAACGCTCTTGACCGGCTGTGTCCTGAAAATTTTTTTTGGGAGTTTTTCTGGTCAAAAACTTGAAATTTTTAGAAAAAAATCCAAGAACTCACCCAAATCTGAAGTTTAACCCTCTTATCGCCCCGGAAAACAGTCTTGACTTTAAAATCGATTCCGACAGTCGAAACGAATGCTGATGTGAAAGAATCATCGCAATATCTGAAGAGGAACGAAGTTTTTCCCACTGATGAATTTCCAATAATGAGGAGCTGTAAGAAAATTGAATTGTGCTAAATTTACTTTCCCCAGCGCAAAATTTTAAAAACTGTTTTTTTTAATCTAAAAATTTATTCGGGAAAAATTCACTGTTTCAAAAAATTTATAATTTTTTTGTGACTTTTTGAAATTCAGTAGTTTCCATAAAATGTATCGATTTTAGTGAAAAATATTTTTTTTTAAATATTTTAGTGAAAAATCTCTGAAAATACAAATAATTATGAAATTCACTTCTGAAAATGTTTTTGAATCAAAAATAAAGTAATTTTCACCAAAAGTTCTGATTGGCAAAAAATCACTGTTTCAAAAAATTAATAAATTTTTTTGTGATTTTTCAAAATTAGTTTCTTAGTGTGTTTTAAATCTAACAAAAAGAGGCAAGTTTGGTGAAAAATCTAGAAATACAATTATTTTCAGACAAATTAATAAATTTTGTTTACTACTGAAAATTGTTGAAATTTAGATTTTAACAGAAATTCGAAAAAAAATTCACTGTTTCAAAAAATTTATAATTTTTTTTGTTAATTTTCAAACTTAGTACTTTCCATACAAAGTATTTATTTTAGTGAAAAATCTGAAAATACAAATAATTATGAAATTCACTTGTGAAAATGTTTTTGAATCAATAATAAAATAATTTTCACTAAAAATTCTGATTGGAAAAATATCACTGTTTCAAAAAATTAATAATTTTTTAAAATTTATTCTAAAATATAGTATTGTCCAAAATGCGTATTTATTTTAGTGAAAAATCTGAAAATACAAATAATTATGAAATTCATTTGTGAAATTGTTTTTGAATCAAAAATAAAATAATTTTCACCAAAAATTTTGATTTGAGAAAAATTCACTGTTTCAAAAAATTATATTTTTTTTTGTGATTTTTGGAAAATTAGTTTTTCTTCTGGTACTGAGGCAATTTTTGTGAAAAATCTGGAAATAAAATTATTTTCAGACAAAATTATTAATTTTGTATACTACAGAAAATTTTTGAAATTTAGAATTTAATAGAAATTTGAAAAAAAAGTTCACTGTTTCAAAAAATTTATAATTTTTTAAAATTTATTTTCAAAATTAGTATTTTCCAAAATGCGTATTTATTTTAGTGAAAAATCTGAAAATACAAATAATTATGAAAATTCACTTGTGAAAATGTTTTTGAATCAAAAATAAAATAATTTTCACCAAAAATTCTGATTTGAGAAAATTCACTGTTTCAAAAAATTAATAAATTTTTTTGTGATTTTTCAAAATTAGTAATATATAATTTTCTGTTTCAGAAAAAAAAAATCTTTTTCACATGAAACTGTGATCTACAAAAGTTACTGTTTCAAAAAACACATAACCCTGTGTTCAATTTTTCCTGAAACGTATATTTTTCATCGAAATTTGAGCCATGTTTTTTGATCAGCCAAAAACGCTCAAAACACAGATTTTTCATTCGAGAAAATCGAGAAAATTACATGTAATTAATTCAGGAGCGATTGCTGTAGCCCAATTTCCTAACACAAAATTTCTGGGGCCAAAATTGATATAGCCCAACTCACCTTGAACATATAATCAAAATTCTGATCAGGTTGTCCGCCTTGTTGTTGTTGTTGAGCACCGCCAGCCGCCATCTGAAATTTTTTCAAAATAAAATTAAAAAAAAAATTTCTTATCAGTAAAAATTATGTTTTTTTTTGTGCCGTGGAGCATGAAAAAATTGAAAAATCGAAAACTTTTCGTATACTTCTTCTTCTTCTTCAAAAAAAAAGAAGAAAAATAGGGGGAGGCGAAAAATGAGCACATACAAAAAGAGCCTCGTCTTCTTCTTCTTCTTTTCTAGATGAGAAAATCGATTTTGGGAGTTGCGCAGAGCGAGAAGAGCTTCTTCTCCTTCTCGTCTCTCGCGCACCGATTTTTGCGCGCCTTTTTTCGCCTCTTTTTTTCGTGAGGGAAAAAAATGTTGTGGAAGAAGAAGAAGTAGAAGAAGGGTGGATAAACGGGCGCAATTTTCCACAAGCAAAAAAAAGAAAACATTTTTTTTCGTTGAGAATGAGAAAAACGAGAGGTGGAAGGACGGGGGAGTTGTAAACAACAACGAGGAAAATATTTAGAAATTTTGGAAAAAATTTACTTTTCAAATTTTAAATTCACAAATTTTTATCAGAAAAAATTTTACAGCTTCATATATTTCCAGAAAATTAAAAAAAAAGGCTTCAGAATTTCTAAAACTCTTTCAAAAATGTTTGAAAACTCAAAATCTGAAATTGAATTTCAGCAAAAAAAAATTCCAAGTAAATTTTTGAAAGCTGAATTTTCAGTATGTGAAAATCTGGAGCCAATAAAAGTTATACTAACTTTCAAAATGCCACGTGGATTTATTTTCGGAATTTCCAAAACTCTTTTGAAAATGTTTGAAAACTGAAAATCTGAAATTGAATTTCGGCAAAAATTTGAACTTTGAGCCAATAAAAGTTATAATAACTTTCAAAAAGCCACGTGGATTTTTCCAAATTTCAGATTTTCAGAAAAACATTGCCACGTTTTTAGGTTAGCTTACAAATTAGTTTTTTTTTCAAATTTCCAAGTTAGGGTTTTTTTGAAACAGTGAAAATTTTCCCAGGAAAAAAATGTCGCTAAAATTCCCATGGGCTTTTCTTTTTTTCCCCAATAAATTTTAAAGCTCAAAAAAAAAATTTCAGAAAAAAAATTGAGCCTCAAAAAAAAGTGCACTTTTCTCAAATTTCATTTTTTTTTTCTATTTTTTTCCCTTCCTTTTCCAAAAAAAGCACTTCCAAAAATTGCAAAAAAAAAATTTTTCTCGCAATTTCTTCTTTCTTTTTTCCCCCGAAAAATTCCCATAATCAAATTATATATTATTATAATTTTTTGTGTTTTGAGAAAAATCTTGGGAAAAAAACATTTTTCTAAAAAATACAACTAGTACTAACTAAAAATATAGAAGAAATGAAAAAAAATGCATGAGTTGAGCCAAAAAAAGAGCCAGAAACCAAAAATGCGTTTTTTTTGGCTTCACCAAAAGAAGAAGCTGAGGATTAGGAAAAAAAGATATATGTCAAAAAATGTATGATTTTTATGGCGAAAATCTCGAGGAGTACTGTAGAGTCTAAGAGGTACTGTAGCTATTGTTTGATACCTCTACAGTACCTTTTGGTAACGGCAATTTGGAATTTAAAATCCTGTACAGTATATCAAACTACAGTACCTCATAAGAATTACTGTAGCTTGAAACTTGCTGAGGATACTGTAGTTAAGAATTGGTATCTACACAGTACCTTCAAATAAATCTGAAAAAAGGTACAACTACAGTACCCCAGTCCTAACTACAGTACCCCACATAGCACTCATATTTTTTGGCAACCTACAGCAGTAACCTTTGATCTACAGTACCCCATCTACAGTAATCCAATAAAGTTCCACATTTCAAGTGGCACAAATTTCTTGAACAACTACAGTACTACTCTAAAACTGAATACAGTACCCTAGTCCTAACTACAGTACTCGCCGCCTACAGTAACCCACCTCTTCTCTCTCCTTCCTACACGGTTGACAATCGCATTCCTCACGATTTTTTTTCGATTTTTTTCGAAATCTGCCCATTTTTTGTGGCCGCACGAAAAAAATCTGACAATTTTTGTGTGGGGGCACCGCAAATTTTATAGGATAATTTTATGGCGCGAAAACAACAACACACCGTGTAGAAAAAAGAAGAGAATCATAAAAATTTGCGAAAATCATCATGATTTTTAATTCGATTTCGCCGTTTTTCTTCGCGGGGATGCGGGGTACTGTAGGGTTTGAATGATTTCTGATTCATCACATGAGGAAAAATTGCGAAATTTGGAAGAAAATGGGCGTGGCACTTTTTTGTAGTACTGCAAATGGGGTACTGTAGATAAAGGGTTACTGTAGGTTGCCAAACAATTGAGGAGTACTTCAGCTTCCAAAAGGTACTGTAGAGGTATTAAACAATAGCTACAGTAGTTGGTAGGTTCGTCTACAAATCTACAAATTCTGAGTGTCAAGGATCGGTGCCTTGAGAGCCTAGTTCTCAAGTAGCCACACCTACAGAACCTAATTGTGTAGGAGCCGCGCCGAGAGATTCACCTTGACAAGGAGCTGCGCCTTAAGAGCTCAAACATGAGCTCAAAAGAATCAGCGCCTTGAGAGCCTAGTTCTCAAGTAGCCACACCTACAGAACCTAATTGTGCAGGAGACGCACCGAGAGATACACCTTGACAAGGATCGTCGCCTAGAGAGCCTAGTTCTTAAGTAGCCGCATCTAGAGGGCATAAAAAAGTGTGGCTCTTGGAAAATGCAAGCCTGGCACAGTTTTTTTTTCAGACAAACCCCGCCCCCTTCTGCAACCCTGGCACACTTTTTCTTCACCTCACAAAATCAACTCACCTTATTTCTCGATGAAGCTATAGCAGCTTGTTTATTATTCATTTTTGCTCGTTTTCCGCTTCTTCTTCCAGCTTCAAAAAGAAGAAACTGGATACACACTCACTAAAAAAGACTAAGACGGGAGAAAAATGAGTATTTTGTTTCTCCGGCTCAGGGCAAATCTGATAAAAAAATTGTGGCGAAAAAAAAGAGATTTAGGATGAAAAAGATGACGAGAAAAATGGATTTTTGTTTTGTTTTGTTTGGTTTTGGAAGAAAAAAGGACACATAAAAAGAGAGAAAATATCGAAAAACATGCATATATTTTGTGTTGAAATCGATAATGGTTCGCACGATTGAATGGCACAAAAAATGAATTTTTTTGAAGGAGGAATAGGCTGGGAAATTTTGAAAAACCACGTGGCAGAGTTAGGAAAACTTTTTTTTCATTAAAAAATGACGTCACTATCAGTTTTCAGCTTCGTTGATTTTTTTAAAATCAAAATTTAATTTTGCCACCTGCCAATTAACTACTTTCAATGATAATTATAAGCTTAAAATTGATTTTTTCAGCTACAAAATTCTGAAAATTGATTTTTTAAAAAATTAAGTTTGAGATCGTAAAATCCAACAATGACGTCACAACTATGTTTCGCAAAGAGTGTTTTATTTTCGAAAATTATGCCACGTGGCAACAAGCTTCAGTAATTTTTCAAAAATTACATTTTTTATTTTTCAGCTCAATTTTTCCACGTGGCAATTAGTAGTTTCGACTAAAAATTGAATTTAGAAGCTTAAAATTTGATTTTTTGATCTTCAAAATTCAGAAAATTGATATTTATTAGCTCAAAAATTGGTGCAAAAAGCCACGTGGCTCATTAAAAAAGTCTGATACTCATCATTTTTAGAGCCAGGAAACTTTAAGTTCAAAAAAATCAAATTTAAAAATCAAATCCAAATTCCACGTGGCAAATCTGAGGTTCATGTACCTTTAAATTTTTGAAAAAATCTAAATTTTTGGATCAGAAAAAATTGGTGAACAGTTCCACGTGGCTGGTCAAAATTCCACGGGTCCCAACTCTTTTAGAAAATCGTAAAAATTGTGAAAATAACTATTTTCAGAGCCAGGAAATTTTCAGTTCAAAATAAAATCTAATTCCACGTGGCAAATCTGAGGTTCATGTACCTTTAAAATTTGAAAATCTAAAATTTTGGACCAGAAAAAATTCGTGAAAAGCTCCTCTGAAGCTCCTTCTCCCCCACAAGGTTCCCCCAAGTTATCCCAACTCCAAACTTTTCCTCACCGCCTCAAATTCCAAATCCTCCAAATTCGCAAACTTCGACTTGCATCTTATCAAATATCCATTGATCGAATATTCGAATTCCGAACAAACCATAGCTTTTTTTTTTCAAAAATTTGAATTTTTTTGAATTTTAATCGCATATTTTTGACCCCCGATTAACCTACATTGTAGAAGATTAATGTGATTTTTTTTCGAAAATCCAAATCCCCGATTTTTCCAGGTGTGCTCAATTCTCGCGCATTTCCTTCCTCGCCATTGAAAAAAATAATTTTTAATTACACCAAGGCTGACCCAAATACAATATACACAATAAAAATAAATCGAAATGTGCATAATAATTGTTCTTGGCTAACGGCTTATCCATCAATAATAACCCCCCTTCTTCCTATACAAAAAATGAAGAAAGACTTTATGGTTCAATAGACGGATTAGTGCACACTGTGTGTGTGTCTGTCAATTATTATGATGAGGCAAAAAATAGAAAATGATTTATGAGATGAAATTGGAGCCTATACATTATTTCTTGTTCGATTAAAATAACAATTAAAAAAAATCAAAAAAATTAAAACTAAAAAAAAATATATACCGTAGTTCTTTCATCGCGACGAGACCATGTGTGTGTTTCAGCTGTTGCGTCTTTCAAAAACTACGGTATTTTTTGTTTTTTTTTTTCCGGATTTTCGATTTTTTGCATGAAAAACGGCAGAAATCAACCGGCACAGCTGCAAAAACTGAATGATCGCGCGAAACGCGCCAGCACTTGACGCGTTTTCGGTTTTTGCACGAGAAAAAAATTTTCTTTTTTTTTGTTTTTTTCCATCAGAAAATTAATTTTTTTCTTCTTTTTTATTTTTTTGTGAGTTTTTCAGGAAGTTTCACATATTCGGACAGACTATCGTTTGTAGAGAATTTAAAGGAGAATTTTATTATGTTTGGATCGAGTGATGAAAATGGGGCTGACGGATGCTAAAGTTGTTTTTATGAAGTCCATTTTTTCGAAGAAAATTTTTTTTATTCTGGAATTGATCGAGTTTGAATTTTTGTGAGTTGGAATGAATATACAATTGGTTGGAGATGAATTTGCGATGATTTTGAGTAAGATGCGATGCATTAGAGAAGCATTTTTCGAGGTCGGCGAATCAATATTTTTCTTGTTGAAAAGTAAGTTATTCGTATCTAAATTTATCAAAAAATCATGATTTTATATTTAGATGAGCGTGATACGAGTTGACGGAAACATGAAGATGTCGGAGAGTGCCAAACAAAAATTATTTCGATGAACGAATCCAATTGATTGTCAACCTGACCAGAAATTCACAAAGGAATTCACGTGGAGAGCCTCACGAAAAGAGTTTTAGGATTCTATGGAACATTTTAATGAAGGTAATTCCTATTTTTGATTGATTTTTATAAAATAGTGAAATCAATTGAAGAAATAATAAAAATTCAATGTTTCCGTGATTTTGGCGTTATTTCACCATGATAGAGGCATGGGGGAGTATCAAGACTTAGTCGATCTTTCTCAGCAGCAAAAACTATATCAAGATACATGTTCAAATAACATTTCTACCGTTCATTTTCGAAAAGTAAAATTCTATTTTCATTTTCATCGCATTTTATTTTAATAAGAACTAATATTTCATATGTCCGTGATTCAAAACTGTTTAATTCAAACAAACAATGTTGTTTTCAGGTATTGCGAACGTCAGCCAAGTGGAATCAACGGTTTCGATCATGGACGAAGTGGAGTTGATAATACTATTCAAATAACAGATTTTAAATGAATTGTTGTTGTTTTCAACTTGAGATTTGTTATTTTTCTTCAAATTTCGATCAAAAAATGCCACAAAATTAGGAGCTGTGGAATAAAACTTCAAATTTCGATGATTAATGTGGTATTCTGATTGTTAGAAGAGATCATGCTTCAAAAGCTTCAGAATCCTCTCAGCGAAAATGAAATATGATTTTATCATGAAATTGTAAGCCATACTTGTAATTTTTCAAATCACTGTTGAAATTTTTCCCGAAAAACATCGGTTCTTAGAAATTTTTAAGACAAAGAATGGTTATTTTCTCGTCTAACAGTACAAATTCCTTGTTCGGTAAGAAGTTCTTATTTCTTTTTTCAACATAAGTATATGAAACATCTTATTTCATATAAAAAGTTTGAAAGTTTTGCTTCATTATTTCAAAAATATCTTTTTTGTGAGGGTACTTCAAAATCTCACGTTTTTCACGCGTAATAAATTTTTTCACTCAACAAATTATATTTCTCTGTCTTCGTCTCATTCTCCTCTATCTTCTCATGTACGATTCATTCGTTGAAACTTCCGCTAACTTCAGCTTTTTTCGAAAAAATTCGAGAAAAAATTTTAAAAAAATTTTTCGGCGAGAGAGTGTGTGCGCCTATAGAGACGCCGACAAACACACACGCCCGTGGAGGGCGAGAGAGAAGAGTGCAGGAGACATTGCTGGCGCACAATCGGTTTTTGCAGCTGTGACCGGTCTAACCCTGTTCAACGCAAAAAACACTATAAAAAACGATTTTCAAGTGTTTTATTGAGGAAAAACCTATTTTTCGGGTTGAAAATTACGAAAATTTTAGTTCTAATTCACTTGTTCTCAAGTTGAATTGCTCGTTTTGATAAAAAAAATGATGAAAAATAAATTGAGGAGCGTCTTTTGCAACGACACTCCGCCGCTTGCCCGCTGTTTAGCGCAACACGAGAATATTTTCATTTTTCGTTTTTTTTTGCGCGGGTTTCGGGTTTCTGATGGATTTCAGTCAAAAATTCAATTTTCAGATATTCTACAAGGCTGGAATCAACGCTTCCAACGGAAAATCTCGAGGATTATCGAAGAAATGTGGGTTTTTTCTATAGAAACATAAATGGAGTTAGCAGAACTCAAATTTTCTGATTTTCAGCTTGAAATATTGATGGACAATTGGATTTTACGTGGAAAATTTGGAGGATTTCGAAGGATTTTGAGAAACAGAAGCGATTGGTGAGTTTTTTGGGGAGGGATTTCGGGAAAATTGAAAAAAATTTATGAAAATTGGAAAAAAGTTAGGCTAAATCATCAAAATCAAGTAAATAAAAATCACCAGTCCCTTTAAATATATTCCTTCCCGCGTTTCGCTAATTATCCCCCTTATGTTAAACACTTGACTTCATAGTTACGCAATGTTTCGCCGCAAAACCCCAAATCGTATTACGTAAGCCTTTCGGTAATTATTAATAAGTGTTTAACGTTTTTTTATGAATGACACCACGGGTCAGATGTCAATTTTTTGTTTGGGAATTCTTTAGGAGACGATTGCCGTGGAGCGAATTTGGATTAAAAAAATTTAACCTTAAGTGCACCCGCCATTGAAGCTGAACTATTGTCGAAATTGAAAAATGTGGCCGCCGTAAAAATGAAAACCAGTGCAGAACTGAATGAATGAAAACAACTGGACTTCGTCAGTCGCGTGCGGTTGTGCGGCGCGGTCGGAAAAGAAGGGAAAAAAATGAATCATTGATTGTTTTCGGACCGCGCCGCACAGCCGCACGCGACTGACGAAGTCCAGTTGTTTTCATTCATTCAGTTCTGCACTGATTTTCATTTTTACGGCGGCCACATTTTTCAATTTCGACAATATTTTTTCCTAGTTTCATATATCAAAAATTTGCCGGCAAGAAAAAATAGGAGCGCGTAGCCGAGTGGTTAGCACACACACGCTTTTTAGTCATTAGGTCGCGGGTTCGATCCCGCGTCGAGCCAGACATTTTTGTCAAATCTATCAACAATTCAATCTTTCAAGCAATTACCCCTCATGATTACCCAATAATTTGCTCCCCCAATTACATAATCGGTGTCGATCGACACTTCTTACACAACCTTTCGTCTTCCCCTTATTTATTTGGTCAATATGTGCATAAGGAGTTAGGCTAACTCACTAATGAGTAAATAGAGATAGCAACAATTATACGTTTGACCTTTCCTGAATTTTTTAATTTTGCTCCAAAAAAGTGAGCCGCTCTCTCCACGGGTGGTTGTTTAAACGAGGAGTGAATCTGAAAAAACAGATGCAGGTGTTAGATATGGCACCAGATGAATAGTAAAAGTTGTTTTTGGCGGGCGGTGAGACTTTGAGAATAATTAGGGAAGCGTGGAATTCGAGATGGTGTGAAATGGGAATTTTGGGAGGTTTTTGAAGGAATTTTGCGATTATAAACTTGGAAATTTGCGCTGAAACTCATGGAATTCTAGAAAATTTCAAAGTTTTCAAATTTTTCGATGAAAAAATTTTTTTCCAGAAATTACAATGATTTTCTGAATTTCAATACTTTTCATGATTTTCAGCGCAAAATTCTGACCTAATACATATTTACTGGCAAAATGTTTTTTTGCTGAAATTTTGTGCTGAAAATCATGAGAACACCCGGATTTTCTTTTTCTGAATTTCAGGAATTTTATGATTTTCAGCGCAAATATTCTGACCTAAACATTTTATTGGTGAAATTTTTCTAGAAAAATGAAATTTTGTGCTGAAAATCATGAGATCATCTAGATTTTTTGAAATATAAGATCTTTGTGATTTTCAGCGCAAAAATCTGATCTAAACAATTTACTGGTCAAATTTTTCTAGAAAAAAAAGTTTCCAATCTGAAATTTTGTGCTGGAAATCATGAAAACACCTAGATTTTTCTGAATTTCAAGATTTTTATGATTTTCAGCGCAAAAATCTTGATCTAGTAAAATTTGAAAAATGGTTTGGAAACTATTCTTGATCTGAAAATTTCCAGAAATCAGTTCCTATGCTGAATTTTTGTGCTGAAAATCATGAGAACACCTGGATTTTCTGAATTTCAAGGGTTTTATATGATTTTCAGGCTGAAAAATTTCAGCGCGAAATTCTGATCTACAAAATTTACTAGTTAAATTTTTCTAGAAAAAATGAGATTTTGTGCTGAAAATTATGAGAACACCTGGATTTTCTGAAATTCAAGATTTTTATGATTTTCAGCAAAAAAATGATCTGAAATTTTTCCAGAAAATACATAGTTCCCATGCTGAAATTTTGTACTGAATATCTAGATTTTTATGATTCTCAGCGCTGAATCCTATTCTAGTAAAATTTTGAAATTGGTCTGAAAACTATTCTTGATCTGAAATTTTTCCAGAAATTAGTTCCCAGTCTGAAATTCTGTGCTGAAAATCATGAGAGCTTCTAGATTTTCTGAATTTCAAAATTTCAATGATTTTCAGCCTGTTCTAGTAAAATTTAATAGAAAAAGTTCAAAATGATTTCTAATCAGAAAAGTTTCCAAAAAAAAAGTTTCCGGTCTGAAATTTTGTGCTGAAAATCCTAGATTTTCTGAAAAAATTCTGATCTCTGTAACTTTTTCCCACCCACTTCAACTTAATCCTTCGCCAAAAAAAAAACAAACAAAAAAAGTGAACAGAAGGTGTCAAAAACGATTTTTATTGCGCGACTTTTTTGATTGACTTCCGCATTTTTGGCGGCTCCAAGTTGCGTCAACTAACGCGGTTCTTTGACTAATTATCCGCAAAATGTTCCCTATTTTCTTTTTTTCTCGCGAAAAAACCACCTCCATAAATTTATATTGCGCAAGAAGATTGTAAACATTTTACAATTTCCGCCAAAAAAAAATAGAACCGGGTGAATTTACGACGAGATTGTGATTGTAAAAATATGATGATTGTAATCGTGTTCTTTTGGAGATTTCCGGCAAGTTTTTCCCAGAAAAAAACAAAAAGCATTGCTCATGTTAAAAAAAATTGAGCTGAAATATTTGAAAAAATTTGAGCTGGAACTTAGAAGCTCGTGAAACTTGAGGATTTTTTTTCGAAAAAAAAAACGTTTTGCACTAAAATAATTCAACATTGCTCATGTCAAACTTTTTTTTTCAAAATCAAAATTCAGAATTTCTTTGAGAGAATGGGCCACGTGGATTGCTTATTTTATATTTTTCTTCGAAATTTTGAAAAATAATATGAGCAATCCTGGAGTAAAATCCACGTTTGATGAGATTTTTTAAATTGCTTGCGCAGGTTAAAAAAATTTAAGATGAGCAATGCACACGTGGCAAGATTATTTTCAACAAAATGGTTGAAAAACATTATTTTTGGATGTCTGTATTTAAAATACCTTGCCACGTGGATTTTCTCCCAGAAAAAACCTAATTGTAAGCATTGCTCATGTTAAACAACAATTTTTTTTGTTTGAAAAAAATTGATAATTTATTTTTGGCTGAAAAAATATTAACAACAAAATTCTTAAGATTTCCAAGCTCAATTTCAGCAGTCATTTTTTTTTGTCTGAAAATTAGAGCTGAAAAAAAAATCAATTTTTGCCAGACTGAAATTTCGCGCTGAAAAAAATATAAAATGGGATTTCTAGAATCCCCCCAGCTTCTACAGTATTCTCACTAAATATGTTTTCTGACCCAATTCCAATATCATCTGATGCTTCCTTTCTTCATTTTGTTGTAGCCCAGCAGCCACCTGCTTGTTTTGTTGTCCCATAAATGTTCGGGGCAAAAACACCCGGCTGCTGCTTCCTAATTGATTTTATTTGTTATTTATTGATGAATATTTATATTATTGATACATAAAAATGTGTCACATCATCTCTAACTCATCAAAAAAAGTAAAAACGTATTTAATCCGGCAGACAGGTGCTATCTACTTACTTATGTAATAGTATATAGTATCTCTTCAAACTTCTTATTTCGTTATTTTCAAGTACGGTATTAGGTTACTGTAGGGGAAGCAACATGCAATCTACAGTACCACACTCTTAATTAGTTCTAAATAAATAAATAGTTAAACAGGGTCAACATAGACAGGCAGGTGTCGTGTTTTTTTTTTTGACACGCAAGCAAGCCACAACAATTTTATGGCGCCAAGAGAGATTAATGGTATTTTATATGGAGGCTGGATGGAAATTTAATATGAGCAATGCTGAATGACACGTGGCAAAAAAAGACTAATTTTGTGAAAAAAGTTTGATATAAGCAATGTTGAAAAATTTTGTGAAACTTGGACATTTTTTAAATCCAAGTGGCAAAATTTGTTGTACACATAAAAACTATTATGAGCAATACTTCAGGTTGTGTATTTTTTAAAAAATAATTTTGCCACGTGTTTGACTACGGTATAATTTAATCTGAAATCTGTATTGCTCATGTTAAAACTGTGTTGATTAAAAAAGTTAACATGAGCAATGTTTTGAAAAAGAATTTTCTGAAATTTTTTTCAGCATTGCTCATGTTAGAACTACAAATTTCCCAAGAAAACAGAAGGAAAATCTAACCTGAGCAATCCATTTAAATCTCATTTAGCTCAAATTTAGCCACGTGGATTTTTCTCCAGGATTGCTCATATTATAAAATACTTTTTTTTTCAATGAAAAACTATAGCATGAGCAATCCTCCAATCCACGTGGCATTTTTTCAAAGAAATTTTGAATTTTGAAAAAAAAAGTTTAACATGAGCAATATTCTAAAAATGCATATTTTTTTGAAAAAAAAAATTTGGTTTCACGAGCTTGAGAGTTCCAGCTTAATTCTTTGATTTTCGATTTTTTTTTCCAAACAAAAAGTATAACATGAGCAATCCTCAAATCCACGTGGCATTCTGAAATTCTGAATTTTGAAAAAAAAACAGTTTAATATGAGCAATGTTCTACATAAAAATGCATTTTTGTGCGAAACTTTTTTTCGAAAAAAAAATTTTGTTTCACGAGCTTGAGAGCTCCAGCTCAATTTCTTGTTTTTTTCGATTTTTTTCAAAGATAAAGTATAACATGAGCAATCCTCTAATCCACGTGGGTTTTCCCAAAATCCATAGCACTTGAGTTAAATCTTCACATCACCTACAGTACCCTTATCCCATCTCAAAACATTTTCCCAAAACCCAACACACTTGTCATCGATCATCTGTCAATCAACCCGAAAATTCGATCCGATCCGCCATGTTTTTATGTTGTTCTTTCCTTCTTCTTCTTCCAATTTCATGTCATCTTCCTGATTAAGATCTTTATTACCTAATCATCTATCCTAACTACTACCTAAAATGTCTCATTTGATCTACCCGCTTCTTTTTTCACCGACAAAAGAAAATGTTGCCATGTTTTTAATTGTGAGGTAAATTAGGGCTCACAAGGACAGGTGGACATAAAAATTGGAATAAAATGGGGGAAGAGATTGTAAAATAATTATGTTATTGTTTTGGGAGCTTTTGATGAAAGAAAATTGAAGGAAAATCTTGTAGACTTCAGAGTTTCTGGCTCATTTTTGATCTACAGTAACCCATAAATTATTAAACAAAATAAAAATTCCAAATTTTCGAATTTTCAACTGTTGTTCCAAAATTACAGTACTCTTTCAAGTGGTCTACAGTAATCGCAAAACAAAAGTTCCTAATTTTTTTATTCCAAAATTTCGAATCAATTTAAAAAAAAACACTATAAGTTTATTATTGAATTAAAAATACGTGAGAAATAAAAAACTAGGTCAAGTGACGTGGATTTAAAAACAGTATAGGTAGCCATGTCGTCAGTTGCGATGCGTGTGAGCGACACGTTTTTAGAAATGAAAATTTGGCAAATTCAATGGAAAATATCAAGGTCAACACGCAACGCAGAACCGCATCGCGACTGACGACATGGCTACCTATACTGTTTTTAAATCCACGTCACTTGACCTAGTTTTTTATTTCTCACGTGTTTTTAATTCAATAATACAGTACCCTAGAAAAATATGGGGAAAATTTGTGACCTGGATTTTTCTACAGTAATCCTAGCTACAGTAATCTAAAACTATTCGCCTAAAAGAGTTCCTAAATTTCTGATCCCCAAAATTCCAAATTTGTGCCACAAAATTTTGATCTACCTACAGTAACCTAAAGAATATTCGCAAGTTTCCGAAAAATGGATCATAGTAAATAAGTTCCTAAATTTCTGATTCTCAAAACCCAAAACTCCAAATTTGTGCCGGGAACTTGTGATCTACCTACAGTACCCGAAGAAAATTTCAAGATTCCGAAAAAATGGATCACCTTTTCCTTTTTCAAAAAAAAAATTCTGAAGTTATCCAAACTCAATCTACAGTACCTCAAGAAAAGTTCCAAATCTTTTGATCCCCAAAACTCACAATTCCAAGTTTGTGCCGCGAAAATTGTGATCTACTTACAGTATCCCAAAAGAATATTCCCAAGATTCCGAAAAAATATGGATACAGTAAAAAATTCTCCAAAAAGTCTGAAGTTATTCAAACTCAATCTACAGTACCTCAAGAAAATGTTCCAAATCTTCTGACCCTTGAAATTCAGAATTCCAAATTTGTTTGTGGCACAAAAGTGTGGTCTACAGTACCCCAAAAAAGTTCCAATCCAAATTGTATTCCAAGGGCTCCATAGAATTCACCAAGACTCAATTAAATTTTGTCATGAGTGCACCAACCAGCCAAACAATAAATATATCCATTTCTCTTTTTTTTTTTTCTCGAGGTCACCCATAGCTAATTGGTGCACAAACACAACTCATTTTTTCTTGACTTGACAATTTATTTATTTATTTTCCAAAAACACATATAACAAAAAAGCACAAAAATAAAAAACAACCCGAAAAATCACACCGGCTTTCAACTATCAAATTATATTTTTCTCAACAAAAAAAGTGAATGTTTTTTTGTTTCCTACGGTGAATTTTGATGATAATAAGATGTTTGGGTGTGATTTGGTGAATAGTAGATTTGAGTTGGCGGTGGCGAATACGTGGAATTGTTGGATGATGATGAGGGACTTGTGTATTGTTGTTGTTGGCTAGATTGATGAGCATTGAATTGCGAAGAATCGGGTGCAGTTGTGCCAAATTGCGGCGGGAAATAGGCGTCGAACTCTTGCTTGACGTGGAAGAAATTATTGGTGCTTGTGGAAGCGTAGGACAGATCTGAAAATCGAGAAAATTAGGGTGATCTAAGCCTAAGGCTAAAAGGTAAGCCTATGTCCAAGGTCTTGGTTAAGCCTAAGGCTAAGGTTTTGGTTGAGGTTAAGCCTAAGGTCTTGGTTGAGCCTAAGCCTAAGATCTTGGTTGAGCCTAAGCCTAAGATCTTGGTTGAGCCTAAGGCTAAAAGAAAATAAGCCCTTGGTTGAGCCTAAGCCTAAGGTCTTGGTTGAGCCTAAGCCTAAGGCTAAAAGGTAAACCTAAGCCTGAGCCTAAGCCTACGGCTAGGCCTAAGCCTAAGGTAAAACCTAACTAACCTTGCGACTGGCTCAGCAACTCCTGCAAATGTTTGATATAGTTCACGGCCTCTCTCAGAGTATCGGCTTTGCTCAATTTCTTATTCGCCGCCGCAGCCGGACGCAACCGCGTGCGCAACAAATCGAAACCGTCGTTGACCTGATGAACTCGCTTGCGTTCGCGTTCGTTGCGCTTCAATTGATTCTTCTTCGGATGATTTGCCATCTTTTTTTGCGATTTGAAAGTTTGGATTTCTAGGGAGCTTTCTGCAATAATAAGGAAATGAATTAGGAAATTATATAAAGACGTTAGGAAATTTCAAATAAAAAAAATGGAGAAGACACCAAACCGGTTGGTGAACACAAACACACACCAAATAAAAAAGGAGATGGGCGGGCGGGAGGAGAAGGGGGCGAAAAGTGGGCGGAGTCGGGTACGGTTTGGTGGATAAATGGTGAGAAGGGCGGAGCAATGCTAGCTATGATGAAATATGCGGGGAACTACAGTAATCTGGAAAGTTTGAGGCTGGAATTTATAGAAAATTTTTGAAAATCTGATTTTTTTTTGAAGAAAAATTAGAACAGAGTTTCAAAATTGTATTGGAAAATTTGGAAAATTACAGCGAAATTTATGACGTGTGGATACAGTAATCCTGGCTACAGAATTAAAGCTTTGAGATACAGTAATCCCGATTGAAGCTTGAAGCTAGAGCTTCTTGAAAAAAAAGTTGAAAAATAATTTTTTTTGAGCAAAAAATTGATCTCCTCAAAATTTTTGCAAAAATTGTATAGCACAGTACTTTGGAAAATTACACGTGGATTTTCTACAGTAATTTCAGCTACAGATGTGTACTTTGAGTTACAGTAATCCAGAAATAGGTTCTACAAAAAATTCAAAAAATTTTGATCTACAAAATTCTCTATTATTCACAGTAACCCGAGAAACCTTCAGATTTTATGACGTGGATTTCTCTACAGTAAACTTACAAGGGAAGTGCATAGGGTCAGGTGTTGAACTTTTGCTGAAACGTTCGAAATATACCAAATCGACCATGCTGATCACGAATCCGAAATCAAAAATTGCCACAAATGCATGTGAGCACTTTTCTGAGCTCCAAAGTTGGAATTGAGTTTTGGTTTTTGCCCATTTTCACCATATTCCTGGGTAGAAAATCAACTTTTATAACTTGAATAAGGTTGTTCACCCCATTCGAAAACCTATCAGCTTTTTAGTTTTTCAAAAAATATGAAAAACCAGCTGAAAACTTTAATTTTAAAAATGCACAAAAAACTTTGAAAAACGTGTGTATTTACGTGTGTTTGTGTGTATTTTCAGGACTTTCTTAAAAATTACAGTTTTCAGCTGGTTTTTCATATTTTTTGAAAAACTAAAAAGCTGATAGGTTTTCGAATGTGGTGAACAACCTTATTCAAGTTATAAAAATTGATTTTCCACCCAGGAACAAGGTGAAAATGGCCAAAAACCAAAACTCAATTCTAACTTCGGGGCTCCAGAAAAGTACTCACAGGCATTTGTGGCAATTTTTGACTTCGGATTCGTGATCAGCATGGTCGATTTGGTATATTTCGAACGTTTCATCAAAAGTTCAACACCTGACCCTATGTACTTCCCTTGTTAGCTACAGAAGTTAAAATTTGAGTTACAGTAATCCAAAAATATTCCCACAAAAAAGTTCCAAAAATTTTGATCTACATGACGTGGATACAGTATTCCTAGCTACAGTAATCAAAAACTGCTCTAACAAAAATGAATATTTGATCTAAAAAATCCAAAAAAATGCTCAAGTTACTGTAACTCAGAATTATTCTACCAAAAAGTGTTCAAAAATTCCTTTTCGAGGCTTTGGAAACCACAAAAATTGAAAAAATCATAATTTTTTTGCGGTAAAACTTCAAAAAGGTGTCAAATTTCACACCAAAATTTTTTTTGAACCAAGCAAAAAAAGTAAACCCACAAAATCTTATCTTAAACCAAGTTCCCAGCTCCTACAGTACCTCTCTCTCTCAATAATTACCACCCATCTTTCGGCCTCTCTTTCAAGAAAACCAAATTCAATAAGCCCAACTAATCCCAAGTTTATCTGTTTTACTGTGTTTTGCCGCCTCGTCAACAAAAAAAGTACTAAAAAAAGTCAAGGCCATAGGTTTTTCAAGAAACTTTTCTTTTAGCATGGCCGGCGAACATGAAACAACAGTAATTATAAATGGCAAAAACAAGACATATTTATTTGATTGTTGTAGAATTCGAGTCATAAATAAAAACCACACATTTTATGATCAAAAAATAAAAACAGTTTTGCCTCGGCGCGGGATCGAACCCGTGACCTAGAGATTCAAAGGCGTGCGTGCTAACCACTCGGCCACGCGCTCCTTTTTTTCTCGCAAGTCAAATGTTTGATATATGAAACGGGGAAAAAATGGTGCAATTTTGCAAAAAAAAAATTAGGGATTTCAAAACCCACATACTTAAATAGTTAATTAAATTAAATTGTCTAGTACATTTCAAGTAAGTAAGTAAACAAGTCAAGGCGAGAGCAGCTGAGATTGATTAACTCGACCCATTTTCGAGCGAGATGTGAACAAAAGGATTTTGGTGTGGGTTTTGGTGCCAGCAGCAGCAACAGCATCAGAAATGGCCTTGGCTTTTCTTTTTGGGCGAGAAAAAAGATTGACATACAAACAAAGGCAAACAGATGGATGAACCGGAGAAACCGGGAAAAAACATTTTGAAATTTTTTTCGGAAAATTTTGATCTACAAAATTTTTGGTAGTTTTCTGATTTAAAAAATGCTGAAAATCAGGCTTGAAACGATTTTGACAAAAAAAGTTCCAAAAATTCTAGAAATCTTCCGAATTTATGACGTGGATTTCTCTACTCTACAGTAATCCTAGCTACAGTAACTCTAAATTATTCCCATGCCTACAGTATTTTGGAAAATTGAAGGATTCTATGACGTCAATACAGTAATCCTAGCTACAGTAATCCAAAACTATTCCAAAAATTCTGATCTACAAAATTCTAGAAACCTTAGATTTTTTTATGACGTGGATTCTTCTCTACAGTAATCTAAAACGATTTTGACAAAAAAAGTTCCAAAAGTTTTGATCTACAGGAAAATTGAAGGGCTACTATGACGTGGATACAGTAATCCTAGCTACAGTAATCTACAAAATTCCTTTCCAAAGCTTTGAAAACCACAAAATTTAAAAAAAAATCCGATTTTTTTGCGGTAAACTTCAAAAAGGTGCCAAAAATCACACCAAACTCCAATCTTTTGTCAAAAAAAAAACAAAAGGATCAATTTTTTTTCTAATAACACCTTTATGTCAAAACCTTTGGGAACATAGGCTAACTTTTGTTTTTAAAAAATTCCACAATAAAAAAGTGATATACGCAATTATGAAAATGGCGTAATAGTTGTTATGTTGTTTTTTTTTATGATAGCCACCAATAATTTTAAGGGGGCAGATGTAGCTAATTACAAGGGTGTAATACATCCGCCCTTCCTTAAGTAAAACACCTGCCTTTTTTGACTTATCACTTTTATAGATCAACACTTATTATAATAACACTGCATTTCAGCTGCCGGGTACTGTAGATCACTTAATTAATTAAGATGACGTGGATTTTCTGCAAAAGGTACTGTAGCTTTCTCTGACGATTGCATTTCAGCTGCCGATTTGGGGTACTGTAGACTAAAATTAGCAAAAAAAACAAATTGGTGTTATTTTTGCAGTTCGATGACGTGGATCCTTCTACAGTAACCCAGCCAAACTGCAAAAGGTACTGTAGACGAATTTTGCGTGGTTTTTTCTTTCTGATCAGCGTCTGACGTGGATTTTTCTACAGTAACCCGAAGTTATAAAAGTTTTTTGAGCTTAGATTTTCCAATTACAGTAACCCAACCAAACTGCAAAAGGTACTGTAGTTTATCAATAAATATTTTTTTCTGTAGATCAAATTTCGCTTATTTTCCAGAAACTCAGAAAAATAACATTTGGGAAGTACGGTAGCACACGTTTCAGCTGTGTCTCTGTTTTCCAAAAAATCATCTAGTGCTTCTGAAAAATTATCTTCCTGGAGTACGGTAGGACAAGTTTCAACTGTATCTTTTTTTCTGTTTAAATTCCTCGAGTCATTCTTCAAAAATTAGCTTCGTGGAGTACGGTAGCACATGTTTCAGCTGTGTCTTTTTTCTATTTAAATTCATCTAGTGCTTCTGAAGGATCTGAAGTACTGTAGATGTTTGTAATTACCCAGATCCACCTTACAAGACCATTGAAAAGCTTCAGAAAGTACGGTAGCACACGGTCTGGCAACATAAATATATGTATTTCAATTCAAAACTTTATGCTACTTATAAAAAAAGTTCCAAGAATCCATTTATTTCTCGTTCTTCAATTTCTGAACAATCGATGTAACTACAGTTCCCATTTCATCCATCAAAACAGTTTCCATAATATCACCGGTCAACCAAAGTTCAACTTTATCATGAATCAGATTTGGAACATTGAGTTTCGGAGATGGCGATTTCTTGCCGTAAATCTAAAGAAACTTTTGTACACATACATATTTTTTTTCCAAAAAAAAACTCACCAACAATTTGCTCATCGGTTGAATAATAGTAACTTTTGGCAAAGTGACCTCAATAATTGCTTCTCCAACAGTTCTTTTAATTACAAAATATCCAATATTCACCTCCTGATTCGAATTATTTTTCAATTCCAAAAATTGTCCTTCCACGTTGCAATTTCCGAATTTGATTGGTCCTTTTCCAGAATACAAACTATAATATCGATCTGCTCCTTTAAGCTTCTTTGGTTTAATTTTCTTCTTCTTCTTCTCCTTCTTCAATTCCTTAATATCAGCCTCCAAAATCAAATTCTGAGCTTTCAATTTTTTGAACTCATCAAAAAGTTCAGCATACATTTGCTCCGTTACTTCGAGCTCTTTTTTGAGCTCAAGTTTTTCAGCTTCAAGTTGTTCAACTTTACTCATTTTCTTTTCTATAGGAATAAATGATGAAAATGAAACTGTTTTATTATCAGAAAAACTGTTATCTTAGAGGGAAATTAAATTTTTATGTGGCGCCAAAAAATGAGTAAGCTGTTCTTCTCACAAAAACCAACACAATATTGTTTGTTGCATCTCAATCCTCACGGCTAATTGACTGGCAATTAACAACATGCGATTCTTCCCTTTTTTGATCTACCGCCGCCATTTTTTTGTTTGTTTGGTTAATACTTACAGGGTAAATATTGTTGTTCTCTTGTTCACACAAATCAAAACATGAACAAGATTATCCTTTTGTCGGGTCGGAAAAAAAGTAAAAACATGGAAAAAAGTCAAGTGGGGTCATTGATTGATCAAAGGGGGGATGAGTTTCAGATTATGTAATAGAATTAGGTTAGAAACCCGCTGTGAATTTGTGCATGTTGGTCGAAGCTTCAGGAAAAATTGCACCTCGTTTCATATATCAAACATTTGCAGGCAGGGAAAAATAGGAGCGCGTGGCCGAGTGGTTAACACGCACGCCTTTGAATCGTTAGGCCGCGGGTTCGATCCCGCGTCGAGGCAAATTTTTTTTTTTAATTTTTTAAGGCTAGAATTCTACAGTAGCGGCAAACTCCAAAGCCTAATTTCAAATACATATTTTGAACGCATCTGCTTCTCAAAAAATAAGGTGATATCGGAAATGAGGCGAGACACACACACACAATTTATCTCTCACTTTCACTTGTTTTTTCTTGATCTACCGCACGTTTTTTTGTGGCATCAAGCAAGCTTATGCAAATATATGAGACGTGCCACACACAAAAAAACACACACACAGTAGTTATTAGAATAATAATAAATCATGTTTGGCGGGCGGTGTTATGGTAATTATAGGGCCAAAAATTTTGAATAGAAAATTATAAGAGGAGGGAGGGAAGAGCTCAAGTGTTTTTGTTTCAAGGCGACACTGTGTGTGATTTATGAGGATTTTTGGATTTCGCGCATTTTTTTTGGTGGGTAGGGGAAAGGGATTATTCTTGTTAGGGTTTGGTGAATTCCGAGAGAAGTACACACAAATAAATTACGTGTGCGATAGAGCAAACTTGTGTTATGTTATTGAATTTCAACCGGAGACACGGTTAAATTAAGCTCTGATGTAAATAAAATCTTTACCCAAGAAATCTAAAAAATTACAATATCCATTTATTCCTCGTTCTTTAATCTCTGAACAATCGATGTAACTACGGTTCCCATTTCATCAATCAAAACAGTCTCCATAATATCACCGGTCAACCAAAGTTCAACTTGATCATGAATCAGAGTTTGAACATTGAGCTTTGGACATGTCGATTTCTTGCCGTAAATCTGAAAAACACAATGTACACATTTTCGATTAAAAAATGGAAACGTGAAAAAGTTTTTTTTTGAGAAAAAAATTATATACCGTAGTTCTTTTTGTCGCGACAAGACACACATCTTTAAAAAATCGATGCGTCTTTGATTATCAACAAAAAAGCCGGTTTTGGTGGCTATTCCTAATCAAAAATAATTTAGAGCTCGATTTTCGTAATTTTCAACCGAAAAATAGGGTTTTCCTCAGAAAAACATTTGAAAATCGTTTTTTATAGTGCTTTAAACAGGGTTAGACTATTTATATTTTTCTTTTTTTCATGCAGAAACATCAAAAATCCGGAAAAATCCAGAAAAAAACAAAAAATACCGTAGTTTTTGAAAGGCGCAACAGCTGAAACACACACAGGGTCTCGTCGCGACGAAATAACTACGGTATATAATTTTTTTCGCGTTTCCAACTCACCAACAACTTGCTCATCGGTTGAATTATAGTAACTTTTGGCAAAGTGACCTCAATAATTGCTTCTCCAACAGTTCTTTTAATTACAAAGTATCCCAGATTCACCGCATGATTAGAATTATTTTCCAATTCCAAGAATTGTCCTGCCACATTGCAATTTCCGAATTTGATTGGTCCTTTTCCAGAATACAAACTGTAGTATTGATCTTCGAGCTTCTTCGGTTTAATTATCTTCTTCTTCTTCAATTCTTCATTATCAGCTTCCAAAATCAAATTCTGAGCTTTCAATTTTTTGAATTCATCGAAAAGTTTAGCATACATTTGCTCCGTTACTTCGAGCTCTTTTTTGAGTTCACGTTTTTCGGCTTCAAGTTTTTTAACTTTACTCATTTTCTAGAGGAATAAATGATGAAAATGAAACTGTTTTATTATCAGAAAAACTGTTATCAGAGGGAAAGTAATGTGGCGCCAAGAAAATGAAAAAAATTCTTTTTATGCATAATCCAACTCCTTCTGCACAATCGATGCGACTTCTACGCCACGTGGATCCAACAAAAAAGTTTGCATAAGTTCTCCACTCAACCAATGACCGACATTTTCGAGAATTATTGTGTTAGAATTGAGAATTGGAGTTTCCGAACTACCACACCGAATCTAACAAAAAAGTTTCCCAAAGATCTTTTAAAATTCAAAATTTCAAAAAAACTCACCACTAAACTGCTCGTTGGTTGTATTCTTGTGAATTCAGGAAGTGGCACCTCAATAACTGAATCCCCAACTATTCTTTTAATTCTATAAAATCCGAGCTTCTTCACATGATTCGATTCATTTTTCAATTCCAAAAAATTTCCCGTGCACATCGCATCTTCCAAATTGAATTTTTCCTCCGCCGAAACATGAAGAATAATAATCGTCTTCGCTTTTTAATTTTATAGGAATCGACACTGGTTCCAGGCGAGCTGGAGCTAGAGCTTGAGCTTCATTTTCATTTTCAGGACTTGAAACCTTCATTTCTACCAATGCTTCATACCTTTCAATGATAGCTTGGTTTGGTGCTTCATTTTGATTTTGATTTCCTCTTCAATAATTCGACATCTTCCTCCAATAGTAAACATTTCGTTTTCAGTTTTTTGAATTCCTCAAAAAGTTTATTATACATTTGATCCGCAACTTCAAGCTGCTTTTTGAGAAGACGATTTTCAGCTTCAAGATTCGAGTTGGTTCCGGAAGTCGAAGCCATTTTGTTTGGGTAAGTGAATAATAATGAAGAGTTGATGATGATAAAAATCAATGAAACTGTTGTGTTTTATCAGAAAAAAAAACGCTATCAGGAGAAGAAGGAATGCACTGTTCGTACATATTTCACGTTAAAAAATCAAGACAAAATTCAAAAAAATCTAAAAATAATAAATTTTCAAAATCCTTAAAAAATCTCGAAAAAAACGTGAAACGTGACACGTGTTTTGCCAACAAGAAAATGTCATTTTCTAAAAATTTGATCATTTCTCAAGGTACTTCAACAAACTGAAAACAAAATTGATGATTCTAGATTCGAAATCTGAAGTCATGTCGCTCGCAACTTTGAATTTGCGAAAACCCATTCATGAAAAAATGGGTATTCTTACCCAAGGAAAGAATTGAAGAAAATTGGATGCTTAAAAAGTTGAAAATGAAATTAATGCTGAAAATGAAGAACAGCAACAAGGTGAACTTCAAATAGCGGTGAGTTACTGAAACTATTGTCATTCCAAAAATAAAAGAACCCCCGTTTGAATTGGCGCTCACGTACAGTAAACTAAAAATGACGTGACACATGCACATCAAACTGGTTGGCAAAAAGCCAATGTGTAAATTTCGCATTTTATTTTTCAAATAGACTCCAAAATTTTGCGAAGTCTACTGTAGTCTTGGTGTCCTAGGCCATTTCGGTTCTCTTCCAAGTTCTTATTTTTTCGGAATGACAATATATGAAAACTATTCAAAAAAAATTATGGAAAAAATTTAGATTCAACCTGAAGACCAGCCAAAAATGTTGGAAGCGGAAATGATTCGCACTACCAGCTCCTCAACTCGCTGCGATTCCTGACATCGAAATTGATGATGAGCCGATTGCTGATGTGGTACCTGCTGTACCTGGTCCTCAACAATAAGAATTCCTAAATTTTCCTCATAATTTTTGCTACTTCAAGAAATATTTTATTCGTCAATATAAAAAGTTCAAAAAACACTGCATCAGACTTGATCTTGCTCATCCACTTTCAAACCCTGAACAATGGAAACAATTTCTGTTCCATGTGGATCCAACAGACATGTTTGCATAAGTTCTCCACTCAACCAATGTTCAACATTATCAAGAAGTATAGTTGGAGAATTGAGAAACGGAGTTTCAGAATTTCTTGCGAAAATCTGAGAAAAATTGTTGTTCATTACGCCAATAGAATCAAACACTCACAACTAATTTGCTATTAGCTTGAATTTTTGTTGCTCTTGGCAATGGTGTCTCAATAACTGTTTCACCAACGATTCTTTTAATTATATAAAATCCAAGATTCCTCACTTGATTTGAATGATTTTCTAATTCAAGAAAATTTCCGTGCACGTCACACTTTCCGAATTTAATGGGTCCTTTGCCAAAATATAAAGCATAATAATCGTCTTCGCTTTTGGCAACTGGATCCAGGCGAACTGGAGTTAGAGCTTGAACTTCAATCCGCTTTGCAGGACGTGAAGCATTTATTTCTACCAATGCTTCACGCTTTTCGCTGAGAGCTTGGTTTGGTGCTTCATTTTGATTTTGGGTCCTCTTCAATAATTCGACATCTTCCTCCAAAAGTAAACAATGAGTTTTGAGTTTTTTAAATTCCTCAAGAAGATTTGCGTACATTTGATCCGCTACTTCAAGCTGCTTTTTGAGAAGACGATTTTCAGCTTCAAGATTTGAGTTGCTTCCGGAAGTTGAAGCCATTTTGTTTTGGTAAGTGAATAATAATGAGGAGTTGATGATAAAAATCAATGAAACTGTCGTGTTTTATCAGAAAAAACGCTATCAGGAGAAGAAAGAATGCACTGTTCGTACATAACATTTCAAGTTGAAAAATTAAGTGTTTGGACAAAATTCGAAAAAAATCTACAAAATAATAAATTTTCAAAATCCTTTAAAAAATTCTCGAAAAAAACGTGAAACATGACACGTGTTTCGCCAACTAAAAAAAGTCATTTTCAAAAATTTGATCATTTCTCAAGGTACTTTACTAATGGGGCTGGCTATTCTGTCGTGTTTTATCAGAAAAAAATGTTATCACGATAATTTTTGAATGCGCTGTTCCAATATATTTTGAAATATTTCACTCTTTTTCGAAAATATTTTATTCGTAAAGCAACAAGTTATCAGAAATGGGGTTTTTCCAAACCCTGTATAATCGATGCAATTTCTCTACGTCTTCGATCCAACAACAAAGTTTGCATAAGTTCTCCACTCAACCAATGTGTAAACCCATCAAGGAATAGAGTTTGAGAATTGAGAATCGGAGTTTCTGAACAGCTTCTTCTAGCGCGAAGCTTCAATAAAAAATGCGAAAATTTTTTTAAAAACATAAATAAGGTAACAACTCACAACTAATTTGCTTTTTGCTCGTAATTTCGTAGATTCTGGAACAACAACTTCAAAATCCAAGTTTCCAATAATTCTTCGTATTACAAAACATCCAAGGTCAACTGTACACTTCGAAATATTTTGCAATTCCAAAAATTCGCCCTTCACATCGCAATTTTTGAATACAATTGGTCCATTTCCAGAATAACAATTATAATAAAGGATCTGTTGAGATCAGCGAGGGTTCGAGACAATTCAGCTTCTTCATTGATTCATCTTCCAAGACTGAACTATACTTTTTCAGTTCTTCGAACTCTTCAAGAAGATTTTTGTACATTTTCTTGCCAACTTCAAGTTGCTTTTTGAGTTGACGGTTTTCAGCTTCTAAATTTGAATAGCTCCTAGAAGTTGAAACCATTTTCTCAAAAAACTGCTGCGTTATCTCATAAAGACTCGGTTTATATATATTTCTTGTGAAACAAACATAGTTAATGTTTTGAAATATTTCTTCTCTTGCTCTTTTTGACAGGCTGTAAAGCACAGTGTATCGAAAAAAAAATGTTTTTTTTTAACATTGAAAGATCAATTCACGAAAAGTCATAGGTCAAAGTTAGTTTTTCGAGTTTTTCAGCCAAAAATGATGACAAATCAATATTTTCCAAGCTTCTGGAGTGATTTCTGATGAAAAATAAGCTCCGAGAAGCCTATTTTGCTTTATTTTATGAATTTTTCGAAATTCATCAAAATTTAAATTTTTTTTATTTTACGAAAAATCGGCAAAACCTTCTGAAGGTCAATTTTTATCAGAAATCACTCCAGTAGCTTAAAAAATCTTGATTTGTCATCATTTTTGGCAGAAAATCTCGAAAAACTAATTTTGACCTATGACTTTTCGTGAATTGATCTTTCAATGTTAAAAAAAACATTTTTTTCGTTTGTGAATCAGCCCTAATCATACACTTTTCTTTTGAAAAAATAGGTTTATTTCATTTCACACGTCGCTTTAATAAATAAAAAGTTTAAAAAAGACTTAAAAAGTTATCAGAATTCTCCTCCACCTTTTCCAAACCCTGAACAATTGAAGCCATTTCTGTGCCATTTCGATCCAACAAAAATGTTTGCATAAGTTCTCCACTCAACCAATGATTAACCTCATCGAGAAATATAGTTTGATGTTTGAGAGATGGAGTTGTTGAGCCTCTACATCTACCGCGAAGCTTAAAAAAATATGTTTTTTTTCAAATATTGTATCAAAGAACTAACCACTAATTTGCTTCTCGGTTGAATTTTTGTAGATTCTGGCAAAACCACTTCAAAGTTCAATTCACCAACAATTCGTTTGATTATAAATTGTCCAATTTTAATCGGCCTGTATGCGATGTTTTCCAATTCCAAAAATTCACCTTTCTCGTCGCAATTTCCGAATACAATTGGTCCATTTCCAGAAGGACAGTTATAATGACGTTCTGCAGGTCTTCTGGGGCTAGTCGCATTTCTTGAGGGTTCCGGGCGAGTTAAAGCAAGTGCCTGATTCTCATTGAATTTCGGCTTCTCCATTGATTCGATTTTTCCTTTCAAAACCAAATTTTCCGTTTTCAATTTATCAAAATCATTAAGAAGTTTAGCATTCATTTGTTCCGATACTTCAAGCTGATTTCTGAGACCTTCATTTTGATTTTGCATCCTTTTCAATGATTCAATCTCTCCTTCCAAAACCAAATTTTGCGCTTTCATTCTATCAAAATCATCAAGAAGTTTAGCATACATTTGTTCCACTTCTTCAAGACCTTGGTTCGGTGTTTCATTCTGATTTTGATTCCTCTTTAATGATTCGACATCTTCTTCCAAGAGCAAACTATGAGTTTTGAGTTTTTTGAATTCCTCATGAAGACCTGCGTACATTTGCTCTGTTACTTCAAGACGCTTTTTGAGATGACGATTTTCAGCTTCGAAATGAGATTGACTACCAGAAGTTGATGCCATTTTCTCACAGAAAATATAGAGAATATGTACTTAGTTAGATAGTAGAAAAAACTGATGTGTTATCTCATATAGAATGAGTTTATATATTGGTCTCATAAAACAAACAGTTAATGTTTCGAAATATTTCTTCTCAGCCAAAATTTTGTGTTTCTTTTTTAATAGAAAATGAATAACGCACTGTATTTTTTTTGCAATTCGAAGGAGACGCAGACTTTAACGTGTGCAGACAAATCTCTCGTCGAAAAAGGGAGAGAAATAGTGTGTGGCAGACACACAGCGTGTCGAGACCAGCGAGTGTCTGCGTCTCCTCGAAATTGCATTTTTCTATCAGAAAAAAACACAGTGAACGTGATAAAAATCAAAGGGAAAAATCATATTTTTTGATGTTTGGAGAAATTTTCGTAGGTTTTTCCTATTGCCTCTCAAGAATTTGTCATTTTTTTGCAGCAAAGATTTCGAAATTTGGTTAAGTATGAAAATGTTTGGAAAAAATTCACAAACGCCGTCAAAATTTTAAATTTGATATTTTTCTAATAAAAAATTCCTATTGTGTTTTTTTTCATTATACTCTGCTACAATGAGAAACTTATTGGCTATGATGAAAAAATAAATTTCAAATCAACTTTTTTCGAAAAATTTCGAAAATTCAAATGAAAAAAACACAAAATTTGAAATTTTTTTGAATTTTTTTCGTGAAATCAGGAAATTTCCTAGTTTTTTGAATATTGGAGTTTCCCATCGAATTAGATGACAAAAATATTTTCCCAATATAATTTTTCCGCAAATTTTTCATCATTTTCTAAAATGACAATTATTATTGTTCTTTTCCTAACCCCAATTCTCATAGCCTACTTTCTCAATTACACATATTGGCTAAGACGTGGAATTCCAACCCCACTAGGTTATCCGATCTTGGGAAATGTTTTGGATATGTTCAGCACCACCCATCCACCACCACTGAAACTTCAAGAATATACGAAAAAATATGGAAAATACTATGGAATCACTGAAGGTTTATCGAGAGTTCTAGTTGTTAGTGATGTCGAGATGATAAATGAGATATTTTTGAGACAATTTGATAATTTTTACGGAAGGAAATTGAATAATTTGCAAGGAAATCCGGAAAGAGATGAGTGTTTGAATGTTTTTCAATCGCAAGGATATCGGTGGAAAAGGTTGCGGAATTTGTCAAGTTCCTCGTTTTCTAGTAATAGTTTGAGGAAAATGAGGGGGATTGTTGAGGACTCGGTTTTTGGAATTATTGATCATTTGGATAGGTAACATGACGAAATAAAAAAAACGTTTTTTTTTAACGTTAAAAAACCAAAAAAGTGATTGACGAACAGTATTTTTATTCATTTTTCACCATTTTCTCAACACACTGAATAAAGTGAAGCTAAAACACGTTTTAGTGTCCAGAAATGTCACTCCAAGCTCTTTCAATGAGTCTTAAAGTCAAATCAAGCCTTCAAAATCAAATTGTTGATTTTCGAAAATTTTCACACTCGCTCAAGCAAGCAATCGCGACAAGACCCAACGCATTAAATTTATCATGTTCCTTTAATACTGTAGTGCGAAACATAACGGCGAACAGAAAGAATTAGACAAAAGTGTTTACACAGTTTTTTCATTCGCAAATTTTTCGTTTTACAGTAGCAAAACACTCATTGTTACATTTTCGAAACTTTTTTTTTTGAAAATTTTTCGAAAATCACCAATTTCATTTTTTGGGAGTTGTGAGGCTTGATTTGTCGTTTAGGCTGATTAGAAGGTCTTGAAAGAGCATTTCTGGACACTAAAATGCGTTTTAGCTTCACTTTAATAAATTGGGAATGTGTTAAGAAAATGGTGAAAAAATGAATAAAAATACCGTTCGTGAATCACTTTTTCGGTTTTTTAACGTTAAAAAACGTTTTTATTTTCCGTGAATAAGTAGTGAAATACAGCTTTCTCTACAGAATCTCGAAGGACGAAATCGACATGCTTGAAATCTACCAAGAGTTCACAATGGATGTAATCGGGCGGATTGCGATGGGACAGGAGGGCTCCAAGCTCTTCCGGAATCCCCTTCTCATTCCAGTTCGTGAAATATTCGGGCACAATCGAAGTCTACTTTATACAATCGGCAATATTCTACCGCCATTTTTGGCTGAGATTTTGCGATGGTTTATGATGCGATATTCGATGCTTGGGCTGAGTCCAGCTGTTGAAATACATCGGGTAATTCGGGAAGCTGTTTTGGAGAGAATCAGGAATCCTAGAACAACAGAATTATCAGAGGAGCCCAGAGACTTTATAGATCTATTTCTCGATGCTAAAACTGATGTGAGATCTGAGAGTTCCTTGGAATTTTCAAGAACTTCAGCTTCAGAGGTCAAAATCGAGAAAAACCTAACTTTTGAAGAGATCATCGCACAGTGTTTCATATTTCTTGTTGCTGGATTTGATACAGCTTCCCTGGCATTGGGGTATACTTCATACTTGTTAGCTTTGAATCCGGAAGCGATGCGGAAAGCGCAAAAAGAGATTGAGGAAGTCTGCGGGGAGGAACAGGTTAGAATTTTTGATAAAATTAAACTTGCATATTTATTTACAGAGCATAAGTTTCGATCAATTGTCTAGACTCAAATATCTTGAAGCGGTTATCAAAGAAACACTTCGATTATATCCGCTGGGTTCATTGTAAGTGTTTATTCTTTCTGAATCCTAAAAAAAAATCACGATAAAATTCCAGAGGAAATGGTAGAAGATGTATGAAGAGCACCGAAGTTTGTGGAATTCGAATCGAAAAAGATACAAATATTCTAGTTGATACGTGGAGTCTACATTATGATAAACAAATTTGGGGAGAAGATTCGAATGAATTTCGACCGGAAAGATGGAATGATCAGCAAATGAAAAATGGAGCAAATTATTTACCATTTGGTTTTGGGCCAAGACAATGTATTGGAATGAGATTGGCTATGACGGAAGAGAAATTGATTTTGGCGCATATTTTGAGAAAATTTGATTTTGAAATTGGATCAAAGACGCAGATTCCGTTGAAATTGGTTGGAAGAGCGACTACACAACCGGAAACATTGATTTTGAAATTGAGAAAACGGGATTATTGAGATTAGCCTGGGATAAATATTTTACAATTACCCAAAATTCAAAAAAAGCTTGCGGGATCGAACCCATGACCTAAAAACTGAAAGACCCGCGTGTTAACCACTCGGTCACGCGCTCACGCTTTTTTTTGAAGTTTGACACATGAAACAAGGAAAAAATGGTGCATTTTCGAAACTTTTTGACAGAAAAAAAAGGTGTAACAGAAAATTAAAAAAATAAGAAGCTCCAGCACCAAATCAGAAAACTGACTGCTCTTTTCTAAACGCCACAAAATAATAGCAAACGATGAAATCATTCTTGTCAAGAAGAGAAATAGTGTGTGTTCCCAAAGAGAGTGCAGATAACAAATATGTGATCATTATATGATTTCAGTTCATTTTTGTGTTCAAGTTTATATATAAACTCAAACCTCAAAATCAAAATATGTTAGTCTTCCCCGAAAATGGCAATATTTTTAGCGATTTTCAGCAGTATTTTTGTGATTTCTATAATTTCCTACCTCTATGTTTGGACTTATTGGTTACGACGTGGCATTCCGGGACCATTGGGAATTCCGATTTTTGGAAATTTGCTGAATCAATTTAATCATGAGAAACCGTTGGCTTTCAAGTTGCGCGAATTTACCCAAGGTTTGAATGAAGAGGCTCCATAAACATTCAATTTTTTTAAAGATTTATGGAAAATATTTTGGAATCACTGAAGGTCTCGTCAAAACTCTTGTAATAAGTGATGTTGAGATGATCAATGAGGTATTTGTAAAACAATTTGATAACTTCTACGGGAGAAAGTTGGGACCTCTTCACACTGAGCCGGAAAACGATGAACGAGTTAGTATGTTTGTGTCACAAGGACATCGTTGGAAGCGATTGCGAAACATCTCGAGTCCAACCTTCTCCAGCAACAGTTTGAGAAAATTATTAGGAACTGTGGAGGATACGGTATTCCAAATTCTAGATCACATTGACAAAAAAAGAGCAGATGATGATGGTGATAGACAAATAAATATGCTGGAAATTTATCAAGAATTCACATTGGATGTGATTGGAAGAATTGCGTTGGGTCAAGAAGGTTCGAAGGTTTTTGAGAATCCGATCATCGAATTAACCAGGAATATTTTTACAAGTGGAAATCGATTTATGTTGACGATGATTGCGTTGCTTCCCAAACCATTAGCTTCGAGAATTAGAGATTATATCCTGAAGTCATCAGAATCCTCAACAAATCCAGCTGTTCGTGTAATGTTGCTTATTCGAAAAGCGGTTGCACAACGAGTTGCACAAAGACAAAATCGAGCTGGAGAAGAGGAACCCGAAGATTTTATAGATATGTTTTTGGATGCTCAAGCTGATGTTGATATTGATTCAGAGAATAATGAATTCAGTAAAACAACGATCGGAAAAATTGACAAAAAACTAACTTTTGACGAGATTCTTGCACAATGTTTCACTTTTATAATTGCTGGATTTGATACAACTGCTTTATCATTATCCTATGCTACATATTCATTGGCAACAAATCCGGAAACTATGCGGAAAGTGCAAGCGGAAATTGATGAGCATTGTAAAAATCCCGTAAGTTTCTAATTAGAAGGAAAAATGAGATAACCTAAATTTAAAATGTTCAGAGTATCAGCTTTGATGATATAGCCAAACTCAAATATTTGGATAATGTTGTCAAGGAGACTTTGAGACTTTATCCATTGGGATATTTGTAAGCTTAAAAAATGTCAGTCCTCAGAAACCCTAATTTATTTCAGAGCTGTTGCTCGAAAATGTATGAAAACAACAGAAGTTTGTGGAATTCGAATCGAAAAAGATACAAATATTCTAGTTGATACATGGAGTGTACATTATGATAAACAAATTTGGGGAGAAGATTCGATGGAATTTCGACCGGAAAGATGGAATGAGCAGCAGCAGAATATGAAAAATGGAGCAAATTATTTACCATTTGGTTTTGGGCCAAGACAATGTATTGGAATGAGATTGGCTATGATGGAAGAGAAATTGATTTTGGCGCATATTTTGAGAAAATTTGATTTTGAAGTTGGATCGAAGACACAGATTCCGCTGAAGTTGATTGGAAGAGCTACGGTTCAACCGGAATCGGTGTTTTTGAAGTTGAAGGAGAGAGATTAGATTCATAAGTGTTTTTGTTTTTGAAATTGGTTAGAGAATAAAGTTTTTCGGGTGCAATTTTTAATATTTTCTTTAGAACTGAAAACTAGTCACGACCATTTACTCCAATAGAAAATTGCCCCTCGGGTCAGACGAGAGACGACGGGAGTCTGATGACGTCATCGAAGACAGAGAAAGAAATCGCTTCGAGATATTTTTGAGAAAATATGTGTCCCTTTGAAAAACACCGTACTTTGTTTCAAGGAACACATGTTTTATTGAAAATATCTCGAAGCGAAATTAATTTTCGGGATATTTTTGCAAAATAATCTCGTCGTCTCGCGTCTGACTCAACCGGCACCTTGTATAGTCATGTATTGTTAAGAAATATTTGAAAATGTTCATTTCATTTTTTAAATTTTGGTGTAAAGACGTTTTTTTGACATTTTTTTCTTATGGGGATATTCAGCGATTTTCTCAACAGTTTTCCTATTTTCTCAAACTTTTCAGCGTTGAGAAAAGAGCGACATAAGTCACAAGTTATATAAAATGATTTATTACACGTAATAATTTCAATAATCCCGTTTTCTCAATTTCAAAACCAAAGTTTCCGGTTGTGTAGTGGCTCTTCCAACCAATTTCAACGGAATCTGTGTCTTCGATCCAATTTCAAAATCAAATTTTCTCAAAATATGCGCCAAAATCAATTTTTCTTCCATCATAGCCAATCTCATTCCAATACATTGTCTTGGCCCAAAACCAAATGGTAAATAATTTGCTCCATTTTTCATCTGCTGATCATTCCATCTTTCCGGTCGAAATTCATTCGAATCTTCTCCCCAAATTTGTTTATCATAATGTACACTCCATGTATCAACTTGAATATTTGTATCTTTTTCAATTCGAATTCCACAAACTTCGGTGCTCTTCATACATTTTCGAGATACAGCTCTGGAATAAATTAGGGTTTTGAGGACTAAAATTTTTTCAAGCTCACAATCCTGCCAATGGATATAATCTCAAAGCCTCTTTCGCAACATTATCCAAATATTTGAGTTTAGCAATTTGATCGAAGCTAATGTTCTATAAACATATTTTAAAACTTTGTTTTTCAACCGAAAAATAATAAAGAACTTACAGCATCTGTACAAATCTCATCAATCTCTTCCTGCGCTTTCCGCATCTTTTCCGGATTCCGCGTCAAAAGCCACGTGGAAAATGCGAGTGACAGCGCGGTTGTATCAAATCCAGCAACAATGAACACAAAACATTGCGCGATAATCTCATCCATGCTTAATTTTCGGTCAATTTTCCCGATATTCGCTTTTAAAAATTCCTCATTTTTCTCCGATTTGATATCGATTTCAGATTGCGCGTCCAAAAATAAATCGATAAAATCTTCCGGTTCTCCCGGGGCTCCTTGCTCTTTTCGTTGCCTGATTCTCTCCGACACCGCTTTTTGTATCACTAGACTTATGATAACTGCCGGGTTTTTCGAGGCTTCTGATGGTTGCATTACCCGTTTTCGGATCATTAGAGCAAGAGGTTTTGGAAGAACTGATAAAATTGTGAAGAGCCATCGATTCCCTTTTCCGAAGATCTGACGAACTGGGGAGAATAATGGATTCTCAAAGATCTTCGAACCTTCTTGACCCATCGCAATTCTTCCAATCACATCCAATGTGAATTCTTGATAGATTTCCAGCATATCGATTTGATCACCACTGAAAACAGGAATTATTAAAAAAAATACTAGCTCCCAGCTCCCTAACAGTCTCCTTTCGTTAAAAACATGTTTTTTTCTCACGTCAAAATTTTTCTTCGATGATTTCTAAACAAAACGATAAGCGTTTCTTGTGTCGGAAATGGTCAAGTGGGTAAATCACGTGTTTTTCGTTCACAACGTCCAGGATCGGATTCTTGTGGACGTTCGTATTGGGAAAAAATCCGCAATCCAAAATTTCGACATCTCAAAAATGAGAACAGGGGGAACCCCATTGAAAAATAAAAATGTAGACAACACTCCGCCTTTACACCTTCAAAAGCTGTCAAACAAATCGCTCACCCTTTCTTCTCCAAAACATCCAAAATCTGAAAAACCGAATCCTCCACCGTCCCCAATAATTTCCTCAAACTAGCGCTCGAAAAAGTGGGACTCGACAAATTCCTCAATCTTTTCCAGCGATGTCCTTGTGATATGAAAATACTAACTCTTTCGTCATTTTCCGGATCACCATGTAATGGCGATAGTTTCCTCCCGTAAAAATTATCGAATTGTTTCACAAATACCTCATTGATCATCTCAACATCACTTATTACCAGGGTTTGTCGAAGACCTTCGGTTATTCCGAAAACTTTTCCATATTTCTGTAAAGGAAAATAAAACGATTAGAGCGCATTTGCTTCACTTCTCACAAACCTTGGTGAATTCCTGCAACTTCAAACCCAGCGGCTCCTCATGATGAAAATGATTCAATAAATTTCCAAAAATCGGAAAACCTAGTGGTCCCGGGATGCCACGTCGTAACCAATAGGTCCAAGAATACAGATAAAAACTCAAAAAAATCACCAAAACACTGGCTAAAATCGCTAAAAATATCGCCATTCTCCGAAAAAAAAATTGCAAAATTCAACTGTAGAGCAAAAAAAATGCTGTTTATATACTCAGCAATCTTTTATCTGCTCAAACCATATTTCAGTCACAAATTTGTTTCTCTGCACTCTCCTCGAAATACACACTATTTCTTCCGATTGGAGGAAACCAAACAGATGATTTCATTTCAACTTTTTGTGATTTTCTGCTCATTAATCATTGGTAATTTTCTCGGAGGTGAGAAAAATGATGAAATTTGAGTTGAAAAATAAGATTGTGCAATTTTCAGAGAGGAAATGCCACGTGGATTTTTTCAAGACAAAAATTTGGGTGTACTTCTCTCGGACAAGAGCTTATACCAAGAATGTAAAAAAAATCCACGTGCATTTTTAGTTCCTAAAATATTTTCTAAAATATTTTTTTGAAAACCTGTGTACTTCTCTCGAACAAGATTTGAAATTGTAGCGCGGAAATTGAAAATTTCAAATTTATTGCTGCCCTTTTTTTTTAGAAACTGTGTAGTTCTCTCGGACAAGATTTTTGAAATTGTAGCGCGAAAATTGAAAATTCAAATTTGATTTTCAGCTATTTCTAAAAACCTGTGTACTTCTCTCGGACAAGATTAGAAATTGTGGAGCGAAACTTTTAATTTTGAAATTTAATTTTCAATCATTTTTAGAAACCTTTGTATTTCTCTCGGAGAAGATTTTTCAAAATTTGGCGGGATACTGTAAAATTCAAATTTGATTTTCAACCAGTTTTTTGAAAACCTGTGTATTTCTCTCGGACAAGATTTTCAAAAATTAGCGGGAAAATGTAAAATTCAAATTTGATTTGTGTAGTTCTCTCGAACAAGTTTCGTATTTTCACGCGGGAAACTTAAAAATTCAAATCTAATTTTCAACCATTTTTTAAAAAGCTGTGTACTTCTCTCGGACAAGAAAGTTTTTAAAAAATCCACGTTTATTTTTAGTTCTCAAAATATTTTCTGAAACATTTTTTTTTGAAAATATGTGTACTTCTCTCGGACAAAATGTACAAAATTGTGGCGCGAAATTTGAATTATTCATATTCAATTTTCAACCATTTTTCAGAATCTATGTACTTCTCTCGGACAAGATTTTCAAAAATTAGCGGGAAATTTGACATTTTTTTAATTTTTTTGCCATTTTTTCAGAATCTGTGTACTTCTTTCGGACAATCCTTGCATTTTCCCGCGCGGGAAACTTCAAAATTCAAATTCTCCCCCCTCAAAAAAACCTTCATTTCGCGCACCACAATCCATTCTCCAAATTCTCCGCCTCAACAACATTTCTCTCCATTTTCAGCCATTTTTCCAGCAAAATTTTCACAGACGTGTCTTGCGCGACAGCTTTGCAATAAACAATTGTGCGAAATGGTCCAGGAATTCTAGAAAAAATAAATTCTACTTGATTTTGAAAGTTGGAGGGGGCCCCCTCAGGGGGGGCGTACCTGGAACACTTGGAAATCTGATCAGTATCTTGGCATGTCTCCAAAAGTTGTTGGAAATAAAAATCAACATTTTTGAGGCAAATTTCTTGATTCAAATCGCATTGAGACTGGATGATATAAAGCGCGACTTTTCTGAAAAAATTGAGAATTTTCTTGTTGAAAATGCATATTCAAAAATTTGCCAAGTGCTCGTTTCAAATATCAAAAATTTTGCGTGAAAGAAAAACATGAGCGCGTAGTCGAGTGGTGAACACACATGCCTTCGAATCATTAGGTCATGGGTTCGATCCCGCGTCGAGGCCAACTTTTTTTCAAAACCTACACATTCTCAAATTCCTCATCCACCAAATAATTCTCGGCCACAAATTCCCATCCTCGATCCAATTCCCCTCCACTTCTCAAACTCTCCAAAAACTCCACAGAATTCGCAATTTCAGGATAGGCTTGCGAGTTCTTCAAATACGCACTTATCGGAAGTCGCTTCGTTTCTTGCGAAATATAGTTTTGCATCATTGAAAATGCGATTTTCGAGGGAAACAATTCGAAAGCGTCGTCGATGAGACGAAGTTTGGTGCGAGACGAGAAAATTTGGGGATTTTTGGCGAGGTGAAGGAAAATGGTTTTGAGATAGGTTTCAGGGTATTCGACGCGATAATAACAGTCGGAATCCACGTTGAGAATGATCGGAGTGGAAGATTTGATGTGAATTGGAGAATCTGAAAGGGAAAAGGTTGGAATTCGGATGTGAAATTATCTTCTCAGAAATGGGTGAATGAAAAATTTTAATCTATATTTTTGTGGACTTCAGGTCTTCAGAATATTTAAGATGCAAATTAGGGATCTTAAGATTAGCAAAAATGAAATTGATCGGATAAGCAGGATCAGAGATTTCCCAGGAAAAATTGTGATTTTTTTGAAACGTAAATTTTTCTGGAATTTTTTTAATATCAAGTAACTAATGAGGTGATTGAAGTCAGAAAAAAAAACATTTTTTGACAAAAAATTTCGATTCAGCAAATGTCAAAAAACTATTTTTTTTCCTATTTTTTCTACAAAAATCTACACAAATACACAAATGATAAAAAATATCTCGCAGCGAAAATATTTAAATTTAAAAAATATCAAAAAAAAATTTCTGAAACGTAAATTTTTCTAGAATTTTTTTAAATTTCAAGTAGGTGATTCAAGTTGAAAAAAAAACATTTAAAAAAAAATTTCGATTCAGAAAATCACACTTTTACTCAAATTCTATAAAATTTTTGCTTATTCTGAAATTCAATTTTTTTTTTCGTTTTTTTTCAGAATAACTTTTTGAGTTCGGAATTCTGAATTGAAGTTTCACAAACTTTTTTCTAAAATTTTCAAATTCAGGAGCAATTAATTTTAAACTTTTTGAAAAGCCACGTGACACTTTTAAAACTTTTTTTCTGAAATTTTCGAGCCCAAAACCTCTCACCTCCACTCATCCAAATTGGCTCCTCATTTCTTTCCCCCTTCAAATTCTGATAATAAATCGGAATCTCCCAACGTGCGTTTTTTGAATTCACCCCATTTTTCACATACAAATCCTGCGATAATCTATAACGATCTGGCGCAATTTTCTGCAATCTCACAATTGGATATCCAGTTTGTTGTGTCCAACTTTGAACAAATTTCGAGATATCCAAAAGTTTCCCGGGTCCAGAGTTATCAAAGGATTTCTGCAAATTCCCCAAGAGAATCTCATCATTCACATTTCCATATTGATTTTCTTGCAAATACATTCGAATCGCTGCCATGAACACATTTTCTCCAATCACTTTTCGAATCATATGCAAAATTGCCGCCGATTTTTGATGGATCACAAAATCGAAATAGGTTTCCAAAGATTTTCCGGATTTGGGGTTGATTTTTGGGGAATGACGATGCGGGGAGTCTTGAAGAAAAGCGATGCGTTGAGCGTTGAGAACAAAGTTGGCTTTCTGGAAAAAATTCAAAAAAATGTATTTTTTGGACATCATTTTCAGGTTTTTTAAGCAAGTTAGTTGAAATATCGGGTTTAAAATTCATTCATATGATATAATGGTCTAAGACGAACAGATTGATATAAATTTTGATGACTTTAGGTTATCCTTAAGTGATTTAGCGACTTATCGACTAAGTTACGACTAAACTTCGCTAAATCACTTATGGATAACGTAAAGTCATCAAAATTCATATCATTCTGTTCGTCTTAGACCATTCTATCCTATGAATAACATTAGAGTCCAATATTTCAACTCATTTGCTTAAAAAACATGAAAATGACTTTTAGTATGTGCTCACACTGCTATAACTTCCATTGGCCAAAAAATCGGCGCCAAAATCTTCGAACAACGTGGCGAATCCCTCGTTGAGCCAAGCTGAAGTCCAATATTCGGGTGTCACCAAATTTCCGAACCACTGGAAGAAAATTGAAAACAAAATGTACATAGAAAATGAAAAAAAAGCCACGTGGATTTTTCTAAAAAAAAAATTTTGCGTCCAAGATTTTCGGAGCAAAAAAATCTCAAATTGAAATTTATGCCACGTGGATTTTTTTTTCAAAAATTATTTTTCTGAAGTTCTTTGAACTCCCGACATTTCCCATCTCAAAAGTGCCACGTGAAATTTTCTGAACATGTTTTTGTGATTGAAAAAATCAATAATTTCAGAGGGAAATTTTTGCCACGTGGAATTTCTCCAGAAAGCTTTCTAGAAATTCAATTTTTTCCCCCAGCTTCTCCCGAATTTCTTACATTATGTATCAATTCATGCGAAAGCACACTTCGAATCTTCCTCTTACAGTCAGCCGTATTAATCATCTCATCAAAGATCAAATATCGTTCTCGAACCGTAATCAATCCCCAATTCTCCATAACATCTCTCGGATAATTCGGTATTCCAACAATATCGATTTTCTTCATCGGATAAGGTATCTCAAAGGTCTTCTCCCATTTTTCAAAAATTCTCACAGCTTCTTCCAGCGCAAACTTCAATGATGATACAACTTCAGGTCTACTTCGAATTCGAACAGCGATTCCTGATCTTGTAAACTTCTCTAGATATTCAAAATCGGAAATAACCATAGCTAGAAGGTATGATGACATTTTCGGGGTTGGCAGGAAACTTGACTGTATAAAATCCTGATTATACTCCACAACAGGTCCACTCAAATCATTATTAAAAATCGCGGTTGAACCTTTCGGATGAATAATTCTCATCCTCCAAACAGATTTATATTGCGGTTCGTCTAAACAGGGAACAACTAATCTCGCATGATCGGGTTCCATTCGAGTTATTGCGATGATTTGCGTCCCATTTCCATACTCATTTTTATATTTGGATTTATATAGGCCTTTATCAGCGATTCGGATTTTTGCGCAATATTTGATTTTCACCAGAAACACTTGATTTTTGTCCACGTATTTGTCTGGAATATGGAAATTCGTCTTCTTATCGAAGTTGAATAAATGAAAAACATTACTTCGTCAGTCGCGTGCGGCTATGCGTCGCGGTCGGAAAACAACCAATAATTCATTTATCCTTCCGACCACGACGCACAGCCGCACGCGACTGACGAAGTTATCTGTTTTCATTCGCACGGCCTTTCAAAAACAGGGAAAATTGCAAGTTGAGAGAGACGCAGAGAGAAAAAACCACCTTCAAATGGAAATACGAAGCACCAATTACATTTGCAGTTCGACTCCTCGTCTCGAGACCAAGCGCGGGAAACATGTTTTTCAAATATTTTCGAATTCAAAAACGTTTCCCGCGCTTGGTTTCGAAACGACAGATCAAATTATTTGTGAATTTCGTGTTTTGGATTTCTTTTTGAAGAAGTTTTCTCGGTTTCTATGTGTCTCTCTCGATTTACCCCGTAAAAGGCCGTGTATTCATTCAACTCTGCAATGGTTTTTATTTTTACGGCAGCCACAACTTCGACAATACTAAATCACTAACCCAAAACAATCCTAACACCATTCAACATTTTATCCATCGATCGAATCGCAATCGGACGTCTTTGATCGTTGAAAACCTCGATTTTATGAATAGTGATTTCTTGCGCGCTCACAAAAAACTGCTGATTTTTCTCGAGCATCTTTAGTTTCATCACAACTTCACCATCAACTGTCATATTTTCATGATCGTGTCCGATATAAGCAAAACCAGGGAGGAATAATTGAAGTTGAACATCGTATTCAATTGGCGCGACTAATTTGGGGATTCGTTGAAGTTCTTTGTCTGATTGATAGATGCTATGCTCGCGGCTGGAAAAAAAAAAAATAAAATGAATTTCACTACGGTACGCAATGTGTGCATTTGTGCGTGGTGGTGTTTACACACCGCGACGCACAGAGTGTACTTGTTTCAGCGCATTTCAGCATGTTAGAGGGATTTTTCAGACGAATCTGAATACACCATTTGATTCGTCTCGTCGAGCTGAATCAGATGGTATATGCAATTTTGTTTTTGAAACACACAGGGACCTTAAAATGCACGTTAAGAACCGTAGAACGCCTTAAGCACCCTAACGTCATATTCCAGCCCAAAAGTTAGACTAACTCACATTTTTCCCGTATAACTACTATCCAAAACATGAATCAAAGCGGCGGCCCACAACAAAAGAATGAATAGGACCAGAGAGCCATAGAGCAGACCGGGAGTTTCACGATTTTTAAATTTCATTTTGATGTGAATTAAAAATTCGAACTGATTCTGAGGAAACCAAATATTATACATTTATCTAGATTGAAAGAAAGAAGGTCACGTGCGAAATATAAATTTTCAAATTTTTTTCCGAAATTCAAAAAAAAAGTTTGCCTCGGCGCGGGATCCAGGGGTGCCGTTTGGGCACCCACAGGGCACCCTAATACCCACAGTTCGGCGGGTACACCCGGGTGGGTATTTTCATTGAAAAATGAGAGAACGGGTGGGTATACCCGGGCACACCCAGATACCCAAAATGGGCCTTCGTATTTGATTTTTCGTACTAATTTATTTTCGAAATTTTTTGGAAATTGTGTTTTTTTCATGAAAAGTGGTCAGTAACATGAAAAATTGGTCTAATCTGTAAAGAAATTTCAAAAAATCAGCTTTTTTCTCAAAATTTTACTATTTTTCGTGTTGTAAACACGCAAAAGACTTTCTATAAGATGAGTATGAGCACATATTCTCTTAAAGGTTGATTTTATCACGAACTCTTTCATTTTTATGTAGTTTGGTGTCGAAGAAAACATATTCTATCTTTTTTCTAAAATATAATGCATTTTAAGTTATTTTAGAAGTCAACAAAATCGATAAAATAGAACTTTATCGATCGTTTTTGTTGCATATTAGTTTTTCAATCAAAAATCACTCATGTTTTAGCTCAATTCGTCCAATAACATGGATAATAGCTAAACAGAACAAAAAAATCAAAAATTTGCATCATACCCAAGGGTGCCCTAAGGGTGCCCACACCCAACCCGGGTATTTGACACCCAGGTCGATGGGCCTCAATACCCGGGTATTTTTCGATTTACCCGGGTGGTGCCCGGGTATACCCAGGTATCAACGGCAGCCCTGGCGGGATCGAACCAATGACCTATAAAAGACGTGCGTGTTAACCACTCGGCTACGCGCTCCTGTTGTTTCTTCAGCGCAAGATGTTTGATATATAAAACGAGGAAAAATGGTGAATAAAAATTTGAATTTTGATTTTTCCCGGGAAAAAAACAAATTCTCAATGGAGCGCACTTGTTGTTGTTGTTTTCAAGAACTTCCCTCGCATTCTTTTTCTTCTAAATAAAAAAATAAGCAATAATAATAATAATAATAGCCGGATGTGTTCGCGAAAAACTGCTCTACATACTTTTTTCTCCCCGTTTTTTCTAGTAGCTCTACTTGCTTAGTATAACGAAAATAAGTATACATATACATTTAATAACTCGAAGCTCACACAAATTGCTCAAACAATTGTTGTGCTCCAAAAAGATTTTCTTCGTTTCGGACCAAAAATTATTCCGAAACACCTCATTTTTTTGCGGAATTCCAAAAAAAAACTTGAGATTTTCTTCACACCTCATTGCTTTTTTTTCATTTTTTCGTATTTCGTCTTACTTGGAAAAAGTAGTAATAATACAGATTTTTTCGAGGAGCAAAAAATAATGACTGAAAGTTTGCCGGCTATTGCTCATCATATTGATTATTATCCGTTGAAGGTGAGTATGATTTTGCCACGTGGATTTTTTAAATTCAGAAAATTTCGACTGATCTTTTCAAATTCAAAATTGAGATAGCTAAGCCTAGGTGTCAAGCAGCCGAGCCTATAAACCCTAGGTGTCAATTAGCCGCGCCTTGAGATTTTTTATGCCAAGCAGTCAGAGCCTAGAGATCTTAGTTCTCAAGCAGCCGCGTCTAGATAACCTTATTGTCTAGGAGAGGCTACTAGAGATTGCCAGCCTGGCAAGCAGCCGCGCCTTGAGATTTTCTATGCCAAGGATCCAAGCCTAGTAAGCCATACTCTCAAGTAGCCGTGCCTAAAGATCCGAATTGTCTAGGATCGGCGTCTAGAACTCCAGTCTGGCAAGGATTCTCGCCTTGAGATTTTCTATGCCAAGGATCCAAGCCTAGTAAGCCATACTCTCAAGTAGCCGTGCCTAAAGATCCGAATTGTCTAGGATCGGCGTCTAGAACTCCAGTCTGGCAAGGATTCTCGCCTTGAGATTTTCTATGCCAAGGATCCAAGCCTAGTAAGCCATACTCTCAAGTAGCCGTGCCTAAAGATCCGAATTGTCTAGGATCGGCGTCTAGAACTCCAGTCTGGCAAGGATTCTCGCCTTGAGATTTTCTATGCCAAGGAGCCGAGCCTAGTAAGCCTAATTCTCAAGTAGCCGCGTCTATAGAATTTTATGCGTCAAGGATCAGCGCCTAGAGAGCAATTTTGAATTTCAGAAATTCAGTTAATTTTGCCACGTGGATTCTCAAACTTTTTTCAGTTCGAATTTTTGAGATTCCAAGCCAGACAAAGAGATTTTTGGTGTCAAAAAGTTCATTTGCACTTGACCCCCCAGACTTTTCGAAAAAACAAATCAACCGGCAAATTTCGACACACCAAAAATCGGGGAATTTGCAGATTCGCGTCTTTCGAAACGGCGACATTTTCGATCGCGGTCACGTGTTGGCGGTAACTCGAAAACAATTCAAACATTGGATTGTGTTTCTCGACGCGGTGACGGATTTGTTGAAAACATCGACGGCTGTGAGAAGACTGTTTTCACTTCAAGGAATGCCTATTCAGCATGTTAGTTTAGACAGGGGTGTTAATTAATTTTGATTAATTAAATAGATATATAAATGTCGGGAAATTCGGCCACCAAAACAGACCGGCCACATATCTTTTGAAATTTATGTTTAACTTCAATTTTTTTGTGTGCGCTTTGAGTTTCATTCATCAATATTTGAACAGTTTTAAAGTGCTCATAAACTTTAATTTGAAAAAATTGCAGTTCGACGAACTCGAATGTAATGGTGAATACGTGGCAGTGGAGAGTGGTCCGTTTATAAATGTTCCGTATGGTCAGACAAGATTCACAATGAGAGGAAAGGTGATTGGATTTTTGTAGACGCATTTTCACCATGTTAGAGGGATTTTCAGAAAAACTTGGTTCATCTCGTCGAGGTGAATCAGGAAAACTATTTAATTTTTTCTGAAACGCATTCTCTTTCAAAAAAGTTAAAGGCGCACACATTTTTTTGAGGTCTCGCAGCGACTTTTTCACGTTTTTCTGCGTGAAAACTAAAATTTTCAAGACTTCTACTGAATTTCGAAGAAATTAAATTGAAGATTTTAAAATTCCACATATTTGGAATTTCAATTAACAATTGAAATTTCAATCTTAAATTCTGCTTAAAGAAGCTGCTAAATTCCACGTGGCGAAGATTTGTTTTAACTCTTTAATTTGCCGTGGCACAGGGGCCTTAGAAGCCCTTAAGGACCTTGAGGTTAAGGAACCGTAGAAGCTCTTAAGAACCTTAAGGTCATATTCTAAAAGTCCCAAAAGTTAGATCAACTCACATTTTTTTGCGTTTATGGGTGACTGTAACTAAGATTATTATGGGGTATTTCGAGATGGAAAAAAAAATTAAAAAAAAAATTTTTTTAACAAAAAAATTTCGATTCAGCAAATGTCAAAAAACTATACTTTTCTCATTGAAATATTTTCGCTGCGAGATATTTTTCATTTTTGTGTGGAAAAAAATGACAAAAAATAGGAAAAAAATATAGTTTTTTTTTACATTTTCGATTCGAATCACCGCATTAAAATGCACGTAGAAGCTCTTAAGAACCTTAAGTTCATATTCTAGCCTAAAAGTTAGATCAACTCACATCTTTCCCGTTTAAGGGTGACTGTAAGGTTATTAGTTATCGCAACTTCTTTTTAAAAATAGTTTCTGAACCCCCGAAACCCCATTAACTCCCAGATCTACAACCCAATCATCCGAATTCCCGACGAAATTCCAACCTATCTCCATTCCGCCGAAAGTATGGACATCTATTTGAAGAAGGAGGGATACGGCACGATCACAGGTCAGTTTTTTTCAAAGGTCAAAACATATATGCTGGTTGCAAGAATGCAAAGTTCTCCCCCACCCGAATTTTCCGCTCGCATAAACATTTTGTTTATATGTACAAAAAGGGCAGGCAGGAAGTACATATATATCTATATATTTTCCGGTAATTTTCTTGAGCATTCTATATTCCTAGTAGGATTCCACTTTATTTTCAGGTCTACCTTATCCGTTTGATGGAATTTTGAGCCGGAGTCCGAGCACTTCGCAATTACACTTTAAACATATGCAATCGCATATTCCACCGTTGAAGGTTGGTTATTTTGGGGACTAATATGAGCAATATAGTAATTACTAAAACGAGCAATATATTTAATTCCTGTCATCAACTTAATATGAGCAATACCTAACCATAAGGATCCATTTAATTCCTAACATGACCTATGAAGTACATTCTTAAGATGAGCAATATATAAATTCCTAACATGAGCAAGATAACAATTCTTCAAATGAGCAATATACCTCCTAACATGAGCAATGTATGAATTCTTAACATGAGCAATATATGAATTCCTACCATAAGCCATTTAATAATTCTTAATATGAGCAATATATAAACTCCTAACATGAGCAATATATTAATTCTTAACATGAGCCATTTAATAATTCTTAATATGAGCAATATGCCTCCTAACATCAGCAATATATTAATTCTTAACATGAGCAATACATAAATTCTTAATATGAGCAATATACCCCCTAACATGAGCAACATACCACCTAACATGAGCAATATATTAATTCTTAATATGAGCAAGATACCTCCTAACATGAGCAATAGGAGCGCTTGACATGAGCAATATATTAATTTTCAATATGAGCAATACCTAACATGATCAAGCAATATAATAAGGGCAAAATCAGCGATACATAAATCTTAACATGAGCAATATGTCTACTAACATGAGCAACACCTAACATGGGCAATATCCGATTTTCTAGATTGGTGGAAGTATGGAACATCTCAACGAACTCGGCACAGCCTCCTGGCTCGGAAAAAATGAAAAATGGATGATGGGCGAGCGGGTGTCACAAGCCCCCGCCCAACCTCCCACCGCTGATCTCTCCAACACCACCCAAGATTCAACAACTGCTGAAGTTTCGGAAGATTCGGAAAGTTCGCAGAAGCCTGTGGCGTCTCAGAATCAAGGTGGAACTTCAATGAAAACTTCGACGTCGACTACAAAATTGCCGCGATTGATAACATCGAATCGGAGTTCGGTGAAACGTGGGAAGAAGGAGGGATCATCAGAGGCGACGAAAAATTTGCCGCCAATTTCAAATGTGACTGGAAGTGGGAAAATTAAAAATGTGGAGAATGAGGAGAAAAAATCGACTGAGATTTCGAAAGTTGTGACGTCATCGTCAGGTGAGCCTAACATGAGCAATAGCAATTTTCATCTTAAAATTCGAAACTTTTAAAAAAAATTTGCACTTTTTGTGGCGGGATTTTTAACATGAGCGATACTCCGAATTTTAGAGCAAATTTGTTGCTTTTAAATTTGAACTTACGCTAACTTAAAATTTATCTAGAATTGATTCAATTTTCAGCTAAAAATTCGAGCTCTTAACATGAGCAATTTAAATTTAGGCTAAATTCAAAAATTTTTCATTTTTCAGTTCAAATCTGATTCTGAAAATTTCTACCAAAATCCAATTCACTAATAATTTCGGCTCAAAAATTAATGACCCGTGGCGAAAATTTTTGAATTCAAAATTTAATAAGATGAGCAATACTCCTAATTTTTGTGGTTTAAATTTGAATTCGGGTTAATTTTTTCAAAAATTCCCACACTGAAAATTTAACTGAAATTCCAAATCTTCGGCTGAAAAATTACACGTGGCAAAAAATTAATTTCGAAATTTGAAAAATATTACTGTACATTTTTCGAACTCCTAAAGGCCTAATATCGTTGTTTTTTCTATTTTCGTCTCCAAATTTCGGCCCAAAACATTTAAATTCCCGGAAATCCAGTGCCTAGCACCTTTTTGTTTTCAAAAACAACAATTTTCCACCTCAAAACCCCCTATAAAACCTCACAAAAAATATTTTCCTAACTAAGAATTCTAAAAAAAAATGATGTCTCAATCCTATCACCCTCTTCTTCCTTCAGTTCACACCCAAAAATTGGCGCCAAACGAAGAGGGCGTGCAAGAATATCAGCGAAGTTATCAAATCACCGAGACGACATTTATGACAACTCCGAAAAAGGAGAAAAAACGCGGGAAGTGGGAGAATTCGCCGATTTCGATGAGGAAGTTTGGAAAAGCTGAGGAGAAAGAGAAATCGACGAAAAATGTGAATGTGAACAATAATATGAGCAATGATAAAGAAGTTACTGGAAATGGAAATGGAAATGTTAATATTGAAGATGAGAAAAATCTAGTTAAGAAATCGGCTAACGACGTGGATATTGATGAAATTCCGAGGAGAAAGATTTGTGAGTTGGAAATTTTGAGCTAGATAAATTTCAGAATTTTTCACAAATTGAAGCTTACGAGGAGTGAATAAATTGAACGTTAAAAACACGTTTTTCCTTTTTTACGGTCGCCACGTGGAATTCAAAAATATAGGTTAAAACTTTAAGTTCAAAATTTTTTCTGAAAATTTCTCGAAGTTTTTTGTTTTCCTAATTTTCTGGATTTTTTTTCAGCTCTGCTTTTCCTTTGAAATGAAAACCCAAATTGCCACGTGGAAATCAAAATCAGTTTTAAAATTGAAATTTGAAAATTTTCTAATTTAAATTTATTTTTTTAGCTCCGAAATCTTTCAGAAGAGGTAAATAAATTGAAAAATTTTGCACTAAAAACAAAAATTTCAATTTTTAACCTGAAAATTCAAATTTACAGTGATCAAAAAATTAAATTTGGAAATTTCGGAGCCTTAATTTCCACGTGGCACAATTTGAGTTTTCATTTTCAATTTGTTGAAAAAGTGAAAATCCATTTTTTTTTATTTTTGAAAAATTTCCTCCCGCTTCTCTGCGTCTCTAACTTTATAACGTTGTCTAACTGTCTGGCTTCTCTGCGCCTCTAACCCTCTAGCTGTCTGATTTCTCCGTATCTCTCGATTCCATATCGAGCAAATTCTCTGCGTCTCTAACTCTATAACGTTGTCTAGCTGTCTCGCTTCTCTGCGTCTCTAACTCTTTTAAAATCTAAATATTGCACGCAATACTAATTTTCAAATAAATACGTGAACTTCCACGTGGCAACTTTCCCTACATTTTCAATTTCAAAAATTTCCCGCCAAAACTTACAGTAACCAGCCGAAGTGTTCACAACTTCTTCAACGACGATTTGGACATTGAAATCGAAGACGTTTTGGAGCGCGCTCAACGTTGGGAGATGAATCGAAGACGGCAGGTAGTACTGTAGAGGTTACTGTAAATCTGAGATACTGTATGTTTCAGAACATGCGCCAACAATGCACTCAAACATCCGGCTCACTTCGCTCAATTTCAGCGCCACGTCGTTTTGTTCAGATTTTCGATCCGGATTTCGACTAGAGATTTGGATTTTTGGGAAAAACCCGTCTTTCAAACAAATAAAAATAAATTTTTGTTCCAAAAAATAAAATAATTCATTCATCATCATAAATAGAAGAAAATAAAAAAAGAGAAACCGTCGTTTTTTTTGCGAAAAAATTGAAATTTCTAGCGAGAAAAGAAGAATTTTGGCTTAAAAATTTGTGGGGTGAAAAGCACTACTATTGCACAAAAAAAAATATTTTGGGGGGTTTTTCGGATAAAAAAACTCAAAGTTCAAATAAATTATATTATGTATGTCCTGCAGAATTTGAAAAAAAAGGGGAAAATTTTGTGTCTAAATTGTCATTTTCGAAATGACGCGTACCAGTGCACCGTTTTCCTCTTTCAGCCGCAAATTTTCTTGGCGAAGATTTTGAGTTGTCTGGAAAAAAATGGGATTTTGAAGCTAGAAATCCACGTGGCAGATTTTTTTGAAATTTGAAATTTTTGGTGTCAAAACATTGCCAACTTTTAGAACTTTTAAAATTTCGAGGAAAATTTCCTAAATTTTTCGGTCTGAAAATTTTTTAATTCAAAAACAATTTACATTTGAAATTCCAGATTTTTATTTGAAATTCTTGATTTTAAAGCTCAAATTCAGGGGAATTTCAGCAGAAAATCCAGGTGGCTTTGAGATTTTTTTTTTGAAATTTAACATTTTTTATGTCAAAAAATAGGCAATTTTTAGAAAATTCAAAATTTCGAGGAAAAATTCCTAAATTTTTCGGTCTGAAAAATTCTCAATTTCCAGCTGAAAATCCACGTGGCAGATTTTTTGCAGGCAAATTTTGAGAACATTCAAAATTTGGTGTCAAAAAAATTTCTAAATTTTCGATCTGTTCATTTTTTATTCAAAAACAATTTACAGCTACTGAAATTTCAGATTTCTGAAGAATTTTGCGAAAATTTGCATTCTGGTGTCAAAATTTTGCTCCAAACATTTTTCAAGCTCAAAAAAAAAACTCACACTTAATTGCGTTTCCAATTCGGTAATTCGTCTTTCCATCGATCTTCTCTCTTGTTCATCAAAAGTGGCCAAAGAAGTGGATCGGGCTACCGAAAGGCTATTATTATGACTAGATGGTGACGAATTACGATTTCGCCATGACACTGCTGATGTGCCACCAGTACGGTAATTCTGAAATGAAACAAAAATCAATAATTATTTCCACATTCAGTACACTCTGCATCAATTTTGAATTGATTGAGGGTTTCATTTGAAAAATATTTGAAACGTATTTTTTTGGGGGGGGGGTTTTGATAGTCTACGAGAAAGTTCGAATCGCAGAGAATTTGCTGGATTAGAGAGAATGTAGAATTGAGAGACGCAGAGAAATCAGACAGCTAGATGGGTTAGAGACGCAGAGAACTCGCTCGATTAGGGAGCATATGGAATCGAGATATACAGAGAAATCAGGCAGCTAGAGGGTTCGAGACGCAGAGAAACCAGACAAAAGAGAGAAAGGTAAGGCAATAGAATTAGAGACGCAGAGAACCTGGCCCATGGCTAGGTATAGACTACCATAAAGTTAGAGACGCAGAGACACTAGAGAAATCAGACAGCTAGAGGGTTAGAGACGCAGAGAAGCCATACAAAGAGAGAGAGAGAGAGACGCAGAGAATTCCCTCGATTAGAGAGCATGTAGAATTGGGATATGCAGAGAAATCGGGAAGCTAGAGGGTTAGAGACACTAGAAAAATCGGCTAGAGAGTTAGAGACGCCAGAGAAACCAGACAGCTAGGTGGGTTAGAGACGCAGAGAAATCGCTGGATCAGAGAGCATGTGGAATTGAGAGACGCTGAGAAATCAAAGAACTAGAGGGTTAGACACGCAGAGAAATCGGCTAGAGAGATAGAGACGCTAGAAAAATCGGCTAAAGAGTTAGAGACACTAAAAAAGTCGGCTAGAGAGTTAGAGACGCCAAAGAAATCAGGCAGAGGGAAGGTTAGAGACGCAGAAAAATCGGCTGAAGATTTAGAGACGCCAGAGAAGCCAGAAAATACGATAAGACTATAGAGTTAGAGACGCAGAGAAACCAGACAGCTAGAAGGTCAGAGACGCAGAGAACTCACATCTACAGTTGCTGAAGACGACGATCTTCTCAAATCATCATTTTCTCGTCTCAATCGATCGCATTCCGCTTTTTCCTTCTCATACAATGCTTTGTAGTTAAGATTGGTTTCAGTCGGGCGGCTCTGAAAAAAATAATTTCAGATTTTTCTCTCCCAGCTAGAAAAAAAATCACTCACATGCAACGAATAAGAGGAACTCGTTGGATTATTCAAAACCGACGTGGAATTGTTGGATGATGATAATGAGGAAGATGTTGTTGCTGGCGCATATCGATTGGCTGAATTGACGATCGATGAGATTCCGGAAGATGAGGCCAGGTTCGATGTTGGTGGTGGATTTCGAATTGAGGCGGATGGAGCTGGTGAGAGACCGGCGACGATTGCACTTCGGGATGAGATTGATGGCTGGAAAAATGATTGGATTTTTGCTAGAATTTCGAAAAATCAGTGGAACTTTCAGCAAAAAATATACTTTTGTAATTTTTTTTTTAGAAAAATCTAGAGTTTTTAAACAAAATTTTATTATTTTCAGGAATTTCGTACCAATTTTAACAAGCAAAATTTATAGAAAAATTCCATTAAAATTCTAGATTTTTATCTGGAAATTTAGGATTTTCAGACATTCAGAAAATTTCAGATCAAAAAATTCCAAAACTCTGATTTTCCCAAATTTTCAGAAAAATCTAGAATTTTCGAACAAAATTTCCAGATTTTCAGCTCAAAGCTCAGAATTCTCTTATTCAATTTTTTTTCAGATTTTCAGACATTCAAAAAATTCCAGAACTCTGATTTTCCTTAAATTTTTAAAATTTCGAAACGAAAAGAGTTTTCAGATCTTCTTGATTCAGAAAAATCTATAATTTTGAACACAATTTTCAGTATTTTCAGCTAGATTTAAAATTTTCAGCGAATCCTCAATTTTCAGTTCAAAAAATTTCAGAATTTTCTGATTTTCCCCAAATTTTCAAAGAACTTCAAATAAAGTTATTCAGAAAAATCTAGAATTTCTCAACTTTTCAGCTTCCAAAATTCCATAAACAGGAAATTGCCAAAGTTCCTTCCGGTTTCTCTTCAAAAAATTCTTGAAATCCGAGAAGATGCCAAAAACCGCCGAAGCCAAAAAAAAATCCCATCAAATTTTTAAACGAAAAATGTGTGAAAAAACTTCACAGGTGTTCGAAAAATATGATTTATGACTTTTTTTTTGAAAATTTTTTAGCAAAGTGCTCATTTTCAACCAAAAAATCATGATTTTCAGCCAAAATCCCACCCTTTCCGAGCTGAAAGCGCGCATTTTCGCCAATCTTTGCGATTTCGCCTCATACGGATATCTTCGTTGTAAATTTCTCGAATTTCTACTAGTTGAGATCATTTCTAGCAAAAAAAATATATAAAAAATAGTTAGGTTAGGTTAGAAAATCTCAGTATTTTGTTGAGTAAATATATCTGTCTCGAGCCCTGCTCAAAGCTCAAAAAAAATTGTGGGCGGAGCTTAGAAGAGCTCACGGAGCTCAAAAACTTTCTAAAACTAAAATATAACTTATTTGATATCATTTAAAACCGCAGAGTTTCGTTTTTTCAAAAAATCATCAAGAAAATCTGGAATTTCAGTTTTCGGGCTGAAAATTCCAGAAAAATTCCTGAAAAAAATTTCTCGAAAAAAAACAAATAAGGGTTTGCGTCACAAAATTGTTGACACTCTTCTTTTTGAATGAAACAAAAGTGGAAGAAAAAAAGGGGTCAAACTAAATTTTTTTATTTGCGGGGGAGCAAACTAGATTCAAAATTCAAATTAATAAATAAATATTTGAATTTTTAAATGCAGAAAAATGTGGATTTTAGTGAAATTTGAGCTGAAAATCATGAATTTTGGCTGAAAAAACACTTAGAGCTCAAAAATAATTTGAAAATTTTATATGATTATTTTGACTTTAGAACTTTTTGGCCTGAACTTAGGCCAAATTCAGATTATTAGAAAAATCTGGATTTTATTTTGGAAGCTGGAAATTCAAGAAAAATTGGCGAAAATGCGGGTTTTCAGCTTAAAAATTGTGAATTCAGTGAAATTTGAGCTGAAAATCAGCATTTTTGGCTCAAAAAGCTGGAAATTGGAGAAAAATCGTCAAAAACACGGGCTGTCAGCTAAAAAATTGTGAATTCTAGTGAACTTTGAGCTGAAATTCAGCACTTTATCTCAAAAATATTTTGAGAAGTCATAAATCATAGCACCTGTGGTTTTGCGTTTTTCACATAGTTTAAAAATTTTATGGGATTTTTTTACTTCAAAATTTATTAGCCGGTTTTTGGCCTGAAGTTAGACCAAGTCCAGATTACTGTAGTTTTCAAAATTGGGCCGAAAATCTATAGTAAGCTTTTTTAAGGAACTTAAGCTAACTCCAAACTACTGTAGTTTCTTGAATTTCAAAAAAACGAATCCAAACCCTACAGTAACCCTGCAAAATGTTAGGCTATGCCTGAATTTAAGCATAAGTCGAGATTACTGTATTTTTCTAACTTCCAGAAATAGGGACAAAAATCTACAGTAACCTTAAAAATATCAATGCAGGTCTCAACTTACTCCAGTTTACTGTAGTTTCTCAATTTTCAAAAAAAAAAACGAATCCAAACCCTACAGTACCCTAAAAGCCAGGTCTGAACTTAGGCCAAGTCCATATTACTGTAGTTTTCAAAATCAGGCCGAAAATCCACAGTAAGCTTAAAAATATCAAGTCAGGTCTGAACTTAGACCAAGTCCAGATTACTGTAGTTTTCAAAATTAGGCCGAAAATCTATAGTAAGCTTGAAAATATTAAGTCAGGCCTGAATTTAGGCCAAGCTGAGATTACTGTAGTTTTATTATTTTCAAAGATAGGGACAAAAATCTACAGTCTAGATTACTGTAGTTGTCAAAACTGGGCCAAAAATCCACAGTAAGCTTAAAAACCCTACAGTACTCTTGAAGCCAGGCCTGAAAGATTAGAGGACAATTATCTAACTTCAATATAAGTATAGGTTACTGTAGGTCTAGTCGAAGTTACTCTAAGTCTACTGTACAAAATGTGTTCAAAATTTTTCTCTTTCTAGAATTTTCGCACAAAAAAATGACTTTTTTCCAGCACAATTCGCTGAAAATCAATGAAAACTACAATTTTTAGTTTCAGCTTCAAAATTTACAGTTTTAAAAGTCCCATGCAACCAAAAAACCACTATTCCCAACACAAAATCTCAAGCACTACGAAAAAAAAAACAACAAACCGCAGTAGTCGCGGCTCCATTCAAATGCGTCGGCGGCAAGCTCGCCGCCTTTTCGCCACTCGAAAATCTCGACGTCATTGTTGGCACAGTTCCAGTGTTGGATCGAATTGAGGCCGGCGAATAGGCGAGGCGTAGATTCATCGAGGTGTTTGGCGATGTGTTGGGGGAAGTGGTGGAGAGTTGAGCCAAGTCTTCGGGGTTGACTGGGCCAGTTGCACGGCGACTTGAACGGGATAATGAGAGACCCTGGAAGATGAACCAAACACTAGACTAGACTATAGTATGAATAATATGGAAAAAATGAAACTGAAAAGGTTGGGAAAATGAATAGGACATGCTGAAAATTTCGGTGCAAAAAAATTTTTGAATTTTGAAAATTTGACATGGGTTTTCCCAATATTAAAATTGTTTTTGAAAAAAAAATCAGGAAAAATGAAAAAACAGTTTAAAATTTTTCTCACATCAAAAATATGGCAAAAAATGATATAAATTTCGAATTTTCCAAAATTTCAGACTGAAACTGGGACTTTAAAACTTTTAAGATGAATTTGGAATTTTCAAATCAGAATTTTTTTCACATAAAAAATGAGGTCAAAAATGATCGAAATTTTGAATTTTGAAAATTTGACATGAATTTTTCAGTGTTCTAAAATTCAGCCTTTAAAAAATGCACTAATTTTCAAAAAAAAAAATTCAGGAAAATTTGAGGCTAAAATTTTTCTCACATCAAAAATGAGGTCAAAAATGATTAAAAATTTGAATTTAAAAATTTCAGACTAAAAACTGGGACTTGAAAATTCTGAAGATGAATTTGAAATTTTCAAAAATCCCAAAATTTTCACGCGCTCAAAACCCAACCTGAATCGATTTCCTTCGAATTTCCTTAGCATACGGTGTTGTCATTTTCATACGAAAAATAAAAATGTTTCAATTTTTGTTGAACGAAAAAATGACAAAGCATAAACAAAAAATTGTTTTTTGTTGCGAAAACAAAAAAATATTTGTCATTTCTAAAATTTCGGAAGGCATTCAATTTCATTCAAAAATCATTCAGCAAGCATGGAAAAAACATCTTTTTTTTTGGGAAAAAATCAAATTTGGGAGTTTTCCGTAGATTTTTTAGCGCGAAAAATGACAAAATTCAAATTTTTTGGAATTTACCTGACTTTTCCTTCGAACATTATTCGCAACCGGATTATTCAATGAGAAAACAGCAGTTGTTGAGATGTCAGGAGTTGCGTTATCTTCAGACAAATCCTTTTCCTCAGATGCCAATCGAACATTATTGTTGTTATTTGTGGAGATCGAGTTATTGTAAGTCTAAAAAAGCACACATAAGAAGAAGAGGGAGAAGAGAGATAACGGAGAAATGAGAGGGGGAAAAGAGAGGCTAGATATTTTAAAGGAACACGATGCTGAGAAGAGCAAACAAATCAACAAGGCAGGCATTTTCAGGCAATTTTTTTTGAAAATTTTGGATAGGATTTGAAATTGGAACTTTCTAGTACAAAAAGTTCCGAATTTTCGCATTTTTCTTGCCGAAAAACAAATTTTTACCCTAAATTTGAGTTTGGCTGAAAATCAACGTTTATAGAAGAAAAATTCATTTTTACGGGATTTTTCGAAAAATTTTCAGATTTTTTGAAACTTGAGAGACATTTCCACGTGGCAAAATAAAAGCCAAACGAACAATTTTCAAAAAAAAACGAATTCAAGTTTTTTAGAATTGAAAATGGCTCTCAAGGCGCGGCTCCTAGACAGATAGGTTCTCTAAGCGCGGCTTCTTCTCAACTAGGTTCTCTAGCCTCAGATTCTTGAAAACTAGAGTCGCTAGGCTCAGCTACTTGAGAACTAGGTTCTCAAGGCACGGCTACTTGCTAGAGTCTCTTTCAAGGCGCGGGTCCTAGACAATTACTTTTCTCGGCGCGGCTACTTGACACACCGAATTTCAGTGATTTTCTCCTCGAAACGTTGATCCTAATTTTAAAAATTTCAGAATTAAAAAAAATAAAATTTTTAGTTCAAAATTAGGCTCACAATGTGAGAAAGAACAAAAATCTCCAAATTTTCAGAAAAACATGATTTTTATCTCATTTTTCTAAAGATTTCCAGTCAAATTCGGGCTCAAAATGCTCCAAATTTCCCCCTGCTCAAACTCTAAAAACCCACCGAAATTCCGGGCAAAACACTCGTCGTCGAGTTCCTTCTATTGGCAGTTTCCTCATTTCCTCCTCCCAAACCAGCCAATCGACTCGCTTCTTCCAATTGTTCTTTGGTGACACCTTGGGTGGATCGTCGATGTTGTCGTTGCATTCGAGAATTATTGCGGCGTTCCGCTTCACTTTCATTCACCGTTTTCGATTGCCAGCGGCTGGAAAAACTGCGGATTTTGGAGGGGGACCTTTTTGTAACAAAAAACAACCTCGAGGTGTCAAATTTCAAAAATGATTTTTGATGAGAAAAAATGCACAAAACACAACTTTTTTGGTTAAAAAATATCGATTTTTCGGTTTCTGAACCGTCTGAACAAGTTTCAAAAACTCAGAATTTTCATGAAAAATTTGGACCTGAAGAGAAAAATTGCCACGTGGAAAAATTAAAGGCAAACATACAATTTTCAATAAAAAAACCATATCACATTTGATTTCTAGACAATCAGTTTGTCTAGGGTCGGCTACTTGACAAGAGAGCTTCTCAAGGCACTGTGCCTAGCCACATTTGTTCTCAAGGCGCGGCTGCTTCTCAACTAGGCTCTCTATGCTCAGCTACTCGATAACTAGGTTCTCTAGACGCGGCTTCTTGACATAGAAGCTATCAAGGCGCGGCTGCTTGTCAAGAGTGTCTCTCAAGGCGCGGGTCCTAGCCACATTTGTTCTCAATGCGCGGCTGCTTCTTAACTAGGTTTTCTAGGTCCAAATTTCTATAAAAATTATGAATTTTTTGAAAAATTGTCAGGTTCAGAAACCTAAAAATCGATATTTCTCGAAAAAATTGTGTTATTTTTTTGTTAAAAATTCACTTTTTTAGCCCAAAATTCCTCAAAAATTCAAATTTTCCCAATTTTTTTCAACATAAAAACATAAAATCACAAGGACAAAACAACATAAAAAATTCGCAAACCTCATTTTCTCGGGTTGAATTTGTTGCGGTGTGAAACCTTTGGGATATTCTCCAGGTTGACTTGTTGCAAGACTGGCGCATTTCTGGTCGTCACATTCTGTCCGGAATATGTCCGCGTTGGTGGCACGCGGAATGCGGACATTCGCGGAAGCGATGCCGACGACGAATTGTTGCGGAAGTGTTGGATTTGCGAACGGATTTGGCCCGAATTTTGGGGGCCGTTTTGAGTGGACCAAAGTGAGGCCCACGGGACGTTGGTTGGCTGGGATGGACTTCGTGTAACTTCCGGGCTAAAATGAGACACAGAAACTAAAAATTTGGGACAAGGACAAGGACAAAAACGGGACAAAAACTGAATTGAAACAATAATTTGACAGGGACAAAGAACATGCAATTTTTTTTTGAAAAATGTAGAATTTTCGGTTAATTTTTATTGTGAATTTGGTTGCCACGTGGATTTCTAGGCTGAAAATTTGGAATTCAGAATTTTTCACTTCTAAAATCTTCAAAAATTGATTTTTTCAGCACCAAAAAATCCACGTGACACTTGGAATTCAAAAACCCACATGGAATTTTAAGCTGAAAATTTGAAATTCAAAATTTTTTTGAAAATTCAATTTTTTTCGCTGTATCAAAATTAAAATTTCTGAATTTTTTTTCGAAAGTTTTTGAAATTTTAGATTAAAAAATTAGATTTCGAAATTTTTAGCTTCTGAAATCTTAACGAGCTCTTAAAAAGAATTTTCAGCACCAAAAAATCCACGTGAAATTTTAGGCTGAAAATTTGGGATTCAGAATTTTCAAAAAAATTCAAAAATCAAATTTTCAGCACCAAAAAATCCACGTGGAATTCAAAAATCCACGTGGAATTTTTAGGTTGAAAATTTAAAATTTGGAATTAAAATTTTTTTTAAAAATTCAATTTTTTCGCTGTTTCAAATTCTAAACTTTTTTTTGAAATTTTCAAATCCACGTGGCTCATTTTCTGAATTTTTGGCATTTTTCCACCCAAAAATCCGCCCAAAACCCACCTTGGCTTGGTGAAAGTCGCCGAAATCGTAACACTTCCAGCCGGCGATGGCGTGTTCGGAACCGAACCTGAATTCGAATTCGCGGTTTTCGCCATGCTCGAAATAGTTCCAGACATTAGATTATTCGAATTGCTATTGGTGGATGATAGAGTTGGCGGAACTTGTTGAATTGTGGCACTTGTGGTTGGTGGTTCAGATATTGGTGTAGAATTACTCCGAGTGATTGAGGAGCTAGAGGATCTGGAATTGAACGATTTTGGTATGAATTAATATGAGCAATCTTGGGGCTATCAGAATTCAGGAAATCCTAACATGAGCAATCTAGATTCCTAGAATCAAAGTTAATTAACATGAGCAATCTATATTCCTATCATCAAAATTTTTCCAAAAATAGAAAAAAAAATATTTTCTCGACCTCAAAAAAAAGAAGAAACTTCGCCCTTTTCCGAAAACATTTTTCATGAAAAAAAAGATGATTCACAAAAAAATAAATAAAATGTTGTTATTGAAAAAATTGGGTCTGGAACAATTTCAGCCAAGTTTCATTGATTTTAGGTCAAAAAATCATGATTTTCAGGGAATTTCAGGTGAAAAATCATGATTTCCCGTTGAATTTCTATCAAAATTCATAAATTATCTCCACTTTCATTGATTTTAGGTCCAAAAAATCATGATTTTCAGGAGAATTTAAGGTAAAAAATCATAATTTTCTGATAAATCCAGCTCATTTTCATCCATTTTTCACCGCAAAAAAAATCACCAACCTCGTCGCCAACGGAAATCCTCGATTAATCCACGAACTCGGCGATTGATGAACAACTTTTGGCGGTGGTGCGGAAATCGGAGTTGGTGCCACAATCTCATTTTCCATCGATGATCTTGGAGTTTCCCCAGATCCAGTCACCGAAACCGATCTCGACGATCCAAATCTTGATCCTGTTCCATTTGAAGTCGATGTCGATGATGTTACTGATGTTTGTCGAGAAGATCCAGATCCAGCTCCAGAGATTTCCGAAGCTGTCGTTGGTTCCATGGATGTTTCTCTTTCACTTGATGTTCGGTTGGATGAGATTAGACTTTCAGAATTTTGTCTGGAAAAATGGGAAACTGATTTTCAGACAAATCTCTGAAATTTCTCAAAATAAATAAATGTTGAGTTAGAAATTCCAGAATTTTTTAGAAAAAATTGATCAAATTTCATGTTTTCAGAGCAATTTTCGCCATTTTTCTTTTTTTCCAGCCCAAAAGTGCACATTTCATGCTCCAAAGCTTATCCCAAAGCAAAAAAAGGTGCTCCTTACCTTTCTTGCTCCAATTCCTCCTCTTCTTCAGCTTCTTCTTCCTCAGCTTCATCTTCCTCTTCAGCTTCATCCTCTTCTTCATTTTCAGCCGATTCATCTTCCTCTTCTTCCTCTTCCTCTGAACTTTGTCGTGGTTTCAAAGTTAGGCTAACTGAAGTTGCTGGGATGATTTCGTGAATTGTTGCATTTGTCGTTGTTGTTGTTGAAGATGTTTGAGGTGATGAAGAAGTGTGAAGAAACTCATTTTCGCTAGAAATATTTAAACAAAAGGGTAAGCGATAGAAAAAATGATAGAAGATGAAGGAGAAGGGCGTTTTGGTGAGGAAATTTTTGGAATTTCTGGTTTCTGGTGAGAAATTTTGGATAAGAAAGTGTAGATGATTTTCAGGTTTTTCCAATTATTTTTGGTTTTGATTTATTCGAGCAGATAAATGGAACATTATTGAAAAAAATTTGATAATAAACTATATCAAAATTTTGAAACGTATTTTTTTCGTTTTTTAAAAATTATAAATTTGGATCAAAATTTCACTCAAACGTGGTGAAAATGAGATTTTTTGCCGAAATGAAGCTGATAAATAGACAAGTAGGTTCAATAGGCGCGGCTACTTGAAAATTATGCTCTCTAGGCTCTAACCCTGAACATTTGAACTTTCAAAGCGCGGCTACTAGGCGAAGAAGCCTCTCAAGGTGCAGACCCTTGCCAGAGTGGATCTCTAGGCGCGGCTACTTGAAATGTAGGTTTTGTAGGCTCGGACTACTTGCCATAGAACTTCTCAAGGCGCGGCTTCTTGCCAGAGTGGATTCTCTAGGCGCTGACTACTTGAAAACTAGAATCTCCAGGCACGTGTTCTACACAAGTCGGTTCTATAGGCTTGGCTGCTTGAGAATAAGGCTCCCTAGACTCGGCTAACCCTGAACAATTAAACTTTCAAGGCGCGGCTGCTTGAAACCTATGCTCTTCAGGCGCGGCTTCTTGCCAGAGCGAATCTCTAGGCGCTGACCCTAGACAAGTAGGTTCTCAAGGCGCCGCTACTTGAAAACCAGAATCTCTTAGACGCTGTTTTTTCTACGTGACCCAAAAAATATTAATTTTCAATATTTTGTTGGAATTTTCAAACAAAATTTCCCCAATTTTCAGCAAACTTTATAGGCATTTCGACTTATCCTAACTCATTTTTCACATTTTTAAAAATCCCCCGAACTCCCTTACCTATGCTGATCCCTATGTTGCAAATCTCTCTTCCGTTCAGTCGACAAAATATGCTCTTCATGATGATTTCGATGATTTTTATCCTGCAAAACCGCCGGACTTTTCCCGCGCTTTTCTCCATTCCTAGTTTTCGCAACTTCTCCCAACTCCACCAAATAATCCACAACATCTTTGTCAGCTACAGTAATCACATCTTGACCGGCGAAAGTTTGATCGGTGATATCGGCGCCGTTGTCGATCAGTATTTTACACGCGTCTTTTTCGGCCCAATGAGCTGCGGCGTGGAGAGGAGTCCAACCATCTTTGTCTTGGGCTCGGATATTGCCGCCGGCCTGGAACAGAAATTGATTTGAGATTTTGAAATTTTAGCAAATATTTCAATTTTTCAAGTACAAGTCCTGAATTTCTTAAAACTCACTGTAAATGTCCAGTTTTCACGCTTAATACTAGAAATTGAGAAATGAGCTGGGATTTTCTAAATTTTTCTGGGGAAAGAAAAAATTGGGTCACAAGGTTTTCACGTGAGTTTTTGAAAATTAATTCTACCTTTTTAATAAAAATCCCGATTGGGCGGTGTCTCGATGGAATCAGAAAATCAGGATTCATTTTTGAGGAGAAGCCTTCAATTTTAAAAATTTTGAGCAATTTCAAAGCTATGGGGACAAAAAACCCTAATTTTTTGCAAAAATCAACTTTTTCAGTCTGCGAAATATCCTGTTTTCAGTTTTTGCTGAGCAACTCTCCGAAAAGTCCAAAAATGGACTTTTCATCAAGAATTTTTAAAATTTCCTGGTTTTGAGAGCCCATAACTCATGTTAGAGATAATTTTTTTGAAAAACTGAATGCATCACGTTGTTCAGGAGGGTCGATTTAGCAAACTCAAAAGTTCTGACAAAAAATTCACTTGTGAAATTCTGAGCCACAATTTTTTTCTGGAAATTCGTGAGTTTGGTAAATCGACCCTCCTGAACAACGTGATGCATTCAGTTTTTCGTAAAAATCATCTATAACATAAGTTATGGGCTCTCAAAAGCCCAAAATTTTAAATATTCTTCACTTTTAGCTCATTTTTAGCTAAAAATCTAGGTTTCAGAGGTCCAAAATTGAATTCAGCCAATCAATAGATTTGGACATCCTGGAATCATATAAGCAATGCCATTTTTGGTTTCAAAAAGTTTGATATGAGCAATGCTTTCTCTTTTTTGAAAAGATTCAAATTTTAGGATTTTCAAAGCCACAAACTTGGCTCAAAATTCAAAATTTTTGAATAAAAATTGTAATTTTTTTCAAGTCTTGGGGAATTTCATGTAATTTTCCTCACCTTAATCAACATTTCGAGCAATTGTGTATATCCCCTGGCAGCTGCTACATGCATAGCAGTTCCCCCAGTTCTTGGATGTGGAATATCTCGAAACTCGCCCGTCGCCAGCCAACTTTTCGCATCTTTCATCATCAAATTCAATTCCATATCCCTACACGCTTCAACATCAATCTTCTGTCTTCGATAATCATTATCCAATAATTCACGACACGGTTCTTCAACAGCTAAATCCAGTGCCAACTCTTTATCGCTATTCACAATTGATAAATCGGCACCGTGTTGACAGAGATATTTGACGATGGCAACGTTGCCGCAACATGCGGCTGCGTGAAGCGGAGTCCAACCTTCGTTGTCTTGCGCGTTCACGTCGGCACCTTTTTCGCAGAGGAAACGAACCATTTCGGGTTTGGAATCGATGACGGACTGGAAAAATAGGTATTTTTGAGAGGGTCGTACCAATTTTGGATTGAAAGCAATTTTGCTTCAAAAAAGAATTTAGATTTAGTAGCAATTTTAATTTTCTGTAACCTTTTGAAGCTAGAAATTAGTTTCAAAATTCCTTGAAATGAAAAATCCACGTCATCATAGCTCTGAACTTTTCAAGCGAAAAATCCAGGGAAACAACATTTTCGACTCAAAATTTAAGATTTTTCAGATTTTCACTCAAAACCCCCAGAACTTTCTAGCTAAATTTTGGCCACGTGGAAATAAATTCTCGAAATCCAAAATTTTGGGTTTGAAATTTGAATTTGGAGCTCCAAAAGTGAAGCTGCACAAACTTTTGAATCTCAAGATTCTGAAGATTTTGGGAGTGAAAAATGAATCCAAAATGAATGCCACATCATAGCTTGGTTGAAAAATTTAGCTTTGAAACCTGAAATTCTACAGATTCTTAGGGAATCCCGCCGAAATTTGTTTCATTTGAAAAATCCACGCTAATTTTCAGATAAAAAATGTTTTAACCAAAAATTCGAAAACAAAAAACTTTTGAAGCTTTTGAGAACTTCAGCTTTTCAGAAATCACGTTTGAATTCTAGATTTTTCAAAAATTAAAATTTTCTAGCAAACGTGAATCTATAGATTTTTAAGGAATCTCGAAATTCATTTCATGGATTTTTGAATTGAAAAATCCACGTCATAGCCAATTTTTGAATAAAAAAAGAAAAATCCAAAATTTCAAGGTTCAGAGCTTCCAAATTCCAGCAAAAAAAAAAAAATACTTTTTTTGTAAATTTCAGCTTTTCAGAAACCAAGGAATCAAAATATCACTAAAAATTTGATTCAGAAGTTTGTTCAAAATTTAAATTTCCCCCTTCCAAAACCATACCTGATGCAACGCGGTCAATCCATCCAATGTACACGTATTAATATCAGCTCCTTTGGCCAATAATTCATCAACCTCTTCTTCATCTCCAGACATACAGGCGGACAAAAATATATCGCTGTCCTGGAATTGCACTTTGGGTCTTTTGGTGCGCCGCGCGGGTTCCGCGTTCATTTCGCTGATTTGCCACCGGCGAAGTTGGTCCTGCAAAAATTCAGCGGGTTTGGGTGGAAAATTACCATTCGTCACAAAAAATTATATTTTCTCATATTCGATTATGATAATTTTTTGTACAAAAACATGATATAAACTATGTGAAAAGGGCAATAAATCAAAGCATGGCCTAGAAAACCAGGAGAGCTTAAAAACTAGGCCGCGGACTAAAATGGGGGAGCTAAGGTTCAGAAATTCTGAATCAGAATCATGACCTAGGTTTTCACGTTCTTAGAGATTTCTAGGCCGTGGCCGAGTTTTTTGAATATGAATCAGTAGAAAAATGGATGAATAATGGCCTAGAAAACCAAGATGGCTTAGAAACTAGGTCATGCGGACTAACTTTGGGGATAGCTAGGCCAGGATGAATACTAGGTTTTTGAATCACATGGCCTAGGTTTTGTATGCTGTCAAATATTTTTGGGTTTCTAGGCCACAAACTAATGCTACAGAAAATATAGGGTTTTCTAGGCCGCCGCGGACTAGAATTTCACGATTAAAACTTGGTTTTCTAGGCCATGACTTATTTTTCAACCCAAAAAGCTATAGTTCCGCTAACTCATTCATCAAAAAAAAACGCGAAAAGATGAAACATCGTGTAATTCTGTGTAAATGCTCATTACGAAGCAAACAGCCAAAAAATCACAAAAACTGTTTGCCAAAATGATTAGGACCGGATTTTTTTCCCAAATTTTCCCATTTTTTTCTTTTTGATTGGGGAAAAATCCGAATTTTTTGGCGCCAAAAATGAAAAATGACATCAGAATCTTCTTCTTTTTGTGAAAAAACAGAAAAAAGAAAAATTTTCTGGGGGCACGAAAAAATCAGGAAAAAAGGGGTGATTCATCAAAATTTTCAGCGCCTCTCCAATTTTTTTTTGTTTTTTCTGTGTGTCATTTTTTTGTGATGTTGGGGAAAAAGAAAAAATAAATAAATATTTTTAGATCGATTTTTGGAACGGGGAAAATTGGAAAATTCAGGATTCCAGGCCGTTTTTTCAGCAAAATTTCGGATTTCTTGATTTTTGCTCATTTTCATTTTCAAATCCAAACTATAAATAAACAATTTGATAAGAAATAATTACTGTTTCAATTTTTTTGTTCTCAAAAGAAAAACATATTTTCTAGATGATAAGATAAAAAGCATTGTTTTATGGTCTGTGAACCTAGGAACACCCATGACCTAGAAAACCAACAAAAAATCTAGTCCACGGCCTATGGTTTTGTGTCAAGTAGCCGAGCCTTGAGAACCTAGTTGTCAAGGATCGGCGCCTTGAAAGCTTAGAAGGCAAGGCAAGCAGCCGAGCCTTGAAAACCTAGTTCTCAAGGATCCGCACCTTGAGAGCTTAGAAGCCAAGTCAAGTAGCCGAGCCTTGAAAATCTAGCTGTCAAGGATCGGCGCCTAGAAAACCTAGTGCTGAAGCAGCCGAGCCTATCCTAGCCATCCTAACCTGGAAAAAACTAGCACACAGCGTAGATTTCCAGAAATCCAATTTTTTCAGACCAAATTGGATAAAGGGCCAAAATCTCATGAAAAACTGGATTTATCACAAATCAGTGAAAACCTCTCTCCTCATAGGGCAAATTTGACAAAAATCACCCGAGTTTGGGCTCAAAATGCTCAAAAATCATCAGAATTTCACATTTACACCCTCAAAATCCACCAATTTTCATTTATTTTTCAAAAAATCCCACCCAAACCTCACCAACCTTTCTCTTATTCACCACATTAAATGTGATTTGTTGTTTCGACTGCAACATTAGCGCGTCGTCTTCGTCATCTTGACCCATGCTCTGCAAAATTTTATGGTTTTTGGGAAAAAAATCGTAGAAAAAAGTGAAAAAGTGAAAACGAACGGAGGAAATGTGCGGGAGAGAGAGTGCGGGAAATGCAGAGAGTGCAGAGAACGAGAATAGCAAAACTATATCGATTGATTTGAGTTCACTGGTGGTGGGAGGTTGACCAATTTTTGACCAAAAATGCACCAATTCGTTTTTTGGTCAAAAATTGACCAAATATTGGTCAATCGGTGATTTTGGTCAATTTTTGGCCAATTTCTGACCAATTTTTTGACCAAATTTTGGTCAATTTTTGGCCAAAACAGTAAATTGATCGAAAATTGGTCAAAAAATGGCCGAATTTTGACTAAATTTTTTTTGGTCAAAAATGCACCAATTTTTGGTCAGGCTCCCAGCACCTGTGTTTTTTGTGGGGTGAAATTTATTTTTTACGAAATTTTTTAGCTGGAAAACTTGTGCCGGAAATGAAGGCGACAAAAAAATTGAAAAAAAATGAGAGAGAAAATAATAAATGTCACTGATAACATGTCAAAATCAAAAAATGACTAATTTATTTTTTGTGTTCACAGAATTGAATTCTGATTGTGAATGGAAGAAAATTTGAAAAAACAGCTCAGAGGGATTTGAGAGGTCAAAAAAAATGACTGGGGAAGGCGAAAAATGTGACTGTTTCAAGTGTCGGACAAGTGTCTGTTCACTTCAAAAATCACAAACACATTTTTTGGGGGGTTTTCACACAAAATGTTGCTTTTACAGTTAGAAAAAAGGGAATTTTCAGGTCGAAAAATGATGCATTTATAGTTTGAGAATCAAAAAACAGAAATGTTATCTTATTTGAAGCTTGAAATCCAAAAATGAAGATTTTTTATTCAAAATTTCAGTCATAATTCAGGCCCAGTTTGAGCCTGAAACCGGGCTTCGAATCAAACAAAGAAGCCTGAATTTTGGGTGAAAACTGGGCTATAATCAGCCTAAGACAAGCATTAAAATGAAGCCTAAATCTAGGCCTAAAAAGGCCCTGAATCAGACCTCATCAATACTTTCGGCCTGAAATTAAACGATACTAGAATTTTGAATTTTCAAAAATTACGAATATTCGGGACACATTTTAAATATAAAATTGGGAATTTGAGATAATTTTTGAAGCTTGAAAATTCGTCGAAAAACTGAATTTTCCACTGAATTTGGATTTTCAGCAAAATTTCAGTTCAGGCCCAGATTGAGCCTAAAACCGGGCCTTGAATCAGACCTATAAAGGCCCGAAATTTCAGTGTGAAAATCGAGATTTTTATGTTTGAAATCCATAGAAAACACTCATGTTTATGAGATTTCTCGAAATTTTGCATCGGAAATGAAGATTCAATATTTTAATCATGATTCAGGCCGTGTTTTAGGCTCGATTCAGGCCCTGAATAAGCCTGAAATCGGGCCTCAAATGAGGAGCCTAAATTTGGGTGAAACTGGGCTAAAAGGGATCTGAAATCGCGGACCAAGATGAAGCCCAGAATGAAGGGCGTGAATTTTAAAATTTTCAGCTATGATTTCAGTATGAAATTGGGAATTTCGCGGTGATTTTTGACTGAAAATTCGTCAAAAAACTGAATTTTCACCAAAAAAATCATAATTTTGGCTTAAAAAACCCCAAAAACCGCCAAAAAACCATGACATGTTCTACATAAAAATAGTAAATACACACATATTATTATGATTTCGTTCCCAAATGAGAGACGAGAGAGTGAGAGAGTGGCGAAAGAAAAAGTGTTCTCTCCATCTCTCTCACACACACAAACACAAATATATATATATATATAATACACTTGAAACTTTTCTTGTGCGGGGAAAAATGGGAAGAAGCGAGAGAAAAATACTCTGCGTCTCTAACCAGTGTGTTTTCGGGAGGAAGGAAAAAAAGAAGAGGAACAGGAGGTTAATTCGCGGATTTTGCAAGTGAAATCGGAATCGAAACTTTTTCAAGAGTAATATGGCCTAGAAATCCAATAAAGCTAGGCCACGGCCAGGAAAACCAATAAGGTTTATCGCTAAAAATTAGACGACGGCCTAGAAAACCAATTTTTTAAAAGAAATTTGGGCCAGAGCTCAAAAATCCCAATAAAGCCAGGAAACTAGTCCGTGGCCTAGAAAACCAAATCCCAATTCATCGAAGAAAGTTCTAAAAATTAGTCTGTGATCAGAAAAATTCTCAAAAACAGCCTAAACTTATCGAAAATCAGCCCATGGCCTAGAAATCCAATTTTCTCAAGTAAAAAACTAGTCCGCGGTCTAGAAATCTACAAAATTAGTGGAAAATCGTCGAATTTTTCAACAAGCAAATAAAGTCCTCCCGACTATTTGTGTGAATTTGCTCTTTTGTTGCGTGGGAGCAAATTGTCACGTGTAAAACTTTTTCAAGTTGGTTTTTCTTGGAAAAATCGTCATATTTATCTCTAAAGATAAGCAGAGTTAGAAGAACTCATTATTTTTTATGACTCAACTCATAAACAAAACAAATCCACTTGAGTTTTATTGCTCATGTTAGTTAGCCCTAGACCACCCACGGGTGAAAATGCGCGAATTTTCACTTAAAAATGTGCATAAATTGTGAAAATGTCCCTAAATGCCGCAATTTTCGTCAATCACTTTAAAATGCCCTCATTCATTCGGTTTTTCAAATAAAAAATACAAGAAATGTAATGGATATCTATCCAAAAGTGTGTGTATGAATAAAAAAACACAGTGAACATCCGGAAAAAAATGGTGTTTACCTAAATAAATATCCTCCTATGTATAGTGATGAAGTGGAAAAGCGGAAATGAGCATTTTTGAAAAAAAAAATGGAAATTTTAATTTATTTGGAAAAAAATTAGAAAAGGTCACGTTTCATATTGTTTTCATTTTATCTATGGCTATGAATAAATTACATTTCAAAAAATTTGCATTTCTGTATAATATGAGCAATACTATGATCTCACAGAAAAGTACGTTTTCTAACATGAGGAATCATGATTCTTAACATGAGCAATGCTTCAAAGCCCCTAAAAACTCTGAAACCTCATAGAAACCATACATAATTTTTAATATGAGCAATATATTTGGGTCTCACCACGCTCTCAAAAATCATTATAAATATGAGTTTTGTCAATTTCAGATTGTTTGCCGGGGTGGCCGAGTGGTAAAAGGCGCAAGTTGTATTGGGACACAGAGCTTGTGGTGTGACACACCTACGCGGGTTCGAATCCCGTCCCCGGCATAGAAAATTTTTTTTGGTTTTTTTTTTTTTGAGAGAAGGGGAGCATTGCTCATATTAAACCTACTATTTTCGGTGACGAAATTGATGAAAATGTAGATTTTGGAGCATTGCTCATATTAAAAATCGTATTTTCTAGGGTTTAGCAACATCGGTGCCTTCTGTTCAAACAGAAGACTCCAGGTGTTTCTACAACACCTTGGACAATAGAAAAAAGAGAGAAGAGAATAGGAATGAGTTATCAAATTACTCATAATTGATGGGGGGAATCAAAATTTTCTGGGGGAAAAATCCGAAATGATCGAGAAATCTCTGCTTCTAGAATTAATTTTGGATATAAACTCTAAGTTCAGGATAATATTTAGTGTAATTTTCAGACGAAAATTCTTATTTAAAAGTTGAAAATCCTGGATTTAAGTGGTCCGGCAACCCAGAAATGAACATGATCTAAAATGAAAGATATTCATCTCTAGATTGTCTCTGAATCTATATAAAAAGTTGCGAAAAGGCTTTTGAGAAATGGAGGGACTAGGAAATTTCTAGTCCCCAAGGTTATTTTTTCCTAGTCCCTCCATTTCTCAAAAGCTTTTCGTCGGGCCTATTCGCAACTTTTTATATATATTCGGATAATATTTATTTCTGGGTTGCCGGACCATTTAAATCCAAAATTTTTGGTCAAAAATCTCAACATTCACCCCGACATATCTCTAGTCAGAAACAAAAACCCTAATTTCTTCTCTCAATTTCCTCATCATCTCATCTCATTCCATTCCTTCTTCTAATTATAATATTTTTCCCGACCAGCCGTCCGTCCGCACTTAATCCTCCGACCTTGTGTTCCTTTTTTCTTCTTCTCTATACTATTTTTGTTGATATCAAGAAGGAAAGAAAGGAATTCCTGGATATATTATCTATTTAATATCATAAAAGGAATATATATCTAGATATCATTTGATAAACAGGTGATAATTAATTAATTAATTATGAGAGGAGAGGAGAACTGGATTTGGATTTGGAAGAGGAAAAATCCAGAAATTATTACAGCGAATATTTAGTTTTTGCGGCTTTTTTTCTACATCTGTCGACCGACCTAGTTATGTGTTATGTTTTAAAATAACACAACAAGATGATGCCGTGAAAATACATAAAGTATGCGGTGATTTGGAAGAAGACAGCTGGGAAATCTAGGAATATTGGGGATTCGAGCGGAGCGAGTGTAGACCGCAAGCTTCCGCGTTAGCGGCACTATCTACCGCGCAGCGGCAAGTTATCATAACTTATTTGGCTAATCCACAGAGAAAAGAGCTTCTGGAGCACAATTTTTAGTTGCAAACCTATCAAGTTCGGGCTCATTTTTGTTTTTTTTTTCAGAATTAAGCTGAAAGTTGGTCTAAAAATCTGAATTTTTCAAATTCGGGCCAAAATTTCATTGGCTGGAAAATTTTAGGGCTGATTCATGGACGAAAAAAAGTTTTTTAACATTGAAATTTGAATTCACGAAAAAACATTGTAGGTCAAAATTAGTTTTTCGAGTTTTTCAGTCAAAAATGATGACAAATCGAGATTTTTCAAGCTTCTGGAGTGAATTCTGATGAAAATAAGCTTCTAGAATCCTATTTTAGCCAATTTTATTAATTTTTTCGAAATTCATCAAAATTTGAAAATTTTTTTATTTTACGAAAAATCAGCAAAGGTCAATTTTCATCAGAAATCACTCCAGAAGCTTCGGAAATCTCGATTTGGCATCATTTTTGTCTGAAAAACTCGAAAAACTATGATTTTTCATGAATTGATCTTTCGAAGTTAAAAAAAAACATTTTTTTCGTTCGTGAGAACTTCAAATTCTGAAATCTTCAATTTTGGCCTCAAAATCTATATTTCAAAAATTATTTTTTTTCGGCTCCTAGAGGAATTTCTCCTCGAAAAGTGACGAATCTGACTGATTATTCACAAAACAAACAAAAATCCCAGATACTTAGGGAAAATCAATACTTTTCCTACTTAAATAACTCATTTTCCCACCAAATTTTCGCGCCAAAACCAAAAAAATTCATTGATCGCGAGAAAAAGGGCATGTGAAAAGAAAAGCCCATAAAAAAGCAGCAGCCAAAAAAAAACAAATAAAACCAGGACAGAAACAGAAACAGGAAGGGAATGGGGGAAAAGAACACCTGGAGTGAGTAAATATCCAATTCGAGAAATACAGGGTGACAGATGGTCAGGGGGGAATTTAATTAAATTAATTTTTTTATTGGGGAATTTTGACAAAGTTTTTGCTATGAAAAATTCATTAGCGCTTTTAAAATTTAAAATTTTCAAGTCCGGATTTTCTCCCCAGAAAAATCAATAAAATCCAAATTTCCCCTACGCATTTTCCACAAGAAAATCGCAAAACAAAAACAAGAAGATAACGAACGGTATATGACTAATGTAAGAAAAAAGCGAAATGAATGTTCTGGTCGCCCTCTCATTTGCGAGGAAAAAAACTGGACAGACACAAAAATATCGGAGAAAAATGGAGAAAAAGAAGAAGATCTCAAGAGTTAGGCTAACATAGATTTGGAAGGGCGAGGAAGAAAAAAAGAGCAAGGAAGGAACAAAATACAAAAAAAGAGAAGGGGAATTGGGAAGAATGAAAAATCGGATCCGCAAGGAATCGAGCCTTGAGAGATTCTGAACCAAGTGGTCGAGCCTAGAAAACCTAGTTGTCAAGGAATAGAGCCTTGAGAGCTTCGATGCCAAGCAGCTAATCCTAGACATCCTGGTTTTCAAGAAGCCACGCCTAGGCAGTTTAATCGTCAAGGATCGGAGCCTAGAGAGTCTAGTTGTCAAGGAATCGAGCCTTGAGAGCTTCTGTGTCAAGCAGCCAAGCCAAGAAATCCTAGTGTTCAAGTAGCCGTGCCTATAAAGCCTAGTTCCTCTTGAAAATTTGAAAATTTCATTAATTTTGGGTTAAATTTGAATTTTAAAAACCAAAAATCCGATTTTTCATTGAAAATTCGACTTTTTGAAAAAAAAAATCTGAAAAATCGTAATTTTTCCTCAAAAACTTTATTTTCGGAACAACGGAAATTGTGTTTTTTATTATTTTTTCGAATCGAATTTTCCAGTTCACTTAACTCCAAAATTTTGGAGCCCAGACCTACAATTTTCATGAACTTTTCTATTTTTTTTTAAATCTAACCACTAATTATTGGAGCCTATAATTAGCGTTTTCCACTTTTTCTGAAAAATTTCAGCTTAACCTACTCAAAAATGCTGAAAATCGTGTCTCTTCTAATATTTTTCCTATTTTCAATAACTCTGGTTCGCCGTCAAAAATACCTAAAATACGAGCAAATATTCACTGCAAATTTTCAATTTTGGATATTCACAGCAATTCTAGCCATTATCGATTTATCCAATTTCGCCTATAATATTCTATCAGAAACTCAAATCTTCTCTGAAACTTCCAAATTTTTTCTTCGAAAATATCTGGTCAAAAGTGCGCAAAATTTTTCGAACAAATTTTTTGTTTTGGCAATTCCTTTGCAGTTGATATTTTTCATTTTTTCTCGATTAATTTTGAGATTTGGCGCGAAAAATTGGCAATTTTTTAATGGGATTTGGATTCAAACTATTTTTCATAGTTTTATTAATATGTTGGCTTTTATGTTTTGGTATACATTTTCTGTAGATTGTGTTGATGATGGATATTTTCAGGTAACACAGATTTTTAGAAACAGTTAAGTTTTTGGATTCACAAATGTTCAACTATCAGAAAATTAAAGAAAACGAAAATTAAAGAAAAAAATTTTAATGAATAATTTTTGAAACGTAAAAAAACAAGGTTTTTTCTAGGGAAGTTTTAGTGCCTAAAAATTCTGACGAGATTAGAAGAATAGAAAAGGCCAAAATCGGGTTTTCAAGGTTTTTCAGTCAAAAATGATGACAAATCGAGATTTTTGAAGCTTCTGGAGTGATTTCTGATGAGAATTGACCCTCAGAAGTTTTTGCTGATTTTTCGTAAAATAAAAAATTTTAAATTTTGATGAGTTTCAAAAAATCAATAAAATGAGGTAAAATAGGGTTCTAGAAGCTTATTTTCATCAGAAATCACTCCAGAAGCTTCAAAAATCTCGATTTGTCATCATTTTTGGCTGAAAAACCTTGAAAAACCAAAAAAAAACTACATTTTTACCGTGTAAATCAGCCCTAAAAGTTTGAAATTCAATTTCTTCTCATACTCAGAGAAAATAATTTTTGAAACCTCAAAAAAATCAGTCAATTTTCAGACCTTCTCCTCACCAACCCAAAACTGCACAGCATTCTCAAATCCCCCGCTTTTTCTCGAAAAATTCACATCTCGTCTATTTTTGAACAAAATTTTCGATTTCACAACAATCTCAATATTCCCGCTAACCATTCCGTTTTCAATTTATTTTTATTCGAAAATTCGGAAAAGTGAAATGGCGGTTGCTGAGAAATCAAGAGAGTTGTATTATATTTTTCAATTTTCTCCGCTTTTTTTGTTTGGTTTCGTGAGTTTTTGGGTTGTAAAAAGCTCTAGGCGTGGCTGCTTGAAAACTAGGATTTCTAGGCGCGACTACTTGACATAGAAAGCTCTCAAGACGCGGCGCGTTGTCATATAACTCTAAATTTTCAGCTCCGCCTAATTTCCGCCATCTATCTTCTGAAATTCTCCCTCAATTCCCCGATAATTGATAATTTCGCCTATTTTTTCATCTGCGAATCGTCAATCTTTTTCCGATTTGCAATTCCGTTCTGCTTTTTCTCAACAAACACTTCAATCGGAATTCTGATTTTGAGAGCGGATTGTTTGAAGAAAATTCCGAAAAAACACTATAATTCTAGTGTGACACATTGAAAACGGTTTATTTTTTTGGGTGGAAAATAAATAAAGTATTTTGTGATAATTTTTGAACTACGGAAATAAAAATTTCCGAAAATTCGGGAGAAAAAAGTTGAGAAGAAAAAAAACTGGTCGAATTTGAATGAGACCATCTGAAGTTAGAGGATTATGAGAAAATAACAAGAAGGATTAGATATTTATGAAAAAAAAATTTTTTTTTTCAATTTTGAAAAAAAGGTTGGGGATTTTGCTAATATGAGCAATACCTAAAATAGGGTTTTGATTGCAAAACTATTTCAAATAAAATTTTTAATATGAGGAATGCTCCATAATCTGAAGAAAATCAAAACTTTGAAGCTTCAATAGTCCAAGAGTATTTGTAACATGAGCAATGCTAATAAATCTCATTTTCTACATTTCTAACATGAGCAAAATCCAAATTTTCATCAATTTCTCACCGAAAATATGATTTATGAGCAAATATGAGCAATGCTCCCCAAAAAAACCAAAAAAAAAAAATTTTCTATGCCGGGGACGGGATTCGAACCCGCGTAGGTGTGTGTCACACCACAAGCTCTGTGTCCCAATACAACTTGCGCCTTTTACCACTCGGCCACCCCGGCAAACAATCTGAAATTGACAAAACTCATATTTATAATGATTTTTGAGAGCGTGCTGTGGGACCCAAATATATTGCTCATATTAAAAATTATGGTTTCTATGAGGTTTCAGAGTTTTTAGGGGCTTTGAAGCATTGCTCATGTTAAAAATGATGGTTTCGGATAGGGGTTTTTGCGAGTTTCAGAGAGATTTCCAGTTTTTTTCTAATTTTCATCAGCAACACATTTTTTTTTTTACAAAAAAATTTCGATTCAGCAAATGTCAAAAAATCGGAAAAAATATAGTTTTTCGACATTTGCTGAATCGAATTTTTTTTTTCAATTTTTATACCAATTCCCCAAAATTCACAATAATCCCTGAAAAAATAAACTTCAAAATATTTCAAAATTCGTTGACAACAGAATTTCTCACACAACACATAATCATTTTTTTTAAATTATTTTCAAAACTTTTCATTTCATGAATCAATATACACATATCACAGGTCTCTAAATTTACAGGCAAAAATGAGCAAAAGTGAGCGACAAAAACAAGCATCAACGTGTCTGATGGATTGGTATACTGTAGTTGGATGAGACTGTAGTGGTTGATCTTGAAGGTAGATCAAGATCAGACATTCCAGATGAAATAAGGCGAGATCTTTGATGTTGAGGTGGATCGAGACGAGAATCTGGAATATTTTGCAGGTTATTTTATTTTTGGTTGGAATTTCAGCCCAAAAACTCATACATCTAATGAGATTCCTAGCTTCTCCACCTCCTTGAATATAACTCGCTGTGTAGAACAAGAATGTGAGGAATAGCAAAATCCCAAAAGTCAGCAGAACACTGACAATATCCCGTTTCCGATCTTGTTTCTCAGCGCACATCCAAACATCATTCCACAGGTGAATTGTATCATTCATCTGCAAAAAAACCGTCAGATTTTTTGAAATTATCAATTTTCATGAAGTATTTCTCACTGTTGTCTCAACATCTACACAAAAATCAACATCTGGTGTGATATAAATCTTCCAATAGAACCCGAAAAGATCGTCGAATGGTTGTTTACAGAGGGTGCAGATTTGTGAATCATTTGTTGGGAGAACTGCGCCGCTTGTGTAGTTTACCACACAATTTCGCCATTCATACAAACGATTTTGAAATTGCATTGTTCGATCGCTAAAGGAGACTTCAGATTTGTTCTTTGGGAAGTTCCAATTGATCGTGATACAAGCTGAAAAGATTATTTTGTTTCGCAAACAGAATTTTCATAATTAACTTACAATCACACCTTGATTGTTCCCAAATCTTCGAAGTCAATGCTCCAGATATATCACTACTATAAGATAGCACATAATTCTCATAAATAACTTGTGAGCAACTTCGATTATCCAGCGAAAAAATGTCATTCAAATTCTTTGTATAATACTCGAATTGCTTGAAATCAATGTATTGTTGAAAGCAATTTGTGCAAACTTTGGGAGGAATCGACCAATTTGTGGCGCATGCCACCATTTCGCTTTGAACCAACGCGAATTTTTCGACGTATTTTTGACAGGGCCCGTCCAAGTCCCAAGGATCGTCGGTTTTTGGAGCGTGATCGAGGCTCAGTGTTGGTAGAATTAGTAGCAATAAGAAAATCCACATTACAAACTCGAATTCTTCATTTAAAATGAGAAATCAGCAAAATTTCGCAAAAAAAACAAAAGTAAAACAACGAGACTCCGCAATCGCGTTGCGCTCCTCCCACTAAAATGCAGGCAAACCCGTCAATTCGTTGCATCGTTGTGCGCTTCTAAAAAGTCACGTCCATTTTTAAAACCGTTTTCGTGTCAAAACAAAGGCGCCACGTTGAAATTCAATTATTTTCAGATGTTGGCAAGATCGGCATTGTTGGCGCATACTGCCGAAATCAGCTTGAATGCTGCCCGCGCGGCTTCTGGTGAGATTTTTGGGTTTTTTGTGAAAAATTTGTTTTCATTGGGGAAATTTGCTGGGTTTTTGGGGGTGGTTTCATTGGAATCAAGAAGAGAATAACTGGAAGAGTGTTTGGTGAAAAAAATCTCTGAAAATTGGAGAATTTTGATTTTTGCACGTATTTTGTTTGTTCTTTGAGCTTTTGAGGGAAACATAGTGTTTCTTATCGGAAATAAGTTTTATAGAGGAAAATTTAGTTTGTTTTGAGTCTACTGAAAAACGTGTACTATGACGTGGAAATCTGGAAATTCATTTTTTATCTAAAAATAACTAACAAGGGAGATGCGTAGGTGAACTTTTGATGAAACAATTCGAAATATACCAAATTGACCATACTGATCACGATTTCGAAGTCAAAAATTGTCACAAATGCATGTGAGCATTTTTCTGGAGCTCCAAAGTTAGTTCGCCCATTTTCACCTCATTCCTGGGTGGAAAATCAATTTTTCTAAAATGAATAAGGTTGTTCACCACATTCGAAAACCTATCAGGTGCTTCTTAGTTTTTCAAAAAAATTGGGTTTTCGAATGTGGTGAAAAAACTTATTCATGTTATAAAAATTGATTTTCCACCCAGGAACCAGGTGAAAATGGACGAACTAACTTTGGAGCTCCAGAAAAGTGCTCACATGCGTTTGTGGCAATTTTTGACTTCGGAATCGTGTTCAGCATGGTCAATTTAGTATATTTCGATATTTTTCATCAAACCTGACTCTATGCACCTCCCTTGTTAGTTATTTTTAGATTTAACAAAATGAATTTCAGATTTCCACGTCATAGTACACGTTTTTCAGTAGTTAAAAACCCTCGAAACAAACTAAATGTTCCTCTATAAAACTTTTTTCCGATAAGAAACACTATTTTTCTCTCAAAAGCTCATAGAACAAACAAAATACGTGCAAAAATCAAAATTCTCCAATTTTCAGCGATTTATTCACCAAACACTCTTCCGATTTTTCCCTACTTGATTCCAATGAACACCTATCCACTTCCCTTGTAAAATTCGGATTTTTTTAGCCTTTAAATCATGTTTTGCAGCTGCCCCACAAACCGGCAAACGCATCAAAACCTTCGAAATCTACCGCTTCAACCCGGAAGCACCAGCCGCCAAGCCAACCGTTCAAAAATTCGAAGTTGATCTCGATCAATGCGGAACAATGATTCTCGACGCTCTCATCAAAATCAAAAACGAAGTCGATCCAAGTTTGACATTCCGCAGAAGTTGTCGTGAAGGAATTTGCGGATCGTGCGCTATGAACATCGGCGGACAAAACACTTTGGCTTGCATCTGCAAAATTGATTCGGACACCTCGAAATCCACCAAGATCTATCCACTTCCCCATATGTTTGTTGTCAAGGATTTGGTACCAGACATGAACTTGTTCTACGCTCAATATGCATCGATTCAACCATGGATTCAAAAGAAAACACCATTGACTTTGGGAGAAAAACAAATGCATCAAAGTATTGCGGAACGAGACAGATTGGTTAGTTGGGAAAACTGGAAAATGTTAAAAAAAAAGTTTCTTTCAGGACGGACTCTACGAATGTATCTTGTGCGCTTGCTGCTCAACATCTTGCCCATCTTATTGGTGGAACGCTGACAAGTATCTTGGACCAGCTGTTCTTATGCAAGCCTACAGGTTTGGATAATTTTCTTGTCTTGACAAGGATTTTTGTGTTGATAAAAAATATGTTTTCTAGTTCAACTATAGTTGGACATCGAGTAAATAACATTTTCATGTTTTTTTTAACTAAATTAGTTGAAATATTGGGTTTTAATTTTATTCATATGATAGAATGGTCTAAGACAAACCGAATGATATAAATTTTGATGACTTTACGTTATCCATAAGTGATTTAGCGACTTTTAGTCGATAAGCCGAGTCGATCGACTAAACGTCGCTAAATCACTTATGGATAAGGTAAAGTCATCAAAATTTATATCATTCTGTTCGTCTTAGACCATTCTATCCTATGCATACGATTAAAATCCAATATTTCAACTCATTTACTCAAAAAACATGAAAATGTCATTTAGTCGATATCCAACTATAAGCATACATAAAATAGGTCCCCCGAGTCAGTTTTCAGAGTTAGGGTCCCTCTTTGAAAATTTTCCAAAGTTAAACACCTTCCTCACATTTTTGAGCGAATTTTGGACAAATCTGGGAATTTTGGTAAATTATCAGCAGAAAATTGGTCAAGTTAGGCACCCTTCCCTTCAGATTTTTGAAAAAAGTTAAGCCCCTCACCCTGATTCTGGGGACCCATTTTATGTATGACTATAAGTTCGTATCGCTGATCACGATCCCGCTGCCTAAAATAAAATTGTAGCACGCATTTTTTTTCTGAAGAAAAAACGGCAACGCCAGTTTAAAGGGACATAAATCATTTGTAATGGAAAAACTCAGATTGGCTGAACCGTATGAAAAGTTACATACACCATTCGAATCTACGTAAAAAACTGCATCGAAATAAGGTTCGAGTGATGGATTTAGTGTAACTTTTTTCTCGCGGTATTCGTTACGGGACCCAATTGCTTTTTCGAAAAAAATTCCTTTAAGAGAGAGCGTGCGAAAAAGAGAGACGCTGTTGCGCAGAGAGATTTTTCGTGCAAACACGCTGACGCACGAATGCACCACACACGTAGGGGTTCGCACCGTAGTTTTTCCAGCAATTTCCTCGCTTGAAAATACGTGGTAGGACTCAACTCCTAACATGAGATATGACGGGGAAAAGTTCGAAAATTTCAAAAATCGGGATTTTGGGAGCTGAAAACTAGCTTTAAAATAATTAGAATAATTTTTGAAGCTAGTTTTCGAATATTTCTAAAACGCGGGGTTTCGGGAGCTGCAAACTTTAATTAAATGAAAATCATGTTTTAAGTTTTCAGGTCTCCCAAAATCCCGAATTTCGGAATTTTTAAACATTTTTCCACGTCATAACTAATGTTAAGAGTTGAGTTCTGCAATTTTAGACATCGGAATCGTGATCAGCTGGTCGAAAACTACTTGAAAACATATATTTTTTCAAAAAAGCTGTGAGAAAAAGCTTTCAAAATCTTGATTCTTTATTATTTTCTAATGAAAATACCTCAAATTTTATTTCGTTGGCCTAGAAAATCCGAAAAATCCACCATTTTCTCCAGATGGGTCATCGATTCACGTGACGACTATGCAACTGAACGCCTTCACCGTATGCACGACTCATTCTCGGCTTTCAAATGTCACACCATCATGAATTGCACCAAAACTTGCCCCAAGGTGAGTTTTTTCTGAAATATAGTCTAGTTTCAGCCAAAAATAAATCAATTTTGCAGCATTTGAACCCAGCCAAGGCAATCGGAGAGATCAAATCATTGTTGACCGGAATAAAATCGAAACCAGCCGTCGATCCAGCAGCATTTTAAGAAAATCCCGAAAAAAACTGTAATTTTTTAAAAATTCGATTCATTTTTTCGTATTATTCAAAAAATTTAGTAGTGTATAATTATTATAACCCCGCGATGTTTTTTTTTGTCGAAAAATATAGTAAATTTTTCTGTTTTTGGATGGCGAACTATAGTTATAGACTCGAAAAAAATCCCGGATTTTCGGAAAAAAAATATTTCTTTTTAAAATTCCCAAATTATTTTTAAGAACCCGAACTTTTCACAAGTACAAAACACATTTTTTTTATAATGATTTTCCGATTTTTTGTTGCAAGTTGTTTTTTTTTCCCCAAAATTTAATTGCAACCTGGTTTTTGAACCTCTTTTTTCTGTTTTTTTTCTTCAAAAGCGTGGGCGAAAAGTTAATTTGACCGAACTGCCAAAAAAATTGTGGGTTTTTTTTCAAATGCAAAAAAAACTTCAATTTTTGGAGAAAAAACAGGTTGACTTATCATATTTGATAGATATTCCAAAAGATATCAAAAAAAGTTAGACTTTTTTGAATTTTGGAATGAAAAAAGATCAAAATTCAAATTTTAGAATGAATTTTGACCCGGAAATTTTAAATTTAAATTTTTTGGAACATTGCTCATATTAAAAATTGAGTACAATACAATGTTTACAGTACTCCTGCAAATTTTAGAAAATTTTGAAAACCCACAGTAATCCAGAAAATCGGGGATTTGTTGAAGCTCAGATTCTAAAACTACAATATTCAGAAATACAGTACCCAAACTGCAAGAAGGTGGAAGAATTACAGTACCCCGAACTGCAAATTCAAGATTGTAGTAATCAAAAATGAAAAATATTCTATTTAGTTAGAACTACAAAACTACAGTAATCAGACTGCAAGAACACAGAAAAGAAACTACAGTAATCCAAAAAAATCAGGATTTCTTTTTTTAAAAGTGAACTACAGTACTTGGAACTGCAAAAGTATCCGGAAACTGTTCAAATCCACAGTAATCGTTCAAAAAAAAACACTGCCTAAAATAGAAAAATCCGGAAATTCCTGGTTATCCAACACAATTTCTTCAATTTCTCATTTTCAAAATGTAAATAAAAAAAAATTTCGATTTTTTTCGCGCCAAAAATATCCGAAAACCTTTTTTGTTTTGAAATAAGAAAGCCCGCCCACTTTTTTTTGTTCTGATCATTTTGGGGTATAAAAAGATGGAGGCGGAAATGAATGGGATAGAAATACGACGAAGAAGGAGAAGAAGAAATGAACTTTTATGTGATTTTTGCGCTGATTTTTTGCGGAGGAGTTCAGGCTTATGATCGAACAAGGTGAGTGTTTTTGGGTGGAAATTTTTGAAATCCTAATTTTTTGAGCTGAAAATTAATTATCTAGAAATTTAGAAGTAGTGCTTGAAATATACAGATTTTTGGCCTAAAACTTTGAAACTTGTGAAATCTGTAGATTTTTAGAAGTTTTAGCTCCAAATTGCGCTGAAATGTCAGATTTTCCAGTATAGAAATTTTAGTTTTTCAGTTGTTACAGCAGAATTTTTAGAGCTAAAAATGATCTTGAAATTGAAAACTTCTGATGTGAATTCTGTGGATTTTCAGAAGTTTTAGATCAAAATTTCGTTAATTTTTCAGATTTTTCAGTTTAGAACTTCTCAATTTTCTTGAGCTCAAAATTATCTTTTCAAACTTCAAATCAAAATTTTTTGATTTAAAAATAATTCTAGAAATTCAGAAAATCTAGAATTTTTGGGTCTGTGTATTCTGCGAATTTCCAGAAGTTTCAGTCACAAATTCTGCTGAAATTCAAGATTTTCGACATTTTTTCTATAGTTTTTGGGAATGGAACTGTAGATCAGAAGTTCAGGTACTGTAGAACAGCAATATAAGTACTGTAGCTCAAAAACCTAGGTACTGTAGATCAACAGCCGAGGTACTGTAGCTCAAAAACTTAGGTACTGAAGATCAGCAGCCGAGGTACTGTAGGTTAGTAATCCCGAGTACTGTAGAGAAGCTACTGTAGATCAGTTACCCAGTAGGTCAGCAACCTAGGTACTGTAGATCAGCTTGAGCTTAAAATTCAAGTTGTCAGAAGTTGAGCTTCAGAAGTTGAACTTCAGAACCTTTTTTTTTCAAAGCTAAAAATTTCACTGAAAATCCTTTCCCTAACATAACATTTTTCTGAAATCCACATGAAAATTCCTCAAGCTTTCACAATTTTGAAACTTTTTTTGAAGCTGAAACTATAATTTCTTTAAATCAACTTAAAATTTAAAAAAGTTGTCAAAAATTGAATTTCAGAATTTTTTTAAAAATATTTTCTGCTAAAAACTTCACTGAAAATTCTACTTTTTTAGAACTTTGATTCAAAAATTCAGAATTTTGCATTTTTCCAATTTTTTCCCAGTTGAAACTTTGGAAAATAAATTCCGGAAAATCCCAATTTTTTCCAAACCCAACCTAAAATACAGTGTAGTTTGACACATTCCCGTTCTCAATTATCAATCAAAAAAACAATTTTCAAAACCGGATTTTTCTAGCAAAACTTTTTCGCGTTGCTAGAAAAAAAATCGCGGTTCCAGGACACACCCAAAACCGGAAAACCCTACAAAAAATCCCAGATCCAAAAAAATTTTTCATCTAAAATTTTCAGATGTTGGACATCGGGAAACAATAAGCCGGCTCAATGGTGGTCTCAAGGCGAAGTGATAACACGTGGCAAATATTATTACGAGTGTCGGATGGGACAATTGGAACCTTTGGGATGTTTGTCACCACAGGATCAGCAAGTTCCGATTGGCAATACTTTTAGACAGGATGACTATGAATTTATTTGTAGATTGGGTGAGTCTGAGGCGGCCTAAAAACCCAAATTGGAGTTTCTAGGCCACCATCATCCATGTTTTTTCCAGGTTCCGATGGCTACCTGGAATTCGGCTATAATGCGTGTGTCGGAAGCGACGGTCGAACTTATCAAAAGGGAGAAACTTGGACAGATGCCAAGGTCGGTTTTGAACTGCTGATTTATTTTTTTTCTCCGATATTTTTCTGAGAAAAAAAATGAAAGTTGATATTGACAAGACAAGAAAAAAAGAGATAAATTTGATCGGACAAGGTTGAAGATTGAATTTGGGAGAATTTTTGAAAGTGATTTTTGCTGCTGAAAAAAAAATTAGGAGATCTTGAGATGATTTTTTTCTATTGTCAAGAAGGATCAGCGCCTAGAGAGCTTGGGTCTTAAACAGACGCGCCTAGGTCTCAAGTAGCCGCGCTTAGAGGGCATAGTTCTCTAGCAGCCGCGCCTAGAAGGCATTGTCCTCAAGTAGCAGCGCCTAGAGAGCCTAGGTCTCAAGTAGCTGCGCTTAGAGGGCATAGTCCTCAAGTTGCCGCGTCTTAAGAACCTCATTGTCTAGGTTCCGCACCTTGAGAATCACTCTGCCTAGGAGCTGTCCCTTGAGAGCTTCTATGCCAAGTAGCAGTGCCTAGGGAACCTAATTATCAAGCAGCTGTGCCTAGGGAACCTGATTATTAAGCAGCCGCTCCTAGATTGTCTAGTCCTCAAGCAGCCGCGCCTAACGAACCTGATTCTTAAGTAGCTGCCCCTTAAGAGCCTGTGTCTCAAGCAGCCGCGCCTAGAAAACGTAATTGTCAAGGACGCGTATCTAGAGTCTCATTCTAACAAGGAGCGGCGCCTCAAAAACCTAATCGTCAAGGACGCGTATCTAGAGACCCACTCTCGCAAGGAGCGGCGCCTAGAAAAATTCAATTGTCAAGGATCAGCGCCGAGAGCTCCGCACACAGATACTAGAAAAAAATCTCAAAAATTTATCCACGTGGATTTTCGCACCAAAAAACCCCACACCAAATTTTTTCTACAGAACATGTACTATTATCGTTGCCGAGACGATGGCCGCGTTGTCAAAGCGATCATCGAAGGTTGCATTGCTCATGATAAGCAAAAACGAGTTCCATTGGGCGAATCGGACGATTACCAAGGATATACGTAAGTTTTTTATTGGCGCCAGATATTTTTTGTCTCGCTCGCTCTTGATTTCGTGATGAAGGTCATGTCAAATCGGGTTATCATCTTTGATATGAGAAAAATCAAAAATAATACAGATGTGTTATTGAAAAGTGCATGTGGAAAATGAAAAATTGATGTGATCTTGGAATCAGAAATAAATTTATATCTTATTTTTTGCAGCTACAAATGTCAGCAAAAATCGACGGGGATTGTTCAAATGTGCAGTGTTGGATGTGTTCATGAGGGAAGACGATATTCGGTTGGCGAACAATATAGAGTGAGTTGGGATAAGTGGGTTTGAGAAGTGAGGGACTTTCAAGAATTCCAAATCTGATAGCGATTTGGAAAATTAATTTTTTTGGAATTTTGAAAGTTCCTGGCTGGATTTTCGGAAAATCGGATTTTTCATTTTTTTTTTTGAGAAGTTAATTTGAAGTTCTCAATTGTTTTTTAGAATTTTTAGAAGTTCTGAATATGATTTTCAGAAGATTTCAGTCCAGTGATTTTAAGATCTGAAAATTCAACATTTTTGGACCTTGAAGTTACAATTTTGGTCTGAATTGGGATTTTTCGAGAAATTTCCTAATTTTAGCTTAGTGAGCTTGAAATCTGTAATTTTTTGAATCTGGAAGCTCAAAATCAGAAATTAAAACCCACAGGTTCGAAAATCTCCAAATTTTCAGTCAAAAATTGAGATTTTCAGCTTCCCGGTTTAAGAAAATGCTAAAAATATCACATTTCTAGGTAACAGGACTGAAATTTGCTGAAAATTCCAAATTTTGAGCCAAAAATTGGTATTTCAAGCTCTCCGGTCAAAAAAATTCTGAAAATTCCAGATTTGCAATTCACTGAGCTGGAATTTGCTGAAAATCCCAAATTTTAAGTCAAATCTTGGGGTTTTTAGCTCTAAGGTCCAAAAAATGCTGAAAATTCCAGATTTTCAACTCACTGAACCGAAACTTGATGAAAATCCCAAATTTTTGAAATTGAAAATCGAGATTTTCAGCTCCGTGGTCCAAAAACTTCCAAATTTCAAGCTCACTGAACTAAAGTTCCTTGAAAACCTTGAATTTTGCGCTTCCAAGCCAAAAAATGCTGGAAATTCTAGATTTGCAATTCACTGAGCTGGAATTCGCTGAAAATCGCAAATTTTCAGCTCTTAGGCTTTTTTCCAAATTCGAGTTTGTGTTTTATTATCTTTGGAACACTTTTTTCCACTTTTGCAAAATCTCTGAACCTTTTTGCTAATTTTAATAGGATTAACCTTGATTCGATAAGGTTTCTGATCAAAAATCGTAAAAATTGGATGCGATTGGTCGGATTTAACGGTTTTCTCGCCATAAAATAAAGTTTTTGGAACAATCCAAAGTTTTGGAGGGAAAAACGAGTAGAAACATCGTTTCAAGACCCGACTTATCTTACTGTAGCACTGCTTGAGCTGTGTTTATTTTAGCTAAATTTCTCATTTTCAGGACGGAGACTACGTGTTCTACTGCAAAATCAAGGCTGGAAAATGCTCGAAACAATGTATTGGATGTGTTGTTGAGGGAAAGAATGTTTTCGATGGTCAGAGATTCAAAAGAGATGGGACAACTTATCAATGCGAGGTTTGTAGAGGGGAAAATCAAAAATTTCAAGATTTTATAGCCAGTTTTTCAAGTTTTAAAAATTTTAGATATCCTGCCTGAAATCTAAAATTTTAAAGTTTCTGAAAATGAATCAAGCCTTGAAAAAAATTCATATTATTTTTCTTAATTTCTAAAAACTAAGTTCAATATTAGACTTAGTCTAACTTCCAAAACTCCCGCCATTCAACTTCTTCTCTCCAGATTCGCCCATCTGCGCACAGAATCCGCGCAGTTGGTTGTGCCATCACTGAAAATGGTCGAGACATCAATAAAGTGATCGGATGCCGTTGGTACGAGAACAATTACGACTGGAAGATCGAGAAAACTTGCGAAGCTTCTGGCACAGATTCAGCTCAAGTCAAGGTCGTCGGTTGTATTTACAAGTACAAAGGTTTTGACCGAATTTTCCTGGAACCCGGAAAATATACGATTTGGAATTTGCCAAAATCCAAAGAATCAGTTGGTTTGAGTTGTCGAAAAACCGCGGATTCAGCAGAGATGACTATATTCGATGTTTCGAAATTGGAGCAAAATACATCCGGGTTACAGTATGATATGCCACGTGGCAAATAATTTTTTTGTATGTTTGTAGTTGTGTTTTGTTGTATTGTGTTGTACCTCTTATCGGAGCTTTCTTCAAATTTTTTTGAACAAAAAACGTGTGTGAATAATAAATATTTAGAGATTTTATTCGATTCTCAATTTTTCCGGAAAAAAATATTTTCGTTTTTGCTAATTTTACCAGAAGTACCAGTTTGTTTTGAAAATACTAATCGATTACTAACAAATTCAAAAATGCTATTCGAACAAATGTTGGATTCGAAACGTACCACGTCCGGGGTGAGGCATATGCACGGCGTCTATTTTTTTGTGAAAAATTGGAAAAAAAACTGAATAAATAGAATACCGAAATCATGGAGCAGTATGAAATTTTTTGCTAATTTCTTAATACTAATTGGTTTCGAAAATAACTCGATTACTAAAATATGGAATTACTAACAGAGTCAAAAATGCAATTCGCACAATTGTTGGATTTGAAGGAAACTGTCGGTAAACTCAACGATAACATTTCATTTCATTTCTAGATTTTTGTTTTCAGCGGTGTGTTTGATAAATCGATGAAACATCTGGAAACAGTTCAAGGAGAGGAGATATTTGATTATTGAAAAAAAAAAACCTTGCACAAAAATTGTAGATGTGAGTGAAACGTACCACGCCCAGGTTGAGGCATATGCACGGCACCAATAAAAATTTACTGAAATTCACCTCGTCAATTTGAGATTTTCTTGAAAAACAGCAAGTGTACTAATTTTGCTTACGTGTACTAATTTTTAAATTTAATTATCAAAACTCGGCCCGAATTTTTTCATTCAACAAAAAACTCAGGCCGATTTTTTTTCATCCAACGTCATTTGATACTAATATCGAAAAAAACACACATAACAATACTATCAAAAACCTTGCACAAAATAATATGTGAGTGAAACGTACAACGCCCAGGTTGAGGCATATGCACGGCACCAATAAAAATTTACTGAAATTCACCTCGTCAATTTGAGATTTTCTTGAAAAACAGCAAGTGTACTCATTTTGCTTACGTGTACTAATTTTTAAATTTAATTATCAAAACTCGGCCCGAATTTTTTCATTCAACAAAAAAACTCAGGCCGATTTTTTTTCATCCAACGTCATTTGATACTAATATCGAAAAAAACACACATAACAATACTATCAAAAACCTTGCACAAAATAATATGTGAGTGAAACGTATCACGCCCAGGTTGAGGCATATGCACGGCACCAATGAAAATTTACTGAAATTCACCTCGTCAATTTCAGATTTTCTTGAAAACAGCAAGTGTACTAATTTTACTTACGTATACTAATTTTTAAATTAAAAAAAACGAGAATTTAAAAAATAAGAACATTCCCTGAATAACTGTTTTTCAATGGGTACTTACTTACATGGAATGCTCTCCAAAATTCCCCCTGAAAATTCCTGTTACTATGCGGATTTTGTAGGTCCTGGTGGGTTATGAAAAATCCCAAAGTGATTTTGTCTACAAAAATTTCTCACAAAATCGGGGAAAATTACTAAAAAGCATACGTGAGTTTATAAATTTCATGAAAGGTTCGCCTCCATGACATTTTCTTCTTCGTAAGAGCTTAATTTCATTTGGACCATGTGTAGACGAGTATTTAAAACGGTATTCGATACAAATATCGTAGGAATACCGAATAACTGTGGATTTGTTCAAGTATCAAGGACCATCAAAGTAATAAGGGTAAACTTACGGACCTATTATCGGAAAAACCTTGCACAAAAATTGTAGATGTGAGTGAAACGTACAACGCCCATTTAAAAAAAAAAAATTTTTTTCAAGAAAAATTCATATTTTTTTCTAATGCAGTTATTTTTTAATTTCCTTTGGTTTTTTTGAACTGATTATTTGAATGAATTATGTATTTTGTGACAAACTTTCTTGAAATTTTTGAATAAAAAACGTGTGTGAATAATATTAGAGACAGTACTTCGAACTGCAAAATATACAGTATCCCAAAAAATCAAAATTTTCATCTTCAACAAAAAACAACCTGAATAATTCCAAAAACGGCCTAAGCCCAAACATCTTCAATATATTGATCCGATTTTTTGAGCTCCATCATTTTCTTTTTCGCTTCCAAATCCGAAATTCCATCTTTTTCCGCCAAAATATCCGCAAAACATTGCCAAACATCTTTCGACATTCCTTTCGCATCTCCACACACAAAAATCTTGTGATTCTTCCCCGCCTCTAAAAACTCCAAAACTTTCTGCAAATTCTCCGCCTTCTTCAGGCCATCCTGAACTCTTTCCGAATTTTTTTGCGATTCGCAAATATAGAGTTCACTCAAGATTCCATCGCGTACAAATGACTCCAATTCTTCACTGAAAAAAATATTTTTAATTTTTGGAATTTTTTTTTGGGCGGGAGAAATATCTTACATATAAATCCCATCAATTTCGATATCCCGGCACCCAAAAAATAGAATTCGCGACACATTTTCGAAATTCTCCGGGGTCTCCAATTTGATTTTTCTCAAAAAATGACAAAAACTCAAAAACACAGCCACTCCGGTTCCAGGTCCAATCATCAAAAGTGGCAATTTGCCAGCCGACAAATTCGAGCCCAATGGTGGAAGTCTGAATCTGGCTGGCTCTTTTCCAAGAACTTGCACAATATCTCCAATCCGTAAACTATTCAAATAATCAGTCGCCAGCCCTTTTCTCGCATATCTTCGTCCTTCTTCAGCTGTGAACTGCATTTCCGAGTAAACGAATCGAACACGTTTTTGATTATAGGAGGACATACTGTAGGGACGTGGAATTAGACGAGGTAGAAGTTCTGGAAGGCAAAATCGTGGTTTTCAAAATACAAATTGTAAATACGCTAACTTTTTATAATATGAAAACTGTGAATTTTTCAGTTTTTAACCTCTAAAAACTGAAATCACGATTTTTTTTTCAAAATTGTACTCTTGGACATCAACTAAATGGCATTTTCATTAAAAATAGGTTGGAAATCAGATTTTTAAAGTAGAAAATAAAATTTTCCATGTAAAAATCTAATTTTTGAAGCCAAAATTCAAAATTTTCAGTCAATTTTGAGTTTGGTTGATGCATTGTTGGCTGAATCGATTTGAAATTTCAGAAAATTATTATTCAAATATTTTTTGAAACGTATTTTTTTCAGAAAAAAAATTCAACAATTTTTTTGGTAAAAAATATTAAAACTTAGCCTAATTTTTGAAGCCAAAACTTCAAATTTTTCAGTCAATTTTGAGTTTCAATGATGCATTCGGAGAATCGATATAAAAATTCAGAAAATTAATAATTTCATATTTTTGAAACGTATTTTTTGCTGGTAAGAAAATTTCAAAAATTGGTTGGAAAATCAGATTTTTGAAGTAGAAATTCACAATTCGCGACTAAACGTCGCTAAATCACTTATGGATAACGCAAAGTCATAAAAATGTATATTATTCGATTTGTCTTGGAGCTTCCTATCCTATAAATACGATCAAAATCCAATTATTTTAACTCAGCTGCTAAAAAAACATGAAAATGTCATTTAGTCGATGTCAATTTTGAAAAAAACCTTGATTTCAGTTTTTAGAGGTCAAAAATTGAAAAATCACAGTTTTCACACTGTAAAAAATTGCGTATTCACAATTTTTTATTTTGAAACCCCCCTCCAAAAAATCCCTATCAACTGACCAATTAGCCTGTCAACTGGCGGTTTGACGCCGGGAAATGCGAAGAGCACATCAGCCAAGCTCAATCCCGCCTGTCTCACAAAATTCGTGAAATCTGTCATTCCCTGAGCACTACATAACTCTAAAAGTCTCCGTTTCTCTCTCAAATCCTCTGTATTTTCAGCCAAAATTCTCAACAAAGGTCTTCCGGGCGCTCTTCGAATATCCAAACAAGTTGTGAAAATATGCCGGAGTGTTGTTTGTGTATGATTAACATGACCAGGTAGAATCGGATTGATCTTCTGGGTCGCGGGATCAATGGAAAGTTCACATTTCTGATCAGCAATGTCGAGAACTGCACAGCGTTTTAGAATGAAATTGACTTCTTGTTCGGGATTGGGTACAATTATATACATAGCGTCGCCAGGTTCATAACGGAGGAATTGGGAATTTTCGGCGAGGTCCAGGATTATTTCACGTTTTGGTTTGGCGGCGGAGAAGGAAGTGAGGAGAGTTGTTCCGACGATTGTGGCGGCATATGGAGGGGTGACTGGAAAACATTTCGGATCTACAGGATTTCTGAATCCTGAAGAGGGAAGTGTGTGAGACATAGATGTTTCTGTGAAATTTTCACGATGAGCAAGATCCTGTAGAACCCAAAAATCAGCCAAAAGTGAATAATTTTTGAAATTTCGTGGTTTTGAGAGCCCATAACTCATGTTAGAGATGATTTTTTATGAAAAACTGAATGCATCACGTTGTTTCAGGAGGGTTGATTCAGAAAACTCGAAAGTTTAGACAAAATTTTCAAAATTTTTCTGAAAAATTATGGATTTACTAACCAAAATTTGTGATTTTGGTAAATCGACCCACAATTTTTTCCATACTTTTTCAGAAAAAAACTAGAAGGGCTTCGCTGGCTAACGCCATCTACAGTAGTTTGGCTTACTTTTTCTGATTAATTTTCCGGTTAGGGAAAGAGAAACATTGAGAAATGCCCAAAAACTGTTGACTTTTTCAGAGAATAGAACGATCAGATAAGAAACGTGTCCTAATATTTTTTTCGAATAAAAACGTGATCATTCTTTTTTACATGAAAAAAGTTTTGATTTTTCACGTGAAAACTCGCGCATTTTTTGAAAAATTGAATATTAGCGCATCGATGGGAAAGAATTTAGGATAGAATAGTGAAGGTCTCATCAAAAATGGTCTTCTGGAAATTGAGAAAAGTCGAGCGACACATTTTAAAATCGAAAAATACATTGAGATTTTCAAACTTTTCACTCTCCGCGCACTCACATACATTTAGAGGGAGAATTTTTGAAACGCGCATCATTGTGCCACCATTTAGAAACTTTTTCTTTTTTTGATCATCAATTTTTATGCGCACAGTTTTGAGAACGAACCGCGGACAGACTCTTGCCAAAAAAATTTTCCCAATTAGTATATAGTAGAGTAGATTTTCCAATGTGGCTCAGAAAATTTTTGCAAAACTTTCGAGTTTGGTAAATCAACCCTTCTGAACACCGTGATGCAATCAGTTTTTCATAAAAATAATTTCTAACATGAGCTACGGCCTCTCAAAACCACGAAATTTCAAAAATTCTCAACGTTTAGCTTATTTTTGGGTTCTACAGGATCTTTCTCAGCGTGAAAAACTGCCCAGAAATTTTCCAAAACTCACCAACTCCTGGCATTTTACACAAATTCTGCCACTTTGAATCTTTCAATTCTTCTTTTTCAATTTTTTCATGATTCACCGAAGAAATCACAAAATTCTGCGGTGCAATCGGAACTCTCAAATTCTGATCTTCTCTCAACTTCAATCCACCTCTCCTTATCGATTCTTCTGGATATTCATAATCCTCAGCTTCCAGAATTTTCGGCCCCAAAACCTGCGATTTCTGGGGCATCGCTTCGAGAATCGACAATTTTTCGAGCTCCGTTTTGATTGGATTCAGCTTGACTTGTTGGGAATTTTGCAATTTTGAGAGCTGAAAACTTATATTTTTAGGCGAAACAATTCGAAAATCCCTAAAAAAAAAAAACATTTTCTTCAAAAAAAAAATTGCGAAATAGTTTTGCACTTTTCTTCATGGGTTTTTTTTAAAGGAAGTTTTTTTGGTTAAAAGGAAAATAATGTGATGGGGTTTTTTTTCGGTTGCGCGGGGGGTCATAAAATTTTTTACGAACAATTAGCGAAAAAAATGTGTATAGTATTATCGAAAATCTCATTGGTACCACGCGCTCCACCGAAATAAACACGCAACGCAGACCACGCCGCGCCACAACACACACACAAATAAGGGAACTATTCAAATTCCCTTCCGTTTTTGTGTGTGTTGTGGCGCGGCGCGGTCTGCGTTGCGTGTTTATTTCGGTGGAGCGCGTGGTACCGATGAGTTTTTCGATAATAGAGCAAACAGAAAAATCAGTCAAGTGCGCTCTACTAATAACAAAGAGATTCTCAATGGAGCGTAGTTGCTGTTCTGTCAATTTTTAGGAGGAAAATTTGAATTTTCAAATAAGATATCATTAGAGCGCAGTTGTTTTTTTCAGTTTGCAAGTGCGCTCTATTGATAATCCTCACATTTTCTTCGGAAATCTCGAACCTCCTTGCCAATTCTCCAAATAGTTTTTCAATCCATGGTTCCACAGCCAATTCTAATCTGAAAAATAAAAAAAAAATATATCCTCTCCCCAGAAAATCAATAAATTTCCGAACCCAACTTGATCGTCGGCCTCTCCTCTCTCAAAACACCGTGTAGCTCCCAGCGCCTTCAATTGTCTGTCGATTTTCTGCGGAATCGCTTGATAGCTCGAATAATTCGAATCGCCGAGCCCTGCAAAATGCTTGCTCATTTTCTATTCGACCAAGTGCTAAACACTACTAACCAAGAATAGCATAATTCAATGTGGCCAGAAAATCGTTGGGCAAAGTTTTGCGATTTATTCGCCTGACAAAACGCGACGCGTTGTCCGGTGCATCGCCGTCGCCGGTTGACGACACAATGATTGCAGCGAATTTTTCCGTCTCCAGATTGAACTAGAAATATTTTGAGTGATTTTTGGGAGAATTGCCTCAAAAAATCTCACCTCCTTCTCATTTTGATCCAAAAAATACAGCCTAGGCTTTAATCCAATCAATTCGGCCTTCTCCTTGATGCCTTTTGCAATAGTTTCAGCTTGTCCGGTGTGCGAACCATAGGCTATCACAAAATCACCGCTCATCTTGACAAAATCTATGAAAAATGACAATTTTCTTATCATCTCTAGGGTGTATGTGATCAATTTTTGTTCTTGTTTTTGACAGAAACATCATTTTTTGATCGAAAATGGGGATTTCCCCGGAAAAACTGATTTTTTTAGGGCGAAATGCAAAAATTGAAAATAATAAAAATACATGGCCTAGGATCCGACGAATGTTGAGAACTCGGGGGATTTTCCAGAGGAACAATAGATGAAAGTGGCCTTTATGATTCCTCTGGTGTTCCTTGAGTCCTCCCTAGATGTCCGTTCGTTTCCATGGGCTTCTTTGAGCCGGCTCAAGCCCGATAAAAATGGGCCTGGCCGTGTTTGGTTTTCTAGTCCGCGTCACTTTTTCGAAATTTCTTTTTTTTTTCTTTTTTTTTCTCTTTTTTTCTTTTCTTTCTCAAACCACACGTTCAATCAATTTCAATATCAATGATAAGAACGAGAACGATAAAAAGTGCAGTTTTTTTCCAAAAAAAATTTCATCCAAATAAATCTTATTCAATGTCTCATATTACATTCATTCATTCAGTCATTCAGTTGTAAATCGGAAAATCTCGTTTTTTTTGTATGTTCCGTCAAACATTCAAATCGAACACAAAAAGAACAGACAATGTAAATATATAATATTATATATCTACACTTTTCCCTCTTCAAAAAATTCTTCTTTCTTTTTTTTTCGTTCTCTTTTTCTTTCAAAAAACTCGCATCGATTTTTGTTTCGGCGGAAAGGCGCTTTTCTCTGTCGCCTGCGTCTCTTCTCTTTTTCCATTTTCTTTCAATTTTTTTGCTTGCCCATTGATTAAATTCGTCGTTTTCTTCATTATTATTATCATTATCATCAACCAAAATCATCTTTGTTTTCTCATTTCATTTCATTCATTCGTTTATTATCATTTTAGTTTTGCCTATTAAATTGAATTCAATTGAATCGAGATGAATGAATTGTTCGAGACAAATCGATAAATGTACTTTTATTGTCTTTTATTTACACAACATTTTCCGACAGGTTTCTTTCGTTTTTCGTCGGCAGAATTTCATTTTATTTTCGTGTATGAAAGAAATATTTGAACTAAGAAACACTTTTTGGCCGGAAAATTGTCTGGCAATTGCGTTTTCAATCGATTTTTCTCAAGTTTGAGCTTGTTTAGGTATCTTCTAATTTTAAAATTTCGTGACCTTAAAACCTTTTTTTGCTCAATACTCATGAATTTTTAATTTTCCATGCTCCACAGGTCCAAATAATCCCCGACTTGTGAAAAAAGAAAATTGAAACCTTTCAAAATTGTGAAAATCTTGAATTTTCAGTCAATTTTGAAGAGTTTCAGGGAAGACGCGGAGGCTATGCCCAAATTTTCAAATCCCACAAGTTTTCAAATAAATGTTCCCATAGCTTCTTTGAATAGACACAAGAGTTTCGTCATCTTGCACTATCTATTACGCCTTTGTGCATAATTCCTAACCGCCGCCAAATTAGACATACAAGAAAACCCGCCGCTCCTATTCAAAAAGTGCAAATTTTTTGCGAACGCCTAAAAATATCCCTCTTTTTGTATAGATATTTTAGTGTTAGTTGGAAAAAAAAACACATCACATTTCAATAATCGAATCATATCAAATTGATGTGATTTTTTTCGTTGCTAAAGTTCCACGTCTTCACATTTTCTTGTCCCCCTGTTTACAATAGTTTATACATAGATAATAAAAGTTATTTTTGAATAACTTTGTTTATGTTATTTATTTTACCCTACTCAAATCACACATGTTTTTCTGTTTATATGAATACTTCTCCGTCTTTTTTCCCAACCGACCGCCACAAAAACAGAAGAACAAAAGAAATTGTTGTAAACAGCGGTTTGTCACTGTCTGTCTAGATATACCCTAAATCATAAACAAAAAAACAGATGTGCACTTTTGGTGCAAAACGAAAATCGATATAGTTTTTTGTTTGAAATTCGATTTCATTTTTTTGAAATAAAGTCACCTGACAGACGAAATTTTATTATCATTCATCATCGTTGGCTGGCTGATAAAGAAGTTTTGTTTTTTGACGACGTTTTTCAGTTTTTGATATTTGGCAAGGTTCCAAAAATTAGATTTTCAATGTAAAAACGATTCCCAAATTTTCCACCTACCTAGAAATTACTAGCATGAATCTTAACCTTCTTTAAATAAGAAATGCTTGCCTCTGAAAAAATTTAATTTAAAAATTTTTCACGTGAAATATTGCCCAATATTGGGCGGCTTTTAGCGGGCAAGATGCCATTTCTAGATTTTTCAAAAATGGAAATTCAGACAAGAAAAAGGTTAGATATTTATGTGACTTCTGAAACCTTTCAAAATTGTGAAAATCTTGAATTTTCAGTCAATTTTGATGAGTTTCAGAAAACACGCGGAAGCTATGCCCAAATTTTCATTAGAAACCCAAAGACCTCTAATTTCCCTTCTGAAACCTTTCAAAATTGTGAAAATCTTGAATTTTCAGTCAATTTTGAAGAGTTTCAGAAAACACGCGGAAGCTATGCCCAAATTTTCAATTTTTCCATGGCCTAGAAACCAAATCCCTTAATGACCTAGAAACCCAAATTACACGTTTCAGTCTCCCTGGGTAACCCAACCTATTTCCTTCGAGAAAAAGTAGTAATAATTCTCCTTTTTTTCACATTTTTCATTTTCTGATAAAAAAAAATACCGTATTCTTATCAATAATAATATTTTCCCAAGTTCACCCGTTCATTTTCAAGGTTATTAAATAAAATCAAAATTTTTTTCTTCGTTGATTTGATTTTCTGTCCCTACACCTAAGAAAATTGATTTTTATTTCTGTTGTTTCAGAGAAGGTTATCAATGCAAAACTGGTGATGACGAAATTGCATTTGAGAAGAATCATTCAGCCGTTGGGCGGCGGAAATTTGGCACAACCAATTGCTGAAAAAGATAGGCATAAATTATTGATTTTGTGAGTTTTTTAGGGGGAAAAATTGGGTTTTTCACTGAAAAAAAATGTTAAAATTGTTTTTTTAACATCGAAAAATCAATTCACGAAAAGTCATAGGTCAAAATTGATTTTCCAAGGTTTTTCAGTCAAAAATGATGACAAATCGAGATTTTTAAGCTTTTGGGGTGATTTCTGATGAAAATAAGCTTCGATAATCCTACATCAGAATTTGAATTTTTTTTTATTTTACGAAAAATCAGCAAAAACTTCTGACAAGGGGACCTTTTTTACTCAACACTTAAAATCATGATGAAATTTGGTCCATGGACAGCTTTTGGGACCATAAGAACACCCTAAAAATTTTAGTCTCCCAATGGACCTCTGAGCCAAGTTCTGGGCTCTCAAAAGTTCAAAAAAGGCCTAAAAATGGTCATAAAAGTCATCATATCTCAGGAAAAAATTAGCGACGGTGCCGCGACTTTTTGACGTTTTGCGATGGTACCGGTACCTTTTTGCCTTGGTACCGAACCCTTTTGCACTTTGGACTGGTACCGAACCAGTTCGGTACCCGTGCGAAATTTTCAAGAGTGATTATCAAACAAAATGGGTAATGCACTGGTACCGAACTAAAGTTTCGCTCTTGTGCAAAAAAAAACTTAGCGATTTTCTGAGTGCGGTGTGTCGTAATCGACTGAAACGAAAAAAGTTGAGAAACCTTTTAAATTTTCACATAATTTTTGAAAAAATATATTTCTTCGAATGTCTAGCGGCATACTACGCCCGTATCAGTTAATTTTCATCATAGTTTTCTCATTTCTACTTTTGCAGCTTTTGCGCCGTAAAAAAGAGAAAAACTAGAAATTTGAAGAATGAAGAATGAAAAAAAATGTGCTATTTTCCATTGAAAAGTAAAATTGTGATATGTATTTCGCTATTTTCCTATGGAAATGTGAAAATTCAACATCAAATTCATCTATCGTCAATTCCAATAGGAAAATACGTCTGTCCTCAATGCTGAAAATTCATGAAAATTCATATGTGCCCCTGCTCATTCTTTTTTTCAAAATCAAAATTTTTTCTAAAAATTTGATTTATTGATGCTTTTTGGGTAAATCGACCACGCTGATCATCATCTGCTACTCAGTTTTTGATAAAAATTATCGAAAATTGAGTTATGACGTGTTTTATGAGCCAATTTTGGCAATTTTCGAACTTTTGAGAGCCCAGAACTTGGCTCAGAGGTCCATTGGGAGACTAAAATTTTTAGGGTGTTCTTATGACCCCAAAAGCTATCTATGGACAAAATTTCATCAAGATTTGAAGTGTTGAGTAAAAAAGGTTTCCTTGTGAAGCTCAATTTTCATCAGAAATCACACCAGAAGCTTCAAAAATCTCGATTTGTCATCATTTTTGGCTGAAAAACTCGAAAAACTAATTTTGACCTATGAATTTTCGTGAATTGATCTTTCGACGTTAAAAAAAACATTTTTCTGTCCAAAATCAACGAATTTTTGTCCATTCAGACTTCACGGAAAAACCCGATTCGGTCGTAACATTGGTGAAAACGAAGTGTTGCTCATTTCGGGACCCTCAAAAGCTCCATCTCAGCAGTTTTTTGAGAGGAAAATCGAGCCCGCTGCTAAAACAGAAGAGCGCAATTTGATCTCACGAACACATGCTGGAATTTTGGAGTTGAGCGATGAGAATGGCGAATCGGTTTATGTTGTTGAGGATTTGTCGTTGAATGGAACTTATGTTAATGATATTAGGGTTTTGGTGAGTTGGAGATTGGGAAAAATGGATTTTTTATGTTATTTTGGTCTAGGCTATAGTCATTTTTATGAAAAATTTGGGTTTTTGGGAGTTTAGTGTCCAATTGCTGCTCATTGAGAGTCTCTGTGACTAGGTAACGCGCCTTGAAATCCTAGGTGTCTAGGACTCGTGCCTTGTAACTCCATACGTCAAGTAGCCGAGCCTAGAGAACCTAATTGTCTAGGATCCGTGCCTTGATACCCCCAGGTCAAGCAGTCAAGCCTAGAAAGCCTTGTTGTTAAGTAGCTGAGCCTTGAGAACATATTTTTCTATGACTCGCGCCTTGAGACCCATATGTCAAGCAGCCCAGCCTAGAAAGCCTAGTTGCCAAGTAGCTGCTCTTTGAGAGACCCTGTGACTAGGTGAGGTGCCTTGATATCCTCTATATCAAGCAGTCAAGCCTAGAAGGTCTTGTTGTTAAGTAGCCGATCCTAGAGAACATATTTGTCTAGGACTCGCGCCTAGAGAACCTCATTGTCTAGGACTCGCGCCTTGAGGCCATATTTTTCTAGGACTCGCGCTTTGAAAACCTAATTGTATAGGACCCGCTCCTTGAGAGCCTCTATGTCAAGTAGCCGAGCCTAGAAGACCTAGGTGTCAAGTAGCCAAGCCTAGAAGGCCTTGTTGTTAAGTAGCTGCTCCTAGAGAACATATTTGTCTCGGACCAGCGCCTAGAGAAACTAATTGTCTAGGACCCGCTCCTTGAAATCCTATGTGGCTAGGTACAACGCCTTGAAACCTGCTTCAGCTAAAACACGTGGATTTTTCACCTGGAAATTATACAAAATTGGGTGTTTTTTCATGACTAATCACAATATTTCACCTGAAAATCCCCGAAAACCCAATTGTTTCTCACCCATCAAAAATTATAATACAAATACGAATAAATTTTCACATTTCACTAGCTCACAAAAAAAATTAGACACGCGACACAAAAATTGTGTGTGCCACGAAACATGCAATTTTTTTCGTACTTTCTAATTAAAATCTACTCACATTTCTTTTTTTTGTCGTGTGAGTATTTGTATAGAAAAAAAAAAGAATTATATCGACTTGGACTACTGTAGGTTTTGAGCAGCGAGCAGGTGCAAAAATGAAATATGTACTTTTCGACTAATAAATCTTATGGAAGTTTCAAAATCTTGCGCTTTTTGTTGGGAAACTTGAGAAAAATGGGTTTAGAAATTTATTCTGTGCTCATTTTTTGACTGAAAAATCGGAAATTTTTGGATAAAAATGACTCAGGAGCTGATTTTCAACACAAAAATTTGACTGAAAATTAATTCTGGGTTCATCCTAAGACTCGAAAATCTCAAAATTTGCTAGAAAATGACCATTTTCAGCCAAATTTTCAGATTTCAAGCCTAATATCCTGTTCCCTCACAGTCTTTTACAATATTACTTTTTTTCCTCAAAGTAAACATTGTCTTCTCAATTATTAATTGCTCAGCAATTAATAATTGCTGTGTGAAACATTTTTCCTATGTTTACTAAAAAAAGTATTAAAAAATTACACCCAAGAAAATTGTTGTGAGAAACTCTTGTTGTAATTTTTGTGAGAAACTTTCCTTGTAATTTTTTTGTTTTTGCAGAAAAAACGGACAGCTTTCTCTTCGGATTGGTCCCTGACACGGATTACTGAAGGAGATATCATCAAATTTGGACATATGAATGGGGCTGCGAATTCGCGTGAGTTTTTTTTGCGGCTGGAAATTTGAGGGGGCTGAAAATTGGATAAGAAATATATACTTTACGATTTTTTTCGTATCTCAAGGTTTTCGGAGCATAAAATTGTAGTTTTTAGCCTCAGGATTAGAGAAATTATGGATTTTCTGTATAGTTTTGAAGGCAGAATTTGAAAAATCTGAAATTCCAGCCTAAGTTCATGTTTTTGAGCTTCCATGGCAAGTACTCGATTTTCAGGGCCTAAAAAGTTTATTTAGAGCTCTTGTTGTCAAGTAGCCGAGCCTTGAATACCTAATTGTCTAGGAGCCGCGCCTTGAGAACCACTGTGGCAAGGGGCCGCGCCTTGAGAGATTCTATTGTCAAGTAGCAGAGCCTATACACCTTAATTCTCAAGTAGCCGCGCCTAGAGAACCTACTTCTTAAGTAGACGCGCCTAGAGAGCTCGGTTTTCAAGTAGCTGAGCTTTGAATACCTAATTGTCTAGGAGCCGCGCCTGGAGAACCACTATGGCAAGTAGCAGAGCCTATAAACCCTAGTTTTCAAGTAGCCGTCCCTTGAGAACCCAGTTTTCAAACAGCCACTCCTTAAGAACCTCATTGTCTAGGACCCGAGCCTAAAGAGCCCAGTTTTGAAGTAGCCACCCCTTAAGAACCTCATTGTCTAAGACCCGCGCCTTGAGAGCTTCTATGGCAAGTAGCCGCGTCTTGAGATTTCTAGTCGTCAAGCATCAGTGCCTTCAGATCCTAGAAAGTAGCATATATCCTAAAATCCCATATTTTCTTCCAGCCGGCGTTCATGCTCCGCAAGCCAATTCTGAATTCACATTCATCGTCGAAAAAGCCAATATTCAGCACATAAATTATTTGGGTTTCGAAAAAGACGCGGCCGGCAATTTGATTGAAACCGCCACCCGAAAACGCCTTTCGGTTTGGAGCCGCCTCTCGACGATTCGCGAAACTGAATATGATGAAAGTCTTGGTGAACTTCAGCAGCGAGATCAAGAAGAGGTTCAGGAAAAAAGGCCGGAGGTTGGTGGTTTTTTAACTCTCTTTCCCTTTGTTTTTTGTGGTGGTGGTGGTGGATTTTTGCTTCTTCTTTTTTTTGGTGGGAAAAAATTGTGCCAGGATTGCATTTTTGTGGCCAGAAAGCTCTGATTTTGAATATTTCATGCCAGGATTGCATTTTTAGGCCAGAAACCTTTGATTTTTTGCCAGGATTGCAATTTTTAGCCAGAAACCTATGATTTTGAATTTTTCATGCCAGGATTGCATTTTTTAGGCCAGAAATCTCTGATTTTCAATATTTCATGCCAGGATTACATTTTTTAGGCCAGAAACCTTTGATTTTGAATATTTTGTGCCAGGATTGCATTCCCCCTTAGGTCCTAAAAAGTTCCCATGACCTTGAAAGCACCTGAATTTGTTGAATTTCTGTTGCGCAACACAAAAGCCTTGGAATTTCTTTTGTTCAAAATTCTATTCAACAAAATTTCGATATACACAGGTGTCTCAATCGAGAAACTCGGATCTTGGAACGGTGCCAAGCTCCGCCCCCTTCCTCCCGGTTTATCACCATTCGCTGAAGTCTTGCCACGCCCCCGGTTCTCTTGGTGTATCTCGCGCGCGCTCCTTAGCTCCGCCCCCTATCGAAACTCATTTTTCTCGCCTCGCCTCATACAAATCACCCCCCGCGTCTCTCTTATTTTGTTTTTTTTTTGGGATTTTTTCGTTGGCCTAAAATTTTTCTGTGACTCATTTTATAGATATGTTTTATGGGATATTTTTATGATTAAAAAATATTTTAAATATCAAATTTTGATCAAATCGTGTATTTAGATTTCGTAATTCCCTTTTGGCTCCGCCCCTCTCCCCATTATTTTTGTTTTTCATTTCATTTTATTTTATTCGAAAACACTAGCCGTCTTTTATTTTTCTCCGGCCACATTTTTAATCCGGGCACAGAAGAAACTGTGCCCCGGGGTTGCATAATCGTTTGGCCTAAAATTTGGGATCATTTGCAATCCTGGCATGTTTTTTTTCAAAAAGGCTGGGTTTGAAAACTGTGCCAGGGTTGCGTAGGCCCTAATTTTGTCTAGGACAATTTAGGCCTAAAATTTTCTGAAGCTGGATTTTTAGATAGAATTCTAGAAAAATTTTGCAATCCTGGCACACTTTCTCAAAAAAAACTGTGCCAGGGTTGCAAAAAATTATTTAGGCTATTAGTCTGGCGTAAAATCTTTGTAGCCGGAAGCTTTTTGCAACCCTGGCACGGTTTTTTCTCTCAGATATCTGTACAAAAGGGGCGGGGCTTAAACTGCAAGCCTGGCACGGTTTTTTCATTCTAAAAGGTTTTTCAAAAAGTGGGCCTTGTCTTGCATTGCTGGCACACGTTTTTTCCATCAGAAAAAACTATGCCAGAGTTGCAAAAGGGGCGGGGCCTAATACAATCCTGGCACAGTTTTTCCTCTCCAAATTTTTTTTCAAAAAAAAAACACAAATTTTTTCTCCAACCGTGTATCTGACACCTGCGTTTGATTGAGTTTATATATAATAACTAAATTTTGTTTATGTTGTTTTGTGAGCAAATCTTTCTTGGAGCACACCGATGCTCTAAATTTTCGGGAAAAAATTTGAAACATTTTTTAGGTACTCACTCCCCTCTTCTTCCCGAAATCGGATGCTCTCCCTCTCTCCCAATGGATTTTTTTGTTGTTGTGTTTTTCGCAACTTTTTCGCCCTTTTTTGCTCTCCATTTTTGTCTATTTCTCTTGGTCTCTCTCAATTCTCCATACTCTCTCACTCAGGTGTCAAATACACGAATTTATATTCAGAATTGCTAAATTCTATAATCTTTTCCCCCCTCTCTTTCATGAGCTCTGAACTAGACAGCTTTGCTCTTTTTTTTTTATTTGATTGGATTTTGTCGGTTCTTCACCATGACAACCTGAAATAGTAGTGATTAGAATTGGAATTATAGCGTCATTTTTTTTAAAGGGGGGTCTGAAATTTGCCACGTGGCGGGGGATTTTTAGCTTTAGGGAAAAATTTTAAGGAGATTTTTGATGAGCTTCATTTTGAGACCAAATATGAATAGGTTTTGGTGGGCGAAAAATTAGAAATTTTTAGCTGAAATTTGCCACGTGGCACGGGATTTTTAGCATTAGGGCAAAACTTTAAGGAGATTTTTGATGAGCTTCATTTTGAAACCAAATATAACTAGGAGCTGATTCACGAACGAAAAAAAAATGCATAAAATGTTGTTTTTTTTAGTTTGTGAAGCTTCAATTTTCCAGCCTCAAGTTTCAAAAATTTCAAAATTTGAAATTAAATAAAACCACGTGGTTTTTAGCGCCAAAATTTCCAAATTGAACAATTTTTGAACAGGGCTGGTTCACAAACGAAAAAAAATGTTTGAAAATGTTTTTTAACATTGAATGATGATGAAAAAGTCAAAAAATGTCGAAAAAAAATCAATTTCTCGAGTTTTTTTCAGTCAAAAATGATGACAAATCGAGATTTTTCAAGGTTTTGAAGTGATTTCTGATGAAAATGAGCTCTAACCTCATTTTATTGATTTTTTCGAAATTCATCAAAATTTGAAATTTTTACGAAAAATAAGCAGAAACTTCTGGAGGTCAATTTTCATCAGAAATCACTTCAGAAGCTTTAAAAATCTCGATTTGTCATCATTTTTGACTGAAAAACCTTGAAAAACTAATTTTGACCTATGACTTTTCGTGAATTGATTTTTCGATGTTGAAAAAATTTTTTTTAATTTTTCCCGATTTAAATTTGGCTGAAACTTGCCACGTGGCTGTGGGATTTTCGATAAGCTTTATTTTGAGACCAAATATGAATGGGTTGAGAAATAGGTCAGCTAGAAAAAAAAATCTATGACATCTGAAAATTATTTTTTATCTGAAATTCGGGATTCTGGCAGAAAATCAATAATTTTTTGGATCTCAAAAACCCTCCAAACTCGAATTTCCCCTCATTTTTTGACGTCGAAAAAAATCCAATTTCCTCTCTGTTTTTAATTTTTTTGTTCACCTTTTTTGTCGCAATTTTTCGCTGATTTTTCCCGGTTTCCTCTCAAATTTTTCAATGATTTTCAGATGCATCCAAATCAACAGCACAATCAAAATCATCAGCAAAATCAGCAGCAACAACAGCAGCAACATCTACAGCAACAGCAGCAGGCATTAGTCGCAGTGGCTCTTGCGCAGCAGTTGCAGAATGCTGCCAGATCACGAGCGCAGACACCGCAACAACAAGCCTTGGCTCAGCAGCCATATCCAGTGAATCCGATCGATTTAATGCTCTACCAACAACTTCAACAGCAACAGCAGGCTAATAATCTTTATACGGATATGATGAAAGCGATGTATATGCAACAGGCTGCTGCACAAATGCCGGCGGTGACGCAGGCGAATAATGCGGCGGTGGCGGCGGCAGCTGCGGCGGCTGGATTTGGAGCGATTGCTGGGTTGGCTAATAATTATCAGCAGGTTGGATTGGTCAGTTATTTTTGGGGTGAAAGTTCTTGGGATACCTGAGATTTTTGAGATTCTGTGGTTTTCCAGCTTCAGAATCAAGTTTCAGAGCTCTTTTTCCCTCAATTTGAAATTGATTGGTTTCAGCTTCAAAAACTGACCAAATTTTTAAACAAAATTTGGAATTCTACCTCTGATTTGGTTGTTTTTCCAGCTTCAGAATCGAAGTTTTAGAGCTTTTCCTAGGTTTTATCTGAAATTATTGAATTTTAGACTAATTTTGAGATTTTACCAACTTCAAATTCAAGTTTCAGAATTTTCAACATTAATTTCAGCCTTATCAGATTTTGAATAACATTTGGCTCAAACTAATTTTTATATTGATAAGTTTCAGCTCTAAAACTGTCTGAAATTAAGGATACGATGTTTAGAAGTTTCAGAATTTATAAATTAAAAGGTCAGCCTTATCAGTTTTTCTAAAATTGAATTAGGTCCTACCAGTTTGTTTCTTCATAAATTTGTAAATTTTGAATTTCAGCTGAAAAATCTAACTGAAGTTTGAGACAAAATTTGAGATTTTTCCACGCGTTTTGGTGTTTTTTCAGCTCTAGAATCAAGTTTCAGGATTTTTTGATCAGTTTTGTAGTCAAAAATCTAGCTGAAACGATTTCAGATGAGTTCTTACTGAAATTTGAGTTATCATAAATCAAAAAATCCAATTATTTTTATTTTTATCCAATTTCCCCCTTCAAGAATTGAATTCTTAGAATTCCCCTGTTTTGTTTTCAGGTTTTTTAACCTGTACTTTTTTATTTTTATTTTTAGAAATTCATAAGAATGGGGGAATTCAAAAAAAAAATTCTTTGTTTTAATTAATTTTTTCCGACTCAATGCTCAAATGAAATTGTTTAAAAACATTTTTTGTGTAACTTGAATCACCCTCATAAAAAATTGGATTTTTCCAGAATCCTGACATGCTTCGGAATCTCCTCACTCAACAATACGCAGCTCAGCAACCACAACCACCACCACAACCCCAGCAACAGGCAGCGTTGAATTATTTGAATTTGTTCAATCAGCAGCAACAGATTCCACCACCACAACCTCAACAACAACCTCAACCACTGGCTCCACAAATCCAGGCTCAACGAATTCAGGCGCCACCGATTCCGATCGCAGCACCGCCACAAGTTCAGCAGGTTCAACCGGTTCAGCCGATAGTTCAACAAGCGGCTGTCGCAGTTGCTCCAGTTGAAGTCATCGCTCCGCCGAATTCTGGCTATGGATTGCTGATGCCGGTTCAAACATCGCCGGCGAATAATTCGGCGGCGAATTCGACGCCCAGATCGACAACATCGTCGAATTCCTCATCGACACATGAGACACCGCATCCAACAGATCCGGATATCAATCAGGAACAGGGACCTTCGAAAACTCCGCCGGTTGAATGTGATAGTTCGGTCCCAAGTCCGCCGAAGCAGACACCACAGGCTGCAATTCCGTCAACATCTACAGCTGCTGAGATCGAGATCAAGCCGGCTCCAGTTCAGGTTCAAGAAGAGGTTGAGAGGAATGAAGTACCGTGGACACCGCCATCACCAGCTGAAGAGGTAAGAATTTCTCGGGATTTATAAGAACTTCTGATAGAGATCTGTGAATTTCAGTTGGAAGTTCTAGAAAATCTGAAATTTCAGCTACAAATTCTCTTGGGATTTTCAAGTTTTGAGATCTGAAAATTAGAATTTTTGAATTTCCGAACTGCATTTTTGAAATATTTCAGCTTCTGATTTTTTTTTTTTGAATTTCTCCCTGAAATTTTCCAAAAATTTGCTTTTTTTTTGAAAAAGCTCAGCTTTTGATTTTTCGAAATTTACAAGTTTTTGAATCTGAAAATAAAAAAATTTTGAATTTTTGCCTGAAATTGTCCAAAAACTGAATTTATCAGAACTTCTGACAGAATTCTGTGAATTTCAGTTGAAAATTCTAGAAAATTCAAATTCCAGAAATTTTAGCTTCTGAATTTTTCTGAAACCTGAAAATAAGAATTTTTGAAGTTCTTCCTGAAATTGTCCGAAAAATTTGCATTTTTAAAAATTTTCAGCTTCTGAATTTCTTGGGATTTTCCAGTTTTGAGATCTGCAAATTAGAATTTTTGAATTTCTCTCTGAAATTATTCGAGAATCTGAAATTTCAGTTTCTGAATTTCTCGGGATTTTCAAGATTTGAGATCTGAAAATAAGAATTTTCCCTGAAATTGTTCGAGAATCTGAATTTATAAGAACTTCTGACAGAGAATTCTTTGAATTTCAGAATTCTAGGCAATTTACATTTCTGAAATTTCAGCTTTTGAATTTTTCAAAATTTTAAAGTTTTGAACCTGAAAAACAAAAAAATATGTGAATTTTTTTTGATCTCTCAGAATTTACAAATTTTGAAATTTGTCTGAAAAGAAAAAATTACGACCGAATTCTGTCAAATTTCAGTTGAAAATTCCTCGAAAACTGCATTTTTTTAAATTTCAGCTTCTGAATTTCTCGAGATTTTCAAGTTTTGAGATCTGAACTTAAGAATTTTTCATTTTTTTCCCTGAAATCGTCCAAAAATTTGCATTTTTAAAATTTTTCAAGTTTTCAAATCTATGAATTTCAGCTGAAAATTCTAGAAAATACCCTGAAATTCCCAAAATTCCACGTCATTTCCTATTTTTCAGTCTGTTGTCCAAGAAGAAGAAGATGTGGTTATCGATCAAGTTGTCAGAATTGTGGAGCCAGTTCAACAAGAAATCCAGCCCAAAATTGAGCCGGAAGAGGAAGAAGCTGAAGAGCAAGTTCCAGCTCAGAATCAGGAACCAGCCGAACAACAACAAGAAGAGCCAGAAGAAGAAGAAGCTGGACCATCAACATCTTCTGCTCCAGCTCCAGCTGAAGTTCCAGCTGAAATTCCAGTTCCAGCTGCTTCCCCGGATTTAGCCGGACCCTCAACATCAAGTGGAATTGGAAAGAAGAGAAAGCGAACGAATGAGCTGAATAATTTGTTGAAGGATTTCCCGAGTAGTTTTTCGACGACGAGTTCGAAGAGTGGAAGAAGACAGACTGAGGATGCTTTGGTTGAGAAAATGGCGAAGAAGGAAAAGAAAAAGGTAATATTTGAAGTTTGAAGGTGGATTTTTCTGGAAGCTTCTCAAACTGTTGATTTTAAAGTTTCAGTGAAACACCGTGTAAAATGGTAGTTTGAAAAGCTTATAGAAAAAATCCCGATTTTCTTCAATTCTGAGGATTCTGTATTCAAAAAGAGCGATGCGCCTTTAAATTTAGAAATATACCGTATCTCTTCTATTGTTGAAGGTCTCGCCACGATGAAATTTTCATGAAAAATTAGGCTGAAATTCTGAAACTGCTAGATTTTTCTCGAAGAGAAATTTCAAATTTTTGTGCCAACTTCAATTTTAAAAAATTGAGAAGCTTCAGAAATATGAATTTTTAAGAAATTTCCGAACTTCTGCATTTCAGAACTATGAATTTCTCAAAATTTCTGATTTTTTGAATTTTTGAACCTTAAAATACCCTTAAAAACGTTAGCCAAAAATATTCAAATTTTTAGATTTTCCTCGAAATTCCTCTTTTTTACTTGAGCTTGGAAATCTCAAATTTTTGTTCCAAATTTGATTTTTGAAGCTTTAGAATTTTTCAAAATGTTCTGAATTTCTAAAGTATTTTTTCTAGAGAAGTCTCGAATTTTTTAAAATTTTTGTGACGAATCCAAAAAAATGTCCAAAAACATTACCAAATTCTGAATCCTCTGGGGCCTAAAATCTCAGATCCGAACCTAAATTTTCCAGAGAGAAAAAGCTGCCGCCGAAGCTCTTCTTCGCCAACAACAAGCATCGGATAAGAGTGGAAGTTCCTCTTCCTCAACATCTACAACAACTCGCAAAAAGCCAATGTCACAATTGAGTGATAGTAGTGTTTCGACTTCTGACGATGATGAAACAACTTCGAAGACTGCTGCTGGAAATGGAAATTTGAAGAAATCAGCTTCAGCTTCAGCTTCATCTCCAGCCAAAAAACGGCGACGAAATGAGGAGGAAGATGATGAGGATGAAGAAGAGGAGGAACAATCTGATGATGAGCCAATTGTTGCTCAGCCAATTGCAAAACCAAAACGAGTTGTCACAACTGCTTCAGGAATCCGTATAAATATGGCGAAATTGGTGAGACAAAAGAAGTTGGAGAAGAAGAAGAAGGATGCGAGAGAGGGAAAATTGAATGTGAAAGGTGAACGAATTGATGGACAAGTTGAGGAGAATAATGTGGAGGATGAGGAAATTGAAGAGGAACAAGAAGAGGAGGAGGAAGAGGAGGAAAGACCGACAAGAGGAAGGAAACGGGGAGGAAAGGTGAGGAAAATTATGAATTTTGAGACTAGATTGATGAATTTCGGGCTGAAACTTGAAAATTCAGAGAAAATTAATGTTTTTCCTAGGTAATTTTATGATTTTCGCCCTGAAAATCTACGGAAAATTTAGAAAAATCAAGTGCTTTTCCTCGGTAATTTTATGAATTTTAAGCTGAAAATCTTTAAATTTGCAATTTTTGAACTCAGGAAAAATTCCCAATCAATTTTTAAAGCATTGCTCAGGTTAGAGGCGAAAATTGAGGATTTTCAGAAGCATTGCTCAGGTTAATATCCCAAAATTCTTCAGGAATCTAAAATTTTTCTGAAAATCAGATCATCCAATTTTATTTTCTATCCAGAAAATTCTACGTTTCAAAATATTGTGAATTTTAATATTTTTATTGGCTGGACAATTGAAAAGCTGGAATTACAAAAAATTTCGATTCAGAAAATTTATATTTTTTCCACACGAAAATGAAGAAAAAAAATAGATAAAAAAACTAGTTTTTCGACATTTACTGGAAATTTTTTGTAAAAAATGTTTTTTATTAATTTGTTTTCGATTTGAATCATCCCAGCTTTTGCTCAAAAATTTTTGAAAATTTTCAACAATGGGTGAAATTATTGTCCAGCCAATAGAAATATTAAAATTCACAATATTTTGAAACGTAGAATTTCCTGGTAAAAACATGATTTTCAGATTTGCTCAAGCTGAAATGCCTGAAAATTGGTTCAAAAATTCAGGACTGCAAAAAATTTGGATGATGTGGTTTTCAGAAAAAAATTTAGACCATGAAGAATTTTGGGATTATAACCTGAGCAATGCTTTTGAAAATTCAGAATTTCTCCTACATATAATCTGAGCAATGCTTTTTAAATAAAGAAAATATTTTTTCCACACAAAAATGAAAAAAAATAGGAAACAAAATAGTTTTTTGACATTTCCTGAATCGAAATTTTTTGTGAAAAAAAAAATTTTTTTATTTAATTTTTACCTATTTTCAACATAATTCATTCCAAATCTGAAAATCATGTTTTTTAACCCAAAGATGGTTCACAATATTGTGAATTTTTATCCCATCAATGAAAATTTCCAAAAAAAGTCCTGTTTCCAACAAAAATCTCAAATCCAAATATTTTTTTGCAGCCCAAAAAGAAGACAAATGCCGATCTCGACGCGTGCGGCCTTTTCAATCGTTGCAAAGTCGGAGTGGACGCGGAAACCGTTCAATGGGTTCAATGTGACGATTGTTCACAATGGTGGCATAATATTTGTCGATTTGGCAACAATGAACACTACACAAAATCCACATTTTCCTGCTGTCCTCAACCAACCACCGCCAGCACCTCAAAAACCACCAAAAAGAGCCGCTAATTTAAAGGAACATACCGTATTCCCTTGTCCCTTTAATACATATATGTTTGTATAATTGAACCTACTACTATTTTTCTTGTTTTTTTTGTCCCGTAGGATTTCTTACGCCTAGTTGTTTTTTCCCTGTTTTTTGCACTGTCCCGGTTCTTTTTTTCTGTTAGAGAGGGGTGTTTTTTTGGGGATTGCTCATGTTATAAAAAATTCAATTTTTCATACATAACATGAGCAATTTTACAAGCCAAGGAGATTTGAAATTCACGAAATCATTGCTCATGTTATTTTAAAAAAATTGAATTTTTAAAAATAACATGAGCAATATCACTTTTTCTGAATTTTGGAAAAATCTGAAAATTTCGCGAAATCATTGCTCATTTTATTTTAAAAATCAAGAATTTATTGATTTTTTTCTGATATGAGCAATCACCCTCCAAAAACACCCCTCTCTTTTTTCTCATCCAAAAATTCTCTCCGATTTCCCGGGTTTCGGTTTTATTTTTCTCGCCACTTCTTTTTTTTTTGCAAAATGTTGTGATTATTATTTTATTATTTTCACCCCGATGTTTCTTTTTTTCTTCGATTTGATCCCCCAAAAATTGATGATCTCACCACGATTTTTGCGCTACCAAATTCATTTTTTTCCAAAAATTTTTTCCCCAAAAATTTCCATTTCTTGTGTTTTTCCCAGTGTTTTTTTTTGTTCTTCTAGTTTTTTTGAGTCTAGAGTTTTTTACTCATTTTTAATTAATTAATTAGCTAATTAATTAATTCCCCTAAATTTGAACTAGATTTCACATATTATTGATTTTTTTGAAATTTTTCATGTTTTACCTCTGTTTTTCTTTGTTTTTTTCTTTTGCCATTGACGAATTTTTGGATTAATAAAATTTCAAGTTTTTTTGGTTGGTTTTGAAGCGAAAATTACTGTAGATTGGGGTACTGTAGTTTCCCGAGTATTTTTTTAAAAAGCAAATTGTGAAATTTGAAGTTTGGAGGGGTACTGTAATTTTTCTAAATTATTTTTCTGCAGTTCGGTGGGGTACTGTAGGTTTCTCTGCAGTTCGGTGGGGTACTGTAGGTATTTTGTAGTTCTGAGGATTACTGTGATTTGTTTCCTGATTTTTTTTGCAGTTCAGAGGAATACTGTAATTTGTTTATTGATTTTTTGTTTGCAGTTCGGAAGAGTACTGTATTATTGAATTAAAAACACGTGAGAAATAAAAAACTAGGTCAAGTGATGTGGATTTAAAAACAGTATAGGTAGCCATGTCGTCAGTCGCGATGCGGTTCTGCGTTGCGTGTTGACCCTGATATTTTCCATTGGATTTGTCAAATTTTCATTTCTAAAAACGTGTCGCTCACACGCATCGCGACTGACGACATGGCTACCTATACTGTTTTTAAATCCACGTCACTTGACCTAGTTTTTTTATTTCTCACGTATTTTTAATTCAATAATAGCTTGTTTTCTCATTTTTCTGTGGTTTGGAGGAGTACTGTAGTTTTTTGCAGTTGTAATGATTGTTGTAGGTTTTTTTTGCAATTTGATGGAGTACTGTAGGTTGTTTTCTGCAATTCAGAGGAGTACTGTAGGTTTTTTTGCAGTTTGGAGAAGTACTGTAGGTTTTTTCCTATTTTTTTGCAGTTCTTGGGAGTACTGTAGACTACTGTAGTTTTTCGTCTAGAAAACTTGTGACCTTTGAGAACATCTGTCCGCCGCCGCCAACGAAAAAAAAATCGCAGATGTATTTTTCTCGTCATTATTTTTTTTCCAGGCGTCATGTGTCGTAGTTTTTTTTTAGTTTTTGGCGCGAAAAATTTCGATTTTCGCGCCAAAAACCACGTGGAATGATATATTTTTTGAAAAAAAAACTACGACACTCCGCAATTCCACGTGGTTTTTTTAATTGGCGGGAAACATGCGATGTTTGAATTTTTTCTAATTGAGAATTTGAATTTGAATTGAAATTTGACCAATTTCCCGCTTGTCCTCGAGAAGTACACGAAAATTTCAACTTTTTTGTTGAATTTTTGCCTTGTCCCGCTTTTCCTCGAGAAGTACACGGAAATTTCGAATTTTTTGAATTTTTGCCTTTTCCCGCTTGTCCTCGAGAAGTACACAGAAATTCCGAATTTTTTGAATTTTTGCTTTTTCCCGCTTGTCCTCGAGAAGTACACGGAAATTTCAGATTTTTTAAATTTGCAAAATTTCCCGCTTGTCCTCGAGAAGTACACGAAAATTTCGAATTTTTGAATTCTGAACATTGGCGCTAGAAATTAAGCTGAGCTACGATACTCCTCAATTCCGCGTCGAAAATAGCATTTTTCCGGATTCCGCGTTCCGAAATACGTCACAAAAAACGAAAACAGTCAATCCAAAAACAAATACAAATACAATTCCAGTCTTCCCCCATTTTTCTCTGCTTCTCTGCTTCTCTAACCGCACACACTCTCTCTTTCTCTTCTCTCACATCACATGCGTTTCTTTCTTTCTCTCGCCACCCCTCGCACTCTCTCATCTTCCCGCACTCTCTCGCCTTTCTCATTTCATTTCATTTTTCTCTCTTTCTGTTCTTCTTTTTTGGTTAGTTAGTTACTTCTCTCATTTTCCGTTTTTTTTGTGTAGAAAAAGTGAAAATTTGGAGAGAAAGTTCGATTGATTTTATCTCTGAAGTTATGAAATTCTCAAGGTTGCCGTTTGGAAATTTTCAGATTTTTGATTTTTCTAGGCTTTTGCGCGAAAAGTTTGGGTTTTTACTGTTTTTCGAGCGATTTTTCATGAAATTTTTAAAGCTTAGGCTTTTTTTTAGCTGAAAAAATAGATTTTTCAAGGCTTAGGCCCTGTTTTTACTGGTTTTGGATTTAAGGCTAATTTTACTAGGCCTAGTTTCAGCCTGATTTTCACTAGGCCTATTTTCAGCCGAAATATTATTGTGTTTAATTCCAGCCTGAATTTTACTAGGTTTATTTTCAGCCTAATTTTCACAAGGCCCAGTTTTTAGTAGGCCTATTTTCAGCCTAATTTTTACCAGGCCTAATTTTTCCTGGGTTTATTTTAGGACTAATTTTTACTAGGCCTTTTATGAGCCTGAATTTTACTAAGCCTATTTTCAGCCTGAATTTTACTAGGCCTATTTTTAGCCCTATTTTCACAAGGCCTAAATCCAGCCTGAATTTGACTAGGCTTTTTTCGAGCCTGATGTTCACAGGGCCTTTTTTCAGGCTAATTTTCACAAGACCCCATTTATACTAGGCCTACTTCCAGCCTAAATTTTTCTAGGCCTTTTATGAGCCTAAATTTTACAAAGGCCCATTTTCAGGCTGAATTTGACTAGGCCTATTTTAAGCTGGATTTTGTTCAGGCCTTGTTTTAGGCTAACTTTACTATGTCTAATTCCAGCCTGAATTTTAATAGGCCTAGTTTTCACAAGCCCTAATTTCAGCCTAATTTGCACCAGAACTAATTCCAGCCTAATTTTCACAAGGCCCAGTTTTTACTAGGCCTACTTTCAGCCTAATTTTGTTCAGGCCTTGTTTTAGCCCAAATTTCACAAGGCCCACATTTTTTTCCACAAAAAAAAATTCCAAAAATTATAGATTTCCCGCCGCTGCAGCGTGTTCTGACGCCATATTTTCAAAAAACACGCTGCTAAACCTTCATTTCTTTATTTACACATTTATTCTTATCAAAACCCTGTCTACTAATTTTTGTCCAAAACAAATATTCATATTTTGTGTTACAGAAGATCAAATTTGCGTCTTTTTTGTTGCACCATCTTCTAATTTTCCCGCCAAAAATCAAAAATCATGGGAAATTGTTTGCCAACAATTTTCGGCTTCGTTCGTCAACACGACGACACTCCGCTGGGACAACGAAGAAGAATATCATCATCGGATTCGACGGCGATGAGCTTCAGCAATCCGGCTATGATGCAACAGAGTGTGAGTTGTGTTTTGGGGTGGAAATTTGTGGAAAATCGATAATTTTAGAGTGAAATTCATGAAAATTAGCGATTTTTGGTGTAAAATTGATGAAAAATCGATAATTTTGAGCTTAATTTCATTATTTGAGTTCAAATTTTCAACTTTTCCCGCTTGTCCTCGAGAAGTACACAAAAATTTCGAATTTTTGAATTTTCGCCTTTTCCCGCTTGTCCTCGAGAAGTAAACGGAAATTTCGAATTTTTTGAATTTTCGCCTTTTCCCGCTTGTCCTCGAGAACTACACGGAAATTTCGAATTTTTGAATTTTCCCTTTTTCCCGCTTGTCCTCGAGAAGTACACAAAAATTTCGAATTTTTTGAATTTTCGCCTTTTCCCGCTTGTCCTCGAGAAGTACACGAAATTTTTGAATTTTCGCCTTTTTTTAAATTTTGATATAAAATTTATGAAAAATCGATAATTCCGAGTCAAAATCATAAAAATTATCGATTTTTCCCCTTTCCGGCTTACCAAAGTCCGTAATTATCAAGTTTTGTATAATATGAGCAATCAAATTTTATTTTTTGCAGAGTTCCTACGTAAATCAACTCTATCAACACAATGTAATTAGACAACGGCAAGCACAAGAACAGGGAAAAGTGAGTTTTTGTGGCCTAGGAGCCGATTTATTGGTTTTCTAGGCCACCGTATCTGAAAAATGTCAAAAATGGCCTAGAATTCCCCAATTCTTGGTTTTCTAGGCCACCATATCATATTTGGTGTCAAAAAATTCGAAATTTCACAAATTTTCTTGCAGGAAATCGACGAGGCGAAGAAAATGCGAATCCGCGGACTTTTGGATCAAATCCCAGCTGATATCTATCGTGGAGACGTGAAATTGAACAACGAATGCGCGATTTGTATGATTGAATTCGAGCACGGAGATCCGATTCGATTCCTGCCCTGCATGCATTCTTTTCATCAAGAATGTGTCGATGAATGGCTTATGAAGTGAGATTTTGGGGTGGTTTTTTGAAAATTTGAGATTTTGGGGAGTGGAAATTGAGATTTTTGAAGATTTCTAGATTTTCTCGTCATTTTGATACCAATTTATACTGAAAATTTGATTTTTGCACGAAAAATTCAAAGTTTTGAAATTCACAAAATTCAAAAATGCTAAAAATCCGAAATGTTCAACCAAAAAATCCACGTGGAAAATTTTTGTCATTCAAAATTTCCCCTCTAAATTTTGATGGAAAATTCGATCCCGAAAAATATACGTTTCAAAATTTTCTCATTAAAAATTGTTTTTCACGAAAAAATTAATTTGGTATCATTATCTTCATAAAAAATTAAATAATTTTGAACTGCAAGTGTGCTCCACCGATAATCCGGCAAAAATACCAAAACTTGGGAAGAAAATTCAATTGCGCTCTATTGCTAATCTCACTTTTTCTCAAATATTCAAATTTTACGCATACTTTACGCATAAAATAACACAAAGGGGAAAATGATAATCTCAATTTTCCTAAAAATATTTTCGAAAATTTCTCACAGTGGCGTCAAACGCGCCCCACCGATAATCCCACGTTTCCCCCAAAAAATTCAAAAATTTTCTGCAGATCTTTCACATGTCCTTCATGCCTGGAACCAGTCGACTCGACAATTTTATCCTCGCTAACCGCGCATAATCAACAATCACTTCATGATATCGCATGCTCTCCGGCTTCATCGAAAAATTGAATTTGAATTTGAATTTGGCGCCACGTGTTTTTTCTTCATTCCTGTAAATATTTTGTATACAATTCAATCCTATCTAAAAATATTCCAAAATATTGTTGTTGTGCATACTGTAGTTCCCCCCATAACAAACATGTTCCTTTAAAAAATCATCCCAATTTTTGTAGTCTTCTGGAAAAATACGTGTTTCACCTCACATTTTCTGTAGCTATTATGACTCTTATTTTGTCCCATTTTCATTTTTTTTTTCCTTGTGAATAAATTTTTTTTTAAATTTATAAATCAAAATTTTTGACTACACTGTAGCCTGGTTTTAAAAACAACGTGGATTTTTGAATTCAAATTTTTTTTGACCTAAAACTACCCGGAACAAAAATAATTATTGTTTTTCAAAAAAAAAATTACAATTTTTGACTACACTGTGGCCTTGTGGTCTGGTTTTATAATGTTTGTGATTTTTCTCGTTATCAATTGATTTTGTTTTACTTTTTTTTTTGAAAAATTCGCAAATTTCTTGAATTTCCAGATGATTTTAAGTGGCGGCGACTTGGAAGTTCCGAAATTACCAATTCATGAAGTTCTTCTAGCTAGATGTTTGCAAAATTCAGAGAAAGATCCTGAAAATCCGGCGTTTGTGAGTAAATTTTCAAAAAAATAAATAAATAATTTAGATGTACCGTACCTCAAAGGCGCACACACATTTTTTGATGGGTCTTGCAGCGATGTGTGTGTGTTTTGTTGTGCGCCGTGAATGACCGTAGTTTTTCGTTTTTTTTTAATTTTTCGCAAAAAAAAGTTTTTTCCAGATTTCTGCTGAAAATCGCGGCGATTCGATAAGTTTCAAGGAAGTTGTCCAATTCACCATCAAAATATCCGAATTTTTCGTCGAAAATGGATACAAGAAGGTGAATTTTCCGGAAATTTGAGTGAAAAAAGGGTTTTTTAGGGTGACGTGATTATGATAGCGACGAATAACAATTGGCGATTTGTGGTGACGTGTCTTGGTGCATGGCGAGCTGGTCTAATTGTTTCTGGAGCATGTCCGCAATTCACAGAGTGTAGGGTTTTTACCCACAGAAAAACAGAAAATCCCAACAAATCACGATGTTTTAGATGAATTCGACTACCAAATCACGGATTCCACCGCAAAATTGATATTTTGCGACACGGCAACTCATTCAACTTTACGAAAAGCTGCTCCAAATCATAAAATAATTGTTTTCGACACTGAAGAATACTCAAAAATCCTGAAAACCGCGGAAAAATCGCGGAAAATGCCCGAAATTTCGATGGATGATTTGTTGTATCTCCCATATTCTTCAGGAACAACTGGAAAACCGAAAGGAGTTATGATAAGTCATGGCAATTTTGTGATGATGGTTATGGCCAATGTGAAGTTTGTGATGATAAATTATATTGTGTCTGAGAAAAAAAAAATCAAAAAAAAAAAAAATTGCAGAAAAATCGGCGAATTGACAGTTGCTCACGGACTTCCTGAAGATTTTGCTCAACCTCAAGATCTTCATTTTCTTCCGCTTTATCATGCGATGGGAATGTTTAAAGCTGTTATAACTTGTTATCGTGGATCTACTCAAATTATGTTTGCCAAGTTTAATTTGGAACTTATGCTTCAATTGATTGAGGAGTTTAGTGTGAGTTGAGAAAATCCACGTTGCAAAATATATAACTTTGAGAGTTGAAAAGTTTATGAGTTTTCTCGAAATTTTAGCTCAAATTTGAATAAAAAATTTAAAATTTATAACTTTTCTCAAATTAAAAAAAAACTGTTTTTTTTTTCTAATTTTTCAAAAAAATTCTTTAATTTCTGCAAAATTTTTGAGCACAAAAAAAAATTGAGAAAAAATCTGATTTTTTCCAAATTGAAGCTAAAAAACATTGAAAATTAGAAAATTTATGAATTTTCAATTTTTTAATGAAAATTCTGACTTAAAAATCAAAAAAACCAAATTTGATTCGCAATGCTGAAATTTTGCAGATCCTCGAAATCTCAAAAAAAAATCCAAATTTTTCAAAAAAAATAATTATTTTTGAATATTTTTTTTCTGAAAAACAGAATTGAACTCCAAATTTACCTATTTTTCCAATTGTAAATAATTTTCCTAAACCTAAAATTCAAACCTCCAAAATTTTCGCAGATCCTCGGAATCTCAAAAAATCCAAATTAAAAAAACTGTTTTGAAATTATAAATTTTCAAAAAAAAAATTAATTTTTGAATATTTTTTCCTGGAAAACAGAATTGAAATCCAAATGTCCCAATCAATTTTCTGACCTAAAATCTAAACCTCCAAAATTCTCCAGATCCTCGGAATCTCCATGGTTCCCGCAATCCTCGTTCGCCTCGTCAACTCCCCCCTCCTCCAAAAATACGACATCAGTTCTCTAATCAGCATCGCCAGCGGTTCAGCCCCTCTTCCCCAAGGCACAATCGACAAACTCAAAGAAATCCTACCAGACGTCAAAATCCAACAAGGCTACGGAATGACGGAGCTAACATTCGCCTCACATTTACCAGCTGTCGGTTCGCCTGAGGGAAGTGTTGGGAAACTAATGGCCGGAACTTTTATGAAGGTTCTTAAAGGGACCTCCGGTGAACTTTGCGGGCCCAATGAGCAAGGAGAATTGTGGATAAAAGGTCCGCAAGTGATGAAAGGATATTGGAAAAAACCCGAATTAATGCGTGATTTGATAGATTCTGATGGATTTATGAGAACTGGTGATATTGTATATTTCGATAAAGATGGGAATACCTTCATTTGTGATCGAATTAAAGAATTAATCAAGGTTAATGGCAAACAAGTTGCTCCAGCTGAAATTGAAAGTTTGATGATGAAAAATGAAAATGTTGCGGATTGTTGTGTTTTTGGAATTGATGACGAGAAATGTGGGGAAATCCCCGTGGCTTGTGTGGTTTTCAAAGGCGCCTCAGCTCACCATGATGATATAATTGCTCATGTTAACTCGAAATTGGCGGCCTATAAAAGGATTCGAATTCTGGAGATTGTTCCCGAGGTTTTGCGGAATGCCACAGGGAAAATATTGCGGAGAACGATGAAGGAGAATTATTTGAAGAAGAGGAAATTGTCGAAATTGTAGATTTTTTTGTATTTTTTGACATTTTTCTGCACAAAAAATGGAAAAATTTTTTTTTAAAGAAAATAAACTTTCATTACGTGCAGAAAAGAAAAATTCAGCATATATAAAACTTGCAGCGCGCGCGCGAGAGAGATACGATAAATTACATTTAATCAACAAAAAAATGGGGATGAGAAAAAATGGAAGAGGAATTTCAATTTTGTCGGCCACGGCCGCCGCGGCCCGAATATGCTGGCCGAGCTTTCGGCGCCGCCTTCTCGGCCGCTGTTCGTTCTAACACGGCGTGCAATTTCTCGCTTGTCAAATTGTCGATTGCGGCTTGTGCGCCTTCGGAATATGTGGATGCTGGAAAAGATTGATGAAAATCATGAATTTCAGCATTTTTACTAATTTCATCTGAAAATTACACGTGGAATTTGAAAATTTTCAGACTTTTTTGAGCCGAAATTTCAACGAAAAATTGAAATTTTTCCTAAATTTCAGCATTATTACTATTTTCAGCCCAACATTTCACTGGAAAACCACTGAAAATTCAATTTTTCATGGTTTTTGGACTCAAAATTTGGAGCATTTTTACTTTTTCAGCCAAAATTACACGTTATGTTGAAATTTTTAACTGAAAATTTCAATTTTTCATGAATTTCAGCATTTTCAGCCCAAAATTTCATCTGAAAAATCCAAAATCCACGTGGAAACTGATAATTTCAATTTTTCATGAATTTCAGCGTTTCGACCATTTTCAGCCTGAAACTTCATCTGAAAATTCCACGTGGAATCTGAAAATTTCCAGACTTTTTTGAGTCAAAATTCCACGTGAAATATGAAAATCTCAATTTTTTTCAATTTTCAGATCATTTTAAACCCAAATTTCACTAAAAATCCCGCAATTCTCAACAGAGCGCATTTGCAAAATCAAAATCACGACGAAAAAAAGCTCACAATATCTATTTTCACTGCGCGGCGAATATTGTTGCTGCTGATGATGATGAAGATGTTCCTTGTGTTGGAAATTGTCGAAATTCGAATAAATCTCATTCACAAATCTGCAAAAAAGCGTGGAATTTCAGAAAAATTCTGAAAAAGTGATCAAAAAATTGAAAAGAGGCTCACTCATTTTCCGATTGCTCATTATATTGATTATTCATCGATGTTTGACGATTTCTCTGATTCTGATTGTGATGATTGTTTCGTCGACTTCGATTCACAAATTCTTGTCTTTCAGCCGGTGGCAAATTATGAGGGTCCGAAACTCGTTTATGCTGTTGATTCGGATTCGATCTCGATCCTTTCACCCAACTTCGATTGTAATTATTTCGATTTGGATTTGGATTTTGATGAGTGGCGGTGGAATATCGCGGACCATTTTCATCTTCTGAATATCTTCGCATGGCGCCTTGTTTTGATGTTGAAGCTGGAAAGGACAGAAGCGTGCAAAGGCAAAAAAATACATTTCAAAACCACGTGGATTCTCAGAAAATTTTAGCTCAAATTTGAAAAAAACTGTTTTGAAGTTATAAATTTTTTCACAAAAAAAATTTTTCTGAAAAAAATTTTGAGCACGAGAAACTTTTTTGAGAAATTAGAAATTAGAATTTTTTCCGAATTGAAGCTGAATTTTTCAAAAAAATGTTTTTTTTTCATAAATTTCAAGATAGAAAACTGAAATTTTGACAAAATCTAAAGAAAATCTCATTTTTCCTTAAAAATGATTTAAATTTTAGAGCTTAAAAATCGTAAAAAAAAGAGAATTGAAATCCAATTTTCCAAATTTTCTCCGATTTTTGGATCTGGAAACCCGAAAAATCGGAAAATTCGAAAAATTCCTGATGAAGTTATGGAAAAAATAGCCTAGAAACTGAATGTCAAGGTTCCTAGGTCAATATTCATAAATTTTCAAATAATTTTTAAATTTGAGCCTAAATTTGGAGCATTTTGAGCCCGAAATCGTGATTTTTGAAAAATTTTGAGCTAGAAAACAAAAAAATGTGTGCCTCGGATGGGGATCGAACTCCTGACCTTCTGCACCGAAAAAGCCAAATTTGAACGTTTTTAAAAGAGCTCAAATCTGAAAATCCCAAAAAAAAAATTCGAAATCTCCTCACCTGCTCCATTAAACATTGCATTTTCAACAAAAGTCGGTGGAACATGAGCAATCTGTTGATTCTGTTCCACTTTTTTCACATTTTCAATCGGCGACGGAGGCGGTGGGATTCCAACCGGTGGTAATTGACTAGTAAACGCGTAGACCAATTCGACTTTCGTTTTTTCCGTCAACACTTCGTCCAAACATCGATTTGTGGCAAAATCTTGAACTTGCAACATTTGTTGAGCGATCAATGTGAGAAGTTGTTGAAGGCAGATGGGAATTTCGCGCATTTGGCGAGTAAATGAGCAAGATTCGTTGAAGATCGATGTCAATTGTTGCATTTGTTTTTGCTCTTTTCGCTCGAGTTTCAGCTTCAATTTCCAGCCTTCGTTTCTGCAAAAAAAGAATTAATCTGAGCAATTATTTGGTTTTTTTTCTTCATGAAAAGAGATTCCACAGAAGTATTAAAAAAGAAAAATTCTGAAACCATTTATCAATTTTTTGAAACGTATAATATTTTAGAAAAAAAACATTTCCAGACTTTGTTTTTGAAAAAGTTGAGGATTAATCTGAGCAATGGTATTTTATGAACTTCCAGGATATCGTGAAGTATAATATGAGCAATGCCTAATTTTCCAGAATTGGCGAACTTTTCACTTTAAAGCACTACAATTATGATATTAAAAAATAAAACTCCTGGAAACATTCATCAATTTTTTGAAACGTATAAAATTCAGGGAGAAAAAAATAGAGAAATTAAATTTTAATTTCTTGAGACTAACATGAGCAATGTTCTTAATTTTGAATTTTTCATAAAATTATTTAGAAATGCCCAATTGTAACTAGATTTAAAACTCTAACATGAGCAATGCTGCAATATTTTCATTAAAAAATCTAAATAACATGAACAATGCTCAATTATTTTCAATTTTGATTTTTTTTTTGAATTTCTAGGTTTTTTAAACATAATTAAGAAATGATCTATTTTCACCAGTTTTTTGAGCTCTAACATGAGCAATGCCCTTGATTTTACAATTGTTGAACCATAATTAAAAAATTCCCAATATTCCCCAGTTTTTTAAACTATAACATGAGCAATACTACAATTTTCCCAAAACAAAAATCAACTAACATTGTATCGGTGCTCTCAAAAATCACTTTTCTCGCTTCCGTTCTCAATTGTTGTGTTTCCTCGATTTCAGTCTCAATGTGTTTTCGAGCCGCTTGACAATAGATCGAAATCAATTGTTGAGCGATCTGTGGGGCGGTGAGGATTTCGTCAAACGATTTTTCGGCAATTCCGGTTGTGTCACGATAACTCATTGCGTGTTGCTGGAAATTTCAGGTTTTTTGGGTGGAAAAAATCAACTTTTCAACATTTTCCGCTCAAAAATTCGGTTTTTATTCAACAGGGCTGATTCGCGAACGGAAAATATTTCAAAAAAAATGTTTTTTTTTTAATTGAGAGATCACTTCACGAAAAGTCAAAAAAGTCAAAATTAGTTTTTCCAGTTTTTCAGCCAAAAATGATGACAAATCGAGATTTATGAAGCTTCTGGAGTGATTTCTGATGAAAAAAAATTTTTAATTTTACGAAAAATCAGCAAGGTCAGTTTTCATCAGAAATCACCCCAGAACCTTCAAAAATCTCGATTGGTCATCATTTTTGACTGAAAAACTTTGAAAAATTAATTTTGACCTATGACCTTTCGTGAATTGATCTTTCAACGTTTAAAAAATCAATTTTTCAACATTTTCCGCTCAAAAATCAATATTTTTAATGTTATTTACCCTTTCAAACGCAATTTTGACCGCTTTCGCCATAACCAATAAATAATCAATATCCTTAATTGCCTCATACATCGATGCCGTCCAAATTTCCAATTTCTTGAAAGATTTCGACGGTTCCAATATGTTCAACATCGCTTTGATCAATTTCGTCAAATCCACCGCTCCACTTCGTTTTTTCGCCAATCTTTTGCCGTAGCAATCAACAAGAGCTAAGGCCATTTTCTCCAAACAATCAGCGTCTTCCAATTTCTTGTCAAATCCATAATTCAATTGTTCGATGGCCAAATCGATGTCGAAGAAGCCAAGTTCGAAGATGCTTTTCAAGTAGCATTCGGCGGCTGATGATTGATAATCGGATGAGATGATTTGCTCGAAACGATCTTTGATTGCATCGGGAATCGAGATATAGAGACCAGATGGAATCTGAAATTTGGAGGACTAGAAATCGGGGGAAGAATACGTTTCAACAATAATAAGGTTGGTTTTCTGGAGCTGGAAGTAGATTTCGCTTGAAATTTTGGATTTTAAAAAGGTATACTTCAAAATGATTTTCAATTAAAAATGCACAAAATGTTGGAAACAGTGAATTTTTCACCAAAAAAATCTTGTGTTTTTTCGAAAAATTCCAAATTCTCACTATTTTTCAACCTACAATTCAATTCTGAACATATTTTCAGCGCAGATTCCAGAAAAAATTAATTTTTTAAAACTAATTTTCACCTAGATATAAAATTAGAGCTATTAAAAATGCACAAAATGTTGGAAACAGTGAATTTCCCACAAAAATCTTGTGCTAATTTTTCGACAGCTAATTTTTTAAAAGTAATTTCACACCTAGGCCAAGATCGTGGTTTTTACAGTAAGAAAACTGAATTTTCACTTAAAATTTGTGATTTTTCCAGCTGAAAACTGAAATTCAGAAATTGCACTCTGGCCAACCACGGATTTGCCGAGGTGTGAGTAATTTATCAGAGTCACGCCTTGAGATCAGGGGTCACAAGAAACCGCGACTAGAGAGCCTAGCTCTCAAACAGCCGCGCCTAGAGAGCCTAGTCCCCAAGTAGCCGTGCCTAGAGAGCAGGGTTCTCAAGTAGCCGCGCCTAGAGAGTAGGGGTCACAAGCAGCCTCGCCTAGAGAGCCTAGCTATCAAGCAGCCGCGCCTAGAGAGCCTAGTTCACAAGTAGCCGAACCTATAGGTAACAATTCTCAAGAAGCCGCGCTTAGGGAGGCTTTTTTGTCAATAATCCACATTTTAGCTCATTTTGGGTCAATTTTTCAAATTTTGACCCGAATTTTCAGCCCTAAAAATCAATTTTCAGCCCAAAACCTCACCTGTCGTTTCAAATCTCCCAACGACGCGTGAAACCAGGCAAAAATCGCATATTTCACCCACCAACCGCTCGAATTGAATCGTTGCTCGAAGAATTTGCTCGTCTTCTCCTCAAACCGCACATCCGCCATTCTTCCCGCCAACGATTTCAGCGTTTCTCGACAATATTCCGCCGTCTCTTTCGTATCGTTTTCCACCAACAAATCGTGGAGGAGAAAAATCAATTCGGGTGCGGCTAGCATGTTTTTCGGCATATTTTTCTGACCCAAAATTGTCGAGAACTCGAAATTCGCATTTAGTTTGTTGTTGCTGTTGTTGGCGAGAAGGCGGCTGAGCAATTTGGCAAACGATTCGACGGCTTGTGCTGATTGTTTGTTGACAATCTCTTTTTTCGCCAATTGAATGAGTTCGAAACTTTCGAGAAGTGGAATTTCAGATTCCTGCAATATTAATATTTTCGATGAATATTTTGAAATTATGATAAATGTTGATACAAGAAGCGTTATCGTTGAAAAATCAAATAATTCAAAATTCATGCAATTTTTGAAACGTATTTCTCGGGTTCTCCTGATTTCAAAATTTTGCCACGTCATAACTCATATTAGAAGTCGAGATATGCAGAATTTCGAACAGAATCAGCGGGAGATAAATTGTAGTATTTGAAATTCCAAGTTTCCGCTGAGATTTTAGGCTTTAAAAAAATACGTTTCAAAAATTACATGAATTTTGAATAATTTGATTTTTCAACGATTAATGGTCTGTCAAGTACATAATTAAAATATGAAAGGGGGTGCGGACTAATCAAAATTTTATAGGAAAAAAATATACCATCTGAAAGAGGAAATTTCGTTTAGTATGGTCCCAAATTTTCATAATTATTTTTCACGTTTACGTACCATATTTTCACGCGTAAACACGAAAAATAGTACTCAAACGTGAAAAATAATTTTGAAAAAGTGGAAACATGCTAAATGAAACCTCCTCTTTCAGATGGTGTATTTTTTCCCATAAAATTTTTATTAGTCCGTTCCCCCTTTAATATTTTAATTATGTACTTGACAGACACTTAATCGTTGAAAAATCAAATAATTCAAAATTCATAAAATTTTTGAAACGTATTTTTTTCAAGCTAAAAATCCCAGGGGAAACTCGGGGTTTCGAATACTACAATTTGTGCCCCGCTGATTCTGTTCGAAATTCTGCGTATCTCAACTTTTAATATGAGTTATGACGTGGCAAAATTTTGAAAAATGGAGATTTTTGGTGGCCACCAAAATAGTTTTTAAAATATTTTTTCTCAAAACAATCCACGTGGCAAAATTCAACTTTTAAAATTTTAGCAAAAATTTATAATTTTTCTCAGCTCAAAGAAACTTTTTTTTTTGAAAATTGAGAAAAATCAGTTTTTTTTCCAAATTAAAAACTTTTCTGAAAATATTTTTTCAGGGGAACTTCTGAACACGCTATCAGATTTGCATCCACGTCATAACTCATGTTAGACATTGTGATATCAGCGATTTGAAAACTACCAGTTGAAAAATATGAGTTATGACGTGGCCAAGTTTCCCCGGCTCACCCCATTCTTCGCCACCGCTCTCTTGGTGAAAGCCATCGCCAAATACGCCAAATTATCCCACTCCTCTCCCGATGTCGCCCAACTCGTTCTTCCCAACGAAATAATCCTTTTCAAAATACAAATCACCAGGGGTTCCGCATCGAAATGTCCGCTGAAATTCGCCGTCGTCGTCGTCAAAATCACATCATATTTGAACAGTTCCGGCACACTTTTACAAACTTTAATGACTGCTGGAACCAAACTTTTGACTGTGATACACTGTGACATCATTTGGTGTAGAGTGGTGGCCGGTGTGACCAATAAATACCATCCCAAATTTTGACGGACTCGTTCGAAATCCTCCGGATTCGCATTGATTTGTTGATGATCGGCTGGCAACGCGTTCAGGCATTCCGTCAATTTCGTCTGATAATTTTCGATGAAATTCTCCAAATTCGGCAGAATTTTACCCAAACTTCGATATTTTGCCAATATTTTTGTGGCGAATACATGCTTCTTTTCGTTGGTTAAAATCAGATAGAATTTTCGGAGGATTTCGGTGAAAAGATGGCGGTGTTGTTTGTCGAATTTGCTGTCGAGTGCGGTGTCCCAAATATTCATAAGGCTGCAAAAAAAATTATTTTTTAAAATTTTTTTCAGCTTTGTACACTATGAGAGTGCTTGAAATTTCCATTTTCATCCAAATTTTGACAATTGTGGTGTTGATTTATTCTCAATTATGAAACTAAAAAATAAATTGAAAGAAACATTTGATAATAAATTATATAAAGATATTGAAACGTATTTTTTTTGTTAGAATTTTTAAATCAAAATTTGACTCAAAAGTGGTGAAAATGAGAACTTTTCCCCAATTTTCACCTTGATATTTGCTATGTCAAGCAGCCGCGCCTTGAGATCATGGATTTCAAGTAGCCACTCCTAGAAAACCCAATTTTCAAGAATCAGCGCCAAAAAGTTCTAGTTCTCAAGTAGCCGCGCCTAGAGATTATAGACTTCTAGTAGCTGCGACTAGAAATCTCAATTTTCAAGGATCAGCGCCTAGAAGACCTATTTCTCGAGCTTCACGCACGAAAAACCTAATTGTCTAGGTCCCACACCTTGAGAGCCCCTATTTCAAGTAGTCACTTCTAGAAAATCAAATTGTCTAGGATCAGCGCCTAGAAGGTCTAGCTCTCAAGCAGCCGCGCCTAGAGATCATAAATTGCAAGTAGTTGCGACTAGAAAGCTCAATTTTCAAGGATCAGCGCCTAGAAGACCTATTTCTCAAGTAGCTGACTCTAGAAAGCGTAGCTCTCAAGTAGCTGCGCCTTAACAACCTAATTGTTTAGGACCCACACCTTGAGAGCCCCTATTTCAAGTAGCCCCGCCTTGAGAGCTTCAATGTCAAGTAGCCACGCCTAGAGATCACAGATTTCAAGTAGCTGCGCCTTAACAACCTGATTGTCTAGGATCAGCGCCTAGAAGGTTTAGTTCTCAAGCATCCTCGCCTATTCCTCGCTCACCCATCAGTCAATCTCGCCGCCTCATATCCATCCAACTGCCATCCCTCCCAAATCTCCAATCTCTCCAAAAACTCTCGCAAAACCCTCGAATCCTCTCGTTTATTCTGATAATTGATCAAAATCTGCTCCAACTTCGACACAAATCCCCGCTTCTTTCGATCCGTATCATTCAGCGCTTTTTCGTGTGCCAAACTTGTCACAACTCCGTCGTCTCGCGCATAAAATTGCGCATCTTCTGGAGAGGTTTTCAAGGAGTTTTTCGAATTATTATCCACGTTTTCGCCGATATTCAAATAATATTCCAACATTGCCGGTGTCAACACCCGCTTCCACATTGGCGATGTTTTCGCGCGCTCATAAGTTCGATTCACTTCCGATTTGGCGGCCTCGAAATACTCATCAATCTGGGGATGCTTCAAATTCGCCACTTTCTGATAGGCCAAATCGATGTCTTGTAGAATATCCATTCGAAGCGCCAGTTTTCGAAATAATTCATGTTGAATTCTGCAAAAAATAGGTTTTTTAAGGGTTTTAAAAGGTTTTTTTATTTTAAAAGTCAAAAAAAATACCCAGTTTCAGATATTTTTTCACAATCTTTCAACAAATCCATATAAATTCCATTGATTGTGGCCAAAATCGTGTCGCGTATCTCGTTTTGTTGACTTTCATCTTCGCAAGCTCGCTGAATAACATCTGAAAGACAATTTTTGGGTTTTCGCAAGAAAACGTGCTCTCTGAGCCAAAAAACTCACCACCAATCGATCTTTTGGGTCCGAACAAATATTGCACCAAACCGCTCTTCTCATCATACAAATCCAGAGCATTCAATGCGCAATGCGAGAATTTTATGAAATCGCTACGAGCATTCTCTGCACTCATTATTTCTGTGGATTTTTCTTGAGCCAAATCACTGATTATTGATTATTCAATGTCTGAAAATTTCGAAATATTGCTCATTTTTTCGCAAAAATAGGGACGAGGAAAAAGTGGAAGAGAAAACACAACGTTTTCTAGGCCACACATACACAAAATTGAAAATTCAACAAAGCGTAAGGTGAATAATTAGGGTTTTCCTTATTTTTGAACCTTAAAACTAAGGAAATGGCAGCTGATTCAAAATTTATAGAATTCTTTTTATGATCCGAAAGAAATATGCACTTTTATGAGAGAGAAAAAGGAAGGAAGAGAGAAATTAATGAATATTTGAATGATTTTCGTCGGGAAGCGACATATGAATTTGAATTTTGGAACGCGAAAAATTCCAGAAATGATGCAATTTTCGCGCAAATTCGCTACAGGACCCATTGAATGTTCCTTTAAAAATCTACCGTACAGGGATGGATGGAAAAATTAGTGAAAATTGTTTTTTTCGAAAACTAGTATTCTCTCCGTGAAGTGTAGGTGGAGAGAATCGCAGGGTTCCCAACTGTTATACTTTTGATGTTATCTATTCTCAAAGTAAGAAGGGAGGGGGGGTTCCCATTTGAAAATAATCCCCTGAAGTTACAATAGGCGTGTTAGATGTTCCAAAAATTACAGCGCTCAAACCCTCAAAAAAGAAAAAATAAATAAAAATTCACGAATACTTCTACCGTACCCCGCATCAAAGGCGCACACAATTTTTCTCCCGTGTCTCGCAACGCGCGTTGATTTTTCAAAAAACGAAACGGTGTTTGCACAAAAAGAAACATTTTATGTGACGCCAAATTTTCAGTGATTTCGTTTTTTATAAGGGAGAGATAAGACCTATTAGGGCTGATTTGCGAACGAAAAAAAAATGTTTTTTAACATTGAAAACTCAATTCACGAAAATTCATAGGTCAAAATTAGTTTTTCAATGTTTTTCAGTTAAAAATGATGACAAATCGAGAGTTTTGAAGCTTCTGGAGTGATTTCTGATGAAAATTGACCTTCAGAAGTTTTTGCTGATTTTTTTTGTAAAATCAAAAAAATCAAATTTTGATGAATTTCGAAAAAAATAACAAAATGAGGTAACTAGGGCTCTCGAAGCTCATTTTCATCAGAATTCACTCCAGAATCTTCAAAAATCTCGATTTGTCATCATTTTTACTGAAAAACTCGAAAAACTAATTTTTATCTACAAGTTTTCGACATTTTTTGACGTTTCGTGAATTGATCTTTCAATGTTAAAAAAACATTTTTAAAAATATTTCTGGTTAATAAAAACCAAAACCATCAAAAAATCCAATAAGCTGGACATTTCAAACAACAATTTTCAACCAAAACATTTTCAAAACATGCCAGGATCGAAATTTGTACACATTGAAAAAGTCTTCAAAATTCTTTGAAACGTATTTTTTCGGGATTTTTTTTTGGTTAACATTTTTTTGATGTCAAAATTCGTAGAATTTTGCGCTGAAAACTGGATTTTCAAATTTTCAGAGAAGAAAATTGAGCACAAAATAATTTCTGAAAAATTCTGAATTTTACTGCAGAAAATTAACTTTACAATTTTCAGGTGAGCAGAAAAAAGTCTGCAAAAACATTTCTAAACATTTTTTTCGTTCGTGAATCATCCCTATTGAAAATCTTGCGTGTTCCTTTAAAAATTCTACAAAATATTTCTGGTTGATAAAAAACCAATATCCAAAACCACAAAAAATCCAATAAAAACCAGAAAAATTTCTTCAAAAACAAAAAATTATTACAAAAACTTGACATAACAGATAAAGAAAAACGCTCAAAATTCATCCATTTTCTCAACTTGTTCTCGCAACTTCTCAAATCCTCCCTGAAACTCTTTTCCAATCAAATTTCCATGTTTTTCCATCCATTTCAATGTTTTCAAAATATTCAAATAGGCGTCTTCTTCGTCGTAAAAAATTTTGAAATCCAAATAGACATCTTTACGCGCGTCGTGAATGATGGCGGTGAAATGACCGAATTTTTTTGGGTGATTTTTGCTTGTCATTTCAAACAACAATTTTCGACCATCTCTGAAAAGTAGGGAAATTGGAAATATTTCGATAGTTGTTATTATAATATGAGCAATGTATGGTTTTAATAGAATTCATCAATGTTTATAAAACACTTTCACAAGTATTTTTTTTTCAATATTATTTTTTTTGGCAAAAATTTGAAACCTATTTTTTCGAGGATAAAAAATTTCAAGGAAAAAGTGCAAAAAACCATACGAAAAATGTGTTGCTATGAAAAAATGGAACGGATGAGAAAAATCAATAATATTAGTAAACATGAGCAATCATTTTTGATATCAATGAATATTTTTATGGGAAAATAAATGAGAAAAAAACATGTATTTTTGATAGGAAAAATCAAATTTTATCTATTTTTCAACCTAAAATTCAGAATTTTCTAGTTTTTCATAAAAATTATACATTTTAGGTGGTTTTTTCAACGAAATTTCAAGATTTTTCGCCCATTTTTCACCAAAATTCAAATTTCCACTCACTCATCCCAAATTTCATCAATCATCTCCACATCCAACGCATCCAAAACATCATCCAATACAATACGATCCACATTATCGTCATAATGCAATCGCATTTTCTGAAATCTTTCCGGAAGTTGTCCATTTTTCCACATTTCGACGAATCCAATATATCCACGTGTGTTCACATTTCCAATTGCACACTCGAAAATCGCACAACTTTTGGCGATTCGTTGGAATTGCGCGTTTGACATTGGGATTTTTGAGCGGAATGTGAGTTTGTGCGGTTGGCAAGTCTGGAATATGTTAAAAATTGTGAAAAATCAGATTTTTCAAGGTAAAATGACTCTAGCACCTCAATCAATTGCACAATTTCATCCATAAATTCTTCTCGTTCCATTTTCAAATCCAAATCCAATTCTCTAATTCCGGGACATTTTCCCAACAAGAATCGCACATTTTGCTCATTTTCCGTGTCGATTATCAAAGTTTCAAGACGTGGGAATTTTCGAATACAATTCTCATCAAAAATCACATCGTTCTAAAAATATAAGGAAAATATTTTGGGATCTTCAAGAGTTAGGCTAAATTACCGTCATCCAGGTCAATTTTTTGAGGGATTTCTGGCATTTCTTGATAATTTTCTCGAAATGTTTTCCACCCTCGATTTTATAATCAACATTTCTCAATTTCTCCTCATATTTCACATTGAAAATGTAGAAATTCCACTCTGTGTGACAATATTTTTCGGTCTTGATATCTGTACAAGAAATCGAATTTCTCACAAACATCTCTTCAGTAATTCCATTATCCTCGTGAAAATTGACCATTATCATCACAATATCGGGTTTTTGGTCGAATTTCAGTGTGTGACAATAATTGTGGCATTGGACGACGTCTTCGGCACAAAGTTTCGAGCACATTCCGTAGTGATAGCGAGTTTCGCTTGTCATTAGTTCGCAGATTTTGACACGAAGTTCTTGGGGAAGTGAGAACCAGGAGGTCTGCAAAATATAAAATATGCTCAGGATCGAAATTTAAACAAATTCAGAAGATTTTCAAAATTCTTTGAAACGTACTTTTTCGGAATTTTTTTCGTTTGGAATTTTTCTTAGAATTTATTAGAGCTGAAAATCTGGATTTTCAAGTTCTCAGAGAAGAAAATTAGCGTAATTTCAATTTTTGAATAAAGTTTACAAAAACACATCTACACATCATTCAAAAATTTTCAAAATTTTTTGAAACGTATTTTTTCGGGATTCTTTCTGTGTAAAATTTGATGGTATTTTAGCACGCTTTAAATTCGAAAATTGACCAGAGTAATCGAAATTTGTACACATTGAGAAAATCTTCAACATTTTTTGAAACGTAATGTTTTCTGGAATTTTTTTGATGTCAAAATTCGTAGAATTTTACGCTGAAAACTGGATTTGCTAATTTTTGATAGAACAAAATTGAGCAGAAATAATTTTTGAGAAATTCTGAATTTTACTGGAGAAAATTAACTTTTCAATTTTCAGGTTAGAAGAAAAATTATGAAAAAATGTGATTCTTGACGAACAGCATGATATCGAAATTTCTACACATTGAGAAAATTTTCAACATTTTTTGAAACGTAATTTTTTCAGGAACTTTTCTTGCGCTGAAAATCTCAATTTTTAAGAGTTCTGAAAAATCCTCACCTTCTTCTTAATCTTTTGCAAACTCATAGCTTGATCCATAATTCCAACCTCTAAAATTACTTGTTCAAAAATCTCTGAAAATCATTTCTCAAACACAAAATACGAGAAAAAACCCCGGCCAAAAACCAACAATTCGTGGCAAAAATCATTGGGAGAAATTGGAAAATTTATATATAGTACAAAAAGAGTGAGAAAAAACCATGCAAATAAAAAAAATAAGTGAGTTAGGGGGTGAGTAAGTAAAATAATAATATATACATTTTGAAGAAGGCGGCGAGGTGCTCAAAAATCGAATAAACTTTCGGCAGGCGATAAAATACTCTCAACATTCGACACAGTTCCCGGCATTTCACCAACCAAATCCGGCGCTTCACGACGATAATTTGGACGAGTCGGACGGCCGACTAATCTCACGAGATCTGGATCAGCTTTTGGTGATAGGAGACGATATCCGGGAATCGGATCGGTAATATCATCGAGGAACATGCGGGAGGAACGTTCTTCGAGCCATCTGTAGAGAAAAATGGGTTTTTTTTTGGATAAGAGAGAGAAAAATTCCTTGGAAAATTACAAGGCAACCTTTTTTACTCGGATCTTGATGAAATTTTGTCCATTGACAACTTTTGGGGTCATAACAACAGCCTAAAAATTTTAGGGACCTTTGAGCCAAGTTCTGGGCTCCTAAAACTCATCATAGCTCCAATTCAAAATAATTTTTGGGATACATTTTTTTTACTAAAAATACATCAATAAAAAACAATTTTTCAAAAAATTTTGAAGTTTTTTATTTTTCGGCTGACAATTAATTTTTTTCAAAATCAATAATTTTCATTAATGAATCAAATTTTCAGAAAAATTATTGATTTCTGAAAAAAACGAATTTTTGGCCAAAAAATAAAAAACTTTGAAATTTTATGAAAAAATGTTTTTTGGTAAATCGACTATGCTGATCAATATCTGTAACTTAACAAAACTTATTTTGAATTAAAAATTATTTTGAAATGGAGCTATGCTAACTTTTTTCAGCCAATTTCGGCAATTTTTGAACTTTTGAGAGCCCAAAACTTGGCTCAGAGGTCCAAAAATTTTTAGGGTGTTCTTATGACCCCAAAAGCTGTCGATGAATTTCGAAAAATTCACAAAATAAAGCAAAATAAGGTTCTCGAAGCTTATTTTCATCAGAAATCACTCCAACTCGAGAAACTAGATTTGACCTACAATGTTTTTTCGACGATCTTTCAAGTTTAAAAAACTATTTTTAAACATTTTTTTCGTTCGTGAATCACCCCTGTTGAGCAAAAAAAAAGGCTCCCTTGGTAGGTTTCACAAAAAAAATGCCACTTACCTCTCATAATCCGCATCAAATTCCTTCATCGTTCCAATCACATCCTTGAAAAAGAATGCAACAACACGATGCACAAATATATATTGCATCGGAGTTTCAATCGAAAACGGTCGTTTTTGTCGCAAAAATTGAACGGCTCGCTGCACCGGATATTTGTAGGTCGGCCCTTTGAGCAAACTACAAATCGCAATTTCGGCGGCAATCAAACAAGCAGCACGCGAGATTCCCAAGAAATCATGAACGATCACAGGTTTCGTCGAATTGCGCAGCAATCTCAAAATATTCAATGGCGAATACAAATTGGATGAATTGTTCAAATCTCCTTGCCAATGTTCAATATGTCTTTCCTCACGATTTGGCCCGATTAAACGAAGATGAGTGACACGGAAAAGTGGATCAGGTGCTTGATAAACTCCATAATTCTCAACGCGGATATTTCCGCTCACTTGAATTGATGCGTCACTTGGTGTTTTTGGCCAATATGTTGCACATCTTTCGGCTTCTTTTCGACTTGTTAACATGACTATGTAGGCACATTCTTCTTGCCAAACAAGACGCCAGAAATCGTCTGGAAAATGGAATTTATTGGGATTTTTATTTCAGAGCAATGAATCATATCGGGAATTGACGAATGAAATAAAAAATCAAATTTCAAAATTTTTTGAAACGTACAATTTCGGGCAAATTTTATAAAGGTACCCTGAAATTTCAATTTTAAAAATGTTCAAATATTGAGGAATAAAACTCAAAACGCACTTTTCAGAAAAAATGAAAAGATATATGTGGCCGAACTATTCTAGTGGCCGAGAATTGTCGGGAATTCGGCCAAACCAACAAACTCGCTCTAATGTTGCAATAATTCTCATTGTTGGAGCGCGTTTGGCCGAATTCCCGACATTTCTCGGCCACCAAAATTTTTAAAAGTGCTTATAATTTTCGTTGCCGGATCATAAATTTTATTCAAAAAATTTGAAAAAAAAATTGGATTTCAATTCTCTCTTTTTTTATGCTTTTCCAGATTTTTTGAGCTCAAATCATTTTTTTGAAAAAAATGAGATTTTCTAAAGATTTTGTCAAAGGTTCATTTTTCTATTTCGAAATTTATGAAAAAAATTCATAAATTTTACAATTTTCTGAAAACTGTAAAATTTTTTTTTTTTTTTTAATTATTTTCAATGATTTTTTAGCTTCAATTTGGAAAAAAATACTGATTTTCTCTATTTTTCAAAAAAATGTTTGAAAAAATTATGACTTCAAAACAGATTTTTTCAAATTTGAACTGAAATTTTGAAATTTATGTTCAACTTCAATTTTTTTTAAGTAAACGGTGGATTTTGAGTGTTATTCCTCAAAATTTGAACATTTTGCTCATAATCTCCGGCTTCCAAAACTCACCAACAGTATTATCCATGGGCGCTTGTGTCAAAATAAACTCATTAAAAAGCGGTCCTCCAGAAATGCGATTCGCATGAATAAAATCACCCAATTCCTCTCCTCCATCTCCCAAATTTCCTCTCGGAAAATCCAACGAAACACGTGTCGAATCCTTGCAATGAACTCGTTGATTTCGACATTTCTCTTGATTCTTATCCGATTCGAAATGGGTGAATGGAATGTGATTGACCGAATTGTCGAGAATTTCGAAACGTCTCTCCATTCCTCCGATAATTGTCGATGTGTATTTGGCTTTACGAGCAGCGCCAAACATTCGTTTTCCGATTCGAATATTATTGTAGACTGCAAAAAAATCTAGTTTGTTTTCGTGATTTCCGGTTTTTCCCTAGACATTTGTTCTCTGATCATCATCATTTTCAAAAAAAAAATCAAAAAATTATAGCCCATAATTATAGCATTTTTCATCAAAATTCCAAGAATGGCCTTACATTGTCCAGCAACTTTGATGCGATCTCGATCCGCCAAAATACTGGCACGGAACGCTTGAATTCGTTTCGTCATTGTTGTCGAGTCCAAATCATGGAGAGCATATTTGGCGAGTTCTTCGTTTCTGAAACAAAAATATTATTCACAGGGGAACGTTTTCACCTTTCAATCGAGATTTCTAATGAAATATATGTTTTCTAGTAGTTTTGCACCCGCTGATTACGATTCCACTGTCTAAAACTGCATAGCTCGACTTCTAACATGAGTTATGACGTGGCAAAATTGGAAAATTTGGGACTTTGGAGGGTCAGAACTCGTCTTCAAAATTATTTTCATTAAAATCCGATAGCATAGCGTTGTTCAGCAGGTTCGATTACATAAGTTTAAAAGGTTCATACAAAAATCCAAAAAATGTTTCAAAAGTTTCAAATTTTGCAATGTTTGTGGCAAATTTCAAACGTTTGAAAAATCATTTGGATTTTTTTGAAATTATGTAATCGAGCCTCCTGAACAACCCTATGCTATCAGATTTTCATGAAAATAGTTTTCAAGGCGAGTTCTGTCCTCCTAAAGTCCCAAATTTTCGAAACTTTCCAATTTTGCCACGTCATAACTCATATCAGAAGTTGAGTTCTGCAATTTTAGACAGCGGAATCGTGATTAGCTGGTCGAAAACTACTAGAAAACTTATATTTCATCAAAAAATCTAAATTGCAATTGCAACAGTTTCCTTGTTAGAGGACTAGAAAACCAATCTCCTTTACTAACTTCATAACATTTGGATGAATCGACGAAATCCAGGTGCTCGATTGATCTTTCGACATCAATCTCATCAGCAAAACCTGATTCCTAGCCGTCGCCAAATCCATTCTCCGATGATCCGTGAAGAATTCCGACCCAATCCCAAACTTCTCGCAAATACTCTTCAACGGCATCACCCAACCTTGCCCATTCACCGGTCGTTTGGGTTTTTGGCCATTTTCATCACGCCGCATGTAGATATCCGTATATTTTCCCTTCCATTTTCCATCGAATTTTGTTGAGAAAAGCAACTCTTGTGTGATTTCTGTGTCATCGTATGATTTGCGAACCAAATTCGCCATCGCTTCTTTGCTGATCTTCTTGCCTTCACCTTGTTGAGTGGAAATGGAGGGGGAGGAGGCGAGTTTATAGGCGGCGTGGAGTGAAAATGCGCCAGGTGAATCTTGCATTCCACCAAGAATCATATTATTCTTTTGCTCCAATATCTTCTTGGTTTTCTCCAATAATCGTGGCTCCAAATCCATCGCAGTTCTTGCCGCAAAAACCTTCATTCGGACATTTCCCAAATGCCCTTTAGCTGTCTCCAAATCGACACATTCACCTGCCACACTTTTTGCCGTTCCAGTCACTAGACAATCCAATGCTCGCGATTTTTTGAGCTTTGATGGAGCAACAGGTGCACCTCGTGGAACTTCGATGTCATCTTCAGCTGAAAACACATCTTCCGTCGCGATATTTCGATTCTTTCGGTCTTTTTGCGCGAGTTTCTTCACTTTTCGGCGAAAACTCTTTGACAACGTGGAATCGCTGTTGTTGCGCGCGTTATTCAATCGATATCGCCCCTTTTGTTGCGGATAATCGACGAGCAACTCCAAGTGATTGTCTTCTTCGGAAATTGACTCGTTTTGACCGGAGCAGAAACTTTGAAGCGAAGTTGTTCGACTGCGACCACCATTTTTTCGCTGAAAAATTCATTTTTTCTATAAATCGGAGTACTTTGAGACTTACCAGAGCAACTAGATGCTCTCTCGACAATAAATCACCACTCATTTCGTCAGGTTTCGGGTGAAAACGTGGACGAGAATGAAAAAAAAACGAAACCTCTAATTTTTGAATCCCAAAATTTTCGAAAAATGGCGCGATGGTCTCGCAACGATGAGTCAATTTTCATTGTGTGCCTTTGAAGCATACCGTAATACATTTGGATTTTGTGGGTTTATTTTTTTCATTTTTTTTTGTTGAAAAAGTTCACAGCTGCAAAAACCGATTGTGCGCCAGCAATGTCTCCTGCACTCTTCTCTCTCGCCCTCCACGGGCGTGTGTGTTTGTCGGCGTCTCTATAGGCGCACACACTCTCTCGCCGAAAAATTATTTTTTTTAATTTTTTCTCGAATTTTTTGAAAAAAAGCTGAAGTTAGCGGAAGTTTCAACAAATGAATCGTACATGAGAAGATAGAGGAGAATGAGACGAAGACAGAAAAATATAATTTGCTGAGTGAAAAAATTTATTAGGCGTGAAAAACGTGAGATTTTGAAGTTCCCTCACAAAAAAGATATTTTTGAAATATTGAAGCAAAACTTTCAAACTTTTTATATGAAATAAGATGTTTCATATACTTATGTTGAAAAAAGAAAGAATAACTTCTTACCGGACAATGAATCTGTACTGTTAGACGAGAGAATAACCATCCTTTGTCTTAAAAATTTCAAAGAACCGATGTTTTTCGGGAAAAATTTTAACAGTGATTTGAAAATTTACAAGTATGGCTTACAATTTCATGATAAAATCATATTTTATTTTCGCTGAGATGATTTTGAAGCTTTTGAAGCAGGATCTATTCTATCAATCAGAATACCACATTAATCATCGAAATTTGAAGTTCTCTCACACTGCTTCAAAGTTTTAAATTTTGTGGCACTTTTTTATTGGAATTTAAAGAATATTAACAACACTCAAGTTCAAAGCAGAAAAGAGTTTATTGAAAATCTGTTATTTAAGGCTAAATATTAGAATATTATTATAAACTCCACTTCGTCCATGATCGAAACCGCTGATTCCACTTGGTTGACGTTCGCAATACCTGAAAACAACATTGTTTGTTCGATTTCAACAGTTTTGAATCACGGACATATGAAATATTAGTTCTTATTAGAATATAATGCGATGAAAATGAAAATATAATTTTACTTTTCGAAAATGAACGGTAGAAATGTTATTTAAACATGTATCTTGATATAGTTTTTGCTGCTGAGAAAAATAGACTAAGTCTTCATACTTCCCCGTGCCTCTATCATGGTGAAATAACGTCAAAATGACGGAAACATTGAATTTTTATCATTTCTTCAATTGATTTTACTATTTTATAATAATCAATCAAAAATAGGAATTACCTTCAATAAAATGTTCCATAGAATCCCAAAACTCTCCTCGTGAGTTTCTCCACGTGATCTCTTTCGTGAATTTCTTGTCAGGTTGGCAATAAATTGGACTCTTTTGTCGAAATAATTTTTGTTTGGGACTCTCCGACATCTTCATATTTCCGTCAACTCGTATCAGGCTCATCTGAATATAAAATCATAATTTTTTGATAAATTTAGATACGAAAAACTCACTTTTCAACAAGAAAAATATTGATTCGACGACCTCGAAAAATGCCTTTCCAATGCATCTCATCTCACACAAAATCATTGGAAAATCATCTCCAACCAATTGTATATTCATTCCAACTCATAACAATTCAAATTCGATCAATTCCAGAATTAAAAAAATTTTCTTCGGAAAAAATGGACTTCATAAAAAGAACTTCAGCATCCGTCAGCCCCATTTTCATCACTCGATCCAAACATAATAAAATTCTCCTTTAGATTCTCTACAAACCATAGTCTGTCCGAATATGTGAAACTTCCTGAAAAACTCACAAAAAAATAAAAAAGAAGAAAAAAATTAATTTTCTGATGGAAAAAAACAAAAAAAAAAGAAAATTTTTTTCTCGTGCAAAAACCGAAAACGCGTCAACTGCTGGCGCGTTTCGCGCGATCATTCAGTTTTTGCAGCTGTGAAGTTAGAAAAACTGAAATCACCACCCCCAATGCTATTATTCTGTTTTGATTGTTTGTCAACTTGTTATTCTCAATTTCTCAATATTTTTCCGTTCAAGTATTTTTCTCAAAAAACAACATTTTGTTGACTTTCCACGTCAAAACTTTTTTTTTTCGATTTTTTTTACTCGAAAAAACCAAAGCATAAATAATGAGCGAGCGGGGGTTTATAGTCTAAGAAAAAATTGAAACACCGTGTGAAAAAAATTGGTGATTTGTGATTTTCGAACCAACTTTTTTTCTTTTCCGCTCAGCTGAAACCTAATTTATGCGTCTTAAAAAAACCTAATTTTCAAGCTCCGCCTATTTTCATTTTCATTTATTCTAGCTATCCAATTTCCCTCTTTTCAGCGAAATTTTCTCATTTTCTAATTATATTATTATTATGTTTATCACATTTTTCGACAAATCTTATGCTATTGAAAATTCCACGTGGTTTTATTATTTGATTGTTTTTCATATACAATTTGTTATAGCGGGTTTTGTGTGAGTCTGTGTAATTTTTTGATTTTTAAATTTTTTTTTTTGGTTTTTCAGTGTTCTTTATTACTTGTTAAACGTGGCAATTGATATATCAAATAAACAATATCGAACAAATATTGAAAGAATCCATCATTGTATATATCTCCCATGTGTTTCTGGTCATATTTTATGTGTAGTTCAACGAATTTTGCTAATTTTTGATTTTCCAGAAGGTTCATTTCTGAAATTTTCATAGAACTTCAGCTCAAAAATAAATAAAAATAAATTTCCAGGAACTGATTCAACAAACTCAACATTTTATTATATTTCACTATTCCGCGCAATTTTCTGTTTCCCAGGTTTTTATGCTATCTCAGCTTTGGTTGCAGAACGATGTTTCGCCACTTATTTTCTCGATGATTATGAGAAAAATCAACGAAGTTGGCTGGTTTTTATAATATTATTTGTCATTTATGCAGTTGGAATTGTGTCAGCTATAAGTTTTCATAATTGTAGGTTGTTTTATTTGTCATGCTTTAGGGGAAGGTTAGATCAAACCACGAAAGTTATGCAAAACTTTTTCTATTTTTATTTTAAAAAAAAAGTTAAGAAAAATTGGGGTATTCGAGCGAAAAATGAGAAAGAAAAATGAAGATTCACGAAATCGAAAAAAAACGTTTTTATAACGTTAAAAGAACCAAAAAAGTAATTCACGAACGGTATTTTTATTTATTTTTTCCCATTTTCTCAACACAAGTGAAGCTAAAACGTATTTTAGTGTCCAGAAATGCTATTTCAAGACCTTCTAATCAGCCTAAACGACAAATCAAGCCATACATCAGTATCCCCGGATTTTCGTCCGGAGAGGGCTTGGCTAACTTTGGATAAAAGGGGTGGCGACCGGCTAACTTTTTGAAAAAATTAACAATTTACACCCCAAAAACCAAGTTTTCCTCTCTATTTTTGAGGGTATCTGGCTAATATTTGTTTAATCACATTTCGGGGGTGGCTAATTTTGAGGCCCTGACCGGGAGAAACTGATGTATGAATCAAGCCTCAAATCTCCCAAAAAATGAAATTGGTGATTTTCGAAAGTCAAAATTTTGAATTTGAAGGCTTGATTTGTCTTTTAGACTGATTCAAAGGGCTTGGAATGAAATTTCTAAACACTAAAATGAGTTTTAGCTTTATTCAGTTGGGAGTTCAGTCACAGTCGTGTGATGGCCGCTAGTGCACACAAAACGCGCCAACGTCAAAACACTGGCACGTTTGTGGTGAGCCTCTCCGGTTTTTACTTTCTTTTTTCAAGTTTTCGAAAATGTTTTTGGTTTCCCCTTGTTTTTGTAGATTTTTATAGTTTGTTTTGTCTCTGGACGGTCTTAAACCATGCCCATCTTGTTATAGAATGATTTGCTATCAATTTGTATTTCTTGTTTGTAGAGAGTAGTTTTCACCAAGCGAAGTTCAAGTTTGATAAACTTGGACAACGTAACAGTTCGCTACGATGTGTTGAGAAAATGATGAAAAAATGAATAAAAATACCGTTCGCGAATCACTTTTTTGGTTTTATTAACGTTAAAAAACGTTTTTTTATATTCATGCATGAATCACTGCATGAAATAAGATTTTTCGTAATATTCCAGCTTCCACAACAATTCCCCACATTCTCCTCTTCCTTCTTCTTTGCTCAATAGGTATCCTCGTCAATAACTTCAATTTCAATCTCAACAAAAAGTATCACAAAAGAGCGCATCGAAATGACGGCGGCGGATATTCCCTCGGACAACGTTTTCAAATCGCTGAAAATATTCGAGTCTCTCAATTTTTCCTGCATTTTTCGAAAAGTGTTGCGTTTTTCACCACCGTTGGACCATTATTATTGTTATTGCAGAATTTTGATTTACTATCAATTGGTTGGAAGAATTTGATAACCGTGGTTTTTGATTTCACCGTTTTGATGTATGCATTCGCTACACCTTATATTGTTTACTACTATAATCCAAAATATCAAGCAAAGTTGCAAATTATCCTAAAGAAGACTCATTTAAAGTCGCAGAATCCTCTGAAAATAGCGCCGCTGGCTTCTAAACGACAAGTTCAAGATATCTTTGGAAATCAGTTGATTTTTGATAATACTACACAAACTCACACTTATTTTCGGGAATTAAATCAATCTTGGGAAATTCGAAGAAAATAAATGAATGTTTATTAGGAAAGAAATTTGGTTTATCATTTCATCCAATGAACCTAATGACTTTCATTAGTTTGAATATGTGATGCCTTTTCAGCTCCTTGCAAATTGTACAAAGTTGTCTCAACACGATGTCCGTGTCCCCAACTTGGATGACTCTCCATCACAATAGTCTCGGGTGGCGAGTGAATTCCACCGGCCGATTTTCCGTAGATCTTCAAATGTCCACGTGGATGGATGGAGAGTGGGCTGGGAAGTGTGTAGGTGAAGGCGGTGACGCCATCCAACACTCGACGGATTTGGAATCCACCGATGCTTTCGGTGACGGTTCCGCTGGTGTTTTCCAGGATGATGAATCGTCCGGTTGGATCGCATTCGGTGATGCTCACGTTTCCTTTGGCGTGACGTTTGAAGGTTGAGCGAATTTCTCCAGATGCCCAGATATCTTTCTCCACTTCGAATTTGCCGACTCTGAAAATAAAGAAATATTCTTTCTGATTGATACGTGAGAAGGTATCTCTATTTCTGATTTCTCTATACTACCAAGTACCCTTCTCCCGCTCCACCCATTTGCACACTCGATGTATAACCACCATCAAATCTAAAAACTTATTCTCTTAACAGACACACATAGAAAAAAATAAAACATATTTTGCTGCTGTGCAGTGTTTGCAGATTCAAATACGCAGGCGGAAAAGGGGTGAGAGACGCAGAAGAATGTTCTAGAATTCCAACATTTTTCAAAGGAAAATAAAAAGTGCGCCGCAAAATTGCAGTTTTGAGAGAGAAAAAGAGGGCGGAGTCGAGGGTCAGCGTGCGGTCAGAGGGTTTTGGTCGTAATTTCGCGTCAAAAGCAAATTTTTCTCATTTTTTTCTATGTGCAGACATCTACCCTAATCTAGTCAAACCCTGTTCCTCTTCCAGCTCCACCTCCAATATTCACATGAGCAATGCTAGAAAATTCCAGTTGTGATTTTATAATATACTATACTACAGAACATACCCCGTCTTATATTCGATTTCGGAAGACCCGGATAGCGGTCCACCGTAGGATGAGACGTTTCTGACCTCATATCTTGATGGGTCACCGATTTTAAAATTCCCATAGGTTCCTCTAAAAAGATTTCATGTTTCTAGACTACAAGTTTCTAGACTACAAGTTCTACGCTATACACAAACCCTGTGGACCCATATCCAGAAGCAGTTTGGCTGTGTGAACCTCTGTAATCACTCCTATGTATCAGGATATGTAAACTAGACTCTACTTAGAACAAACCCTGTAGACGTGGTATATCCTTGGTTAACACCATGCGAGCCTCTGAAGTTGTTTTTTATTAACTTATCATAACTACTCTACTCTAGCTATCTACCAACATACCCTGTAGAAGTGGTATATCCTTGGCTAACACCGCCTCTGAAACTTCCCAAGTTAGTCTATCTACATTATGTACTCTCTAGCTAACCAACCCAGTCTGCTGATATCTCGAAGTTGAGTCAAGTGGTCTGACCCCATAACCAACTGGAGTGCTGGTGCTCGCAAAAGTGCTGCTCACATAACCTGCTCCAGGTGTACCCGGTGTAATTCTTCAAGACACATTAATTTTACGTCTACTAGAATTCTAGATCTACTCTCTAATCTACTAAGTTACCCATGTTCCACTGTAGTTTGTGGTTGAACACCTTGTCCAATTCTGTATAAAATTTTATCACTTTTTTCAAAACTACCAGACCTGGGAAATTTTCACGCGGCACCGTGAAACCGTAAAACGTAAAAATTCCCAGCTCTGAATACTACCATACCTTGTTGTAGTGGTAGTTGTCTGCTGTTGTTCTTGTCCGGAAAACTCAAACTTTTTGTGAGTTTTTTAAAAAGATGTGAGTGCTAAGCTCTTGTGTGTGTGTGTAAAGCTGTGCGAGTGTGATTTAAGCTTGGTTTATTTTACCTGGTGTTGATTTCTCCGATATGGTCAAATCTTCAAATGTTTTTTTTTTGTACATACATAGTTACCCGCCCCTTCTCGAGAAGTGAGATCTCACTAACCTGCTCTCTTCTGATTCGACCAATTTTCTGTAAATGGCGATTTCAGTGTCCAAAGTTTGTTTGGTGTTGAGAAGCGACTGCAATTCAGCAATAAGTGTCTGACAATCCTCGCGCATAAATCTCAATTGATTATCGCGCTTCAACAATTCTTGCTCATATTGTCTTTGATCATCGCCAAGTTGAATGTTCAATGAGTTGGCCTCTCTTTCGAGTTCGTGATTCTTGGCTTCGAGTTCAGCCAATTTAGCGCGAAGCGATGTGATGCTCGAATTCATCTTGATGATCTCCTCTTGTCTGTAGTGCGCAGCATCAGTTCTTGTGCTAACCGACGCTTCGATCGCGTCGATTTTGCTTTGGAAGATGGTCTCCAAATCAAGTTTGGTGGTTTGGATGATTTTGTCGTATTCCGCTTTGATATCTCTGATAGCTTGAGCCAATTCAGTCTTGAAGAATTCGCGAGTATCAGCTGGAGCATGCGAAAGCAAATTGCGAAGCTCGGCGATTTCTTGCGAGTGAACTCTTCCAAGGAATTCAAGTTCAGTGCGAAGCCCCTCTTCTTGATGTTGAAGACGAAGTCTATCAGCAATCGCCGCATCAAGTTCATCTTTCGCCGACGCAAGTTGGGCATAAAGATTCTCTTGCTCTCCATACAATCGCTTTTCCTCGTCCAAAATAGCCGCATATCTAGATTTGTTGTTTTCAAGTTCAGCGGTAGCTTGAGCAATAGCACCTCCCCAAGATGTCTTCTCTCTATCGATTTCTCTGCGAGCCTCCTCATATCTGTTGCGATAATCATTCAAATCGTCACGAAGTCTGTTAACTCTAACTTCAATGTTGATTGATGAAGTGGCAGCATCGATGATATCTTGTCTAGCCTTGCTCAAAGAATCATTGAATTTGAATTTGATTTGTCCAACGTCGCTTCCAAGTGAACCTCTCAATTGATCGAGTTCAATGACGAGTTGTTTGTTGGTCTCTTCGAGTTGCTTAACACGTCCGATGTAAACCTCAAGGCGGGAGTTAAGACCTTGCATCTCGACCTTTTCTTTTTCGGTGGCACGCACAAAGTCATCAGCGGCATGGAGGTGAGCTTCTGTAATTTTGTGGAGTGATTCGCGGAGTAAAAAACATTATTTAACGTTAACGTGATTCACGAACGGTATTTTTATTTATTTTTTCACCATTTTCTTAACACATTTCAAATGTTAACACATTTCAAATGTGTTAAGAAAATGGTAACTTTTTTGGTTTTTTTAACGTTAAAAAAACCTTTTTTTTTAAATTTCCTAAATCACTGCATTAGGTAAGTAGGTGTTAAGAAGTTTTGGTGATTAAGTGGTGTAACTTTTCCAGTAAGCCTAACTCTTACTACAAGCCTAGAAATCTAATTTCTCCTTACCTCCACCATGATGTGATGAAGAAGTATGCGTAGTTGTTGTAACCATACGATAGCTGGTCGACATTCTGAAATTATCCAACTTTTATTCAATTCTACTCGTTCTTAACAAAAAATATATAAAAATGAGAATGAAACTAAAAATGATTGTCGAATGGCAAAATCAAAAACTAATAAATGGCTTCGTTCTTATCAGCTAGAAGGGGTTTTATTGAGAAACGAGCAAAAAAGAAGAAAGAGCGAGTTATCATCGGTTTATGACAGTTTGATAGTGAAATTTTTTGAGCACAAATGGAATGTGCCGAAAATTTTATTAGGGCGGATGTGTAGTTTTCGATCTTTTTCATATTTAATTGGAGTTCTGATATATTTGTTGAAAATGCGTTTTGAAAGCAAATGTCGAAATTTCAAACTCTTTATATGTAAATAAAAACAAACAAAAGTTACTAGTAACGTTACTTATCAGTTTGTAAATAAATAAAACTCTCAAACCAAAAACAACAAAAATGTACGTTTCAAAAATGTGTCAACTTGTTCCCAGAAATTTCAGTTGTCGTTAATAAACGCATTTCCACACAAAATAATAAGATCGTATAAGTTTTGAAGAAAAAAAAAACATTTTTTTCGTTTTGCAAAATCTTACAATGACTCACTAATACAGTTGTACTCATAGATGCTTTCTCAGGCAGTTTTCATTGACATGTCATCATCATTTTTTGCCCGTAGCACATTTTTCTGATAAGCCCCAAGAATTTTTGATCGTCCTTTTGGAGTAAACGGGTAGAAAATTCGCTTATCAACGGCTTTTTTATTTGAAACAAAATTTGACAAACAAGCAAAAATGGAAATTATTTGGGGTTACATTGAACTTTTTATGGTGAAAAAATCCACGTGGCAGATGTTGTCAAGCAGTGAGCCCTATAGGTGAATGCGGGGGTCTAGTAGTCACTTCTTGAAAGAATTTCAAGTGTCAAGCAGTCATCCCTGGTCATCATACTATTTTCTATGAAGCATTCTTCCCTAGACCTAGATGTGCTCAAGCAGTGAACCCTATAGGTGAATGTCGGGGCTAGGAGCCATTGCTTGAAGACATTTTAAGTGTCAAGCAGCCATCCCTTGTCAACTTATAATCTTTGGTAAAGCATCCTTCACTAGAGCTAGGTGTTCTCAAGCATTGAGTCCTATAGGTGAATGTGGGGGCTAATAGTGGCTGCTTGACAGAATTTGAGATGTCAAGTGTTGAGTCCTATTGGTGAATGTGGAGGTCTCGGAGCCGTTGCTTGACAGAATTTCAAGTGTCAAGCAGTTATTCCTTGTCATCATACTATCTTCGATGAAGCATCCTGTCCGAGAGCTAGGTGTTGGCAAGCAGTGAACCCTATAGGTGAATTTGGAGGTCTAGGAGTCACTGCTTGACAAATTTTTTTTTTCATTTTCTGATTTCACTCAATGTCACAATTTTAATCCTCTTCTCCATTTTTTTTCAATTTTTTTTTTGATAATTTTCAAAAATTTTTATCAAGAATAAAGTTTACATTTTCACACAAAAAATTTTTTTTTCAAAAATTTTCAAAATGGAGAATTTGAGCGTGAAGAGAATGAAGAAGTTGACGAATTTCGAGCGCTGATCGTTTTCTCGAACTTCTCCTCCAACATGCGATTTTCAGTGTAGAGTTGTTGATGTTCGGCGAGCTGCAAACGCCACGTGGAAATTTTCATATATTTTCAGAACTCACTCTTTGATCAAAATTCATGGCCATAATCATCAATTCCCGCTCTTTCTGCTTCAGAATATTCGCATATTTCTCGTGGATTTCGTCCAAGATTTTCTGGTGATTTTCGAAGGAGATGATATCATTTTGAGTAGAAGTAGAAGACATTTTCTAATTGAAAGTGAAAATAATGAAGATTTTCTGGGGTTTTTATACCCAAAAAATTGTTGTTTTGTAGATTTGCAACGGAAGAAAAACAGCTGACTTTTTTGTTTTTCAGGTGAAAAATGAAAATGTGTGTTGAAATGTTTCAAATTTTGTTGATTGAGGATTACTGTAGATGAAATTTTGTGATAGAAATCTACAGTTTTAAAGGTACATGTGAAAAATTTTTGTTTGAAAATCCTCTGAGAGAATTATGAGCCTATAAAATCCACGCGGCATTTTTCGAAGTTCTAAAAATCCACGTCAGAAACCAAATTCTGGAGATCTGAGAGAATTATGAGCCTATAAAATCCACTTGGCATTTTTTTCAAGTTCTGAACTTGTAATAAGAGGTTCTGGTCCAATAATCCACCTCAGAAACCAATTTCGAAATTTTTTTTAATTTCAGAGATTATGAAATTCTGAAGATCTGAAATTAGGAGCCTATAGAATCCACGTGGCACAATTCTGAAGTTGTTTCTGTTTTTGTCCAACAAAAATCCACGTGGAAAACATTTTTTTTTTGTTTTGATTTTTGAATTTTGAAAACAAAGGTGAGAAATTGTTTCGAAATTTTTCAAATTTTTTGTTGACAAATTTAAAAAAATTGAAAATTAAAGACGTTTTACGCAATTTTGTCATTATTATTTGAAAAAAAAAATTGACGAAAATGTTTACTTCGAAGCGGGATCGAACCCATGACCTATACATTAAAAGACGCGCGTGTTCACCACTCGGCTACGCGCTCACGTTTTTTTTGCTCACAAGATGTTTGATATATGAAACTTGTTGAAGTTTTTCAAATTCAGAAAGAATTTTCCGTTTGCAAAAAAGATTTATTATATCCAAAGAAAATCAAAAAAATGGGATGAAAAATGAGCGTTTTTCAAGAATTCAAAAAAAAACAAAACACATAAGTAGAAGAATAGATTTTAAGCATATATTATTGCATGAAATCCTTCAAAAGGAACTAGAATGCTTGGAAAAATAGGAAATCACAATTTTTTGGGGTTGGGTGTAAAACAGTGGTCAGAAGGCAGTGGTGAGAATGAAATTTAGAGCAAAAATTAAAAATATATATTTAAAAAATCACAAAAGTTCAATTAATTTCCAGTTTGGAGGGTTTTTTGCGTGTGAGTGGCACGTTCTTCGCCATCTTTGTTCACCAAAGATGTCACCACATTCGCTCCGATTCCCCACGTGTTTTCGCCGTCGAAAACCAATGATTCTGGTGGATTGTTGATGCCGCCTTGATCGCGAGCGTAGATTTTGAGCGATTTGCCGGCGCGGATTGTGGTGTTGGCTGGGATGGTGTAGACGATTTCGCGACGCGAGTCGAGCTTTCGCTTGATTTTGTGCTCGCCGACGTTTTCGTCCTGCAAAAATTTGGATATTTTTTTTTCTAGAAAAAAATACGTTTCAAAATTTTTATATGATTTTTCTCGCTCATGAAAATTCGATAATGATGTTTTGGGTTGAACGAAAATAGACTATAGTTTCTGAAAAATATCAGAACTACCGTGGGTTTTCCACGTGGCATGAAATTCCACGTGTAATTTGAGAATTCTGAATTTAAATTTTGTCACATCAGAAATCCACATCAGAAAATTTTGGAGCTCGAAAAAATCCACGTGGATTCAGATTTTTAATATTTTTTTCAAAATATTTTTGAAGATCAAAAATTTTCTAGCCAATTTTTTTGTGTAGTGAAAACCACGTGGCATAAAAACCATAGGTAATTTTTTTTGCAAATAAAAAATTTGTGACATCAGAAATCCAGGTTCCAAATTTTTTTCTGGCCAAAAAAATTCTTAAAACTTTTGGTATGTGATTTCCACGTGGCATAAAATGTTTTTGTAGATCAAAAACTTTCTATCCTATTTTTTTTGTCCAGGGAAAACCACGTGGCATATTTTTTGTGGATCAAGAAATTCCGGTCAAAATCTCGAATTCGAGAAATCCACGTGGCATAAAAATCACAGGTAATTTTTTTGCAAATAGAAAATTTGTGACCCAAACTTAATTTGGCCGAAAAATCCATGTGGCGAAATTTTCAACGATCAAAAATTTTTGCACCCGAGAAAACCACGTGGCATTTAAATTCAAATTTTTCACAAATTCTTCAATCTCCACCCAAACGCACCTTATTTCTGTGTGTATTCTCCAAAAGAATGAATTTTCCATTAGGATCGCATTCCGAAATAGTCACATTTCCCTTAGCCGATCTTTGGAATGTAGTCTTCGTCGAAACTTCTCCTCTAACCGATCTAGTCGAATCAGTATCTTCCTGTTGTTGAAGTGAATGCGTCTTAACAACTTGCTCAACCATTTGTCGAAGTCCAACTCGACTCTCTTCACCTTCCAACATTTTTCGATAAATCGCAATTTCCGCATCCAACATTTGTTTGGTGTCCAAAAGTGCTTGCAATTCAGCGACAAGAGTTTGACACTCTTCTCGCATTCTTCTCAAAGTCGCATCTCTGTCATTCAAAGCCGCCTCATATTGTCGTTGATCGTCGGTGAGTTGATAATTGAGGTTTTGCACTTCTTTCTCGAGCAACGAATTCTTGTTCTCAAGGTCTCCCAATTTTCCGCGAAGATCTCCGATGTTGTCACGCATTCTTTTGACTTCTTCACGTTGATAATTCGATTCGACGGCTGCGCGGTTGGCTGATCCTTGGACTTCCGAAACTTTGAGTTTGTACCAGCTTTCCATGTCTTGTTTTCCTTGTTTTGCAATGTAATCGTATTCGTCCTTGATGTCACTGGAAAAATTATTGGATGAGTTATGCTAACTCAAAAATTGAACATGAACATAATAAATTTCAGAAAAAAATATTTGGCCGAACTATTTTGGTGGCCTAGAAATGTCGGGAGTTCGGCCAAAGCAACAAACTTGCTCTAATTTTGCGAAAATTTTCCGAATTTCAGTCAAAACTAAGATTTACAACCAATTTAGTGCTGAAATTTGAAGTTTCTGGCTTTAAAAATCCGAAAATTTTTCGACATATATGTGGCCGAACAATTTTGGTGGCCGAGAAATCTCAGGAATTCGCGAATTAATTCGGCCACGTATACGTTAATCCACGTGGCAAAATTTAACTTTTAAAATTGCAAAAATTTATAATTTTTCTCAAAATTTTAGCTCAAAGAAACTTTTTTGAAAAATTGAGAAAAATCAGAATTTTTTCCGAATTGAAGCTTGAAAATCATTGAAAATTGAAAAATTTATGAATTTTTCAAAAAAAAATTTTTTTTTTCATAAATTTCAAGATAAAAAACTGAACTTTTGACAAAATGTGAACAAATTCTCATTTTTTCTGTAAAATTATTTGAATTTTAGAGTTAAAAAAATCGTAAAAAAGAGAATTGAAATTCAATTTTCCAAATTTTTTGAATAAAATTTATGAGAATTTTCGCAACATTAGAGCGCGTTTGTTGGTCTGGCCGAATTCCCGACCTTTCTCGGCCACCAAAATAGTTCGGCCACATATTTTTTTTTCTGAAATTTTTTGTGAAGTAAATGAATTTTGAGTTTAATTCATCAATACTTGAACAAAATCATTTTCCAGAACTAAGTTCAACAATTTCTGATTTTTCCTCTTTCACTCACCGAATAGCCAAGGCCAATTCATTCTTGAAGAACTCTCTAGTATCAGCTGGAGCTTGAGCCAAAAGCGCTTGCAACTCCTTCACCTCTTGCTCATGAACTCTTCTCAAGAACTCCAATTCCTCCATCAAAGTTTGCACTTGATTTTGGAAATCGATTCGACCGATGGTCTCCTCATCCAAATCGCTTCTCGCCTTTTGCAACTCCTCCCAAATTCGAGCGTTATCACCCAAAAGTCTCTTCTCCTCATCGGTCAATTGCTTGTATCTGGCTTGGAGCATTTCGAGCTCGGATTTCGCGTCGGCGATCGCATTTGTCCATTGATTGATCTTCTCGCGATCTCCTTCACGACGGTGTTGGGTGTCTTCGTATCTGCAAAATTTTTGTGTAATTTTCGGCCCCCAAAGTTCATTTTCCTGTTTTTTCTATTCTCAAAATTTTTCATTTTCTAATCTGAAAAGTCAATATTTATCTACTGTGTGCCTCTTCATCTCGAAATATTTTCGAAAAAGTTCAAATACACAGTGAGGAGGAATTCAAGACATTGCTCATATTATTATAAACGTGAAAAAATGGGAAAAATTATATACCGTAGTTCTTTTCGTCGCGGCGAGACACACATCTTTCAAAAATCGATGCGCCTTTGAATTCAACGTGAAATAAAATGAGTAAAGTGAATTAGAACTCGGTTTTCCGTAATTTTCAACCGAAAAATAGGTTTTTCCTCAATAAAACACTTGAAAATCGTTTTTTCGGTTGATTTCTGCCTTTTTTCATGCAAAAAATCGAAAATTCGGAAAAAAAAACAAAAAAAACCGTAGTTTTTGAAAGGCGCAACAGCTGAAACACAAACAGGGTCTCGTCGCGACGAAAGAACTACGGTATATAATTTTTTTTCCAAAAAAAAAAATATTCACAGCTGCAAAAACTGAATGATCGCGCGAAACGCGCCAGCACTTGACGCGTTTTCGGTTTTTGCACGAGAAAAAATTTTCTTTTTTTTTGTTTTTTTCCATCAGAAAATTAATTTTTTTCTTCTTTTTTATTTTTTTGTGAGTTTTTCAGGAAGTTTCACATATTCGGACAGACTATCGTTTGTAGAGAATTTAAAGGAGAATTTTATTATGTTTGGATCGAGTGATGAAAATGGGGCTGACGGATGCTAAAGTTGTTTTTATGAAGTCCATTTTTTTCGAAGAAAATTTTTTTATTCTGGAATTGATCGAGTTTGAATTTTTGTGAGTTGGAATGAATATACAATTGGTTGGAGATGAATTTGCGATGATTTTGAGTGAGATGCGATGCATTAGAGAAGCATTTTTCGAGGTCGGCGAATCAATATTTTTCTTGTTGAAAAGTGAGTTATTCGTATCTAAATTTATCAAAAAATCATGATTTTATATTTAGATGAGCGTGATACGAGTTGACGGAAACATGAAGATGTCGGAGAGTGCCAAACAAAAATTATTTCGATGAACGAATCCAATTGATTGCCAACCTGACCAGAAATTCACAAAGGAATTCACGTGGAGAGCCTCACGAAAAGAGTTTTAGGATTCTATGGAAGATTTTATTGAAGGTAATTCCAATTTTTGATTGATTTTTATAAAATAGTAAAATCACTTGAAGAAATAATAAAAATTCAATGTTTCCGTCATTTTGACGTTATTTCCCCATGATAGAGGCACGGGGGAGTATGGAGACTTAGTCTATCTTTCTCAGCAGCAAAAACTATATCAAGATACATGTTCTAATATTATTTCTACCGTTCATTTTCGAAAAGTAAAATTATAGTTTCATTTTCATCGCATTTTATTTTAATAAGAACTAATATTTCATATGTCCATGATTCAAAACTGTTTAATTCAAACACACAATTTTGTTTTTCAGGTATTGCGAACGTCAACCAAGTGGAATCAGCGGTTTCGATCATGAACGAAGTGGAGTTAATAATACTATTCAAATAACAGATTTTTAATAAATTTTTGCTGCTTTCAACTTGAGCTTTGTTGATTTTCTTCAAATTTCGATCAAAAAGTGCCGCAAAATTAGGAGCTGTGGGATAGAACTTCAAATTTCGATGATTAATGTGGTATTCTGATTGTTAGAAGAGATCCTGCTTTATAAGCTTCAGAAACAGCTCAGCGAAAATAAAAAATGATTTTATCATGAAATTGTAAGCCATACTTGTAATTATTCAAATCACTGTTGAAATTTTTCCCGAAAAACATCGGTTCTTTGAAATTTTTAAGACAAAGGCTGGTTATTCTCTCGTCTAACAGTACAAATTCATTGTCCGGTAAGAAGTTCTTATTTCTTTTTTCAACATAAGTATATTAAACATCTTATTTCATATAAAAAGTTTGAAAGTTTTGCTTCATTATTTCAAAAATATCTTTTTTGTGAGGGTACTTCAAAATCTCACGTTTTTCACGCCTAATAAATTTTTTCACTCAACAAATTATATTTCTCTGTCTTCGTCTCATTCTCCTCTATCTTCTCATGTACGATTCATTTGTTGAAACTTCCGCTAACTTCAGCTTTTTTTAAAAAAATTCGAGAAAAAATTTAAAAAAAATAATTTTTCGGCGAGAGAGTGTGTGCGCCTATAGAGACGCCGACAAACACACACGCCCGTGGAGGGCGAGAGAGAAGAGTGCAGGAGACATTGCTGGCGCACAATCGGTTTTTGCAGCTGTGATATTTTCTATTTTTTACGTTAATGTGAAAAATCTTATTTTTCTTCAGAAAAAAGGCCGCCTGGGAAATATACGTTTCAAAATTTTGATATTTAAAAAATTTTTCGCTTTTCCATTTTTTACGTTTATAATTTTAAGCAGTGAAAATTCTTATTTTTCTTCAGAAAAAAAGCCTGGGAAAAATACGTTTCAAATATTTGATATTTGAAAAAATCTGAAATTTAAAAACGATGGGAATTCAGCTGTTGGAAAACCAAAATAAACCCTACCTGCTTCTTAATTCGGCCAAATCATCTCTCAATCTCGCCACCTTCACATCAATCTCCGCCTTTCTTCTCGCCGAATCATCAATATCCTTTCTAGCTGTGGAGAGCGAAGTCGAATATTTGATCTTGATTTCCGACGTATCTTTTCCCCATTTGCCTCTCAATTCATCCAAATCCGCGACAAGTTTTCGGTTTTGCTCTTCGAGTTTCTTGACGCGATCGATATAGTTTCCGAGACGATCGTTGAGTCCTTGAAGTTCCTTCTTTTCTTTGTCGGTGGCTTCGAGGAATGATTTGGCGGCGTTGGCGGAAAGAGCTGGCGAGATTCCTCCGATGGTGGCAGATCCCATTTCGGTGACCATTTTTAGGACACGGCCTGGAAAAAGGGGCAGGGTTAGGCTGGATTTCAAAAATCCACGTGGTTTGGGCCAGGTCCATTTTTTTTTTCAACGAAAAATTCTGAAAGTCAACTTTTTCGGAATTTCAGAATTTTCCTCAAAAAAATTGGACTTGAAAAATGTTCCACGTGGATGTTAAAGGGTCCCGAGACTTTGGGATCCACCTAGATTTCAAAAATCCACGTGGCAATCTAAATATGGGCCCGGTTTGAATCGGATCAGGCTGAAATTTTCAAATAGAAACTGGGCCAGGTCCAAAAATTTTGAATCGGCCCCTAAAAATCGGATTTTGAAAATTTCAGAGCCCAAAAAATCCACGTTTTTCAAAAATTGGTCCAATTTTTCGGAATTTCAGAATTTTCCTCGGAAAAAAATTGGACCTGGCTCAAATCCGATTAAAAAATGTTCCACGTGGATTTTCAAGGGACACAGGTCCAAAAATTTGAATCGGTCCCTGAAAAATCAGAATTTCAAAAATTATTTTAAAAATTTCAGATGCCCAAATCATTTGGGCCAGGTCAAATTTTTTGAAGAAATAAAATTTGTCAAATTTTTCGGAATTTCAGAATTTTCCTCAAAAAAAAATCGGACCTGGTCCACTTTTTAATGATCCCAAAAAGCACTGATTTCACTGGCCCGATTCTAAATTTGTCGATTCTTTTTGCCACGTGGCAACCATTATTATCCACAAAAAAATGTATCTCGAACTTTCACGTGTCATTTTTTCCAGGTCGCAGTTAAAAAATCCACATGGCAATAGTATTTACTTCTCAACCATTTTTCAAATTTCCCCACAATTTTTTTTTGCCACGTGGCATTTTTTTTCAGGTCGCAGTTAAAAAATCCACGTGGAAACTTTTCATGAAAACGTTTTTTTCCATTTGATACTTAAGATAAGTTAAAATTTTCATGCCACGTGGCATTTTTCTTACCTCCCGACAAGGGTTGTGATGGTGTTGTGGTCGAATCCATACTACAAACAAAAAATTCCAGAATCAAAATTTCAGAAAAATCAGATCAAAATCAAGAAGAAAATAACAACAAATGCAAAAAAAAAAGATTTAGGTGTGGTCTCCCACAAAAATGATAGTTTTATTTTTATTTCTATTTTGTTGTGATAAATAAGAAATGGACAATTTTGGGCGAGAGAGTGTGGGAGAGTGAGAGACGCAGAGATGCGAGTCAAGGTTAAATTGCGAATGGATTGGGCGCTGATTTGGTCACTAATCATTAATTCATCCCCCCCCCATCTTTTTTCTCTTCTCACACATTTTGACATATTATAATTGGGGAACAAATTAAGAATTATCTGATTGCGAAAATCTAGAACTTGTTAGAAAATTTGTTAGAAAAATTGTATGAGTAATGATTCACAAATTTGGGCGTGGTTCTAGAGATGTTTTGGGTGTGGTTGAAGAACTTTTTTGAAATACACCTATACTTGTGTCAGAAAAATGAGAGATTTATTGATGGGTGAATAATTTTACGGTGGAAAAAAAATTGGGAAAACAATTTTGAAAATTGTTTTCGACTGAAAATCTAGATGTTCAAAAAAAACCATTTTTAATTGTTTTTGAAATTTCACTTTTTAAAGGCGCATAGAAATTTAATCCTCTCAAGACCAAATAAAACAATATGATATCATGTACCTTTAAAAACAAGTTAACGTCATACTGTACGCAAAAATTCGTCGCCGTGTTTGCACAAACCAATCGGCTGGACGTGGAGGTAATTTGAAATTTTTAATTTAAAAAATTTAGAATTGAGGGAGAACTCCGAAATTATTTTCTAAAACCCAAACTACACTGCAAAAAAAATCCAAAAATCTAAAAATCAATAATGAAAATTTGTTTCAACAACAAAAAATTCGGTCGAGTAAAAATGTTTGTCACAAGTGGATTTGTGTCGCGACACGAGATCATTTTATCCTTTCGCGCGGCAGATTTTTCAAGAGTGTTTGTTGTTTTTTTTTCGCTATCATCATTTTCATCCTGTTCTATTTTCTAGAAGTTTTTTTGGAACAAAATAAATAAGAAAGTTTGAGCTGAAAAGGTTGCTAGAGGGTAGAGAGCTAGAGAGCAGACGTCTAGAGTTCACGAGAAGAGAGTGCAGACAGCCAGACACATTCTAGAGTAGAGGAGAGATGAAAGTGCGTAGATTGTTAGAGAGATAGACAACTAGACATATGCCATACCCTAGAGATCATAAAGAGCACAGACGTCTAGAGTTCACCAGAAGAGAGTCCAGACAACCAGACACATTTCAAAAAGTCAAAAATATTTTTTTTATTTCTATTTATGGTCGCTGTAACACTAAAAACCAACCAAACAAAGTAAATATTTGCATTTCAGAGTTATAAAAAAATAAGATGTTGCGATTTTTTCGAAAACTTTTTTTGATTTTGATAAGATACCACCACAACACCAAAAGAAATCGGGGACTTGAAGTAAGGGTCCCAAAGGTTCCCTGAAGTTCCGAGCGGATTTGGGAATTTTAACGTTTTTACGTTAAAAAATCGTTAAAAACGTTAAAACGTTAAAAAATCACTGAATTTGGACAGAATCAAATTGAAACTTCAAAAAAATACAAAATTTTTTTTAAAGAAAAATTAAAATTTTGATTGAATTTTTAATTAATTTTTTGATAAATGTTGGAGTTACGATAAGTTACCAATTTTACGTTTTACGGTGCCACGTGCAAATTTCCCAGGTCCAAGGCTCCCCTCCCAATCCTCACCTCCCGAAGCGGCTCCACTACCTCCGGACACATAATTTCCTGATTGACGAGATTGACTGCGAACAGCTGTTCGAGGTTGAATTGTCGAACGATATTGAATCTCATATTCTGACGATTCTTGCTTCGACGACATCTGCAAATTCTTTTGATTTTGATTTGGAAGATTCTCGAAAAAAAAATCGATACGACAAAAAATGAAACGCGAAACAGTTATAAGCCGAGTTAAGACCCTATCAAACCAACAAAACCAAACCAAACCATTTTTTATTAGTGCCCTAGCGCCGCTCTAAAAAATGAGAGAGTACAATTCGAAAAATCAACACAAACCTTATCATATATGTACAAATAAGGCGGAACGCCCTACAAAAAAAGCTTCTTTTGAGTGACATTTTGAGCCTACGCAAAACAAGAAACCTTTTTTTCTATTTAATAATAATGAGTCAATTCGGATCGTATTTCCTTTTGTTCGCAATTGAGAAAAGACAACATGAATTAGGTTTGTTGGGAGTGTGTAAATAGTGAACGAAAGATTTTGCGGCATGGTTTTGGGGGCGGGGCTCAGGCGGAGAGACTGTGATTTTGAGAGACGCAGAGAAACGCGATGAATCTAGAGAGTACACTAATTGAAGAGAGACAGAGAAAAAGTCTAAATAGATTCAGGGAGGGAGAGAGTAGCATAGACATTTGAGAGACGCAGAGAAACGAGAGATCTAGAGATAACACTAATTGAAGAGAGACAGAGGCGGTCATCCAGAGAAAAGAAGAGAGTTTTGGGAGACGCAGAGAAGGAGAGAGTGCAGACAGCCAGAGAAGAAGGTTAGATATAGTAGGGAGAGAGGAGAGAGTGCAGACAGCTAGAGAATAGGATTTGTGGAGAGTCGGGAGAAGCTAGAGAAGGTTAGAGACAGAGAAGCTCGAGTTCATCACTATGTGGTTAGAGACGCAGACACGTACGAGCGACTAGATGGTGTGAGAAAAAAAGAGGGCTAGAGATGCAGAGTTCAGAGAGACGCAGAGTGCCTCCCTGTCTTCTCTAGGTCTCTTCAAAGTACACACTCTCTCACCTAGAATGTTCATAGCTCTATAGAGAATGTGGGATTTGAGAGACGCAGAGAAGCGAGAGTGTCGTTCTCTGCGTCTCTACCCTGAATACTTTGAAATGCAACGAACTCCGCAATCTTCCGCAAGTGCGGAAAATCCACGTGGCCGCGGAAGCTTTGCGGAATCTTGCGGTCAACACCCCAAATTCCTGAATGATTCATTTATTTTCCAAAAAAAAATCAAAATATCAAATGTTGTTTTTTTTTTCTATTTCTCTCACTGATAAGAAGTATTTCATCAACATTTTCGCGCCAAAAAAATTTTTTTTTTGAAAAAAAAAGGGTTTTTTGGCGAAATCCGCTTTCCGCAACAATAAACAAAAACAAAAATGAGAGAGAGAGAACCAGTCGATTTAGAATCAACATCGAATCATCATCATTTTGGAACTTTTGGTTCGAAAAATGTCTATATAAATTTATTTTCTACATATAATATAATAATAATGCATTTTTTATAATAATAACCGACTAATATGACTAATCGAATTGGAATTTTTTTTTTTTGAAAAAAGTGGGACAAAAAAAGTTATATACAATACAAAAGAGGCGAAAAAGTTTGTATGTGTATGCGAAAATTGTAAATGTGTGTATGTGTGCGCGAAATTTTTGTGTCGAAACTCCTCCCCTCGGTTTTTTCTAGGTTCGGGTATTTGCTTTTCTGCTTTTTTGTGATTCGCATTGGGAAATTTTTTTTCGCTTTTTGGCAACACACAAGACAAAAAATTCTGGTTTTTTACGGGGGCGAAATGATTTTTTGGGAATCTTGGGAAAAATATGTTTCAAAAATTGCATTCGGGGAACTGAAAAAAATACGTTTCAAAACTGAAATTCAATTTTTTTTGCAGAAGACAGAATTCCACGTGGCCATTTTAAAAGCTAAAATTTTCAGAGTTTTGAAAATCCACGTGGCATAGTTAGCCAAAGTTACCCTTTTCAAATATTGAATTCGGGGAACTGGAAAAAATACGTTTCAAAACTGAAATTCAATTTTTGCAGGCAGAATGCCACGTGGCACAGCTATAGGAAAAAACTGTATTTTATTTTTTGAACCACTTTTTTTCACAGAATTTTAAATTCCACGTGGCACAGGAAAACTTCAGGCTACAAAATCCTGATTTAAAATTTCCCAAAGCTTTCTGGAAGTTCAAATTTCAATTTTTCAAAAAGCTCAAATTTTCAGAGATTTTGAAATCCACGTGGCATAGTTGGCCAAAGTCACCCTCCCCCTTTCAAAAAATGAATTTGAAGAATTGAAAAAAATACGTTTCAAAACTGAATTTCAATTTTTCAGAAGACAGAATTCCACGTGGAACAGGAAAACAATGAATTTGAATTTATGAAACATTTTTTTTCACAGAATTGCAAATTCCACGTGGCACAAGAAAACTTCAGACTTCGAAATCCTGATTTAAAATTTCCCAAGCTTTCTGGAAGTTAATATCTCAATTTTTCAAAAGCTGAAATTTTCAGAGTTTTGAAAATCCACGTGGCACGTGGCATAGTCTAACTCTTTGACCCTAAAAACAAAAATTTTCCGAGAAAAAATATGTTTCAAAAATTAAATATGGTTGAATTTAGGAGAACTGAACATTGATGAGCAAAATCTTTTTTTTGTGAATTTTCAATTTAAACCACGTGGTATAGTTAGCCTAACTCTTCCACACCGTACCAGAAAACATTCTCAGCTCTATTTCTGATAATAAAAAGTTCCCCAAAAGTTTGCTCAACATCTCAACAAAAAAAATGGAACATCACAAAAATGTTGACAAAACTGATTGATCTAACCCAGAAAATGTAACATTTTTCCCTATCTACAGTACTTGGAAAAAGTACAGTACGTTTCGGATAATTGAACATAAAAAACCGCTGAATCGAAACTGTTCAAACATTTTCATTTCAGAGATTTATTTGGCTGGCAAAAAAAATTTCTGAATACAAAAAAAAAAGAGAGAAAGAGACGGAAGATGATGGTTAGTAATGGGATTTTTTCGCATTCGGCTTGACTGTGAGGCAAATTGAAGGTCGGTCAGCGAAAAAACAGAAAAATGTGGGAGGACAATCAAGAAAAAAAACACATTACGGTTTTCTGATGGGAAAACCGGAACGTTTTGGGTGTGGCAGGTAGTACAGAAAATTTTTTGAAAATTTATCATGTCCATTTAAATTTGAGGTACTGTACCCACCATAGGCTTGGGTTCTTGTGAAGGAAGAGAAAATTAGCATGTCCCTTTAAAAATCTGTAAACCTGGGTTACTGTAAATCTAATTCAAATTGGAATTTTTGAAATTTATCATCTCCCTTTAATTTTGAGGTACTGTATGTACCCTTTTGTGACGTTTTTTGGTGAAGAATAAGAGAATTAGTTTGTATCTCCCTTTAAAATGGACCTAGGTTACTGTAGATCGTGTTGAGACCCAAGAATCTGAATTTACTGTGGATCTAATTCAGCGTGAAATTTTTGAAAATATATTTTTAGGTCTCTTTAAATTTGAGGTATTTTCAAACCAACTGTACCCTGGGGTTTCGTGAAGAATGAGAAAATAAGCATGTCCCTTTAAAATATTCCTAGGTTACTGTAGTATATCGTGTTAGGACCAAGTTTACTGTGGAATTAATAATCAACCTGGAATTTATGAGAAAATAATTTCAGGTTACTGTGGACACGAGGATTCAGATTTATATTCAAATTGAAAAAAAAATGTCCCTTTAAAATTATGGAACTGTAGACCTAGGATATTTTAGATCGTGTTGGCACCCACGAATCTGAAGTTACTGTAAATCCTACTGTACCTCTAGGTTACTGTGGATTTTTTAAAACACGTGGCAATGGAAATTTTGAACCACTGAATTTCAGAAAATCGAAATTTGGTGTCAACAAAATATCTGGCTGCCACGTGGCAAGTGGAAACCCTGGGTTTTCAAAATTGCTATTTTTGCCACGTGGCTACAGTATCATCAAAAATACCAATTTTCAAACCAACTAAACTGTCACAAAATGAAAAAAAGGCCGAATGCGAACGCAAAAAAGAAGCAGAAGACAATTCTAGAAAAACCCCCGAAAACCGGATTATTATTTTTTTTTTCTGTTCATGAACTTTTTCCGTCTTATTGCTGTTCGCTTCACAAGGTAACGCCCTATTGTGAAATGAGAATGATCCTCTTTTTTTGTGACAGTATTGGACAAAAAAAACACATGAAGAGAGATGAAAAATTGGTGTTCGATTTGATTTATGAATCGTTCGATCATAGTTTTTTTTTTTGGAAATTGGGAAATGGAAATTTTTGCCGGGTTGATTGTGAAATATCAATGGAAGATCAAAGATACATTTTGAAAAAAACAGTGAATTTATTTCATGAGCTTCATAGATACAGTATTTATTCATAGAGTACTGTAGATTAAAAGTTTCAGAAAGGGGTTTGAGAAAGGGGAAATTATAGGGAAATTTTGCAGTTCTTGAAACTAAAGTATTCCCGGATTACTGCCGGTGATCAAAAACCGCTAGACTAAAACCTACAGTACCCAAAAGCCAGTTTAAAAGCTTTAAAAAAAAATTTTGCTTAAACCTCAACTACTGTAGACTGACTTCATAAGGTGTTTCTGAAATTTTTGAAACTCAGAACTACAGTATCCCCGGATTACTGTAGATTCTCGCTCCAAAACCCATTGATCAAAAACCGCTAGACTAATTGTAAATAAAATAATCCAATTTTGATCCCAAAAAAAATTTGATCTACTCCTACAGTACCCAAAAGCCAGTTCAAAAAATGAGCTTTAAAAATAAATAAAACATTTTGATTGAACCTCAACTACTTTAGACTTCATAGGATTTTTGTGAAGTTCTTGAAACTCTGAGCTACAGTATTCCCAGATTACTGTAGATGATCAAAAACCGCTAGACTGAATAAAATAATCCAATTTTGATCCCAAAAAAACTTTGATCTAACTACAGTACCCGAAAGCTAGTTCAAAAAATGAGCTTGAAAAAAATCATACAATTTTTCTCAAGTTCTTGAAACTCTGAGCTACAGTATC